AAAAAAATTCGTTGAACTTTTTTTTTGAGATAATGATTACTTTTCATAAGGACGTCCTAGATATATTCAATAAACAATGGGAAAAAGAAAAAGCATTCAAAACGCGGAAAACAGGAGTGAACTGTAGGATTCATCAATGTTAACACGTAATCCCGATGACGAATAGAAGCTCTATGGAGGAGGGCAAACAAAAGTGGATGTTTGGTTCGAAAAATCGTGGACGAGTAATCGATGAGTATACAAAGGTAAACTTCTCGGTAGCGAGAACGAAGCGCAGCCCGATTCTTCGTACCTCAAAACCTGCCTGCGTCTTTCTTCTTTCTTCTGAACGCCCTTGAATGACGGAAATGAGTGGAAAAAACCGCGATATTGTATCGCGTAGTGGTGACCGGGTGTAATACCAGACCATCTCGAAAACTTCCTTTGATAAGTAATAATCGCAATCAACTTGCCGAGAATCGAAGGAAACCGTTCTGTCGCCCATTTTTCGATTGAAAAAAGGCAACAGTAAAACTTCCTTTCTTGATGACATTGATATGAAAATTTGCAAGGCTTTATGAAAGAAAGTTTACCCAAAAAACGATAAATGGCTCAATATCGCTTATTAATTTATATAATGGTTGTAGCACTGTATGAAAGAGTATAATCACAGGATTCTCATGCCATGTTCAAAGCATTTACCGTAAAGTTCAAATTAATCTCTGTCTCTTCAAAGTTCAAATATCTTTTTCACTCTCTGACGGTTTTTTTGAATTTTTCTCTTGAACACGGCATTATGGAAGGCTCTTCACCTAGTCTGTTCAGATTTTGAATGTCAAGTCATCGCTCAAAACCCCCCTCCTTATAAGTAAATCAAACCAACCAGAGACACACCAGCTCAGACCCACATGGACCCGTCCGGTTTCCACTTCGCCTTTTCCGCTGGCCATACATTTTCGGTATTTTTTATATGTGATAAAGTTAAAAAAAGCTATTTCCGGCATTTATAGATAATAAAGTACAGTAAATACGATAATGTATTAACTAAAGACGAATTTTTCAAAATAAGGCTTTTTAAAGACCTGCTGGCGTTTGAGAAAACTTGATTGTTGAAATCGAATTTGTACCATTGAATTTTCTATTCCTTTTTTTTCGAATTAGTTTTCCTTACAAGCAACTCGTAATCAAGATATCGCTCGAAAATCGCGATCGGTATATGCATAATTTAAACTTACAGTGTGCCAAAGCGGACGAGCTGAACTGATGTGGAGAGCGAGCCATCAAGAATTTTTTAAGGGTGTTTTTAAGGGCGGAACGACATCCAAAATCTTAAAATACTATAACCTCGAGAAATAGGTCCTTGACAAAATGCGAAAAAAAACGAAACATTAAAAATTTACCGGCCGCCGTAGCACTGTTATAAGCATGTGTATTTGGCTCATGCGTCAGGCTTGGCGGCCCGGGCTTTGGGCCTTATTTTCGAGAAAAAGTCTGCGCGAGCTTGAGCCAGGGGCTTCGAAAAAATTCAAAGATTCAGCAAAAAACCTACATTGAAAAAAATTCTTTTTTTATTTGTTAAATCATAGTTTGTGTTGAACTCAAGTGAAAACTAAAGCAAAAAATGACTTTTTTCGTAAAAAAAAAAGCTTGATATAGTCTGTTCAGATTTTGAATGTCAACCAGTTAACTCCGCCCCGGCTGAGACGGTACCTTTTCGCGTCGATGTTTTATCGCGCGGGACTAATTTTGATCTTTTTTGATCTAAAAGATAGAAAAAGAAGTCAAAAATGCAGCGTTATTAAAGGGCCATCGTCATCTGTGGATAAAATATTGACGCGAAAGATATTGTAGCCTTGGGGGTGGAGTTAGCTGCTTGACATTCAAAATCTGAACAGACTATATTCGACTTGAAGAAAATTTGAGAAGCCGGGCCGGCCATTTTTGCTTGAATCTTCCCTTAGGGCGGGCCGCGCTTAGAAAATATCCGAGAGCGATAGGCTGACCTCCGGCCCTCGCACGAGCCTGGTCTCACTCTGAAAAAATCATTTCTCTTGCAATCTTGGTCGCCGATATACTTCTTTTTTTTATATTCAAAAAACAGGAAGTTGCGCGCCACCGTGATCATTCAAATTTCGCGCCAAAAGTTGGTTTTAGAAAATAATTTTTTTAAAATTATTGCTCGCCAGTATGTAGTATATGCCCTGTTCAAAGTAATTTCCGCGAAATGCAAAATACCCGTTAGAGAAAGGAAAAGATCACTAAATTTTGGAGAGTCAGAGATCATTTTGCATTTCGCGGAAATTACTTTGAACACGGCAATACATCCCAATGGTATGAACTATATCGCAGAGAGAGTACCGCTATACCGCGAAGGAGCCGAGAGCAAGCAAAGCTCGCCTCTCGCAAACGTCTTGTGCAATATCGCTCTCAGAAAAAAATTTTTCTTTCAAGATATTTTGTTTCTTTAATTTGAATCATTTCGTAATATAAAACAAAAAAATAGAACAAAAAGATTTTTTTAGCGCCGCTAAATCCAGACGTGGGGGCTTGCCTCACGCGCGCGCCAATTCAAAAAAGTGCGCTGGCGCACAGAACCCAATATCCCCCATTAATGTATATCCTTTTTTCAGTCAATCTTTCCGCTTATATTTTTGTCGAAAGATTGTTTTCGGTTAATTTCGCCATAAAAGTGAATCGATAAAAATATTTGAAATAAAAAAAATAGTCAGTGGGGTTCTTTTTCTTTTCACAATTTAGTGCTTTATGTCACGTTTTGACTATAAATGTAGTTCACGTTTACATTTAAAGGCCACTCGAGGTATCCATATAATCAGTAAATGTATAGAATAAACGGTGCGATAGCTATCGGAGTGCTATTCGACAGCATACAAAGTGCCCATAAAAAATTGCAACAAATTTCAAAGTACTGCTGTTCATTTTTCAGATTAATATTCTCTGTAATTTTTCGCATAAACTATTTTTCACTATAAAATAATTTTTTTTCCATTCCTCAGATACCATTACTATGGAAATGACGACGCTTCCTTCAAGACGCTCTTGTTTTTTGAAGACTGTCGAAGTACACAATAAAAAACAAAGATTTTTTTAGAAGCCTGACGAGGGCAGTGTGTCAGGTGAGCATCACAGATATGGTTCAAACTTCTGTGGTAGGTAGTCTCAGGTATGAGTATTGGAAAAACAGAAAAAAATGATCTGCTAAGCCTAAGGTACCGAGAAACAGCCCTACGAAAAATGTACAGGAGAATCTAAAAAAACGAATTATCTTTTGGGTTTTTTTCGTAGAGAGTTACTTTCTCGCGTTTCTTATGATATAATGAACAACACTAGACTTTTTAGAAATCGAAAAAAAGAAAAACAACTAAGTTTTTTTGAGATCTCACTGAACATTCTTGACAGGCTATTTCTCAGTACCCTATGGCGCACCCTGTACTTCTGAACTTCTACTTTCTGAAGCCCCCTTAGCCATCGCAAATGGCAATAGCATTAGGATATTAGTGGTGAAGATTCTATAGTTTCTCATAATTCCTTGTCTTTCACCGTTATAAATTTGCTGAAGAAGTGCATAACCTCAGGTATACTTTATAATAATCGTGAATATTCCCATTTTTCGGCAACATCTTTTTGAAAAGTTTTCTGCACTCGTTTTTGCCTGCACAAAAGTAAGCTCAAAAGAAATGCAAAATTCGAGGTGCTTCTGTGCGAAATTGAAAGCACTTATTTGCAGAAAGCATGAGGTTTTTGCAGAAGACTGGCATTGGCACTGCTCTTTCACTATTACAGTAGAGAATCTTATTCGTAGTCCATCAGAGAGTTCTTGGCAAATTTACAAATAACTCCAGTTCGAAAGGCAAAATGAATCCCCATGTCAATTCAGAAAACAGAAAAACCATTGGAAAAATTAAGGGTGGACTCATCATTATGTTTAGGACTGTAGATGGCCTTCTTTTGTAACTAATAAACGGTAGCAGCGCCACTAAGGCTACCGCGAGGCTAATCAGTGGTCGTTTATTTAAATCAATTTTTTGTTATAGCCTATTCCGCGCCAGCTTGTCACGTTTTTTTCTTTCCGCCAAAAAGACCGTATACCAAATGAAATCAAATTTCTGCTTTTTATAACGGCAAGAAACAAAAGGTCTTGAAGCGAAGTTGGTCAAATTTGGCCTTTTGGCGGAAAGAAAAAAACGTGACAAGCTGGCGCGGAATGGCCTATAACCGTGCTAAGACCTGCTGAGCTAGTTAAAAAAAGGTAGCTACTCGGTAACTATTTGTATCTCTATCATGATTGACCAGTGGAAAAAATTTTGCGAAAAAAACTATTCTCATTTTAAAAAAACTCGATTATTTTTTTATTGATTCACTTGTATGGCGAAATTAACCGAAAAAAATCTTTCGACAAAAAAATATAAACGGAAAGATTGACTGAAAAAAAGGGATATACATTAATGGGAGATATTGGGTTCTGTGCGCCAGCGCACTTTTTTGAATTGGCGCGCGCGTGAGGCAAGCCCCCACGTCTGGATTTAGCGGCGCTAAAAGATTTTTTAATTTCAACTTTATGGAGGGAGCGATATGGCAACAAGGCTTCGAGAAGGTCGCAGCGACATGGTCAAGAGTTCACAGCTAGAAGTCTTGGCTATATCGCCTGCGGTGCATTGCGATGTAGCCAGTTTTATTGGATCCAAAACATCTGTTGTCTGAAACTAAGGCGTGTGAAAAATATAGTCACAGGATTTTAATGTCGCGTTCAAAGTAATTTGGCGAAAATCATAATTATCTAACTTTTCGAAGTATACATAGGTACAACGGAAAAATTTCCTTTGAGGATCCTCAAATGAGATCCTTAGAAGAGGAGCTGGAAATGTTCCTTAAAAAAATTAAATGATGGGAAAAAGATCTTATAGTTTTCTGCGTTTTTAAATACTTTCTCAAAGTTTTTGAGGCATGTCCAAGAGGCAAAGTACGCTGTTATCATTTTTCCAAAAAAATGGCGAAGGAGGAAAGAAAAAGCCTGAAGAAGATTGCAAGCAAGAAATGAAGCAAGGTAATTGTATTTTTAATATTTATTTTAATTTCTATTTCAAGAAAAAAAGTTCCCGTGAAAAGGGTTTTGAATCGAGAAGACGACGAAAATTCTTCCCCCTTCAAAACGCCAAAATCAGCAAAGCGGCGTCGTGTGGTGGTGTCTTCTGACGACGAGGATGTCACAGAAGAGAAGAAAACTGAAACGCCAAGAAGAAATTTAGTTGAGGTATGAAGGAGGAGTGTTGTAAGAGAGAGTAATGTATTATAAAGAGCACTCCGAAGTCAAGGAAACCACTGGAGACGCCAAAAAGGAAAGGCGAGCTCAATTCTGAGATGGCAGAATCATTCATCGAATCCTTCCGTTTCACGAAGCATGAAGTCGTTCACTATTCGCTTTCTTTATATGTTTCATAAAGTTCTCAGGTCGCTTCATCGGTTGACACGCCAAGAAAGTCGAGCGAGAATCCATTTGCGGTAATCGACGAGTTCGACAAATTCGAACATGAGAAGCTGACTTTTCTCCTGGTTTGAGCTTATTGACTTTTTCATGAAAGTCTGGACGGTTGTAGCCTGGAAAACGGAGAGATGCTGAAAAACGGCTCGAGACAGACCCCGAATACGATCCAACTACGCTTTTCGTCCCTGCCGATTTTTTGAGTAAACAAACTCCTGGTAGGATCTTTTTATTGGCAATATATCAGATAGGTTTTAAGGCCACAAACAGTGGTGGATTTTCAAAAGCAAACATTTCGACACGGTTTTGCTGTTCAAAGTGGGAAAGTTCTACGAGCTCTACCACATGGATGCGTCGACGGCAGTTTCCTGTTTGAACATTGCCTTCATGAGAGTGAGGCGAGCATCTTCTGAATCAAACCAAGTCACCTTCCAGGGCTCCTACGCTCATTGTGGATTCCCCGAGCACGCTTACGGCAAGTTTGCAGACCAACTAGTGGCCAGAGGACACAAGGTTGCGCGCATCGAACAAACCGAAACTCCGGCGCAGCTCGAGGAACGCAATCTCAAATCGGGCGGACCAAAAGAAAAAGTCGTCAAAAGGTTGGTTTTTTTCTTTTTCTTGTTGAAAATGGGAGATTTTTAGGGAGTTGTGTCGTATCACGAGTGTTGGAACGAAAACTTATGGAATCTTAGATGGAGTTGAGTTGGGCCAGAGCAATTCTATGGGCGACACTTCTTCCAAGCATCTGCTTGCGATCAAAGAAAGTGTGGGTATATCGTAGTATTTATTTAAAAATAAAAATCATACTAGAAAACTTTCTGAAAATGTTGAGCCTGCTTGAAAGGCCGTGTTCTTTTGGTGGTATGAAAAAACCAGCGAATTTTTCGAATGGCGACTTTTTCCGTTTTTTCATATCGCTAGGGAACTTTCCTACTTTTTGGCCATTTTCGGTTTAGAAAAAGATTTGTTAACATTGTTTTTCTTTTTTTCTTTGTGTTCATGAATTGATTACCGGTTTTATTTATGAAGATTCAAAACGAAGAGTTTATTGGGTAAGGAAAAGTCGCAAACTTCACAGTCCCAAAGTTCTCTAGCGATATGAAAACATAGGAAAAGTTGCCGTTCGAAAATTCGCTAACTTTACGTCAAATGTTTTTTTTTTTTGCAAAATCAAAATTATACCTATGCATCAGTTTGGCATCGGATTTTTCAAGGTAGACCCGAAAAACTCGTCATCTATCTACGGCGTTTGCTGCGTCGACACTTCGACGGGCGCCTTCCAACTGAGCCAATTCAATGACGACGAGTATAGATCCTTCCTCCGCACATTCATCGCCAATAATTGCATTGCGCAGGTTATTTTTGACCAATCTGTTTTTTCCTAGCTGTTCTTTTCAGGTTTTGATTGAACGTGGATCGTATTCCCCTGGAACGAAGGCCCTTCTTAATGGGATGCTGTGCTCGGTTCCCACCGAAGTTTTGGCTCCTGGAAAAGATTTCTACACCTGCGAGAGAACTGTTAAGGAGGTTCGCTTTTTCATTAATGTTTTTTCCGCTTTGAGAGGTTTTTTCGAATAGTATTGCTGCTTGCAAAAACATCTGCATTGGATTGGGTAATTAGAAAAGTTAAGAAAAAAATCCAGAATCACCCCCTCGCACTGTTTTTACTTTATTCATGAATGGCCTCCCGCAGTGAAAAACCGCTCCTGAAACGTCTAGGCAATCTTTCATATTCGCCGAAGCTATATTGGATGAAATATGCCCAAAAGGTCGGTTTCAGTTGATGAACAGCGACTTGTTGGGAAGCGAGGTGAGCGAGTGGCCGATCGAGTTGCGTCGTCTCCTGGATCCGGACAGCGTCCTTCCAAAGCCTTCACCTCAGTTTTCTCTCGTTTGGTCGGCGCTTGGGGCTGTCCTCTTCTATCTGAAAAAGTGCATGATCCATGTCGACATCTTCACAATGAACAAATTCACCTTTTCAAATCAGAAATTGGTAGCAAAACATCAATCAAGTTCCATTTTTATTCGATCAAATCAGAAACCGGCTTTGAAAGTTGTCGATGGCGTGACCTGTTGGGACAAAAAAGTCCTCGTGCTGGACGGAACGACTCTTGAGAACCTCAACATAGTGCCGAACAACAGCGAGATTCATGCGACGTCCCTCTACAACATACTCAACAAATGCGCAACACCGTTCGGTTAGGAATACATCCTTCTCAGATGCACGCGAGGATTTCAGGTCGCAGGCTTCTGCGAACTTGGCTTTGCGCTCCAACCTGCGATGGAACAGTTATCAAAGAGCGTCAGGATGCCGTAGAATGGCTGGCATCGGCTCCAGCGAAAACCTTCGTCCAAAAGGCCACGACCCTTCTTCGCACTGTTCCCGACTTGGAACGTCTCCTTCAAAAGTTTCAACCTCAACGAAAGCTGCCATATCCTTTATTTCAGAATCCACACTCTCGGCTCAAAGTATCGAGCCGAAAAACATCCAGATTCCCGTGCTCAGATGTTCGACACCACGCGCACGAGCAAACGTAAAATCAAAGAGCTCGTCTCGACAATTCGTGGTTTCAAAACATGCCATGAGATTCGCAAGCTGTACGACACCCTCCGAATGGAAGGCGAAGGGTTTTTTTTTCCCTCATTTGCAACTTTCAAATAACTTTCCAGTTGCGAGCTTCTGGACGAATGTCTAGGAATCGATGAACTGCGACCCCATCTCGAGAACAACATCAAGCACTTTGAAGTTTCATAATTGAACAATCTTCGTCTAATTTTTTGTTTGTAGAAAATTTTTGATCATGACTCAGCTATGGAGAAGGGAAAAATTGAACCAAAAGCGGGAGTTGATGAAATGTTTGAAGAGGCATGTGAAAACGTGAAAAAGGTTGAAAGTCGTATCGAAGGCTACCGTAAGAAGCAAGAAAAAGCTCTCCAGTGCGAGGTTTTGGAAATTCGAAACCAGTCGGATCAGATATCATTTCAGATCACGTTCTCTGGTACGGGCAGAAACAGATACCAGATGGAAATTCCAGATACAATCAAGCCTTCGAGCAAGTTTGAGATGAAGGGTCAGCGTAAGGTTTGTTCGCCAAGGACTTTGCAGAATTTTACTACGATTGGTTTGCAGAAGTTCAAGCGGTACATGACGGATGACCTGCAGGAGCTGATCGAAGAGTTGGGGGCGGCCGAAAGGAGCAGAGATGCGTTGGCTGAGGACGCGACGCGCAAGATGTTCGAGCTTTTCGATCTGAGGTTGGTATCCTATCGTCTTTAACAGTAGTTGGAAGGAAATGTATTCATTGATGAGCTTCTTCTTCCAACGCCTTTGTACCACTTGAGCGGCGTCGATCAGCCGAGGTCCTATCCTGATATCAGTGATGAGTGGATTGGCTCTAGTTACATCCGTCCTTGTGTTTGACGGCGGGGGATTCTTAAAGTCGTGGTTTCCCACTACCAAGATTTCTTAAACCTCGGGTCGAGGCAGAGATCGAACTTGTCACTCTGTGGACCATAGACAGGCACACAACCTGTTGCGCTACGGACCGCTCCGATCTTTTATCAGCAAAAATTAAACTTCTCTTTTTCAGACGAGAAGAATGGATCGAAGCTTATTCAGCCATTAGCAAGTTCGACGTGGTCCTTAGTTTGGCGAAATTTGCCACATCGAGTGGCCTTCAGATGTGCCGCCCTGAGTTTGACTATAAATCGGCGAAAGTTTGCCTACTTCTTGTACTCTCTGATCGTTCCTTGTTTTCCTGCAGCCGTACGTCGACATAGTGGATGGCGTGCACCCGTGTCTGGCCCTTCAAACGACAGGAAACTTCTCAACCAACGTTCCAACTACCTTCATTGGTATGAGATGATAAATTGACAGTATGTCGAACTCTAGGTGGCCGAAATAGAGTCTGTAAATGTACGCTTCATGAGAAAACCGAAGCTCGATCAACTGAAACAAATTCTCAAATTTTATCCCACTTGTTTTTTGTTTTATTGTTTTGAAAAAAAAATTGTCTTAGGATATAATCCCTATAGGGATTAGGGCGGAGAACAACCCCCTTTGGGGGCCGAAAAAGTGGTCCCTGTAGAGATTAAGGATCTGACCGCTTTGCCCCTAAAACTCACCCTATAGGTGCACCCTAAAGGAATCTATCAATTTATTAAAAAAAAAAAAACGCTTATTTATTCAGTTTTTCGCATGAAAATGCTTCTTCGAAATGAGTTCAGAAAATTTATCTACTATCATGTCCACTATAGGGACCATTTTCGCAAGATTTAGTAGGCCTTGTAATGGTTAGTGAAGTGGTCCTTAGAGGGGACCCCCCAACCTGGTTAGATCTGTCAAAAAAGTTTCATTTTTGCTTGTTGACTGAAGCTCGTTATCGAGTAAAAACACAGTAAGGCCTGAAGTACGATTCTCAAGTGAAAAAAAAAAATTGGAGCCTTTGTTTTCACTGAACTTTAGCAAACGACACGCGCCTCGGCGGCGATGCACCTGAAGTGATGCTGCTCACAGGTCCAAACATGGGCGGCAAGTCGACTTTGATGAGACAGACGGCGGTTCTATGTGTCCTGGCGCATTTGGTTTGCTTTCGTGACATATCCTGGAGGAATCTATGTCACGGCTTTAGGGATCTTTGGTACCGGCGTCGAGCATGAAACTGACTCCTGTCGACCGCATCTTTACTAGAATTGGGGCCAACGACCGAATCATGTGTGGTCAGTAACACCTTTATCGATACAGAGTGGAAAAAAAGAACCCCAGTTCCAGTTCTGTGTTTCAAATAGGGAGTTGATCGAATTTTACAAAGTGTTTCATATTTTGGTTTTCTGTTTGGTTTTACTGTTGTCAATTGTTATATTTAGTGTAAGATTTTATGTGAAAACCATAGGTTCTTACACGCTTTTGCACCTTCTTCACATCCTTCATCAAACAAAAAACTGAAAAACAAATAAAAAGGTTGAAAAAGATTCCACTGAGGCTATGAAAAGAACTCAAAAGCTTTTTCCCATAATTTTAGAGACTTTTAGAGGAACCTTTGCAGCTCCTTCTGACCGGGAAGGTCATTTACCTTTTTGGTTTAGAATGACCTGAATTTTTTTCAAAATTCTTCTCGGTGTACCAGATAAAGGTTCTGAAGTTCTCAACCGGCACAACTTCTTAATTTATGAGAAAAAAAGACCCAAAGCTCGAAAACGACCCCTATTTTGCAAATTTTGAAGTTGGGAAGTATTGAAAAAAAAAAACCAGACCTAGGCTCATTAGGTAAAGAAATTCTCACTTTTTATCTGAAGGTTTTTTTGACAAATTTGAGAAGAAATTATTCCTGACCTTTTTCTAAGTGCATTGATCTGATATAAATTTTAAAAAAAAGTGCATTTTTTCAAGGACAATCGACCTTCTATGTCGAGTTAAATGAAATGCAAGTGATGCTCCGAGACGCCACCATTCACTCAATGCTTCTCATCGACGAGCTGGGTCGCGGAACCAGGTGGTCCACTTGAAAAGCTGCTTGAAAAAGAAGGTTCCTATCGAACAACAACAACTTTCAGCACTTTCGATGGAACTGCCATCGCCAGCGCTGTTCTGCAGCATCTGGCCGACTTCGTCAAGAGCCGAGCCTTCTTTTCCACTCACTATCATTCGATTTGCTCAGCTGTGGCTGGTAACCCAAACATCCTCATGGCACATATGGTTTCCAAACTTTTTCGAATTTCAATCATTTTTAGCCGTTGTTTTTAGGCTTGTAAGGTTGAAAACGAGAACGACGAGGATCCGACGGATGAGTCGGTCACCTTTTTGTATCGTTTGGCTGAGGGGATTTGCCCCAAGTCGTACGGCTTCTTCGCGGCGAAATTGGCTGGAATCAATGAAAAGGTGAAATGAAAGTTCTGAAACCATACATGGGCAAGTGCAGAACTCACTACGCTTGGGAGGAGGGGTTGACTTACAAAAAAGTTAGATAATGACATATAGGAATAAGTTTCAACTCCATGGAGGTGGTACCGAAAAAAAAAAAGAAAATGAGGGTTTTAACTGCAAGAGATAGTATTGTATTTACTTTTGGGAGACTCGGAAGGAGGGTTTGGCGACCTCAAAAATGGGCTGCCCGTGTAAGGGGAAAATTTTGAAAGTGTAAAAATTATTGATTTTTATTTTGTAACAGCTGGGCTCCATAGAAATGTAAAAAAAAAATTATTTTGAGGTTCCTTTTTTGCGCCATTTCATCGGTTCTTATGCACCCTTTTTCTACCATTCCTCGAGCTTTCAAAATCCCAGAAAAAGTGGAAGGCTCAATAAAAAAAAAATCTTTTTGCGGCCTTTTTTGAGCCTCTCCCTTTTAGCGGCCATTTTCCACCATTCCTCTTTGCCCGAGTAGTTAGAACCATGAATGCATATTTTTTTAAAATCTTTTTTTTTCGTAATTATCTCAGGCATGATCTGCAAGAGCGGAAAAAGCTCGTTTTGATCATTGAAATCTATTCAGGTGGTCAGAGCCGCTTTTGCTGCGAGCAACCGGTTCGCCGAGAAAATTGAAAACAAGTCGTCCACGTCGTGCTCCAAGATGGCCCAGCTCCGCACGGCTGCTCGTGATAGTTCGGTGAGCGTTGAGCAACTTCGGCGAATGTTGGATTCGTTTTAGCTGTTTTCTGCTGTACTTTTATTAACTATTTTTACGAGAAAATTTCGCAGCGATTCTCAATTTCTTTCACTACAGGTGTATTTTCAAACTCACTCTCCGGTTATTAACCCGATTTTTTGTTCTCAAATGTATATGTGTACCCGGTTTAGTATTTATTTGTAACGAGTAAAGTTGTTTTTGCTCGCACGCTTCATTTCACTTCACTGTTCGTCGGAGTTTTCGGAGCTGCTTCTTGCAGAACAAGACTGCGTCTGAGACGACCGAATATTCATGCCGACTATTTCTTTCTTGCGCCTATCTGAAAAAAAAATAGGGTTCTTTTTTTCACTGCAGTAGATGAAACGTTTAGTTTCACGCCGAGCGCTATAGTCTGTACAGATTTTGAATGTCAAACAGCTAGCTCCACCCCCAAGGCTACAACATTCTTCGCGTCAATTTTTTATCGCAGATAACGATGGTCCTTTAATAAGGCTGCTTTTTTTTGACTTCTTTTCTATGTTTTAGATCAAAAAAAAAGATCAAAAAATTGTGCCGCGCAATAAAATATTGACGCGGAAAGGTACCGTCTCAGCAGGGGCGGAGTTAGCTGGTTGACATTCAAAATCTGAACAGACTATATAAAAACGTATTCAAAAAATAATTTTTTTTTTCTGATTGACGCCTGGTTATTGTTTTGCGCTGTTCTAGTGACTCTTTCCTTAGAAAATGTACGAACCTTCTCGTAACAGACGCTTGCGCTGACGACCATACTTGACGATCCTTTCGTAGTAGAAATCAGCAAATAAGACAAGGAAGAACGCAAGTCCAAGCTGTGCAACGGCCAGATGGAAAACCGACGCGTGACACGGTTCCCCTTGAGCCAAAGTCTATACGGTTTTTGTGTAAACCAGAAGAAAATATATAGACTCCACCTTGGTAGCGGTGACAACAGCAACAAACGGAATGATCAATTGGATCATTTGTGCTGAAAAAATACCGTTTCATGGGACTTTTGGTGATCTACCGGCGCAGACGGTAAGCCAGCAAGGCCTAAGAAAGCAGAAAGGACGGGGGGAAAGGTAGGCGTAAAGTATGACGTGTGCGCACAAGTTTAGGAAGATGATCCATCTCAAAAAGGTTACTCTAAAGAAGTAAGGCTAAAAGGAAGACCTCAAGAAGGCAAAGTGGTAGTTGTGATAAGTAAAAGCGAAGAGCAATGAGAAAGCGTGGTGAACGACGTGGATCATCAGAGGCCGTCGTCCATCCATCACTAACAGCAGCGTCTCCAGGAGGTCTGTTGCTTTCGACACAACCCAGAGGGCAGCGACAGTTCCGGATATCCTTCCTTTATTCGGAAACTCAAGCGTTCATCGCGTTTTTACTTACCGGCATAGAGGCTTCCTGTTGAGCACACGGAGCTCGTCCAGCCTTTGCTCATCGCCAAAAACATCTCCGGCAGGAAAAGAAATGCCATTGTCAATTGGACGATTCCGTTGAAGTAGTACCTGGGCCAAGAATTCTTATCGGACTAGTGTTGTTACTTGTCAGAAATGTCTCTAATCATCATAACCGAATCGAAAAAATGGGTCAAATTTAAGCCTAATTGACATTTCCGAATGCCTACCAATTAGGAATCACTTCTGGGCTGAGGACGTGGAACGGCTTCACACGTAGCACAAAAACTATGTAGGCGCCACAGAGAAGGAAGCTCCAAGGTGCAATCGCGGACACGAGTCCTTCCCATGCCCAAAACCGTTCTCATCCTTCCAATAGCTATACTCAGCTCACCATTATTCAAAAGCGAGTTACTAGACACGAGTACAATAGAAATGAGCGGTGATTCAACGTTTTTTTGAAATCGCTATGCATTTTTCAAGAGAGAAGAGAGCCTTTTCTGAGAACGGAAATGTGCAGTTTTTTCGAGAAAAGTTTGTATTTAGGGTTTTCTTGAAGCTCCGCCCCATGTAAGAGTATTTTAAAGGTGTTTTTCAGGTCGATTTTTGGGAAAATCTAGCGACGAATATCCCTGAAAAAAAGAAAAATCGATCGTTTAATTGAGTTCTTGAAGTTCTCTTCGTTTTTATTTCACTTTTAAAGTCCTTCCGCCGCGACTTGAGAGTTTTCGAGTGTTTGCGTCTCTCTGTTCTCTCACCGGCGAGGTCAGAAAAACATATAAACTGCACGTAAATTTGAGAGGGACGTCGAGAGATGAGGAGGGCGCAGAGAAGTCCCGTCCTTTTAAGTCGCGAAAACGGACTATATTTTGAAAGGATTGTAAAAAACCTTATAAGGTAGCTTTTTTTCCAATATTTTTTTAAATTAGTTTTCAATATAATGAAGGTGAAGTTAGGGTCAGAACTCGTTCCGGGTCTTTTTCAAAAAAACTGGTTTCACTTTTGAAATGACCTTGTTGCTGAATTTTTCTATATTTCGAACTTTTTCAAAAAAAGTATAATTGATTAAAAAATGAATACAATGATCGATAAGTTCAAAAAAATCATTAGGGATTGTAATTCTCAGATTTTTTTTTTGTTTATGAAGGTCAGTGATCCGTGATATGGAAACGTCGAACGGCACATTACTTGGGAGAGAAGCGAAAACATTGGACGTTATCAGTGTGCTCAGGAGCAGTATCTTATCTGCGACGCTCGCCCGGCCTTCCTTCAGTCGCGATGGCGAGTTCGGAGAAGACACCGCTTCTCTCGGCGCCCCGTCGCCGCAGGTTCGTGTTCCTTATGTTTCTCTTTCTATATTTACACGATCTTGTCGATGAAAGAGGCCGCGCCACTTTTACCCAGGTTTTCGTTGGGCCCACCTATAGTTTTTAGGCTGGAATTCTGAGAATATATTTCTTTTAAGCTTCATTTATGAATTTTTGTTTGCCGTTCATAAACCGTAAATTTCCTCAGTCAGAGTTCATGATACCAGCAAGTTTATATGTAAAATAATTTTTTTTAAGTTACCAGAGAACTTTTTGTTAAAGTAAATTAATATTAAAGTCTCAAAAAAATTTGTGATTATATGAAAAAAGCTGCTTGAAACAAGCCAGCGGAAGAATAGCGAAAGCAATTCTGTCTTCTCTGACTCTCCAAAACTCAGTTATCTTTTTAAGTCTCTGATGGGTTTTTCAAATTTCGCGGAATCACTTCCGGCATACCTCGGGCATCATTGACAATCGGGCGTGTCGGGGCATTTCTAGTGACCACTTTAGTAGCCTCAACACTCTTATGTGATCCCTAGAACTTCTCAGAAAAGCACGTCCGTTTCGCGGTACCAATGTCCAAGTATTTATTGGCATTTTTTCGTTGACTTATTTTCGCAGCTTCTTTGTCATTAACTGATGAACAACTTTCTAGATTTGATTTCGTGAATGATTAATTTAGCTTCTCAATAATTAAAAATGATCTTCAGAATACTCCTGAGGTCAAAGTGAAAAATCTTTTGAAGGCGTGTTGATTTTCCGGAACCGTTTTTCACTGATTTCTTGTATAAATTCTTAGTTACACTTATCTTTCATTAAAAGAATTTATTATTTTCATTATTTACCGTATGGAAATATGCCAAAAAAGCAGATTTCCTTATTTTTTTGTATTTTTGTATAGTGTCGGACCATCAACTTTTCTCCTGAATTTTACACCTTTTCTCAAAAAAATTTGAATATTTTTTTATAAGTTATTTTTTTGAAATGATTGAAAAATCGACCAACATTCGAAATGAAACGACTTAATTAGACGTAATGTCGTGAATTTAGAAAATTTCATTTCCAATGAAGTTCATTTCTCGTCGGAGCATTTCAAGTTCTCTGAACTCGAAAAGATCCTAGACGGACTGCGTTTCTGCGTATGACCACCGTTGGGAGTTCTCTGTAGGCCTATATTGTGAAAATTATGAAAAATATAGCCTATTTTCGTACTCTTGGATCGTATTTTACACATTTTTTGCATTATACTTATCTAATTGACAAGCGATTCTAGATCAAGAAACTTTTCATTGGGGTAGAATTCTTTGAATTTTCAAGTTACAAGTTGATACGGTTCAATTTTATTGTGTTATAAGAGTTGCTCATAATTTTAAAATAATACTACTGTAGTTTATCAAGAATCTATCTGATCAAAAAATCGCAGGGTATGCTTTATTTATGTGAACCTTTACGCATTCTTTCATCGATTTCAGCAGTTCTAGCAGCAATGGTTCGGAGCCGCCACACGCCTACGTCACCAACTTGGGCTTGGTTTGTTTGGAACGTTTGCAACCGACTTCAAACGGTTTTCAGTTCTCTTACACGAGAGGTATGGACCTGCTTCTCCTGATTTCCGGCTCGGTCGCGTCCTTCATCCATGGAGCCGGATTTCCTCTTTTGGCCATTGGTTTCTTCAAAAAAAGTCTCTACTTCAGTTATTCATTTCCAGTGCTTGGTGGCATGACAACGGTCTTTCTACGTGCTCAAAATTCTGAATTTGTTGTAGGGGTCGGAAAAGTGAACCCTGAAGGACTGCCTTCGATTTCTCAGTAAGTTTTATAGCTTTCTAAAACTTTTAATAAGAATTTGATGAAGTATCAAAAAATTGTTGAATATAATCAGGGAAGAGTTTGACGCCGAAGTCGTCAAGTTTTGCTGGTACTACCTCGGTCTCGGTGTCGCAATGTTCCTCACCTCCTATATCCAAGTGGGCAGACATTTTTGTAGATTTTCTGTCGATTGGAAACGTTTGACATTGGCATTTAACAATTTGAAAATAATTTATAATTTCACAGCTTGGAAGGGTCTTTATAGGCGTCTTCTGAAGCGGAATCAGTCATACCGAATTTTTCTGTTTGTATCGCTTTTTTTTATGAACTCTATGACAAGAAGCTCTTCCAAATGAATAAGCGTTTTATAAATGAAGTTGAAAGACCCCCATAGGGACCACTTGAGCTTTAGGAACTAAGGGGTCAGACCCTAAACCCCTATAGGGACCACCTTAATTTTACCCCAAAGGTACCACTTTTTTGGCCCCTGTAGAAGGTGCTTTTCCTCCTAACCCATATAGGAGTCCCTCCTCTGGAATTTCTAAGTAGTCCTTTTCTCAGTAACATTTTAACATTTGGTTTCTAAATTTCTCTGTTTTCAGATCTGCTGCTTCGAGTCATATGCGGAGAGAATAGTGCACAAATTGCGGCAAGACTACCTGAGAGCGATTCTCCGGCAACAGATCGAGTGGTTCGACAACCAGCAGACCGGCAACCTGACATCGCGACTTACCGAGTACTTTTTTGAGGCCTTTTTGCATTCTCATGACCTGCTTCTGTAGCGATTTGGAGCGCGTTCGTGAGGGGCTGGGTGATAAGATGGCTCTTTTCGTTCAGATGATGTCGGCCTTCGTCGCCGGCTACGGCGTTGGCTTCTTTTACAGGTACTTTTAGTTTGGGTATGGAGTTTTGAGTTGAGACTTTTCGTGCTGATAAGTCTGATAAGATTGTGAACACACTGAATGGTTATTAATGGCTGCTAAAAGAGAGAGGCTCAAAAAAGACCGCTAAAAGAGTCCCTTTACTAGGAATTTTAGTGGCCGCTATAGAGGCACCAAGGACTACCTGGAGAGGACACTAAAGTGGCCACTAAACCCACCTCTATAGTGGCCACTATTTTCCGTTTTAGTGACCACTTCAGTAGTTTTTCATCCAGTATTACTTCCAGTAACTCTGATAATATTAAAACAAACAGATTGGACCAGTTACGATGATCATTACCCCTAAAACTTTTAGTGGTCTAGTATTAAAACTTAGACCTCTTTATTGCCGCTAGCTTTTAATTCCTTAAGTGGCCACTAATTTGACTACTATAGTGGTCACTAAAACGTCAAAACCCTACAGTGGCCACTAAAAATTTTCCCAGTATCAACTCCTGCAGTTTGAGGGGTAGGCCGCACCCCGGGGTGGGATCCAGCCGACGTATGCTTAAAATGTTCTTTTTCCAACTGCAGCTGGTCAATGACTCTGGTAATGATGGGACTGGCGCCTCTTATCGTACTCTCTGGGGCGTGGATGAGCAAGCAGATGGCAACAAGGTAGAAGAAAATGGACGGAAAGCAAGGGAATCGTTTTTGAGGACGAAGATCGAACAGGAGACGTACGCTGTGGCAGGAGCCATCGCCGAAGAGACGTTCTCCTCCATCCGAACCGTCCATGCACTCAACGGTCATCGTCGGGAGCTCGACAGGTTTCCGATTTGAGCCATACATCTCTCATCTTCTCATATCCATGTAGATTTGAAAAGGCGTTGGAAGTCGGGCGGAAAACAGGAATCATCAAATATTTCTACATGGGAGTCGGCGTGGGTTTCAGCAACTTGTGTATGTATGCGAGTTATGCTCTTGCCTTTTGGTAGGTTCAAAATGAAATCGAGTTTTTGCAAGATGGATTTGAAGGTACGGTAGTACGATAATCATCAACGATCCTTCTTTCGATCGCGGTCTCATCTTCACGGTTTGGAACACAATCGCGCCAATTCGAAATGATCCAGGTTTTCTTCGCTGTCATGTCCGGATCGACGGCTCTCGGAGGAGCGTTACCGCACTTGGGAAGTATGGCGGTCGCCAAAGGAGCCGCCGCTTCAGTACTTCGGGTCATCAACTCGGTATGTTCAATTGTTCTTTTCAAATGGGTCAAAACTCGGGGGGAGAACGGAATGCCAGCGCGCATGCATCAGTTTAGAGAGCACGCTAAAATTGGAGTGACCAGACTCCCACTCTCCTCGCTTTACACGAGCGCGTCTGGTCTCTCTAAACTCACCGTGGTCTTTAAACTGATGCATTCGCGCTGGCATGCCTTTTTCCCCTTAAATACAACGCCGCTTTTTGGCGATTCATGGGCATCTAGCTCAATGAGGCATAACCTAAACTGTGGTTTACTTCTGAAAGAGACTAAAATCACGATGTCTATTCTTTTGTGTATACTGGTATTTTGCTCTTGCTCCAAATTTTTTTCGAAGGCTTGCGAAAGAAGTTATCCTTATCAAAATTTGTCAAAGATATTGAAGAAAATAGAGGCTTCTTTTTATACTTCTAGAACAGTGGAGAAAATTTTCAAAATTATCGAATTTTCACACCAATTTGACCTCTTTCCGTAAAGACGAAAAAAAGTTTTCAAAAGCTTAATCTGAGCTAACCACTTGAAAACTCGTTAGAGAAGGCTGGAACTTGCAAAACCACGGAATTTTTCCCTCTTTCTTGTTTTATTTGTAACTAACAAACCATAGAAATGGAGAAGAAACGGTAATTTTCGTTCTGCAGCACCCAACTATCGATCCCTACTCGCTGGACGGAGTCATACTGACGGAAATGAAAGGAGAAATCCGCATTGAAAACGTTCACTTCCGGTATCCGTCTCGCAAGGACATTCCAGTAAGGGAATTTGATGGGACCTGGACTCCGTGGATCTCAGGTCCTGCGAGGAGTTTCCCTCAACGTGAACGCCGGCGAGAAGATTGCGCTCGTGGGCGCCAGCGGCTGCGGAAAATCGACGATCGTGAATCTGCTCCAGCGTTTCTACGACCCTTTCAAAGGCAAAATTTCCATCGATGGGATCGATGTCAAAGACCTCAACGTCCACTTTCTACGAGATCAGATCGGCATCGTGAGTCAGGTTTGAAAGAAATAGATGTCCCTTGTTATATGCAAATAATTTCGAGGAGCCCGTCCTTTTCGACGGCACCATTTTTGAGAACATCAAGATGGGCAACGAAAAGGCAACACAAGAACAAGTTACTGAAGCGTGCAAAATAGTGAGAACTTTCCTCGACACTCAAATATTTCGACTTGAGGCAAACGCAGCAGACTTCATCAAACGGCTCCCAGAAGGATACAGTACCCGTGTTGGCGAGAAAGGAATTCAGCTGAGCGGAGGGCAGAAACAGAGAATAGGTATTACAAACGCAGGAAAAAAAACTAACTAGGAGATCATGTTTTTCTGATTTTGGATGAAGCTTACTTAAAAACTCTAAAGCCTAATTCTGAACACCCCGCAAAAATATACTGATATAGTCCGTTCGGCGCGACTTGACAGTTGTCTCTCTGTTCCCTCACCGGCGAGGACACAAAAACGCGGAAATAGTGCGTGAATAAGAGAGAGTCGCCGAGAGACAAGGAGGGCGCAGAGAAGTTTTTCGAGTCGCGAGTAACGGCCTATAAAAATAATGAGAAAAGAGGATTTGGCAAACAAATTATTACGCAAAAATTATAGCCATTTATTCAATTTTCATAATTTTTTCTCAACTCAGAAAATTTTCCCTCTTTTCAAAAAGTGTTTTCGAAACTTTTTTTTTCAAGTCCACCATGAAAAAAGCCGCAAGAAAAGTTTCAGCTATCGCTCGAGCCATTGTCAAAAATCCGTCCATCCTTCTACTGGACGAAGCGACGAGTGCCTTGGACACAGAGGCCGAAACCGAAGTGCAAGCCGCCCTCGAAAAAGCCCAACACGGTCGCACCACCGTAATCGTCGCGCATCGCCTGTCGACCATCCGCCGAGTAGATCACATTTTTGTATTCAAGGTTTTGCTACACTTTTTTTGAAATTGACGCAATTGTTTCAGGAGGGTGTTATTGTCGAGTCTGGATCTCACGAAGAACTGATGGATAAAGAAGGAGTCTTTTTTGGTATGACACAGGCTCAGAAAGTGAGACAGGAGCAGAAACAGGCGGACCGAGGTTCGTGGATTTGATAGATTACTAGTACTTCTAGGCTCATTATTTACTTTTTTTTTTCAATTACTTCTAGGCTGATTTTTTACTCAAATTTTACAAGGTAATTGCGCTCCTAGGATGTTAATTAAGTACGGGCGGGATCTCGGCTAAACTTTAGTCGGGCTTTTTTCTTGTAAACGAACTGCAGAATAGCCTTTTTGGTATTATTTCAATAACGCCTCAGTGTCAGCCGGCCTAGACCACACCCATGATTTTTGGTATCATACTAGATACCTTTTTTTTCTCTGCCTACCTTTGTTGGGGATAAAACTTAACCATAAGTCAGTCAAACATATTTTGAAAATACCAAGTTCTGAGCTACGATCAAACAAATGGCGATACTCAGGTATTTTTGTGACATAAACGTACAAAGTTCCTCAAGAATGAACTGACACAGTAATTTTTAACTTGTTTTGTCTTGAACGGCTTTCGATTTGGATTCGTTCGATATAGCTGATTCACGGCTGGCTTGAGCCATCGAAAAAAGGGTCCTGACACGATAATGCACGAGACAGCGCCTGGCTCGTGGAGAGCGCAGACAGGACACGCCCCCTTAGCGTCCCAAGCTGGCCGTAAATCAGCTATATACGATTACACCCGAGAAAAATCAATATAATCGACATGTCTTCTTTTCCAGAGATCGATGCCGAAATGTCAGAACTGGCGTCGCTTTCAAGCAGAAAATCGTCAAGCGCCGAGCGCGCTTCGTTGGCTCGTAAGAGCTCCAGTCGAAGCGTTATGTCGATGAGAACGTCCGTCAGAAGTCTCGAACTCGAGGCTGAGGTTGCGATCCGGGGTCGACACCTAAAACTACGAAAACTGCAGGACTTGAAAGCACCACCGACGCCGTTGTCAAAGATTTTCTCGTTCAACCGCGACAAGTTGGGCTGGTTCTTCTTGGGTCTCTTCGGTGCTTGCATTTTTGGCGGAGTCACTCCGCTTTTCGCTCTTGTTTATGCTCAGATCTTTGACGTTTACTCTGAGGTTTCTTCCCCACTAAAACGAGTTGCCTCAGGTCTACTCAGAGCCGGTAGCGAAAATGAAGAGCGACGTGTGGTTCTGGTGTGCCATGTTTGTGTTGATGGGAATTGCCCACGCCGTCGGATTTTTCATTTCTGTTAGTTTCATTCAGTTTCAACACGCCTCGGTCTTTGATTTAAAGCTATAATCATGTGTACCATTTTTTTCTTACTGTCGAATCTTCCCCCTGGTTGAAATTTATCTTGTTTTTGAGTTAGGACCCTTCAAAAGCTTGAAATATAGTCTGTTCAGATTTTGAATGTCAAGTCGTCGCTCAAGCTCCGCCCCTAATGGTGCGATCAACCAATTAGAGAGCGAGCCATCCACAGAGCGTTTTCCAATGACGTCATTGCACTTGACATTAAAAATCTGAACAGACTATAGCGCTTTTTGGCAGAATTTGCAAAATTTGTGAACTTTGAAGCTTCATAACTCGTAAAAGCATTTCCTCGATATATGAATGATAGGCCATCATTTCAAAAATATTTGAAAAAAATGCAACTACACAAAAAAAGTCTTTCTTTTCAGGCGAACTCGTTAGGACGCTGTGGAGAAGGCCTCACGAAAAAACTACGATTTGAAGCGTTCAAGAATTTGCTGCGACAGGACATTGCTTTCTACGACGACTTGCGACACGGCACCGGAAAGCTGTGCACCCGATTCGCGACAGACGCCCCCAACGTTCGCTACGTGTTCACGCGACTGCCAGTGGTCATCGCCAGCGTGGTGACCATCATCGGTGCCCTCGTCGTCGGCTTCGTTTTCGGCTGGCAACTGGCTCTCGTGCTCGTCGTCATGGTGCCGCTGATCGTGATGAGCGGCTACTTCGAGATGCAGATGCGCTACGGAAAGCAGATGCGCGACACCGAACTGTTGGAAGAGGCCGGCAAGGTGGCGAGTCAGGCCGTCGAGCACATCCGAACCGTTCAGTCGCTCAATCGCCAGCAACAGTTCCACTTCACCTACTGCGAGTTCCTGCGCGAGCCTTACAAGTGAGCGGCGAAAGTTCCCTCCGTTCTAATTGCTAAGGCCAGCCATAATTACAAGAACTATCAAACTTTATTTTTGATAAAAAAGATGTCTCAGTTGAAGTTTTATATTAAGTTAAATCTCTGATGTGTTCAGAACGAACATGCGTCAGGCTCACACCTACGGCGCGGTATTCGCCTTCTCCCAGTCGCTCATCTTCTTCATGTACGCCGCCGCCTTCTTCCTCGGCTCTTTGTTCGTCGACAACGGCTCCATGCAGCCGACGGACGTCTACCGCGTCTTCTTCGCCATCTCCTTCTGTGGTCAAATGATCGGCAACACGACTTCGTTCATTCCGGACGTCGTCAAGGCTCGACTCGCCGCCTCGCTTCTCTTCTACCTCATCGAACACCCCACGCAGATCGACTCCCTTTCCGACGAAGGTCTCAGAAAGGTTGCTGATCATCCATTCTTGATTGATAAGGGTTTCCAGAAAATCTCCGGCAACATTATTCTGAGAAACCTTCATTTCAATTACCCAACGAGGAAAGAGACAAAAGTCCTTCAAGGATTCAATTTGGAGGTCGGTTCTGCGGCTTTGAACGATCATTTTTTCCTCTTGTTGCTTCAGATCAAACCCGGTCAAACAGTGGCGCTCGTAGGTCACTCAGGCTGTGGAAAAAGTACTGTAATGGGGATGTTGGAGCGGTTTTACGGTCCAGAACGAGGACAGATCGTGAGTTCCGACATTCTTTGAAATCAGAAAAAAATGGTTGGTCTAGATGATTGACGGCGAAAACATAAAGAGCTTGAACATTCGGTCGCTCCGTGAGCAACTCTGCATCGTTAGTCAGGTCGGTTCAAAAAAAAAAGAGTTCTCTTCTAGAAAATGTTAAGTCTCACTTTAGGAGCCGACACTGTTTGATTGCACGATAGGCGAGAACATTGCCTACGGGTTGGACCGCCCGCTGAGTCACCAAGAGATGGTCGCCGCTGCCCAAATGGCCAATATCCACACCTTCATCTTGGGGCTTCCTGAGGTTTCATTCTTTTCAATTTTATATCCATAATTCAGAACAAAAGAGTGTGTTCACTTGTTTGAGATGAGAATGTAGGAATTGAAACCATTAGGAGTGAAGATTAAAAAGAGAAAGACAGGCTTATTGAATTTTAAAAAAAATCATAACGAGATCGGCCAAAGAGAATGGTTTATTATGTTACTTTCGAAAAAAAAAACTTTTTTTTCGCTTCTACCTTGATCCAGGTATAGTTTGATTGAAAACCAGTAATCTACTCTTAAAGCCCCCATTTTTTCCTATTTTTAAGACCTTTATTAGACCCTATAAGACCCTTAAACCAGCAAAAATCGAACTGAAGGAAAAAAAAAATTATATGCACATTAGTCCGTTCGCCGCGACTTGACAGTTTTCGCGTGTCTGCGTCTCTCTGTTCCCTCGCCGACGAGGTCAGAGAATCATGGATATAGCACGTCAACATGAGAGAGACGTCGAGAGATAAGGAGGGCCCAGAGAACTCCTGCCCTTTCAAGCCGCGAAAAACGGACTATGGAAAAAAATTTAAAAAAATGCGAACACAATATAAAGAGATATGCAAAAATACTGATCAAATAACGATTCTTGAAGGGGTACGACACAAACGTGGGTGAAAAAGGTGCCCAACTGTCAGGTGGGCAAAAGCAACGAATAGCAATTGCTCGGGCACTAGTCAGAGCACCTCCAGTTCTGCTCCTCGACGAAGCAACGAGTGCTCTGGACACCGAGTCCGAGAAGGTTCATTCCCAGCTTGGCTCACCACATTTTCTTGCTTCAGGTAGTCCAGGAGGCTCTGGAAGCCGCGCGGCAGGGCCGCACTTGCCTCGTCATTGCTCACCGCCTCTCAACTATACAGGATAGTGACGTCATCGTCGTCGTCCAGGACGGCAGGGCTGTTGATTCTGGTGAGTGTCCTGAGGTTGTATGCAGTAAAGTTTTAGTTTTCGAGAATGAGATCGTAAAAGTGGAGAATATGTTTGTTTCATACCTTTTAAAATTCGAATATTTGGTTGAAGTTGTTGAGAACTTCTACACACTTCGGAGGTGCTAAAAGCTTGTCAGAGCTCAAAAGTTGAAAATTTCAATTTACCGATCGATTGGATCCTTTTAATTACAAGTTTTACTTATAAGCTGTATCTGATCTAAGCTTCTAAGCTGTTTAGTCCGGGGGATTATTCGGAAAAAAGAGTTCTAAAAGCCATAGAGTGCTAGAAAAAGCTGGTCGAAGATCTACAGGGAACGCTAGACAATTGCTTGTTTTTTTCAGAACTTTTATTCAAAGCGGTTGGTTTCGAAAATGAAAACCTGAAAAAGGCAGTTCTCAGGCGGTTCATGTACCTTTTCGACAAGTACAAAGTTTTTTTGTTGAGTATTTTGATCGAAATTCACAACAGAAGTAAGGAACATCTTTGATGTTCTTAGGGTCTACAGTCTCTTCTCCCTAAAGGGCCCTTGGAGGGTCCCCTCTAGTGACCACTTTACCAAACCCTATTGGGGCCACTAAAGCTTGCAAAAGTGGTCAAAATGTTTCAGATAGTGGTCCCTATAGGGGCATGCTAGTCAATAGTTTTTATGAACTCTATGCGAGGAAGCATTTCCAGGCGCAAAACCAAAGAAATAAGCGTTTTTAAAAGAAATGGAAAGACCCCTATAGGGTCCACTTAAGTTTTAGAGGCTAAGGGGTCAGACCTTAAATTTCTATAGGGAACACCTTGATTTTACCCCTATAGAAGTTTGTACACGATTTTCTCTCTACAAGGGTTCTACACGAATTTTCAACTTTTAACGCTTCACAGAAAATTTCGGTTTCGAGTCAGTAGAAATCTACAGATGGAGAACTGAACTTTTTCGAAACTTTCCTACTCGATATTTTATCTCTTTCTGCATACTTCTCAAAGTTTTTAGAATCCCGTGTTTTTTTTCTCATCCATATATTCCAGGTACACATGAAACGCTAATCCGGACAAACGCTATCTATAAGAAACTCTGCGAGACGCAAAGGATCGTCGAAGATTCTTGATTCACTCCCATATAATTTAATTGTTTTAATTTATCTTCACTTTTTTGTAGCAATAAACTTTTGAAATCTCAGTCGCTATCCAATTGGCTGCCGGCCCCATTTGACTGCGTCGTTGAGAAGAGAAGGAAAAAAGCTAAAGCCGTAGGGGTCATCCGATCCACGCACACCCATCTGTTAAGACGACCCAGTAAAGAACCAGTTGCTTTTTTCGTCTTGATCAGCCGGCTACTCTGGGATTTCTTCTGCGCTCCTGATCGCTAGCCATGGATCGGAGATGGCTTTTCGTTGCTCTCGTTGTCTTGGCAGAAGCCGTCGCTGCACTTCAACGTGAGTTCTTCGTTCCTATCACAGGAAAGGCGATTTTTATCGGAAATTTGAAGTTGCATCCAAAGTCTTGAAAAGGAAAGTAAGTCACTTGTTTTTAACAAGCACCGAGTCGAAAAAAGTCGTCGGAACCCAGAGTGGTCCCTGTAGGGGCAACCTTAGGAGTCTTTGTAGTGTCCTTTCTAAGGAACACTTTACCAACCCCTCTAGGAGCCAATAAAGCTTGCAAAATTAGTTCTTATAAGGGTTTTTATTAGTGGCCCCTTAAGGGGCATGCTAGTCGATATTTTTCATGAACTCTATTCCATGCGAAAAACTAGAAAAATAACCTTTTTTGAATAAAATTGAGCGACCCCTATAGTGAGCACTTGAGCTTTACAGGGTGACAAATTAATATTGAAACCGTTTTTTGTTCGATCGCTGCTTTTTGCACAAAGGACTGGCCATTGAATTTTTTGTTTATTTCGTTCATTCATGCTCACTTATCATGTGTTTGAAGTTACAGCTCATACTTTTCAGTTTTCAGGTAATGGTGGCCCCATCTCCGTACCGTACCGCAATCATTGATTGTGTCAAAAGCAGAATGACAAATTCAGAGATCGTTAAAAAGCTGAAAGTGTCTCGTGTTCTCGTTTTTCGAACTGCACAACGCTATCGGCGTCTCGGTACTTCAGATGACATGCAAAGAAGGAGACGTCCAGTCACCGTCACGACTCCAGAAGCAGTCAAAGCCGTTCGAGAGAAAATCAGACGCACTTCGGAAAGAAGCATGAGAAAGATGGCAAAAGTATACGAAATGAGTCGAGAATCGATGAGAACTGTTGTCAAGGACAAGCTGAAGATGATTCCCTACCGTATGCAGAAAGGAGCCTTCCTCAATAAAAAAAAACAAGACATTCCGGGTGAAAAAGGCTCGAAAGCTGTTCGCTGGCACGAAAGATGGCTCGCATCTGACGACACTATTTACCGACGAGAAAATCTTCACTGTGGAGGCGAACAAGAACGGTCAAAACCATCCGATCATCGCTACTGAATATCAGAGTGCCTGTGAAAAAGAAAAGTTCTGAATAAAACTTCGCATCCGGCTTCCGTGATGGTTTTTGCCGGAATTACCGCTGACGGCAAAACTCCGCTGATTTTTGTGGATTCTGGAGTCGAAGTGAACCAAGTATACTACAGGGAGTAGATTTTAAAGTTGAGGGTGTTGCCCTGGGCCGATTCTCACTACGGAAACCGACCATGGACCTTCCAGCAAGACGGCGTCCCCGCTCATCGTGCCAAAGAGACTCAAGAGTGGTGTCGCGCCAGTTTTCCGAGTTCATCTCGGCTGCTGATTGGCCTGCTTCCTCGCCCGACCTCAACCCGATGGACTATGCCGTGTGGATATATCTGACCGAGAAGGTCTCTTCTAAGAACTACCCAAGTATCAAAGCTCTGAAGACCGCGCTCATCAAGAAATGGGACGAAACCGACGACGACTACCTTCGTGCCGTGATCGATGCGTATCCGAAGAGACTGAAGGCCGTTATCAAAGCTAAAGGAGGAAGTTTTGAAAACTATTCTTGAATTTTGTTTCTATATTGTATGAATAAAATTTGTTCCAAGTTTGGTGATGTTTGGTTGACTTTTGAGAAAGTTATAACGTTTCAAACGCGTTTCAATATTTATTTGTCACCCTGTAGTTGCTAAGGCCTCAGACCCTAAATCACTATAGGGACCACCTTTGTTTTACCCCTATAGAGAGCACTTTTTCGGTTTCTATAGGGGCTGTTTTTCCTCTAATCCCTATTGGGACCACTCTAAAATTCTTAGGATTTTCGTCCAGCTCAGTTGATAAAAGAGGGTCGTGCTAATCCGAAAATTGAAAGAAAGCCAATCTCAAAAAAAGTTTATCACTTGTTTTTAACATCACTGACAAGTTCGTGAGTTGAAAAAAAAATTCGTTAGAAAAAAAAGCCATGAGAGATTGTTCCTCAGCCGCAACAATTTTTAAATCGTTCTTTGAGGCTTCTGACTAATTTCTGCAGAAGAGACATGTAACGTGGATATCGTGTTCGTCGTCGACGTCGGAACTTCCAACGAGACAACTTTCGCAATTCAGCACAATCGACTGACCCGTGTATTAAGGTCATACAACTTTCTAGGAATGCCAGAGAGGAATGAAGTTCAGGTATATTGGAGCACTGGCCGGAAAGAAGATAAGGAGCGGAATCGTCGTGTTTGGCACGCAGCCGAGCACACTCCTCGAGTTGGCGTCCCCGTTCTCCAACGACGTCGAGAAGGTTCTTTGGAAACAGATTTGAAAGAGCCTTTGGCAAAACTCTGAATCTCTCTTCCAGACAGTCAAGTTGTTGGGATCTCTGAAGCTTCATCCGGAGCCAAAACTCTCTGTGACTCGAGCTCTTTATTTAGCCCTGAAACAGGTATAGCCTGTGTGCCACGACTTGGAAATACCAAACGACATTCCGCTGTGCCGCTGCGCGCCTTTGCGAACCTGCATCGCGTTTTTAATTTTTTTTTTCTTCTTTTGTTAAGGTACTCTACTTTCATGTGTTCCCACAGCAATAACAATCCATTGAAAGCTTGACCTAGATTCGAAAGACGCTTCGCGAACGCACGCAGCGGAACAGCGGAATGTCGTTCCGCGAAATTTCAAGTCGTGGCACGCATACTATATTCATGCCAGCTGAACTATTATTTTTCGCTCTTTCAGCTTTCTCAAGGAAAACACCCTACTTCGAGAAAAGCCGTCATCCTTGCGCACGACGGCACCACATCCGATTACGTCAATGAAACACTTCGCGTCATGTTTGACCCGACCTGAGGATTGACAAAAATTCAAGTTCAGATCTTCTCTTCGTTCCCTCGGCGTCAAACTGTTCGTGGTCAGCGAGGGAATTGAAAACCGCGATGGAATACTTGGATACGTCACGCACCGGTCTCAAATTTATTCCGGATCCAAAGATGCAACTTCCTTCCGGAAGTCACTCAGTCAGGTAATCTGTCCTATAATGATGCACATGAAGAGAAAATTTCAGTTTGTAGAGTGCAAAGAGTTGAAGGAGACTTCTGGCAACAAAGCTTTCGCCTCGCCTAGTTTCAAAGCACAGCGGACTTTATCCATCGAAAATAACAACCGTTGCGACTTTGAAAACGTTTGTGACTTCCTGAGCCTCGTCAAACTAGTCTGCAGGTCGACGTCATGATAGTTTTGGACACATCTGGCTCCGTCTACGAGGCGTTTGAAGATCAACGTCGGGTCGCTCTTGATCTCGTCGAATCCTTCCCTTCAGAAGCCTTCGAAAACGGAAAAATACAGGTGAACCTGCGAAAAGAGCTCTAGCAATTTCGATTTCAGGTGTCTGCCGTGAGATTCGCAGCTTCGGCAGACGTCGCACTGTCTTTCGCTTTGAATCGTTCCAAAGAAGTAGTCCTGTCTCGAATCAGGGAAATAGAGTTCACGGGCCAGACGACGCGTATCGCCGAGGCCGTCAACCTGGCAGCTGCAGAAATGCAAAAGGCAAAAAGAGCCGCGGCTAAGCAGGTAGCTCCGCCTTCTTTTCTCCATATCCTTCGATTCAGCTCTTCGTGTTGATCACCGACGGACGGGGTCAGGAATACTGGAACGTGGTACATGCGACCGGCGCTCATCTCAGAGTGTGTTAGAGTGATAAATCCAGGAAAATGGGAGGTTTCAGAGCCAAGGATTTGATGTGTTTGGAGTTTCTGCGACTAACGATTACAACTACGAGGAACTTCTGATTTACGTTCATCAGAGGGATCAACTCTATGTTGGCAAGAACTTTTTGAGGTTTTAGCTGCGTCCTTTGGAAACAACTTTGTAAATTTTCAGATTTGTACCAGATGTGGGAGGCTTAGTGACACGATGCGTGTCCCATAAAGGAAATTCCGGTGCGCAAACTACCATTGCTCCACTTACTCTGTCTTCGTCGGGGCGTCTTCTGGAGAAGACGTCCAAGAAGAGCAAAACAAGAACCACTGAAGTGACAACTCTCTCTACGTCAACAACAGAAGCGTCTACTTCACAAAAAGTTTCTGAAGAAAAGTCAGAAGAGCCCCCCATTCTCATGGCGTCTACATTCGTCCCAGTCGAAGCGAAAACCTCGTCAGACGCACCCGGCGAAAACTCAACAGAAAACGCAGAAGAGACGCAGGTCATTGCCTCAGCGTCGCAATTCGAATCTTCCGACGCACGGCTGGATTATTCTGATTGCGAACTGCATCTTCTATTGGTTCTGGAGACGTCAGACGACAAAAATGTGCTCAAGAAACGCGTAGAGGTCGTTTCTCGGACCCGAGTCGGACTGAACGAACAAGTTTCAGGAAGCCTCGCAGGTCGTCCAGCTCTTCTCTCCGGAGGCTTTGCTATCGTCTGTTCGCGTGGCAATCATCACCTTTTCCAACGGTTCTCGGCGCTTGTAGTGTTTATTATTGAATTTCAGGAGCTCAACTTGTGCGAGGATTCGAGGGAGGTCAGCGAGCAGAGATTTTGAATATTATAACCTCGTTGGAAAACAGAAATACCAATGATACTACTACAATCACTGAACTTTCAAAGGTTTTTTTGTATAGTCCTTTTCTCGCGACTTGAAAGGGCGGGACTTCTCTGCACCCTCCTTATCTCTCGGTGAACCTATCATGTTAACGTGCTATTTTCATGTTTCTCGGTGAGGGAAAAGAGAGACTCAGACACGCGAAAACTGTCAAGTCGCGGCGGACGGACTATAATGATTAGATCACAAGAAAAAGAATACAGAAAATGCTCCCTTTTCAGAAAATATTGTCAGAAAAACCGCCGAATTCTCTTCTTATTTCCATTTTATATACAGATGATGACTCTTCAGAGCGATTGGAAGATTTCCAACAATTTGCGAAGTTTTCCTTTCATTTCTCATTCTTTCCTTCATCAATCTTTTCCAGAGAGACCAAACGGTTTGATGGTTCCTTTCTGTTCGGTCTGTCTACAGCTCTCAGGCCAACCTTCAGCCAGGTGTCACCTTCTTGCTATAACCCGAAAACTCACCATTTCAGGTGCCCTCCCAGGGCTGGTTCAATTCCGCCTCGCAGAGTTTGGTACTCCTGGGAAATGTCGCCAGAGCTGCCAAATCTTGCAAGAAGAAGAACCTGAAGTTACACGGGATCCGCTCCGTCGACGGCGATGGATTCGCGCAAGGGATCAAAGAGGAAGACGCTTCTGATTCCTGCAAAGTCGACGTGATCTTTGTCGTCGACGTCTCTACTAGCGTCGAATCCGATTTCGATGAGCAGATAAAAGCTGCGGCTGGCCTGGTCGTTCTAAACTTACTTCTTCTTCATCCTATCCCGTTTTCAGTTCAACAACGTGTCAGCCTATGAGTTTGCTAGGAACATCCGCGTCGCCCTAGTGACTTTCAATACCGCAGCTCAACTTGTTCTTGGATTGGATTCGGCTGTTTCGAAGTGAGTCTTCTATTCTGAGAAGAGATATCGAATCGCAGGGAGACGTTGACAAAAGAGCTTCTTTCGCTGAAGCTCGCGGGCGGATCGACTTCTGTAGCTAGTGGAGTTCAGCTAGCAGTGAACCATATCTCGGAATCCCATAGGAAGAATGCAAAGTAACTGAAAGCTGGAAGAAAACTCTTGAATTTGAATTTTTGAGGCTCTTTGTGGTGCTTATATCCGACGGAAACAGTCAGGACGAATGGAATACAGTAATCTCGACAGCGGCAAAACTATCGTCCACGAAGGCTACCGTATACGCCATCAGCGTCAGCGAACAATTCGCGATTCGGTACAAAAGAAAAACTTTCGCGAAATCAAAGTTGGAACAGAGAACTTGAAATGTACGCTGCCCTCCCACATCACGTTTTCACCAACGAAGCTATCCGGCTGTTCCCAGACTTGTTTCACTCAAAAGCTGTTTCTTGTTTCGAGCACCAGGTGAGCGTAAAAGCTCGAGGAAGGTCTAATGAACACACAGAAAGTGCAAAGACAAGCAAGAGAGTCGCCGGATTGTGTGGAAGATCTGATAAATCTTGTCCTGGTGATCGACGTCAATCAATCTGAAGAGAGCCTTTCAGCAAACATACAACTGCTCATAAACCTTTTGGGTCGGATACCAAGCTTGTACTTTGAGGTAGTTTTGGTAAGTTGGAGATGCAACCAAATTCTTTCTACAGAAACGGATCCAACCGACTTTTATAATATACAACGATCAAGCGCATGTTCATGAACATTTATCAAACAGCAAGATTGAAGCGTCTGTGGCTTCGGTTAGACACATTTCCTCGAATTCGTCTTCTTCGACCTCCATTCCAGCTGCCTTGAACACATTCAGAACGGTGAGATATAGTCTGTTCAGATTTTAAATGTCAAGGCCTTGCTGAAGCTCCTCCTCCTATTGGCGCAATGAACCAATCAGAGAGTGAGCCTTCCACAGAGCGTTTTCGAATGACGTCATTCTACTTGACATTTAAAATCTGAACAGACTATATAAGTATATCTTTAAAAAAAATGATGGATTTAGTTGGCGACGACGTTCAGTCCAAATTCTCGTGTTTTTGTCATCTTTTTCAGCAACGGTACTACCAGTGGAAGCATTGAGGTGACAACTCCGTTAACTCAAATCACGTCCCGATTTCAGGAAGAGGTGGCCGTCCTACGTTCCCACGAAGTCGTGGCTGTCTCCGCCTCTTCTGGAAACGTTGTCCAAGTTCTGCAACATATCGCGTCCTCACCGGACAATGTCTTTGTCGCTGACGACGCTGCTGTTTTCCCCGCCGTCGTTGCTTCTTACCTTCAGACTTGCCACGTTCCAACGATTTCGACTCCCAAGTTGGCTCATAATTTTCTATGTAAAAAAACAGAGTGTGGCAGGGAGATCGGAAGCGAAGGAACTGAGCTGCAAGCGGCGAAGAACGAAGTGAAAGTGGTGAAAGACTCTGTGCTAGAAGAAGGCTGTAACTACGGGAAGATGGACCTGGAGATTGTCTTCGACGCTTCTTCCTCTCGGGAGGGAGTCTTCGAAAGACAACGCGACTTAGCTCTTCAACTTATCGAAAGCCTTCCCATCTCCCCTACGGACGACAGAATCGCTGTCGGAATCCATACTTTCACATCTGTAGCCAAAAATCGACAACCTCTAACATCAGGGCGTGAGAAAGAGGTTCGGTTTCTTCGAAAAATATATGAAAACAGCCATATTATCAGGTTTTCCGTTCCGAAATCAACCAAATCGAATACCGAGGCGGGTCGACTTCGACGGCCAAGGCAGTTTTGCTGAGCGTTCAGGATCTTCTTGAGAGACGCCGTCCCGACGCGGTTCAAGTCGTCGTTCTGTTCAACGACGGGATTTCACAGGACGAGTGGAGTATCGTGAAAGAAGCCAGCCAAAAACTGAAAGAGACGAGGGCTCACGTTTTCGGCGTGGCTCTGGGAACTCAGGTGAATAGTAACCTTTTTAAGGTCTCCAAGAGATTTTTCAGATTGATTGGAGGGAGTTGGATGCTTACATCGACAATCGATCTTTTGTGTACAGAGACGGGGAAGCGGAAAGGTCAGATTCCACCAGATTCTTCGATTAAAAAGTGTTCAGACTCCTAAAAGATATGGCAGCTCTGCTGAGAGGAAGTCCAGCCTGCGCTGAAAACTTCGGAAAAGCTTCTTTGCCAAGTCAACTGAAAGCGAAAGATACGCCGAGTTGTGTCGACGGCGTCGATTTCGTCCTCGTGTTCGACAACGCCGATGACTCTTGGCAACTCAGCGATTCTGATGTCAACGCAAACCGATTTCTGATCTTGGATCTGATAGGTTATCCATCACTTTGGAATTAAACTATCAAGTTTTCCAGGAACTCTTTCAAAACACATCACACCTTCTCGGGCTCGGATCGCCGTCTTCTCAATGACGCCGCCGGCTCTGAAACTCGAGATGGCCGATGTGACTCAACACGACGAAATATTTGCAAAAGTGAACTGGATAGTTGGAACAAGAACAAACGTTGTGATTTCAGATAAAAGCCATCGGACACGTTCATGGCACCTCCTCATATAAAACCGCCCTGCAAGAAGCGAAGAATTTCCTGCGTCAAGCCGCCAGGTTCGAACGGAAGTTTCAGAGCTTTCTCAAAAAAAAAAATTCGCTTTTTTTCGAAACTTTTTAGCTTAAAAATAAAGAGAAGTTCTCTTCTTCCCCACATAGTCGCTATCTGCGTAAATTTCTAGTTTTGGAGATATGATCTTTCAAAGTAAAAGGTTATTTTTGGTAGAATATGGCCATCAAACGGTTTCGGAACGGTTCTAATCATGAAATTTCGATGTTCTCACCAGAATCTTTCGAAAAAAAAATGGCAAAAAAATATAGCGGCAAAAAGATCCGAACCTTCATCACAGGCTCCGCAGGCTACGACGCTAGCCACTGCTCCACACTACTTACTATCATGCAATGGCTGGGGGTGCATATAGATTTTTTCTAAACGGTGTCACAAGATTAAGGATAAAAACTTTGAAAACTCATATCTCCAAAACTATAAGTTTACGCCGACAGCGACCATGTGGGACCAATTTCCAGTCCATCAAAGTTTTTTTGACCAAATTTATAAAAAAACAAACCCTACGCAAAAGGAACTTCTATGTAAGATATGCTGCAAATTTAAATGATATGTTTCTTTGAATTCTTTTTAGTTCCAACTCGCGTAAAATAGCGGTTCTCGTGGGCAGCGGAAAATCGGACGAAACCCTCGACGCGTTGGCCATGGCAGATGTGGTTAACCCCAGCGAATCGGAAAGAGTGGAAGTGTTCGCGGTGGACACTTCTCAGACGACTGAAACTGAGGCTCTAGCTCGGTTCACCGGGGACCGAAGTCATGTCTTCACCTACAGTCGCAACGCCGAGTTTATGCAGCAAATGCTGGAAATCGCCAAAGACACAGTCATTTGCCAGGTACCTTAACGTTGTCAAGTGAAACTTGTTTTGTTTTGAGGGACCTGAGCAGAAGAAACGAGAAATAGCAACCGCCTTCTCGGATAAGTAAGTCCAAACGGAAAACCCCAGTTTTCTACTGCATGATTTGGTAGAGAAACCGCGACAACGACAACAAACAAACCAGTGGAAAAAAGCACTGCCGCAACACTCCCGACGGTAAAACTCACGACGACGTCTACCACTTCTACCTCGACTTCGACTTCCACCTCCACCTCCACTTCCACCTCAACTTCAACTTCCACCACCACCACAACAACTACCACGACTACACCTAAAACCATCCCCTTTGTTCCAGGTTCAACACATTTCTCTTTCCGAACTTTTCTTTCCCCGAAGGTTGCCTTCTCGACTTGTTGGTGATCTTGGACTCCTCCGGAAGTGTCGAAGAGACTTTCTCCAAAGCAAAAGACGTCGTTTCCAATATTGTTTCCAAGCTGCGCATCGGTCCTGAAAACGCACAGGTTTCTTCTGAATTAATTTATAATTCAACTAGAAATGGATGGCGTATAAAGAAACAGAATGAAAATTAAAATTTAATAATGGTTGGTTTCAGCTAATGATAAGACATCTGAATCATAGTTTAATTTTAAACCACCTGAAGCATTTTTTGAAGGAAACCTAGTCTTCTGTGAGAAAATTGATAGTCAGAAAAGAAGTCGGATTATAGTCCGTTTTTCGCGACTTGAAATGACTTCTCTGCGCCCTCCTCATCTCTCGACGTCCCTCTCATGCTATTTCCATGTTTCTCTGACCTCGCCGGTGAGGGAACAGAGAGACGCAGACACGCGAGAACTGTCAAGTCGCGGCGGACGGACTATATTTGGGCCATGTTGTAACTTTATAACCATTTCAAACGTTATCTGGTTTTTCCAATAACTAATTTCAGGTCGCGATAATAAAGTTCGCGTCTTCGCATAAAGTGAGAACAGCTCTACGATTTGACGAGTCGCAGACGTCGCAAAAAGTTCTCCAAGTGCTGCAAAACCTGAGTTTCACTTCGGGAACGACGGCCCTGCACGCAGGTCTGGCGCAGGCTGCGGAAGAGTACCAGGAGTCGCACGGCGCACGGCCCGGCAAGGCACACGCCGTCGCCATCGTCTTCACTGACGGCTTCACCATGAAGAGCGCTGACGCCGAGGCGGAGCAACTGCGGAGGCTCGTTCCTGACACGTTCGCTTTCGCTGTCAATCACTTGGTGGGGATCTCTTTTTTCAAATCCCAACTTCCTAATATACTTTGGTATGAACATCTTCCAGTTCCCGATTTCTCGACAAGAACTTGAGCGTATGGTTGGTAAGGAGCGCGTCTACACTGACGACAAAGTCCGAGAGTTCTACGAAGCCATTTCCCAGTATACGCGTGACTGCGTCGTTTCATAATTCACCAACAATTTAAAAAAAAAATCTGTCTATGGGTAATAATTTATGTATTTGTGTTGGATAAATATATTTTATTCAGTCATGGCACAATAAAATATCGTTGCAAATCTGCTCTGCGGGCTCGTGCTTCTTGAGTTTCTCTATGATCTCATCAATGTTCTTCTCGATGACCTTGTGGCACATTTCCACCAGGAAGCCGGGAACGTCCTCTTTGCAGAACTTGTAGATTGCCTCAAAAAAAGTTTTCTGACAAAATAGTCAAAATATGTCTCACCTTTTCGACGTCGTCGCCGTGCTTGAGGGCTTCATCAAGTTGCTGCACAATGTTCATACAGAGCCCACAGAGAGGCTTCGACTTCTGAGTCCGGGCCATGATCATTCCCGCCAGGACGATCAAGATAATGAGCTTTTGCATTTCCTGAAAAAGGCTTTTTCATTTCACATACAATGACTGTAAGCATTTAGTGACAAGAGATTATCGAATTTTGTTAGGATTAGAAAAAAAAACATTACAGTTACTATCAAAATCTGTAAGTTAAAGGCTTTCAAAACTTTTTTCTTGTAACATCTGTAATAAAATACACGATTGGAATGATCTTTTTTTCGTTCTGTTAACTCAAGCTCCCCAGGCGCACTTTTGCAAACAGTCCATGCTATGATCATGGTTCGAATCCAGAACTCTGATGCATTTTGCCAGCTTATAACCTAGTCGTTTGCACATATTTTTGAGCGTTTCTCGAAAGTAGTCCACATGAAAATGTCCACAAAAAAATTATTAAAGCCACAAGAAAAAAAATACTGATAAATTTTTTTGTAAGTTCATATTTAGGTACCGCAAGCCATTTCTTCGAACCGATTCAAAAAATATGTTTTTCACACTGTTCGATAGAGGAGACTGTCAGTTTTCATAATCCGTTTAGTTTTTGAAAAAAGGTTCACTAAGAAAAAAGTTATGGCCAAAAAACGAGCGCGCGCGGCGTTCAACTGGAGGTAAAATCTCACGGTTTACCCGCTGCCGCACGCTTTCTTTTTAAATGTTTTTGCGCATTTCTGGACCGTTTTTAAATCGGTTTTTTGTTCTGAGAAGTTGTCAGAACTGAGCTTAACGTTTTGGTATGAATCTTTTGTATAACTATCATAAGAATTTTTGATAAAATATCAAAAAACTACTTAGAAAAAAAGGTCAGAAAGAATTTTTCTGCTTATTTTTTTCTTTTTTTCTAATCAGAAAAAAATTATTATCATTTAATTTGGAAAAAAAGAAAAAAATGAAAAAAATAGTTTTATTTCAAAAATAAAACAGGAAAAAAAGTGCAATTTGACTCCGAAAAAAACGGCTCCTGCGACATTTAAAAGTGCGCATCAGTGTGTTTGACGCAAACACTGCTACGGACACTTGCACGAAATCTTCCGAAATTTCAAAAAAAATTGCCATTTTTTCGAGGTTTTCAAAGCCGTTATTTTTTTCGCGTCGATCGATTTTTTTCATAATTTTTTCATTGATAGAGTTTTGAACGCTTAATAACCTGATCAAAAAGTATAGACGCGATCCTATTCTCTCATGCGACAACGAGGCAGGCGAAAAAAAGGAGGTTTTGGTAAAATTCAAATATAATTTAATTCGCTGTCCCAATAATTATTTTTCATTCTGAATTTTTTTATTTTTTTGAACACATTGTGAGGTTTTTAAATCAAATAAAAAAGTATACCATGTCGCTGAAATTTTTTTCGCATTTCAGCTTCAAAGTTTGGTGTCACTTTACAAGCGTTAATATTTTTTTCGCGTCGGTAGATTTTTTTCATTTTCACTCAAAAAAATAAAAGAAAGTGTTAATGTATAACATACTTAAAAATTTAGAAGCGTTCCTCACTTGGTTTTCTGAAACGCGACGATTTTGTGAAACTTGTCAGTTTTTTTCGTGTTAAATCTTACTTTTTTTCGCTTATTTTTTTGAAAAAAATACATAGTTTTAAAAAAATATTCAGTCTTGTAGAGCGTTGTCGATTACATAGATAAACAGAAACAGTTTATTTTTAAAGTTGAACTTTAGCTAGTATAAACGCCTCAAAACCGTTTCTGCAACAAAAAAATCGTCATTTTGGTGGCGTGAAGGGGAGGGGCTTTGCGCTCCCTATTCATATTCACCCTCTGTTGATATTTTTTGTTAGAATAAGGCTTTTTCATTGACTAATTTATTGGTTTTTCGTTTCTTCTCAAAGAGTTCATCTGATTCACGGCGGGGTTGAGTCATCAAAAAAAGAGTCCTGACACGATAAGAAGAGACAGGGCCACCTTGGTGGAGAGCGCAGACATACCACGCCTTCTTGGGCCCCAAGCTAGCCGTGAATCGGCTATAACGATAATCGACTTCTCTTTTTCTTTCTCTGTTCTCTTAGGTGTCACTTCTGCAAGCTTTAGCGACCTATATATAGAGAAAGAGGAGATAAAGTATTCCCTGAATGGAACCTTCCAAGGTCTCCTAAGGATTTCTCTAATAGGGACCACTCCGGAATTGATCTCCCCTCCCCCCAGCGCGGAGATTTCATTTTTGTTTCCATCGAATACTCTAGACCACCTTGGCCTACCAAGCCCCAAATTCTCAATTATCAACTCAACATTCAGGGGATACCATACCGTAGTGTGTCTCAATTAAGCAGGCTTGTGCGAGGGCCGGCCCGTCGCCCTCCCGGCCCCCCGACCATTTCGTAAGCCCGGCCCGGCCCGGCCTTAGTGGGGCCTCAAGAAAAAAAAAGCACGCCCGGCCCGAAGCGCGCAATTTTTTTCTAGTCGGAAATCAAGTTTTTTTACGACAAAAATTACGTTTTTGCTCATTTTTCCACCTAAAGTTTAATTCTTTTTTCTGAAAATGAGGCCCAAATCCCAGGCCAGGCCGGCCCGGCCCGGGCCGGGCCGGGCCGCCTGGCCTGACGCACAAGCCTGCAATTAAGAGAACCCTTAAAAAATCGCTTCTCGAACGGAGCATCATCATTGGCGCGCAGATTGAAATCGTGAAATTTTTTTTTTGATCGGTGTCTCATTCGACGCGTCATCCTTCCGCTTTTGCTTTTTCTTTCTTTTTTTAATGATGTTTATATTTATTTTATCGAGAGTTGATTTCGGTTCTATCATTTAAGCGTTCATTTCTTTTCATAAAGCAATATTCGAAAAGTTTTTTGCAGCTGTGAATTCACAATTTAAATTGTAGGGCAAGCAAAAAAACTCACTTTTATCTTTTAAAAATAATGGCTCTTCATGTCGTAAAAAATTTTATTTGAGAACGTTCACAAATACAGTTTCACATCGTACATGCCATCGTTTTCTAAGTTATTTCCTAAAAACATAAAATTTCAAAATTTTCATAGAGGAGGGCTTTTTTTTCTGATCCATATAAAATTTGTTCACTTCTCAAAATGTTTTACCTATTTTTTTTATTTAATCAATCTTTCAAGAATGGTTTCACTTGATATAAAAGCTTTTTTTTTTACTAGAGACCTTAGCTTCCCCATTTATCGCGCTCAAATAATACAAAAAATATAAAACTTTCATTGTACTGTGTTAAAGCGAAATTTGCAGTAAAAAGTAATATAGAACATGTGCACAAGAGGTGAAAAAAAAGAATGATTCTGAGCGCTGGTTCATAGCTTATAAACTATCTATGTTTATTTTTGTAGCGTGTTGAGGCAGAGTCTGCGAGTAAACATATATAATCGAAGTAAACTACTATCAAAAATTCAAATTGAAAGGGGATCAGTTTTTTTTTTCCAGAAGTATTCCTGCTAAGATTTTTCTTTTGGGCGTTTCGTATATTTAAAAAAAGTATTGGCTGATTGATGATTTTCTGCCGTAGAAAGTTTCGATTTTTCGGAATACCGCACTTTAAAGCGTCGGCGTCCTGTGACGGGTGACTGTGACCACGGTCATTCAAAACAGGTTCAAGATCAGATTGAAGACGCTGTGATTTGAAGGTCGTGAAGCAAATTTTTTTTTTAGCTTCTTCGATTTTTTTTTCTTGTTCACAGATTTCTATTAAATTGTATTAGGTTTTTTGTCTTTGTATGTATGCTAGGCGATCGATTTTACTGCCCTCTAATTCCATATCCAGTTCGCTATACACGCTGCGACAATCATCGTCACCGACCGCGTCTTTTCCCTTTTTCGCATTTTTCTTCTTTTTGTGAACTTCTTTCTGTTCCCGTTACTTTTCTCTATTAGAACTTCATTCGTTTTTTTTTTAGGATTTTCTATATAATTGGATTCTTTAGTTTTTGAGTTTTATCTAGTTAAAAATTGATTAAAGTTTTCGATTTTTTAAACAGTGTAATCAATATGTTTTAATTTTTCAGATTCTTAAACATTTTTCTTGTGTATTTCGCGCTTCAAATAATAATATATTTCGTTCCAAGGGACGTCCATATTGTCTTTCTTAATCGGAATAATCCTATTTCACTCTTTTTGATGATTTTATATAAAACTAGGCGAGAATTTGATTGTTCCCGTAACTGCTTCTGAACGCATAGATTTACATATATGTTCTACAGAAAGAAAAACATGGGACGTTTCACTTTGGTTTTTCTGGCGGCCACAGCTTTCCTTCTCGTCAGCCTGTCACCAGTTTCTGCTGATAGCGACGACCTTCTCGAATACATCAAGAGCTTCGAGCCTCTGCACATCAGGTATTCGATATTCGTCTGTTTCTTTTAGTATCCGGCGTTCAGAAAGTCTCCAAGCGGGTGCCCCTTGATCGTCATTGGCCAGCAATGTCCGGAGGAGAACGTCTTCTGGTATTTCAAGTGTTGCGGAAACATCGCCGACCAATGTTGCTTCCGCCTACAGGTTCCATTTTCGTTTTACACTTTCGACTTTTTTGTTTGAAAGCTAAAAACTGAATCACGTCATTTATAAATATAGACGCCGAATATATAATTTTTTTCAATAGAAAAAAACTTATTTTCTAAAAATCCTTTAAAAAAATAGGTTTAGTTATACCTATTTCTGGTAGCTAACACAGCTAAATGGGATCAATAAATATAAAAAGACCTTTTTGATAAATTTAACTGTTGAAAAACTCGAAAAAAAGCACATTTTGAGCACACCTCTAAACACTTTTTTTAATAAAAAACCCCCTATAGGGACCACTAAAGCTTTAAAAAACGGTCACTATGAGGGGTTTTAGTTAGTGGCCCCTTCAGGGGACATGATAGTCGATAATTTCTATAAACTCTAAGTGAAGAAGCGAAAAAGTCAAATAGATAAGCGTTTTTTTTTAAAAAAATGAAATTGAAAAAAACCTTATAGGGATCACTTAAGCTTTAGAGGCTTAGAGGTCAGGTTCTAAACTCCTATAGGGACCAATTTTTTTGGCCCCTATAGGAAACTGTAGAGGCTGTTTTTTCCCCAACCCCTATAGCGATCAAACTAAAATTCTTAAGTTAAGCTAGCCGCCGGATTGAGTATTTCTTTTTAAAATTTTTGAGTTCAATTTTTTTTTTCAACTAAAGAAGTCAGCTTCTGTAAAAAAATGTCTTTTTAAGGATTGGGTGACCGTTCTTCTCATGATTTTCGCTGTGCTCACCGTCCTCTCCATCATTGTCAACTGCGTCCGATGCATGTGCTGTCAGTAGGTGTGTGATAATTATCTCAAGTGTTTACCTTTGTATGTTATCGGGACCTGCACATAATCAAGAACAACTTTCACTTTCTTATCAATGCTCCTCTTTGCCATGTTTCCCTTGCTCACATCTTGCCTTATTTCGAAGACTTTCTCATTTTCTTTTCTCTTTTTACACGTTTCAAAAATAAATTAAAGTAGCGATGTAAAGTTTATTAATGACTAGATGTTTGGAGTATCTGGGAAGTGTCGACAAGGACATACATATTCAAATATAAATTAGCAATTATGAAGCTCAGGCCCAAATTCGTATGGTGCAGTCCCAACTTGCTGAACAGATTGCCGTTCCATCGGGACTTGTTCGCAAACAGCTGATTCTAGAAAATAGAGAAATCAGTGATAATTTCGAATCCCGGTTTACCTGTTCTCGTGGCCGTAGAGCACAGAATGACGAACGCATTTGAGCGAATCCCATACGCCTACGCGATAGTCTCCATAACCAGCGAAAAGGATGCGTCCTTAAAAATTAGATTTGTATTATAAGAAGTTGTAAAACAGAGAAAGCTCACCACTCAAACTGAAGTCGACTCCATTTACAGGGAACAGAATAGACTCTTTTTCATACACGCAAACTTGTCGGTCGGCGCGTAAATCGAATAAGCGGCACTAAAAATATTGATATATGAAAATTCTCTTCGTGGAAAGGTACCGTGGCGTCGTCGGATCCAGTAGCGAAGGCGTCGCCATTGGGGTGGAATCGGACCGAATTGATATCGGCCTCGTGGCCTTCGAAAGATTGAACGCACTGGCCGCTTCGAATGTCCCAAACCAATGAATGCTACAAGCAAGACATATTTTATTCGAAAAAAATACTTCCTCGGAAGTTCGGAAAAGCTTAGGCACTTTTTTTCAATAATAACTTTTCTTAAATCCAGGCGAACCATGAAGAGAAAGTCAACGTTGCTATAGCCAATTTCGCGCCAGCTTGACACGTTTTCCTTTTCGCCAAAAATACCGTATACCAATTTAGATCAAAAATAAGCATTTTCGCTTCAAGACTTTTGTTTTTGCTGTCTTTTGAGCAGTTTTGTAGAGCAAAACTTTGTACTTACGGTAGCTTTTTCTTTTCTGTTCGTTAAAAACGTGACCATCTCGCGCGGTACGCACTATATTTTTCAATGAACAGACTCTTTCTTTCACACATCTCTTTTTTTTAGGATTGAAAATTTTTTCAAACGTTTACCTTGTCAGCACCGGCAGAAATGAAAGTGTTGCCGGTGTCGCATTTAGGAATATCGAGGGAGAAAACGTCTCCAGTGTGACCGTGGAAGTTTTGAATCATCTGAAAGTTATGAGGCGATTGAGATGAGAAACCACCTGCGAACCTGTCCACTCTCAACATCCCAAATCGCACAGGTGCTGTCGCCGCTGCCGGTCAGTAGCAAGTTGTCGGATCTTAGGAATGTGCAGCAGCTCATGTAGGACGTATGCGTCGCGACGCTTCTTTTCTTCTGAATAATGTCTTCCTCGAACGAGAGAGGCACCACGCTGCACTTGTTGTCCAAGCCACTGTAAATGAAGACGTTTTTGATCTTTCTCAGACCTTTGCGATAGTCTATGTACCACGACTTGGAATTTCACCAAACGACATTCCGCTGTGCCGCTGCGTGCCTTTGCGAATCTTATTAAGGTTCTCTCCTTGCATGTGCTCCCACAGCAATAACAATTAATTGAAAGCGTGACCTAGATTCGAAAAACGCTTCGCAGCGGAACAGCGGAATGTCGTTCGGTGAAATTTCAAGTCGTGGCACACAGACTATAGTCAATCAACCGAGTGGCCAAGACATTTTCCACTTTAAATTTGACAAAATGAGCATACCCGCAGGCGATCATTTGACTGGAAGGCGAGTAAGCGCAGGCCATGACCCAGGTCGTCGGCATCGTCAGCGCGTGTTCCTTGTTCGTCGTGAACCCATCCCACACGATCACTTTCCCATCCTATAGCGCTCATTTCAAAGGTAAATATATTTATTTTTTCCCACCTGAGACGATGAAACTATGTGGCGCTTGTCCAGCGACCAGTCCATACAGAGGACCTTCCCGGCATGGCCTTTCAGGATTCGTCGCTGTTTTATTCCTAGGTTTCCCATAGGCTCGAGTCGCTCGGCAGCTTGTTGAACTGCAATTCTTAGTTACCAACCTGATGGAGTTTAAATTATAAATCCTTCTAAAATGGGTACAATCTCGGTTCGATAAATATTTGACAGACATCTAAATTTTGCACATCTTATGCGCCCCACTTGCGAAGAGAAAACGCACCAACTGGGAAAATTTTTACTGGCCGTTATAGTAATCAAATTAGAGGCCACTTAAGGGGTGAAAAATTAGTGGTCGGGGGGGGTCTAAGTGCTACTTCTAGACCACTAAAAGTTTTAGTGGCCACTTTAGGGATCAATGGATCAACATAACTGGCCCAATATGTTTGTTTTAAAGTTATCAGAGTTACTGGAGGGAATACTGGATGAAAAACTACTGAAGTGGCCACTAAATGGAGAACCCCTATAGTGGCCACTAAAAAGGAGAATAGTCGCCTCTATAGAGGTGGGTTCAGTGGCCACTTCAGTGTCCTCTTCAAATAGTCCTTGGTGAGACTCTAGCCACTGAAAATTTGCCCAGAGATAGTTTCAAAAAAAATTTTTCTGATTTGGAGCTTTCGCGAAAAATTTACTTAAAAATAAAATAGTAAACTTCAGAAGTAAATAGCTGTTCTTCATTTTTTGAAGAATTTAAATCAATCAAATAAGTTTCTCAAGTTGACGTCTTCTGTATTCGATTTACATATTCCTTCAAATTTTCTTCATTCACTGAATTCGAGCAAAATTTTTTTTGATAGGCCGTTTGCAGATTTTTTATAATGAAACAATACGCGTTCACCAAAAGAAAAAACGGAAATACTTTAAAAACGTTATTAAAATTTTCACTGTGAGACTGAAATATTTATGTGAATTTCTTACAAAAATCGAGAAAAATTACTTTCTTTTACTTTTCTTAGAATTAAAAAAAACAGACTTGGGATATCATTGAGCTTCTGACGTTCCTGGTCGAGTTTCTTCCGGAGTTCTTCCGCTTCCCGTGCCAATGTCTCAATTTGGTCGCCTTGCCTAGATAAGAGCCGGTTGCAGGGAAAAATCAATGGACAATTTGGGCAACCTCGCCGGATCAGCGGCTACCGGAGGATGGGGTGTGGCATTTTCGGGCATCTTGGACGTTCCAGGCCGGTCTCCTTCGCTCATTCGACCTTTATTCGTTCATGGTCTTTTGTAGAACCGAGCTCGAAGCCGACTTCTAAACAACCTTTGTTTCTAGCAAGGCCATCCAAAATGAGTGATTGTTGGAAAGTTGATAGATTGATATGACATGCGGAAGGGACAAAAATTAGACTCTCATAGCAACAGGACCGATACATACGTTTGGCGGCTCGGCACGCAAAGGCGGCTGCGTCGCGGTCAATAGTGTGACGTCATCTCTCCCTGCTAACAAGCGCTGAGAGCGTCCGGCGCCGCTGCGAGCATCCCTCTCTTTTCTCTCGGTCTCTTTATAGCTAATTGTTGTGAATATATCCAACTTTTCAAAATTTTTTTTTTTGAAAGCGAGAACACAAAAAGGAAAATAAAGTTTTAAATGCGCTTCTCGTTGAAGATCAAAGCCTGAAAAAGATAAGAAATAAAAGTTTCTTACTGAAAAATTTTGAATGTAGCTTATTCCACGTCAGCTTGTCACGTTTTTCTCTCCGCCAAAAGACCGTGTACCAAATTAGATCAAATTTCAGCTTTTATAACGGCAAGAAAAAAGGTCTTGAAGCGAAAGTTGGTAAAATTAGACCTGGCCTTTTGGCGGAAAGAAAAACGTGACAAGCTGGCGCGTAATGGCTTATAATTGAGAGATAACTCCTTCAGCTAAAAAAATCCAGATTTTTGTAGAATTAAAATATATCCAGTTTAATAATGAACTATGAAACTACAAAAAAAAATTCAAGGAAGAAAAAAAGTTTATAAAATTGTTGAAATTTACAAGATTAAAAAAATTTTTTTTTCTGTTGTTAAATCCAATTGAGCCGAAGAGAATTGTATTTATGTGCGGGTCCAGAGGCTCGAAATGCTGAAAATGACACAATTGCCGGTTTAATTTTTGAATTTGCAATGTAAAATAGGATTCGATAGACAATTTAAAATAAGAAAAGTCGTCTTGGAAAAAAAAACTTGAGAAATATAATCAAGTCTGGGTCTTTCCGAGAGACCAAAAAAATCTACCCTAAAATCGAACAAATGCAGAAATTGTTGGTAAAAAAATTTCATCTTTGTTCTTGAGAGCTTTCCTTGCTATCGCAGATAGTGAAAAAGCTCTTGAACATTAAGAACCAGGTTTTATTAGGCTCCGCCCACTTTCAGGCTTACTGTAAAAAATATTGTGAAACTAAACATTTTCCTTTCATTCAAAAACCCTAGCGACAAGCTTCACTTTGCAACCAAGTTTATTGCGCCAACTTGGACCACAGTTGCCTTGGCTGACTTCAAAGTGATCAGAAAGATGGGACTTTTGTGAAATTATTTTTAAAACGAGTTCCGTGTACAGCTTGGTGTATAGTCTGTGTGCCACGACTTGAAATTTCCTCGAACGACATTCCGCTGGCTGTGCCGCTGCGCGCCTTTGCGAACCTGGATCGCGTTATTAATTTTTTTGAATTTTTATTAGGTTCTACTTGCATGTGCTCCCACAGCAATAAAAATAAATTGAAAGCGTGACCTAGATTCGAAAGACGCTTCGCGAACGCACGCAGCGGAACAGCGGAATGTCGTTCCGTGGAATTTCAAGTCTTGATACAAAGGCTAAACCTAACTTCAAAGAAAACTAAAATGGTTCGACTTTTTCAGTGCGAAATGACGAGGCTCATGTACATTTATTATGGAAGAACTCATGGTAAAACAAGATATTTTGCAGAAAGATGAAAAAAAAATTGCAAACAATCAATATCGGGAGTTATAAGGCTCTGGACGATGAGGAGGGGCGGGCGCTGTTGACGACGTGTAGTAGCGGTCTTCGGCTGCGTAGATTACCTTAAACTTCATTATAAAAGTATTCTTTTCAAAATTCATAATCTACTGAGCGTTAACTCGGGCTAAGTCGGAATGGCCGCTAGAAGGGAGGCTCAAAAAAGGCTGCAAAAAGGCAGCAAAGAGTGTCCCTTTATCGAGCCTTTTTCTTTTTTCTTGGATTTTAAAGGTTCAAGAAATGATAGAAAAAGAGAGAGGCAGAAAAAATGGAGCATAAGAACCAATAAAATGGCGCAAAAGGCAGCAAAAAAGAAGCCTGGGTCACCCTAAAAGGAACATCTCAATGGAGCATCTTTCTACCCTTCCGACTTTGCCTATGAATTACAAACCTGCTCATCGGTGCGGAAGTTGCGAACAGAACTAGAGTCCCTCGGCGAAGACTCGACGACGACGTTGCGAGTTCTGACAGGCGGAGACGTTGGATATTCGGTGACGTTGGCTGGGGAAGAATACGGAGCGACTGACACTGTCGTCGCTGGCGCTAAACTAAATTCATTGCTCGAAAGTCCTCCAGAAGGCTCTTCGCACCTTTGTTCTCTGCACGACGACGCGATTGTCGGAAGCCGAACCAGCCCAGGAACCAGATACCGACGAGGCACACGCAAGGTAGGCAGCAACACAGCAACAGGAGAAAAATCCCGGCGATTATTCCTATTATTCGGCCTGCATACCAGAAGTCGTCGCTGAAAAAAGAGAAAATTGAAAATTAGTAAACTAATCAATTTTTGCAAAAATATCTCTATCATTTGCATACTGTGAAGCTCGGGAAAATTTTCTCAAAAATTCAAAGTGTGCTTCTCAAAAAGTTTATGTACTTAAGAACTCTAGAGTGGTCTCCACAGGGGCTACCTTAGGGCCTTTGGAGGGTCTTTTCTAATGACTTTTTCACCAACCCCTATAGGGACCACCAAAGCTTGCAAAAGTGGTCCCTATAGGGTTTTAGTTAGTGGACCCAAAAGGGAACAAACTTTTCGATAATTGTTATGAACTCTAAGCGAAGAAGCTTTTCCATGAGAGAAACTGGATTTTTTAAAGGAGTTGAAAGACCCCTATAGGGTCCGCTTGAGCTTTAGGGGCTAATTAGTCGGACCCTAAACCCCTATAGGGAGCATCTTAATTTCACACCTATAGCGGTTGTTTTCCTCCAAAGCCCTATAGGGACCACTCTGGACTTCATAGTAAAGACCTTAAAAAAGTGACCGACGGAGGCCGGCCTGCGCGCAGCTCTGTTACAGACTGTTCGAAATTTCTTTTAGGGTCGTTTTCAAGGAAAGCGCCTTCGCTGAAGGGCGCGACCCGATGCCACGCGTAAAAAAATAGGTCTCACCGCGATGACGTGATATTCTTCAAACGATCCGGAAAGGAATTTTGAAAGAACTAGGCCAATAAATACAGATATCAAACTGACTGGCCAAAAAAATGCGAAACTGTTCACCAAACCTATGAAGAAAAACTACTGAATGTGAATTTTTTTCTTGTTTCCCATCAAGATTGAATATTTTGGGATTAAACAGTCAATCAATAATATGGAAAAGAAGCAAAAAAAAAATAAATCTAAACCCATAGGCGTCAAATCCGCCGTAGTAGTTGCGCTTGGCACGGATAACTTGCTGTCCAGGAAGAGGATCGTCGGCAGACGTCAAGTCGACGAAAAGAAGCACAAGCAGGAGAAATACAGCAATGAGACGCGACATTTGGCGTCTGTCAGGCTGCCCTCGTCGACCTACCTGTATAAATAGAGGTATGACGAATTTATGGAAAAAGGCGCGGCGGTAAAAAAAGGAACTCGTTGAATGGCAAGAAAATGGCGGTGAAGGTGGCGAACCGTAGATTTATTGTGAGTTGCTGAAGCACGTTAGACGAGTCATTGACCGCAGTCAACGGCAGCCGCAGACTGACGCCTCGAAGCTGTTGGAGTCAACGATTCCGGAAAAGGGCGTCGTCAGCCGGTAGAAGTAAGCGACAAGTGGCCGAGTGGCGGCACTTCAAGTCTGGCCCCGCTACCGGAGCTCAGGTTTTCCTCGCCGCTCGCCAAATGTGTGCAACGACGTCAGAGTATTCTCATCTCTGAATGTTTGTTTGCAGTATCTTTTTGCGTGACGATCCGGCGGAAACGAGAGGAAAAATTGGCATTCCATTTAGAGATCTTACCTCAACTAATGTTGCTTGGACACGACCGAACTATCAAAGGAAAGAAATTATACATATAGGACCTTTTTTGCTGTCGAAAGGCTCAAAAAGTCCTTGCTCATAGCCTAATCCATTAAATCTGTGAGAAGGAACTAAATAAATCATTAATTAATTGAAGACTTAGTGAACTTAATGGCCACTATAGAGGATCGCCAAGGGCTATTTAGAGAGGACACTAAAGTGGCCACTAAACCCACCTCTATAGTGGCCAATATTTTCCGTTTTAGTGGCCACTTCAGTAGTTTGTCATCTAGTATTCCTTCCAGTAGCTCTGATAATTTTAAAACAAACAGATTGGACCAGTTATGATGATCCATTGACCCCTAAAGTGGCCACTAACTTAACTACTATAGTAGTTAAGCCTAAAACGTCAAAACCCTATAGTGGCCTTTAAAAACTTTCCCAGTCACTTGCTTACATTCTTCTTGCTACTAGGGGTTCTAGAGTGGTCCCTACAGGGTTTAGGGAAAAGCAGTCACGAAAGGGGACGAAAAAGTGGCCTCTGTAGGGGTCAAATTTAGGTGGTCCTTATAGGGAGTAGTAAAAGTGATCGGAGACCTTTCAAGGTACCTTTAGTGATGACTCTGGAGTTCTTAAGTAGGGTGTGTCAGTGGCCAACAAGTAATTTATGATCTCAAATAATGTTGAAAACGACTGTTCAAACACCGAAGTAAGAGTTTTTGAACAGATGAAACGCTCAAATTTAAAGTTTTCTTCGATAAAATGTATATAATTGACGTGATGAATTTGGAAAAAAAATTTGAGTGATATTGAAATAAAGGCAAACGTGATAAACGGCACATTTTCAACTCGATCCCACACAGTGGGACGATCCATTGGTATTCGATCCAAAGTCTTGCGTCAAAATGTACGAAGGTACGTTCTCGGAAAATGAAGTGGGGCTCCAGATGAATCTCTGAACCGAATGGAGGAATTCTGAGTCATTCAGTTGTCGTAGTGGTGCTAACGACTCTTTAGGGCTCACTTGGAAGAGCCAACATGCCGCAACAAGAGCCAGATTATCTGACTCGGACATCGGTAACGCGAAACGGACGTGCTCCACACGTTTCTGGGCGAGTCTAGGGATCACTTAAGAGTTCTGATGCTACTAAAGTGGTCACTAGAAATGCCCCGACACGTCCGATTCCAGTCCGCGTTACCAACGTCCGAGGAGACCTATTATTTTGCGAAACCGAGTTTATTAACAGGTATACACGCAAAGAACCTGATATGGATGAATATCGTTCTGTTCGCCTTTTCGATGCTTTGTTTCATCGTTTGTTCGGCAACGGTGGTTTTTGTACGCTGGGTTCGTTCTCTCTATTTCTGTATATCTTTTGGATACCATCTTATAAACGAAAGCTTCAAGGCTTATAAGCGAAGGCTACGTAACAAAACGGGAGAAATGGAGGAGAAGTATAAGAACGAAGAAGCTCTGCGTAAGGATTTGGAGCTTCGAGAAAAACGAGCTTCGATCCTTCGTAAGTTTCATCACTGTCTATCAAAAGCTCGAAAAATTGCAGCGCAATTCGCCGGCCACCATGACATGCATCATAACATCGAGGTGAGTCTTTTTCTCACTGATGATTTTTTCAAAATTTCAAGCAGTAAAAAAAAGAAAAAAAAAAGAAATCAACTATAGTCTGTGTACCACGACTTGGAATTTCACCAAACGACATTCCGCTGTGCCGCTGCGCGCCTTTGCGAACCTTGGTCGCGTTTTCAATTTTTTTCTTTATTTTATTAAGGTACTCTACTTTCATGTGCTACCACAGCAATAAAAATTAATTAAAGCGTGACCTAGGTTCGAAAGACGCTTCGCGAACGCACGCAGCGGAACAGCGGAATGTCGTTGGGTGATATATCAAGTCGTGGCACACAGACTATAATTAATATAGAGATCGCAGAGCCGCGCCCCTTTTTGCGATGGTGAAGTACATTGAGTTTTTGGTCATTTTTTTTTTGTTGTTTTCCTAATAGCGCAATACTGAACCGATTCTAACGAAAGTTGGTGAAAAGATAGAGTGAACCTCCCTCTTTTGATCCATGTTGAATTATTTTCATTTTCTTGCGTTTCAGCGGAGTTTCGTACAGAAAAGAGGAACGAATTTTATTTTGCCTGTTTTTAACTATGTTTTCGGTCGTTAATTATTAATCCCAGGGTCAAGAATTCATCAGCCGAAGAATCGGATTTTCTCAAAAATTATTCAAAATTCCGTTTATCAATAATAACTCTACTTAGAAACTCCAGGGTGGTCCCTATAGGGGCAACCTCAGGGACCCTTGGAGAGTCCCCTCTAGGGACCACTTTACCAACCCCTTTTGGCGCTTCATTAAAGCTTGCAAAAATAATCCCTGTAGGTGTTTACTTAGTGGCCCCTATAGAGGACATTCTAGTCGCTTTTTTTCATGAACCGTATGCGAAGAAGCCGTGCGAAAAACTGAAAAACAACCTTTTTTGAATAAAATTGAATGATCCCTTTAGGGACCACTTACGCTTTAGAGGCGAAGGGATTAGACCCTAAACATCTGAAAGTTTTTTAGCAAACCCAAAAAAGAACAACATACCCTAGAAAAAAGACTAAATAATTTCCTGGTCCAGATTTTAATAAATAAAACGTGACTTGAACTGACCCAATTAGAAAGTTTTCTCGTTTCCAGACTCTTGCACGACCCCATGTCGTAGTGGTAGAACGTCAGACTGAAACCCCGCCAAGAGTCCTGGCCCAAAGAGAAATCCCACAGGCGGTTGTCCAAGCGGATCACAGTCAGCCCGTCGTCGACCTCACCAAGGTTACCTGTAAAAATGTTGATGACAAAAATTATTTTTCGGTTTTAGACTCGTTCGGGAAGCTCCTCCAGGGTTGGTTCTTTTTTTTCTTCCCATTTTTAGATGGCTTTTGGATAATCCTTTCAGTTGAAGATGGGCAGTGCGGCTTTCCTCACACAAATGGAGAAAAACGTCAAAAAGTCAGTTTTTCATTCTTAATCCACCTCTTTTTATTTGCAGGTCTTCGAAAAACAACCGAAACGAAAATTTGCCAAAAGGCGGTCCTCTGGATACCGGAATCCAAAAGAATCTTGCTGACAACAACCAAGTCAAGTTCGATGGCATAATACCTGCAAATCTTATTCCGATTGAATTGAAAGAAGAAGAAAAGAAAGAAACTAGTTTGCCGAAAAAAGAAAGCTCGGGAAAAGTGTCTGCCCCAACGGAACCAAAACCTGTGATCAACAACAACAACAAGAACAAATCGAGTGAACCTTCTACGTCGACTCCAAAAGACCGCAAGAAGAAAGTGGCCGACTCTCCGGCTGAGTTCATCGACGGATCATCTTCGCTGGCCCGGCAGCCTTCCTTGTTCCCTTATTTCCAAGGCAAATCTGCAAGTTCGACTGCAAGCGTCTCCACACAGCCGACCAACTCGAAAAGTAGCAGGGCTGTGCTTATGAGCGCCAACAAAGTTTCTGAAAAAACTGGTACATCGAAAGAATCCGCAACCGAGAATGATGCGAAGGTCTCTCCGATGACGACTTCTGTTGGAAAAAGAGAGCCTTCTGAGCCAGAGAGTACCTATTCAACGAAACTCTGGGATAAGGCTGCTATGTACTATCCGAGAGGCAAGCTGAACCTTGAGCACGATGAGCAACCGTTGTATAATAATAAGTGAGTTCAAAAGTCATGAAACCTCAGAATTAGTTTTTTCGGAGTAGCTCGCTCGTTTTTTCATTTAATAATTTTTTTGCGTCTGGTTTGCGAATAAGTATTATACTATATTTTGATTTATTTTTCTTCCCTAAAAAAAAATGAGCAATTTCAATCGACAAAATAACTTTTCTTTCTCTGGTTGGTAATATTTCAATCGTATACGATTGAAATATTACCAACCAGAGAAATTTTTAAAACGCCGTGGCCTATAGGCCTGGCTGGTGGGCGCGGCTTAACGCAACTGCCGCGCAGTTTTAGGAGACGTTTCTCTGCGTAGATTTACGCTCACGTGAAAGTTTTTTTTTGACTTTTATATTCTGTAAAACTTTTCCTTTCTAAGAATATTGTACGTGGGAAAGTTCATCTTACGATGAAGCCCAAAAAAAAACTATGGGAGCTTATTAGGAGTGAAAAATTAGCGGTTTTTTCAAAAAGTTAGTTTTTTGATCCAAAACTTTAAAAAATCGCTTTTACCCCTACAGGGACCTTTCTGGAGATATTAGGCGTGTCACAGTTTTTATTCATTTGAGCATTTGCGTGCCGCAGTGTTTTAAGTAATTTTGCGATATTTTAAAGCTGTCAAAAAAACCTAATATAATATTTTCATTCATTTTCAACTCTTTTATAAAACTAATACGAAGTTTTCTTTTCAGAGTTTCTAGAACTGAGCCGCTGTCGCAAGAGCTGTGGTCGAACGAAGAGGCCGACACGAAAATGCAGAAGTTGGCGCGAGCTCGGCTCGAACGACGTCAAGAACGTCGCCGCCGCCGCGACAACTGCGATCCAACTCAGCTGTTCGTTGACTTTTTCATTTTTCACATACTTCTTCACAATTTGTGATTGATGGGCTCTTAATCTGAACTCTTGCAGTGATGAAACTCCCCCGAAGCGCAAGTTCGAAGCGCGACTCGCTACTGTTAAAGGTTTTTTTTTACATAATTGAAAAAAAACGTAAATATGAAAGGTATTTCAAAAGGTAAATATGAAATTAAATATGAAAGGTATTTTAAAAAGGTAATTTAGAAGGAACCGCCGACGAGAAAAGCACCTGAAAAGCTCAACGGTCAGGATCAGACGGCCTTGTTATCTCTTGTTGGAATAAATGATTGTGCTCACGCGGTATCTCGAGTGTGATAGCGAACGGAGGTGATTGATGGGAAATGACCTGTACCTCGGCCGCCGCCCTCTGCTCTCCGGCGTGTGTTGCTCGTTTGCTCGGCTGCGTCAGTCCTGATGCCAAGTTCCGTCCTTGGCGTCGTCGTCGTCGTCGGATTCTTATTTCTTCATTCCGAATCTCGTAGTTCATCTCCTTACAAAGCGCCTGCTGGTCTTCCTGTCGTCCTCAGTGAGTGCCGACCTTTTTGGTCTTACAAAGAGCCTGGAGACCCAGACGTGATTTTTGTTTGTTTTTATGAGCGTTCAAACATTGATTGGATCGAGGTATCAGTATAATATGTGATGATCTTTGGTTTTTCAAAAAACTTTTAAGAACACAAAAAGTTGAGACGCTATGCCTTTATTTATATGTATATTTTTTTGTTCTATTTCAAGTTATAGATTTTTCTTTTTTTGGTAAAAATAAATATCTCCAAACCTTCTTGTTGCATCAACCATCGTTAATCTAAAGGAGGATAACTAAAAAAACGATTTTCGCACTTTTTTTCTAATTGAGATAATTTTTTTAGTTTAGTTTCCCACTCACAGATTGATCAAATAGCTGAATTTCTTGTATTCATTTAGAAAAAAATGGAAGAAATTTTGCGCTCATCAAATTAAGAAAAATTCTTAGAAGCTTGAGGATCCAACTAAATTGAAACTGCTTCGAAAAAAAGGTTTTTTTCAGAAATTTATTAGACTCATAAGTTTTCTATAAAGTTTGGTAACATAAATATCTTAAAACCTTCTCGTTCCATCTAGCTTAATACAGTTTTTAATAACCTAGGAGTTTTCAATCTGTCATTTTATTCATAGGTTCACGAACCGATAACACGTTTGAGCTGTCCGTTTGAAATTATAGTTAAGACGGAAGTTTTGAAAGTAGGACATTTTTTGTTGTTCATCTACACCTCAGCTCTTGGTCGAGCTTTGTTCTGTTCCAGCTCGCGACTTTTATATCTCGGATTGAAAACCCTTTTCCAGTTCCTGGTGATGGCGGCAGTCAGTTAGAGGCAAACTTGACGGGCAAACCAACGACAGTACATTATGTGTGTTCGAAACAGACGCCAGACTTCTTCGACCTTTGGCTCAACCTCGAACTCTTCACGCCGCTCGTTATCGATTGCTGGGTCGACAACATGCAGTTCGTGTTTTTCTGTTTAATGAATCGTACCACGACACAACGATTTTCTGTTGTTTTTAACTGCGAGTCGAAATAATGTTTGTTTTCCGGATGATGTTCAACATGACGACGGGAGAGTCGACGAACATGCCTGGGGTGGACATTCGAGTGACCGGCTTCGGTGACACGCCAGAAATCGAGTGGCTTGATCCGAGCAAAGTAATATTTCCTTTTTACAACTCTATCTAAAAGAAACCTTGAACTGGAAAGCAAAGTAAAAAGAACCATGTCTTGAGGCGTCATCAGAATTTTAGTTGACTAGGGAATGATCTCCATTCGCAGTGAGACTTTTGAAAGAAACTAGGTTCTTAGTTTTTCGCACTGATTCCAAATCTAGTCTCAAAAACTGCTCTCGAGGCCTGTGAAAAAAATTTAGAGGCTTTTAAAATTCAAAAGTTTCAGTGAGTCCGATCGACCTATTTTTGGGTATATAGTCTTTGTTTCCCTTGTCCCCCAATGAAGTTTCAAATTCTTAACTTTATCTTTTGAGGCTTGAATTTTTTTTCTTTTTTTCGAATCAGAAAATTTCAAAATATGCCTCAGCCGGCTATTAGCAAGTTCTCTTCAAAATTCCTTTCTGAGGGAATTTTCGCGAAAGGGCTGAGTCTTTATCAAAAATCGTACAGAGGACGTCTCAAAACCTTGAGACCTCTTTTGCTCTTTTGAAAAACGCTCAAGAAATTTTGACAATTTACATTTGGTCTTCTTTTGTGAAGAGAAAAATATTCCGGTAGAGAAAAAGGTGCCTCTGAAGCAGTTTCTCTCTGGAGAAAATTATTCGCGGTTGAACAGTTTTAGTTCTAACTAGGGACGTTTTTTACCCACCTGTTGAAATTTCGATGAAACTTCGCTTAAGTGTACTTCAGGACCTCCTGATTGCAGAACAAGAAAAAATTTTTCGCAATAAACCTTATTTTCGAGTTATGAAGCTTCAAGTTCCGCAAAATACACAAACTCTGACAAAAAACGCTTTTCAAGCCTAGTAAAAACCAACAAGAATAATCAGCGAAACGTAAAACTTCAGGCTTCTTCTGGACGATATTTCTTCGACCTGGTTGACATGATGTCTTCATGGGGATACACTCGAGGGAAAAACGTCGTTGGTGCTCCTTACGATTGGAGGAAATCTCCTAGTCAGTTTGCAACTCCATTTTGAGAAAAACAAAATATTATTTTAAGACGAGTTGAGCGATTATTTTGTTACACTGAAAAAGTTGATCGAAGACACCTATCGGTACAACGATAACCAAAAAGTTGTGCTCGTGGCTCACAGCATGGGAAACCCTGTCACTTTGTACTTCATGCGCAATTTTGTAGACCAGGTAATCGCGTTTTTATTTTTTCAATGAAACATCGGAAGTTTTCAATATTCACAATGGAAGAAGTAGTCGTTCAGAAAGTTACAGTCAATTTTTTGTCGTGAATATTTTTTGATATTTTATCGAAAATTCTCATGGAATTTTTACAAAAGATTCATGTAAATCATTAAGCTCAGTCCTAAAAATCTCCCAGAACTGAAAACCGTTTGAAAAACGGTCTAGAAATGCGCAAAATGAATTATAATGAATACAGCGGGTAAACCGTGAGATTTCGGCCGCAGTACTAAAATTTTGGTTTCTTAGCGCGCCACTGAAATTTTCGTAACTTGGCTAAAACTCAATATTTTTTCATAAACTAATTTTATTTGACTATTTGACGATACGCTCCTGCGGATGATGAAAGTTTCGATAAGAAGTTCGCAGATTCTAGGAATGACTTGCTGTTCCAAAAATATGTATCGAGAAAAATGCAAAAATCAGAATTTTCAAACTGTGCTGAGAAACCTAATCTTGAGTTTTCCGTGAAGTAAATAGTTACAATACGAAATCTGCATTTTCTAAAAAATTTTTGTTTTTCGAAAAATAAGAGTCGAACGTTTTTCAACTCAAGTTTTTGCATGTCTAAAAAGAACGACTTTTTTCTTCAAAAGATGAAAAAAAGGGGGTGACCCTAAACTCCTAAAGGGACCGCCTTGTTTTTTTACTCCTACAGGGGCCACTTACTCGACCCTTCTAGGAGCGGTTATTCCCCCTAACCCCTACAGGGACCATTCTGGAATTCCTATGTTAAAATAAAAAAGAAATGAACTTTTTAGAGTTCCCAGAGTTGCAATTTTTCTCTCGATGCACATCTGAATTGCAGCCGTGGAAAGACAAGTTCATCGCGTCTCTGGTGTCGCTGGCGCCCCCGTGGGGGGGCTCGATGCAGATCGTGAAGCTGTTCGCTTCCGGCTACAACATGAACTACTACCGCGTGATCTTGCCGCCAAGTCATCTGCGCGCAATGCAACGTTCTTTCACCTCTTCCGCCTTTCTCTTCCCGAGCTCCCACGTCTGGGGCGCCGACGAGGTTTTCGCCACCACTGAAACAACCAACTACACAGTGAGTTTTCGAACTTTTTGCACTCAGTCTTCATTTTCGGTGTTAATTTTCCGAAGTTAAAAGCAATTCTTTTGACTTACCGATGTTCAAACTTATAATAGAGGTAGTTTTTTTGTTGTAAAAAGTTTTTTTCATGAAATATTCAAATACTTTTTTTCAAATACCTAACTTTTTGCGAAGTTTGAGTTTTTAAATTAAGAATTCTTAAGTATTGGTAATGAATACGTGTCTGAAAAAAATCAAATCTTGAAAAATAGAAAGCTTGCGCAGTTCCCGATTTTTTTGGGGGGTAGAGGTTTCACCAAAGGTGAACCTTTAGATCGATACGAGTAGGTACAGGTAAGCGACCTTTGGTGAGGTAGCTACGGGGTTGCTGCTTATTAGCTACCTTCATGATAACGTTACGCTCGTTAGAAGTCATACCTCGTAGCATCGCGATACCCCTCCGGTAGTACCCAGGAACCATAGAGAGTCGCATAAAAACGACCATACGCCGATTGACTTTGAAGTTGCTACCCGGTAACTACTTGTATCGAGCAGTGAAGGTTTTTTTTTTACCACTATTTTACTTCTTCCTTGAGGTGTCGAACGTGGAGCAGTTCTTCACGGATTTGGATTACAAACTCGGCTGGGAGCAATATAAGCGGGCGGCGAATCTGAACGGCGACCTCTCGGCCCCTGGTGTGCCTGTTCGTTTTACTTTACTATTTTTTTTTATTATTTGATACATGCCTCAGTTTCCATATTATTTTTCATTGAGAGATTCAGGTACATTGTATTTACGGAACCGGTGTCGATACTCCTGAGAAGCTCACTTGGCCAAAAGGGTTTGAATTTTTTTTTTCTCTTTCTTTTGCATTGTGGTCAATATCCCGCAACTTGGAAGGCAATTTTACTTTTCATATTTTACTTGGATGAATAGGAAATTTTTTTTTTCATTTTTTCCACTGTCGATTGGCCTCGAAATTCTGTCCAAAAGCCGCGTCGCTGACGTTCAAGAAACTTAGGGACTCCAGAGTGGTCCCTATAGAAGCAACCTTAGGAGCTCTTGGAAGGTCCCCTCAAGGGACCACTTTACCAACCCCTAACCCTTAAAAAAGGCGTAAATTTTTTTTCACTGAAACGAGAAAAAAATTTTTCGTAGATTGCCGATTATTTGAAAAAAATTTTATGATAAGTTATCACACTAAATAAACTTCTTTGGATTCGAATTTTTCAAATATTGCACCTATACATTTTGAGAATTAACGAGTCAACAGGGCCACCACGAAAAAATCTACAGAATTGCGTTCGTTTTGCTCATAAATCTTGATTGTTTACATTAACACTAGTTGATTGCCTTTTGGGTGGCTGGATGCTCCGATTACCGCGCCAGACGTTCCTCGAGGTTATTACAATATTTATGTAGTCTTGCGCAACGGAGCGTCTTCTCGATGACGCTATGTTGAGTTCAAAAAAAGCTTGGTTGCAGGTACTTCCCGGACTACCAGCCGATTCAGATAAATGGCGACGGCGACGGAACTGTCAACAAGAGATCTGCAGCCGTCTGCGCCAGGTGGAAGAACGCAAACGCCGGTCATCGGGTCAGTCTTCAATTATTCAGCTTTTTTTCGAATTTACGGTCCCTAGTTAGTGGAGAGTTTATTTTAGTATAGAAACACGATAGCATAAGTTATGTCCAAAAGGAAAATGCCATTTCCGTTTGTAACTTCTATCAAACTTCCATGCAAAGAATGAAGTTCTCTCTTGAAAAACGTGATTTTCAAACTTTTTTTATTTAGAAGTAACAAAAAAAAAATCAACGAGTAAGCCTAGAATATATAGGCCACGAGAATTCCACCAAAAAAAGAGTAATATTCTATTTTCTACGCCCTGTGACCTGAAAGATAGCCTAAAAACTTTACCAAGGTCAAACTGCTGCGGATTTTTGTATTTGTGATTTCATTATAACTCTTTCTTATTGAACTTTTTCATGAGACCGTGAAAACGAGTCATTTTGAGATGGAATGAGTGAGAATTTTGGCAGCTCTTGTCGCTCTTTTTTTAATCAATGAATTTTGATCTTCGAAGCTCCGTTCGTCGTCAGGAAAGCAATAAATCGGTGTTGACTTGATTTAATGTTAGAAACATTATTGTTAAAAACTTTGAATGAACGATGAACCTAAAAATTTTGGTTGCTTTTTCAACAGTGCACGGGCTTTGGTGACGCGAAACGGACGTTTCTGAGCTCCAGGGGTCACTCAAGAGGGCTAACGTTACTAAAGTGGTCACTAGAAATTCCCCGACAAGTCCGATTCGCGTTACCAATGACCGAGTGGCACCAAAAGAAAAAAACGTAAACAAATTTTTCAAGCCTCATTTTTCCTCCATTTCCAGATTTCAAATGAAACCTTTCTTTTATCATAAGCTCAGTTTTCTATTGTATGATTCTTGTTGGAGTCAGAGTTACAAATCTACTTGAAAATTCAGAATTTTTTTGAAATTTTGTGCTCAATTCCTGATGCTTTCAAACCGGTACGTTTCCCCATTTTTGGTAGGGGAACTCGATAAATTACTGCCCTGGAAAAAGTGAAAGAATTTCGAACTTCAAAGGCATGAAAGTTGTGAGAATCGTTCAGACATCTAAGAAGACAAAGGTTTTAGGTAGAAACCACTAAAATGACCTCTTTGATGAGAAAAACATAATGCAGTTTCAGGTAACTGTCCACGAGGTGTTCAAAGCCGAACACATGGCAATCATGCGGGATCCGACGGCACTGGAACTCGTCCGAAAGGCCATCTACCAACAGCTATAATATGTATTTTTGAACCTTCATATTGAACATTTCCTTGAAAGCTTCAAATACCCATACATGGTCCGGGGGACGAAGAAAAAGAGAGAATTGGGGGAAAGATATGAGCACCGCTTTTGGCGGTTTGTGTGCGTGTCGAATCTCGACGACTAATTGCATTCTCGGCTTGTCTATATGCCGCCACTTTCAGCTGTCCTCGCGCAAATTTTCCAATTTACAGCCATGGCGTCGTTTTGTTTTGTCATTACACTTGCATGAGGAACAAGAAAAACTTCATTTGATACGGTATTATTGAACAATTTCGTCATGAACTACAAAGAAGAATAATGAGCTTTTTGAAACGGTCTTGTTTGAGAGCGACCCAGGCCTCGGCAATTGCATTCGAAGTGGTTATTGCGAAGAAAAAAGACGATGGAACAATCTTGGTATCATAACGAGTTTACTGAAGCAATATCTTCTAGAATAAATTGCGATATTCGCAGAAAACGAATTTTCCATCGATAAATAAGTCGCCACTCTCTTTAAAAAAAAAGAGAATTTGAAAAAGTGGGATACATAGGTCCAAGGTGCACTATTTTACCGTAACTTTATTAATAGCCATATGCAGAACGATTCAAGGCATGGGGAAACGTAAGAGGCGGAAATCACAGGAGTTGGAAAGGGAGGGGACGATCCAGTTGGTCTATGAAGGATACCGGTGCGGCTGGTAGGAATCGAGCTGGTCGACGTGTCCGCCCATGGACGGCGCCGTCAGCGGAGGCTTCCCGTCGAGCTTCTCCTCTTCGGCCGCTTTCCGCTTCATCGAGGCGACCGCCTTCGGGTTCAGGTTCCGCTGACGCACCTGAAACTGAGAAGTGGGTGAGATTGTGGCGGTGCGGTTCAGATCAACCTGCTCCTCGAGTTGTGTGATGATGGAGACGGCTTGGTGCAGGATGCCGAGCTTGGTCTGGTTCTTCTCTGACGTGTTCGGGTTGTGCTGGGTGCACATTCGACCCAATTCTTTGAACGCCGAGTTTATGTCTCTGACTCGAACTCTGAAAGAAAAGATGTTTACTTTCTGTAAAAGTTCGTAAAGTATCGACATGAAACTTTGGACAGTCATTCTTATAGATTCACAGCTGGTATGGGACACTGAGAAGAAGTGTCCTGTCTGCGCTCTCTATGAGCCAAGAACTATCACTTGCATTACCATGTCAAGACCTTTTTTTCCGTTAGCTCAAGCCAGCCGTGAATCAGCTATACCCACAGACTCACTTAAAACGAATTTTTTGATGAGCACACCCTTGTGAATAAAAGGGTTCAAATTTTAGTAATAAAAAAATTCATAGAATGTGGCCTTTTGATCTTTTTATCCCACCTTTCACGAGCATTGTTGGCAGAACGGCGATCCACGTCCTTCTCATCGCCGCTCTTGGACTCGTCGTCCGAATCCTGCGGTCGTGTCGCCTTTCTTTTCGACGAAGGCCTCGTCGGCATGCTCGATGCGCTGCAGTCTCATTGTTATATTTTCCGCCCCAAAAAAGACGAATCCTACGTGTCAGGCCTTGCGGGCTGGTTCGAAGAGGCTGCCTGCATGATACCGTAGGCCTGCGGGTCGAAGTGCGGCGAGATTCCCGAGGCGGCGGCGGACCCTGGCTGCAGGCACGGCACATAGACTTCGGCGGCACTTCCATCCGACAAACTCGTCTGTAAATCGTTTATTTACTAGGGAACTTTTTGTTACTTTGCGGAAGTGTACACCAGGGCCTCCTAATTCTAAAAAAGGAAAAAATTCTCGTAATAGGTCTTTATTTAGAGTTGGGACGCTCCAAAAGCTTGGAATAGTGCTTTTTTGTCATAATTTGGGTATTTTGCGGGCTTTGAAGCTTCATAAATCGGAAACGAGATCTATTGTGAGAAATTTTTAAAAAAAAGCTTCCTAGTTAGTAACCGTGTTACTCAAGAATAGTTGCGGAAAGAAACTTTCAGTCATTAATGAAAAATTCATAAGAATCGGTCAAAGTTCCCTTTTTTTCATTTTTTTTCTTGAAAAAGAAGAAAACAAATTATAATAGCGCGGATTAATCAAGTTGGAGAGCTTGAAAACGCGTTTTTTTTTTTTACAAAGCCATCGATTGATAAATTCCGATCAATCAATAATGGTTAACGAGTCTGCGAACTGACAGAAAGTATCTGCTATTGAATTCACGCTACAGACAATTTTCTCGAGGTAAAAATAGCTCTTTTGGGTTCCAAGGTCACGACAGAGCCGCCAAAGGGTTTACAAGCGCAAATCCCTCGGCTTGGCACCAGTTCGCTTTACTCAAGGACCTTGACCCCGTCGATTTTTTCGAGCCAAGTCAAAGTTAGGGTGCAAGATGCCACTATGAAAGTAGGAGAAGAGACCGAACCTGAGAGGATGAATAGAAAGCGGCCGAGTGCGGCAGATCGGAGACGTCACCTGGAGCGAACGGGTAGGACAAGTGAGTGTAGGACGCCGCCACCGCTGCACTCGAACTTTTATCGTCGGCAGGCGGCTGAACACATTCTCTGATATAAGGGTTTCCTTCCAGTGATTACCATATACGGCGGATAGGAATTCCAGACTCCCGTAGGATACATGGGCGGCAGGCCTTCTGCTGGCGGTGGCACGGTCGAAGTCGTCGAGCCTCCAGCATAAGCTGACGTCGGCTGCAAAATATCGATGAGATTCTGTGTCTTGCTTGTGCCCACCTTGAGCTCGAGGACATCGTTCGAAGACGTCGGAGGAGCGGCGGATTGTTGAGCAGAGGCGGGCGGCGGCGGAATGACCGGAGGATAACTGGAGTAATCCGGCTCGCCGTTTGTCGAGAGGCCGCTCATCGCGTACGATGGCGGCAGCATGTAGCTACCACCTGAATGGAGAAACTTCAGTAATTGGTCTCGAAGTGTTCTACAGCTCATCTTAGGCTTCCTAGTATTTTAAAATAAGGCCCAGGAAATTGGAAAAAAGGCCTGTTTATTCTCTTAAACCTAAATAGAGTACAAACTGTTTTCTTCGGCTTGGAACGCAGTTATTCCACGATCTCAATGTAAAAAAGCGAAAAATGAAACAATCTTCGTTATTCAGAAAATAGGGACCTCTTCGTCATTTCATTTTTTGTCAATGTCCTGACAGGGAAAGTTTAGATTTTCATGGAATTTTTTTCAACTCGACGTGGCAATTTTGGGTCGTATACTCCATTTATCACCTTGAGACAAACAGAAAATGAATTCAAGGAGGCTTTTTTTCTGACCTGTAGAATGAAAAATTGGAAGGAGTTCGGAGAGAATTTTACAAAACTAGGGAAGTACACATATTCTTTTCATTTAAAATTAGGCTGTGTTAATCGCAAAAAAAGTACTTTACAAGAAACATCCAATAATTGGGGAACCAATTTTGAGAGCCCAAGTAAAGTTTGAATAATAAGTTACCAGGCCAGTATCCGTTGAGGTCCGGCATCTGAAGAGCGGTCGTGTCCACGTACGGATAGTCGTACGGCGACGTCATGACGGCCTCCCTTTTCTCGGCGACTTCTACCTTAAAAGGCAGCTTGAGAAATAGTCGTGAGACCTCGCTTGGCGCCGACAGGTGAAATCGCGACAAAATAACATTACCCGGCGTTTTTATAGACGAAATTAGAAGAAAGCCTACGGTTACTCCATGTTGTCGAATTACATGCGCAAATTCGATTCACTTGGAAAATTATCGAGAGTTGACTTTCATCAAGCAAAGCGGATTAATGGAAAGGTGATTTCTGAGAAAGAACTATCGAATATATACTTGGGCGAAGTCGGAATGGATGATAATGGTGGCTAAAAGAGAGAGGTTCAAAAAAGGCCCCAAAATGGCATAGGCAAAGTCGGAAAGGGTGGAAAAGGCTTCATAGAAATTTTCCTTTTTGCTGCCTTTTTGCGCCATTTTATCGGCTCTTATGCACCTCCCTTTTTCCACCATTTCTTGAGCCTTTAAAATTCTGGAAAAAATGGAAGGCCCGATAAAAGGGACCCTTTTTGCTGCCATTCTGCGACCTTTTTTGAGCCTCTTCTTTCGCGCAAAGTTGGAATGGTGGATGATGGCCGCTAAAAGTGAGAGGCTCAAAAAAGGCCGCAGAAAGGAAGCAAATAAAGTCTCTTTTTCTGGGATTTCAAAGGAATAGTTAAAAAAAAAGAGAGACAGCAAAAAATGGTGCATAAGAGCCGATGAAATGGCGCAAAATGGCGGCAAAAAAGGAATATTTTTATGGAGTCTTTCTTTACCCTTATAAATTTGCCCGTGAAAAATGTGAAGTTTCACAAAAATACAGAAGATTTGATGAAGGAGAATTCAAAAAAAAAACAGCCATGAAGCTTGTTCATAGCAATAAATTCGTTTTTTTATTTGCAATAAAAAAAGAGAATATTATGAATCTTTTTCAAAGTTTTGAGTAATTTCAATCGCTTCAAACTATTAGAATACGTTGAAGTGCAGATATTTTCACGCAAAAATGGTAGAAAAACGTAAATTTTCCATTTTTGGAGCGCTCTAATGTATTCGAAATAGAACAAGCTACATGAAATGTGTGAAATGATGATGATGATGATGAAAGGATTAAAAGATAGAAAAGGTACATTATTATCTGATGGATTCGAGAAGATAATGATTCAAGTCTTTTGAAGAGGATTTTGCCGATCAAGAGATTCAAAAAAGAGGTCGAGAAATTTTCGAATTGACTCGAGCACTCAGATAGCATTAAAATAGATCATGAAAGTTTGAAAAAGCGAATTTTTCTTTTCACGAGGATGGGTGAATCAAAGTTTCAGCTAGAGAAGAAAAAATACAACGTTGATTGGATTGATTTACTGAGTAAAGTATAGTTGATCATGGTAAACCTATCAAACTCGTACATCAAAGATTTAAAGAGAAATCTCAAGAAACGAAAAAATAAATGACCGTCGACGAAGAAGGAAAAGCGAGAGCCGATGGACCAATGGATCGATAAATGAGGATGGGATGATAGAAGGCGTGGAGGGTAGATGTGTGTGGATAGAAGAAAGACGCGGAGCGCCGAGCCGAGTATGGTAGGACGAGAGACGGAGACGCAGACACTCAGAGGTCACGCCTCTCCGCGCCGACCAAGGTCAGCTCATGCTCCTGTGTGATCTACAGCGAGTGGATTGACCCAAGGACTCGAAAGAAATTGTTAAAGATTTCTAGGGCACTAATGGTTGGATTTGAGAAGCGTTTTTGTGCTATAAAAGTTGAATACGCTTCATGATCAAGTTTCCACAATATTAAGGAAGATAAATTGCTGTGTTCCAGAAAAAAAAAGATGTGAAAAATTAAGCTGAAGCTTTTAGATTTTTATCAAAAGATGTTTCCCCCCTTATTTTGATCTTTTCTAGTAGATTTGGGCTGAAAAAATGTGAAAAAAATTCAGTTATAAGTAAAATAGTTCATCCTTACATTTAAATTAGTTCATCCTTACTACAGAAAAACCAAAAAACCCACCGTGGATCTAAAAAATGCTATAGCCTATTCCGCGCCCCCTTGTCACGTTTTTCTTTCCGCCGAAAATACCATATACCAAAATAGATCAAAATTTAGCATCTTCGCTTCAAAACCTTTGTTTTCTGCTGTCTTTTTAACAGTTTTATAAAGCAAAAGGTTGTATTTACGGTAGCTTTTTCATCGCTGTTTTTTTTAAACGTAAATATCATGATCAAACGCACTATACCTCGAAAATGTTCTTAAAAAGGCGCTAAAAGGTCTTTGAGCAGTTATTTTGCTTTTTTTCCTTCCATTTCCTTTGTTAAAATTTTTCAAATTTTGCTTCCAGACGTCCTAATATCAACCATTTTACAAAATCATAAAGATAAGCTTGACATTAGAAGTTGAAAGATGGAAAATGTTGTGAAATAGCCATTTGAAAAAACGGATCTTCCCAAAAGCTTCCTTAATTGCAGGCAAATAATATTCAAAAAACAGTTAATAAAGTGGGTAATAGAACAAGAAATTATCCAGTTGGAAGGTTTTCTGTCGCTTGGGCAACCATTATTAACAGGCGTCAAAGACGGGGCGACCTTGCCTGAGGCGTCGAGGCAAAGACGCCGAAAAGAAAGGTCGAAAAAGGACGGCTCTTGTAAAGCCGTACAAACAAAAAACGCGTTGGCGGGACGCTCATTTTCTTGTACCAAAAAGTGTTCCGCGACCAAAAATGGAATTTTGTGAAATTCCAGCTGCGAAGCGTAATTTCCACTACAGCTGGAAATGTTTATGTGAGTCAAAAGTTGACTTAAGGTATTTTAAAATGATACTTAAAAAGGAAAAAGTCTTACGATATGTGTTCAGGAAGTCCAGAGTGGTCCCTATAGGGTCAACCTTAACAGCCCTTGGAAGGTTTTTTATAGAGACAACTTTACCTACCCCTAAAGGTGTCGCTAAATCTTGCAAAAGTGGTCCCTATAGGGGTTTTAGTTAGTGGCCCCTAAAGAGGGCATAGATAAATAAACTCTGTGCGAAGAAGCCTTTCTATGAAAAAAAAAACCAAATAAATAAGCGTTTTTGAATGAAAATGGAAGGTCCCTATAGGGCTCACTTCAGGGACTAAAACCCTATAGGGACCACTTTCTCGGCCCCTATACAGGCTGTTTTCTCCCCTAAGGGACCATTCTGGAGTGCACAAGTGTTTTAAAAATTAATTTTAGGAAGCTTGAGAAACTAGAGGAAGGGAACTTGGCATGAAATCGTCAAGATATGGGAAATGGCCATATACCTACTAACAACATGTTGATAGACTTATCTACTATTCGCATAGTTGACTTTTATAATCTGATTAGTTATCGGGAGGCTCTTATCCATTTTGGCGAAATCAAGTCTTCTATTTCATAGAGGATTTCGATGATCCTAACAAGGATGAAGCGAGAGAAACCAAGCGCATCGATTGATTGGCTTGTATCCATCCCATAGATGGATATGTACGGAAGATGGGCGACAAACGGCGGCAGCTGAGCAAGCGGCCGTCTCCCTCCCTCGGTCCGTGGTATGTACGGTTGCGGAAGTCCGCTGCAGAGACATCTGGCCCTCGGGATCTCGTCTTCACTCCGTCAAAACTACGAGTCTCAATCGCTTACTTGCGTTATTCACGACGCATTAACGTTTTGTTTTCGAAATTTTAGGATAACGCGAAGTAAAAAATACGGTTTGTCATTTGGCGGAGCTCTTCATTGCGCGTTTCGAAAATGTACAGAAGATCCTATTTTTGGGGAAAAAATTCCATTTTAAATTAGTCATTTTATAAGAATTTCATAGTGATAAGTCCTCTGAACAAACTTTCAATCGAAGCGCAATATTTATGGGCCAAAAAATGCATCGAAACTTTTTTTCCTCCTTTTGAAAGACAATAATGCCAAAGATATTTCTCTCTTTTTTTCGAGTTTCAAGTACCAGCCAGAAAAGAAAGTCTACAAAAGTATCAGTTATAATGCTTTATATAAGCAACGAGTTCAAACAGATCAGAATGGGCAAAAAAAAACAAAAAAATTCAAAAGGGAAGTGATTGGCGGCTTATTTGAGTTCAGGAAAAGTATGGAATTTTCTCGAATTGGAAAAAAAATGCGACTTCAAAATTGAGCTTCAAAACCTTATACCTTGACAAAATTTTCTTTCTGTCAACTGCTTTACTGAGAAACTTTTGAAGGATCCCTAGGCTCCCCCTATAGGAGACTCTTAAATTTGGACCCTTATAGGGGTTCCTGAAACAACAAACCCCTATAGGGGCCCCTCAGAAATTCCTCAGTATCAACCTTTGACAAAAAAAAACATCCTTGAAAACTCTTAAAAAGAAACAAGCCAAAAAAGTTGTTTTCCAGACATGATACGAAATGAGCTATGAAGTTGTGGAGGATGGAAATGAGAGCCAGATTACGGTAGAAAAAAAAGATGAGTTCGCGGGGCAAAAAGAAAGTTTTTTTTTATGTTGGTGGTTCCGTGCGATTTCACTGAGGCGCGTGAAGCGGAGCGATTGTGGGTGGGTCGCTGCAAAAAGGAGCTGAACATCTGGCATCGAGCGATTTCGTCGTCGTCATCCTTCGGTGCGGCCTGCGAGACAGCGGAGGCGCAGACAGGATGGTCGGTCTCTCCTTGGGGGATCCTGCCGCGAAAGTTCTTCCGAGAAGTTTCCAGGAGGACTGTGTCAAGGGATTCCGTGTACAGGGATCAAATCAAAGGTGAGAAGCACCATCGAGGGGAATTTGTAAGAGTTAAAAAACGAAAAAAATATTTCTTCGGTTTGAAGTACACTATAACGTCGCTGGATATTTCAAAATTGAAACATTTCGAGCTCAGAAAAAAGGCTTAGAAAAGGGCGCAGAAAGGCAGCAAAAAGGGTCCCTTTATCAAGCCTTCCATATTTTCTGGGATTTTAGAGGCTTAAGAAATGGTGAAATGGGAGAGTCAGCAAAAATGGTGCATAAAAGCCCATGAAATGGCGCAAAAAGGCAGCAAAAAAGGGGCCTTTGTCACCTTAAAAGGAACATTTCTATGGAGCCTTTTCCACCCTTTGCGACTTTGTCTATGAAGATAATTTTTCCTTTTTTCACATTTTTCAAAAATGAACGCAAATGGTTGCTTGAAAATATTCAGTGCCCAAAATTCTGCATTTCGACGATTTCTTGCATTAAAATTGTATGAAAAAAGTGAAAAATCCTTGTTTTGTTCACAAACTCAGAAATTTTATTCCGACTGAGTTTTGGATTCAGAATCGACAGTTAGTTGAAAAACTCGGAACCTTTTTGGAGCCGCAGACAACAGAGGAAACTTTAATTGCCCTGTAATTAAATGGTCGGAATAGCAAATCGTCCTGACGAAAATACCAAGCGGAAAAAAAGCCTTTGAATATCTGGTTTTTTCGATTGAATTGGTTGTCTTTTTGAAAATTGATAAAGTCGGTAGGCGACGGAAACAAGCCCTGACCACCCGCAAAGCTCAGAAACGGGAAGCGTCGATTCAATTGAGGTGTGAAGACGACGCACGCGCCATTTTCGAATTCGCCCTCCATTTCGGCGCCAAAAACGCGACCCACTGCGAACAACGATTGTTTATCGAAACTGTGAGGACAAAGAGATTTCTGGGGGGCCTCAATGGCGACTTCGGCGGGAGTAGCGGTCGCGCTCCGTGTAGACGTTCGACCGAGAAGGACACGGACAGTAGGAGGCGTCGTTCCCTGCAAAACATTCCACGTTCATTCGAGCAAGAATTTTCTCTTTTTAAATATCATTCATTTTTCCGACGTATCACTTGTTTCGCAAATGGGGACTGTTCTGCTCGAGTTTATCGTTTTTCGGTTTTCTTAGGAATTCCAGAGTGGTCCCTATAGGGTTTAGAAAAGAAAAAAAGTTCTATGGGACCGAAAAGTGGTCCCTATAGGGTTAAAAAGGTGGTTCTAAAGAGGTTAGGGAGAAAAAAAGCCTTATAGGGGCCGAAAAAGTGGTCCTTTTAGGGGTAATATAGAGGAGCTTCCTATAGGGGTTCGAAGGAAAAACAGTCCCTATCCAGGCCCGAAAAAGTGAACCCTATAGGGGTTTAGGGTCTTAGCCCCTAAAACTCAAGTGGTCCCTATAGGCCCTATAGGGTCTTTCAATTCCATTTTATTTAAAAAAACGGTCATTTATTTAGTTTTCGCTTCCTCGCATAGAGTTCATAAAAATCGACTAGTATGTGTCCTATAGGAGCCACGAACTAAAACCCTGTAGGGACCACTTTTGCGAAATTTAGCGGCCCCTATAGGTGTTGGTAAAGTGATCTCTAGAGGGGACCCTCGAAGAACCGCCCCTATAAGGATCACTCTGGAGATTCTAAAATGGTTCGATGGAAAAATTGGATGCGACTTTTTCAACCGGTTGAAATCACAGAAAGAAATTTGAATTCATTTTTACATTTGACTCCTTAAAAAAGTTCAAACAAATGGCACTCACCAGGCATTCCGGGTTGTCCGTTGGGGCCCGGAGATCCATCGCTTCCTCTGTTTCCCGGATATCCAGACTTTCCTTGTGGACCAGGGAGTCCCGGTGACCCTGGTCTTCCGTCTAAGCCGCGATTTCCCGACTTTCCAGGACGCCCCTGAGCTCCTGGAATTCCAGGGCCGCCTGGAAGGCTTCTGACACGTCGTCCGTCTCTTCCAGGATGACCCGGCTGGCCTTCGCGTCCTGGTCGACCAGGCTGTCCGGCTTCGCCGATTTCTCCTTTGAGACCAGGGCGACCTGATTGGCCTTGGCGACCTGGCATTCCTGGCTTTCCGTCTGGTCCTGGTCTGCCCAAAGGTCCGGGCTGGCCCGGCTGTCCAGGAGGTCCTCTGGGACAGCGTATGCAATCTCTCGATGGCGAAGGACAGCGGATCGGCTCGAACACGTGATAATTGTCGCGACCTGGCGAGCCACGGTTGCCTGGCATACCAGGGGGTCCTGGATTTCCTGGAGGTCCTGAAAAAAAAATCGATCGTGAGATTTCAACTCCAAAAAAAAAACCTGGAGGGCCCGGAGGACATCGCGGCTTGACCGGCTCACACTGGCACCACGAAGGCAGGCCTCGGTAGGACTGACGCTTCGTGCGGAACACACTTTCGAACGAGTTGTGCCGCGGAACAGAAGGCGGTGAGATGGCGATCTGCACGTCCATCATCTCCGACCAAGCAGAGTCTGTTTCCGTCCGGAAAACTTGCACCGTATCGACAACCTGTCAAGTTTTCATTTATTGGGTGTTTTTTGTTGCCTTTCACGACTGAATTAGAGTTTCGTACATGAATTTGAGACCGTAAATATATTGGATTGTCTTTTTAGTTCGTTCATATACCAATTTTGATTCGTTTGTTTCAAAAATAGTTCACTCTGGGACTCCAGAGTGGTCCCTATAGGAACAAACTTAGGGACCCTTGGAGGGTCCCTTCTAGAGATCGCTTTACCAACCCATATAGGGGCCACTAAAGATTGCAAAAGTGTAAAAGTGGTCCCTGTAGAGATTTTAATTAGTGGCCCTTATAAGGGATATTCTAGTCAATACTTGTTGTGAAAGCATTTCCATCGGAAAAAAAAACTGAATGGATAAGCGTTTTTTGAACGTAATTGAAAGTCCCCTATAGTGTCCACTTGAGCTTTAACGGCTCCTCAACCCCTATAGGGACCACTCTGGAATCCCTAAGTACATGTTTCTAATCAGTTATCGATTGTAACTTTTTTTCTACCCTAAAAGTGAGAAACCTTTTCGAAATTGAGATTTTTCTCTACCATTTTACGGAACCAACCTGGTCATGGATCTCGTTCAATTCCTGGAAAAGCTCCGGGAGCACAAAGAGACAAGCGAAGAGAGCCAAGGTGGAGGCGCCAGCGGCGACGCCGACGGCAAGCTGCTCCGAGCTCATCGCAGCGATATCGTCCGTCGCCCGGGCAACCCTTTATACCGTGACTTCGGACCGCCCATCTCCCGTTGGGGGGTGCAACTCCGACGACCTGTTCCGCGCCACTTGAAGCCGTTCGCCCGACAGTTACTTCTACCTCGACCTCGTTCCCGGTATTCCAATTACGACGCTTCTCGCTTTCTTTCACCGTGTGCACTCTATTCTGCCGAGCCCCAATTACTTTTCGTCCACAAAGGAAGTGAGAGAAACGGTTCCAAGCTTAGGAATTCCAGAGTGATCCCTATAGGGATTAGGGTGAAAACAGCCCCTCAAGAGGTCGAAAAAGTGGTCCCTATAGGGGTAAAATCAAGGTGGTCCTTATAAGGGTTGGGAGTGTGATCCCATAGGCTATGGGATCACACTATGGGCCATAGCCGCTAAAGCTTAAATGGTCCCTATAGGGATTTAGGATCAGACCCCTTAACCCCTAAAGCTTGATTGGTCCCTATAGGGGTCTTTCAACTACATTTTTAAAAAACTCTTATTTACATTATTTTTCGCATGGAAACGCATATAGTACATGAAAATTATCGATGGAACCTACAAGAGCCCCTAAGGTCCCCCTAAAGGGACCACTCTGGAGGTCTTATGAATCTCGAAAAATTCCCAATTCGACCTTCTTTTCTGAAAAGGTTCACAGATTGGTTCCGAAAAAAAACTGCAAATATCAAGTTTCTTTATTTTTCGAAGTCCAATAAAAATTTTGGGTTTTTGGTGTTGCTGAAAAAGTTTTCAATCGAAACACAAAGTTTGAACGTTAACTTTTAAGTTTCCTCGAGTTAAACTTCTTTAAAAATATTTATACGGTATGTCTTTTTTTCTAGTAGAAGATCATTTTTTTAAGCTAAAATGAGAGTTTTTTTCTTAAAAAAATACGTCATTTATCATATAAAAAAAGCTCTTTTTACTTTAAAAAAACTTATAAAAAAGTACTTCCAAAATATGACTTCGAAAAGGCTATTGAAACATCAAAAAATGTGAAACCGGTTTGACCTCGATATTCCTTTAATCTCAGCACTCAGCAACTAATTGCACAAGGGAAGCCGTAACTGTTCACGATTTCTACCGCCAATCATCGTCATTACACCCCCAGGAAGCCGTTACTTCTTACAGTGGGCTGGAAGGCGTCGCAAACGAGCACAAAGGCACTCGACGGCTTTTATGAGTGGCGGTTATGAGCGCTGTAACCGCAGTTCAACCAACCATTCACTCAATTTTGCTTTTTTTTTTCCCCGGGGTGCTGAACCATCTTTACTTGAGCTGCACCGTTTTCTATCTTTTTTTTTGAGATTGACGATGAGAAGTCTGGGGGCATCGAGTTAAGGATTTAGACTTTTTGGGTTGGTAGTCCTGCGAAGGAGTACTCGGAATCGAAAAGAATAATATGCTAGCTCTTCAGAGAACCAAGAAGGGTTTCTAGGAGGTTTTTTTGAGCCTACCATTTTTGATGGAGGCCTAGACGGGCCGGGAAAACGATGAGACTCCGTGCGCGGGCTTGAGAAAAACTTTGAAAAGCAAAATTCCTAGACGGCTTGTATTGTTCAGCACGTTTTTTATTTCTGATTCCGATTACTCTTACCTAGGCATACTATCCCAAAAGCCGGCCGCCGATTGATCTCAAATTGGCTATCCGGTTGCCACTTGTATCTTTTTCCCGATTGATCTCTGGGTCTTGGAGATGTAAAGACTTTAAGTCTTGGAAAGTCTTGGAAAGATCGATATTTTTTCGATACCAAAGAATCAAAACTCAATGCAAAGCGGTTATAAGTCTCTCAGCGTGTCGTAAGATTTGCGGAGGTAGACAACCGAATCGAAGAAGTTGACGGCACCCCGTCGTTTTTGTTCTCACGGAAAAATAACTTCATCAAAAAAAGATTTTCAATGATCACGGCCGACGACTCAATTTTAAAGGAGCTCGCGGTTCGCTGCGGAAAGATCACTGTCGAACGAATCGGGGTATCCACAGAACTAGCTATCCGAGTGCATTCCCAACTCCGATCGGGAAATGCTAAAGGTCAATCAATAAACAGCATACAGAATTTGGATTCGCGAGGGCTAAGGAAGCTCGAGAAGTTGCAGCCGGATAACACTTCGAAAGCTATCTCAGCAACCCAAATTTCTAAAATAACTTCGAGCTCCAATATTGCTATGGTTGGATAGCTACTCCAATTTATTTATTCAACATCTTAAGTTTTTAAAATAGGTCTCAACCTATCTCAACGCGTACCGTATTCATTGACTGACTGTGTGAACCTCGATTGACCTTTAAAATGATAATAGTTTATTCACTGCCGATTTTCGTCTTGCAAAAATGTTCCAAATTTGGGGAAAAATCATCCGAATCCGTACTCATTGGAACCAATGGTGTATATATCATTTCATACGCATTCATTGAACAAACGAAGATAATTTTGAATTTCGCATAAATTACTTCGAACGAGCTTGTTTTATAGTTTTTGAATTGACTATGAGAGTTTACGATGGGCATAAAATAAAAACCGAATAAAAAAATACGATTTTTTTACATGAAAAGGAGTGAATTTTCAATTAGTACTTTTGCAAACCTCTGAGTCAAATGTTCAGTTTTTCCTTTCTGAAATTTTTTTCTGCCCGTTTTCAATGTTGAAACCTATTCGCAACCAGCTCAAATTTTTTTATTGAAAAATAAAAAAACGTTTGAACGATGAATAAGATTATTTAAGAAAAATAATGTTTTGAAAATTGCTGTTTGGACAGATGCGATCGAGAGAGACAAGGGGGTGAAAGGCAGGCTGGTTTGACGATGTGTCTCTATCGATCTGACGATCGCCCGGAGAAGACGTCGACGACTCCAAGTTCGACGTCTTGCACAAAACAATGAGCGGCGTCGCTGCACTCGACGGCGTTGACGATCGTGATGTTCCGAAAATGGAGCTCCTCGCCGCCGCGTTCAACTCCGACACCGCCAAGGTTTTCTTTGTTCATTTATATATTTTTCAAAAAAAAAATAAATCGTTGAAACGCTTATTTTAGTTACGTAATTTGTCTCCGAAATTTTTTTCATTTTCTATAACGATTAATTCCTTTCTGGTCAGAGCGCTTTTAGAATATTAATATTGTATAACTTTTTTTCCGGCAATCACCGGAAAAAAATTAAATCCAGAAAAATTAATTTTATTTATAATAAACATTCAATCTCGCTTTTTGCGCGTCGCTTTTCATGCATCGCGTGCATTGCGTACAACATATTATAATTTACGCCGTTGTGGTGGGTGTGGCGTCGATTTGTTTTCGACATGACTTTTAAACTAACAAAGAACATTTTTATGAACTTTCAATGCTCGTACCTTTCCGACAGTATCTTTAGTGTTATAAATTCATGAATAATGCTCGATTCTGTTTTTTGTAAAGGTTAAAAAATCTAAACAGAAATCAAGGCTTATGTTTTAAAAGTGCATAAACGGAAACAGTAAAAGTAAGAAAATATTTCCACAGTTGAAGTTTCAAAACTTGAAAATGAGAAGATTGCCGAGCTTCTGAGAACCGGCGTACACGTTGACGCGACAGACGACGACGGGGTCACGGCTCTTCAAATCGCCGCGTCAAATGGAAACAATTCTTTGGTAGCGAAGTGTTGCGTGGCTATTCCCAAGTTGTGCAGGTGGTTTTTCTGCTGGAGAGGGAGGCCGAGATCGACTCGTGCAATCAACTCGGCATGACTCCTTTCCACCACGCTGCGCGCGAAGGCAAGCTCAACGTCATCGACACTCTTCTGCAGCGTGGCGCCGCTTTCAATAAGCAAACGTTAGTTTATCACATTCGAATTTGGTTTTTTAAAAAAATTCGAATATTCTCTGAAAAATGTGTTTCAGCCTCTATTCGTATAGTGCCACTGATTTTTGAATATTTTGTCTTTTCAAAAGAAAAACTTCTTTTGACACTGTAATTAGGTACTTCACAGTGGTTCCTGTTGGGGTTAGGGAGAAAACGGTACCTTTAGGGGCCGAAAAGTGGTCCCTATAGGGGTGAAATCAAGGTGGTCTCTAGGGAGGTTCAGTATCGAACCTCTTAGCCCCTCAAGCTTAAGTGATCCCTGTAGGGTTATTTCAATTTTAATCAGAAGCGGCTCAATTGTTTAGTTTTTTGATAATGCTTCTTAGCATAGTGTTTATAACAATCATCGGCTGGCATGTTCCCTATAGGGGCTACTAGCTAAAACCCTGCATAATAGGTATCTCGGAGCGAACGCTCTGACGTTGGCAGCGGCCGGCGGCCACACCGACGTCGTCAAGAAACTTCTCGCCATCGGAGTCGAAGCCTCTCCGCGCAACCGCTCACTCGCCCCGACACCACTCATCGCAGCGACGGCTTCTCGCAACTCGCAGATATGCGGAATCCTCACGCAACGGTAGCTCGAATCGTCGACTTGTAAACGGTTCATTAGAGGTGCTCCGATCGACGAAATCAAAGAGGCGTTGATGGGTCTCTCGGCGCTTTCAACGGCGATCGTCTGTACACCGGGATCCTACATGGTCTCCTCTCTTCTCGATCTTGGCGCCAATCCGGACAAAAAGTGAGAGACTTCTTCTTTTCCTATTATCGAGAACTCTAGGTCGCTCTGGCGCAAGTCAGCGATTGAGCTCGCCAAAGCATTCAAAAGGATCGACGTGGTCAATTTGCTGTTTGAAAAACGCACCAGACATAGAGGTTTGCAAAAAAAGAAGTTGAGTCAATCTCCAAAATTGTGACGTCTTAGAATGGTGAATAACTCGGATACAAGATCTATTGCGAATAATTTTTTTCTGGGTTCAAGAGGTCCTGAAGTACACTTTTTCGTCAAAAGCTCAGCCAGGGGGTTCCCAAGTTAGTAAAGGGGAAGGAGGAACGTTCCCAAGTTAGTAAAGGGGAAGGAGGAACGTTCCCTAGTTAGTAAAGGGGAAGGAGGAACGTTCCCAAGTTAGTAAAGGGAAGGAGGAACGTTCCCTAGTTAGTAAAGGGGGGGGGGGCGTTCCCTAGTTAGTAAATTGGAAAATCAGTTTTATCTGATCAAGTTTTTCAGTCCACAAATAAAACCAGTTAGAATGTCGTAAAAAGGAATATTTTGGAAAGAAAATTAGTAGATTCTACTGTTTATTTTGAAGTCTCAGAGCCCAGCGGGAATCCGCAGATCCGACAGTCCATCTTTGAGGACAAGTTGGACTCTGTCGGCAACGTCATCCATCTGGACCAGCCATCGCCTGACGGCTGCACATTCCTCATGTTTGCCACCACGGTCCGGAGTCTCTCCTCCGTAATGAACTGTTCGTGGAATACGATTATTTTCTTTCTTTTTAGATGAGAAGGCTCCTGGATCTTCGTGTAGATGTCAACTCTCGAGACGCCATGCACATCAACGCGCTTCAGATTTCTTGTTTGTTGCGGTAAATCTTGCAAGTTTTCTTCTTTAATCCATTCTTCTCAGTTTCGATGAAGGATCTCTGCTGTTACTGGCTCACGGAAGTCCGACTGTCGAAGTCAATCGCTACTCTCTCACTGCTTACGACCTTTTCATGCTTTCCAACGGTTTCATTCCACGTTTCTATAGTCTTTATGCCACGACTTGGAATTTCACCGAACGACATTCCGCTGTTCCGCTGCGTGCGTTCGCGAAGCGTTTTCCGAATGTAGGTCACGCTTTCAATTGATTGTTATTGCTGTATGAGCACATGAAAGTAGAGTACCTTAATAAAAGAAAAAAAAATTAAAAGCACGACCAAGGACAGCGGAATGTCGTTCCGTGAAATTCCAATTCGTGGTACACAGGCTATATAAACGGGTCAACCAAACTTCCTTCAGAAAGCTCGGAATCTGCACTACGCAAGCAGTTGAACCCCTACAGAGCGCACCCTCCGGAACTGAGACTTTCATTGAGCCATTCTTCCTCAACTCTTCCCAAGGTTTTTGTCTGCAAGGTTCCTTCTGATTTTTTTTTTCTTTTGAAGGAATGGCTATCTCGCGTTTCATGGCCAATCGGTTTGATTTCCAATGATCGGAGTAGTGACGGAAGTCGCATAGAAACGAAACAGTGGCTGGATGCGTTTTCGAAGTGGCATCCATCAAAAGAGCGGAATCCATCGGTATGCCCCCAGAACGACAAAATAATAATGAAGAAATTCAGAGACTAGTGTTGGTTGACGACGTTCTGCGAGGAACCAAAACATTGAGGATTCCTGAGAGAAATGATCTGGACGCCGTGACTGACACTATGCGTGGCATGATCGAGGTTTATTTTTTGTTTTACCGCTTTCTGAAGAATAATTTGTCTCATTTGTCTACGAATCAAATTCGAAGTTCTAGTATAGTCTGTGTGCCACGACTTGAAATTTCACCGAACGACATTCCGCTGTTCCGCTGCGTGCGTTTGCGAAGCGTCTTTCGCATTAGGTCACGCTTTCAATTATTTGTTATTGCTTTGGTAGCACAGGAAAGTAGACCTTAATAAAAGAAAAAAAAAAATTAAAAGCGCGACCAAGGCTCATAAAGGCGCGCAGCGGAACACCGGAATGTCGTTCGGTGAAATTCCAAGCCGTGGCCCACAGACTATATACCAATAGATTCTGAGAACTTGAGTAAAAGAAGTTTACCAACGACCGAATAAAAGTTTTTTTTGGAGTAATCTCATGTAAATTTGTAAAAGAAGGTTTTCAAATGGTTTTCGACTTTTCGAAATCTCTACTCTTTAATTTCACTTGTTCCAGGACGCACATTCCTTTCTGTGTCCTAGCTTTTTCGACGCCTACGGCCTAAAAGAAGACTTGAAAAAAGGACAGGAAGAACTTCTCGTCTATCACAAGCATTACGACATTGCCCAATATCATGCCCATACATCCGTAAGTCCCCAACTCGTTATCCTTTCGAAGAAAAATACAGTGGCCGCGTAGGGATACCAGTCGAATCGGCGATGGAATCCCCGGAACTCTTTGGTTTTGCACCGAAGAGAAGGATCCGATACGACAGGTGCTTGATGTCCAAACTTCAAAACTCATTTCTGGCATGTAGTTGAGCGGAGGAAGCCACGTACTATCGCCTCTGTGGAGCTGCCATCGCAGAACCAGATGCGAACGACGCCAAGGATGCTGAAGAAGTCGCGGGAGTCGATGATTGTGGACGAGTCGAGTCGTCTCTACCGCAGGTGTGTGTGTGCTGAGTCGCGTAGGACACGCCGTTCAGGTCTACGTCTGCCGCCCAGCTCGTCCAGATCCCCACGATTCTCTCGGCGGCTCCTCTCCGCGCTCGGCCTGTCGGCGTCCCTGTCACTGAAGGTCATCTGGCCGCTTTTCACTGTCCATCCGTTAATTTCAGAGCAAATTTGGCAAACAATGTGCAAATACGGACTGAAGGAATATGTTTCCGTATTGCAAGACGAAGAGATTGACAAACAGGTAACTTTTGCAATTTCAAATACTAATCCTTGTAGTTTTTCCATCTCTCAAGACAAAAGATGGATCATAGACAAGTTTCAGTGAGTCTAATGAAGAAAGTGTTCTTGGGAGATTTTTTTTTACTCGACTGCCAACTTAGGAACTCCAGAGTGATCACTATAGGGGCAACTTTGGAGACCCTTGGGGGTCCCTCTAGGGACTATTTACCAACCCTATAGGGGCCACTAGGAATTGCAAAAGTGGCCCCTATAGGGGACATGCGATTCGATAATTGTTATAAACTCTGAGCAAAAAAGCATTTCGATGGGGCAAACCAAATAAATAAGCGTTTCTTTAAATTAAACTGAATGACCACCATAGGGTCCACTTGAGTATTAAGAGCTAAGGGGTCAGACCTTAAACCCCTATAGAGACCACTTTTTTGGGTTTTTTTTCCTCCTAACTTCTATAGGGACCACTCCGAAAAAATATATAAACAAATTTTTTTTTGCTCGACTCATCTCGCAAACAGTAGAAAAAGAGCCTATTCAAAAATTTTCAGGTTTTCTTCTCATTGACGGACGAAGACTTCAAGAACCTCGGTATAAGAAATTCGAAGCATCGTGCCGTCATCGTTGAAATCCAAAAAGCCCTTCTGAACACTTCCTAGTAACGGCTTTCGAAGCACAACATTTTTTTTCATTCCTTAAAAAGTGAGTCAGAAAAAAACGGAAAGAAGTATCTTTTATATCAATAAATTTATCGATTCATCTTGCGAGACACAAAAAATTTTATAGACGCTGAGACACAAAAAATTTTATAGACGCTTTAGAGAACATAGAACATGAGTTCGAGTACAAGAATACAAAATGGATGGGAATGAATTATCCAAAAAGACCTTTTGAATTTTCCTAGCAACGTCTTCCGAGCAGATAAATTGTTTTATTTCCTCGAAAAAGACAATCGGAAAGGAGCTTAGAGCAACAAAACATCGAAGCTGCTCTAGAAGTAGAACTCAACTAAAGGTTCGAAACGAACGCATTGGTGGGCACTGGCTTCTGCGAAGGAGACACGCGCGTTGCAGTTTAGACATCGCGCAATCTGGGCGAACTGCGACTGTCGCCGAGCGTGTTCGTTCTCACGGGCGACGTCCGTCGTGCCGTCCACAGAAGGCACCAGAAGCTCCTGCGGTGGCGTCACGCTGAACCTACCCGAGAGCTCCTTTGCTTTTTCTTTCCACGCTAAAAAAAAAAACTCATTTTTAAGCTACTCGTTAAGCTCAGATTCCCACGTAACATAGTATTTTCTCAGAAAACTACTCTTTCTGTTTTTTCTAGAGAACTACTTTTTTCAAATCATCGGAGACCGTAAGCTAGAAATGTTACGCAGCCTAAATGTGAGGGCGTAAATGAGTAAGAATGTCAATTTGAAATCCCTTCATAGATGTCTGATATTTTCCGATAACAATAACTCACAAAAATGAATAAAAAATGGTCAATTTTCACGTCAAAGTTCTTTTTTAAATGATACCTTCGATACATCTCTCTTTGTGTTCGGTAATACTGGAAGCTTCAAACTCGTTACCACACACAGTGCAAACATGGAGCAAGTCTGCAGTGTTCAAAGTTGTGTCAAATCATTTCCATATAAAAATTTCACCTTCTGCATATCTTTTGCGAGACAGAGAACGAGTCCTTGGACGCTCCAGAGCCGGCTTCTTCGTCTTTTTCTTTTTCGTCGTGCTCGCCATGGACGGAGGGACGTCGCGTTCTGTGTTTTCGAGACATTTTCCAGCGTGAATGGCCAATGAGTGTCGCGAATAGAGACGGAAACAGTGGGGACACTCGACGAAGTTTGGCATCGAGTGGCCCTGACGACCGCCGTTGCTACCCTCGTGGTACGCCAAGTTCCTTATCACTGCGGCTCAACACTGCGTCCAAATGACAATGAAGTAGACTACCGAGAAAATAAAGACGGACACTCAGATATCGCGAGCGGTTTCTCGGAAACGCGCTTTCGGAACCACCAGATCAATTATTTTTTGGATTTTGGATCTAAAACCTTTTTGTGAGAAAAAAAGTTGAGTTCCAGCCAAGATGTTATCTTTCAAAGATTAAAATATCTTTTCTCCTATAAGTAATGTTGAACCGCTACTGATCTCCACCTATCGTGATTCCTCTAGTATGGCAACTTTTTTGGTTATTCAACATTCACTGTACACAACTGCTCATGCAGACCGCATTTTCGTTGGCTGCATAAACGATTTTTTTGATCTTGCATTTTATTTGCGGAGATTCCGTTTTCACTAATTTTTTTTAATAAATTTTTTTTAACAATATGTGACTTCACGGCGAACGTGCTCACACTGTAAACGTCATAACAGACGAGCAATCGTCAGAATTAATCCCTGCAAATTTTGCGATCGAATGAGTCAGAATATTTTTATTTTATTTTTAAAAACTTTCATAAGTGTTGAAAATTTGCTTTGTTTACTTTGTGGATTTCACATCATTCTGATACATTCAGATCGTTCAGAACTAAACGCGTTCATAGTTTTACTTAATACGGTTAGTAACTTTTGTGAAAATTTTATTTCAGACATATCCGTTCTGCAAAATGAGTGGAGGACGTAAGAGATCTACAACAGCGTCAAAAGAAGAAGATGACTACTCATTGAAAAGGCAACGAAATAACGAAGCTGTAAACAGGTTTTTATATACAATTTTTCAGAGTCAGTGAATGGCTTGAACGTAACATAATATAATTAACCAATACTCTTAATGATATTAGTTTTGCTTATGAGTAATGTGAGTCAATGACAGTTAAAAAAATATTCATTCTTTCAAGTTTTTTTATCGGGAATTTTATTGTGATACAAAAAAATTTAAAAAAAGTTTTAATTTTCTACAAAAAAATAAATTAATTTTAATTCTTAATTATCATTTCATTCAGTCAAGTCGTATATAATATAAAAATGATTTCATTTCCCAAAAATCTGATAACCAATTTCTTAGAACACGTCAGAAGAAAAGACAAGAGGAGTCGCAAACCGCAGAGCGCGTAGAAGAATTGAGAACTGAAAACGAACAATTAGAGCGAAAGGTTGGATTTTCAAAAAAAGTTATTGGCTTACATAAGGTGTTGAAGGTCGAATCATTGCAAAAGGAGCTCTCATTTCTCAAAGAAATGTTCGTCGCCTACGCAAAAGGCGGAAAAAAGGAAGATGGGGCCCCCAGTTCTTCTGGCGGTCCATCCACTCGGTCCAAATGAAACAATCTAGTTCAATTTCTTGCTATTATGGGTATCTCACTAAATGAATCTTCTATTTCGGTTTGTCTTTTTTTCTATGTGTACATCATTTAGTTCCCTCTTCAACTTTGCCTACTAGTTCAAAGATAGAGCTTCCCATTCAAAAATTTTGGAGTATGTTTCATTTTTTTTATACATTAATCAAATTATCTTTGTTTTTTTCTCTTGTTCCAGTTTGAAATTCCTGAAACAATTTAGATTGAATTTCATCGCTTCAATTATTGCCTTGTAGTTTTTTTTTATGGAACATTCAATAAACAAATGAACCGAGTTTTTATTCTCAATGCACTTTTTGGTTTTTAACCGAAAAAAATTTTTACCGCAGTTTTAGAACTGACTTTTTGCAACAGGGGTTTAGGATGACAGACGATAAACTTCTGAGGTATGAGAACCTCGCGCGAAACTGTGCAGAAGCTTCCAGCGAAGCTGTCACAGCTGTCAAGTCCCTCGTTGAGAATTTAAAGAACTCGAAAGGCGATAAGAACGTTGGTTTCGTTGTTCGTGTCTCAGCTCATTTTTTTCGTTCAGGGCGTTAGTTTGTTGACCGTTAAGAACTACGAGATGATGGCTTATATGGGCGAACTCGTGCTTCTGATGTCCAAAATGATGGACGGCGATTCCATCGCGGAAGACGAATCCGTTCGTCGCGCTTTGAAACATCGCGTGGTCTGTTAATTTTTCTCGCTCTGAGCATCGTTTCTTTTTCACTTTCAATAACAACTTATTGTTATCTTTCTTCGTTTCTACAACGCTAAGACAATACAGACTTTTTAATCGCAAAAGAAATTTTAGTTTTTGTTTTTTTTTGAACTTGAAAGATGGGTCGCCAGTAGAATTGCTGAAAAACTGATTTGAGGAGAGCAAGTTCTTGTTTATTTTTTTTGGAGAGCAAGTTCTTGTTTACGCCGTGTGTTTTTATGAAAGAAGATTACAGATTTTGGAGAAGATTCGCCCGGTTGAAGACAAAATGAAGCCTCAAATCGAAAAACTTCTGAATTTGAAAGCGGTTCGTTATAAATCGTTTTTTTGATTTCTTTTGATCATTTTTTATCTTTGTTTATTTTAGGACGAATCGGGAAAAGACAAACTACGCGTTCGATTAGATCAAATGATGGTTTTTTTCCTCATGCTTCAGATTTTAGTTTCTTTTTTTTTCGGTCAACGATGACTCTGGAGAGGAATCCGATCACAAGGAAAAAACGGAGGACGGCGAAAAGTCGAAGAAATACGTACCGCCCAAGATTCGTGCAATGCATTATGAAGGTTTCATTTTTTTTTTGTCTTGTAAGATTATTATTTTTTCACTTGATTATTAGATATTATCTAGTAACGGATTATTTTCAGATGAAGAAGAACGGCCAAATAAAATGATAGAAAAGGCGAAACGCCGTGCTTTGCAGAGTAGTCTGATCAGAGAGCTCAAGCAGCAGTACAGCGACGCCCCTGAAGAGATACGAGTAAATTTTCTCAACGATCCTTTTTTCAACCATTTTTTTGAAGGAAGTCAGTGATTCGAAGTTTGAATACGACCGAGCGCGAGAAAAGTAAAGAAAAAACAATGAGAAAGACTCCCTTCAACTTTTCTTTTAGATATGAGGAGCAGAACTTCAAACGTGTAAGGATGAACAAGGAGCAGAAGAGAAAGAGTGCTAAATTGGGAAGAGAAGAAACTCTCAACGATTTGCTTGACTTTGGAAACTATATGATTCGCGCCGAGGAAGGCCGATCAAAAAGCGGTCTGAAACGGTTTTTATTTTCAAATTTCTTAAAACTAAATCTTCTTTGTCAGAAAACGTGTGGACAGTTCGAACGACGGCGCGAGGAGAAAACTCCACAAGAGGGACAAAAAGAAGATCAAAGACGCGAAAGTCAAGCATAAGGTAGTTTCCTGTTTCGAAACTGTTCAATCCAATTGATTTCCAGAAAAAGATGATTCGCAAACGTCAATAAATCCAATTTTCCACTTTTTTTTTTGTTCTTGTTGATTTTTTTTTGTTGAGTTTGACAATAAAGTTTTTCATATTTTATGTTTTCCATTTCAAATCTGGTTGGCTGCGTTTCCAAGTTTCGCATGTTTTTCAATTACCAATAGTTTATTCTTCATTTTCCAACAATCGAACGCTTTCTTTCGCTCCATGAATGATTTTTCACTCACTAGGGATCATTTTTCACGCCCTTCTTGAACTTTTGATGAAATTTTGCTTAAGTGTACTTTAGGGCCTCCTGATTGCAGAAAAAAGATGAAAATTTCTCGCAATAAATTTTTGTTTTCGATTTATAAAGCTTCAAAGTTTGCGAAACACTCAGTTTATGGCAAAAAAAAAGCGTTATTCAAAGCTTTCGAAGCGGCTTAACTCAAAAATCAGATCTATTGCAAGAAATTTTTCTTTTTTTCTGGATTGTCCCCTGAAGTACACTTCTGCTAAGTTTCATCAAAAGTTCAACAAAGTTAAAAAAAAAAAGTATCTAGTCAGAAAAATTTCTTGAGCAACTTCAGGCTTTTCGAGAATGAGCGGCGGTCGATATGAGACGCAGCTGTGCACGGTTCTTGTCGCAGAACAGTTCGGACAAGCGGTCGCCGATGTCGCCGAGAAGTTGCTCAAGGAGGATTGCCAGCTCCCTTCGCTCGCCTTCAAGCTCCGGCCGACTTATAACATGGCGATGGTCTCAACTTCTTTTCTCCAACAGCCGATGTCGCTTCTTTGCAGATTCGAAAAGCGTTAGCCGTTCTTATTAATTTCGGATTTGTGACGTTTGTCCTTGATACAAACAAGAGACCCGTTTATACGGCACACGGAGATCAAATTCTTCGTTTACTCACAGTTCCCAGGTTTGATTTCTCGTTCTCATTCCCGGATGTGGCTTACTCTGAACACCTCGCTGAATTTTTTGATGTTCAAAATGATTTCCGTGAAATGCAAAATTATCTCTGACTCTCAAAAACCTAGTTATCTTTTTCTTTCACTGACCGCTATTTTTCGCGAAATCATATTGAACACGGTATGAAAACGGCATAAAAGTAGTAGCAAAAAAAAAAAAGTTATTTTCGAGATTCCAAGCAAGAAATTACTTTTTTTTTAAACTTATAATTTTTTCGGAATAAATCATTTGTCAGACATCGCGAGAACAAACAAAGTAGTCTCAGGGACTCCAGAGTGGTCCCTATAGGGGCAATATTCGGGGCCCTTGGAGTGTTCCCTCTTGGGACCACTTTACTATCTCATATAGCGGTTTTAGGTAGTGGCTCCTCTAGGGGACATGCTAGTCGATAATTTTATGATTTTCATGTGAAGAAAAATTTCTATGTAAAAAACTAAAAAAAAACATTTTTGAATAAAAATTGAAAGATCTCCTATAGGGACCACTTAAGCTTTAGGGGCTAAGCGGTCAGACTCTAAACCCCTACAGGTACCACCTTTATTTCACCCCTATGGGGACCATTTTTTCGAGCCCCTATAGGCGTTGATCTGCCACATTGCCATCTAGAGAGTATTTCTGATTTGTTTCGAGCAAAACGGATAAAGGGTTCAGAAAATCTCAAATTTAGTCAAAAGACGGCTTGAGAAGACTGAACTTGGTGCGATTTAAAGAGTTCATATTTTTTTAGTAGCGTCAATATTTTGAACAAGAAGGTGCAGAGTACTTTTTTTCACTCATCTCAGGTTCTGCTTGCTCGTGAAAACACTATACGGGAGTGTGGCCGAAGACGTCTGCGTAGAGCTTTTCTCGGAAGGGCAACTCACTTGCTCAGATGTTCTCCGGCGGGTTTTTTCGAGAAACGATACACTGACGATAGAAGAGGTTAGGACAGATTTGAAACGGATGTAGCAGTTCGAAAATGATTCTACAAAAACTTATGACACTTTTATAATCGTAACAAGTAATTGCGAGTCTAATGACCACTGACACGGGCAAGGTCGGAAGGGTGGAGAAAGGCTTCATAGAAATTTTCCTTTTTGCTGCCGTTTTGCGCTCCTTCATCGGCTTTTATGCACCTGCCTCCCTTTTTCCACCATCTTGAGCTTCAAAATTCTAGAAAAAATGGAAGGCTCCAAAAAGGGACTCTTTTTTACTGTCTTTTTTGAGCCTCTCTCTTTTAGCAGCCATTATTTACCATTCCGACTTGGCCCGGGAAACTATTATGACTCTAGAGCCTGTTCGAGAGATTTACTCTGAGAAGTACTATATTTCAGCTCAAAAAAACGTTCTGTGACCTGACACAGGCACAGTTCATCATCCGGTCTCCGGCCATCTCTGGCGTGTCCAACGGCTGCCCGCAACTCGAGCATGTTCAGGCTCCTTTCAACATGCCGGACTCTATCTTCCAAGTCAATAACGGCCCAGGTTTCCACCAATTTTTTATGAGTGTTCAAATTAACCTGCTCCTTATAATTTTGAAAAGTTTCATGGTTTTTTTTTTATAATTTCTCAATTTTTAGGATCTCCAGAGTGGTCCCTATAGTGGCAACCTTAAAAGCCCTTGAAGGGTCTCCTCTAGGAACCAATTCACCAGCCCCTATAGGGGCCACTAAAGCTTGCAAGTGTGGTATCTATAGGGGTTTTATTTAGTGGTCCTTATAGGGGACATGGTGGTCATTTTCGAATGAAACTTACGGACTCCTGAGTGCCCCCTATAGCGGCAATTTATGAACTCGAAGAAAAATTTCCATAAGTAAAACGGAATAATTAAGCGTTTTATAATGAAAAAAAAAATTAAAATTAAAAGACCCTATAGGGTTTACTTGAGCTTCAGGGGCTAATGAGTCAGATCCTAAACCCCTATAGGGACCACCTAATTTTTATCCCCCTAGGGATCTCTTTTTCGGTCCAATAGAGTTGTTTTCTCCCCTAACCCATATAGGTATCACTCTGGAATTCCAAAGTTAACTAGTAGTAGGCTGAATTTTTCAAGTAGCCTATCGCAGGTGAGGAGAAAGGGCGTAAGCGTAAATCGGCCAAAGATGAAGACGATGGAATTTATTGGCGCGTCAATTGGGCGAGGTTTGACGTTTACGCCCGCGATGAAATGATCACCGAATTCCTTATCACGAACGTACGTTGAATTGACATGGGATATGATCAACAGCGACGATTGGTGTTAATGTGATTATGTGGGTGTTTAGACGACGGTCGGCCGCAAAATGCCTGACATTTGCATAAAGACCATCCAGGCGCTTTTTAAAACAATTGAGCTTCGCGCCTCGTCGCTGCGGATGACGGCCACGTCGCCAGTCTCGGTAAGACCTAGTTGAAGGTGGATTTGTATGGAGATATTATTAGAGACGCAAACGGAATAATTTAAAAAAAAAAGTCATTGTTTCCTTCTTCCGTAATAGGTTTTATAACGTTGTTGACTCTGTAGAAAAAAAAAGGAGGCGTACTTAGAAACTGCAGAGGGGTCCCTATGGGGGCAACCTTAAAGGTCCTTTTAGGGTTCCCTCTAGAGACCACTGAAGCTTTCAAAAGTGGTCCCTATAGGCGTTCTAGTTAGGGGCCTCTTTAGGGGACATGCTAGTCGATAATTGTTAGGAACTCTGAATAAATAACTTTTTTGGATGAGTTTGAAAAATCACTTTAAGGCCCACTTGAGCTTTAGGGTCTAAGGATTCAGACCCTAAACTCCTATTTTTTGTAGAAAGACGGCATAGAAGCACAAATCCAAAAAATTTACTCCGTTTTTTTTATTCATTTTGAAGATAAAAAGACGAGAAGTGCGGGTATTTCAGATGTTGGATATGGTGAAGAGCGCGAAGGAAAATGCTTTAACTCTGGAAAAAGCCGACATGGCTTACGTTCTGGGGGAGTTTGCAGATGAGACAAAGGGACTTGTGCGGAAAGCTGGAGACAGCGGCGGCGGTCTTTTTGTCGTTGGTCCGTTCATTTTCCCAGCTCTGATAAAAAAAAACTCATGAATAGATTTTGGAACATGCTCATAAAATCCATGTTTTATTTTTCAGACACATTAGAAAGTTTTTAGACTTAGTAGTAGGGGTTTTTCGGGGTTAGATGTTAAAAAAAGGAATTATAGTGAAGTCATTTTATTTTGCGGTTGAGATTCTCTTGAAAGATGGCCAGAACGCTCCTGGATGTACCAGAATGAGGTTCTGAAGCTCTGAAACCGCACAGCTTCCTAGTTTTCGAGAAATAAGGACCCAAAATCTCAAAATAGCCCATTTTCATGGGTTTTGAGGGTTTTCTTTGAGACGTCTTTTTACAAAAACGAGAGGTTTTTGCAGGTTGAGACTTCTTGAATCTTCTTCTGATACATCAAGAAGTGTTCTAGCCAATTTGCAGAAAAATCCCAAATGCAAAGTAAAATGACCTCGCTTTCAGACATTCCTCTAGATGGAGGTTATGACAATCTCAAATTGTAAAACTTCCTTTTTAATAGCACTTTACTGTTTGATAAAGCTGTTCAAATAACGCTTCTCAAAACCTTTGCATATTTAGACATTGAGAAAACACTGACTGAAATTTGCAAGCATCATAGCGAATCGTTGGTGCGCGAACAGTTTGAAGGTCGTGCTGTGAGGTTTATCAACGAATTTCCTTCGAAACTTTCGGAAAGAGAAGAGTTTTTCAGAATAATGCGCTTGATGGAAGAACGCCATTTTTTGGACGAGGAACAAGTCGAAAAGCTTTTGATGATGGGAGCCAAAGAGACCAAAGAACTTCTATACGCACTGCTTGAAGAAGGCTTCATCTTCACTCGGGTAACTTGAAGATTTAGCCCTTTTTTGGCTCGGAGAACCATAAACAAACTGATCCAAATCTTTGACAAGGTGTCTTATTTTCTCTGCTTTTACTAATTGCCAGTGAAACGTTGGACCGTATCTCTGGTTGCCGCGATTTCCCAAGTGTGAAATCGGAGTTCTGAGACGGTCGGATGAACCTCAAAAGATTTAGCCCATCGGAAGGACCAATGACTTCCAACCAGCGCGAACGTTTTATCTCTACCACGTCGATCTCCAAAGAACAGTTCGGAGTCTCATTGAATGCACTTGCAAGGTTTCTCCTCATCTTTTTTTTCCACGAAGAGAACATTTGCCTTTATAGCTGCTTCGCAATCTCATTCTCCGTAATGCGCACGAGCGAAGAGAAAACAAGCAGCTGATCGAGAAAGATCTCACCACGGGACCCATAATCGAGGGCATACGAGCCAATGAGGAACTCGACGAGGCTTCCAAAAAAGCACAGGTTCAACTTTTTTGAGTTCGAAGTTACGGTCCTTGTTTGTCTCTAACTTAGGAACTCCAGATTGGTCATAGGGGCAACTTTAGGGGCTTTCGGGGGGTCCCCTCTAGGGACAACTTTATCAACCCTATAGGGGCCACTAGGGTTTGCAAAAGTGGTCTCTATATGGATTTAAATAGCGGCCCCTTTAGGAAATATGCTAGTCGAAAATCTTTATGAACTCTGAGCGAAGAAGAAGCATTTCTATGGGAAAATTGAACAAATAAGCGTTTTTAAAATGAAATTGACTTTTATAGGGTCCACTCGAGCTATAAAGGCTGAGAGGTCTGACCCTGAAATCCTATAGGGATCACCTTAATTTTACCCCTGTATGGACCACTTATCCGACCCCTATAGAGGTTTTTCCCCTCTCACCCCTATAGGGACCACTCTAGGACTCCTGAGAACGTTATGATTAGAATGATCTCTCTTGTAAGTTTATCTGAACTGTCTCATATGCTCCAGAAAATTTTTGGACTTGTCGATATTTTCAGAGAGAATGACTTTCTCAATCCCCATCTTAATTTTTTATTTCATTTCTTACAATTTGTTTCTCTCAAGTCTGATCTGGGATCTTTTTCCCAGATAGAAGAAGTGGAGGAGATGTACTTGCCCGGACATGATCGAGCAAAGTTGGAGCGGTATAGAAGGTCGCGATCGACACTCCTGGCAGCGCAGGAAAAAGCATCACAAGCGCTGTTCGCCTTCCGACTGTTTCTCGATGTTTCAGTGCCGCAAAAAGCGTGACTCCATCTTGACTTCTGAGTCACTGAACTTCTTATTGTTAGGGGCGAAACGCTCGTTGTTACTTCTTCTGCTGTTGTATGTTGTCTGTACACTCAAAACTTGGAAAATAAATGGAAATCAACATAATTTGCAAGTAACGCCAGTTCCATTGTGAAACGAGTAAAACGGGTTTTTTTTTTCTCGCTTTCCGCTATCTCTTCTGTTGGCGCGTGGTTGTTGTGTTGCGCGTCCTGTAGACCGTAGATAAGTACAATTGTTTATTGGGTTCACAAAAGGGAAAAGACGAAAACGAAGGAATGGTTGTCGGAATGTATCAGTCGTCAAGTATTGGATATGAAAACGTTGGACCTAGTTAGTAAACGGCAGTGTTTTGAACGAAAATAAACGCAAAAGACCCGGTCGGTAGGGTGGGAGCAACTGGTAGCTCCACTATTCAAAAAAGAACGCTAGACAGTTGGAAGAGTTTATGCTCGACCGTAGTATGGCCAGTAAGCGTACGGATTGTATCCCATAGTCGCCACTTGCTGATCTTTGCTCGGCTGCGACTGCGCCTCCAGAGCTACTCTCTTCGCGTTCTTGTTCGCCTATAAAGTTTCAGGTTTAGGTTTGTAATTTCTTCTTTTTTGAAAATTTTTCAGTCCTGTTAGCTGACTCGCGAGTTTTATAGCCGATTCACGGCTAACTTGGGGCGTGGCATGTCTGCGCTCTCCCCCAACCAGGCAATATCTCTTTTATTATCGTGTCAGGACCCTTTCTTCGATGGCTCGAGCAAGCCGTAAATCAGCTTTAAGCGAGAATTCGTAATTTTCGTAGAAATGCCCAAATAATTCAAAAGTTTGAGTTCGTTCGCTAGATATGCATTTTTACGGTGAGTTTTACGCGCTAGATTGGAATTTTCGTAGAAAATGTTCGAAGAATTCCAAAATTATGAGTTCGCGCGTAGAAGTTACAGTAAAATACATATCTAGCGATATTATCGTTGTGGGACTCATTTTTTCTTCGCCTTCCCGGAATACGAATTCTGCCTATTTCCCAAAATCAGTTTTAACGAATAACGCGCTAATTTTGAAATCGCCAACATTACTTTGAACACGGCATCAAAATTTCCAAGAATCCGAATTAATATCCATCTTATACAAACTATGTAAAAATTTGCAAATATTCATTTCGAAACCTTTTTGAGGAGCTTCTTCTAAATCCTATTCTTTTGCTTTTTTTTTTTTGACGAGGCCAATGCGCCTCTATTGTCAGATATTCCACAAAACAACCTGCCGGCGCATTTTTACTCAAAACTTTCCCTTTTACGCCTGGTTTTGGTGTATTGCGGTGGTTGCACATTGTATCAATCTGGCGCCAGAGAGAGAGAAAGAGAGAAGAGAAAAAGAAAAGATAGAAGTACCTGATTGGGAAAAGAAGTAACATTTTGTCTTTCTCTCTCGGTGATAACCTAGATTTGAGAATTTTCTCGCGAATCTTGGCGATATGGATATGGCCCCACGCCTTGTTGCATTCTTGGCGACTTGAGGTCAGCCCCCCGAAATCAATCGCCGCCAAAGATGACAATCTATCGACTTCTTCCGTTCTCACCTACCCCTTCCCCACTGTTCTCTTGGTGTTTTCAAGATCGAATAGAGCGCATTTGAGTGACAGGCTATCAAACTATGGTTCAGAGGAAAGAAAAAATGCTCCGGTGGAGACTGACCTTTTTAGCGTGAAGACATGCGGCGCAGGAAGAAATGCACATGGGCAGCAGCAGAAGCAAAGTCGTGGCGGCGGCGGCAAAAACGGCGAAAATGGCTATCGAGGTCCAGAGCCGGAAGCGGAGCTGAAATAAAAACAAATACAACGAGATTTTGGTGGCAACTCACTCCGCAGCGCAAGTTGCAGGCCGGCTGCTGGTCCTTGGGAACCTTGCCGAAAATGTCGCCGACACATTTGCCATAGGTGAAGAACGAGAAATAAACCTGCATACTTATGATTGACTTCAAAAATAAATTCATTTTCTTGATTTAACTTGAAAACTTAAGGATCCACGATTGCACAAGTAATGTATCTACATTTAAAAAAAGGAAAGAGAGACCATGAAAAATACTAAATACTTCAGAATTGATCCTTTCAACCACCAAATGAAGTTCTCCTGAAATAATAAACTCCTAGTGAAAAATTTTAAAATTTCCAAATTTGAAAAAATTTAGTTGATAGAGATATGAAAAAAAGAAACAGACCTCTTCGCATTCGTCCTCACAGCGACTTTTCGACTCATCATTGGCCGACGAAAAATAACTGAAAACTGACAAACACAATGACGTTTTTGCAAGAAGAGCATGTGAGCTCGCATGAAAGACGAACCCTGGTGCACAGGTGCAGATCTGGCCATTGAAGAGTTGGTTGACAGAGCACACGGGCTGGTCCTGAGCGACGACGACGCCGGCAAACGCGAGCAAGGCGACCACTTTGACCAACATCTTCCGCGACTGATAGCGCTCGGTTAACAGTTAGACGAGCGACTGGCTGACTGACGTGCCGCGGAGGCGTGGTCTCCGCCCCGTACATGGCCCCTTCGCTCCCTCCATTCTTCATTTCATTCGTTCTTGGGACGTCGCCATTGGAAAACTCTCTTTTACCTATTTCGAGTGTCAAACCCCGAGAAGCTGTGCACCTGAATAAATGTTTTTTAAGGACGGTTTCTGCAAAAATATTGACACATCTCTTCTTCTACCAATTGCATCGCAACATAGGTTTTCATAAATATGAAAAAAAATTCAAGACCCAAAAATGACAAGTTTGTGGAAAAATATTCCCTTTCATTTTTTCTTTGTCCAGAAAAAAAGACTTCCTTTCACTACTGTGAGAGAAAGACCGGTGTTCAGGAATCCAATTATATGTTCTACATTCATGTTATTTTTACACTGGTTTGGTTATTTTTTCTGGAAGAGAAATCTATGAAGTCAAGAAAGTTCATTATATTTTCTTTGCATTGGAATTTTTAAAAATCGATGTACGAGAAAAAAGTTTCAGAATCAAGAGAGACTACAGAAGTGGGTCCAATTATTGGACGACATTCAAATCGTTATATACAATAATAAAAAAAGTTTCTGGCAAGCATTAATGAATTATTTCAAAGACACAGTATCAATGAGGATATAGTCTATGTGCCACGACTTGAAATTTCACTGAACGACATTCCGCTGCTCCGCTACGGTCGCATCTTCGCCTTTAGGAATTATTTTATTTCAGTACTTTATTTTCCCGTCTTCCCAGTGGAACCGTCTATCTACCAGCAATGTTAACCAAAAAAAAAAAAATCGCTACCGAGGCTCGCAAAGGCGAAAACGCTTCGCGACCACACGCAGTGGAATAACGGAATGTCGTTCGGGGAAATTCCAAGTCGTGGCACACAGACTTTTTTAATTTGGCCTTTTTTGATGTGAAGACAGTTACCCAGTTATCTTGGACCCAGCCGAATCAAATTTCGGCGAGTATCCTGGTGTCGCTTTAAAAAAAATTGAACAGGTTGTGCGATGACTCAATTGTCAACTCCAAAAATCCATGACTCACATTTACCGAAAACATTCATTTCAAGTTAAAGAAAAATCGTTTCAAGTTAGAAACGAATAGGAGTCGACGTGAAGCGTGGAGGGACGCCAACTAAACTTCGGGAGGGATCAACGATGACTTCAGAAGGGTCGAGAATCGCTTCGGAGCCGCCTTCCGCCCTCACGACTTCTACAGACTTGCTCGTCTTTCTCGAAGCAGTCATGGTTTTGGAGCTCTTGCGGCTCAGTGAAATTTTTTTCGATGTTTTTGCTGAATCTCCGGATCCATCGTTATTGTTCGTACTTTCGAGGCTCTTGTTTCGCCGTTTCACTCGACTAGCTGAAAAGAGACAGACATCGACGTCGTCTGACAACGTTGAGGCACTTTTAGCCTTAAAAAACGTACCGCTGATGTCGCAAAATATTGAAAGCAGGCAGCAGCAAATGTAAAAGCAGCAGTAAAAGGCAAAGAACCCAACGATACCGATCCACACCCCCTAAAGTTGAAAATTGTGTCAAACGTGATAAACTTGATTGGTATACAATCTTATTTCCAAATCCGTGAAAACGCTTGAAATGACTGAAATAGTCGTAGTCTCGTTGGATTATAGCTCATTTTGGTTGAATATCAAACTAAGCGGTGACGTCAGTCCGAAGTTCGTTCATACACGTGGAATTGCCACTACACTCTTTTTAGACATTCTAAATGCGACCACTTCAGGTAGTATTACTTAAGTATAATCTTCGAAAATATAGTGTGGGACAAAAGCTCGAGACCGAAATAAAGTAACATACTGTGGAAACAGCAACAGTTGCATTTCTTTTGTCTCCGACAGTTGCCTCTACAGCGGTTGTAGCGATTCTAGCCGCTGTCGACACATTCGGAGCACCTTTCATTACAGCGGAAAATGACAGAAATGACTTGGTTATGAAAATGAACAAGTTATATAATATATTCTCAATTCTTCATACCGCGTTTAAAGTGCTGGTCAATCGAAGTTAGATTCTTTTAAAAATTTTAATTTATAAATTAAAAAGGTGTTTTTATATCCTCTTCATGAAGCCTTAAGCTTTTAAAGCTTCTCTTGAATTTCGCGGTAGTTACTATAATAAATTTAAACACAGTGCAGTGTACTGTAACGCTCTAGTCCGCAATCTTTTCAAATGGAGCAAACTTGTGTTCGATTGATTTTGAAATGGGACCTTTTTCTTGATCTCTTTCTGTTTAACGCTCCCGCATAACATTTAGTTTCTAATATTTTCTTGATGTAATTTTATTCATTCTTAAGCAGAAAAAGAATATTCCAAATCAGACAATGCTGCCATTCGTATATAACACGGAAGAAAGCAGTAGGAACAATCGCGGTCAACAGGTTTTTCTTTTAAACAAAATTTTCGATTTGAACTCCACTTTACAGAACTTTGATCAACGCAACCCCAGTCAGGGAGACTACGATCAGAATTCTCAACACGGATACAATCAATACGAGTCAAGAGAAGGACCAACGTCGCGTTTGTATTCAGACAGCATATCTTCAGGGTAAGTGAAGTTCAAGTTTTTTGTTTGGTTTTCGTTTATTGATTATCACGTTCGAGAGAAATGTTGTTTTTTGTTTCATAAAGTATATTTCTAACAAATCCAGAAGAGATGCGTACAAGAGCGACGGATATGAACGTAAGCGTGGCCGGTCTCGCAGTAGGAGTCGTGGACGAGGACGCCGCTCGCGGTCAAGAAGTCGCAGTTGGAGTCGCGGTCATGAAGTTCGCAGCAACAGACATCGAAGCCGTGACCATTACCGACGAGGTCTCTCGACCATGTTTCATGCTTATGATGCGGCATAAAATGGGCCCTACCGAAGCCGATGATAATGGGAATCGGAGGTTGTAGATCGCAGTCGGTCACGATCCAATTCGCCACGAAATTACCGACGGCGTCGCAGCCGCAGTCGAGACTGGGACAGGGACAGAGTGCGTATAGTTTGTTTGCTAACAGCTTTCTAAGATGTTTGAAGGCTCATCGTTGCTCAATGTCAGAGCGCGAGGCCGACAGTTCGAAGCCTTTTAAGGTCCGCTGGCTGGCCTTTTCTTGCTTTTTTTGCGAGATAGGTGTAAAGCAGAAATAATTAGTGTTGAAAGTATGAGGCATTTTAAAACAAAAAGTGACAAGGTTTCATCAAAACGACAAATAGCAACTTAAATTTGAAGAATTTCATCAACTCGCTCAATAAATTTTTTCAAGTCTTTCCTATAAGTTTCAACACTGGGAGATAAATTTTAAGCAGAACCGTTTTTTACCTTTATTTTCAATGATCAATCCAGATTTTTCGACAGTCAAGAAAAAGTGGGATACGCGGTGAGACAGCTATCGGTATGATGTTCGATAGCATACTGTTCCGTTGCGCTTGCAAATTAAAGGATGGTATTCGAGTGCACAAAAATACATAAGTATCAAGGAATTATAATGTTTTTGGGAGTTGGTTTTGATTGAAGCTTACTAGGAAACGTTTTTCAGCCCTCGGGTAAAATTTTGATTTAACTTGTTTACAGTTTAATTATGGCTCTCCAAAGCATGAAAAATCATTTCTCGTATCTGTTTTTCGAGTTAAGACTCTTGAAAAGCTGAAATAACGCTTTTTTCACAAGTTACATGTTTTGCTAACTTTGAAGCTTTACAGATCTGGAATCAGAAGGCCATAAAGTATGTTTCAGCCAAGTTTTATTAAAGGATCAACCGGGAACAAAAAAACGTTTTATCCATTTTGATTTGATAGACTTTGTCGATAAGCCGGTAAAAAAGTGCGAAGAAAAATGAATAATTTTTGAAATTTGGTCTCATATCTCCAATTCACAAACTTGACATAACGTGCATTTGCGAAACAGCTTTCATTTGCGAAACAGTCATATTTTCCTTGAACATCTGAGAAAGCTTTCGATGTATTTGATAGGACACAAAATGACGCGGTTTTCAGACGCGAGGACGTGAGACTTCCGATAAATATGAAAAGCCTCCGGTTGTCCCGGTGAGCAAACTTGCAATCACTTCGATGCCGGTTAACATTGATAAAAACATGGTGAGAAAAAAAAACTTTTATTCTCAAAAAAAGCTATATACAGATTGCCATTGCTCTGGCTTCAAGTGGGTACCTTCCTCAAGACATAAGAATCATGACAAAGTTCGACAAGGGTGATAGTTAATCAATGATCGATTAATGAACCATCTCTTTTTTTTTAAGGGGCCGGCTACACTCGATCATTCGGCTTCATCGAGTTTTCTGATGTTTCCGTGGCGACCCGCTGGATGGATGAACATAAGGTAGTTTTTTGTCCAAAAAAGGAAGATATATGAAGAATAACTCAGGGAATCCTCGAGCTGGGCGATGGCCGAAGATTGTGCATGGAGTACGCCAAAGGGGAATACGCCGCCCCGCCTCGGAAATCCGAAAACGACTGGATTTGCGCCAATGTACGTTGTGAAAAGACCAGCGAAGTTATCTGTTTTTTCAGTGCTCAATGAACAATTTCATCAAGCGTGAGAATTGTTTCAAATGTGGAATTCCTAAAGAATCGTCGCTTCTCCTGGAGAAACAGGGTGTCCATATGGCCGGTACCACGCCTTGCGACAGTCAGTTTGATCTTTTTCGGATAGTATCTCACAAGGGAGGTAATTTTGCCAGAGTTTTCCTTGATGTAACAAAAGGAGACTCTGAAAGCATCAACCTGCACAACTTTCTAGTTTTCGTGATGAAGGCCCAGAGTCCCAAAGTAGCTTTTTTTACTTACCGATTTTTCAGGACTTTCTTTGATTTTAAGGTGCTTTTTCTCAAAAATTAGGAAGTTGTACAGGGACCCCTTCTGGTAGATTCAGGAAGGCTTAGGAATTCCAGTGGTGCCTATTGGGGCAATCATAGGGCCCTTAGAAGGTCCCCTGTAGGGGCCACTTTAACAACCCCTATAGGGCCCACTGGAGCTTGCGCAAGTGGTTCCTATATGGGTTTTAGTTAGTGACCCCTATAGGGGACTTGCTAGTCGATGATTCTTATGAACTCTAGTAAGCGAAGAAGCATTTCCATGGGAAAAACTAAAAAAAATAACCTTTTTTGAACGAAATTGAAAGAACCCTATAGGGGCCACCTTGATTTTATCTCATTAGGGACCACTTTTTGGCGCCTATAAGGGTTCTTTACCCTCCTGACCCCCATAGAGGCCACTCTGGAATTTCTAAGTGTTCAGGTCACTTTTCAGAAAAATCATAACCGCAAAGATAAATTACCTTCTTGTCAAAGAATTTCGCGTATTTTTTCAAATTTCGAATTTTAGCTATCTTGTTGCGAAATTTGCCGCCGGATTGCCAGACGTCGACGATTTTCGACAGCTTGTCTTCGTACATTTCGCTCTCAGCAATATCTGTTGTTCAGGTTGTTCAAAAATATGTTTTACTTCAAAGATTGGGAGTATTTTCAGATCTCTGACTCGAGAATGTATGCTTTCGTCCAAATGAAAAGCACTGACGAGGCTATTCTGCTCCTTAACAATTCTTACAAGTCAACAATCAAAATCAATGGGAAGGAAGGTTCGGCATCATTATATTGACTTTCTCTATATTTCCTTCTCAGTTATCACCACTTATTGCATACAACCCATGTCGAAGATCATCCAACAACAAATGTCCATGATAAATGCTGGCAATCCAGGGACATTAGGCAGTGCTCCGGCTTCCCAGGGTAACCCAGTCATTTCGATTCCTTTCACAAGTATTTCCAGTGAACGGCGCTGAAGTCGCCCAAGCGGCAATGTTGAAAGCGGCCGCTCTGCGACATGCCAGCCAGCAAGTCGGCCAAATGGTATCCTTTTCTGTTTTTTTTTTCTCAGAGCCATTCCGATTCTTGATAATACTTCGGCTGGATACCACCCCAGCGCGCGAAAAAAATTTAAAAATTTACTGAAATAGGCCGCACAGCGGATTGGGATCCAGCCTTGATCACTTCGTTGAAGAAATTTTAACTTTGGAAATGAAAAAAATAGCCGAAAAGATTTCAAGGGGAATGGGTACAAAAATTTACATTTCCAGTGTTTAAAGTGGTTTCCGCAAAATGGTCTCTGACTCTCCAAAATTTGGTTATTTTTTCTTTCCCTCACTACTATCTTGAATTTCGCTCTTTGAACAGGCCAAAATAAGTTTCTTCCTTGTGATTGCTCAAATGTGCTTCGCAAAAATGAATCTGGTAGATCAATGGACTTTTCAAAAATTGTCTGTACTCGCTTTGCTTGTACAGTGTTTGACCATTCAGGGCTCATCATTTTTTGAAGCTGGAATTTTTTTTTTTCATTGCAGAGTGATAGTAGGAACTTTCCTTTATAGGCAAAGTCGGAAAGGGTGGAAAAAGGCTCCATAGAAAGGTTCCTTTTAGGGTGCATTTTTGCGTCATTTCATCGGCTTTTATACAACCATTTTGCTGCCTCTACCTTTTCCACCATTTCTTGAGCCTTTAAAATCCCAGAAAAATGGGAGGCTTGATAAAGGGACTCTCTCTGCGGCTTTTTCTGAGCCTCTCCCTTTAAGTGGCCATTATTCACCATTCAGACTTTGCCCGAGTTTTGCTTATTTCTTTGAATTAAGCTCTCGCGGAACGCTCCTCCACCGCAAATCACGGTCCAGCCGAGTATGGCGTTGCCTATCGACTACAGTATCCCACCGCCCAACATAATCAACACATCACAGCCGCCGCCTTCACTTGGCCCTCTCGTCGCGCAGAACAAGAACGGCATCATAGGAACCACCCCTACGCCTCGCGGCGTTTTTCCAAAATATGGTGGGACCAATAAGCCGTTCTTTCACCGGGTTCCCTTCAGTTTGTCCCAACCCGATGCTCTTCGTTCCGGACAACGCCAGCGGCTATTATCTGGACCGTGTGACCAACTTCTTCTACGACGCCACCACCACGTACTATTATAACAACGACGCCAAGCAGTGGTGCTACTATGATGCGACTTATCAAACATATTTCCCTGTCGAGGACACTGTAAGATCGATCGAAGTATGGTTTGTTTAATGATTTTTGATTTCTGCAGAATTCCGCCCCGAGTACGGCCGAAGTTTCTACGTCGGTCATTGCGCCAGCACAAGAAGAAAGACCTAGAGAAGAGGAAGGGAGCGATAAAAAGGTTTTTTCGGCTTGCTCACTATTTCTTGATCCATAACGTAGTTTTATTCACTTTTGGAGGCGTGAATTTAATATTTAAGTTTAGTTTTATGATCGATTTTCACCATAAAGCGTACTTGCGCAGGATCTGTTTTCCTTTGTTTGGATACCTCTCAAAAATGCAAACTCGTTTTTAAACAAGTGGACCTTAAAGTTCCAGGGAGAATCTATAGATTTTTTGCGGATGTATATATTCTTTGGTAGTTTTTCTCTACCAGATCCTTCTTTTTTTGCAAAACTCTAGGATCTCGATCGCTTGAATATCATACAGAAAAATTGAACGAATAAACGAATATCGAAAAAATTTCTTAGCTATCATTCAGAATAAAAAAATATACAAAACCTTGCTTTATCATTATTAATTCAACCTACAAACAGAAAACGGCGGCAGATGTAGCGAAGGACATGCTGAAGTGGGCGAAAAAACAAGAAAAGCTCAAAGTACAGATGGCAGTCAAACCATTGGCAAAACCTTTAGACGCAAAAAATGCTTTCCAAAACTCGAGCAAAAAGAAGGTAAGAACTATCTTTTTTCGAGAAAAAAATGATGAAATTTGAGAACTTTTCCTCTGACGAAGAAGAAGAAAAAGAGGAAGAAGATTCGATGCCGGCTAGAAAAACTTCAGTTGCAGATGCTCCGCCTATGCCTGGATCAGGTATTTTTTTTTCAGACTCTTTTTTTGTAAGGGGTTTCGGTCACAACTTCCTTTTGGGGAGTTCAATCTTTCTGAAACTTCCTGGAGTTGTGGTGACTGTTATTTTTAACACTCTGATTCATTTTCATTTTCTAGTAAAAGGTCCAGCTTCAGAAATGTTCAGGAAGATTGAATTCATTAAAAGAAAGTAGTGGTCAAAGTTGCCTTTTTTTTGTATCTTTTCTGACGATATAGCAGAAAGATTTCGACGAAGTAGCTTCAAGACGCCATGGATATATCGCCTATGGCATAGTTATGTTGGGTGATCAGAAAACAGAAAGGAAAGTCCTTAAATGCCCGCTGTTCAAAGCCCTCTGTGTGTATCAATCCGCGTTATTAAGGCTCGTCGTCGGATTACGCACCTATTGAACATCCAAGTTCGTCAGTGCCAAGTTTTGCGGACTACAACGAGAAGATGGAGCGGGAGTTACTTGACGAACCGAAAAAGATGTGTTTGTTGTGCAAAAGAGCGTTTCCCTCAACGGACGTTTTGCGAAAACACGTGGAGAAGAGCGAGCTTCATGCGGTAAGAGAAAAATCGATGAATTTTAAAAATTCTGTTGTTTAAGAAAAATTTGGAAACGAAGCGTTCTGAGTGGAGACAAGAGTATGCGGAGATTATGGCGGAAGAACAGGCAAAAGAGCGAGAAAAAGAGTTCCAAGTGCCGAAATTGGTCTATCGCGACCGAGCTAAAGAGCGTCGTCAACAGTACGGCTACGACCCTTCAGGTGATAGGAATCTTCAGCCAGACTTATTATTCCCATCTCTTAGGTTACATTTCCTCCGAAACGGCTCTCAAGTCGGGCAGGAGCGAGGACTCGATCCGGAGAGAGTCGGAGGAAGCGGCGAGTCGTCCTCTCGATGAGACCAACATCGGCAACAAGCTGCTCAAGAGCATGGGCTGGAAAGAAGGCCAAGGCGTCGGGAAGCATGCTCAAGGTCGGTTATTTGGTTTCTGAATCTGATGTCAGAAAAATCCCGAAGGAGGGTGTTTCAGATAGGATTTTTTGTTAAAGATCACTTTTCATATGATTTAGAGATGATTTCTTCGTAAATATCATTACATCACTCCGTGAATAACTGTTTAAACATATTTATAAACGGTTCCAAAGTTATAGCTAACTTTAACGTCAATTCCATATCAGTAGAACTTTTTATGAACTGATAATTAAAATATGTTGATATATTTCGTTCAAAAATAGCCTTTTTATCTGTTTCACGACAATCTCGGACGAAGCGGACGTGCTCTGGGAATTTTCTAGTGACCACTTTAGTAGCCTCAGCACACTTAAGTGATCCCTAGAACTGCTCAATTAAGTGATCCCTAGAATTAGTCAGAAACGTCCGGAGCATTTCCGATTTTCGTCAACGAGGTCCGAGATTAGTTATCACGTTAATCGGGTTTTTTCGTCATCAGAAAAGTTTTTTGAAGCTTTTGGAGCTTTCAAGTTATATTTTTGCCCTGATTCGAACTTCTTCTTACCTCGGACATTAGTAACGCGAAAAAGGAGCGAATCGGCCGTGTCGGGACAATTCTAGTGACCACTTTGGTAGCGTCAACACTCTTAAGTGATCCCTAGAATCACTCAGAAACGTCCGGTTTTCGTTCCCCCATACATAAATTGTCAACAGACATTGTTTCAATCCACAACTTCCAGGTATCGTGGCGCCGATCTCGGCCGAAAGGTTCGTACAAGGAGCCGGCCTGGGATCCGTCGGCTCGCGGCTGACCGGAAACGTCGAGGCATCGCACAAGGAGAAAACACGAGCTGCTCTCTACAGCCGTTACAATCAATGATCTTCTTTTCCGAATCTTTATGTGGTTTGTCTTGAGAAAAATTGTGAAGATCGGGTTCTTTTTGTCCTTTTTTCAGTAAATGTCGATCTTTTTTCACAAACTTCATTTTGTACCATATTTCTTTAGTTATTTCTGAATCGAAGTTTGATAACAAACATGTTTTTGTCAAGGTATTTGAATTTTATCTGCAGCACGAGGAAATAATTTGCCATTTATTTAACTCTTCTGTATTCAAAGAGCGCTCATCACTAATTTTATTCTGTGTTTTTGAGACGCTTGTAGGCCATATTCATTTAATTTTGATTTTTAGAACGATATCTCAATTTTTCGGAAAAATAATCATTTCAGGCCCGTCGAAAATCCTTGCACGTGCTCTTTTACTTCATACCTAAACCATTTCCGAATTGGCTCGCAAAGCAAATAAAAGCAAGTTTTGGAAAAATTATGAATCCTATCTCACGTTCATGCCTTCAGAGACCTTTTTCTTCTCTTTTTTCGAATGAACTAATCGCGGCGGTAATTAAATTTGATTGTTGTTACTTCTTTAGTTTAAAATTATACGTGTCTTGTTTTTTTTTTTTGATGTTCAATTTCTTTGTGAGTGAATAAACTCCATTTCTTCATCCTTGCACTGTGCCGAGATGTTCTCGCAAGAAAACCGGATCACCGACCTCAAGAACCTCACTTGGCTGCACCTCGTCGTGTTCGCCGAGTTTATCGTCACGGCTATCCTGTTCATCTTCACCACAGGTTCGCCACAGCATCAGAATCCCCGAAACAGGGCTCCTTAAGTTGGCGTCGCCATCGGAGAGCAAGTGTGCCCCGTCTTCCTTCTCTCTCTGCTCCAGTTCGGAATCGCTCTCCCGGGCCTGGTCTACATCATTCGCGGCGACACTGGTGATCCTGGGACTTGAAGCTTGATCATCTCCTTACTGCAGTTTGCCTCGCCATCTACATCTCCCTTCAAAGCATCACTGGAGTCTGTGAACTTGTTTGGTTCGGTATTCAGCTGGCAAAGTTGGCAGAGTTCCTCGTCATTGCCGCGTTGGCCTCCCTGGCCATTCTACAAGTGGGCTTCAATAAGGATCTCTTGAATCCTTCCCTCTTTGGTCCGAACAAGAGAGCGAAATTTTTGTACAAATCCAAATTACTTTTGCTATTTAGATTTCGCTACAGCGTAAAAAGTTGCGTTATAAGGTCCGATTATCGTTTTGAGCCCATTTCAAATCAAAAATCGCACATAGAAATCTTGAAGTAAATCTATAACAGCTACTGGGAAAATTCTTAGTGGCCACTATACAGGCTCGCCAAGAATTACTTGGAGAGGACACTAAAGTGGCCACTAGTTTCCGTTTTAGTGGCCACTTCAGTAGTTTTTCATCCAGTATTCCTTCCAGTAACTCTGATAATTTTAAAACACACAGATTGGACCAGTTATGATGATCCATTGACCCCTAAAGTGGCCACCAAAAATTTTTTTTGGTCTAGTAGTAGCACTTAGACCTCTGTAGTGGCCATTATTTTTAACCCCTTGAGGCGCCACTAATTTGACTACTATAGTGGCCACTAAATATTTTTCCAGTACATAAGAGATAACAAATCCTTTTAATTTTTTCGATGTACCAGGTGATGATCCTGAAAGTCTCAACCTCTTAGTTTTCAACAAAAAAAAGGGGTTAAAGTCGAAAAGAACCCTTCAAAAAGGTTATTTTTGAACCAATTTTTCGGAAAATCTAAAAAACGAAAAATAAAATGACCTCTCAAGTCATATCACAGTGTTAAACCTTCCACAGATCGTTTCCATTGTGGTTGCGAGTTTTTTCCGCCACACACTTTTGAATGGCTCGAGGGTGGAAGCCGCACGGAGTAACGAGTCGAACGTCCTGAACGATTCGAACTTGACTATCAGCTACTCTTCGCAAACGCAGCCCGAGATGCACAGTTGGTATATGTCAAGCTTCCGAATCTGATGACGATGTTCAGATGCGTCCGTGTCCCTGGGCGAGTCGACTCGTTCTTCGGCTCCAGAGGACAGTAGAACGGAAACGAGCGCCCATACGCCGCATCGGTCTTCTAAGAACAGTAGTCGTAGCGAAAAGTTGAGGAGGAAAAGCAGAAAGAACAAGGCTGCGAATCTTGAAGAGAAGATCGAGAAAATTGCGTGAGTGTAATAAAAAGAAGTTTTAAAAAAATGAAATGAAGGCAATTCAAGGGCGCATACATAGAGACCGCAAAGCCCCGCCCCTTTTCGCGACTCTGAACTCTATAATCGATCTTTCGGGTTCAGGCAAAGTCCAAACGACCTCAAAGTGGCCCTTAAAGCTCACTTTTGAGTTCTTAAAAAGGTGTCAAAAGTTTCTTGGAATCTTCTTTTTTCCGCGTCCTATTTTTAATCTCCTTAAAAGGTCCTTTTCAGAAAAAAAAAAGTCTAAAAAAGGGGCCTTTGAGGCCTTTTGAGACCTTTTGGACTTTGCCCGTGTTGGTTGCCTCATTCGGGATTCGAATGTCTGCGCTCTCTTCTCTCTCAACGCTGACGTCAGAACAAATCAAAATAGCACGTAAACCTGAGAGGAAAGAGACCGCAGACAAACCGAATATTATTGAGATCAAAGAGTTTACCGGCTTGACATTTTTCGCATGTCTGCGTCTCTCTGTTCCCTCACCGCGAGGCTAGAGAAACATGGAAACATCACGGGAACATGAGAGAGACGTCGAGAGATAAGGAGGGCGCAGAGAAGTCAAGTTGCAAAAAACGGACCACGCGGAAGAAACAACCTTGCAAAAATCGAAAAAAGCTGAAAATTAATTTTTTACCATGATAAGGGAGACGAATTTTTGGTCGTTGATCATTATTAGCCGTGATAATCTTTCATCATACTGATAGAAGAAGAAATTTATTGCAGGTCTCCGAGCGGCGTCTCCATATCGAGCCTCCCCAGCGAGCTTCCTTCCACCGCCCAGGTAAACGTCACTGATACTTTCAAAAAAACATGGTTGATAGTTCAAGAGTACGACCGTGTGATTCTCTTCTCCGACCTGTCTTTTTCTCATCCTTGGCGCCTTGTTAATAAAACTCTTCGTTGTCTCGTTGCTGTTCTGTTTTGTGTTGGTTTGTGAAGGGGGGGCGTGAAGTCGTGACGCGCGCAATTTTTTGCTGAAGTCTCAAGGTCGACGGCAACCGCTCGTTTTGTTACCCTTTTTTTGACCCGAAGTGCGACGAAGGCCGCCGAAGAATGCGGCTGACGACGGTGTTCGCGGCCTTGTTCGGCGTGTGGCCGTCGCCGTCAGAAGCGGTGCATGTGGCGTTGTTCCCCTCGACGGGATGCTTCAGCCACGACGTGATGATGCGTCAGGTCGGCTCGAGCATCAACGCCGACCGCTTCACTTGGGTCCAGACGTTTCTCTACGACTTTGGCTTTGGCCAGATCGCCTTGCCGAGCTCCTGGCGACGCATCAGCCTCTGGGGCTTTGACAGTCAAGGTCGTTTTATATTGTCGATTTGAAGATGACCGAGTTACCTGCTTTCAGGCCAGAAGCTGATCGAAGAGGCTGGCGCCTTGCTCTGGGAGCTGAACGTTCCTTTTGACATCGATCGTCCGTTCGATTTGCGAGGCATTTCGTCCTTTCTCGTGTAGGTTGATTCTTATAGTAACCGTAGCTATGTTTTTTCACTGTATTTTATTCTTTTCAATGTTTGTTGTGTGTTTTTGGCTTCGTGAGATGTTTCTTGTGTTCACAAAGTTCAGGTTCAAAATGATCATTGGGTTCAATTTGTAAAGGTCACAGCTTGAATGGTTATTGGTCCATAGGGGATGATCTACAAGGATATAGTCCGTTTTTCGCGACTTCTCTGCGCCCTCCTCATCTCTCGACGTCTCTCTCATGTTTACATGCTTTTTCCATGTTTTTCTGACCTCACCGGTAGGGACCGCAGACCAATTTTCGAAAAATTTTTTTCAGCATTGAGCTTTGCATGGTTTGATAGCTGTTTCGATTCGAAACTCAGAACCGTTTAGTTTTTCAGAAAAGATTGAGGATGAAAAAAGTTATGACGAAAAATGTGGCGCGCTGCGCACCATTTTTTTAGTACTGAAATTTTGGTATTATCCATTTTAGACATTTTTCTCGATTTTTCTTTTAGAACAATTTTTGATACTGGTCTATTATGATGTAAGAAATCATAATAGAGCTCTAAAATGATGAAAATTAGCTAGTTTGCCGAAAAAGTCGGTATTTTCCAGAAAACAAAAAACTGACGCTTGCGGGTATCGAACTCGCGACCTCAAAATGAAAAATCGCAGCGCACGCCCTGCGATTTTTTTTTTCCAAGCTGTTAGGTCTTGCGAAGGGAGCTTCCATCCGCCATACCCTTGAGCCGTTTGAATAGCACAGATTGCCTATTTCAAAAAAATAAAAAAATTTGAAGTAATTTAGCTATTTTTTTATCAGAAAAATGTTCGCAAATCTTTACTCAAATTTTTCCGTGGAAATTCACTTCGAAAAAAACAGTTTTTTTCAGTGCTTTTTTTGCCTCGTTTAACGATCACTGCATTAAAAACGGCCCCGTAAATTTTTTTGGCAAAGACGAATTTTTTTATTTTATTCTTTTTAATTAAAAACATTTTTTTACTAATAAATGTATATAATCGTTTGAAAAAAACCTGCGTTCGACCGCTTTTTTTGTTTGATAAACGCCGCTAATTTTATTCTCTAGTTTCAAGAGCATTTTTTTGCGTATTAAACAACTTTTTTTCAAGCACATAGGCTGTGAAGAAAAAAATTTAAGTAAGCCCATGGTCTAAATTTTGAAAAAAACAAAAAAACTCGATTATATTCGCTTATTAACGATATTTTTGAATTATGACTTTCGGCACTCCCTAAAAATTTTTTTGGCAAAGACGAATTTTTTTATTTTATTGTTTTAAAATTACCGTTACTTGAATCAAAAATCATTATATAAAAAAAGAAAGAGTGCGTTCGACCTGAAAAACACATGAAAAAAAGCAAAAAAATGACAAAAATTTTTTTAGTTCCATTCACGTTTTTTTGTACGACATTCCGCGAGAACGCATCAAAAAAAGCGTGAAATATTTTTTTTAAACGAAAGAGGAAGCTTTTTCTGTACATGTGTGTCAAATTTTATTCGCCAGTTCCACATATTTTACAACTACAACAAAATGAAAGTTGAAAACCAAAAAAAAAACCACTTTTTCTATCGCGAAAAGGGGCGCGGCTTTGCGGTCCCTACTCACCGGTGAGGGAACAGAGAGACGCAGATACGCGAGAACTGTCAAGTCGCGGCTAACGGACTATTCACGATTCTACTGAAAAATAGCGATGGTGTCCAATTAATATTAGCTTTGCAGAATGCTCCAGCGGCACCAAAAAAGCTGCGAGAAGATGATGTCGGACTCGCGGTTCCAACGTCTTCGGCATGAGAATGTGGACGTTGTCGTTCTTGACCACTTTCTACAGGTATGGCCTTTTTTTGTAAAAAAAGTGTTTTACTCGAAACTCTTTGAAAGAATGATTTTATTTCATTTTTTTGGAGGGGGTTGTTATAATAAATGATTGCAACGAGAACGTAAGATTAGAAAGAAAGTAAGAGATAGACCGGAGAATAACGATACGAGGCTAACCCTAACTAGTTGAAAAAGAGCTGGAAGTTATGACACAGTATTCTGGAAGGGATTTGATCAACTCATACAGGTAGATTTTTCCGTTTGTCACGAAATGGGACTGAAGAGGCAACGAAGGTAGTTAATCTCATAGAGGAATGTTTTTTTTGGAAAAATCTTCAAAGACCGAGTTTCAGATAACCACAGTTTTGAGTAGAATGTCTTCCCATGTCGAGGTTTTTTTTTATGATTTCCTTTTTACCTATCAAAATTGGTAACGCCAAAATACTAAGCAATTAAAATCTTCTAACTGGTTTTCTGAACAAAAAGCCAAATCGCATTAGTTGCTAATTCGGAAAGTGTAGTTCGTTTGGCACAGTGTCGGTCTTAATTGAAGTAAGCTTGTAAGTTTGTTTAAAATCTTTTAACATCAATGAGAGTCATTATGAGTTAAAAAAGGTAAACCTTTGAAATTTCAAAACGTTTGAGCACACATAAAGTTGTTGTGGGAAGTTCATCATTTTTAATTCAAAAATATGGATCGTCGTTTTTGTGATTTCGGCCCAAAAACCGTCCCAAAAACTCACAAAAAGAGAATAGAAGCTTCATAAGCTGTCTAGACTTGTTGAGTGCTGTCGATTACATATATTAGCAAAACATTTCACTTTTTTCCGTTTTTTTAAGCGTATAAAATGAGGAAAAACGCGACAAAAAATGGCGCGTTTTTTGAGGGGAAGTGGGCGTGGCTCTGCGGTCCCTAAGTATGAATATAAAACATCAAAACCTCACGATTGCTCACATGAACATTCTTTGAAAGTTAGGTACCTGTCGGAAATGGGAGCGGCCAATCTTTCTCTCGGTCCCATGGTCGCCGGTGAATGGCGAGACTTTCCGATCAACAAGATCATGATTTTTGAAAAAAAGTCTTTTTCTGATAAATCGTTACCTTTGGGGATAGAGATTATCATATTTAATATGCACACCTTACACTTTAACCTCTTTTGATATCCCCAACAACTTAGAAATTTCAAAGTGATCCCTACAGGGGTTAGGGGAAAACAGCCCCTGTAGGGACCGAAAAGTGGTCCCTATAGCGGTATAATCAAGATGGACTCTATAGGGTTTTAGAATATGACCAATTAGATCCTTAAACTTATGTGTTCCCTATAGGAGTCGTTCAATTTCATTTGAAAAAGCTTAGAGGCCGAAAAGTGATCCCTATAGGGATAAAATTAAGGTGGTCCCTTTAGGGGTTAAGGGTCTGACCTCTTGGCCCCTAAAGCTCAAGTGGTCCCTATAGGAGTCGTTCAATTCCATTCAAAAATGGTTATTTTATTTTTTCGCATGAAAATGCTTCATAAAAATTATCGACTAGCATGTCCCAGGGGCCAAAAGGGACCGCTTTTGAAAGCTTTCGTGGCCCTATAGGGGTTGGTAAAGTGGTCCCTAGAGGCCTCAGCCCTCAAGGTTGCCCCAATAGGGACCACTCTGGAGTTCCTAAGAATATTAACGAATTGATATGACCTAAGAACGGCCGTAGAAACTTGGAAAAACTGAAAGCGTTGACATAGAATTCTGAGGTAGAACTAGAGTGAAGCCTGAATTATCCATCCTAGATATAGTTTTTTTTTTTCATGTAGAGATAAAATCTTAAGGAATGCATGGGCGGTCTCGCGCATCTGCTCAACGCGTCGGTCGTCCAGTTCTCGAATTGGCCCATTGCCGACGGCTACATCACGTCCCTGAACGTGCCAGCGACGCCGTCGGCTTTCCCGAAAACCGGTTTGTAACACAGTTATCAGGGTATTTTTTGAGTCATTACGTCGTCCCTGAACTGCCGCCTACGCATACTTCTCCTTGTGAAGGCAAAAAAAAAAACATGTACGCTTTTTCGAACGAAACAGAACGTTTTAAAAAAGCTCGTTTTCCGCTTTTTTCCTGGAAGACGTATCAAAAAAAAAGTGGTACTTAGGAGCTCCAGAGTGGTCCCTATAGGGGTTGGTAAAGAGGACCCTAGATCTTTCAAAGGTTCCGAAGGTTGCCCATTTAGAGGCCATTCTGGAGTTCCTGAGTTGGGGCCACTGCTTGCAGAAGTGGTCCCTACAGGGGTTTTAGTTAGCGGTCCTTAAAGAAGACATTCTAGGCGGTAGTTGTGAACTCTAAGCGAAGAAGCATTTGCATGAGAAAAACTGAAGGAATAAGCGTTTTCGAATAGAATGGAAAGACCCCTATAGGGTCCACTTGAGCTTTAGGAGCTAAGAGGTAAACCCATATAGAAAACAAACCCCCCTATATGATATAGGGATCATCTTGATGTTACCTCTATACCCCTATAAGGACCAGTCTGGAATTCCTACGTAAGATCCCTCCAGAAGAAGAGGAAGAAAATTAAAGAGAAAATAATTAAAAATTTAAATCCTTTGAAGTTTATTTCAAAACAGAAACACATTACGGAAAACGTGCACAGCCTGTTAATGAGTCCCTTACAGGAACGCGTCTCAGTGGGAATGGAATGAACTTTTTGGAGCGATGCATGAACGTCGTGTTCCACGTGTGTATCGTGTTCACTCGCTTTGTACAGATGCACGTACTTGACACTCTTTTCATCAGCCGCCAGCATCCGACGGTCGGTCGTGCTGCAAACGATTCCAAGACTTCTCTCCTTCAGATCACCGTGGAACGGTCGGAAGCACGACGAACGATCTACGCAGGACGCTCCGAGCTTCTTTTTGAAGTCGTTCGTCCCATCAACAACCGCATACGACACTTTGGTGCTGGCATCACAGAGTTAGGGAGAAAAATTTGACAATATCTCTTTCTTTTTACAGGAAACCTCAACAGTTTGCCACCACTATCGACCAGCCTTACAACCTGGAGGAAAGTCCTCCGAGCGTCTACAAAGGCTTCGGCTATAACTCTACCACCTCCATCGGTCATATCCACTGTGAGAACACGACGATGTCTTCTGAAAAGTCCAAAAGACGCAGTTGGATGTTCGGAGTTACTGAACGTCCTACGGTCTCTCTCCGTCGAGACGCTATCCTTACGCAGTTCCCAGACATGGACTGGAAACGCATCGACAGCAATCCTTTCATCCTCGTCAGCTTTGGCAGTGTCGCTCAGGTCGACAAGATGTCGGTGCGGCTTCTGAGGTCTCTGCTCGACACGTTTGCCCGGATACCCCGGCTCGTCGTCTGGCAGGCCAACGCCTCTCTTGATCGTATTCTCCAACGCGAGAAGATCGAACTTCCGGACAACGTGCTCATCTACCGCTGGGTTCCTATCAAGCAACTTCTAGGTATTTTCCCCATTCTTTTTCGATTACACTTTTTTTCTTTGAACGTACGCTGTTTTTACATTGTAAGGAGAGCGAAAATAGTTCAAACTCAACCTCCGCCAAAGTCCAATCATGGGCAAAGTCGGAACGAGTGGAAAAAGACTCCATAGAATTTTTCCTTTTTGATACCTTTTTGCGCCATTTCATCGGTTCTTATGCAACATTTTTGCTGCCTCTCTCTTTTTCCACCATTTCTTGAGCCTTCAAAGTTCCAGAAAAAAATGGAAGGCTTTATAAAGGGACCCTTTCTGTGGCCTTTTATGAGCCTCTTCCTTTTAGCGACCTTTATCCACCATTCCGACCTTGCCCGAAAATTTATGAAACATTTTCAAAGTTATCTGATTCTATTACGCTTTTTTTATCGTTGTTTTTTTGATTCCTGAAGTTTTTTTGAGAATTGAAAAATTTTTTTGATTTAAGGGGGGTGTGAGAAGGAAATTTGACGCGAAATCTTTCGGAGTTTTGAATGACAAGGTTTCAAGTTGTACGCACCGTTTCCGACGGATATTTTCTCGTTTTAGTGGTTTTTCTGAAGAATCATCTTGCTTCAGCGCATCCTCGAATCGAACTGATCGTGTGCCACGGCGGTATCAACACTGTCAACGAACTCATGCTTTTTGGCGTCCCCGTCCTCGGCGTCCCCCTTCAGGTATCTTTGTCCCGAAATTTGAGTATTCCTCTTCTTTTTCAGGGTGATCAAGCTTCGAACTTGAAAAGAGTCGTCGAATTGGGAGCTGGTGAAATGCTCACCATTCATGAACTATCGGGGCATTTGGAAGGCACCATGAGGCACATGTTGGCGAATCTCGAGAGGTTTTTCCCATTTTTCTGTCGTTTGATTGTTATCAACCTGTTTTTTGATGTGTTGAAATGAGAAAAGAGGAAGAGATATTTTTCAAAAAAGGGGAAAAAGTTAGCTCGTTAGATAATTGAATAATTAATCGAAAACAGTGACTAATGTGTACGGCTAGACGAGGTCAGATTAATTGTGTACGTTATTTAATGAGAAAGTTTAATGATAGCCATAAATAGAAAAGAGTTGAGAGTTAATTGTTCCACTACGAAAAAAAGAGAAGTTACTACCAGGAAAAAAAAAATGTATTACCAGTTTTTTCCTTCAACTTCGTCTTTATATTGATATTCAAAACAAAAATTTGCAAGCTGAATTAATAAGTGAAATTTTGACGAGTCACCTTTGTTTGGCGATGCTTAGGAACTCCAGAGTGATCCCTAGAGGGGCAACCTTAGGCCCCCTTAGAGGGTCCCCTCTAGGGACCACTAAAGTTTGCAAAAGTGGTCTTTATAGGTGTTTTAGTTAGTGGTCCCTATAGGGGACATGCAGGTCGATAATCGTTGTCATGGGGAAATGTATAAACATGTTACCCATGGAACTGATTTTGAAACGTACCTTAGAAAATTCAGAGTGACCCCTATAGGGGTTGTTGTCTCCCCCTAACCCCTATAGGGACCACTCTGGAGTTCCTAAGTGAAAGATCAGTTCGAGTAGTTTTAATAAAATAAAAATTGCTTTTGAAATGATGCAATTTTCGGCAGCGTTGTGTTGTGTAGATGAAAATTTCCTCTTTTCTCAAGTTTCTAGATTTTCTTTAAAACCTTGTCACCACCCAATGTTTCGACGTTCGCAAAAAGACGATCAAATGCAGATATTGGTTGCGGAGCGAGAAGCTGTCTCGAATGCTGGAAATGCATCGCGAGATGCGCGGCGACCTCCAGGGCTTCTGGTTGAACTGGACCGCCCGTCACGGACGCAAACTGGAGTCTCGTACGCTTTTCCGGATGGAGTACCTCGGCGACGTCGAAAACGTCTTCTGGGCCTCCGTCGCTTCTATTCTCGTCTTGTCCGCATTTATTTGTGCCTTGTGAGATTCTTTTTCCTAGTTTCCTAGGCCTCATAACTTAGCTTTTCTATCAGTTCAACACAGAAAAGTCTTTCCTATCGCAATACAACTCAGTCGTGATTTCGTGTTTGTCATTCGATATTCAGTTGTTTTCCTGGGTCGATTTGTTTTTTTTTTTTTTGAAATCTCAGCCAACGAGGTGTATCTCTCTCTAGCCTACCTGCCAAAACTTCTTTTAGTTCAAGTTGTTTCATTTTTTTTTGATCTCCGCTCTACAAAAGAAAAGTTCAAACTCAGGCAACATCGAATATTTCCGGAGTGTAACTGATGAATGACTTTTTAGAGTGTTTTATTTCCTCAACAAAGAATTTTTTTCGTTTAAAAACAAGGCCGTGATCTATTTTGATTGTAATAGCTTTATTTGTTTTCTAGTTTTTTTATTGAATTCAACGTTTTAAAGAAATAAAAGTGTTAAAACTTTCCAACACATATAGATTTGATACGGGCAATAAATATGAGCGATGAGGAAGATTAATAAGTGGGAGTTTGATTTTCAGAGTCTCTTTGAGGACTTCAATTGAGCATTTTTCAGTGATTTACAAGATGTAGGAAGTGATGTAGAAAAAAGAGGTATGATACTTTGGCACACTACCAAATGTCCAGAGAAGTGTTTTTGAATGGAATTCCAAAGGAAAACTCATGTCTGCGGGCTGTGTGAGTCGATCGACTTGGGTCGCTCTCCGTTCGGCTCCTCTACTGTTTCTTGCGGCTCTACTGCGATGACGCCGTTCTGCTCGGACTTGGCTTCTTCGAAGTCTTCTTTCTTTTCTTCTTCTTCTTCCCTTGTTGCAACAGCTATAGGAGCCGGAGCCGCCTCGTTCAGTGTCTCCACCGGGACCGGGTCAGCGGCTGTCAGTCTGCAAAAAAGCAGTTTTCGAAGTGCTCTCTGAGTTTCCGAAAGCAAATAATCTTAGGAACTCCAGAGTGGCCTCTATAGGGGTAACCATAGTGGCCCTTGGAGGGTCTTCTCTAGAAACCAATTTAACAACCCCTATAGGGGCCACTAAAGCTTGTAATAGTGGTCCCTATAGGGGACATGCTTATCGATAATTCATATGTACTCTTTGCGAAGAAGAATTACCATGCGAAAATTAGATAAACAAGCTTTTTTAAATAGAGTTGAAAGGTCCCTAAAAAAACCATTTAAGCTTGAGGAGCTATATAGTCAGTCCACCTTGATTTTACCCCTGTAGGGACCACTTTTTCGGCCCTGATAGGGGCTGCTTTCCCTGTAGGGACCACTCTGGAATCCCAATGAAGTTTTTTGAAAAAGTAACATACGGAAACCAGATACGTCCTTCGTTCTCGGCGTGGATACTACTGAACGTGTACAAAACGTCATCTGAAACACGAGCGACTTCCGAAGAAATCACTTGGGAACGCACTTTTGTGGATTCCGAAGCGATGCCGAAACTTGCGAAGAGCCTCGTCGATGTAGACTTGAGCTTCGCGGCCTTTCCACAGAGATGCGACGTAGACGCCCGTTGGAGGATTTTTCCGGTGGACTTTCATCACAGCCGATGTCTGCAGTCGCATTTTAGAATCGAATTTCGTTCAGTTTAGATGCTTTTTTGGAGGATTTTTGAAAATTTTCTATCAATATAGTCAATTTTTTCTGACTTGAAAGACGAGACGGGTAGATTGGCAAGGACGTAGCTTTTGGCGGAAATCTCGAGGTCTAATTTAATCATGGAAATTGGAGAAAAAAATATAAGCTTTTCATTATTTTTTTTATACTGTTATACTTTCAACTGAACCTTTACTAACCCATCGAAAACTAAAATTTTTTTGAAATTGTTGAAAAAAAGAAAAAAAGGCGGCTCGCTGTTTAATTTCAATTTCCCGCCAATAGCCGCGTCGCACACGCAACGCAACGCCCTTACCGGCCAGAAAAGATTGGATCTAACTTTCGTAATATTTTCCGATTTTCCGGAGTGAATTTTAAAAAAAAAGCTTAACAAAAATTGGAGATATGTCTACCCCGATCAAGGAAGACGGTGGTACGAGCATCCGCATATTCAATGGCGCCATTTTCATGTCCTCCAGGCACCTCATCAGTTTCCCAATAAGACCTCGACCAATGACACTTGGCATAGTTACCACGAATACCTGAAAATAAAATGAAAAAAACTCCAGGAAATGACGGAATAGGGTCCAGGTGTTCTTGCAAATAATCACCAAATATCCAGATAAGCTTCCGGCTTTTTTTTTGTCCTTTCCGCTAATCATGTTTAGAGATTTGGAATGGATGAATGGAATAGAGTTTTATATATAGGAACACAAGTTAGAATAAAAAATAAGCTCGGATCGAAAAATCAAGAAAGAGTAGAAAAATGAGGATTATCCAATAAGACCTCGATAATTGACAACCGGAGTTGGGAGACAGATTTTAAGCCTTAAACCCAAAGTTTTTAGGCCTAAGAAATTTTTTTAAGCCCAAATTTAAGGACTTTATGCTATTTAATTATGTAAGTCAGATCGAATAGCTTTTCAATTTTGATTACAGTTCTTCGGAACTCCAGAGTGACCCTATAGGGGCAACCTTAGGCGCCCTTGGAAGCTCCTCTATAGGGACCACTTTACCAACCCCTATAGTGACCACTGAAGCTTGCAAAAGTATAGGGGACACGCTAGTCTCTAATTGGGAATTCTAAGAGATCCATGGGAAAAAACTGGAAAAAAAAACGTTTTTTTGAATGAAATTGAAAGACCCCTATAGGGTCCACTTGAGCTTTAATAGGTCAGGGGTCAGACCCTGAATCCCTTTAGCCCCTATAAGGACCACTTTTTCGGCCCCATAAAAGTTGTTTTCACTCCTAACCCCTCTAGGGATCACTCTGGAATTCCTAAGTAAGTCCTAACTACGAACAGGCTGAAGTTTGGTTATCAAAAACAGCGTTAATATAGATTTTTTTTAAATAGAGCTTAGAAAAACCGTTTGAAGTTGCTCGCTTGAGACATCCGGGACGACGAGCTCCTTCTCGGAGACTTTGTTCGGACGACTGCAGCAGAAGACGGATCGAAATAGCATATAACTGACGCGATCTCCTCGGTCGACCATCTCAAAACAAAAGGATGTCTAAATCCGCGCGGACGGATTAGCTGCAACAGGGCCCTGATAATAGCTCGGTTTCCATAGTCGCAGAACACTTGTCGTCAGGGAGGACGCAGAAAGCTCGACGAGTTAATGAGATATCACAAATAGAGAGGTTCTCTTTCTTTTTGAGCTCTTGCCAACTCTGCACCCTCAAACTTCAAAGCTCACGCCTACGGTGACGAAGGAATTTTTTTTTAAAGACATCGGGGCACTAAAAAACGGGGCTTCATGTGAAAGCAGTATCTTATATAGTTTTTCATTGCGAATCGAACGGTGTTATCAAAAAAAAAAACAAATGTGACTACTTATGAAGAAAAACGCGATTTTACTTTCCCGCCTTTAATTTTGAAAAATGCGTTGGATCGGTGCTCACTGATTACAGTAGCCGTGCACGCGATGTTGCGGACGTCTCATTAGACTCGCACTTTGTGCGATATAACCGGATATCCTTTTCAAATCAAGGGTTTTCACTCTGAAAAAAACATTCAGTCAAACAAAAAACACACACCGATAATAAAGGAAACACAAACTATGGCTATCTCAATCGAAACCTGTTTAAAATCATTATTTTTCACCAGAGAAGCATTTTTGCGATTAAAGACTTTAATTTAAAGTTTGCAAATTATACATGAATAGAAAGCTTTTGTGACGGAAAGGACTTTGGTGACAACTGAAAAAAATTGAAAATTGAAAGAAACGAAGAAAAAGCGAAAATCCGAAAAATGGCGATACGTGTTGTCCATAGAGCCCTCAAACTTTCGCCTCTCCTACTTTGAACTACTTTTTCATCAAAACTAGGAAGTTTGGTACGCTTCCAAGCTCACCGTTCGATTCGTAATGAAAACTCTACGACGTACTGATTTGAACTGAAACACCGTTTTTTACTGCTCCTAAAGGTTTATATAAAGTTCCCGTACTGTCACGAATTCGAAGAATGGGGGGATTGTACTTCAACATTTCTGCTTGTCTTTGCTCAAATAAATATGAAGAGTATATTTATTTTGGGATTTTCCTGAAAATTTGTCAGAACGCTCCTTGATGTACCAGAAAAAGATTTTAAAAGTTTAAAACTGCATTACTTCCTCGTTTCTGAGAAATAACGCCTCCAAGTCAAAGAAACCCTAAAAACCCATTAAAATAGGCTATTTTGGGGCTTTAGGTCCCTGTTTCTCGTAAAGTAGAAGGTTAAGCGGGTTGACTTCCAGGATCTTAATGTTGTTGACTTCCAGGATCTTAATCTGGAACATTGAGGAGCGTTCTGGGCAACTTTCAGGCAAAGTAAAATGACCTTCCTTGTTAGAAACTTCAGAGTCCCTATAGGAGCTACTTAGGAGCTCTTGGAGGATCCCCTCTAGGGACAACTTTACCAACAATAATAGGGCCACTGAAGCTTGCAAAAGTGGTCCGTATAGGGGTTGTAGTGTGGCCCCTATAGAGGACATGCTAGTCGAAGATTGTTATGAACTTTAAAGGAGAAGTATTTCTATGAGAGAAACTGAATAAAGACCCCTATAGGGACCACTTAAGCTTTATGTCTGACCCCTTAGCCCCTGAAGCCTTTAGGCGCTAAGGGGTCAGCCTAAACCCCTATCGGGACCACTTTTTCGGCCCCGATGCAAATCGTTTTCCCCTCTAGCCCCTATAGGGACCACTCCGGAATACGTCAGTATGTCTGCGCTGTTTTCTAATCGCTAAAATTAAAACTGAAACTTTCGAAGTTTTTGGAGAAAACTTATGGAGACAAAAAAACCTCCTTCATCGTTGAGCTTGACGCGATTTTTATAAACTGGGCTCCCACTTGAAAATAAACAGCGAATAGCTTTGAATCATTTCTAAAATTTGACGCCGATGAGTGGTGGGTCTTCTTGAGTATAGCCTTCTTATCCGAAATATAAAAGAAATGGGAGGGGCGCCAAAGAGAAAGTCGGACAGGTCGCTGTCAAAATCCGAAGGACAGAAGTCGAAAAAGGTGAAGGAAAGCCACTTTCGCTGTTAAATTGCTTTCAGAGTAAGCATAAAACCGTTTTGAAGTCACCCAGAAGCGAGCCGTCGATGAATCGGAAAAGTAGCTCGAAAAAACTTCAGAGAGGTTTTCAAAGGTACAAAAAAAACCTTAATTATTTTCAGGACTTACTCCCCCTGAAGACACGCCAGTATTGAAAGAAGAGCCGGATAAAGAGCCTGTATTTCCTTCTTATTTTTCATTTTCGCAATAGTTCCATTCAGAAGTCGAGCGATAGGAACAAAAATACGTTCAAAGATAATTACAAAGGAAAGGCACAGGAAAATGAAGAAAAATCGCGTCCAGATGTCGAAAATAAGCCTGAAGGCGTCGGTGAGAAAGCGAATCCGCGACTCTCTGTGATGAAAAGCTTCAGAGAAGAGTCCGGGGACGGGCGTCGAAGGAGCCTTCAAGCCGGAGCAGACGCCTTTCTTGATGGAGCAGCGGCAGAAGACGGCGATCCGTGGCGAGGCCCTCAAGAGAATTCCGACCATAACTCTGATCTTCCTGGCTCTGGAACTGGTCTGAATAGAAAGTTGGACTTAGAAAAAGGTTCTGCAGGCCATTTGCCTAGTGACGTTGACGGTGTGGAGCGCCTTAGGCGACAATCCGCCGATGCCTTTGGTCCTCGCCATCGTGAATCTCCTCATCACTTTTCTCATCATCACATTTGTCTTTTTTGTTGAGGTTTGTCATCATCTCTACGTTTCATTTAGTCTGCCCAAAAAACCTTGTTGAAGTTTTTTCAAGAAAAGAAGCCTTCCGTGATTTAAACTAAGAAGATTCGCCCAGATTCGCCCAGGCACATAAAAAACAATTAAAACATTGTCAAAAAAGTGAAAATATCAAATAAAAGAAAAAAATGGAAAGCGCGACCGAAATTCGCAAAGGCAAGGCGCTTCGCGACAGCGCGCACTAATACCACAAGAACATCGGAGTTTCGTTCCATGAAATTTCAAGTCGTGGCACATCGACTATATAATTTAAATTATAACGCTCTTTCAAAAAATGACCCGTTTTTTTTTAAAATTTTAACGACTAGAAATACTGAAACACAAAGCAGGTTTGCCGAATGCAAGTGAAGGAGACGGGAACCGACGTGAACGCTCGTTATATAGTGCCGTATGTTTGGAAGCTTGCGGTAAACCCTGCAGCCGACTTGGAACGACTTTCGGCTTAAGCTCTGCTCGGCCCACATGTGTCGGACGATACTCGTTTGTGCCAACTTGACGATTGTCGCCTTCGACAACGACTTTGACCCAGGTATCTTTTCCTTTTTCTTCAAATCCTATGTTTCCAGGATCAATAACTATGCTTGCTGTGCAGCCGGTGATGCTACTCATGTCGGTCTTCCATCTGGTCCTGGCCATCCGACCGAGACGAGACCGGTGAAGGAAAGCTTTTCGTTGCAACAACAACAACAACGCTGTGGAATACACCTTTTCAAGACTTTATGTTTTGCCATCTTATTAAAATAATAGCGAGTTCTGTTTGTAGAATACAAATTGCGAGAGTGGAGTGATGTGCGGGAGAATGGGCGACGTTGTTATTCTGAATTCCTGATCGTTTTTTTGGGACTACAAATTCTCGCAGATATTTTCCGCAAGCCGTCAGCTTTGAGCAAAACTGACCTTATGGGGACACGTGTTTTCGGGGGCTTTTAGTCGGACTCGCCGGCCATGAGTTCCCAGAATTCTGAAACAGATTGGTTGGCGAGAAGGACCGGATGATCAGACAAACCTTCGAACTCGATCTTGCCGGAGCCGTCCTCGTCGATCTCGTCGACGGCCTCCTCAAGCTGTTGGTCGGTGAGGTCGTCGGCGATTTCCTTGAGCAGCGCCTTGAGCGTCGGCCGGGCGATGTATCCGTTGCCCTGAAGCCAGAGAGTTCAGTACGATATGGTGATGAGTGGAGGACCTCCTTGTCGAAAAGCCGGAAAGCTTCTCGGAGTTCTTTCTCCAGCGTTTCCTTGTCGACAGTGTTGGCGACTGTGTAGACGAGGGCGCAGAATTCGTCAAACTCGAGCTTCCCCGAACCATCGGCGTCGAATTTCCGGATCAGCTTGCGGAGGGTCTGAAATCACAGAATGAAGGAGGGGCCAAGTCTCAGCAGCTCAAAAGAAAGCTGATTGTACTTTTCATTGCTTCAAACGATCAAAAATACGTTTTGAAATTCTTCAAGTCCAATTGATACTTTGATACGAGTAATTTACTTAAAAAGCAAAGCGATTCGTATCTTCGGAACTTCAGAGTGGTCCCTAAAGGAGCAATTCGAGATTCTTCTCTAGGGACAGCTTTCCCAACCCCTATAGCGGTCACTAATATTTGCAGAAGTGGTCACTATAGGGGCAAGCTAGTTTTTATGGATTCTGTGCGAAGAAGCATTTCCATGCAAAAAACTAAATAAATAAGCGTTTTTCGAATAAAATTGAAAAACCCCTATAGGGATCACTTAAGCTTTTGAGGCTAAAGGTCAGACCCTAAGCCCCTATAGAGACCATCTTTATTTTACCCCTATAGAGACCACTTTTTTCTGGCTCCTATAGGGGCTACTTTTGCCCCTAACCGCTTTAAGGACCACTCTAAAATTCGGAAGTACACTTTCATTGATTTCAAAAAAGAATTACATTCATATAGTAAGAACTTTTAACTTTTGATTTTTGACGATCTAATTTTCCCACCCAGCTCCCAAATTTTTGACTTTCTTCTTTACTGTCAGTTCAAATTGTATCATTTCTTATCTATGATGATGATGAATCTTCGAAATCACCTTCTCGTCGAAGTCCTGCTCCATGGAGTGCATAATCTGGCCGATCTGCGTCGCCATGATGTATCCCTGCTTTCCGCGGTCGAACGCGTCGAAGAACTTTTGGTATTCTGAAAAGGAACATAGGCATGCCCTTTCGAGTTCGATACGAACCTTCGATCTGCGAGCCATCGATTTCGGCGAGGATCTCTTCGATGTCTTCGGCCTGGAATCTCGCTGAGTTACACAAAAGTCGGATGTGGAAGGGCTTTAAACTAAACGCCGCAGCCGCCTCTGTCCGCTTCCTTCTTCCTACATAACAATGCTCGAAAGCAAGAACCTACTCTTTTTCTAATTCCGAAGTATTAAGGAAAAATCTTGACAAAACTATTTAAAGGAAGACCTTATCAGTGGGATAAACTGGAAAAAAAAACTTCCTTGCAGATCTTTTTGATCCGGAGATAACGACAAAAGCGCTCTTGGAAATTGAATACTATGACTTTTTAGCGTTCAGAAAATTAACCTAACACTTCTTCTTTTTAAACTTCAAAGGAGACCTTTTAAAAAAAGAAAGAAAACTGCAAAATTCTGGGTATACTATGTTCGGTAAAGGCTCAACTTTGCTGAGGGAACGTTCAAATTGAAACGAATATAAAAAGGCTAAATAAAAGAGAAAAGTTAGACTCACCATGGTGTCTTCGGGTGGAGAGCAACTGGTGCGACTGAGCCACCAGAACTGAGGCGCAGGAGGAGCCTGTGGGGGCGTCGCTTCCCTGAAAACATCGGCCTCCGATTACAACGTCGGCAGCCTCCGTCGTCGCGTTTTTTTCTTTCTTTCTGCCAGCCGCATGAGTCCATTCATCCGAGGGCAACGCTGTATTACAGTTGTCCGGCCACCATCCGACAGGTGTTTCGTCCTTTGGAAGGTTCCAGCCAACGGTGTTGCAAGGCAATCAAAAATCGCTGGAAACCGAAGGGCACTGAACTTGGTTAAGCTCCAGAGGAACATACAAGAGACGGGGAAACTCCTGAGGGGTCCCCCATAGGGCCCCTATAGGGACCCCTCGAAAGTTTCTCAAGACGTAATTTCCCTCTGCTGGGAAAATTTTTAGTGGCCACTGTAGAGGCTCGCCAAGGAGTACTCGGAGAGGAAACTAAGGTGGCCACTACTTTCTGCTTTAGTGGCCACTTCAGTAGTTTTTCATCCAGTATTCCTTCAAGTAACTCTGATAATTTTAAAACGAACAGATTGGGCCACTAAATTTTTAGTGGTCTAGTAGTAGCACTTAGACCTCTATAGTGGCCACTAATTTCTAACCCCTCAAGTGTCCACTAATTCGACTTCTATAGTGGCCAATAAAACGTCAAAACCCTATAGTAGCCATTAAAAATTCCCAGTGAAGTTTATAGGCCGTATTCATGGACATTCGAACAGTATAATATTCTAACATAGTAGTTCGACCGAACAAAGATAAGTCAAGGGACCCCTGAAAAAAGAAAGTACGCTTCAGTGATCACTTAGATTTATCCAATGATCTCTTAAGAATAAATTGGAAAAACGAACCCCGTTTTTTTCCTCGCGACGCTATTGTGACCCACGCTTGTAGAAAGCGTTACGGAAAAAAAAATAGTTTTTGGCTAAAATTCATTTCTTTCTTTTTCACTTTTCCTGTTTTTTTGTGTACACGAGAACGTTGAAGAAATTTTATAGGCTTAGTGTACTTAGTAGGGATGGGTTTCTTTTCATTATTATCTCATTTCTACCACCCGAGTGGTCGGTCTTCATTTCCGCTCTCGTCCGAGATTCAATCCGACGCCCGTCAGCCCTGGACAAGCTAGGCGCCGTACTGTTCCTACATGGAGAAGCAGTGATCGTCGGAAACGCTCAAAAATCGTCTACTACTAGCACAAGAGAGGCGAGATGTTCTACGCGCCGTCTACGCTTGATCAACGACATTATCGCGAACCGACAAACAACTCTTCAATTGTTCCATGATTCAGCAGAGAACCTACTCTGAAGACTGAATAAAACTTTCAAACTTTTAAACTTTCAAACTTTCTTTTCAGTAGGAGCGAAATTCGAAGAAATATTATATAATTTGATCGATCGATGAATTCCACATGGAATTTTAAAAATAGTTTTTAAATTCAATATCATGTAAAAACTTTTTTTCGAGAATATTTGAGAGAATAGGTTTTTTTCAGCCTTTTTTTCGTTTAAAAAAAGTTAACTAGTTTTTAACCTGCGAGGATCAAAACTTTTCTATTCCAAAAATTTTTTTAGCATTTTTTTCAAAAACATTATTCTTTAAATTCCAAGCGAAAAAAAACTTTTTTGCGAAAAATTAGCTGCTTTAAATGTTAATAATTTTAGTTAAAAAAATAAAGATTTACAAGTTTTATCAGGTTTAAAGTAATTAATTTCAAACTATTATTCTGTTTTCCGAAATTTTCGAAAATGGATGAACATGGTGAGCATGGCTAGTCTATTAATAACTTTTGAGATTTCAAAAACTATACAAGTCCAAACCCTAGAAGATCATGTTAGAAAAATAATTTTGGCTAGTAAAGTCAGAAAGCTTGGAACTCGAAAGCAGATTTGAAAAACCCAAGAAAAGAGAATTTTGAAAGAAGGTGATTTTAAGGGATATAAATGTGTAAATTAACGTGTCAAATGTCTGCTTCCAGAAATTTAGACCGTAAAAATACGATTCCTCTACGTTTCAAAATTTTGAAAGCCGTAAATACTTACGCGTCAAAAGTTTTTTTTTTCATTTTTGGCCACTCAGAGCTGGCTTTTCAGGCGGAGGTTCAGGCGTAGAGACGAAAGAGTGGGCGAAGCAGCGAAAAACTGCAAAATCCAGGGATATTTTTCACGGCAGAAAGCAAGCTACAGTAAAAACAGCATTTGCAATACAAAACTGCTTGAAAACTTAAAAAAAAAGGTCTCGAAACGGAGTGTGGTCCCATTTGATCCAATATGTTAAACAGTCTTTCTTACAGACTAAAGAAACTGGATAAGCTGATGCGAAATGGCTTATAGTTTGAGTTTCGCGGAGTTGGAACACGGCATTAACTCGAAAACGTTAAATCAGTGCCGTATTTTCAAAATCATGCTCCAAAAATAGGCATTGGAGGGGCTTCGCACCTTAATCGTACAACGAGAAGACGAGATGTAGAGTGCCTCAAGAGAACGACGCAGTGGAGAAAAATGAGGCAAAACCTACTGCGCCACAATTGCAGAAAACTAGGCGTGGCTTAATTTTAATGCGCGTCGCTTTTTATGCATCGCGTGCACTGCGTACAACACATTTTATTTCCCGCAATTGCGACGGGTGTGGCGTTGATTTGGTGTCGCCGTGTTCAAAACCCTACTACATTTTACATGTTTCTTTCTGAATTTCTACTTTTGTGTTCATATTGTTCTTCAACTTCGACCTCATAATAAGTGGGAAAGTCATGTAGCTCCTCGGCATTCACCGCTTTAATCAATGAAAATTTTAAAAATAAGAATTTGCGAAACTTCACTTTTTTCTCTCTATGTATTTGACATCTTGCTATTTTATTTATGTGCAGAATATGTTTTTTCACAGTTTTAACTTTTTCAAAAAAGCTTCATAGTATGTTCAGATTTTGAATGTCAAATCGCTTAAATCCGCCCCTTATGCGAAGATCAAACCAATCAGAGAGCGAGCTATCTACAGAGCGTTGTTGGGGGCGGAGCTTGATGCTTGATATTCAAAAACTGAACATCAAAATATAATTTCTAAGCTCGATTTTATGATAAATTTTCAAGTTACGGGTGTTCCACGCGAAAGGCTAAAACTTTTTGATATCTCGGCCAATTTTTCATTTTGATAGGCCAAAATGTTCACACAGGTGCACTGAAAAGATTTTCGATAAATAAAACGTTCAAAAGAATTTTCAGACCACCTGCGGGGATCGCGTAACATCTATTTCAAAAAACTTCTTCAACCTGTTTGTTCAATTCAATTTTTATTTCATAGAAAAATGTAACACATTAAATTTTTATCTGTCATTTGGAAAAAAAATGCCTCGCTACCGTAAAAGTTTTGTTTATGGCAAATGAAAAAGAATAAGCAAAAAGACGAATTTGAACAACCTTATCGCAAAATCGCTATTTTTACGATCGCTTAAAACATGATCTTTCAGCTTTCTTTCCCATTTCTTTTTCACTTTCTTCCTTTTTTTGAACCTCATATCTTTCTATTGTCGAACTTGATGAATTAGAAACCTAGTTCTTGTCACCAAACGTGAGAAAAGCAGCTTTAGCGCTGTTAATAAGCAAACAAAATAATCTTCGAAAAGGACTGTTATCAGACTTAGGACGTCATTGGGCACACTGAAGGTCGGAAAATGATTCGAATGTTTCCTTGGGCGAACCAGCTCAGCTTTTACTTTGTTAGGAATTTTGTTTTCTTCTTTTCTTTCACAATTTTTAATTCAGTCTTAGACTTTCTTCTATTACAATTGAAAAAAATTCACTAGGAACTGTTCAAAGGAACTTTAGTTCTAGACTTTCAAAGTTTTCTCAATCATCACGTCGACCTTCTTTCTTCTTTTTTTTTTCTCCCTCATGACCAGCGACGCTGAAAAGAGAAGACAACGATCTAAAATGGGAAGTTCCACTTGAGAGTGTTCGTCGGTCGCCCACTTGTTGAGAAAAAGATTTAAATGTGTTCAACCGGGCCCGCTTCGCATCGCGGTTATCAGTGCAAAACGAAGGCAACCCGCAAAAAAAAGAACTTATCGAACTGTCCAGATTCGCCAACAGCTCAAACCACGTATTTATATGCATGACGTGAGGAGGTGAAATTTTTTGTTACTCTGGAAAACGTATCGTTTTTGCTGACGAAAAAATGATGAATGCTTAGCTTTTCCACAAAATTCTTTGAAAAATTTTCCTTTTACGTAGTAGAAATTTGATCACTGTGTATTTCAAAAAGTGTATAGCCCGTTCACGGCTAGTTTGGGACGCTAAGGGGGCGTATCCTGTCTGCGCTCTCCACGAGCCAGGCGCTGTCTCGTGCATTATCGTGTCAGGACCCTTTTTTCGATGGCTCAAGCCAGCCGTGAATCAGCTATAGTCCGTTCAAGGCTTGGGACAGCGAATGGGCGGCTTAACTTGCGCGGTGATGGTAGATCATGGCGGACATACATGCGCCTTTAAAAAGAGCCTAATTTGGTGAATTGTTTCTGATTTTATTGAATTTATTTTTCTTCATTTATTTTTATTATAGTTTTACACTAATCACATAGCAATTTATTATAGTTTACATTGATCTCATCGTTTTAGATTTTTTTTTTAAATCGACGAATTATAAGATGAAAGCAAATAAGCCATAAAATGTTATGGAAGGCGCATATATATAGTTGCCGCGAAAATTGAACCGCCCGTTCGCTGTCCCAAGCCAGCCGGGTTATACAGATGATTGAAGGAAGAATTGGGAATTTTATTCGAATCAAATCACTGTCATTTTGCTTTGAGTTCAATTTTTTTGGCGGGTCGCTATCAGTTACGATTGAGGCTTAGCAGACGATTAGCTTGATTGATTGCCACTGTTCATTTTTGTTGATGTGGTTTCTCTCAAATGCGAAGAAAGTCATTTTCAAATAAAACCATGTCGAATCAATTCTCTTCTACCGTGGGAACTGTTGTTTTTGGGGGACAGTTGAATCGAAGCAAAAGAGCGCCTAGGGACGAACGCTGGGCATGCCGAGCCACTTTTTTTTTTCGCGTCGCACAATCGTTTTCACTTGTCGGCCCGCTTTCAAATCGATCGTACAGTCAGTCGGCTGCCTCTCTTTCTCTTTTTCCGCTACACGTCGTGTTGTTGTCTCTCTACAGCATTCGCATCCAAATGACGCCTCGTTGTGGTTCAGAAGCCACAGCGAGACTGGCGACCATCGTCCGAAGACGTGCCGCCCGCCACTGAATGTTTGATAGGCTGTGGCTGAAGGTAGTTCTCCTTCTACTCTCATGCCGCGCGGTCGAGTTCCTTCCTAACGTCATCCTAGGAGTCGGAAGATAGAATCGCAAGTTCAAAAGTGACCCTTTTTTTTTACTTTCAACTTCATTTCATTTCTGATGGCAATGAAAGTTGGACATTACAGTAGCATCCTCCATCCTCTTGTTGGTTTTTCGACTTTGACCTATGTCTTAAGAAGTTCACTTGGTGTTTTTTTTTTACTTCTTCTGTAGAACTAATTTTCGACAATTCCAATAAAAAAATGAAGTTCAAAAGGGGAACAGAATTTTTGAACGCTTTAACCATTGCCAAAATAAAAAATCGTTTTAAGGTTTAAAAAACTCAAGTTTCACTGATAGAGAGGGCTTTAAAAAATCATAAATGGAAATCCTTCCAGAACTTTTTTGTCTAGTGCAGAGAAAGATGGAATAAGTGTAATTCATGCAAATGTGGCATACGATTATTTCACGGAAAAAACTATGATTGCTTTTTACAGTTCTCTGTACTGTCAGTGAAGCGCTATCTTTTTAAAAATGAAATATGAGAACCTCGAAAAAAAGACTTATACGATTTTCAACGTCTTCTTTCCCTTATTGTATGATATAGAAAAGAATTTCTAAAATTTCAATGAAAGGAAAGATTTTTTCCAATCAAATAAAGCTTATGAAGTTCACAGAAAGCTTAAGGTAATGGGTGCCAACTCGAGTCGACGCGATGAAGGCGGCGGCGAAAAGCACGTGGGCTGTTGTCCCTGGAGGACGTAGGTTTTCGCGTTTTCGGATATTCTGTATTCATTGGAAGATCATTTTGCACTTTTTGCACATGATAAACTGAAAAATTTTTTGGGTCGTGAAGTTCAATAATGTATTCAGGAGCGCAGGGGAGGATAAGGCGGCGGTCGCTCTCCGACGTCCCACAAAACTTCCTTCCAAACTTCGAAACAAGTAATAAATTCATCATCAAAGGGAAAAATGATGGTTTTGAACATGATTAAGTTTTTAAAACAAAATTTCGGTGTCCATAGGAACAGTCCCTATAGGGCCAACCTTAGAAGCTTTTGGAGGTACCCTTGAGGGACTACTTTACTAACCACTATAGGGGCCGCTAAATTTGCAAAAGTGGTCCCTATAGGGATTTTAGTTAGTGATCACTATAGGGAACATACTAGTCGATAATTTTAATGAAGATTAAGCGAAGAAGCATTTCCATGGGAAAATCTGAATAGTTAAGCGTTTTCAAATGAAAATTGAACGCCCCCTTTAAGGACTACTTAAGCTTCAGGGGCTAAGGGGCTAGACCCTAAACCTCTATAAGGATCATCATGATCTTATCCCTGTAGGGACCACTTTTTCGGTCCTTATAGGGCTCTTTTCTCTCTCTCTAATCCCTATAGAGACCCCTCTGAAATTCCCAAAACCAAATTTCGATCTTAACGCGTTTAAGACAGCAAAGGATTTGGGCTCACTGCGTAAAGCTTTTTTTTTTCAAATTTCCATTTATTTTATTCAGTCAGTTTAGGTTTCTTAAATGGGGGGTTCTCTTTGATTTTTTTCTTCCCAATTTTTTTATCTTCGATGAAATATGAAAAAGTATTGTAAAATCTATATTTGATAGAAAAAGCGTTCTTTGCACTCTTGTTCGAATTTTTCTCTTTCTCTTGTTTGTACATCTCCGATTCCTTCAAATGCACCACAAACACGTTGGCGCCTTTCAGATTCTTCCCAACTTTCCATCCTTTTTCCACAAAAACGCGGGTTGTTACAAAATAAAGAATTTATAGTATTTATTGAATAGAACTACGCTCCCAGATGTCTTTCCTAATTTTTCGCAATAGATCTCGTTTTCGAGTTAGGACACTTTCAAAGCTTGAAATAGCGCTTTTCTTCATAATTTACGTATTTTGCGGGCTTAGAAGCTTCATAACTCGAAAAAAGATCTATTTCGAGGAATTTGTTTTCTTGTTCTGCAATCAGGAGGTCCTAAAGTACACTTCAGCGAAGTTTCATAAAAGTTTAAATCGGGTCTAAAAAAGTAGATCCAACTTGTAAGTTTCTATTTGGAAAACTGTGTTCCGCAGGCTTGGCTTTTTAGATCTTTAGCTAGTAAATTTCGGTGAATTTTCATGAAATATTAAAAAAAAAATGTTTGAGATACTTTTTACTTTGGTTTAATTGGACTTGTGCTGAGATTGAAATGGCTAGAAAAGTCAATTTTTTTTTTGTACCATTTTTTTTTCGATTTTTAAACAGCTCACTTTTTTTTCGAGCCGTTGTTGATCCAGAGGTTTGAACAACAACGTCAGTTTCAGGATTCGGAAACAAGAAGACAGATCTCGCGAATGGGAAGAGATCCCGACGCCTTCTGTTTGCGACCATCGCGACACAATCACCGAGGAGACGCCTCTGTCCGCACTTCCACAGGACCGCCTCATGCACGTTCGTTTTATGACTTTCTAGTTTCTGAGGCGTACTTAGGAACTGTAGAGTGGTCCCTATAGGGGCCACCTTAAAGGCCTTTCGAGGGTCCCCTCTAGGGACCACTTGAACAACTCCTATAGGAGCTACTAGAGCTTGCAAAAATGGTCTCTTTTCTGAATAAAATTGAAAGACCCCTATAGGGACCACTTAACCTTTAGCGACTATGGGGTCAGACTCCATACCCCTATAGGTACCACCTTGATTTTACCCCTCATAGGGACCACTTTTCCGGATCCTATAGTGGCTGTTTTTCCCCTAATCCATATAGAGACCACTCTAAAATTCCTTAGTTCGTCTGGATTTTTAACGTCGATAAATGAGCAGCCTTGTTTTTAATAATGAGTTACATTTTTATAGTTTTTGCTCTTTTAAGTACAAGTTTAAAGTGCCTTCTTTTTAGAAATGTAAGCAGAAGAAAATTTAAATTTCATTCGGAAGCATTTTTTTCAAATAAAAATCAGAGTTTTTCCATATGTTCCAAACGTACTGTGAGAACATCAGTACAATCTGATGTTATCGCAATAAATTTTATTACTTTTTTTGTTCTTTTTCTAATCTCCTTTTCTCACCGTCCATATATATACCCAGAAGCTTTATGTTTCTTTTTCATGGTCACGGATTTTTTTCCTTCAAGACCTGTTTTCCCAAAATACTCTCTTTTTTTTCGTAATTGTTTATAGGGTTTAAATTTTGTACTATTTTCGATAATCGTTTTTGTGAAAAAATTTTTTGAATAATTTCCTTCCTTAAGAGATTATTAAGACTTTTTTTTTTGCGTGTTTACTCTATTAGAAGGCTTTAACACAGTATTTTAATCAGGTCTACTTTTTTTTACTGTTTTTTTTTTTCGTAAATTGCTTCCTACTCACTGCTTCAGTTGTTAGTTTTGTTTGAAATGGGTAAATTTTTTTAAAAAATCGCTTCTGAGGAATTCTAGAGTGGTCCCTATAGAGGTCTTTCAATTTCATCCGACGAACGCTTATTTATTTAATTTTTCGCATGAAAATGCTTCCTAGAGTGCATACAATTAACGATTAGCATACCCCTATAAGGACCACTAACTAAAACCCCTATAGAAACTATTTTTGCAGCTTTAGCGGCTCCTATAGGGGTTGGTAAAGTGGTCCCTAGAGCACTCTGGAGTTACTAAGCTATCTTGCAGAATTTATGATCAGAAAAGAATGAAAAAAAAAATCTGCAACTTTGACTGCAAACAAAAGTGTTTGTTGTTATTTGTCCTCTGAGGAAACAACTTCGAGTCATGTTATTTAGTCGAGAGACCGGTTTTTGTATTGATAGCCATGTCAGCTGTTTATCTAAAAAGTCCCCCGCATCATTTTCCCAAAGCGTGCATGAAACTTGTGAGTCAGTTCCTGCCTCAACCTACTAGAAGCCGATTTTGAGCCAGTTGCAGATTATCAACTGCTTTCCGTACCCAACGACGAGGTCGGCCGAATCTCCGACTCCCGAAATGGTTGCCGCCATAGCCGCCCACGACCTCGAACACCGCGCCTTCGTCGACGCCTTCGGCAAACTTGTCCAGGTTATTTTCTCTCTTCATTTATGAATCTCATTTTCTGTCTGAATCATGTTTTTTTTAATAGATCCATGCTGATTTGGAAGTAGAGGGGAAAAATCAAGAAAAAAAAGTTTAAAATTGGAAAAATTCTTGCAATAAGTTGTTTTGATTTTTTACTCTTTGCAAGATACTATAGGTTTCACGAAAAGTATAAAAAACGCCTTCATTCATTCTAGAATGCTCATGGTTTGATCGCCTTCCTTTTTCTCGGAATACACTAGAGTTTCCCAGTTTTCGCGGCGCCCTTTTTCAGGCTTAAGTGAGTATTTAATTAGCGTGGAAGAAAAGAACGGAAACGCATAATGCCGTCGATCGATCCATCAAGAACTCCTATCACATCAGGCCGGTCTGTCGGTTATCAGAGCACGCGGTTTCGACTCGAGTGCGAGAGAGTCGCACGCACCGCGGAAAAACCTGAGGTGAAGGCGGAGCCTGGGATTGTTTGGTACGATTTCGATCGTCATAAGCAGTCCCTTCTATGACACACTGGCCGCGCGTTGCGCCGCTAGCCAAAATGCCCTCGTTCGACCTGTGCCGACTGGACGAAGGCGAACCCCTCGAAGACCTCAGAATCGCCCACCGGCCTCCCACCAACCGCCGTCAGCACTTCCAACATGCGTTGAAGGTGGCCGCGCTCGCCTCCCGGATCACCGAGGGCTGGCATCGACGCTACCACGAAGCCAGCTTCGACCTCGGCAGACGCATCGGCGTCGGCAAACGCTCCTTGTCCTGCTGCGACGATGTCAGTCTATGAATGGTACAACACGAGGCATTTGCAGCCTTTAGACAGTTTTCGATTCAACTTTGGGCTCAGAATGATGCTGTTAATTTCATGATACCTCAACCACTTATGCTTGAGAAAAAGCGCTAGATCTTCATCCATAGGGTGGAAAAAGGCTCCATAGAAATTTTCTTTTCACGCTGACGAAGGCCTCTTTTTGATGCCTTTTTGCATCATTTTTGCTGCCTCTCCCTTTTTTCACCATTTCTCGAGCCCTTAAAATCTCAGAAAAACGGAAGGCTCGATAAAGGGACTCTCTTTGCAGCCTTTCTGCGACCTTTTTTGAGCCTCTCCCTTTCCACCATTCCGACTTTGCCCGAGTCAGATGATTTACGTTGCCGAAACACACATCTTTGATACGATGTCAATCAAATTTTGAATAGTCTAGAACTAGATACCCCTGAAAGAAAATCGATATTCAAAGTTTGAAATTTGGGGGTAGTGGTCAACGTAAGAATTTTGTTATTCAGTTTTTCATCACTCCTTTCATCTTCTGTTACTTCTTCTCTATCTTACATTAAAAAAGTTTTTCTGAAGATGGTGAATATCTCAAACAGAAAGAGAGATTTACAAGTCAGCTTGTGTACTGTGAGTAGTCAAAATAGGTCATCCTTCATTCTTAGAATCGTTTATGAGATCGAGGCTATTGAATCTGAAAGCTCTAATTTGTTACTCTGCAAGTCTTTGAACTGATTCGCGATTACTTTCAAGTCCGACCAGATTAAAATGCAACCATAGATGAGTTTAAAATAAAACTTTAGATAATCATTTCATATAGAAAATAAGAAACAAATCTGCAGGTTTCGGTGGAAACAATGGCCATCACAGCGCTGCCGATGGATGTTTGGCTGAAAGAGCGTCTGAAGAAATGGGTGCAGCTATCTGGACACGAAGGTGCGTCTCGTTTCACGTTTTTCTCCAACTTTTTAAAGCCGACGTAGGCCGCCGTTGCCATTTCTCGATAAGTCGCTGCCTAGGGCAAAGCCGCAATGGCAAAAAAGCCTTTGTAAGAAAAAGAACGTGTAAAATTTGGAATCTTCTAAAACCTTGTATAATCGTTGCTTTCGAAGCTTCCAGGTTACTCGAAATTTCTGATTTTGTGCCAGGGGAAATTTATTTTCTCAGCGGATCCCTAACCATAAAACTGAAACTTTTCGATTAAACGAAGGATTTAACTGGGCTTCACAACCCCTGAACGTTAAGACAATTAATTAAAAAATTGCGGAAACCAAGGTTAAATGAAATATGAAAAAAACAACTTTTTTCGCCTAACTTTTGCAACGTGGTATTACAATCACCACATAATGACGCGGCTTATTTCATCCCAAATACTTGACGGGCATGCCCGGGAATGCCCCTCATTTTTTTCCACCTCTGTCAACTATTAACAACACGAAGCCAATAAGTTCAAACTCAAAAAAGTTACTCATTTGAGATTTCAGAGGCAAAATTTCAATTATTATTATTTTAAAGCATCTCAAATGCTCCATTTCATCTTGATTGACCCTTTTGATCTCCAAATTTTTTTCTCATGGTTTCCGGTTCTGCTTGAATGTCACTCATCATGATGAAAGGAAGGTAGTTGGAAAAGAGTTGTTGATTCATTGAAGTAAGCGAGAAAGAGAAAACGATGGCTTGTGACACGGATTATCGACTCATCGGACGGTTATCGCGACGCTCTACAGCACAGCTTATGTCCTCAAATATATATTTTTTCTTTTTTCTCGCGGGATTATTTTCATCCCTTGCACAGTCGGCAGATTTTCAGTAGAGTGGAAAATTGTCTATCTGGGTTTTTTGTTATAATCTTCAAAACAAAGGTTAGATTTGCGGTAAAAGTTTTGTAATTTGAAGAGAGCAAAATCGAGATTTAGAATCATTTTTTTAAAGGCTTTTTTGTTTTCTAGTTAAAAAATGAATTATTAACTATATAAGGACGGTTTGAACTGGGGTAACCTCTCATTTTCCTTTTCATGAATTGTTTTCAATATTTTTTTTACGAGAAGTCGACTTCGGTCAAAAAATGGTCAAGGCGCTGAAGATCTCAAAAAAAAAATTGGCAAAAAAAATTTAATCAAGAAGGGATCGAACCTGCATCATAGATTTACAGCGCAAGGCCACTAGCCACTACACCACACCACCTGCTGGCAGCCGCCGCAAGAGATTCCCTCCTTCCATCCAATGCATTTTTCGCGTGCAAACTTTGAGACGCCATAACTTGGCTAGAACACAAAAGGCGCACTTTTTTTTGACTTTATTGGAATCAGGGTGTCCTAAAGTACCTATATACCAAGTTTCATTAACCTTTTGCACAAGGATATGATCAAAGACGTTTCTAGTGCTCAAAAAACAGAAATTATGGATTATTTTCAATATTAAAAAGAAGCATTTCAGGGAGCATCGTTCCTGCGACGAAACACACCCTTTACAAGAAACAGTGCTCGAACTGCAGCGAGTCCCGTGCCTACGAGTCCATTTCTCGAGACCCCGCACTTTCCGGCTTCACTCCGACCTACTACAAACAGCTCGAGAAAAACGAAGAGTGTACGTATTTCCCTCTTTTCCAGTTGTTAACCAAGAATCTTCAGATTTCATCGAGATCGAAGATTTGTTGCAACAATTCGCTGATCCAACTAAAACGGCCATCATGGACATCAAAGTTGGCACACGGTGAGTGTTCAAGCATTGATAACGCTTCTCAGTATTTGCTTTCAGAACGTTTCTCGAATCAGAAGTATCAAACTCTAAAAAGCGGGCCGACTTGTATGAGAAAATGATTGCCATCGATCCAGAAGAACCAACGGACGAGGAAAGAAAGTAAGTTCTGAACACTTGGAATGGTTCCAATCTGATGTGCAGGAGCCAGTCGATAACCAAACTACGGTACATGCAGTTCCGCGAGCGCGAAAGTAGCAGCGCCAAACTTGGCTTTCGGATCGAAGCCGGCAAAGTTAGTTCGTTCTGAAACAATATTTTTGGTCATGATAATCAGTTATAGAAGTTCAGTTCCCAAAACTAAGTCTAGATGTAAATAATTTTTTTCGTATTCAAACATAGAGAAAACTGTAAAAGAAGGCTCAACAACTATGACGTGAAAAAAGATGAGAATAAAAGCGCCGCGCCCATATTTCTCCGTGAAATGTAGTGTGTAGTGTGCATGCACTGCGGCGCTCTCGCACATTCCCTATTCAAAGTAATTTTCGCGAAATTCAAAGTTATCTCGGAGTCTCCAAAACTCAGTTATTTTTTTCAATTTCTGGCGGCTATTTTGAATTTCGCGAAATCACTTTGAACACGGCAACAAAAAAGTGGCGTTTTTCTCAATGAGAAACCGATTCGTCTCATGACCCATTAAACATGCGCCTTTAATATTTCTTGTTTTTTACGCTTGTCTCCCATGACGTCACATTTTGATTTCCTATTTCCTTCTACTAAAACGCCGTGTAAAACGTTCTGTGACGTCACGATGATTCGAAGAAAAAATCTTCACGAAATTCCTCATTTTATCTGTGAGTTATGTTCTTAAAACTGTTGTAGATTCAAGTCAATTATCGCAGTATCTTAAATTTTTTGGTTTCAGTTGCTCCTTTTTCATTTCATATTGAACCAGTTTTTCTATATTTTTCCTTGATTGACTAAAAAAATTCAATTTTTTAACTGACTTTTGATGATTCAGACACTGGATGGATCTCTGGAAAAGAACTTCAAAAAAGTTCGAACGATAGAAGACGTCGCTTCGACTTTCATCGACTTCTTCGGCGTCGAGCGGACCCGAGTGCGGAGACAGCTTGTCGCGCGTCTGAAGGCCATGCGGGCAGCCATCGAGAAGTCCAACTTCTTCCAGAACCACGAGGTTTGCCCCTCCTCCCAGCGTCTCAAAATAAGTGACTTCGAGGTGGTCGGCAGCAGTATATTGATCATGTACGACGAAGACAAGGTCGGCTGCTGGATGATCGACTTCGCGAAGACGTCGGCCGTCGTCGGCAAGACGCTCGACCACCGCACAGCCTGGGTCCCTGGCAACAACGAGGATGGTTACCTCGTCGGTATCGATAACCTTATCAAGGTATGTTTCCCAGCTCTTATCTTTTTTCCTTTAACCCTTTAGAAAATTCATCGAAATGAGATGTATTGCAAGTTCAAATTTTAGTATTCAGAAATAAGCCCAAATCAATTTTTCATGCTAGTTTCAGTCTCATCTAGTAGAAAAAATCGTTTAGAATTGACCGAATTTCACTTTGAGGTCTTTGTTTTTACAGTTTTGTAGAGCAAAAATTAACAAAAGCTGTGTTTACAATAGTGTTTTTTCGCAAAACGTGACAGTCTCGCCCGGGTTTTGGATTCAAATCTATCTTTTGTTTTGTTGTTTTCGTCGTAGATGTAATCGACTAGGCGAACAAGAACTTTCAAAACTATAACGAAGCCTTTGGCGAACTAAAAGTCCAAACGTGTAGTTGATCAAATTGAAAGCATGGCCTCACGGTCTTTCGCCTCGCTTCTTAAGTTGCACCTTGACGAGCTCAAAAAAAAGCGGAGGTGGATTCCGTAGACCGTGCCCTAGTTGTAAGTCTCGAAAGGAGAGCAGCCAAATCGAGACTGAAAACGAAAAACATCAAAAAAAAAACCTTGGAATGAAATGTTTTCACTTGAAGGTCCTGGAAGAGATGCCGGACTTTGGACAACTACCAAATGAAGAAACTCTGGTGACAGAAGAGGTGGTCGCAAGGTTGCGGGAGTCCGCCAAACACCTCTCTAGTTGACCCAGTTTCTCAGTTCCCCACCACCCAAATGTTCTCAGATGAAGCCATAATACCTCTATATTATCCTATATTTTTCTTCTTCTACACAGTGCCAGTTCATTATTTTCTCCAACGTATTGAAGTGATTGCATAATAGCCTTCCAGCCTTTCTTTCAAGGGTCCACCAACATACTTCCGCGTATGACCAACTACAAATCATTCCACGCCCAACGTCATCGTTTCGAAATATTTTATTGTATGAGAGAATTGTTTCTGTATTTTTGTTGTTTTTTTCGACACTCAAACAAACGAAATTAGTTAATGATATGAATAAAAAAGGTTAAATAAAAATGAAATCCTCGAGATCAGAACAAAGGCACTGGATAGAAGTGAACAGGTCAATGAAAGAAGACGATTATAGGAATGACACATAAAATTAATCAAACTCGGACCTCGGTAACAAATTCCGGACGTTTTTGAGATCTTTCTAGGGATCATTCAAGAGAACTGACGCTACTAAAGTTGTCACTAAAAATGACCTGACACGTCCGATTTGCGTTACCAAGTCCGAGATTTGTTGATTGATGTTAAATAAAAAATTAAATAGAAATAAATCAACAGGAGAAAAAGTTCTGCAAGCTTTTAGGAGCTGAAACTGAGTTTCATTTTTCTTCAAATGGTTCCTATTGGACTGGAATCAGACCCAATAATGGTTAGTGGGCTGAGTTTTAGCCACTTGGTCGAATAACCGCATCGGAGGCGGAGCCGAGTTGCCGAGACCGGCGTAGTCAAGGCTTGACGTCACCGGTCGGCGGCTTGTGACTGGCGTTTGCGGTTTCGCAGTCGTAGTCCTAGTCAGCGGCAGTTTTTGGAAGGATTGCATGGCAACCCTGTCTTCGGCCTGCCGCACCGAAGCGAACACCGTCGTTCCCAGCAGGTCCTGTTTCTCTTCTTGTCGTTCCGCAGAGGTTCGAGGCGACGGTGGCAGGAGCCGTGGCGGGGTTTCTGCGGCAGCTGATGGCTTCTTCTCTTTCCGGCTCCGACAAACGAGCAAACAGAGCGTTGTGACCAGGATGGCCACGAGAATTATTACCTGTAAAGATTAATTCGTAACTGACAAGAGCCATCTCTCACCGGCAAGTTCTCTCTGATTGCCGTCATTTTGTTGTCCATGGGCGGGGTGGGAATCGTCGCTGCAGGAAGCAAGTCGAGAGGATCGTCATCGGCAGGAAGAACCGTGATGAAAATGGTGAACCTAGCCGGCTGCACGTTGTCTGCTCGCACCTCCAGCTCGATGTGTTCATGAGCCTGAGGAAGTTTTGGATGCTGAAAGAGCACCTCGAACCTCTTGCTCCGTCTTGGCCGCTTGATAGTAGACTATGCCTTTTCGGATGTCTGCGTAGGTGAAGTAATAAGCGGAAAAATTGGCGCTCGGGTCGAAGGTCAGTCTTCCGTAGTTCAACTGCGACGTCAAGAAAAAACGAGGGGAAGAATCCTTAAAAATTGCGGTTCGGACTTTGCTAGTTTCTCTGTTTTGTTTTTAGTCTATACTTAGACATTCCACAGTGGTCCCTATAAGGGCAACCTTAGGGTCCTTGGAGGGTCGTCTCTAGGCAGCAATTTACCAACCCCTATAAGGTCCACTGAAAATTACACAAGTGGCCTCTATAGGGGACATTCTAGTAGATAATTCTTATGAGCTCTAAGTGAAGTAGCATTTCTATGGGAAAAACTTAATAACTAAGCGTTTTTCGAACGAACTTCAAAGACCCCTTGAGGGTCCCCTTGAGCTTTAAGAGCGAAGACCCTCAAGTTTAGGCTAAACCCCTCCCCCCCTTAATTTTACCCCTGTAGGGAGCACTTTTCGGTCCCTATACGGGTTGTTTTCCCCCTAACTCCTATAGAGACCACTCTAGTGTTCCCAAGCCTCTTAGAACTCATGAAGAACCAAAAAAAGATCCATATAGCGCTTTCATCATTTTCTGAATAATTCAAGCTGTTTTCTGAGTTAGGCACAGACTTGTTCTGCGCCATTTGGGTTTAGGCTGGGTTGGAAAAAAAAAGGGCGTTTCGTTAACTTTTTCTCTTAATCGAATATGTTGTAAAACACAATTTTTAGGATTTCTATTTTGTGTTAGGTCAAATTCATGTTGCTGAAAAACAATCCACGATGGTTTAAATTTCCAGACGGAATTTTCAGCGAGCCTTTTTCTCAGAATGATCACCTGGAGCTGAGAAGCGTTTATTTGGCTACAGGTGAGGGGTGTCGCCGTGTTGGATTCCACGATGACAGGTTGGACTTCGACGAGTGGCGCCACGCGGAGACGCGAGCTGTTCCGAAGAATGTCGCCCTCGGTGTTGCCCACTTGGAACTCGAAGCTGTCCTGGAACCTTTGCAATGGATTCTTGACTATCAAGGTTCGCTTATTTAGAAAAACATTTGAAGCATATATAATCATATTATCACTCTCGAGTTCCATCGTAACTATTTTTTCTTTTTATTCCTCACGATGCCGATTTTTTCCCGCGGGAATTTTGATGCCTGAGCAAAAAGTCTTTGAAAACTTATAGAGAACTAAGATTGATGAGTGAAGAAGATCAAAAGATTGAAAAACAGACTTGGTAGGAGTGCATGTTGAGCTGAGCATATAAGATGCGGCCTTCGTCGATGTCGTCTTGGGTAAACTCTTTGGCTTCTTTCTCGCCGGCAACCCAGTAGAAAGTTCCATTTTCAGGGCCGGACGTGATCTGAACGTCATTTATCAGTTTCTTACTACTCAAAAAAAGTCGTTGAACTTTTCCTCTAAGAAATTTCAGAAATCCTGAAAACCTTGTCATAATAATGTCCTCTTCATATTTACTTTCTCACCCTTCATATTGATTAAAAACACAGAATTGAGTATCGAAAAATAATCAAAAAAGAATTACGGTGTTTAGATGTACATTCATATAGTCTCAGACTTTAAACATTGTTAAATTTCCAATTTTTACTAGTCTGTATTTTTTCTCCGTTACGCGGCCGTTAAGTGACTAGATATAGTCGATTTACGGCTAGCTTGAAACGCTAAGGGGGCGTGGCTTGTCTGCGCTCTCCACCAACCAAACACTATCTCGTTTATTATCGTGTCAGGACCCTTCTTGATAGCTCAAGCCAGCCGTGAATAGACTTGCAACCATATTGAACACACTTTACCTTGTATTTGATATTCTTCCTATCTCCATTCGAAAAAGCGCCCAGGTGAGTTCTGAAGAATTTTTTTCAACTATTTTTAAATGCGATTACCTGTTAACGACGACGTAGGTCTTCCCTTGAGGGTAGAAAATCGACGTGTGGTTTTCCAAAGCCAAATCGAGAGGGCGAATCTTGACGACAAGCGATCGAGTGTGACCTTCGATGTCGAAGACGAGCAAGTCGAAAGAGCTGGCCGCAAAATGAGAGACGGCGTGCGACAGAGCGACTTCGCCCTCGTTCACCTGCTCAGTTCGAAATATCAAAGAAGAAGGTGAAGGCTGGGTGGAACCTGGTGCTGTGTGAATTGTCGGACTTCCTTGTCGTCGATTCTGATAGAGACGCCGTTGCAACCACGCTGGGCGACATGGTAGACGATCGACTGCGGAGGCACCGTCCGATGACGAGTCATCAGGACGTCAGCCAGCAACGGCGTCGAGCCCGAGTTCAGGACACTTAACGAGGTCGGGAACGTGACAATCTGAGAGCAACGACGTTCAAAGTGAAAGATGAAAGTTGGTTTCGAACTTCCGCATCGCGTACGCAACGAAACACACTTGCACACGTCACACGTCTATCGCGTCTATCAAGTGGAAAAAGGAATTCACCTGGAGAAAGTTGTCGTGCGGCGGTCGAACAAAGATGGGAACGACGACGCGCAAGCGACTGCTTCTTCTCGTGGACTCGCGAGCGGCGTACACGTGGAAAACCAATGAATCGTCGCGGAGGTCGTCGCCGCGATGCTTGTAGAGGAGGAAGAAGGCGCTCCGCAGCTCGGTCCAAGAGACGCGTCGCTTCTGATTGTCCAGCCAGCTAGCCACGCCCATCCGAGGTTCCGTCCCGATTTCCACCATTACCACCTGAATGCATCTTGTTGAGAGCTTTCAAATAGTCTCAAGTATACTTCTTTTTCTACTACCGCAGATAACGCTGAAGCGTCCAAGTGCGACTGGTTGAATGCAGTAGATCCACCTGAAAGAACTAAGTGAACAGGCTTAATTTCTTACTAGGAAAGTCATTGAATAGCCGATTCACGGATAGCTTGGGACGCTGTCTGCACTCTCCACCAACCATGCACTATCTCTTTTATTATCGTGTCAGGACCCTTTGTTCGATGGCTCAAGCCAGTCGTGAATCAGCTATATTTAGGGACCGCAGACGAATTTTCAAAAAAATTTTTTCAGCATTGAGCTTTGTATGGTTTGATAGCTGTTTCGATTCAAAACTCAAAACCGTTTAGTTTTTCGAAAAAGATTGAGGATGAAAAAAGTTATGACGAAAAATGTGGCGCGCCGCGCACCATTTTTTTAGTACTGAAATTTTGGTATTATCTATTTTTGACATTTTTCTCGATTTTTCTTCCAGAACAAGTTTTGATACTGGTCTATTATGATGTGACAAATCATAATAGAGTGCTAAAATGATAAAAATTTGCTAGTTTGCCGAAAAAGTCGGTATTTTCCAGAAAGGCGCTTGCGGGCATCGAACTCGCGACCTCAAAAAGAAAATTCGCAGCGCACGCACTGCGCCAAGCTGTTAGGTCTAGCGAGGGGAGTTTCCATCCGCCATACCCTTGAGCCGTTTGAATAGCACAGATTGCCTATTTCAAAAAGAAAAACTTGAAGTAATGAAGCTATTTTTATCAGAATATGTTCGCAAATCTTTACTCAAACTTTTCGTGGAAATTCACTTCGAAAAAACTGTTTTTTTAGTGCTTTTTGCCTCGTTTAACGATCGCTGCATTAAAACGGCCCCGTAAATTTTTGGCAAAGACGAATTTTTTATTTTATTGTTTTAAAATTACCGTTACTTGAATCAAAATCATTATTTAAAAAAAGAAAGAGTGCGTTCGACCTAAAAACACATGAAAAAGCAAAAAACGACAAAATTTTTTAGTTTCATTCACGTTTTTGTACGACATTCCGCGCGAACGCATCAAAAAAGCGTGAAACATTTTTCAAACGAAAGAGGAAGCTTTTTTGTACATGTGTGCCAAAATTTATTATCCAGTTCCACATATTTTGCAACTACAGCAAAATGAAAGTTGAACACCAAAAAAAAGCCACTTTTTCTATCGCGAAAAGGGGCGTGGCTTTGCGGTCCCTAGCTATACTTGACAGTTGTGATATCTTTTTTTTGGAAACTCTGAAAATCTTGATGAATCCTTAGGAGAATCCCTATATAGTCGATTCACGGCTGACTTGGGACGCTGGCGTGCCTGCGCTCTCCACCAACCAAACACTATCTCTTTTATTACCGTGTCAGGACCTTTTTTCAATGGCTCAAGCCAGTCGTGAATCAGCTATACTTGACAGTTCTATGATCATGGCTTCTGGCAGTTTTTTTGAGGGGAAGAACGTGATTTTTCTTTCCTTATTATAATGAAAAATTGGCCAAAAAAGGAAAGAAAAGCTGACCTTTCGAGACAATCAAAGGACGAGTGAGGATGAATTTGGGCATGACAGCATCGCTCAGGGCCGCATATGTGGTAGTTATCCGGAATCTGAGAAAATCTTCAATATGAAAACAAGAATGAGCCGCACTTCTCATCGTGTTGCATGAGATAGGAGGAAGTGTTGCGGAAGACTCGGAAGGAGAAAGAATCGCGGCGGCTCCACTCGTCCATCGGAAACCCGATCGTCGTATAAACGACCAGGCGGCGGTTGATCTGCAGGCCTTTCTGATCGGGTTCTTCTTGACGGAGTACCTGGGTTTGGGAGAAGGCGTTGGCCGGTTTGCCGTCGACTTCGAGATGTCCAAAACGAGGTGGCTTGCTCACGACAAACAGAATCTCGTCAGGTCGAGTCTGCAAGAATGAAATTCAGACTTCTCCTTAACAAAAAAAATTTTTTCTACAGCCATCAAAAAATTTACAAAAAAGGTCAACCCTTTCATGCAGGTAAGTTCCTTCCAAGTCCTCTTTTTTTTAGTGATAAATTCATCGAATTAATCAAAGCTTTCATTATTTTAACAATCAGCAAGTATTCTAGTCTTACAAATTCCAAAAATTCCCGATTCAGCTCTCCTTCTCGTACTGTATACAAAGTTGTTAACTCAACTCAAAGTTAAGCTCAATCCTAGCTTTTTCACTAAAGACGTCATTTTTAGGGTCCAAGAAAGCTAATAGTTATAGTCCGTTTTTCGTGACTTGAAAGGGCGGGACTTCTCTGCGCCCTCCTCGTCTCTCGGCGACCCTCTCTTGATGACGCGCTATTTTAATGATTCTCTGACATCGCCGGTGAGGGAACAGAGGACACAGACACGCGAAAACGGTCAAGTCGCGGCGAACAGACATTGCAAATTTCTATCTTTACCTCGCTTGAACTCATTCCATCTTCACTTGCCGTTCATGTCAAAACAAACTCAAAAACGGACATTGGGAAGGTTGGCTCGGAGGATCTCTGCTCCGATGATAGAGCCGCCCTCGGGCGTCGCTATCAACCGTCCATTTGTTTCCAGAACCTGCGAAATTGACGACTTCTCCGTAGAAAACCATTCAGGCCCAATCTGAACTTTGCAAATTTTTATCGACTAGCATGTCCTCTATAGGGGCCATAAACTGAAAAACCCTATAAGGATCCCTTTTGCAAGCTTTAGTGGCACTATAGGGGTCTGTAAAGTGGTCCTAGAGGGGACTCCCAAGGGCCGTTAAGGTGCCCGTGTAGGGACCACTCTGAAGTTCCTAAGGCTTTTTTCTCGCACTATGAAAACTGCTTCAAGCGCGTCTTCATCATACTTTAATAAAGTTTTTCTGAACCATGATGAAAAAAAACCAACATTGTGTGCCCCATCAGATACGACAAAAGAGAAGCCGCCGGCCGTGACGGAATCTGAGAAACGAATAAAAACTTCCAGAACACTCGTGGCAGTTCACCATTGTTAACAAGGAAGGCGATCAAAGATTGGTCGATGTCGAATTGAGTGAAGTTTGAAATGGGGGTTTCGATTTCGTCAACCCTGACAACTCGACCATTGGAAGGTTTTGAGATCACATAAATCAGCGAATTAGAAGAAGTGTCGGCGTCCTGAAAGACGAAGATATTTCCCTCATGGAGCCGCCAACCGCTGTTACCTCCACGTTGAGATGGCTGCTTGTAATGAGAGCTTTCTCGCTGTGAGTCCTCAGAATTTCGTTTCGAACCAACCGCGGCGCTAAAGTAAATGGTAAAGGCGTAGGGACAGTAAAAGATGGGGTTGGAGACAAATATTCCATTTTGTATAGCTCTTCCTTGCCTGACGAACGATGTATTTGGAAACCTTGAGAACTTCCTAGTTTTGGAGAAAAAACGATTCAAAGTCGGAGAGAAAAAAGTTTGAGTTCCCGCCAACGACGTTTTGCAGTAAAGTTGCTCTATAGACAATTTTTTCGGATTTTCGCTTTTTTCTTCGTTTCATTCATTTTTCAATTTGTTCTGTTGTCACCAAAGTTGTTCTTGTTATGAAAACTTGCTGTTTATAAAAAAATTGCAAATTGTGATTGTAAAATGGTGAAAAATGATGATTTTACACAGATATCGATGGGGATAGCGATGTGTGTTCCCTATATTATTTCGGTATTTTTTTTTGACTAAATATTTCTCGGAGTAGTCATATCTGTGAGTACACCGTTCGATTCGCAAGGGTAGCTCTACAAGGTACTGTTTTCACTTAAAACTCCATTTTTTCCTGCCCCTATGCCTCTAAAATTAAAGAACTCAAAAATTGCCGTTTTCTGATTTTGATGAAGACAAACTGCCATTGAATGAAATTAAGAAACGACTCGCCCTCGTCGTTTTTGCGAGAAACGATGACGCGAACGAGGCTCGTCTCACTGCAGACAGTCTCGCTGACGCAGGCCCGGACCGCGAAAGAGTCGTTGTGATCGCCGACGTCCGGCACATACCATAGTTTCCTCTCCGCGAGAGCTCTCGTCGTGAATGAGTCTGGAGTCCGCGAGGAACCTTCCGAGGAAAGCAAAATAATGTACCAAGGGAGGTGGCGTTCGGCTTTTCGCCGTTGCCGGCCACGATCCGACCCGTCAAAGGAGAGGAGATGACGTGGACCACAGCTTCTTCATTTTCCGACGTGGTGACATTCAGAACAGAAGGAGTTATGGGCGATCGACTGTTCGACGACACGACCAAGTCTACAGTCAGGATCTTCACCTGCGATACTTCATGTTTTTTATGTGACAGGACCAAGTAACGGATTTGAAATCATTAGATCTTCATCTCTAACTCTATAAACGTTGAAACTCATCTTTAACTTGTAAGCTTAAGCAGCCTTCAAAAAAGGTCTGCTGTATTTCACAACTTTTGTATTTAAAGCTTAAAGAGTAAGGTAAAAGGATAAAAATAAGGCTTTGTTCTCGATTAAGGCAAAAACAAACGTTTCTCTCGAAGATTTCGATGTCAAAAGAGACATGGAAAGAGAAGTTGCGTGGTAAGACGGAGACGATGAATTGCATCGAGTCGTTTCCAGTCGATGCCGAGTTTTGGACGTACTGGACACGTGAAGCGGTGACGTCGCTCTTCGAGAAGCGAGCTACACGTGAAGACGTGGAAGAAGAATCTGCAGTCGAGATAGAGGTTAATCCGGTTAGAGGACCAACCATAGTCCAGTGCCAGATATCCGAGTTGAGGGTATCGGGTGACCTCGAAGACAACTTTCTCCTCGTCAACTTCTCCGAAGGGGAAACCATCGCCGAGGTTGTCGATGAGTACTGCGCCACCAATGGGCACGCGCAACATCAGATTCTGGTCCCAGTCGGTCTTCGCCTCGGTCCGGTCGCACTCGACGGCCATCGAGACCTCGAGGCTGCGATCGGCGACGTTCACACGCAAGGCCTCCTCGCTGACGACGTGCTCGCCGCCGTACCAGACGAGCCCTTTCTCGATGTCAGCCTGAGTGAAACGCGACGTCGGTTTCCGCGTCGTGCCCACGGAGAAACGAGACGAGGCTGGCTTGTAGATGACGTCGCTCAGCTGCACGTCCATGTTGGTAGTCACGGAGAGATTTGCTGGCGACAGGCCTGCAGAAAAAAAATAGATGAATCATGAAGAGCCTATCGTGTTACTGAAGCTCAACCTTCATAAATTATCTTCAGGTTCAATTTCAGATGGTTGAAAAGGCTAGAAGAAAAAGCTCGAATATACTCAGTTTTTCGAAACTTCTTTCTACGACAATTCCTGGGAAGGTGTTCGGAAGGTACTGGGAAGGCGTTGGAAAGATCTGTTTCAGGTTCCTTCGAGGCGTTTGGAAGGTTTCCAGCAAGTGGTCAAACGCCTTCACTTACCTTCCGGGAGCCTGCCAGAAACCTGCGAGGCTTCCGGCAAATTGCCCGAAATTTTTAATTTGTTACCTTCCATGTTCCTTACAACTACCTCCTGAACACCTTCGAAGGCCTTCTCCAGACCTTCCAGCATCACCTTCCGACTACCTTCCCAACACCTTCCCAGAACTTGTCTGAGTTTGACAAGTTCTTGGTCGCTGTGGTTTTTTCTATCATTTATTTTGAAACGCTCACGGATGGAAAAAGGACGAGAAGCGTTGCAAGGGACTCGCAAAGCGGAGACCTCGACCCAGACATTCGGTTCTGCGGCGACGATGTGCATGACGGCGTCGACCGTGTGGACTCCGTCGCTCACCGTGTATCTGAACTCCTGTCCATCCCAAGCCCAACACAAAATCCGCAGGTAGCTGTGAAAATTGAGAAGCTTCGTCTAGTACAAATTTCAATCTCATTTTTCAAAAGGTTAACATTTTTCAAAAGGTAGTGCAAAATAACAAACTTCATGTCAAACTTGTGATGATGCCCCAGATGTCTGATCATAACTCGTCCGTCATTGATCTCGTGCTGGGAAAATGACGTCATCGGTAGGTATGGCGAAACTGTCGACAAAATAGCCGCATCCTCAAATGAAGAAAATGGAATGTATTCAAAGAGAAAAACTGCGAACTTTGTTGGCATGGGCAAAGTTGTAGAGGAGCGCTGAGGAGTCCAGATCGTCGTCTATCCAAGGAAGCAAGAAATCGTGCAGAACCCGCTCTCCTCGCTCCACTATCTGGAATACGCACAGAATTTTCGTTATATTCACGAACATTTTTGAAAGAACAAGTAACTAAAACCCATATAAGGACCACTTTCGGAAGCTTTAGTGACCCCTATAGGGGTTGGTGGGTGAAGTGCTTCCTAGAGGGGACATAATTAAAGTGGTCCCTATAGGGGTTTAGAGTGTGGTCTCTCAACCCCTAAAGCTCAAGTGGACCCTATAGAGGACTTTCAATTTCATTCAAATAACGCTTATTTATTCAGTTTTTTTCCATGGAAATATTTCTTCGGTTAGAGGTTTAACAATTATCGACTAGCATGTCCCTTATAGGGACCACTTTTGCAAGTGATCCTAGTGGTCAATTAAGGTTGCCCCTATAGGGGCAACTCTGGAGCTCTTAAGAAATATGGAAACTCGAGTACTGTGCCGTTTTCGAAACGAGAGCAAAGACTACAAGATGGGAAGAGATCCAACATTGATGATGACGTCACGCGAGAGACGAGGCGCGTTGTCGTTGAGCAAGATGACGGAGACTGTCAGCATGAAGGGCATCTGCCGCCGCTCGTCTTGCCGACTGACGGCCAGAAGTCGACACTCGTCGTTCCGGCTCTCGCCGCCGTCATTTTCATAAAGAAGCCGTCCGCTCTTCACGTCTTCTGTCGTGAAGTTGAGATCTTTTCCCAGGTCCGAGGTCCACGTTGCGCTTTTCAGTTTGAGCGTGCCGTGCATCGGCGGCGACACGATGCGAAATACGAATTGTGCGTCGTCCGGAGTGGTCAGCGAGAGAAAGTCCGAAGTCACCTATAATAGACATTTTCATAATCTTCAGCGAGGACCAATTGATGAATGAATTTTTTTAAATGATGTTCGAGGATTTTGCCTTTTTTGCGCACTTTCGATCAACAAACGGTACTGAAAAAGTTGAAAACCACAAAACAAATTTAAAAATGCCACGGCGTTTTTTACGACGTCCCGCCCATTTTTTTTTTCGTGAAGTTTAGTGTGTCGTGTGCATGCACTGCGGCGTGTTCAAAGTAATTTTCGTGAAATTCAAAGTTATCTCGGAATGTCCGAAATTCAATTATATTTTTCGCTCTCTGGCGGCTATTTTGAATTTCACGGGTTCATTTTGAACACGGCAACAGAAAAATTGCGTTTTTTTTTTTTGGATGAGAAACCGATTCGTCTCATGACCCATTAAACATGCGCCTTTAACATTCCCATTACGTCACATAAGAACGGCTGAAGCTTTGACTCTGCCCCCCTTCATTTTTGGTTTCGCCTTTCTTCCAATAACAAAAACGCCATAAACTCATTGAATCCGCTATAAACCGATTTTTTTTTCAACTGACCGGGGTTGACTCGCCCTCCTTGACGACGATGGTCTTGTTGATGAGTTGGATGGAAGAGGCGCGGGGCACATAAACTATCTGAAGATGGCTCTCAGAAAGAAAACAAATGATAATCTGACATCAAATCTCAACAACGGTGATGAAACCGAGGGCGAAACAACGCGAAACAGGAAAAAGTCGTTGACAATGGAGAACTGTTGATAGTGGATCTTGTAGGAAATGACGCCTTCATCGATATCCTGGAAAGAAATTGTATAACCATTGCTCTTGCTTGGACTACGTGTTGGGTGAAGTTGGATGAAACGCCCATCCGACGTTGTTTCGAAGGACCGATTCGTCTGGAGAGGGTCCCGAGCTTCGGAGGCTCATCAATGTGATAGACGAGGTTATGCGGAGAGAAACTCTTCGGGAAGGTCCACGAAAAGAGGTTCTTTTTTTGAATGGACTCATTTTCCGTGGCGTTGAGGACAAATGGCTCGCGTGTGAACACTTTGATGTTCATGGGCACAAAGTCGATCCTGAAGACGTGCACCATCGACGCGAACTCGCCAGCTTCCACCTCAAAACTCAAAATGTCTACTCTCAAAGTTTTTTTGCAAAGAGACTTGAAAACTGAACATGTCGACATGGGTGGCGGCTACACTTGTATGTCGGAAACGAATCCGTTCCTCATCTATCTGAAAGAAAAAAGTCAACTAGATGTTTCTCAGGAACTTCTTTAAGAATTTGGATGCAACCGAAAGAAAATGAAAATTTGATCAATTGACAAAAATTTTTCAGCACTCTATGCAGTTCTTTCCTACGGCGTTAACAATGATTTTTACCTAGGAAGAGTGATCACTATAGAGGCAACTTTAGTGGCACTTCACCAACACCTATAGAGGCCACTAAAGTTTGCAAAAGTAGCCCCTAGAGGGGTTGATAACTTTTATGAACTCTAAGCGAAAAAGCATTTTTATGGGAAAAAACTGAATAAAATTGAAAGAGCCCTATAGGGTCCCCTTGAGCTTTAGGGGCTAAGTCGTCATACCCTAAATCACTATAGGGATCACCTTAATTTTACCCCTATAGAGAGAAATTTTTCGGCCTCTATAAAGGTTGAAAATAAAAAAATAACCCGTTTTTAGACTTATGCCTTGAAATTGGTGTCAAATTAAAGAGCTCTCAAATGTACAGAAGCCGTTAAGAAGAGCATACGTCGGTCTGTGTGAAGGCGTTGCACATCTGGAAGCCTCCTTCTTCGTCGTGTCGTTCTACAACTCCGGCGTCAGGCAGGTCGACGATCCGATAGGAGACTTGCACTTCTGGGATCGAAGCTTCGAAAGAGAGATTTCTGAAAAGCACACCAAACTTCTGACAAAAATTCAGAGCCAACTTGTTTGTGATGAGGACGCTCGAGTGGTGGATCAGACGGACGCCGGTGTTTCTCACGAGCTTCACCTCGACCTTCGAGGAGCGAGTTTCTAGGATCACCAGAGGAGAACGGCCCTCGCCATCACGGGCCAACAGTTTCATCTGTCCGTGCTCGAGAAGCCCCTCATCTACCAGAGACACCTAAGAATCGGAATAGGGTAGGTAATTCCGACGACCACGGTACCATTTCGTTGGTCAAATCTCTCTTGCTGAACTCTGTGATCTTCTCGCCGTGCATAGACAGGTGAACTCCTTTGGATTCCACGACTTGTACTCGCACCTGAGGCGGCGAAGTTGAAAACGAAAATTTTAAATATTCTGGTACTTTTCATCGCATGAAAGGAGCTGCTTACCCTGCGGAAGCCGAAAAATCAACGACTAAAATTGGGAGCCTCTTATGTTTTAGGAAAGAATTTTGAGAAAAAAAAAAGAAAAAATGGCAAAAATGAATTTCCTCAAAGGATTCGAACCCTGGTCTCAGCCTCCGTAATGCAAGCACGCTAGCCACTCAGCCAACTGAAAACGGAGGCGTGTGCGCGAAAATTCCTTCTTACTGGATCTTTTCATTTCACGTGCAATCTTTGAGCCGCCATACGGCTTGCTTGACCCATCGAAAAAGGGTCCTGACCCGATAATAGAAGAGTGCATGGTTGATGGAGAGCACAGACAGGCCACGCCCTCTCAAGCTAGCCGTGAATCGGCTATAACTCCAGTACGAGGAAAAATTCGCGAAACTTTATTCTTGATTTGGAATCAGCACGCCTTAAAGGACATTTCTTTCCCCAATATTTCAACCAGGAGCTGAAAAAGCTCCCTAGTGCTTTTTTTTATTTAAAGCGAGAAGTGAAATTCCGGAGCTGCGATTCACGGAAATCTCTGAACAGTTCAATATCAAACCTTATCGGGACCATCGTCTGAGTCGGTCAGGATCAGATCTTCCGACGTCAGAACACGGCTACCACGAGAAGCGACCAGCAGGAAGTCGCCACGGACTCTTTTTGACAGCTCCGGAGGATCGTTCACCGAGTTGATTTTCACCTGAGCTCACATTTACCTTAGAAGTCTTTGATTCTTTTGGAAGCGCGAGGTGGGATCGGAATTAAAATTTTTCTCTTCATGATCAACGAAAAATTAACTACTTCTCAAACGAATATTATAGCTTATCTTTGAACCTTTGAAAGACAGCCTAACAAATTCTAACCTTGATTGTGAAAGTTTTCGACTCGATCGCTGCCAATTCTTTGTTTTTCAATGAGGATTCGATCTGAAATCACAAGTTGATCCTTCAAAAAGCAGAAATCATCTACCAAAAAAAAAATTTGAAAGCTTGGTCTAAGAAGAACCTGAAATCCAATGGAGTCGGCGTGAGACTCGCTGCTGTCGTGTTTGTAGACGACCCTTCTCGCCAGAAGCTGAGCGTAATTAAAAGATGACGTCACGACGTCGTCGACGCGGATTTCCCCATGTTTCGCCCCTTCGACTACCTGAATTCTGAGAGTTGCAGAACCATCGGCGGGCCTTTTTTAACCGTGAATATGATATCTGAGTTTGAAATCTTGGAAGTTTCGTTCTGCGGCATGAAGTAGACGTTCTTCCATTGTAGAGGGGTCGAGGCACCCTCGTTGACCTCAAATGCTTATTGAAAAGTTCAAAACAGAAGAAAACTATCAAAGTTATCGGTGAAACAGTACAATTTTCCATATCTTATTCAAAATTTAGGACTTATCCCGTTCTCAAAACTTGCTCCCAAATAAAAAGTCTCTGATTTGGCTGGAAGCCAACCTTAGAAATTCCATAATGGTCCCTATAGGGATTAGAGAGAAAAACAGTCCCTAAAAGAGGCTAAAAAGTGGTCCCTAGAGGGGTAAAATGAAGGCTGTCCCTATAGGGGTTTAAGGTCTGACCTCTTTTAGTCCCTAAAGCTTAAGGGGTCCCTATAGGGTTTTATCGAGTTGTAGTTTGGGCGCATCCAGTTATATATTTGAAATGGTCAAATATCAAAATTTCAAAATTTACAATTTTGGGAGGAGCTTTATTCGCAAAAAGATAATTACGCCAACTCAAAATCTGGGAAAATCAAAATTATCTCATTCCTACACAAGAAAGGCGAGATGCTCTACGAGCAGTCCTTGATCAACGACAGTTTCGTGAGCCGTCAAACAACTCTTCTATTATCCCATGATTCAGCAGAGAATCTTCTCTTACGACTGAATGAATGTGTAATTATGTAAAATCTGGGATTGGATGGTTTTTGCACCGTGTTTTAGACAGACCATTTTCAGAGGCTGTTGGCCTCTCCTCTTTTATGAATTCAAGTTAATAGAACCCCTGAAGCTAAAGCTTGTGTTATTGTGGCCAAAACTTAGGTTGACTCTTGATTCTTTTCGTAAGCCAACCCCTCCTCCCAAGCTTAATGAGTTCTGTACTTGCTCGGTTTTGGGTCAATTTGAAAAGCAAAACTTCTGCTTTTCCGAGGAAAAATCCGGGGGGTTCATGATGAATGCTGCTTATGATTCTTTGCGTTTTGTGATGTCTGGTTTCCTTTCTTCTTCGATACTCTTCCAGTTTTACAATGCTCAAAATTTCAAGCCTTCAAACTTGGAAAAACCTCGAGTGGCTCGGCGACATAAATGGGTCCTTTGTCGGCATGGATCCGGGGAGTTGCCGCGGTGGTGTGTCTAAACAGGTGCAACTCGGATGAATTGTGAAGTGTGCGGATCTGATCGAGAGAGATAAATCGGCGGACAAACGGCCGGCTAACGAACGCCGTTGTAACAGGTCTTCCAACATTTGGCGGTCAGTCATAACTATCGAATTGGGGGGCGCCAGATGAAAGCTCGTTAAAGCTCACCCGCAACTTCTTTGAAGGAGTCTCTTTGACGACTGTGAAACGTCGAAAATGCAGCCCTTCAGTGAACTTTCGTCTATATAGAGACCTGAAAGAGGCTTATTTTCGAAATAATGTTTTTGTATTATTTAGTTGCGGCGGAATTTCTCAATAGGTGTACAATGAAAATTCAGACTGAATGGGAAAAAAATGCAGAGAAAAGGCTTCACAGGGGAGATCATTTTACTATGCAGTTGGGAACTTCCTGAATGGCCAGAACACTTCTTGATGTACCAGATTAGGATCCTGAAAGACTCAACCTGCAAAACTTCCTAGTTTTCGAAAACAACATAGCCTATTTTTATGGGTTTTGAGAGTTTAAGAGTTTTATTTGACATTGAGGCGTCTTTTCTCAAAAACGAGAAAGTTTTGCATGTTGAAACATTCAGAATATGCTTCTGGTACATCAAGGAGCGTTCCGGCCAATCTTCAGGAAAATCTCAACCGCATAGTAAATTGACCTCCCTTATTAGAGTTTTAAATACAACTAAAAAAAATTCATGACCAGAGGCCAATTCACAAAATCGCGTTAGTTTTCTAGAGATGCGAAAATCAGCGACCTTCTGAACTTTCGCCTGTACTCCTTTGAAAGCTTAGAAATGTCTATAAAAAATGCAAAAAGAAAAAAAAACTACAAAATCAGAGAAAACTTAAAATCGACGGTTAAGGTGCCCTCCAACCTAGTAGTGCTTCCATGCTTTATTCAAATTCGTCAACGTAAACCGAAGTTGGACAGCTGTCGAAAGAAGAACAAATACCAATTCGGAAGCCAGCTCAAAAAAGCCCCACTGGGATTTCCGACGCCTAGGCCGCATCACAAGTCAAAAAGAAGTCATCAGAAGCAATTCAAAACGTGCCAGCGAGTTATGACATGACACGTTCATTTTTTGTGGCACGCCAGAAGCCAAGGAGGCTGCCTGATTCGATCCGTACTGGACAGCCGCGCGTTTTTTTTTTAGGAGTTTACACATGGGCATACACATACACACACAACAACCGACATAATAACAATGAATTATCGCCTCTGCCGGAGAGATCAGGTAGAGCTTGTGAGATAAAAGCTTCATGGGGACTAAAAACCCGCCAAAAACCAGAAATCTTTGATATTCAGGACTATGAGAAAGAAGACGGTGTAAAAACCTGTTTGAGAAGACGAGCAAATGGTCGGTGAATAGACCAGCGAGTTGGCATGTGGAGAAGCAAAGTGCAACGAGATCTGCGAGATACATCTGAAGCAGCCGAGCTTTTTGTGATAACAAAAAAATTACAAGAAAAAAAAAGTGAAGTTCAACTTGATTCACTACTACTCAAAGATGCCATCACATAATCAAGTCATCGAATTTTTGAAAAATTTCCAACCTAATGCTGAACGTTGTCGTCTCGTTGGCGGTCAAAGGCGAAACAGGAATCGAATCAGCAAACAGGGACCCCGAATGGAGTGAGAGCGTGATATTTCGAGAAGGTGAGGTCAGAATGAGCGGTGAAGAGCCATCGAGTTCGCCGATTTGTAGATCAAATGACAGTGGAGCTACTAGCAAGGAAAGGAGCGGAACAAACGCCATTCGTCCATCCGTGGCGCACTGCGGCACGCCAGCACGTGGAAAGGCGGACCTTCGCAAAGAGAGGCTCCACGAGCAGCTGACGTTGGTTTTTAAGATAGCCAGTCTCTCGACATATCATAAATTATTCATTTTAAACAAAACACCTATGGACGAAAGTGAAAATAAAGAATTTATTTTAAAAACCTCGACATTAATCATTTATTGCGGAACGGAAAAAAAAACTTGTTGATATATTCGGAAAAGATGTATTGAGTTGAATAAAATCTCGGGGTCAACTTCATTTTTTTTTGAACGAAAACACAAAATTGAAAAAAAAAAATTTGCGCAGATAGTGACTAATGCTGTTATCCGTCTCGAAACATCAAGCCAAACTAATGAAAATCTCAAAATGCTACGAAAATTACCCCTTCTCGAAATAAAAAAATTTTCTTGGAAGGGTCCAAAAAACCTTTTTATCGAGTCCTACGTAATTCGTACTTTTCTAAAACTAGCAAAAAATCTTTTTATATAGTTTCCTAGTTTTTTTTTTTCACTCATATGGTGAGAACAGGTCTTTCACTCTGTAAAAGCGTTTTCTCTTTTTGAATGATGCACATACATTTTCACCATTTAAAAAATAATTCATTTCAACAAAAACAGATACCTTCGCGAAGACAAAGGCTTTTGAAAAATTGCAAAGACATACATAGGGATATTTTATTTTCCCTTGGAGGACTTCGGGTCGTCGACGGAGAGATTAGGCAGGTTGTAGCCCTAAAAATCAACATTTCAATTTGAAATCGACCAGAATCACTTACAAGCTTCTCCAACATGTCCTTGGTGGTCAAATCAACCTTGATCGACAGAAGCTCTGAAGGGTCGACAGCAGAAACTTCGGGCATGTAGTTATCTCGTCGTTCGCGTTCTTCCTCTTGCAACTTGATCGAGATTCCTCTAACTGGACCTCGCTCGATTCTCTTCATCAAATGCGTAATGTAGCTGAAAAAAATTTTGATTCACATTGAAAAAAAAAACACTTTAAATCATTCTTTTTTTTGAAATTCACTTTTTTTATAATTTCAAATCTAACGATGGAAGTGTGTTAGGTGATTATCGCAAATCTGATCGAAACTTTTTAATAGGTAGTCCTAGACCTAGGTATGAGTAATCGAAAATAAACAGAATTATCTGCTAAGCGCCATAAAGTAATAAGATTTAAAAAAAAAGTAAAATGAACAGAAAAAGTTTAAAAACTGAGTATCTTTGGGATTTGGGAAAAAAAAAGTTCTTTTCTCGTGTTTCTTACGATATAGTTTTAAATCAGTATTTTCAGAAATCCAAAAATTGAAAAAATTAGTCTTTGAGATTTTCCCGTACTTTTTTGCTGGGCCATTTTTCATTACGCTATGGCACTTAGCAGATAAATATTTCTCTTTTCGAGTACCCACACCTAGAACTACCCATTAAAAGGAATTTGTACCATAACTGCAATGTTTAGCTCACACACATACTTTACAAAAATATATAAAAAAAGCTCGTTTTGTAAAAAAACAATTAATTCAATTTAAACACTTTACCAACTTTTTTTAACTCCATTTTGTAGAATTTATTAATATTAAACTGCTTAAAGAGCGATGAATGAACTATATTGGCTCAAGCTAGCAGATAATCATTACAACGAAATCTAGTGTCATCCAAAAACTCGCTCTCTTAGGTGTCAAAAAAAAGCATAGAAAAATACCAAAATGGCCTTATTTCGAAATTCATTTTTTTTTTTCAATTTAGTATAAGAATTCTGCACCCATATAGAACATAGCAGTAATATTTGAAGAGCTCAACTTGATAATTATTTCCTAAAGTGAGTGAAAACAAACCAAGATAAGATTGATAGAAATTTGAGGAAAACGATAATCATCATTCGTTTATTCATTCTGAAATGGAAAAGACAGTTTTTATGCCATAAAACCTCTAATTAGAAAAAGAAAGAATAGAAACAAAAAAAGAATTTAAAAAATTATTTCGCTTCGAATTTTTTTAAACTCACTGAAGTGTCTACTATCAACGAGAAATAGTCTCAGTACACTCAAAAAAATTTTTTTTTCTTTGATGTTTTTTTAGAAATTTGGCTGATTTTTTTAGTTCGAAGTGTTTTCGGCTATTCCAAAAAAATGACGTGATTTCGTTCTAAAAATCGTAATATGGGGATTTTGAGTTTTCATCAAAATTTGACTCTACAACCAGATGACGACTTCTACGCGCGAATTCCAGTTTTCCGTAGAAAAAAGCCGAAGCAGCTCCAAATTATGGAGTTCAGCGCGTAAAAAACGTTTCGTTGTGAAACCTTTTTTCACGATTACGGAAACTTTTTAAACTCAGAGAAAACATTCAAAACGAAGAAATTGTCTATTTTGACATCGCCAAAATTACTCAGAAGTTGGCATAAAAAACGAAGCTTATTGAAAATTCTATGCGTCGAAAGAGCGCGCCATATGTGACACTCCCTGAGGTCGGCAAATTAAAAAAAGTTATCGACAATTAAAAAAAAAAGTTTTTGTGTCGCACTTTTGAGCGAACCTCTATTGCATTTATTTGAAGGTATCTCGATAAGAGGAGTTGATTTATAGATCATTCAACGATTTTTCAAGGAAATTTTTATGTTTGATTTCATCACTATAAAATAATTCAGAAAAAAAAAACTCTTTTTGAAAGGCTCTCCTTCGTGATTGGAAAAAATTCGAAAAAAAAAACTTACCCAGCAATTCGGTTACGGAGGGCTTTGCTGCCGATAATGGCGACTTCATCGCATATCCTCTTGTTCTGATGGAAGTCCAACGTCATACGAGTGTAGTATTTCTCGATCATGACCTTGGAGGCCTTTTTGACGGTCTTCGTACGGACACGACTCATTTTTGATTTCCCAAAGTACTAAATTTAAAATTTGAAAAATGTTTGAAAACGAAAAAGAACAATAAAATATACGAAATATTGTAAACTTGAAACTATTTTTCCTAATTATATTGAAAAAAGGTTCAAAACATAAAATTTCTAAAATGCTTTCAAACGGCGTTAAGGGAAGATAGAAATAAACGACCTTATGATTATGAACATTGTAAAATGTCCATGCGCATGTGTTAAAAGTTTTTTTTGCAAGTATTTAGAAAAAAAAAAGATGGTCAAGAGATGAGAATTCTTCTATTTCAAAACATGGTAAAAGCGATTCCGCAAAGTGGTTTTGAGAAAGCTGTCAGAAAGTGAAAAAAATATAATTAAATTTTTGAAGATTCAGAGATAATTTTGATTTTTTTGTAAAAAAATTAATTGAAACAAACCAAAAAAAGCGGAAAAACAAAAAAATAAGCATTTTAGTCATTAATATTTAATTTTTCATAGAAAAATATATTTAAAAAAATACATATTGTAAAAAAATATAAAATGAAATATATTCAAGCGCGAGGAGACGGTGTACGGTAGCATGAGGACAGCTGTGCCTTCCCTTTCTACTCTGCTCCTTTAAATGTTCGAGTTTATTAAGACGTTTATAAGAGTGATGTGAGGTTCATTGTACGTTGCTATTTGAGGAAATCAGCAAGTTTTCGTAGACGTTTTCGTTCAAACTTTTCTCCACAATCTGAACAATGGATGTCTTTTTGATAGAAGTCGATATAGAACCTTCTTGAAAGGCCGTTCAGGTTGCTTCAGCCAAAGCAATGTTTTCTCCTCAAACTTCATAGTAGTCGCAAGCTCTCTGAATCGACAGAAGAATAAAAATGATGTAAGAGCAACAAACTTTGAATTTTCTTCAAATTCATCTTCCGAAAGAGCGGGATTTCTAGAATTATGAAGCTTGTGCGCCCTCATAAGTAGTTTTTTTTCCACCATCAGAAGAGGAATTTCTTTCAATTTCGCAGTTAAAGAGAAATGATAAATATGTTAAACCTATGGAGACAGAAATGATAAAGGCAGATAATGAAGAAAGCACAAAAATCATTAGAGCCATTAGAACAAAATAAAGGAGCGAAGAAGGTGCCAGAGCTTTCCGAGACGTGTTCAAAAAATACAGCAGTAGAGGCTCATGTGACAGGAATATACCAAATGACAACCTGAGTTCCTTTGTTAAAGAATACATTTGAATCTTCGACCTTGAAATGAGAAAAAGACGATGAGATGAAAGTAAAGACGAAATGATTCGTAGGTGGCCATTATGTGTAAGATAAACTAGAAGGCCCAGCCCAGAAGCCCAAATAGCCCGGTGTAGTACGGCATGAAAATAACTCAAAAATCCCTGAATTTTTCGATACTGAAGAGTTTGGAAAATCAAAGCTTACCTCGCTGCAGAAAGGCGCGAAAAGAGCAAAGTACAAACAGAAAAAAGTTATTACTCTCATTAGGACTATCCAAAGAGTCGATTTCCTTTCAGACTCCTCGCACAGCTTCCATCCAGTCAACAGCCCTGAAACCGAATCCGCAAATCGAAGATATATCTTTTAAAAGACCGATAACAAAGGGAGGGATTCTCGACAAAGGGTTTGCGTACAGTAATCTGAATGAAAGATCAGCCTCGTTGAAGTGTCCCATGAGCATGTCGATGAAGATGTTGGGATGAAGCCTGAAAACTTGGAGAGAAAATGAAAAATATAAAAGTTTCAGACGGATAGGTGGCATGGATGACAACTCTATAGACGAGGGACACGAAGACCACGCCGAGAACCGCCAACCAGCCTCGCTCCCATCGCCTCACCACAAACAGCATGGCCGGAAAAATCTGGAAAAGTCGTTTTTTGACAAGCAAATTTCATAATTTTTTTTCAGTAAGAACCCTACCAAATACAGTTGAAAGTCTAGTGATATGTGCCAAAGCCAAGGAAGGCAAAATGACGGGAAAAAGTTAGAGACAAGCAAGAGATGAGGCCAAACCGTCGAAGCGTTGCATTCGGTTCCAAACATTCCTGAGGAAACTGTTCACTAAAGAAGCTGGAAAAGAAAATGCCTTTGTTATTCCAGAAAGGGCCGTCTCCCAGAGAGTTGAAAGCGATTTTCATGAAGAAGACGTAAGCCAGAATAGATGGCATCAGACGCATGATTCGATGAAAGTAGAAGCCCAAGCTTTTCTTCCAGTCGAACTCGGTCGATTTACCTCTAGAATCTCTATAGTCAATTTTTCCTGACTTCAAAGGCGAGGGAGGCGGAGAGAGGGGCAGGACGCGTAGCGTGTGCGTTCGCGGTTCTTCGCACGAGTTCAACTTAACCGCTAGCCACTATTTCAAAAGCTCGGTCACCGCTCTTTTCATTTCTTTTTTAGTTCTGTCTCGATTTTTTCATTTGTGTATTAAAAAATAGTGGAATAGATACAAAAAGAGCGGTCACAGAGCTTTTAAAATGTGGCGGTTTATTTGAACTCGTGTCAAGAACCACGTCCGCACACGCTACGCGTCCCGCGCACTTTCCCGCCTTCCTCGACTTTTAAGTCGGGATGGATTGACTATACCTGAAAAGTAGTTTGCGTTGAGCGGAATAAGCGGCGACGCAGCCAGAAAGAAACAAAAAAGAGTCGACGGCGAGCGAGGAGTTGAGCAGAAAATTCGAAAAAAGCGACTCTGAGTTCTTGAGTGTGTTCACCGTCTCCGTGTACTGGAGCGAGAAGAGCACAGAGTGCGCGAAAACAACCTGGAAGAAGTTCGGAAACTCTAAGGGTATAACGAACCCAGAATGAGCTGAAAACTTTGATGCCGTGAGCGCAGCTGACGTCGCGTGTTGAATAACGCGTCAGATGGCGCAGAGAAGACTTTAGAGAAAACGACGACAACTGAAAGGAGCTCTTTCAATTGTTCATGTCGAAAATACTGACGATATCAATGAAAACGATTATGGTTGGTCGGAAGCGGACATTTGCCATACTGCGATAAGTCAAAGCGATAGAAGGGGCGCGGTAGTCCGTTACGGACTCACCTGAAAGCCTTTGGATCTGGCCTAGAAGGTGGCTCACCTTCATCATCCGGCTCTTCTAGATGGTGAACGGTTTGCTTCTTTGCATCAAATACGTCGATCAAAGTTCCCAACAGCACCAGAGTGCTCAAAAGCAAAACCAAAGCGAGTAACCAATACTGAAAACGCAAGTGATCCATCAGGAAGTTCCAGGAAAGTTCCAACTTTCACCGAATTCCAGCTCTGTTCGACCTCATCGTCACAGACCACGTTATTTATGTACAGGTCTAGATAACCTAGAGTTTCAGCGAACTTCCTAGTGCTGTTAATGTCGCAATCGGTGGGCAAACAGATTCCTAAAAGGAAATCTTTTCAGGAGTTTCCGACAACTTGAAACCAAGGTCGGCGGTTATAGGAAGAGCAGAGTTGTTGCCAATCACAAACTTATAATTGCAGTAGTGAACTGCGTGGCTAGCAGTCTTCAAATCTCGGCATAAGTCGTAGTCGCCGAGAAAAAAGAATGGGCCACGACGCGAAATTCCTGATGGCCGACTCGGCCACGAGTCCAGTAACCGCACTCGCCAGTCAAGCTCTTCAAACACTTCTTTTCGGAAATTTGAATCTGCACGGCGACACGCCACCGTAGCGGCGTACAATAAAATGTTTCGTACGCAATGCAGACGTTGCACAGAAAGTAACGCGCAAAAGTCAAAATTGATTTCATTTCGAATAAAATTGACTTTCATATCGAAGTTCAAATAAAGAGACAAATATTTAGGCTCTGTCTGCTACAAGATACCGAAAACTGTTGAAAAAATTAGAAATTTGTTTGGAATAAGGAAAAAAAAGTACAGGAAGGCCTTCAAAGAACAAACCAGAACAAGCGCTGATGTTTTTCAAAGAACAGGACGACGTCGTCAGAGAAAACACCGAATTTTTGAAGATGTCGAACATGGAGACAGTACATTTGTCAATAATGTCGAATCTCATGTCCGGAAAACTTTTCCTGACATTCTCCAAGGTTTTGTGTGTATAGTCTTGGAAAAGTAGCTATAAACAGATGTTGGAAAAAATGACAGTCAGATAAGACCTTGAGCAAGGAAACGGTGACGTGCGACGTGACATTCTTCAAGGCGTCTTCGTCCACTGATTGTCGGAACACTTCGACGATTTCCTCGGGTCTCCTAGTCCCTTCTGCCAAACATATAAACAGAAGCCAAGGGGTGAACCACTTCATTTCGTTGAAAATGTTTTGCACTACACGTAGGAACGTTTATTTGTCGCGTAATCTATTTACAAATAAAGTATTTGAATGGAATGGCTGAAATTTTAGGGCAAGAAGTGTAGCGCTGTTGTCGTTCTGTTTGTACCCTGTGATTGATAAATAGGCGTCTTCCGAAGTGCCTAGACCTCAGGCCTGTCGGTGACGCTGCTCTTCGCCGGCTGTATCTGTAATTAACATTTTTCCATATTTTTTTTTGAAAGCTTGAGCTTCCAGATTTTTTAAAAGAATTTCATCACGTTATTTTTTAAACTGTTCGACTTTCAGACCTTTTTGAATGAAAAAGTAGTTTCCCAATTTCATAGACAACCGAAATGGCCACAGAAATGTTTTTCTTACTTCCTTAATATTCCAGCGTTTTTTCGACAACGCCACGCCCAATTTTGTCCGTAAAGTGTCGTGTGTGGTGTGCATGCACCGCGCCGCTTTCCCGCAGACAAATTGCGTTTATGTAGAGAAAATTTGATTCGTCTCAATAACTCTGGCAATAAGGTGGCCTGCACCTTTTATTTGCCTCGAAATCTCTGCCGTTCCCATGATGTCACGTGGGAACAACGGAGATTTCGACTCCGCCCACCCTGTTTTGGCTTCGAATTTTCTTACATTAACAAATCTTTTTCTCTCAAGTGTCTAGAAAATGATTGAAAATTTAAGATGAAAAAAAGGACAGGTGAAAGATAATAGAGCACAGACAATACAGACCGTTTTCATTGAACAGACCTCGATGTTCAAATCAAATTTCAATTTAAAAAAATTGCAATTAACAAACCTTAGAGTTTTTTTGTTTTTGCCGTGAGTTGCCTTTCGGTTTCGGTCTTTGTGCTGCAGCGCCTAAAACCAATTTTGTATTGAAATGAAGACGAACTGGTGAGTTTTAATGAAAGTCACCTTTTGGACGGCAGGCCCATCGAATCGAATCGAGAGTTATTAGAATTGCGGGAAGAAAAACGAGTCCGTGGAGGTTACACAGCACCACGCACAAGACCATCGTCTTGACGAAAACTTCGGCCATGTAGAGGTTGACGAAGAGCAAACTACACACGCAGAGGATGGTCGAGAGAGCCGCCTGTAGGGCTGGGAACGCCACCGAAGACAGACAGTTGGCCAGTCTGGACGATGGTCTCGACAGCGGTCCTTCTTGGATCGCTGCAAATAGTTGAGTTCTTCCTTTCTTCTTCCAAATTTTGATGTCGATTAGATTTTTGAGTCAAAAATGTGAATGATGTGGTATCACTTCAATAAAATTTTCCAGCTAAGTCAGCAAGTGAGAAATCTGGGGAAAATGCACTCCATGGGATAATTTCGAGGGTAATTAAATGAGACTGACTGATTTTAGTTTTAACTGGGAAGAAAAAGCTAATGAAGAGTGAAATATCAAGAAAGACCGTGAAATTCGAATTTTACGGTATCAAGTTTTAAAATGGCGTATCGGTGTGTTTGACGCAAACACAGCTACGAACGCTTGCACGAATTCTTCCAAAATTTCAAAAAAAAATTGACATTTTTTCGAGGTTTTAAAGCCGTTATTTTTTTCGCGTCGTTTGATTTTTTCAAATTTTTACTCAAAAAAAAGTGTTAATGGATAACACACTCAAAATTTAGAAGCGTTCCTCACTTGGTTTTCTGGAACGCGACGATTTTTGATGAAACTTGTCAGTTTTTTTCGAGTTAAGTCCTACTTTTTTTCGCTTATTTATGAAAAAAATACATGGTTTCAAAAAGATTCCGTCTTGTAGAGCGTTGTCCATTACATAAGTTTTCAGAAATAGTTATTTTTTAAGATAGAACTTTAGTTAGTATAAATGCCTCAAAACCGTTTCTGCAACAAAAAAATCGTCATTTTGGTGGCATGAAGGGGCGGGGCTTTGCGCCCCCTACGTATAGGGACCCCTTTTTCGATCCATATACGGGCTGTTTTTCACCCTAACCCCTATAGGAACCATTCTGGAATGCTAAGTTCCGAGCTGTTTTTGCTTTCGAACTAACTTTTCTGAGTTTTTTTTTCTGTGAGCTCAGATTTCTTAGAATGAACAGTTTTCAAATTTGTTCGACGGTATGGTTCAGTTTTAACAAAAATGACAGTTTTCGAGTCATAAAAGTTGGCTTACAAGCTTGATAGTAGTGATAGGAGACGTGGGCGGGAATGTCGACGGAGAATCCGATGGAGATGATCATGGCGGCCATGGTGATCGGGTCGAGGTCAACGCCCCACCACGAGAGGATCCCCAGGATTCCTGAGGTAAAAGCATGTTTCGCATAACTAGTGAACAGGTGAACCTGCGCAAATCGAAAGAACGGAGAGACTCGCAATGGCGACCGTGAAGAAGTTGTTGAGGAAGACGAAACAGACGAAGGCCATGCAGACCAGAGTTCCGAGGACCGACTGCCAGGTGTCGGTCGGCATGTTGTCGATGAGGTCCAGGTATACGCCGTCTTCGTGGAAAACTGCCGTCCCAAACTCTCTTCAAAATTGAGAACAGTCACCACTAGGAAATATCTTTTTATGTGTTAATTTCATCTACCGCTTTTTGATTGGTTGGGATCGGCTAAGTTAGTATTTTAATAGAACTTTGGTTGTTTACAGTCGGTTTTTTGAAGTGTCTGATTAGTTTTCGATGTTCTGATGGATCCTTTTTGAGGGGTCCTTTGAGGGGGTTTCATAGGGACCCTATGAAAGGAAATATACATTTTCAGGTGCTCCCCTTTTGGTCGCCAAATTTCCTAAAAACCGCTCCCCCAAAAAAAAAATTCCAGCCAATTAGAAAATCTTCGGACCTTGGTAACGCAAACCAGACGCGCCTTGAACTTCCTGAACATTTCTAGTGACCACTTTAGCAGCGTCATTACTCTTAAGGGATCCCTAGAATTGCTCGGAATCGTCCGCTTTGCGTTACCGAGGTCCGAGTTTGTATTCCAAAACAAACTTTTCACGAACGTCGACCACTGAAATTTGAGAGATTTTATAGTCAAAAAAAATGACTGAAGGATTTGTACAAAACTCCGTTCAAATGCATAATATCTTTGTGAGCATTAAATCAACGGTAAAAAGCGAGGTTTGCAGTGAATAGAAAAGCTTACGGATATTTGTCAACAGTCTTCCTCCACTGGGTGAGCATTTTGCCTCGTTGTGTCCAAACGGACAAGTTCTTGCCGTGATAACCCGTTGTGAAGAAGAATCGATCGAGAACTTGGTCTCTAAACACGGAAAGGAGTTGCACTTGGATTGGATGTGAACAAGAGACTCTGGGTCAGTGGCGTTGGTGGCATTCCTCAATTTGACGAAGCCTTGCCAGAAGTCATACTCAGGCCACTTGAGGAAGTACTTCAGCTCGTCTGCCTTGAACGTCATGTCTTTGTCCTAAGAGGAAAAATCAAAATTCAAAAAAAAAGCAGAGTAAAACCAGAAGCGAAGGAGTAGGAGTTGTGTTCAGTTCCGTGTCATCCGTCGGCTCCTCTTCATCATCGTCATCACCAAATGCTACAATCGAAATTGAGACTATTGCAAACAAGAAAAAGAAAACGGACAAGTCTGGAAGACGGCGAAATCTCGCATGAAATACTTGGTCCCGACAGGACCCCACGACGTTCCCCAGCTGCCTTCGAGACTCTCCATGTCTCTTACCAAGGAGTTCAACTTGCTGAGTCTTCTAGGATCTGACAGATTTCCGGGATTGTTGACGAACACCGTCGCCATTGAGTAGTGAGGGACCTGGTACTGTACTCGCAGATCGTCTAACTGTAAATGAAATTTTTCTTTGTGAAGATTGTGGTCCATTTTTTAACCTCAAAAAAGGGAAAGTCCAAAATCTAGTCTACGCAATGATTCAGGCAAAACCTGGGAAGGTGTTGGAAATTTTCTGGTTTATCTTCCTTGAAAGGTGTCTAGAAGGTTTACAGAAGGTGGCCAAACGCCTTCCAAATGACACAGCTTGCCAACTTCTACATATCTTTCAGAATCCTGCTGGATACGCGAAAAATATAGCAAAAAAGCAAAAATTTTTACTTTTTGAAAGGAATCGTGCGGGTGTGCGTCGTTGTGTATGCACCGCAGACACTGATGCCGGTATTTAAATATTGCAGGAGCCGTTTTTCGTCATCTATTTTCACTTTTTTCTGTTTTATTTCAAAATGAGAGTACTTCTCATTTTTCCTTTCCTTGAAAACAAAGGACAATAGTTCTTCGATCAGAAGAGAGAAAAATGAGCGAAAAATTTCCTCCTTACCCTTTTCAAAGTATTTTTTTATTTATTATCAAAATTTCTTATCATAGTTGAAACAGATCCTTGTCAAAACACATATTTTTAAATAATTTGAAAAAAATAGAGTTTGGTCCCTGAACATGTTTGAATAAAAAAAGAAAAAAATAAATAAATTTTTTTAAATACTAGCCAGTCGATTTTAACACAAGGTTTGTCGGAATTTTCCATCTTTTAGATTCCGCGGATATTCCAACAACCTTTTTAAAACCTTTTAAAGACATTCTTAGAACCTTCTAGCGTCCGTTTATCACCTTTCCCAACATCTTTCTCAGATTTGCCTGACTTTAAAAAATGAATCTCACCTCGAGGAGAGGTGAATCCAGAGCGAAAAGCTTTTGAGCAGTCAAATTGATGTTGAGCTGAGTGATCCCCTGATAACCGTGAAACTTTTCTATTTTCAATAACAACTTTAGCCTTACGTAAACACTGAAAACCAGGTAGGCCAGATAAACAAGGCAGACGGCGGTGAAGACGACGGGAGTCGTCATCAGAGTCACATATTTTTGAAGAGATTCGCTGATTATCGGCTGTGTTGCTTCGTGGAATTTCGACGGTTGTCTCTGAAATTTCGTGTATATGATGAGCAAAAAAGGAAAGAAGAGAAAAAGTAATAAAAAGTCAAAGAGAATGCTTGCGGCGTAGTGTTGCGCTGCGAAATGGTCCATAGTTTTGGGTATAGAAATCATTTTTGGGAGAAGTTTCACTAGTGCTGAACTGCAGAGTGGTCCCTATAGGGTCAACCTTAGGGCCCTTGGAGGATCGCCTCTAGGTACCACTTTACCAACTTCTATAGGGAGCGCCTTGCAATTTTTAATGGCCCCTATAGGGGTTGGTAAAGTGGTGCCTAGAGGGGATCGTCCGAGGGCCCTAAGGTTGACCCTATAGGGACCACTCTGGAGTTCCTAAGTTCTCCCACGGAAAGCGCTATGAGTAAAGTGGGTAATCATGATTTATGATCTGAAATGAACTTGAAAATAATTTCAGAATAATATTGCATAAAAGGTGAAGTACGTACTCGTAGGTACGAAAGATTCAGGAAACTTTGACGTCACCCCATTTTTGTGTTTGCCGAAGAAACCTTTGAGATCTGACCCTACACATTTCAAGGTTTTTGATCCAAGTGGTCACGATCATTGCCCACATTCAGAAATACGGCAAAACATAAGCGTCAAGACGAGTTTTGTGTTGTACGACAACGGCGTGAGAAAAAAGAACCAGTTGTTTACCTGAGAAGCCGACCTTCTCATTACAAACTTGATAAGAAAAAAACTTTGAGATGGAACGGAAACGTTGTTCGAAAAGCCATTTTTCGGAGAAACTTAAAAGAAACACGTCTCTCTTTTAACGTCACTCTTTTCAATCAAAACTTTGAATTTATGTTTCTTTTAATATAGTCGATTTGACATTCAAAAGAATGAGTTAATTGCGAAAAAACAGAGTTCTGCACGGCGACACCAAATCGACGCCAAGCCCACTGTGTCAGCGTAAAATAAAATGTTTCGTACGCAGTGCCCACGTTGCACAGAAAGCGACGCGCAAAAAAAGCGAAATTAATTGTTTATTATTAATTTTTTTTTCAAAAGGGTGCCGAATGCGTAAAAATTATAGCATTATAAATTTCTGGTAGTTTGAGTTATAAGCCAGATAGATTCCTTGAGATGAACGAAACATATGGAATTTAAATAAAAAAAGCGATTATCAAGTCGATTATTTAAAGTAAAAACTGAGAAGCATTTCCAAGGATTCCCTTCTAAAGTATGAGTAAGAATTTGAAAAAAAAAAAGGCCGAGCTATCTATAGATGCAAAAAAAGTCGGACTAACGGTGAGAGGTCGATGATGTCGAGCGATGTTCACGCGGTTTTCGGCGATGTTGATTTCCATTTTGTTCTTATCCACCTCGTCTTCAGTGAACTCGAAGCCTCCGACAATGGACATCAGCCCTGCGTAGAACGTCATCTGCATATCTTCTGATTCTCTTTTTGTCCTTTTCCCAGAATCTACCGATGCAACTAATAAGAGGGATAACGAAAGCTGCATACCTGATAGAGGAAGGCGAACCACATGGAGAGCATGTTTCCGGTGCAGAGTAGCGTTATTTCGGGACTCGAAGTGAAGGAGCCGACGGCGTCGGCGAACATGTTCGTCAGACACGATATCAGAATCGCTGGACCGACTTCCGCCATTACCTGAAGCGAGTAGGGAGATTGTCTAGGTGGAGATGAACAAGAGAAACTTCGCTCATTCGATGCCCAACACTGTCTTTTTTGCTCGGCGTTTCGCGAATATGTTTGGTGACCCTTTGCCATTCGTGAAGCATCAGGTAGGAAGAGTCCACACCTTCAAATTGGTTTCAAAGTTCGTTTGGCATTGAGTAAACGAACCGATGGAGAGGACGAGGAAGGGGATAACGCACAGGATGGAGGCGAACCTGACGCCGCAGACGAACATCAGGGCGAGAGCCGTCGAACAGGCCAGAAGAGGCGTCAGACACGCCATTATAGCCAGAATTATCTGGAACCACATCTATTTTCTGTAGGGAGATTCAGAATTGCCTTGTAAAAGTTTTCCTGATGCATGTAGAGAGCTCTTATCAACACCGAAATGATACTGCACAGGCACATGATGGCGAATCCGACGACGAGATAGGGAATCATGATTATTCCTCCTGAATTTTCGAAAAGAGATACCCAAAAACGTTTTGCAGACCAACCTCTGACCATTTCTTCTTCAACGTAAGATTGAGAATACGCGTAAATTTTGAGTCTTTTCGATTGATAGCGTCTGAAAAAAAAGCAATCGAAGAGAAACAAAAGCCAAAAACTTCTCGAAGACGTCGACAAGCTTCATTTCCCAATTCTTGACGTCGGAATCTTTCCAACCGGGTTTGTGCTCGGCGCGGAATTGCATCGTGATCATTTTCACCGACTTTATATTTGATATATGACTTGTTGCGTCACGTAATTTCGTTGCGTTCAATTCTGAATGGCGTATGAGAGATTCTGAAAGATCTCGCTCACCTAGAGGATCTTCACCGTCGGTCAATAGCTTCGGAACGGCGTCTTCTGACTCTTCTCCAAACAGTTCGACTCCAAAAAAGTTAGGCTTAAAATGAAGGTTTTATGAAAAAAGGTATATGATAAGATAGTAGGTAGACGTTTAGCTGTACCTGCAAACTGAACTGTCTTCCGAACATGTCGCTGATCGGATAGCTGAGCTTGAGTCTCGGGTTCCCGCCGGCGCCTGCTTCACTCAAGATCTGGTAACCGTTCTGAACCCAAAACTACCCTCTTTATTCCAATTTTCTTCCTACGTAAAATTGCCGGACAGGCTCGTTTATCTGGCAGAAACTGTTGCAAAACTGGTTGTAGCTCTCGTTTTTGCCGGTGGTCGAGTCGTGCATCGTGATGTTGTTCATTGCGTAGTTCAAAACCTACAACTTCTACTCGTTCTCGACTTTTCATCGGAATCGATACCTGTACGGCTTCATCCAGATAGTCTGCCCTAATCATACTTCCGTTGTCTTTGGCAACGATAAATAAATAAGCTGCTACCGGTAAGCCTAAAAATTTTGCACAATCTTTAAAGTTTCTAAAATCCTTTAAAATACGTTTATTTTCAAGAAAAAAACAAACCATCACTAGAAAAGAACTTTTGGTACTCAATGTACTCGTCTTTTGCGCGCGCCCCATAGGGCGTATAACCCGTAATGTCGTTTGCTTGTCTAAAATATTTGGTTACAAGAAAAAAGTGATAAAAAATTACTTAGTGAAGAGTATCTTGGTGATGCAAAGAGCGGAAATGAGAAGACATAGGGCGATGGCGACCCAAGCGTGCTTGGCTATGAAAAAGCCCCACTTGCGGAACATCTTGATTATCCATCGAACAAATTTTGGACCTGAAGTCAGAACAAAATCTTTTTAGAAGAAAATATTTTGGGTTCGGGAGCATTTGAGGCGCCTAAGCCATTTCCAAGGGCCTTTTTTCTCGGGCAACTTAGGGGTGCCAGAGTGGTCCCTGTAGGGGTTCGGGTGGAAAACAACCCTAATAGGGGCCGAACAAGTGGTCCCAATAAAGGTAAAATTAAGGTGGTCCCTATAGGGGTTCAAAGTCTGACCTCTTAGCCCCTAAACAGGACCCTATATGGGCCTTCAATTTCATTCAAAAAACGCTTATTTATTCAGTTTTTTCCCATGGAAATGCTCTTCGCTTAGAGTTCAGGAAAGTTATCGACTGGTATGCCCCTAATGCAAGCTTTAGTGGCCTCTATAGGGGTAGGTAAAGTCTAGAATGGTCCCTAGAGGGAACCTCCAAGGACCGCGAAGGTTGCCCCTATAGGGACCATTCTAGAGTTCCTAAGAAAGTCGGAATGGTGGATAATGGCCGCTAAAAGAGAGAGGCTCACAAAAGACAGCAAAAAGAGTCTCTTTATCGAGCCTCCCATGTTTTCAATAAATTTGAAGGCTCAAGAAATGGTGGAAAAAGGGAGAGGCAGCAAAAGTGGTGCATAAGAGCCAATGGAAGGGCGCAAAAAGCAGGAAAAAAAGGAACCTTTGCTACCCTAAAAGAACATTTCTATGAAGCCTTTCCACCCTTTCTGAAGGCTCACCCTTCCCGACTCATTATTCTGTGCTCTCCACTCTTTTCAGTTGATGCACGTCGTCTGGTGAACAAACCTTGGTCGGCGCCGTCGTTGTAGACGTCGAGGGAGCGCTGTCCGATGAGCAACGACGGCCGACGCGCGCGGACCACGGAGGCCTCCATCGCGTCGGAGCCTCGCGTCGCCATCGGAATCTCGTTGGGAAGTGCCGGCGACGTTGCGACCAATCAATCGAGGCGTCCTCGACTCCCTTGTTTTCTCAAATCGTTGCTGTTTGCGCCAGTCGAAGACGTCTGATCAATTGCACTTCGTCGCCAAATATTTTCTGAAGACGTCTCGGTGGGACGCGTTCCCTAACGAACAGAACAAAGGAAGGCAGCAGCACGGACATTTATGGGAATTCCCATTCTTACTGAATGCCACCAAAACCAACAAGAACGGTACGCCGTCACGAAATTTACAACGGATACTTTTGGGCTGGGTTTTCGAACACTTTTCGGAAGGTTTTTCGAAATTTTTGACGATTTGAGACTTGTAAATCACAAAAATGAGATGAAAAGACATAGGAAAATTCGGAAAACGATTTTTAGAAAGTTGAGTATGTGAGAATGGTTACAGTTTACCATATTCCATCAAGTTTTATGTAAAGTGAACCTTCAAAAAGTCTCATTAATATCTAATTTAAACTCCTTAAACGCTGGTGAAGTGTTTTATGAATGTTTTCATGGACCAAAAAAATGGAAAAAAAAATTTTTGTCAGTGTAACGCTCTTCAAGGATGTTCAATAAACATCTCTTGGCAATAATTAAGGTGAAAAAAATTTTTTTAATGTTTTGGTCAGCTATCACAAAATCATTTAGGTCGATTAGTAAGTCGGGACAAGTGAGAAAAGTCCCAGTCGTAACATTATTGGAAAGAATAACAAAAATAGAGAAGAGAATACGATCGGAGTGAAACAAAAGAAGTCGAGAACAACGAACAAGGAGGGGCGGGCACCTGTTGGGCGAAGAACGCGAGCAGAATGAGGCGAAGATTGAACTTCTGCGAACTTCTGACCAAATTGACTCGACTCCTCGATGGGAATCAGGAATCTTCCATCCGAAGATGTTAAAGCAAGGAGCCTCCATATAAAAAAAAAGGAAATTTTTTTTTTTGATTTCTGTGATGTTTTGTACTGCAGAGAGAAAAATTTTTCATTTTTTATGCCGTGTTCAAAGTGATTCCGCGAAATTCAAAATAGCTGTCAGAGAAAGAGAAAGATAACTAAATTTTGGAGGGTCAGAGACCATTTTGCATTTCGCGGAAATTACTTTGAACACGGCATTAACCATGCAAAATGAATACCAAGTCTTTTTAAAATTCCGAGGTTCTTCGGAAGAGCTAGTTTCCTATTTCAAAGTCTTAAAACCTTTTGAAATGCCTAAAGATTCAGAATTTACTCTGCATAATCATATCATCAAGTGAAAAATTCCCGATGAAAATAAAAAAATTGAAAAAAAATCAATTTCATTTCAAATTTTGATAAGAAACAGATATAAATGAAATCGATACCCCCGATTCCAAAAAAACTCGCATAAGATAATCTTGAGGGACGGCAACTTTATCGCTGTCAATGAAAAATGCAACCGACGAAAAACGACAGGCGGAAAAGGGAAGAAAGTGAGTGCAAAAACGTGATTGGGAGACGTCAACGATCGATGACGGCGGGAGACGTCTACCTGTCTGCAGTAGGCTGTGCAGAAGCCGTCGAGAACCTCCTGCTCGCAAAGTTGTTTGCTCTTTTGTATCTTCTCGTCTTTCCAATTGAAGAACTCTATCCCGCGCAAATCAGTGAAATTTCAAGTTTTTTAGAGTATCTGTTCTCGAAGAACTACTTGGGAAAGATCCATGCCGATTTTCTTAAGAATTTTAGAGTGATCCCTACAGGGGTTAGAGAGATGCCCTTATAGGGGCCGAAAAAGTGGTCCCTATTGGAGTACACTCAAGGGGGTCCCTATAGCATTTTAGGGTCTGACCCCTAGCCACTGAAGTGATCCCTATAGAAGTCTTTCAATTTTTATTTAAAAAAAGATTTTTTTTTCTGATGAAAATGCTTCTTTGCATAGATTTCATAAAAATTATCGACTAACATGTCTCCTATAGGGGCATTCAAATGAACCCCTATAGTGACCCATTTTTCAAGCGTTAGGGGCCACTAACTAGAACCCCTATAGGGACCACTTTTGTAAGCTTTAGGGGATCCTATAGGATTGAAAAAGTGGTTCCTCCAAGAGCCCCTATAGGGACCACTCTGGAATTTCTAAGTTTTATTGTTCCATCCAATTTCCTGTTCTGTTCAAAACCTCCTACTCTGCTCAATTTCGGTATTTCGCCTTGTTTGGAATTAGAAAGCGACAGTTGCGAGGCGACCGATGAGCGACTAACGTCATCAGGTGTAAACATGCGGTGCGATACACGAGAATGCGTAGTAAAGAAGAAAAAGGAGAACAGGAAAGCCGAAAAATGGAATCTGAAAAAAAGTTTATTCAACTGAGATGTTTGTTGAGAATATCGTCGAGCTGACATTCGAGCGCCTCGTTGGTGCCCTTCATGCCAGTCACCACCTGAAATACGAATTCTGCTTTTTGAGAATTTCATCAAAGAAAAGTTGTTCTTTTTATGCAGGTCCATTAACCGAAGGCCAATATGGACTTCCAAACAATTCCGAAAGCCAAAGACCGACCTGCTTGGCCCAGCCAAAGTATTCCTTGATTCTTTTGCTGTCCCAGCCGAAAGGCGCGCGACGCTCCAAATCCCGCAAATTGTACAGCTTGTCCGCTAATTTCACCAGTTTGCCCTCAAATTTTCAAAATAGATAAGGTGGGAAGGATATTTTCTGACTTTGTGACTGGTAGCCGGCGCGTGCTCTATCTGTAGCCGTTTCCTCTCAGCTTTCGGTAGAGATTTATCATCTGTGACCTCTACGATTATGTCGTGGACCTGTAATGTTTTCCTCAAACATTTTTTATTCTATATTGATTTGTTATAGCCCGTCCGCCGCGATTTGACACTTTTCACATGTCTGCGTCTCTCTGTTCCCTCACCGGCGATGTCAGAGAAACATGGAAATATCACGTAAACATGAGAGGGACGTGGAGAGATTAGGAGGGCGCAGAAACCTTTAAAGTCGCGAAAAACGGACTATACTCAATTTTTAATGACTCTTTGAATACTAGGCGGTAAGATGAGCAACAAAGTTCAACGCCAAACCAGTGAAGTTTAATGAGCACCTAAATGGACCAAAGTACAAAGAGTCGTTCAAGTTGGATTGTTGAGGTGGAACCGGTTTATATCGATAGCACTGCGTTACTCGCCAAAAAATTATGAACATTCATTTTGCCAGCAACCTACGACGAGAGTTCAAAAAGAAAACCTCTTTGCCGAACAACTCTAGGATCTCCTCAAACGTTGTCTTGGTGTCCTCGACGACGTCGTGTAGAATCGCTGCCGCCAACGTAACAGCGTCGTAGACCTTCGCTTCACTCGTCAGAATGTGAGCCACGCCTGAAATTGGTAACCTTCGGAGTTGATTCGAAGACTTACCAAGTGGGTGGTTGATGTATGGAGTCGCGTTGTCCTTGCGTTTTTGGTGACGGTGACGACGAGCAGCGAAGTCTGCTGCCTGGAAAATTCGAGCCTTTTGTTTGAAACGTATAATTGAATAAAATTCATAATTACCAAGGGAAAACGAGTGCAAAAAAGTTTTCATGTCGTGTTCAAAGAGGTTTCAGTGATTTCAAAACTTACATGTTTTTCCTTTGAAATGATTTCGCAAAATACGCAAATATCAAATTTCAAAAGCTAATAGAAAAATTCGGTACTGCAACTAGACAGCGACTTTCATGCGCAAATTCTGAACTTTGGAATTATTTTTCCATTTTTAAACTGAATTTTGCGCTTAAAAAAACTGTCGTACTTAAATTTTTTTTCAACTACCGAAATTACGATTTTGTGTATCTTCAGAATAATTCCAAAATGAATAAAGTTAATTTTAAATAACTTAAACAGGTCTTCAAAGATTAAAAAAAAATACTCGGATCACGAGTTCCATGTCGCTTGGCTCGGCGAAAAGTAAGGTCGGTTTTTTTTTCTCCATATCGAACGACTTTTCTGACGACTTCTCGTCAGCTAATTCCGGATACACTTTCTTTTCCTCTTTGTCTGCCATTCTGTAAAGATAAAAGATAAGTTTACTCTGAATTTTACCATTAAAAAAAAAGCCGGACGCTATAAATTCTTGAGATACATTATTATTCATTCAAAATATTTTTTTTTCTCTTGACTATTCTCCGTTTTTTTAAGTATGAGTTTTACAACTTCAAGTTGATACACGGTAGGAAAATTTTATAAATATTTTGAGCAGAATTAAAATGGAACGAAGCGAAGTTCTAACAAAGATTGAAGACGACGTAGCGGAGCGAAAATGACGAAAAAGTGAGGATGCAAAGCGTTCCCAAAAATCTGGTTTCGCGATCAAAGCGGATCAATTCTTTCTTCATGCAGACCGCCATTCCACCTTTCCAGACGTCAGAATAAAAAATTCCTGAAAGCGTTGCCAAGGCGTCGAAGAAACTGGGGAAACGTATGAAACATCTAATTGACTCTGAACTCACACAAAAAATATCTTGTCAGAAGAAAAAATGTGAGTTATAAAATAGTAGAGCTTATATTCAACAAAAACCTAACAATTTCAAGCTGAGTTTTGAGTCCAAAGCAGTAAAACTGATAAAAATTCTATCAATAAAGTTCATCGCTGCATGGAAACAATTTTCTGTCGACACGTCGGAAACTTCAGCGCCGGGAATTTTTTCCTGATTGAGAAATTTCTAAGTTATTTTCCCTTATTCGGCAAGGCCATCAGCTGAGACCGTCAATTTTTTTTTTCTCGGCGCCGCCGATGACGGATTTGCCCCTTTTGACTTTTAAAACTCTAAAGAGACCTCTCCAACTCTGGATTTATGGGAATGTGCGCGCCGTCGCACATTAAAAATTGCGTTTAAAAATTTTTAAATTTTCAAAATTTTATATTAACAAAATTTTACACGCCTTTCTAATAAATTTTTCCAGAAAACTTTTGAGAGGGAAAACACTCTAGTGAGTAGAAGTTAGAAATAGTTGTGGCGTTAAATTTTTTTTTTTCGGAAAACCCTATTTTTTCACCCCGCGTCTTTTTTTCTTCATGCGAACAGTTTTGAAACCTTTGAGCTTATATACTGTTTATCTAAAATTGTTATTCAGTTTGCTTTTTTTACCTTCTATGATTTACGTTAGGAAAATAATCTGTTTGTAAACGTTTTATTCCTCTACGTTGATATTGAAACTTCTAAGAGTTACTAAATGGAACGAAGGGATGATTTGCAACACGTGTTGATGCCGAACCAACAAGAGGAAAACCTTCCAGAAAGTGACGACTGGAGGATGGAAGAACGGCCAGCGATGGAAGTTGTCGTTGGCCAAGTTTTTTTTTTTGGATTTTTTTTTTCTATTTGGAATGTTTCCAGGGAAGCGTGGAAGGGGAATTCGTGGAAGTGGACGATATCGGTCAAGTTGATCATGTGATAGAGTTAGGACAACATCATGAATATGAAGGTTATTTTCCTTTCTCTTATCATTTCGTTTTTTATAGTATCGTGAATCTTTAGATGTCTTATTATTACCAAATTTGAGCTCCATAAACGCCGGTGAAGTGCGTTAAGGATGTTTTAATGAAAAAAAAGAGGATTTTGAATAATTTTCTAATGCAAAAATGAGTTGATAATATTATTTTTTATCACTGTAATAAAAAATTTTCAAACAATGTCATGGGCTTTTCCTAACTCGTAAAGAACTCGTGAGAATTATATTTCATTTAGTAGCTATCTCATTTGTAGATGGCTTCCCATCGTTGTTGCCGATTCGCGACGGCGCGCCTCTGTTGACTTTGAATTTGCCCGATCTCATCAGTAAATCGATTCCGTTTGCCAACGGGGAAAAGATGATAATTTGCTTCAACAAAAAGTGCTCGCGTCAGATTGCATTTGCCGGTTATCTCTATTCAATCAGCGGATACGTAAGCTCCTATTCCAAGCCTCTATTCCTCGGATTATTTTGTTCAGCTTGAAGAAAACTCGTGGAACCTGTGGAAATGCGTCAACGAGAATTGCGACGGATCCGTCAGGACCTCTCCCAATTGCCTCGAGCTCCGGGTCAGGACGGAGCACATCAGCAGCTGTGTTCCCGACGACGCTCAAGTGATACAACGTTCCATTCTTTATCTATGCAATGAGATTTTCAGATACGCCTGAGAATCGCCATTTACGACCTGAGGTTGATGGCTGAGTTCACGGACCTGAGTCTTCAGCTGCTTTTCGCCGGAAACGGTTGGTTTACTTTTCTTCTTTTTGATTTTTCTTTTCACTGCAGAAAGTCGTATGAAGGCTGATAACGGTGATATTGCACATTTGATGCCTTCTTTCGAGACTTTGAGGACGACTCTTGAAGATCATCGAGTGAATAAGGTCCGCCTTTTCCTTTGTTCTTTACGTTTTTTCTTGTTTTTTTTTGTGTTTCTCTATAATATAGTTCTTAAAAAGTAAATGTTCGAACAAACGTTCAACCAAACTTCTTCTGAAAAATTTGATGAAATCGACCAATTTGTTAAGGTTCACACGAACCGTTTGTTTAAAATTTCATTTCAGTTCGTTTTCATAACTGAGCATTTGAAAAAAACGTAAAAAAATTTTTTTCGAAAAAAATTTTTGGTTAAAAAAATGAAAAATTTTAATTTTTACTTTGAAATTTTTTTGGTTAGAAAAAGTAAAAAAATTCACATTTCATTTGGAAAAATTTTGGTCATTAAGGCGAACATTTACTTACTAGTCAGACTATGATTGTTTAGAAAATGACCTTTTTTTCAGTCTTTAATTGTCACAAAATGAAAAAGAATGAAAGTGATCAATTTTGGTTGATCTTTCAAAAACGACATTCGTTTGAAATGTCAAAAAGAAATTTTTTCGTTTTTGAAAAATGTAATTCTTTTCAATTGGTCATTTTGAGAACTCGAGTCTAAAAAAAAAGAAAAAGGTCTAGAAAAAAGGCGCCAAAAGTCCTTTTCGAGACTTTTTGGACCTTGCCCGTGACTGAAAGAATAAAAAAGTGTTCTGGTCAGCTTGTTCAATTGATAAATATTTCCTATTTTGGACGTGTAGGTCCTTATCCAGTTTCTTTGTCTTTTCAAGCTTTTTTCGTGTAATTCTGAGCCAAATTTAACTGGGACATGCGTTTCATCATATACAGTACCGCTCAAAAAGTCTATTAAGTTTTGGTTTTTTTGGGGATAAATTTTTTTGAAGTGCGATATCGACTCAAAATTTTTTTTCATAGTTTTCTGAGAGAGACATACGTGTTCTGGCAAAAATTTCAAGTTGCTAGCTCAAAGAATAATAATTTTTTTCGAGAAAAAAACGAATTTTTCGAAAAAAATCGAATTTTTTTGCTATTTTCAATTAAAAAAATCATAGCTCAACAAAAAAATTTTTTTATCAACACAAAAACATTGTTAAAACAATATTCGGGACCTAGTACTTGGTTGCGAAGCCCCTGGCGTCAACCACTGCCTGGCATCTTCTCTGCATAGAATTGAGCAAAGTGTCGATGGTAGACATGGGGATCTGATTCCATTCAGACAGCAGTTGAGCAAACTTTTCGTTGCAATTCTTGGCTCTTTTGTTGGCACAACGTCGCTCCAACTCTTCCCAGAGATGTTCGATCGGGTTCAGGTCCGGAGATTGACTTGGCCACCCCATGACATTGACCCGACGGCTCTTGAACCAGTCCTGAGTTTCAAAAACCATACGACTTACTTGTCAATTTTTCTCACCTTGACGAACAGTGAAGTGTGCTTGGGATCGTTATCCTGTTGATAAACACTCCCACGACCCATGGCTCTCAAGTGCGGCAACATCTGGTTCTGGAGAATGTCTTTGTAGACGTGCTTGTCCATGATGCCGTTCACGCGATGAAGCGGTCCGATGCCACTTCCAGAGAAGGCGCCCCACACCATGCAGGAACCTCCACCATGTTTCACGGTGGGTAATTGGTATTTCGGATGATATCGGGACCCAATTGGTCTACGAACCCACTGAATTCCGTCACTCCCGAAGAGGAGGAACTTGCTTTCGTCGGGACCACAGAATCTTGTTCCAGTCTTGACGGGTCCAGTTGTGATGCTCCTTCGCCCACTTCACCCTGGCGGCTCGATTCTTTTCAGAAATCAGCGGTTTTTTTCACTGGACGTCTTCCCATGATTCCAGCAGCATTCAGACGTCGTTTCACGGTCGAGACGGATGGCGGAGATGGCGAATTCAAGAAAAACTTCCCGTCTGATCGCAGGGGCGGTGAGTCTTGGATTGGTTCTAGACGTCTTCAAAAATGTTCCTATCGTCATTACGATCAGTGACACGTGGTCTTCTAGTGCGTTGGCTCTTAGTAGAGCCATCTTGAGCTTTCCAACGCTTTAGGGACTGAGAAATGCACGCCTCTGTCACGCCGAACATTCCTGCCAACGTCATCATGGTCAGTCCATTTTGACGACCCACAACGATGGCTCTTTTGTCGTTATCAGTCAAATTCTTTTTTTCCAGAGATTCTTCCCATGTCTGAAAAACATGAAAAAAATCATATGGCAACATTATTAATTTTAAAAAAATTTAATAAAAAAATAAATAAAAAAATAAAAAGCATAAAAAAACAAAAAAATGGAATTCAATAAAAAAATGCCTAAAACGCGTCACAGTCATTGCGGACATGTCTTTGTATACCGTATACGTTTCAAAGTATATTTTTACATTATCCCTCAAAGTTATATATAAATCGGATAAGTACTCGCTGAGATATCCCCAAAAAACCAAAACTTAATAGACTTTTGAGCGGTACTGTAAATGACTTTTTTCTAGACCTTTTTTTTAGACTCGAGTTCTCAAAATGACCAAAAACGAAAAATTTTCTTTTTGACATTTTAAACGAATTTCGTTTTTGAAAGATCAACCAAAATTGATCACTTTCATTCTTTTCATTTTGTGACAATTACAGACTGAAAAAAGGTCATTTTCTAAACAATCATATTCTGACTAGTAAATAAACTTTCGTCTTAATGACCAAAATTTTTCCAAATGAAATTTGAATTTTTACTTTTTCCAACCAAAAACTTTCAAAGTAAAATTTAAATTTTCATTTTTTTTAACCAAAAACTTTTTTTCAAAAAAATAAGTAACTGTTCATTTTTTTCATCATATAAATGACAAATAAGGACACTTTCAACAGAACCCTTTCTTTTCGAATCGGGAAATTATCAATGCGAAATGAAAAAATTTTTAAGGGTTTCTGAACTTTTTTTTGGTTCTTTTCTTGCGCAAGACTTCTAAATCACGAACTATCGAATTTCGAAAACGTTTCAGATATACCGCAAGCGGTTCGAGATGCAGACTTTGAAGGACAAGCAAAGGAAGTATCACATGACGCCTGATGAAATCCTCTACGCGGAAAGTACCGCTTGCGCGATTCGTTTCAAAAGAACCAAACTGTTCCCGCCGGTATTCGGACTACCTTCGAGAGCGTCTGACAAAGAGGTTTTAGTCGATGTGCGCTGACTGCGGCGAAGAGTTCACGAGCACGATCATCCCCTCGCAAGATCAGCTCATCAGCCACATCGACATGCACCACGACAAGCACGCCATCATCGAACGCTACACCTTCAAGGAAGCCAACCTTTTCGAGGCAAGTTTTTTTTTTGGAAAATTTTTTTGATATTTCACGGCGTTTTTTTGACGACGCTCCATCCATATTTTTTTTTTTCCCGTAAAGTGTAGTGTGTTGTGTGCATGCACTGCGGCGCTCTAGCGCATGCCATTTTCAAAGAAATTTTCGCAAAATTCAAAATCATCTCTGAATTTCTAGAATTCATTTATATTTTTCACTTTCTGGCTGTTTTGAATTTTGCAAAATCATTTCGAAGACGGCATAAAAACACGTTTTTTTTTTTCAAATAAGAAACCGATTCGTCTCATGATCATGCGCCTTTAATATTCCCTGTTTTCTTACGCTTGTTCCCCGTGATGTCACATGAAAACGGCCGGAGTTTTGGCTCCGCCTCCTTAATTTTCAGTTTCGCATTTTCTCCCCCAAATAAAACGCCGTGGTTTTACAAATTTCAAAACTTTTCTTCCAGCAATGGATCCGAGATCTGGGGGTGTACAGCAAGTACAGGATGAAGAAGATGGGGCTGGCGGACGAGCACATGTACTTCCTGTGCTCGCTGGACGACCGCGTCAGCCGTACCGGCCAGGGTCGCGCTACCAAACATCAGCAGCAGAACGTTCATTGCACCGCCTTTATTCGTGTCTACGACTGGAGGGTCAGTTCAATATTGCTGACCAATTATTCATAGAAATTTTCTTGAACCAAAAAAAAGCATGCATAGGCAAAGTCGGATAGGGTGGAAAAAGGCTCCATAGAAATGTTCCTTTTTTGCTGCCTTTTTGCGCCTTTTTATCGGCTCTTATGCACCCTTTTCGCTGCCTGTCCCTTTGTCCAGCATTTCTTGAGCCTTTCAAATTCCAGAATAAATGGAAGGCTTGATGAAGGGACTTTGAGCCTCTCCCTTTTATCGGCTATTATCCACCATTCCGATTTTGCCTGAGTATTTTTAAATAATGCAATAGAAAATGCATTATTTAAAAAAATAGTGCTAGCGAAACGCTGCTATTTTTTTCACGTTAAAAAAATGAGTGAGATTTTTCTTCCTGAAGTTTAAAGATCAAATTTTTGGTATAAAAAATTAATTTTTGGTATCACGGTCAGTATAAACGTTTTAAGTCAGCGAGTTCTTCTGATTTTTCTGGATGTTACATGTAAAATTTCAAAAAATGTGAATACAACACAATAAAGTTAAGGTTCGAAAGGCAATAAATAGCTTTACAAAAAGTAAAATCTATATCAAATCACAATTTTTACTGCCCCTATGCCTTTAATACCCGGGTGATACAAAGAAAGTTGAGAGAAACGAGAAGAAAAAATTAGCAACGACAACGAAAAGTCATCTCAAAAGATCTTTTCAGTTGGTTATGCAACGGGAAGTGCAGGAAACAGTCGTCGACTATTGTCTTGATCACTGCTTTCACAAAGGTTTCCAATTCTTTCGAGCCTCATTTTTCAACCTCATTTTCAGAAATGCATGATGCTGATTTGGCGAGCAACGCCCACATTTATGAAGTTTATTCTCCCGAGGTTCTGTGACTTCTCCCCGAGTTTGTGACCCGTTTCGACCATTTAGGTGTTTTTGCGCGAAGTTGGAGAGCGCAAAGCCCGAACTCAGAAGATGATGAGTGATCAGAACTCGTTTCAGAGGATCAAGCGAGATGGTCAGTGAGAAACTTTTTTTTTTCGAAATATCAACAATGTTAAATCCGATTTTTCGAACTTCTTTTTTTGTTTTGGTGTACTCCATCAATTTCACTTAAAATACGGGGTCTGTATAGCTGATTCACAGGCTCAAGTCAAAGGGTCTCGAAACGGTTAAAAAATATTTACGCAGACCGCAGATCGGTGGAAAATTTTTTTTTTCTGAAAAGGTTCTGTGAAAATTCGAAAATTTATTAGTTTGCAGAGGTTAAGTAGGATTTGATCCAGATGAAAAGCCTGAAAATCCTAAACTGGGTCTCATGTTCCACAAAATTCTCCTAATAAGGAAGGTCATTTTACTTTGCGTTTATGATTTTCCTGAAAATTGGTCAAATTTTGGTGCTTTGACTTCATTATTTTTTTTTTTCAAAGTAGCAAATTGTGCAAGTTTAAGCGTTCAGTGTCCTCTTCAAGTATGTCGAAAAGTTTCTTGGCGAATTTAAGGAACAACCGCAAATTAAAAAGGATCTACCTTGTAAATTATCACAAAAATTACGCAGTTTTTTCAAAGAAAAAAGCCTAGTAGTCAGGCTGATTTCAGTTGTTCGGTCGAACGGCTTCTCTGTGAGCAACCGCGGGCGTTCTTGTTTCGGTTCACGGGCTCTGGCTCCTCCCATCGCCGCGCAGCTCGCTGGTGGGGTGGCGAATCCGGTCGTCGACTCGTTTTACACTGGTTCTTTTTTAATCACACATCTTTTATCCTCAAAATTTTTAGAAACGGATTTTGTTTCGAATGATTCTCCGGATGTCTCTTCGCTTTTCCGTGCCAGTCGTCGTTTTCGACCGCCAAAGACTGTTGAAGTATGGATACGAAATAATTCTCAGGAATTCCAGAGTGGTTCCTATAGGGATTAGAGAATAAACAGCCCTTATAAGGGTCGAAAAAGTGGTCCCGATAGGGGTAAAATTAAGGTGGTTCCTATGGATTTTTGGGGTCCCACACCTTAGACCCTAAAGCTCAAGTGGACTCTATAGGGGTCTCTCAATTTCATTCAAAAACGCTTATTTATTCAGTTTTTTCCATGGAAATGCTTCATAAAAATTATCGAATAGCATGACCCCTATAGCGGCCACTAAGTAAAAACCCTAAAGGGGCCACTTTTGCAAGCTTTAGTGACTCTTTAGGGGTTGGTAAAGTGGTCCCTAAAGGGGGCTTCTAAGGTTGCCCCTATAGGAACCACTCTAGCTTTCCTAAGTCGTTCAAATTCAGCCGTCGCAAGGAAGAAGCTACATAACAAACAGGGACTTTTTCAAAGACGCTCCCACGTACAGTTTGGTCTTGAAGGCAGAAGAAGCTTGTGAGGTGCTTGACCTTTCGAAAACTTCCTAGAACTTGAAGATTTTTCTTTTCAGTCGTTGGTCAATCGACTGCAGCATTGCTCCTCGTCAAGACAGGCGACACGTTACAAACATCGGATAGATGAGCTTCTGCGCGCCGCCGTCAACGATCCAGAGTTCGGCGCCCAAGGAAGTCCCGAGCCAGACATGACCACAGCGGGCACGTCCGTGTACCGAAGCATGCAATACACAATGTAGGGTTTTTCTTCGAAATCTGCTCTGAATCGAATGATTTCAGGCCGACTCCAGGCACTTCGGTACGACCCGTCGCATCAAATATCATGCGGAAGCCAACAAAGGTTGTACAATAATATTTTTTTATATGAAAAGTTTCTAGCGACCAGCCAAAGTGACGAATGCGAACAAGTCAAACGATGAATTCGATTTTGATCTCAAAGATGAGCTCGACGAAGAGAGCTCACCTCCACAAGAAAATAGCCCAAAGGTTCCAAGACGAGGAAGACCGCGAAAAAACGAAAGTTTCACCCCGGTAAAGGCGAGTGTCCAAATATTGATATTTCTAATAATGTTTTCTTAGAAAGTTCGCCACGACAGTACGACTTCTGTGGCAACATGCGTGAGCGAATCTCGCAGTGGTCGTCAGCGCAAAACGCCCGCTCGGCTACATGACTGATCTCAATGTTAAAAACACAAAATTGTAAAAAAAAAACATTCATATATTACCATAATGCATATTTTTGGTTTTAAAAATTTACATTTCAAAATTGAGAAAAAAGGATCAATGGATCAAATAGAAGCAAGGCGATGAGGTGGGGAGGCAATGAGCACGACAAAATTAAGTGAGATGAGAAACGCAAGGAAAAGAATTGACTCGAAGATGAAACGCGGTGCGAAGATCTTCCAAACCATGAGATGACGGCGTAGAAAGACCGACGCGACGCACGACAGAAGGCAGCGGAACGCGCAGAGGGCGATTGCGTGGGAGGCAGTTCGGGCGGTGGAACTCGCAGAAGATGACGAAGAAGAGGCGAAGACAAGCGCCTTGCGCAGTGGCAGCAGCAACGACGTCAGCAAAGACGACAGGCATATGTGACTGAGTACCAGAATGGCCGGCAAAATGCGAAGTCCCAGCGATCCTGGCACGCCGATGAACGCCGCAGTCCAGGGAATCGTTGGGATACACGGAGAGTGGCCAGTCAGGTAGAATCCGTAGGGTACGAGCAAACAGAGCAGAGGTGGAATCAGGTCTGAACGTCGGAAATAGTTTAGTCGTTGTTAAGGGAGTCAAACCTGTGGTGGTGTATTTAGCTATCACGAAAATCAGGAAAGCAAAAGCTAAAACGGCTGGCTGGAGGCCGTCGCCCACGAGAATGTATAACGGCCAGACGACAGCATACATGGCAGTCAAAGAATCTCCGTCCCTAAAATAGTTCAGTGGGAAAAGTTGAATGTGTTTTTTTTGTGAAGAAGAACCTCTCAACACATTCCGCATTTTTAAAGAAAGAGATTCCAATTTTATAATTACAACGATACTCTTTAAAAAAAATTCTACGCAAATAATACGTATAGAATATATAAGAAAACAAACCTATGAAAAAATCCGATTGAAGCCGATGCCAATGAGGTCGCATAAACGAACTGAGCGAGTAGAAGACCGAAACAAACAGTGTTGATGCTGACCTCCGAAGCATTGACCGTCACGACGTTGAGAAGCGAGAGCAGAACTATGGCTATGTGCACGAGCCAAGAGGCTGCCGCCACTACACGCATAACTCCTGAAATTTTTTTCATTTATTTTTTATAAGAATCTTCTGCAAAAACTAAATAAGGAACAGAAAGCACGAAATTGACCTGGCAAGAACAAACAAAACATACCAGACCGAGCCGGGAACGACCTATGGAAAAGATAGTTTCCAAGAAAAATGACAATCGAGGCGACCGCAACTCTCCAAACTTGGGCGTCAACTGAAATTCGAAGTTCAAAACTACAAATGCTCTGCGAAGACGAACTGGAGAGAGCCGACAGGAGCATCGTCGGGTAGTTCTGCGGACAATCGAGTTGTTCCTCGCGGCAGCGATGGAAGTAGGGCTCGCTGCGGACGACGAGCATCGCTCCGAGGAGCAGGAGACCATCGCGAGAGGTCAGGTTCCGCATCAAAACGTGATTCCAGTTTTTGTTACGGTGGTCGATGTTGGATCTGAAGCAAAAAAAAAACGTATATACTTTTTTTTTCATTTATCTCGCGGAACGTCGGAATGGTGGATAATGGCCGCTAGAAGGGAGAGGCTCAAAAATGGCCGCACAAAGGTGGTAAAAAGGGTCCCTTTATCAAGCCTTTCCTTTTTTCTGGGAGTTCAAAGGCTCAAGGAATGGTGGAAAAAGAAAATGCAGCGAAAATGATGCAAAACAGCCGATGAAATGGCGCAAAAAGGCAGCAAAAGAGGACCCTTTGTCACCCTAAAAGGAACATTTCTATAGAGCCATTTCCCACCCTTCCGACTTTGCCTATGATGATATGGTAAAGGCGAAGAATATGATCAAAAATATTCTAAAACGAAAAAAAAAACTCGAATTTCAAGCGTTCTAAAGTTCATAACCTTTAAGGTTGCTCACTGATCAATTTTTAGCCGATTCTCTGCGCTCTCCACTAACCAGGCGCTATCTCTTTTCCTATCGTGTCGAGACCCTTTTTTTAATGCTCAAGCCAACCGTGAATGAGCTATATCGTGTGTTCTTTTTACATAGTTCTACGATGACCTAAGCCAAATAAAAAAACGTTTCTTTCAAAATTTCGAGAGAATATTTACGCTAATGTGGATGCAATTGTCACAAACCTAATCCTGTCGAGAAACATAGAGAGGAGTACGCTTTGAAGCAGGAACATGAGAATTTGACCCTCGTTGACGACGAAGCTGTTGGAGAAGAAAGAGACCGAGTGAAGGAGAACACAGATGACAGCGAAAGTCGACGTCGACGGGACAAACTGCAGACGAAACACCCGCGGAGCCAACGAGAACAGGGAGAAGACGCAGGAGAGACTGGTGGCCATCTGAAATTCACAGATGGAGTCAAGTTTCACCCAAAAGTCTGACCATCAGAAGCGAATGGGCGGGGTTTGTGTCCGAGTGTTCAACGAGGAGCGCTAGCTGGAGCAGAATGCAGCCGACGCGAAAAACAGTCGCTTCCACGTTCATCTGCTTTCCCGACATGAGGAACAGGATCGCATCGACTATTCCCATCTTGGCGACGTTGATGTAGGAGAAGTCGAACTGGGTCCAGGCGGTCCGAAGAGCGTTTTGCACACGAGACATCACTCTGAAGAGATAAATTTCATGCACACGGGAACTGCATGCGTGTCGAAAGACAATAAAGCTTCAATTTAAGACAACTTTTTAAAGGAGTGGCTATATTTCCTTGAATACTTGCCATTTTAAAACGAGTTTTTCTGAAAGAGGAGGGGGTCATTCTGAAATGATAGGGAGCTTGTTCGGATGAGCTCTGCGGGTACTATTTCAAAGTAGTGGGGGGGCGAATATGAAAGATCGCCTAGGCTATTCAGAATCGGCTCCCGTTTGGTACTGCGGAAGGTCATTCTATATTACAGAGACGTTTCCCCCCACCCTCTCATGAATTCCTCCGATTTTATCCCCCGCAGATCGGAACTTGGCTTGGTGGGGGCTTATTAGAACGGGGGGGATTCCAGAACTTTCCCAAAAAAAGACCGACCTCAGCTGACTCTCCGAATCGGTCGACTCATGCGCAATGATGCTATGAAGCTCTCCGAAGCCGTTCTTGGAGGCGTAATTCTCAGCGAACCTTCAAAATATCTAATTAGAAATATTTCTAAATGTTTGTGAACCTTTTGATCTGTTCATAGTTGAGCGCGATGGCTTGCTCACGAAGTTCTGGCGGAAAGAGTTGGTGGATGACAGTGCCAAGGTTTGAGAACGGGATCGGCAAGCCGAGAAGCAATGCTACCGTTGGCACGACGTCGATTTGTCGCAGAGGACTGGAAGGAAGGGAGAGCTTTCGTTTTTTCGACGAAACCTGCAAGAAATATATATTTTATAACATGAACCAGATCTTCCTTCAATGAAAACCTCTTTAAAAAATAGAATTTCAGAAAAAACTCTACCAAAATGCCAGCGTTGATCTCGTCGTCAGAATCGCCGCCATGGTCTCCAGTCGACGTCATTCCGTGGTCGCCTAGAACAATCAGAAGGTCGTCGTCGCGCATTTCCTCGATCGTCTCAGCAATGACGTCATCAATCTGGACATGGAATATGAAGGAAACAGCGAAAAGGAAAGAAACCTTCTTCAAAACGACGCTCATCATCGGATGGAAAGGACCGAACTTGTGGCCACAGTGGTCGACTCCGAGGAAGTGCGCGACAATGAGAGAGGCATTCGATGTCTTCACCTCCTCGGCAAGGACGGCTGAAAAGAATCTTCGTATAGAGAGAGGAAGTAGGCGACAAACGGCGAATCGCGTCGTCGATCGAGTTGAGGTCGTTAATGTCGAAGCTGTCGAAAGCGACAACACGCGAGAATCGTTTTGGATAGAGGGAGCTCCTGAGAAAAAACATAAATTCAGCTAAAATTAACGCCTTTTGGTTGGAGATCTACGCATCGGAAATTTGAGAGCGGAATTTCAGAGCGGTCCTTATGGGGGTTAGGGGCCGAAAAAGTGGTCTCTATAGGGGTAAAATTAAGGTGGTTCCTATCGGGGTTGAGGGTCTGACCCCTGGGCCCCTAAGTTTAAGTAGTCCCTATAGGGGTCGTACAATTTTATTCAAAAAAGGATATTTTTCAGTTTTCGCGTGGAGTTCATAAAAATTATCGGCTAGCATGGTCCCTATAGGGGCCACTAGCTAAAACACCTATATAGACTACTTTTGCAAGCTTTAGTCGACCCTATAGGGGTTTAGAAAGTGCTCCTAGAGGGGGCCCTCAAAGGACCCCTAAGGTAGCCCTATAGGGACCACTGCCTAGTTCCTAAGTTTATCCATTTTTACACTGAGAAAATCATCGAGCAACAGAATCGAAATGGTGAACAGATCTCTATTGCGCTAGTAATCTACCATCCTAAATATAAAGAAACATGGAAAAGGTTCAAAATTTTTGAGAGCTTACCAAGTGTTATCGCCGAGAAGCGTGACATTATGGCCCAACTCGTGTGCCTGGAAGACGATGTTGTCCTCGTGGACGACGGCGTCCGGAGAGAAGTTGTCGCCGGCGTCGATGAAGGTTGGCAGCGTGCCAGTCGTGAGTGCCTTGATTCGCTGGAGAGTCGTCGTCGGAGGGTCGGCGAGTACTGTTCCGATGGCTGCGTCGCCTCTCGCCACGGCTTCCGCCACCCGTCTCAGCTGCCCTCGGAAGGGAGTTTTGGGTTGGTCGTCGGTCTTGGGCCGCAGGAAGTCGTGCCGCAGAGCGTCCACTACAACGAATATAACCTGAAACCCAGTCATTTTTCACGATTCGATGAGCAGAAACCAACCCGGCCGAACTGTCGTGGAAACCAGCATGTCGCGTCGCCAAGATGGGCGTCTCGACACCGACTCTTCGCGTGCAATTCTTGACGTTTCAATAAAAAACCGCTTTGGAATAAGAATAGAGAAAGGATTAAATGCACGGACGTGAGGATAATACGCATGGTGGGAAATTGAAATGCAATATGAAGAAACGTGTAATTTTAACGTGAAAACGTGGAAGGTAACAACTATGCAAGAATGGGTAAAATGAAGTTTTGGAAAGAAAAATGGCTACAGGACCTTGCGGGCACACTCGAGAAGAGAAAGGAACTCGGACGTCTTTGGCAGTCGCTGTTTTTTGGTGGCGCTGGGGTCTTTGGCAGAAGTGTTCTTCCTCTTGGTCGCCACCTTCTGGGCTTCTGCCGTCTCGCTCTGCTCCTCCGAAGCTTCTTCCTTCGCTTCCGTCACCTTCGGTTTCTCTTCTTCCGATTTCACCTTCTTCTCCTCTTCTTTTTGCTTCCGTTCTTCTGCTTTAGTAGGTTTCTTGCCCGTTGGAGCTTTGGTTGTTTTGGTTTCAACGACCTTTTTCTTCTCCTCGACTTTCTTGACCTCACTGGCGCTGCTCTTGGGCTCCGGTTTGGCTTTCTTGATGTTGGTTTTTTGGTTCTTCTCGACCGCCTTCGGCTTTTCTTTGGCCGGAGGCTTGACGGGAGACGGAGCTGGTTCGACTGGTTCTTCCTTCTTCACAGGTTCCTTTTTGCCTCGGCCAGGACCCTTTTTCGCTGGTTCTTTTGCCTTAACAGGAGGCGAAGGTTTCGGGGCGGGAGTGTCCTTTTTGTTCGTTTTCTTCGTAGTCCCACTGGGCGACGTCAGCTGCCTTTTCCTCTCCTCTTCCAGACTCTGACGGAGGGCTCGTTCCAGGTCGTGGCGGTCGAATCTGAAGCAGTTCCAATTAGGAAAGAGTTGGCGAAAACGAATAAAAACCCTTCTTCCACAACGCTCAGATCTATGCGTTGCCGGCCGGACCTCCGTTGCCCAGGAACTTCCTCTTTTTGACCTCCGCGCATAAAACTGTCCTTAAACATTTTGGCGTATGCAGGTATTTCTTGATTAATAGTTATTTTTCAGGTTATGTAACCTATTTCTTATCAATAACCGAACGAGCAGCAAAATAACAAGATTTAATCTTCAACGTTATCAAATATAAATATCAACGAAATTATACAGAAAAATTCAAAATGAGACCATTCACAACGATGATAGAAATCAACAAATGGGAGCAGTTTGACTGAGGGTATTCGATTGATTGGAAAGACAAGACATGATGGGCAACCAGAAACAAAAGAAGAGGAGATCGGCAAATCCAGCAACCGCTTCTCCTCACCCGTAACTCAACTTCGACAGGGAAAAAATAACCTCATGGGGAGAAACTTTTGAGCTAGATTCGAAACATTTTCAACTGGAATGAATTGATTAGCCGTTCAAAATGATATAGAGAAACAAGAAGAAACTATGAGTATGTGAAAATGAATATTATGCGAAATTCGGTTTTATGCATATTTAAAAAAATGGCCATGTGAAATTTTTTTGAATAAGCTTTTGAGAGTTTTTTTATGACCAAAAAAATGAAAGAATAGAATCGCCTTATAAAAATTTTTAAAAAAATTTTTGAAAGATGGATCCCTAAGAGCATCCGCAGCGTCTTTTCGAGGGCCTGAGTCTCTCTGTTCCCTTACCTCAAATGCGAAAATAGCGCGTCAACAAGAGAGGGTCGTCGAGAGACAAAGAGGGGGCAGAGAAGTCCTACGCTTTCAAGTCGCGAAAAACAGACTATAATGATTAGAAAATGAAGAATAATAGTTAGGCGGATCGAAAAAATGATAAAAATATACAAAACTGAAGCGGACAGAGAAAACGAAGAAAGTTAGTCGTCAGCCTCTTCTTCGAAAGGATTGTCGCCGTCATAGGATTCTTCCTCGTCGGTGAGGGTTTCACGGGAATGCTCCATGTCGTCGATTTCGCATTTGATTTCGCGCCTCTTGCCTTCAAACGAATCCAGAGATTTTCTGGCCCTTGCCGCCGAGAACTTGTTTTTCTTCGGACGAAGCACCCGATGCAACTGTAAGAATGAATATTGAGGAAAGGCACACCTGTTGAACTTACAAGAAGAGGAACCATGTCTTCCGAAGTTTCGATGTTACTCTCAAAGTTCTTCTCGGGGTCGTTGTTTGAAACGTTCAGAAGATAGTGCGCTGAAGTGAAATAATGAAATCGTTCAAGCTCTTCGGAACGAAAATTAAAGAGAGATATTTTGTTCATAAATCAAACAATGTTGAAACAAAATCCATTGAAAATTTTTGCACGGCCTAGTTTCCGGTTCTCTTTAATTTTCAAAGTTTCATCGTGGTTTTTGATTTGAAAGGTCCATAAAACTCTTTTTTCAGCTCAAAATTTTTAGCTTCTTCACATTGAGTTGAAATGAAACGCTAGATAATTCTGGAATTTTGAAAAAAACAAGATAAAATCGATCAATACACTTTTCACGAGAGTTATTAATGCTTAGGAATTCCAGAGTGGCGCCTATAGGTAAGGAAAACAATCCCCATAGGGACCAAAAAAAATGGTCTCTATAGAGGTAAAATTAAGGTGGTCCCTATAGGGGTTTAGTATCTGACCCCTTAGTCTTTCAAGCTCAAGTGGACCCTATAGGGGTCTTTCAATTTCATCCAAAAACGCTTATTTATTCAGTTTTTTTTTTCATGAAAATGCTCACTCGCTTAGAGTTTACAAATACCGACTAGCATGTCCTCTATAGGGGCCACTAACTGAAACCCCTATGGGGACTACTTTTTGGAAGCTTTTATCCAAAAAAATTTCCCGTTCTTTTGATTGTTTTTTTCCTCTTAATACATAATTTAATTAATTCTTCGTGTTTCAGAATCCAAAAAGTCAGAGATCCGACCCTCTCGGTTAATATTGTAAAAAACGAACACATAAAGACGGTGTGCGGAGGATGAATGACCCGACGGGCGCGGTTTCTCTGGACGCGATCCGAACTCGCGGAAGTGCCAGCGTCCATCGAACTGCTTCCGGCCGTCGTCTAGATAATTTATCTGCTGACTATTTCAATCTGATTCCCACCTCTTGCCCATTATTCGACCATCTCGCTCTAGCTTCCGCCATTCTTTTGTTGTAACTGAAAAACGTCCGACTAATAACAAAAAAAAACAACTGAGAGCAGTAAGTTCGAGTTGAAACTATCACCAACTTAAAAGAAAAACGTGTTTTGAAGTGAAGCATACATAGGCTGAATCGCACCCCGGTCTTTTTGCACGTGAAAAATTTTTTTCGAAAAATTTACTAGAATAGGCGGGGGGGGTGGGGGCTCAGCCGACGCATGCAGTGAAGGCAAAAAAACAATTCTCACGTCGCTATCTGTTGATTGGTGAAAAAATAGTCAGATTCGTCGTCGTTGGAGTCTTCTCCTTGGTCCGTATTTCGCCGGGCCTTGGAGCTTTTCTGAGGCGAGACAAAGCAGTCAACATCATAGCCATCGTCGATAATCTCTTTTTTGACAACTGTCTGCGAAAAAACTCGTTGATAGATCTTGAACTACACGGGTACCCTGGTTCTAGTGCAGCGTGTCTCACTGGCGTCGCCACTGAGCCGGTTGGTGACAGAAAGGGTACTGTTTCGGATACGGGAGCTCTTCCTGACAACAGCTGGAGACGGCGTGTTGTTGGAGAACAAAAGTTGGCGACTTGTCCTGCGTGGAGTGCGGCTGGGTGTACTGTTCTCAGAGCTCTGAAAGAGACAAGCTTTCCATTGAAGGTTCTACACGGACTCACACTCAGAAGCTTTTGAGCCTTGAGGGCGGCACTTCGAGGCAAAGTAGCGCTTTCCTCGCTGACCTTGACGAGCTCAGAAAGTCGACGAGAACAAGTCGAGCTTCTCGTCCGCAATTTAGCCATTGGAGTCTGCTTCACGGCCTCATCAAAGTCCTCCACATCTTCCACTTCTCTCTGTAAAGATTTTAACTATAGTCAAATTTTCATGGCGGCGAGATGGGTGGATTGGGAAGGTTCGACGCGGCTTTTTTTGGCGGGGAATTCGAGGTCAAATGGAAAAATAAATTTGGACAAACATGAGCTTTTCATCATTTTTACGTTGTTATCCGTTAAACTGAATCTTTTCGAACCCATAAAAAATACAACTTATTGAAAATGTCGAAAAGGAGAAGAAGCCGAGAAAGATTGGCTATAGAAGACGATATAATTTTTAAAATCTAAATAACCTTCGCTCAAATCTTTTTCAAACGTTTATTCGAGGAAGAAGTCTAATATAAATGTCGGGAAGTACAAAATACGTATCAGAGAGATCAATTTCCCGTTCGAACCCAAAACGAAAAATTGAACTAACCTTTATATTTCTCAATTTTTCGTCGGGAGTCTCATGTACGATTCTCACAGACCGACTGGTGATTCCGGCGCAGTTTCTTCTTCGATTTGGACTCTCAGGTTCTGTAAAAAATATTGACATTGTCAAATTTGCAACATGTATTCAGATTTCTCGCAAAAGAAAGCACAATGAAACGAATGAGTGGATGAATTGATTCAGCTAGATTCAAAAAATAAATCTTGGCGGTCCCTACACCTATAGAAGAGATATGAAAGTTGAAATGCTATCCGAGAACAGTTTTTCCATCTTTCGGTTAATTTTTTTAAAAAGTTCCAAACAAAAACAAAAAAATATTATTGAAAAAGTAAATCATTTTGTTTTTTTAATGCAACTCGGGCGGAATGGTGGATAATGGCTGCTAAAAGGGAGAGGTTCAAAAAAGGCCGCAGAAAGACAGCAAAAATAGTCCCTTATCGAGTTTTCCATTTTTCTAGAATTTTGAAGGCTCAAGAAATGATGGAAAAAGAGAAAGACAGCTAAAATGGAGCATAAGAACCAATGAAATGGCGCAAAAGGCAGCAAAAAAGGAACCTTTGTCACCCTTAAAGAAACATTTCTACGGAGCCTTTTTCCTCCCTTTCCAACTCTGCCTATATGTGAGAAATCAAAGCCCTCAGCTAGATTTTTGTTCTTCTTGGTTCAAAAATGGAACGATCGATAGAAGAAAGAACAATAAAACAAGAAGTTCCATGAAAAAGAAAACAAACAGCAGAAAGGGGGGTTTTTTACAGTCATATCGCCAACATTACACAGAGAAAGTGAGAGAAGAGTGGACTTTCGGCGGGAGTCCGCTTCCTACAGCAAACAAATCGCGACAATCAGATGGAAAGGAAAGCGTGTTTTGCCCAAGAAACTCGGCCAAAGTAAGCCGAGTTCAATAGTTCTAATACTCCAGTCTTTAACTGTTATGATCTTTTCCTAATATTATTATTTCTTTTTTTGTTTTTTTGTTTGATAAAAAAAGCTCAAAAAAATTTTTTTTAGTTGCATTTCAATGAAGAAAAACAGGCTTAAAAGAGGGTTTTTTTTTATAATTGCGGAATATGAAATTTTGAGACTTCTTCTCGAACTTTAAAAAAATGATTATCTCAAAAACTAGAAGCTGGCGCGGGTTGCAACTTTGATGGATCTTCATATAAACCTTCAAAGATTGTTCGAGCAAATTTGTAGAAATTTCCAAGTCGTAAATTAAAATGACCTTCTTGTGGGGGCCATTTCCGTGTTTTAAAACGCAAACTTGAAAAACTGGTATCTCAAAAACTAGGAAGTTTTGCACGTTGACACTTCCAGAATCTTCTTTTGGTACATTAAAAATGCTTTGACCAATATTCAGAGAAGTTCTAATCACAAAGTAAAATGAAAATTCCTTGTCAGGAAAAAAAATGGAAGAGAATGAGCGGAAAAAAAGTTATCGAAGAGTTAAATAAACATGAAAAAAAGAAATGTGAAGAAAAAAAATCGGAGTGAAACTAACTGACCAGAAAGAAAATAATGAGCGTGAGTGGCACTGATAAGATATCGGTGTCAGTTGTTCTCCGCAAAGTTTGTCAAAAAGTTACGTGGTTTTTTGGAATTCACGCTACTTTTCAATATAGAGCAAGGAAAAATCTTGAATGAAAAGCCACAAATTTGCGATAAATGAAAAAAAAGAGAAGAAGAAAATGAACCTCGGAGAGAGAGAGCGTTATCAGTTGCGCGTTCACGCTTAACGGCGCGGCGTCTCGAAGGGGGCGACTGGCTGTTTGGCAACTCGCCAGCGTCTTCTCGTGCTTCTTCGAGGAGCTGCTCCAGCTGCTTGGCGTTTCCGTTTCGTCGCACAGTCAGCACCGCGTCGTCCATCACCTGTACACCTTTTTCAATCTAACAAACTAGCTCTCTACATTGTCTTAATGCTATGCCGTGTTTGCAAAATTATCTCTAACTCTCCTAACTCTCTTGAATTAACTTTTTCTTTCTCTGACCGCTATTTTGTATTTCGCGGCATTAAAAAGCACTTACTATAAAATAGCATTTCATCAGCTATAGTAGCGAAATATATAGTAGCGAAAAATAGGTGAATTTACGGATTTTCGTCCGTAGCTTTGTCAAAAATCAATATGAACCTAAATTTTAAGCACATTAAGTAAAAAGGATGTTAACGACAGTTTTTGAAATGATGGTTTTAAACCAAGAGAATGAATATTAATCTAAATCGCAAAAAAATCTGAACGACAAGTGAAAAAAATGCAACAAAGCCAGTAAATCGGTATGACTGGCTTAATTTCATTTCAAATTTTTTTATTCGCCTTCGAATCCAAAAAAATCAAGTAGAGCAGATCTAATACTTTCTAGCATAGTCTTTAGCTTTGAAAAAAATCCTTTTTTTCCAATTTTCAGATCTCGTTTTTAAACAAAGTTATTAACTAACCCAAAAAAATACTCACATATTTTCGCTAGATAAAAGAATAAAAATTGAATACACCAAGTGATCGTTTAAATAAGCAATCAAAGACAGTATATACGATGAGAAAAAAATTTTCTAACTGTGAATAAAAACCGATATTAATCTAGTAACTAATTGAGAGGTTGGAAAATGAATATGTAAAGAAAAACCTTGAAGCCGGTGTCATAATGAGCAAGATCCGGAGGTAGAACAATACACAGCTCGTCGTAAATAGTGGCCAAACATTGGGGGATGTGATTTACGAAACTGAAAACTGTTGAACCTTGCAACATTTCAGTGTTCAGAACTCACATGTCCGTGATGGGTTCTTCCAAAAACTGCTTCATTTTGTGAGGTTCGGAAGCCATATAAACGATTCGTAGTTTATTGACGACCTGATAAAACATATTTTATATCAGAAATCTCGGAAATCTCACATCGCCAATGTATTTCTCATCCGACCGCCACTGGTACAAGTGTAGTCCAATCAAAATCTGGAATAAAGAGTTTCAGTAAGTTCTCGACTTGGAATTCAGGTGTTTTTGATCTCTGCAAATATATTTGGACTGTTCCAGAATGCTTTCCATATTATAAAGTTTGGAGGGGGGAGGGGATTCTTTAAGTTTGTCTAGGCCTTCTAGAATCGTCACCCACTTAGCACTATGGGAGGCGATTCTAGAATAAAATATAACCCCTCCCCCCTTGTTACCTTTTTTGGAGGGGGACAATTCTGGAATTTTCTCAATGTGTTCACCTGAATCATAACTTCCTTCACTCGACGCTCGTCGGAAAGTTCCTTCACCTCGTGAGCTTCGTTGAGTTCTTCGCAACTCAGAAACACGCTTTTTTCAAGGAATTCGTGAGAGAGTTTCTGAAAAGACGAAGTTATAACCTGTTCTACCATTTATCAAATTACCGTACGATTGTGATCCCAAGTTTTGGCGCGAAAAAAGGCATCCAAAGTATTCAAAATAATGTAAAATATATTCACAGGGCAGACATTATTCTCAAGAAGCTGCAAATAAACAGATTCAAAGTGGTGCGGCAAATCTCTTTCTTCACAGTCTGAAAATCAAAAACAGTTTCGCGGGGGTCAATTCTGAATAATCAACTTAGTTCCTTGAAGTGGGACGTTTTGTAAGTCTGGGCACGGGCGGTCCTCAATTCTGCAAGCCGGCGAGCCCGGTTGCTCAACACTTTTTTTGGCCCCGAGTTTGCCTCTTTCGCTTCGGTTCCATTTGTCCCGCTTCGCGATGTCAGGCCTAAAAAAAAACAATTCACGATAAAATTACGACACTCTTGAAAAATTGCGAGACTTTGTCCTAATTTCTGCAAAATTGGTTTGAAATCGGAAATACTGAGATACTTAAGAATTAAAAGAAAAAAAATTGGTCCCTATAGGGGTGAAGGGCCGAAAAAGTGCTCTCTATAAAGACAAAATCAAAGTGGTCCCTATAGGGGCTCAGGGTCTGACTCCTCAGCCCCTAATGCTTAAGTAGTCCCTCTAGGGGCTTCTTCGCATAGATTTCATACAAACTATCGACTAGCATGTCCCCTATAGGGGCCACTGAGTAAACCCCTATAGAGAACGCTTTTGCTAGCTTGAGTGGCCCCTATAGAGACCCCTCTAGAGTTCCTGAGTATAGAGAAAATAGATAAGTAGAAGCACGCATTGAGAATACGTTCGAATCTTCAAAAGCTGTGAGAGCACTGGTAACCAAGAGGGCGTTCAGAGAAAAAAACGGCGACCCTCTCGTTTTGGAATGTTCTTCACTTTTCGAAGATACGAGCCGCGATTCAAACGAAATGCCGTGTTCAAAGTGATTCCGCAAAATTCAAAATAATCGTCAGAGAAAAAAACAGATAACTAAAACCAGGAGAATCAGAGATAATTTTGCCTTCCGCGGAAATGACTTTGAGCACAACACAAACTCCACGCAATTTCAAAAAAAAAGAATCTTACTTTTGAAGAATTTATAAACCCTACTGTTTGAATCTTTTTGAATTCGACATTTTTTTGAAATACTTATAAATACATAAAAAAATTTCTCGAGAAAAAAACGTACCTGTAAGCGACTTACGGACGTCTTCGTCGACCGAAAGCCTCGAGAAGGAATCTTCCGAGTCGAGGTCAGTTGACATCCGCGAATCCTCGTCTTCGATCAAAACTGCAAGATCATAATTGTACGACGACAAACGAAGTCGAAATTGAATTCCCATTTTTATCTTATCAGTTAACTGCCCTTATCTCTTGAAATAAGTTATCTGAGTTTTTTCTTTCCACATTATGAGGTTTAAAAAAGTTGCGTTTTAGGAAAAAAACATGAGAAAAAAATCATCAAAAAAACGTTTGGTGGTTTTGCTTCAGACTTTAAAATTTATTTTATTTTCTCGTAATAATAGCTTTCAAGAAAAGATGAACGTACAGTTACTCAAAAAACTGGAAGACGAAATGCGGAGAAGTTGACTTCCTTCATTTCCGAAGGGTTGCTCGCCACCAGGCGATGGCGTCGCTACTGGACTTCCAGTCGCCTGTTGTATCTTCTGCCGTCTTCCGCTTATCTCAAACCAAACATCATCAAACTTGAAATACAGAGATGAAATAAGAAAGCCTTCAAAAACCTCGTAATAGCCAAAAATTAATTTGAAAGAAAAAAAACCTCATTCAGTACAAGTTCGCGGACGGAGTCGAACGGAATATCACTTCTTTTCAGTTTCACGGGACTCACTCTGTAATAAAAAAAAAAAAAACATTTGCATTTGTCTATATACCTTGAAAGTAACTCGAAAGTCACATCTTCGAACGTTTTCCCTTCCATAATTGTCATTGAAGCGTTAAAACATCATGGATTCGAAATTAAGTCATGTAGGTTGTTAAAATTATCCAGCAGGTGTTTCTAAAATTACTGACGAATAAGAAGAATTCATTATTCATAAATTCTATACGGAAAAATAATTCTTTTCATTTAAAAAAATAAATTTTATAGACAATGATAGGATGGGAAAGGGAATGGGCGCGGAGATCTCTCGCGAGAGCATGTTTTGAGTTCGCGCGTATGGAAGTTACAGTAAAAATTGATATCTCACGATACATTGTTGAAGGACTCATTTCAAACCAAAAATTCTTATTTTTTGAGAAGTACCTTCTAATGGCTGGTTCATCGGAGAAACAGAACAACTTCAAAATGAAAAACCGTGTTCTTCGGCTCGCCAAAGTTGCTCCAAAACAGTACTAATTTTTGTTTTGGAGCAAGTTTTTCGAGTTTCGAAGCGGTTTTCATCGACTGTAAGTCGTTTTCTAAAAAAAATAGACAATTGTGCAGATTGAGACTTTCAGATTGACTGGTACTTCAAAAAGTATTCTGATCATTTTTCAGTAATTTTAACACTACAATGCGAACTTTGTTTAAAGCTTACTTCCGTATTGTATTTTAGTGGAATGCGCTCTACTACAAAGAAATCTATTACAAAGAAATTTCAGTCAAAACCAGGCTTGTGCGTCAGGCCGGGCGGCCTGGCCCGGGCTTTGCGCCTTATTTTCAAAAAAAAGCCCACTTGGGCTCAGGCCTCAAAACGCTCATGCCCCCCGGCTTCAAAAAAATTTCATTTAAAAAATTTTCACCGAAATTTTAGGCCCCGCTAAGGCCGGGCCGGGCTTACGAAATGGTCGGGAGGCCGGGAGGGTGACGGGCCGGCCCTCGCACAAGCCTGGTCAAAAAATTGAAAAAAAGCCCTAGGATCGGAGTTTCCAGAGCTCTCACTAAGAATAACTGCCGAGATAAACGCGAGACACTGGCGGTACATTGACGAGCTCGCAAACATCTCGCATTTTTTCTCGCGCCGGTTTCGCATTTGTTTGGGCGCGAGCTCGCATTTTTCTAGGCGCGAGCTCGCATTTCTCTCGCAATTTGAAAATTTCCGAAATGCAAGATAAATGCGAGATGGCGCCGAGAAAAATGCGAGGTCGCGCCGAGAGAAATGCGGGATCGCGCCTAGAAAAAAGCGACATTTTTGCGAGTTAGTCAATGTACCGCCACCGAGCTCGCATTTATCTCGTCAGTTATTCTTAGTGTCTGGAGCTACGTCCCGCCCACAAAAGTTTCGTCGAATATGATGTTTCTTGTGCAGTTACTACCGACGAAAATTTACATACTGCCGAAGTTTTAATAATTTTTCAATGGACAAAAAAAAATTTTTGAAGTTAATAAAAGACAAACAGCGAACATTTGATTATCTATCTTCAATATAGAAACGGACAATACTGAAAAAAAAACCAAAATTTTCGTTGATATAAACTTCAAATAATTTAAAAACGTTTTTTTATTGCTGCTAAAAGCAATAATAAAGGATGAAAAACCAGTCAGATGAATGAATTGAAACAGTTTTGCACGAGAAAAAAACTGCATTTACAATAATTTTGACCAAATTTATTTTTTGGAAAAAAAAAGCTAAAAAACGAAAAAACGGGTGAAAAAATTTGAATTTCGCGGGAAAAAGCAGCAAGCGCGCTCTAAGGCTATTTTTGAAAGTTTACACTCCGTTCTCGGACCTTGGTAACGCGAACGGGACGCGAATCGGACGTGTCGGCGCATTTCTAGTCAGGCTTGTGCGACAGGCCGGACGACCCGGCCCAGGCCGGCCTGGCCCAGGCTTTGGGCTTCATTTTTCAAGAAAAAAAGCCCGCGTGGGCTAGGCCAGGCCGGGCTTCAAAAACAATTTAAAAATTTCATTCAAAAAAATTTTTCACCGAAATGTGACTTTTACTTCTGAAATCATAGTTTTTTTGTTAAACTTTAAGAGAAAAAAATGAGCAAAAAAACGTAATTTTTGTCTTAAAAAACTTGATACCCGACTAGAAAAAAATTGCGGATTCGGGCCGGGCTGGCCATTTTTTCTTGAGGCCCGCTAAGGCCGGGCCGGGCCGGGCTTACGAAATGGTCGGGGGGCCGAGAGGGCGACGGGCCGGCCCTCGCACAAGCCTGTTTCTAGTGACCACTTTAGTAGTCTTAACGCTCTTAAGTGATCTCTTGAATCGCCCAGAAACGTCCGGAGCACGTCCGTTTCGCGTTACCAATGTCCGAGTTCCACTGCGTCGAATCGCCTTGTACGGGATTCTGGAGAGATGTGCGAATTTAAAATTTTCGTCCGTGTACACGGAGGCGCAAAAAGGATAAATGATGTTTCTTATTTCCAGGAAGAAGAGACTGCGCAGTATGAACCATACGGTAACCTCGCGCCAGACAGCTTTCAACAGTGCTGAACAGGCATGTTTTCCCGCGAGATTCAAAATTATTTCTTACTCTGAATTTAATTATCTTTTCACCATACGGGCGACTACTTTGAATTTTGCGAAATTAATTTGAGGATGGCTTTAGTTTTATGAACGTTTTCAAAGCAAAACATTATAATTCTAACTGGTTTTTTTTCACATTTTTTTCTCTAGTTTCTCTTTTTTGTTTGGAATCCTAGGCCGTGGAAATGTAATATGTTTTGAAAATATATGCATAGGCTATTCCGCGCCAGCTTGTCACGTTTTTTTTTCTGGCAAAAATACCGTATGGTGGTGAATTACAAGTCTTAAAGCGAAGGCGCCAAAGATTTCACGTCTTGAAGCGAAACGCGCAAAAATTTCAGTATGCAGATATTTTTCCTACTCTGAAAAACGTGAAAATTTCGTCCGGAATTCACTATATCGGGATTAAAAATAAATTTAACCACACATTTATCTACGAATTTATTTCGGAGAAAAAAACGAAGAAAAAAATGTAGGCTGTGCAGGAGAAAAAAACAATCGCTAGGTAGCAAAATAGTCGAAGTTGCAACTCAAAACCAAGAGAACAATAATTGACGGAGTTGAAAAGGTCAAAAATCGAGTAACATGAGAGCTGGCACGTGTCCAGCCGCGAAGGGACCCCCTGATGTTAGATCGATACGCGACGCGTGGGCGGGTCGTGAGTGTTCCGTGAGCGCTGTGAGTGCAAAGGTAGTGGTCAGCAGTGTTCGTCCTGAATGTCCATTTAAGGTCGGTCTCCCTGCCATACGCGAACCCGTAGCCATAGGATCTTCCGGAAAGAAATTACTATGATAGAAAAAATAAAGAAGGAATCATCAAAATGTGACACATTATCTTGAATATAACCACTCATTATAACGTATTCCGCGCCAGCTTGTTTAGATAGCAAATAAGATCATTTTTTTCCTACCGTAAACCAAATTAGATCAAAATTGAGCATTATTCGCTTCAAGACTTTTTTTGCCGACTTTTAAACAGTTTTGTAGAGCAAAAATTCGTTTTCACTGTAGCTTTTTCTTTTCTGTTCTTTTAAAACGCGACCGTCTCGCGCGGAACGCAATATGCGAGCAGGACTTTTTCAAGAAAAGCTCACGAAGCCAATTCATAATTAAAAAAAAAAAATGTAACTTCTTTGAACTTTTAAAAATGCGTAAGTAGCGCCTAAGTTTGTCTTTTTTTTTTGAGGATACATACGAAGTTTCACCATCTTCTTGGTCAAAACATTTCTTTACCTTCGTTGAATTGAGTATACCTTTTTTTCTCTTGTTGGCTCATTCGTTTTTTCCATTCTGAATGAAATCGTTTATTCGTTCAGACGCTTTTTTAAAAATTTATTAGCAAAATATCATAAAAAAGTTTTTTAGCAAGCAGTCGGAGTAGCTGACGGACCACAGCGTTTGTTTTTCATTCTTCGATTTTGAAACCAGATCTTCACCTGCAAGATGAATTTGAAGTTTCTTATTTTCTCTAAGTGGCTGGAAAAGCTTGAAAAAAGACTGAGAGAGAAGTCGGAAAAAAAATAATAAAAATATTGTCCGTAAGGTTTGTTAGAACTCAAACCTGGGTCTCGGAAAGCGACAACTGCTGGGCGAGCTGGTAGCGACGCGGACGGCTGAGGTAGCGGTTGTCAGCAAAGTGGCGTTCGAGCTGGACGAGCTGTTCGCTGCTGAAGGCGGTGCGCGGTCGTCGCATCTTTCCCCAGGACTGCCAGGCGTTCACCGCCGCTGCTTCTAGAAGCCACGTGGGTGGTGTCAAGGCGTTGCACGACATCGCCAGGTGGTCGTAGATGAGTGGTATCGCTGGGTGCAGTAGGGGATAGCCGAGGGCTGGCGTCGAGCAGCACATCGTCGTCTCACCGGCTTCGATCTTCTTGCTTTTGTCTTCTGGAATACATTAGAATACAAAGCTTTTTTCGAACTCTTCAAGAATACCTAAAGCAACTGGACCTAGATAAAATCAATTCAAATTTTAGTGAAATTTTCCACTTTTTTGTGGGAATCTCAAGTCTTCTTCTAACTTTGTCTATGTATTACTGACACGATTCGACGAGCAGGATTCAAATCATAAGTGAATCAAGTTTTTACTTCACTCTACAAGGAAGGTCATTTTACTTTGAATTTTCTGAAAATTTGTCAAAACATCTCTTGAGGTGCCAAATCAAGGGCCTGAAAACCTAAAATGCAAAGTTCCTAGTTTTCAAGAAATATGGGCTCAAAGCCTCGGAAATGGCCTTTTTGACGAATTTCGAAGCTTTTCTTTCACAAAGAAGTTGTGCAGGTTTAGATTCTCAGAATCCTTTTTTGGTACTTCAAGGAGTGTTCTGATCAAAGTAAAATGACCCTCCTTGTTAGAGGAAAAGAACTAAAGGGGCGTGTTAGAAGGAGAAGATGTATAGGAACACGTTACAAGGAGGTCCCGGGAAGATTTAAAAATTTTTTTCGAATCTGTATCTGCCGCCCGATCCAGCTTACCAAAAAAAAAAATCCTTTCAGGTATTTCTCACAGACTGTTTGAGCTCAGTACCTCAGTAATTATTAAAAAAGTGAAGAAAACAGAAAAAATAAATACCAAAACAGGCATCGGAGTGGTTGCAGCAGCGTTCGAATGAGGATGTCGAGAAGTTTGACGGGAGGACCTCATCCAGGTGCTTCTGTGCCTCCGGCGGAACTGACCTCGTCACGGCTTTCCCACTAGGCACCGGACACAGAAGCGCGTCGATCGAAGAGAACATCTTATGAGTGAATATTAGCGAGGATCTCTCCGGGAGGGCGGAGACGTGGAACTCGCGAGGGAATTCAAGGCGGAGCCTTTCTTCATGATTGGTCTCGTCAAGCAGAATTCCTCTTGATTACGGTAGCAGATTTGGTCTCTTTCAGTTTTAGACCATCGCCTGGCTTCTTATTGAAAGCTTTTCGAAAGCTCAGAAGTTCTTCGTTTGGATTCGAAGCTTGGATAACCTAAGAAAAGAGATGGCTTTTCCTTGATTTCACTAATTAAAAGTCACAGTCTTTCATTTCGAAATTCGCGAAATCGCCTTGAACTGTAACTTTATTCACCATTGATGAGAATTTCGAAAAAAACGAAAACTGTTTCACAGTTCTCTTTCCCTTTCACTTCTGTCACGGCGGCTATTCATATAGCAGAAAGTCTTTCTCATAGAAAATAGTCAAATCAACGATTTATTGAAGCTTTTTAGGAAGTTACTTTCGATTCCAAGCTGTCACGAAGAAACTAATAATTCGTATTGAAACAATGGTCTTGGCACGATCATCGAATGAGTTTTCAAAATTAAAGATTTTCCTATGGCGTAGTAAGTCTGTTCAGATTTCAAGCAGCTAACTCCACCCCCAAGGCTACAATATCTTGCGCGTCAATGTTTTATCGCAGGTGACGATGGTCCTTTAATAAGGCTGCATTTTTTGACTTCTTTATCTATCTTTTAGACCAAAAAAAAAAATCGTCCCGCGAAAAACGCGAAAAGAGACTGTGCCAGCAGGGGGCGGAGTTAGCCGCTTGACATTTAAAAATCTGAAAAAAACTATATTGATTTATCTATTTTTTTAGCTGGATTATTTTTTCAATTTCGAGTTCGACTAAAAACAACTTTGAAATATATAAATATCACAGATAGTAAAAAAATGGTAGCTCCGTAGTTATAACCGAGGTTTTTCGAAAAAAGCCTTGTAAAACGCAATGCGGTATTAGAAAGAGACAAAAATGCTGAATATTCATTGAAGACTGACGTTTTGGGCAATCCGGCATGATAAATACAAATGAGTGAGTGCCGAAAAGCGAGGCGCCCCAGGGGACCGTGTTGCTTTTTGCCGCAATGCATTACCATATCCCATCAGACTCGGAAGCGGACGCGTTTGCAGCACGTCTTCAGCTCGGAGATCTTCTGCGACGGCACCTTGGGACGAGCTTCCAGAGCGACGAGCGGCTCGATCCGCGGCTCCTTCGACCGACGCCATCCCAGGTCGGACGTCGTCAACGGCACGTACTTGCAGGACGACCTTTCAGGCATCGGAAAAGGGAAGACGAGTGATTTGATTCTTGAGAGATCGCGTCCCTTGCTGATTCAGCCTCCAAGCAAACAGAGCTGTTCCCCAAAAAATATAGAGCATTCATTCGATCTGCGAGACAAACAAAACAAAAAAAAGAGCTGTTAAAGGTAGTTGCTGTTGATGGAAGTGCCCAAGAAGGACTGCGAGACTGACTGTGATGGACTGCGGATCCGTCTGCCTCGTACAGAACGAGCTGGCGTCATCTCTTGCGGCAACTCTTCCCTCCTCCTCCTCCAACTCGTCGCTACCTGCTATAAACAGAAAATATTATTGAAAAGAAACGAGAATTTTGTTTTACATTGCAACTCGGGCAAAGTCTGAACGGTGGATTTTGGTAAAAGGGAGAGGCTCAGAAAAGGCCACAGAAAGGCCGCAAAAAGAGTCCCTTTATCGAGCCTTCCATTTTTTCTGCGAACTTAAGGGCTCTAGAAATGGTGGAAAATGAAAGAGTGGTGCATAAAAGCCGAAGAAATGGGGCAAAAAAAAGCAAAAAAGGCCTTTTTTTCCACCCTTTACGACTTTGCCTATGTATTCTGCGCTGAACTAGGAATCTAAAGAATTTTAACATTAAGTTTTAAAAAAAAGCCCACAAAAACATGAGTGACACCAAAAAAGCTCCACAAACAGGACTGTAAGAAAAACTGACCCATCATTTGTCGTTGAACAAGAGTCTTGTACATTCCTTCTTGAGCGATGAGCTCCTTGTGTGTTCCCATCTGCTCTACTCTACCCTTGAAAAATCGGTCTTTTCTATAAATTATTCAATTTCTCGTTATGATCAACCTTGTTGATGACGACGATTTTGTCGGCGTTCTCGACCGTGCTGAGCCGATGGGCAATCAGAATTACTGTCTTTCCCTTCAAGTTCTTGGAGATGGCTTCTTGAACCTGAAAATCTCCTTCAAAAAAGGAAAGCTCATGGTTTGGTTCACTAAATGTTCGGATTCGGAGTCGAGAGCTGAGGTGGCCTCGTCCAAAAGCAGGACGACTGGTTGACGAACCAAGGCTCGAGCGATTGCGATCCTCTGCTTCTGGCCTCCTAAAGAAATATGCATCGTACATACTTAGGAAGTCCAGTTGGTCCCTATAGAGATCATTTTCGCAAACTTTAGTGGCCCCTATAGGGGTTGGACCCCTATGATTGTACATGAATAGTATTCCAAATCCATTTGTTTTCTCATTAAAATCACTAGCCTTTCTTCACTTTTGTGGTCCCAATAGGGGTAAAAATTAAGGCGGTCCCTATAGGGGTTTAGGGGCTGAACCCTTATACCCTAAAGCTTAAGTGCTCCCCTTTAGAGGTCATTCAATTTTTTCATTTAATGGAGTTTATAAAATTTATGGACTAGCATGTCGGCTATAGAACCACTAACTAAAAACCCCTTTTAGTGAACACTTTTTTGCAAGCTTGAGTGGCCCCTATAGGGGGTTGGTAAAGTGGTCCCTAGAGTGGCTCTCCAGTTGTCCCTAAGGTTGCTCCTATGGGGACCACTCTGGAGTTCCTAATGAGTTCCGAGCAAAAATGCTCAACAGTAATAGTTAAATGGACGAACCCGACATTTGACTGCCTTTCTCGCCGACGTCCGTGTTGTATCCGTCGGTCGTGTCCATGATGAATGTGTGTGCGTTGGCTAATTTTGACGCCTGCACATCAATCTTTTCGCTCAACGAATTTCTCCCCATGAGATTCAATAAGCTTCTTTTTGCTTCCGCTCTTTTATCTTCTCCGAATAGAGAATAATTTCACACAAAATGAAAAAAAAAATCAGTCAAAATTTGAACAAACCTTCTGGACCATATCATCGTCAAACCGATCAAGTCCGTAACCAATGTTCTGTGTCACGGATCTCGCATAAAGAACGGGCTCCTGTCCGACTAAAGCCACCTTAAAACATTCATAATGCATCAAAAAACGGTGCTACGACAAGAGCGAGTTTTCCATTTGCGAGGAGTACTGTATGCGGATATGCGCATTGCGTGCATACACTTTGCGTGTTTACACTTTCGTTGCGCGACTTCACCGGGTTTTTGTTTCCGAGTTTTTCGAATTTTTTTCAATTTATTTTTCTCGATACTGTTTTTTTTATCGTGCAAAATATCATCGAGAAAAAAATGCGTATCTTGAAAAAAAAAAAAAAGTTGAAAAATATTCGAAAAAAAACTCGGAAACAAAAAACCCGGAGATGTCCTACCCGATGACGTCACGCAACGAAAGTGTATGCACTCAATGCGCATTTCCGCATACAGTACTCCCCGCAAATGGAAAACTCGCTCTTGTTGCAGCACCCAAACAACTGAAAATAAGAGTAGCCAGAGAAAAAAGGAAAGCTTTGCGTACTTTGGTGTGCAAATACTTGTGGTCGTAATCTCGGATGGGGACGCCGTCCAGAAGAACGTCGCCACTCAAGGGTTCGTAGAAGTGCTCCAGCATCGCGATGCAGGACGATTTTCCGCCACCAGAAGGTCCAACTAGAGCCACTACCTCTCCAGGATTCACCACGAACGAGAGGTCCTGCAGCGAAAGAGGAGATGCGACAAGAGACCGTCAAAAAAAAACCTCCATGATGGTCAGATCTGGCCGCACCGGATAGCTGAACTTGACATTTCGGAACTCGATTCGGCCTTCCAACACATCCGGCTTGTAGTTTCCGTGGTTCTAAAAGAGGCATCTGAGAGAATGGAGCAAAATCTAACCTGGACAAGTGGCTGGCGATCGATGAACTCGAAAACTTTCCTAGAAGCTCCGACGGCTTGCATCAGTCCGTTCCATACTTCTCCAAGCTCCTGATTATTTTTATATATTATTGAAGTGAATTTGACGTACTCGGAGGTTCTCGCCGAGCTGGAACTGGTAGAGCAAGAATGAAACCAAAAGTCCAGATTCGACCTGCAAAATGCTTTTGAAGGCTTCCTGGTGCATACAGGTTTTATATAGTCTGTGCCACGAGTTGAAATTTCACGGAACGACATTCCGCTGTTCCGCTGCGTGCGTTCGCAAAGCGTCTTTCGAATATAGGCCACGCTTCCATTAATTGTTATTGCTGTGGGAGCACATGAAAGTAAAGTACCTTAATAAAAGAAAAAAAAAAATTAAAAGCGCGACCAAGGTTCGCAAAGGCACGCAGCGGCACAGCGGAATGTCGTTTGGTGGAATTCCAAGTCGTGGTACACAATCTATACATATTACTGAATTTCGTGACCTTTCCTTTAATGACGAGATGGCCTCCGTACCACAGAACAACCGTCAAGATGCCCATTTGGAGTAGTTCATTCGACCAAATCAAGCCGATCACGACAAACACTTTCTGCGTGGCAATTTTGAGCGTCACGTCGAGAAACGTCAAAAATCTAAATAATCGTCATTCTCAAAAAACTTCTAGGACATACCTGCTTGACTCAAACTTCTCACAAGCGAAGCTTTTAACGGTTCGGATGGAAGAGATAACTTCTTCGGCGACGTCGTTGGCTTTCGCCACCGAGTTTTGTGTTTCTTCCGATAGTTTCTGAAATTGTTTATAGATCTTGTATCAACGAGAAGGACTTACATCGTACCAAACACCAAAAATTTTGTTGACAAGGAAGATGATGGGGATATTGATGAGAGTGATCATGGAGAGTCTCCATGACAGCGTGAACATGAAGATCAGCGAGCCGAAGAGCATCGTCAAGTTTCTGCCAACTTCCAGGATTACATGAAGAATGAAATCAAAACCGTGTCAAGACGTTCATGTAAAGAGATAGCGTGTTGGACATCGTTTGACAGTCGGCGGAGAGTCGGGAGCAGATTTCTCCTGAAAGGCAGTTGCAAAAACTCTTCGAATGGAAATGCACCAGTTTTGTTGAGATCAAAGAAGCCGATTTCCTGCTTAACGACGCCTTTGAACAAGTCGTTGCGGATCTGGCGGTCGATGGTGGCGTGGGCGTAGGTGAAGGAGCCTCCGCGAAGACCGCCAAACACCGTCCTGAAGCGGCTCTTCTTGAAGATTCTGGAGAGGACTCACGAAGCCAGAGACAACAAAGCCATGACCAGCACTGTCCGGTGAAGACGTTCATAGGACGCTTGTTCTCCGAAAACCGCTGTTACCACCTCGCCAGTGTAGTAGGGAATGAAGACTCGACCTGCATAGTTTAAGTTTTTACTCAGGAAGAAGCTTGGAAGGTATATGGCAGCTATAGTCTGTGTACCGCGACTTGGAATTTTACCAAACGACATTCCGCTGTGCCGCTGCGCGCCTTTCCGAACCTTGGCCGCACTTTTAATTTTTTTTTTCTTTTATTAAGATACTGTACTTTCATGTGCTCCCACAGCAATAACAACCAATTGAAAGCGTGACCTAGATTTGAAAGACGCTTCGCGAACGCGCGCAGCGGAACAGCGGAATGTCGTTCCGTGAAATTTCAAGCCGTGACACACAGACTATGAGAAGTAAATGATAAGTAAATATGGAAAATTCCTAGCATCCTGTTAGAAGACCCCCAGCAAGCTTGGAAGTTGTATTCCCAGCACCTTTCCATAATTTCAAAGCGAACTTTTGTATTCGAAATGAACTCCAATGAATAAATTATAAAATAACCAGTAAGTTTTTTTAACTCCTCCTACTTCTAGAAAACCTCTAAACTGCCGATGTAATTTATAAGCGCTCTGATCTCTCATTTGAATTCATTTGAAAGCGAGCAGACGCTAGCCCTCTACGAGGGAACATATCGCGCCTTCGCGAGAAGGGAGGGCGACTGCACTTTGGCGCAGTGCGTAAGCGTTGAGTCGTCATCGCAGACGCGTTGGGTTCGACCCCCACGAGCGCCATATGATTATTATATTTGCTACTAACGACTGGTCCCATGATTTTACGCACCTAAATGATGGCGTTTTTGAGAATTTTTGATCGTTCTGAAATTCAAAGAGTACCCAAAAAAATATTATAATAAAATTATATTTTAATTTTAACTTAAAAAAATAAAACGCAGCAAATTAAATTGAAAAATCAAAAAAATGTTTCCAGTTCACAGAAAGATTTTTAAGCAAAAAAATCGACCGCTTTTTTTAGCTTTTTTTGTTTTTTTCGTTATTGCAATTTATTTAGAATCTTCCTCTCAATATAACTAAACAAGTCACGTCTCAAAAAGTACACGAAAATCCATGTTATAAGCGAAAAACCTTTTTTAAACTACAGTAATCTGATATTTTTTTCTTGTAGTCTCACTCAGAGAGTAGCAGAAAAGGAAGAAGAACGCCATTCCGTAGTACTTCCACTGGCGACCCATGTAGGTGAGAAGCCGCAGCAGCAGGTGGAAAGTTTCTCGTTGAGCTTTCGCTTTTTCTTCTTCTTCCTTCAAGAAAATCATTTTCCTTTTCATCTTTGGGATTTTCAACCTGTCTGAGACGCTCTTCCTCTGAGCCGTCGCCAAAAAGCGGAGCGTCGCTGGTTCCTGCAGCCTTTTCCGTCACCCTCGTGAAAATAGACACCCAAATCATCTGAATATATCGTTTGATTCGAGAAAGACACGAAGGAAGGCAAGACCTGGACGGCGAGACTGGCGAAGATGCACCAGAGCATGAGGATCCAGTCGCCGACGGCCAGTCGCACGGCGTCGTCTTCGTAGAAGGCGAGCAGCTTCAAAGGGGCGAACGCCACGATCACCAGCATCGCGCCGAACACCACGTTTCTGAGGAGACGTAAGTTTGATTTTGTTACCGAAACCTATGGGGAAGAAACCGACTAAACAAGAGAATTTTCAATAAGAATTTTCTATAATTTCGCTCAAACAATCTTTGATGGACTGGGAATCGATATCACATAGTCGCTATCTGCGCAAACTTCTAGTTTGGAGATATGCTTTTTCAAATATTTTATCCTTAACCATGTAACGCAACGCCGTTTGGAAGGAATCTGGCCGCGCCACCAACCACTACATGCCAGCTAGGAGCGTGGCGCAGTGGCTAGCGTGTCAACCTGCAGACCCTATAATGAAGGTTCGAATCCTTTTGCCGCAAACTTCTTTTGCCATTGTTCTTTCCAAGAATTCTGATGAGAATATTGAAATTTTATGAGTATAACCGTTCTAAATAAGTTTGATAGCCAAAGAAATAACGAGCAAGAAAAGCCTTATAAATTGGACGGCGGTAAATTATTTAATTAAGCGCTCCAAGACAACTTTACCCTGTTTGAACTGTTAGGAGCATACAGCAGAGGGACTTCTGAATGAGATCGAGTTTAATAGATGTAGTTTTTTACGCTGATTCCAAATTTAGACTCGAAAACTGCCGCAGAGGCCTGTGAAGAAAGATATGAACCCTCAAAAGTCGAAATTTTCCGTGTCTTCGATTGGGCTTATTTTTTGGAAGTTCTTGTCCCGAAATCATGTCTACGCTCAAAAAATTCTTTTTAGAAAAAAATAATTAAATTGCTGCTACCAGAGGAACAAGATACTCTTTTTAAAAAAAGCCCTGAATAATTCGATTTTTGAGAGCCGATAAATGTATTCACGAACCTCTGCCACGCATGTTTAAGACAATAGAACGGCGGCCGGTGGCCGGTCAATATTGCGCCGTCAGTTTCGGAGCCAGAAAATTTTAAAATTTTTTTTATTTTTTGCAATTTGTCAAGGACCTATTTCTCGAGGTTACAAGATAAGTTACGTCACAAAAAGTAAAAAAATTTTCATTTTATTCTCGAAAAACCTTGCTTGTTTACCGTAATACGACCGGCCGCCTTGAACATGCGTGCTGGGACATTTTCTGAACCCAGATTTGGAATCAGCGTAAAAACTACATTCAGTGAACTTGTCCTTATTCAGAAGTCCTACTGCGACTATCCCCTGGTCAGACTTTCTTGATGTGTCCTATTTTCATGAATCCGAAAAGCTCACGCCATTTTGGCGGCGACGTCGGCAAATCCACTCGGAGAGGCCCAGGCTGCGATTGCGCCGCCTATCAAGACGCTGTCTCGGATCAACGCCACAACCTGAACAGATCCTGTGGAACAGCTCTTACAATCAAACGATTTTCTTCAAAAAACAAACTAGGAAGTCAACAGGATTCTTCAGGAAGCTGTAGTCGGAGAGTTCAAACCAGTGCTCGATGTTTTCGGTTGAGAAGCGCTGAAAAAGAAGATTTTGAAGGTGGTGAATGCCCAAAGACTCCTCACTTAGTAATTTTGAAATGGTCGCTATAGGGGTTAGGAGGAGAAACGGCCCTTATAGGAATCGAAAAAGTGATCCCAATAGGGGTAGAATCAAGTTGGTCCCTATAGGGGTTTAGAGTATGACCCCTTAGCCTGTTTTAGGGTCTTAGCCCCTAAAGCTTGAGTGGTCCCTATAGGAGTCATTCAACTTTATTCAAAATGGTTTTTTTACAAGTGAATTTTTTTCTCCGCCTAGAATTCATAAAAATCGACTAGCATTTCCCTATAAGGGCCACTAACTAAAATCCCTATAGGGATCACTTTTGCAAGCTTTAGTGGCCCCTATAGGGTTTGGTGAAGCGTGAGGGTCCAAAACTTTTTTCACAGGCGTATTGGGCAAGTTTTGAGGCCAGATTTGGAATCAGCGTGAAAAACTACATCTAGAAAAGCTGGTCTCATTCAGAAGTCCCATTGCGTCCAAAGATCATTCCCTGGTAAGGTTCCTATAGGGACCACTGTGGAGTTCCAAACTACTAAGATCCTACCTACCGTTCAAACGTCAGAAAGAACTAGCGGCCTCGAATTCATACAAAATAACCAAAGTTGAAAGATCACCTTGCCGTTCCAGGCCAAACCGAACATGTTGACGATCCCATCGAGGACGGCGAATCCAAGAGAGACAATCAAGGCCTGCGTTCCCGTGTAGAGCGACGCCATCGGGATCGGCTGCAGGGAAATACTGAGCAAGCCGGCCGACCGTGCTGATAAGCTCTCGTTGATAGAAAACTCAAACGTTATCGCTCTCTCGTCCACTGATAACTCAAAATTAATTGTATGCGTAGTTGTCCTTTCCGTAATTTTTTTTTGTGACCAGTTGTATTTATTTTTCGATAAAAACATGGAAAAAATTACCTTTTTTATCTGAAATTTCAAAATTTGTATCTCAAAATGTATGTTAATGCGACTTTACCATGCTAAGGCTATGCGTTGTAGATTTCAGATATTTCTTTCTAGGGTCAGCTATTTTTTCTTTTTTTTTTAAATTTCAAGAAGGTCAGCAGGTCGAAGATACTACTACAGTCAGACTTGGCTTTGTGTGAAATTTCATACACTACAAATCCTTGATCACAATCGCTTCTTGGTCCCTAAGATATGGTTCTATCTTAAAAGGTTGGCTAGAAAGGCTAAAACTGACTCGTCCTTATAGTCTATATAAGTTATAGAGTAACATCTCCTTTCTCAATGAAGAACGAAATTTTCCTTTTAGGATGACAAGGGTTCCTTTTTTGCTGCCTTTCTGCGGCCTTTTTTTTGAGCCTCTCTCTATTAATGGCCTTTATCCACCATTCCGACTTTGCCCAAGATTGCTATTTGATCTTTCTTTCAAAAAGTCGCTCAAAGTTCGATAACTTTAGTTTTTGCATTTGATCGAGTACAGCACTTGACCGGGTTGTTGAGTTTTTGATTTAATGTAAGTGGAAATCAGGTCTTCATTTTTCGAATAAAAGGAGCTTCGCTTGTGTTTTTCTGATTTATTGAGCCTTGAACAGCTCCAGAGAGTCCTTTGAGGTGCATGCATACTTTGTTAGGAGCTCCAGAGTGGTCCCTATAGAGGTTGCCTTAGAGGCCCTTGAAGGATCCTCTCTAGGGATCACTTTACCAGCCCATATAGAGGCCTCCAAAGATTGAAAAAGTGGCCCCTCTAGAGGTTTTAGTTAGTGTGCCCTATAGGGGCGTCGTCATGAACTCTGAGCGAAGAAGCATTTCCATGGGAAAAACTAAAAAATAACTTTTTCTGAACAAAATTGTACGACCCCTATAGGGAATCAGACCCTAAACCACTATAGGGACCACCTTAATTTTGCCCCTAAAGGGACCACTTTTTCGGCTCATATAGGGTCGTCTTCCCCCCTAACCCCTACAGGGACTCCTCTGGTGTTACTAAGTACCTCGATTTCTGATTCTATGTCTTTTTTTGGGCATTGTTGCGCGGGAAATGCGTTGGACGCTACTGTAAATGGGCGCGAGTGACGGCGAGGTCAGCCGTAATAACGCAGAACTTTGCCAAAATTTCCTGGACACGCCAACCCGTTCAGTCGGCGTCCCTCGCACACGGCGTCTCTTCTAATTCTCGAAAGTCGCCGCCCTTTTGTACTACAAAAACCAATATTCTGATTTCTCTGGTCGACGCCATGAAAGAATCGAACTATTGCTCCTTGCTTCTTTTTCAAATATTCGTCTTCTATTTCTTCACTTTGGGGTTACTCGTATTCACTTTCACGCAGCTATGTCTCAGTGAAAAGCTTCTGATAATCGTTTTGTTCGTGGCAGTTTTGACCTTGGGATCTTTATTCTTCCTGTTGGTGCCAGCCGAGTCCGACGAGTCCGAGGAAGAACCGAAAAAGGATCTGCCGAAAACTTTTCCCGAAAGATATCGAGACAATTTGGTATTAGCTTCTGTGTGAGTAGTTTTCGGTGTATAGCGTTTTTTGTTTGATTTCATTTTCTGACGGGTGGAATGTTTTATTTGTGCTTTCATCTTTGTTGTTTTCTTGTTCAGCTTTATGAATAAACTTCTCAGTTGGCATGAACGTAGCGTCGTCGCACAATGTAGCCTCCATCGGAGGTCTTCTCCACAGCGGAAGATCTTGCCGGACAGGGGCAATAACCCGAGTCGGTTCCTGGCTCGCCCGCGCTTCCGACTCTGAAAATTTTTTCTCGTCTTATAGGAGAAGAAATGGAATCCTTACGCTCCAGGATGTCCGTCTGAACCCGGCTGGCCACTTTGACCTGGTGCTCCAGCTGGTCCTTCATCGCCAGGCTGCAACTCGAAAATTTGAAATAGCAAACAATTTTGCTCTCCTTCGATTTTTATTGAGTATTTCGCTTCGAATACGCAACTCTTTCAAAAAATTTCAAAGATAATAAAAGGAATAGAAATTTTTATCATCTTGTTCTTTCCTCGTTTTTTTCTCGTGGATCTCGTCACGCACGGCGTTTTTTTGGTACGTCAGTCGAAATTTTCCGTGAATTATGGGGCTTATGGTGTAAACACCTGGACGCATTAGTGCATACTCCAAACTTTTTTTTTTCAATTTCAAAGTTTATTCCTTTTTCTTTAGTATGTTCAGAATTAGGAGCTCATGATGCAAAAAAAAAAAATTGAATTTCGTTTCATTTAAATTTGAGATAAAAAAAGATTTTTGTACACAGAAAGAACAGAAATATGACGTACGATAGGAAAGTCGCCCGGAAAAATACCTTTAAAAAAATACCAAAAAAATACCATTAAATCCAGAGTTTACGTAATATCTATCAATAAAAAGAAGGTTTCTCAGAACTTTTTGCTTTTCGGTTGTTTTAAGTGTTATTTTGACACAAATGTCTCTTCTTAAGATATTTTTTCGTGTCGAGATCGAAAAACCTCGTGCATTCCTGCTCCTAATAATACATAAGGCAGAAATCCTAAAGATTCCTGGATCCTGGTACCTAGTAAACTTGTTACCTTGCCATCTTCTCCGGGATTTCCAGCAGCTCCACGTTTTCCAGCGGGGCCACGAGATCCAGCAGGTCCTGGAGGCCCAGGTGCACCACTGCCTCTCTGAAGGTTCATTTATTAGGAAAACTTGAGGGAAAGGTAATAAATCTGTTTTTTTTATTCGAAAATGAAACCCTATGCAAACCTTTCCGTCGCGGCCCGGCCGACCAGCATTTCCAGGTGGTCCAGGAGGGCCATTATTGCCTGAAAATTCTTTTGTTTGATAAACTTCCTGATGCTGAAACCTTTGTTTCCTTCTTCGCCGTCAGGACCGTTTTCTCCATCAAGACCAGGCTCTCCATCGGCTCCCGCTTGTCCATCTGGTCCGTTGGGTCCTGCAGGGCCATCTGGACCTGGTGGACCAGCTTCTCCAGCTGGGCACTTGATCTCGTTGCCAGGATAGTTCGGATTTTCTACGGGTGGCTTTCCGCTTGTTCCATCAGGGCCTGCAAGTTCGAGCAGTTGGAACGATAAACACGGCGACATGTCGACACCAAATCAACGCCACACCCACCATAACGGCGGAAAATGAAATGTGTTGTACGCAGTGCACGCGATGCATGATAAGCGACGCGCAAAAAGCGAGATTGAACGTTTATAGTAAATAAAATCAATCTTATGGCTGGCACTACATAAATGTATTTATATGAATGTAGAAAAAGATGACTATTCTTATGAAAACCTAAAATCCTTTTCGGCCCCTCAAACGAAATCTAACCACGGCTATGTTGCTTCAAATTTCATAAATTTTCGTGTTCCCAAACTAAATTTTTAGTTTGACTAACAATCGACTTTTTTTTCTCTCTGCACCGCTTCCATTACAGAAACTGCCTAGGTGAAAAAATAAAGATTATCGGAATACCTGGCTCTCCGTTTTCGCCTGGTTCTCCTGCTTCTCCCGGTGGTCCCACGGGACCTTGAGGGCAGTTCTTGGCCTTCTCGCCGCAGTTGCAAGCCGAGGCCTGACGCTTGTGGCGTCCAAACGGCGACAAAACGGATTTGGTCGACACGGTCGAGTCGGCTGTCATTGACTGCCACGCATCATTGTAAAAATCCTGAATTTTTGAATATTATTGTAAAATTGCCTTTATTTTTGCATCTTTTATCATTTTGAAAACTAGCCAAACGAATTCAAACATATTTTTTTAAAACTTCAAGGGTTTCCATTTTTCTTTAGTATGTTCAGAACTACGAACAAAGAATTTTTAATATAATCGCAAAAAGTTTCAAACCTTGAACTCTGATAGCTCCAACTCGACTTCACTATGAAAAGAGTAGAGGTCAGAGTAGAGGAAGGTGGAAAAAAGAATGGCAGTAAGTACGGCGCACGAAGAAGCGAATGTACAGCCTACGAGGACTCCGTTCATCTTGCCACCGGATGAAGCTTTCTCCTCGTTTTCTTTCTTTTAAGCATCCGCGCGTCGGATGTTCCAGGTGAAAAAGCTGAACCTATGCGGTATTTTGGTCACACTTTTCGTTTTTTTTTTCTTTTGATGCGGCAAATAACGCGAAAGCCCTAATACATCCGTCTATTGCAGTGTAAAGAACTTATAATCATATCCTCATTGCATTCTTAGACAGTTCAACTTTTTTCAAAAGTCGGAAGAATGAAGACCCGAAGATCTATTGCTCTTGGGATGTTACCAAGTAGCAAGTCCGTATGCAAGATTGTGGTATATATTTATATATTTATATGCAAAGTAAAAAGTTATACATTTAATATTTTTCGTATCTTTTTCATCTTTCTCATTGCGCTGCTCCAGTACTCCCCGCGAGTGGGCGTCAGTGCCTGATGCTTTTTAAAATAGCTCAACTGCAGTAAATGCGCTCCACGGCGTTCCAAAATTTTTTACGGGTTTTAAAATATTTTTTACTCTGGATTGAATCAGCCTCTTCGTGACGTGTTTAAAGACATTACGTGATTTTTTTTTAGTTGGCAGTGCTCTCGGGTGATTTCACTTAAGCTCTTGCTTTCACTTGATTTATTCTGCCAAATGACGCGAAATAATAACTTTAAACTATCTTCCCTTCCGAGTTTTTGTAATCTTTTCATTTTTTCTTTCGAAAAAATGATTTCCATCGAGTTTTAGATGGCTTCAAATCCAGCATTAATGCGAGAAGTTCGTTTGTACGACAACCACACCGAAAGAGAGCACGTGAGTTTTTTTTTCTTTTTGAGTAAAATTTCTTTCCGAAAATGTATTCGTCACTGTTCACGGTTCATTGAAGTGAAAGCGATTTCAATTTTTTTTTAATAATCTTTTTAATCAAACAAATATAATTTTAAAAACGATTGCATATTTTTTTCAAGTTTCAAATAACAGAATTGAGCACGTATGAAAACTTGTTCGAGGGCTCATTTTTATCAGAAACTTTTTCACGTCGTTTCAGATGGAGAACCTTAGTGAACTGTTTGCTGTACTTAATGCGCTCGAATGTCTGGAGAAAATGTTCAGTAGGGATCACGTCGCTGCCGATCAGTACAAATCCGAGTGTTTCAAGCTCCTCGATCAGTTCAAAGTTTGTTTCTCACTTGGCTCACACTAACATAATATTATGCATTGAAAAAATAGTATCTAAGTGCACATAGGATGGTATTGAAATACCAGAAAGTTAGTCTTTGTATGCTATTTATTGATTGACAGTCAGCGAATTTCTATTCAATTTAAGAGTCTTCAGTATACAGTACAACCAATGACGCTCAGTTCCCAAAGTAATCCCTTTTTAACTAATTTTCCCACGGTTTTTTTGACTTTGCCAAAAAAAAACTAGTTTTTTCTATGATTGGCTTATACCAAACTTTCTTTGGTCGGAACTTTTCAAAATGTGGAAGTCAAAACTGTGTTCTAAATATGCAAAACGCTTAGGTCGCTATGCGTGTCGTACAAGGAACAAACGTTGAAGACTTTGCCAAAAAGTATCGCCTTCATTGCCCAGCCGCCTTGGAAAGAATACGAGAAGGCAGACCCATAACTGTCAAGGACGACCAAGGAAACTTGCTAAAGAACATCGCCGCGATAGTCGAGGTAATAATTCTTCAGTGGTAAAGTAGTATTTCTGTTGAGATTTTCATCACTTGCTCCGACCAACTCAAGCTCAACGTCCGCGCTGTCGACGAGCTCTTCCCCAACATCAACGAACTTTTCAATGCTATCAACGCTACCAGTCGTCTACCCAGCGACACTGACGTTACAACGAAAGTCAAAAAATGGTTGGAAATAAAAGAATTCGTTAAAACTTCTCTTGTTTTCAAGGTACGATCGATTATTGTTGATGGCAGCTTCCGACGAAATCTCAGACGACGACGCTCGTCAAATGGCCATGGATCTAGAAGGAGCCTATCATGCATTCGTCAAGTTCCTACACGAGCAAAAAAACTGATGGCAAATATTTTATTATGCATTGTACATTTATAAATATATACATTTCACTTTCAGAGTTGCATCAGTGCATACTTGTGTTTCCGAGAAACCTTTGAGAAAATAACCCGTCCATCGAATGAAAGTGAAGCAAACGTCCAGGGATCTGCAACGGACCAAGCACAAGCGTATCTGGAAAAAATGGTCATTTTGTGTGATGGCCGTCAGAGCTGTTGACGGACGTGCTCCAGACGTTTCTGGCATTTCTAGTGGTCACTTTAGTAGCGTCAGGACTCTTAAGTGATCCCTAGAATTGCCCAGAAACGTCCGGAGCACGTCAGTTTCGAGTTCCGCCTTGCCAACAGCTCCGATGGTCGTGGCTTACACGCTCTCTTCGTGTTCGTCTATCCTCTCGAGCTCGCCGTCCTCCAGCCGCTCGGAAAACTCGTCCTCGTCGGGCGTCAAGTCGTCCACTTCGCTGCTCACCGTCTGAGCACACGACAGAACTACGCAAGCGTCACTTCCAACGGAGAGCAGTAGCTGGTCGTGCACAGGGTGATATCTGATCTGAAATGGAGAATGGCATGGAATTGGCTGCTCATCGCATAGCCTATTCACTGCTAGCTTGGGACGCTAAGGGGGCGGGGCATACCAAACAGGCACTGTCTCTTTACTTATCGTGCCAGGACCCTTTTTCGATGGCTCAAGCCAGCCGTGAATCAACTATATGTGAACCTGCCAAATCCAGTGTGCGTGTGGATGGAAAGAGAAGAATGGCTGCGACGGCTCGCGCATGTCCCAGATCCGCACGAATCCATCGTCGCCGGCAGACGCCAACCTGAATTCTCCGTCTCAGAGTTTTAGAAAGATTTGGCAAACCTTCACAAGGAAGATTATCTCACCTTGGAATTTTCCTGAAATTTAGCTAGTACTTTTCTTGATGTACCAGATGAAAGCACTAAAAGTCTCAACCTGGCAAACATCTTATTTTTTGAGAAACGATCCTCAAATTAAAAGGAAACCCTCAAAAGTCGTTCTATTTTTGAGCTTTGAACACTTTTTCTCGGAAACTAGGAAGGTTTTGCAGGTTGAGCCTTTCAGAATCTTCATCTGGTGCATCAAGAATTGTTCTGTTTCTGGTAAAACCCAAGCACAAAGTGTAAAATCTTCCTTGTCAGGTAAAACTTGATTTAGATTATCATTTTTGGAACGGCCTTCCCTGTTTCTTCTGTTTCTTTTAAAGCAAATTTAGATGCTTCACAGATGAAATAAGGCATTGGCAATTCCAATCAAATTAATCAATTTTGAAACAAAAAAAGCGAAAATGCGATAAATGGCGAAGCGTGTTGTCCGTAGAGCAACTTTACTGCAAAACGCCTTTTTGGCGGGAACTCAAGCTTTCCTTTCTGCGACTTTGAATTATTTTTTCTCCAAAACTAAGAAGTTTGGTACATTTCCAAGTTCACCGTTCGACTGAATCTACAAAAAACTGCTTTGAACTGAAACACCGTTTTTTTACTGCCCCTATGCCTTTAAAGAAATAATAAATAAGGAAACATGTGGCCAACATGTTATAGGAACTTGTTAAACAAGCTAATAATATCCAGAGCAAGAAAAGTTTTTTTTTTCTCACCGAGCTCTTCGTCAAACCCTGGAAAAACGTACATGTGCTGGAGGTTGGGGTTGAAGTCGATGCTGAGAGTGCGATGTGAGTGTGCGGATGCCACTTTCAAGTCGTCCCTGGCAAAGAGAAGTTCGGAGAGCTTCTGGAAAGGCTCACTTTGCAGATCTGGTGTCGATGCAGACGACGTCTTTTCCCACACTGACGCCCAACAAGTTGCCGCTGTTGTGAGGGCTCCACGTCGCCTCGAACACCTCTCCATCCACCGGAACCGTTTGCAACGCCTTAACTACTGGTTGGAAGCTGTACTTATACTTAATGGCATAGGGGCAGTAAAGAACGGTGTTTCAGTTCAAAGCAGTACTTTGTAGAGTTTTTCATTGCTAAAAGAACGGTGAACTTGGAAATGTAAGAAGTTCCTAGTTTTGAAGAAAAAAATTATTCAAAGCCAGAGAAAGGAAAGCTTGAGTTCCCGCTAAAGACGTTTCGCAGTAAAGTTGCTCTATGGACAACACGTTTCTCCATTTTTCGAATATTCGCTTTTTTCTTCGTTTCTTTCAAATTTCAATTTTTTCTGTTGTCGCAAAAATGCTTCTTTGGTGAAAAAAGATGATTTTACACAGGTTTCGATTGGGATAGCGACGTTTTGTGATTTCTTTATTATCGGTTTTTTTTTTGTTTGACTAAATGTTTTTTTCAGAAAAGAAACCATTCATTTGAAGCAGATATCCGGTTATTTCTCACAAAATGCGAGTCTAATGAGACGTCCGCAACATCGCGTGAACGGCTACTGTAAACAGTTGTCCGTAGACCATATCAAAGCTTTTTTCAAAATTAAAGGGGGGAAAGTAAAATCGCGGTTTTCTTCTAAAGTTGTCAAATTTGTGATTTTTTTGAGTACACCGTTCTATTCACAAAAAAAAAACTATACAAGATACTGATTTCACCTGAAACCACGTTTTTTTTACTGCCCCGGTGCCTTTAAGTTAGGAACCTGAGGTCCGGGCGTCATGTCGAAAATCCGCACTATCGACGTTCCCACCACCGCTGTCCTGTTCGTAGTGGAGTCCCACACAAGTCTTTACAACATTCTTTTTTCATCGAGCACTACCAGACATACCCATGAAGGTACTGGTCGAAATCCTCGTTTCCAATCTGCCCAAGGGTCCTTTTGTCGTCGTCCATGTTCCACACGTATAACCCGTACTTTGGCTCGACACCAGTGACTATTAAATAAATTATAGTCAGCAAGAAGTGGCGACATTCTTACAATCAGCGGCGCAAGTCGCCAAAACTGTCGGATTCGAAGGACTTGAGGCGAGAGCGCGGACTTCGCCTGCAGGGTGTCGGAAAGAACGCGACAGGATTCGAGCGCCTTCGTTACCGACATAAAGTTTGTTAACCTAAACTCCTGGCAATGTCACTTCAATGGGATTCAGACGATGCTTCACTTGGTTTTCCGTTTTGATGGTCTGCGTGCCGATGAGAAAAGCGACCGTCTCTTCGTCTGCGACCACCGCGTCCATACAACGGGCTTCCATGTCTATCCCAAACATCAGGCATTCTGCCATCCTTAAGAATTTCAAAGTTGTCCCTATAGGGGTTAGGGGGAAACAACCCCCAAAGAGGCCGAAAAAGTGGTGCCTATAGAGGTAAAATTAAGGTGGACCATGTAGGGGTTTACGGTCTGACTCCTTGGCCCCTAAAACTCAAGTGGGCCCTGTAGGGGTTTTAGTTTCTTTTTTAAAAAACGCTTATTTATTCTGTTTTTCCCTTGGAAATGCTTCTTCGCATAGAGTTCATAAAAATCATCGACTAGCATGTCACCTACAGGGGCCACTTTTGCAAGTTTCAGGGACTCTTATGAGGCTGATAAAGTGGTCCCTAGAGAGCACTGGAAAAAAAATACAAAAAAAATACTACCTAGAAATTTCAAAATTTTTACTTCAATTTAAATATTATGTGTACCATTTAAATGGATGTGTACAACTTCAATCAAAAATTGAAAAAAAAAAATTTATAAGATTATAATATTATTAAAGCTTTTCCAACAATGACGACAAGGAACGAATTACAACAAATGACCTGAAAAAATTGAGCAAAAATTAGACTGGCAATGTAAAAAAAAGTAGATTTATCTCAATAACGACTTCTAATACTGACAGCCTGAAAATAACTACGAAGAGAGAAAATGACTAGTTAGAAGCGAGGTAGTTGTGATACACGACTCCCATGACAGAGAGCGAAAAGTTGATGACGAGGGTGACGAGGACGAGGAAGGAGAAGAACTGCCGGCAGACGAAATGGTCGAAGACGAACCTCAAGGGACCGAGACCTTCCAGGGATTGGTCTTCGGGAATTCCAGCGGTGCCCAGCCACGACAGTCCTCCTAGAAGCTCATGTTAAAAAGGAGCTGGCGGATCTTCGACGGGAGAAAGCTCACTCATCTTTTTAACTAGGAGAATAAATTAATAGCTATTATATTCAAAAATGCTTTGCAGAGGGATCATGTGAATGAGTTCATAGAAAAAAAGTCTAGAAAGTTCACATTTCTCCAAAACTACTGCAATACATGACAGGCTTGGCTTTGTCTGCGCTCTTCATCAAAAAGAAAAATATTTTTTTCTTATCATGTCACTTATCAATTTTAGAGGGTCCCTATAGGGCCGAAAAAGTGGTCCCTATCGGGGAAAAAAATTAAGGTGTTCCCTATAGATGCTCAGGTTCTGACCCCTAAAGCTTAAGTAGTCCCCTAAAACCCCTATAAGGACCACTTTTTCAAGCTTCAGTGACCCCTATAGAGGTTGTTAAAGTAGTCCCGAAAGGAGACCCTCCAAAGGCCCCAAGGCTGACCCTATAAGGATGAATCTGGAGTTTCTGAGCAAGACTCTTTTTTTTCGATGACTAAAGCCGCGGTCAATAGGTTTATCCTTCAAAAAGTTTAAAACTCTGGTTTTGAAAAGCTCAATAACGGAAGAAACTTTTTTATGAAGCCTGTAACGGACAACTCCCAGGCCAACATGAATTTAACTACCATATGATCACTATTTCTAGTTTTCGGAAAAAGGAGATACCTGCAGTTTTTAGAAGTACCGCGAAGAGAGCAGCCAAGATAGATGGGCCGAAGTACTGAATGGAAGCACAGCAAATGTACGAGTAATAGCGCAGAACCTAAAAAATAAGGTGTAAAATGACTCTCAAAGAAGTTAGCCATGACTTTTTCTTTTCTTTGTACCATATATTTCCGGAAAGTCATCATCAATATGTAGTATTATGTCTTGGAAATGAAAATTTGCTTAATATATTGTTTGAAAAAGCGAAAAGGCTGAAAAAGGAGAACATGAAAACTTCATATTACTTACCATTGACTGCACAGCGAAGTTCTTGACGCTACCCGACTGTTTTTGCAACTGCGCCACCTTCTCGTAGGAGAGATTCAGATGAGCCTTCAATGTTTCAATTTCATGTCTCGAAATGATCAAAATAAGATACCTGAAGGTGCGAAACACGGACAGCAAAGCGGAGTATCATCCAAAGAATGACGAGATAAACTCGAAGAATGTCTAGCTGATCGCTAGTCATTCTAAAGGATGGGTCAATTTAGAAACTGATTTGAAAAACTGACAGCTTCCTTGGGCTGTCCACCAGACGATACTTGACAGGGAGCGAGAAAGTCACAAGGATCAAGGCGGGAAGGACAAAAGCTATGTGATCGAGAATTCTGCAAGACAATCCGCTTGGTAGGAAAAGGATATGAAGAATCAAATATCATAGGCAGTTTCGGGAGAAATTTTCCTTTTAGGGTAAAAAAAAGGTTCCTTTTTTGCGCCATTTTATCGGCTGTTTTGCACCATTTTTGCTGCCTCTCCCTTTTTCCACCATTTCTTGAGCCTTTGAAATCTTAGAAAAGACGGAAGGCTCGATAAAAAGACCCTTTTTGCAGCCTTTCTGTGGCCTTTTTTTTTTTTGAGCTTCTGCCTTTTAGCGGCCATTATCCACCATTCCTACTTTGCCCGAGATGAATGAAATTTTCAATGACAAAGTTTTTCGTTTTTCATATCCACAATTCCGACTCGGCCGCTAAAGGGAGAGGCTCAAAAAAGGCCGCAGAAAGGCAGCAAAAAGGGTCCCTTTATCTTCCATTTTTTCTGTGATTTTAGAGGCTCTAGAAATGGTGGAGAAGGGGAAAGGTAGCCAAAATGGTGCGAAAAAGCCGATGAAATAGCGCAAAATGGCAGCAAAAATGGAGTCTTTTTTCACCTTTTCCGACTATGCCTATGTAGAAAGTTTCATATTGAAGATTAGTTAGCAAGATCAGATTTTTGATTAAACTGCGAACCTTTTCAAAACGCCGTCCGTTTCGATGGCTCTAAGGTAAAGGAGAGCGCAACGGAAATTGGGGAAGACGAGCATCGCAGAGAGTACCGAGAAGAAGATGGACAGAGAAATGTACCTGAAAATATTGAATATAGTCCGTCTTCCGCGCCTCGATAAGTCTTCTCTGCGCCCTCCTTATCTCTCGACGTCCCTCTCATGTTTACGTGCTATTTCCATGTTTCTCTGACCTCGCCGAAGAGGGAACAGAGAGACGCAGACATGCGAAAACTGTCAAGTCGCGGCGGACTATAATGGAAGAGCAAAAAATAACTAACAGAAAAAGGGGATTGTCGGGACGGACGTCGGTAATCGTCGTGTTAGTCATGATCCCCGAAGAGTCGACAAATGTCACAATGTTCGAGCTCAGCTTTTCGTAGGCTTCAAAAAAGATACTTCGAGAAAAACCATGAAGAAAAAGAACCCGTGAGCATCTGAACGTCGAAAAGACGATCAGCGAACATGGAAAAAATGCAGGAGATGAGGAAATACAGCGCCGCGATCATCATCATGAAGCCTCTTTCATCGTCGTTCGTCACCAACCACGCAGTTAAGGTCATCATAACCTGAAAACTTCAAATACATCTGTACTCCGTAGACTTGTTTGCATAGTTTGAATAACTCGAGAAAAAAGTTCGATTCGCACACACAGGCGAATCGGAAGGGTACCATACTGTGTCCATAAATATACCTCTCAAAATGGTATCCCATGATATATCCATCAAGAGGCCTCCGGTATACCTTTCAGCGCTATATGAGCCACCTCGGAGGTCCTTGAGAGTATATAGTCTGTTCATATTTTCCATTTCAAGCAGCAAACTCCGCGCCCAACAACGCTCTGTGAATGGCTCGCTCTCTGATTGGTTGGATATACGCATAAGGGGCGGAGTTTGAAATTCAAAATCTGAACAGACTACACCTCAAGTCTATCTCTCAGACTCCACAGAGGTACCCTCGAGCTACCATCGTGAGATTTCAAACCCTGCGATATACCCCAAAGGGTATCACGATACCCATTATCGATGCGCCCATGCTGATCAAACAAATTCTCGCGTTTCAGAACACTATTTCCAAATGAATCCAGCTTGAACCTGTAGAACAAAGCCGGCAGCGACCATGATGAGGATGACAGAGACGTTGAGGTCCTTGTTGTCGGGGAAGACGAACGTGTAGACCTCGCAGATGGCATAGACCTAGGAAGAATTAGTAGGACTCTGAAAAAGTCACTAACAGCGAAGCAAATCGGGACGCATAGGCACAGCCAATGTAGCGCCGAGTACATTTCAAAGTTCTGCAGGTCTTCTGGCTTGACAGCCACGATTTTCAGTTGAAATTCGGAGGATTTCGGGACGTTGAATCCCTGTGATTCCTCTTCCTCACTAAACGCGTCGATGAAATAACGAAAACTTTGCATTTTTACCGTTTTTTTCTTCTTGCTCTCGGATTTTTCTCCTTTGAAGAAGGGAGCAAAGCGCGCAGTTCGTTGTTTGATGGGGCTATGAATCGGTACAATCTGAACCTATTTAAAATCGACAATTATGCCAAAACTAACCCATTGGTTATGAAAAACGAGACGAACGAGACGCGACTCGCCAGTTTGGAGAAGAGCGTCAGCGCGACGAGACAAACCACCACATGGAAGCCCAGGACCGCCTATCTCAGAAAATCTTTAGACCAAGAACATTTTCTCAAACTCACCATGACAATACGGCGGCTGTTTACTCCGTTCTGAACAAATTTTCAATTTTTATAAAGCAAGCGATATTTGAAATATATAGTTTTTGCGTAAACAGATAAACTCCAAAAAAAATCAATTAACTTAAATATTTATTGAAACTCTGGGTAAATGACAATAGATCGCTATACATTAAGAGCTCGGAGTGGGGGAAAAAGAAACACAACCTTTTTTATTTCTCAATCACAAGCTGCGGAAAAGCTAAACATATAACTCGAAGGCGGAATATCACAATTGGATGATGGACAAATAGGGGCTTGAACTTTTGAGGGATCTGATTGTTCGTTTTGGATTTAAAAAAACTATGAAAAACGGGTTTTCGTTAAACTAAAAGGAAAAACAGATTCAGAAAATTTTTTTCATCATTTTGAATTTTTTCCAACACTTCCAGCTAAACGTCGGTTGAATACCTTCTTTGAAGTATTTGTTTTTTTTAACACTTCTTAAATTTTGAAACAGCGCTCAAAACTACGATCTAGAATCCAAGCATCCCCCAATAAGTCTCTAAAATTGGGGAAAACCTTATTGAACATGAAATAGAATATTCCGTACGCAAAGATCCAATCTTCGGGTACCTAATTAAGACACGGAACGGCGATGAATGAGACACATTTTCTCCGTCTCAATCGTTGTCTGGAAATGATTAAATGCGAGTAAAAAATGTAGAAGAAATAATAAATTAACGAGTTAGTCAATAAGAGCCAATTCGATAAATATGAACAAGAAAATACCCAGGGGAAGGAAAAATGGTTAGAGCCGAGCTCGTCTGTTGGAAATCAGATGAACGCTGAGCAAAAAAAAACTTCAAAATGATGTCTTACAGAGAAATTCTTTTTTAAATCCATTAATTGAGGAAAAATAATTCTTACAGAAGGCAAAAAAGCTAAGAAATGACAAAAAAAGTATCGTCTTCGATTAGAAAAAAATCTTGCTTCCTTAAACCATTCGATGAGAACTACAACAAAAACATATACACAGAAAAAAAGCTTCCGAATATATATTAGGTACGAACTAATTTTCATCGAATAGTTCAATTTGAGACGACAGTCTGACACTGACCTGGAAGTACACACCCAGAAGAAATACGCAACAAAGTGGTGAGCACATTTTCAACAAATATGGCGCAGAATTTTTTTTCCTTTGAAGTTAAAAAAATATAATTGGAGACGTCGAAATCGGCGCCAAAAAATTTCAACATAGGCATAGTCGGAAAGGATGGAAAAATACTTTATAAAAACGTTCCTTTTTTGCTGCCTTTTTTGCGCGATTTCATTGGCTTTTATGCACCATTTTTACCTTTTTCAACCATTCCTTGAGCTTTTAAAATTCTAGAAAAATGGAAGGCTCGATAAAGGAACTATTTTTTCTGCTTTTTTCTGCCTTTTTGCAGCCTTTCTGCGGCCTTTTTCGAGCCTCTCTCGTTTATCCACCATTCCAACTTTGCCCGAAAACTTTTAAACTACCAAAACCTATAACGCTTCTATTTTTTTTTTAAACTCTTTAATGTGTTCACCACTTGCTTACGTGAAGAAAAAATCCCGTCAAGATTTAGGGTCCTTGTTGAAGATGAGAGTTCGGAGAAGTGTGGCGAGAAGCCGCCGCATCGTCTGTCCTTCGGCCGTTTCGACGAGCTCACAGAGCCGCAAGGGAAACTGCTCGCCGAGCACCGGCAACAGCCCGGGAGGAAGGTTGATGCACTCTCGCAGCAGTTCGCAAATCACGGGCCCGTAGGCGTTCCGTCGCGCTTCCGATTCAGCCTCACCATAGCCCGTCAGAGCGGCTGACACGACTCTGAAAGCATCCGTCGGTTATGGTCATCTCCGAATAACACGAAACCCCAGAACACGCTTGCCGACTTCCTCGCGCAGATCCGGCTCTCTTTTATCGTAGAGAAGTCGCAGAAGGATGGCTAGCATGGCGCTCAAGGATCGCGTTTCCTGACTGAAACCACAGGTGGAGAGAAATGACAACTAAGCCAACTTGATGAGATTCGGTTTGCTGGATCCCCGCAGTCCGGCCTTCCATAGTAAGGTCCTCTGACCGTTGTTGTCGTTGAACTGCTTGGCAAGCTTTTGACTGTCCCCCAATGCGTCACAAACACTAAAATAGGACAAATCGACCAAGAACTAGTCTCGTTAGGTTCAAAACGAAGCGTGGGACGGCTACCACCGGAAGACATGTTTTCTTTCTCGCTTTTGTTCTAATTAATAAGATCTCAATGAGAACTATTGATAATTAAGAACAACACGATGAAGATTTCTCAAAAACTTGTTCCCATGAATTTCGTAAAATTTTGATCTCATACCTGAGAAGAAGAGAAGGCTTCATAGTCGTGAAAAGACCGTCACGTTCCCGTTTTGCGAGGGCGTCTTCGTTCGGACTCGGCTGCGAAGTAGCTTCTGAACTCCCGACGATTCTTTCCGTTACTCCAAAAAATGTTACCAGTCATCTTTTTGTTTCCCAAAACGATGCGAGTGACGGCGTCGACCAATTCCGACTGGACCACACAAAAGACGATTTGCTCGGAGAAGAGGGCGTTTCCCGAGTGACTAAAAACCAAAATCTGGTCTATGACCGGTTTGAGGAACGAACCCATTGGTCATAGCCTCAGAAACCGGATCGGCGCTTCCGTTTGCCGTTTTCGACGGGTCCCACGTCAGTAACCTTACAAGAGAGGTAATTTACTCTGCGGTTTGGAATTTTCTACGTATTTGATCAAAAACTCTCTAAATGTCTAGATTCTTCCTATTGTTTAAAAGATATGATTTTTCAAATATAAGAAATATAAGTTTTGAGCATAATTTTTCTTCTTCTTCTTACGCCTTTGTACCGCTTGAGCGGCGTCGGCGCCCCAAGTCGATTAGCCGATGTCCTATCCTGATGATAATCAGTGGACTGGCTCCAGTGACATATCCGTCCTTGTGTGTGACGGCTGGGGATTTTGAAGTCGTGGTTTCCCACTACCAACATTTCTTAAACCCTTGGTTGGGGTCGGGGCGGGGATCGAACTTGTGACCCTGTGGACCGTAGACAGGCACACAACCTGTTGCGCTACGGCGCGCCCCTTGAGCATAATTTTTCGTACTTCAAAATTAATTATCTCAAAAACTAAAAGCTGGCGTGGGTTGCAACTTTGATAAAACTCATATAAACCTGCAGAGATTGTTTGAGCCAATTCCTAGGAAAATTCAAGTCGCAAAGTAAAACAAGGGAAGTAATAACTTCATTATGGGGTCTCCTTCTGTGTAAAACGCGAGCTTTGAAACTTAAATATTTCGAAAACTAGAAGTTTGCGCAGGTAGCTACTATGAGGGATCTTCATCTAGACAATCAGAGACTGTTTGAGCCAATTTTCAGAAGAATCCAAAGCGCAAGAGTAAAATTACTTGTCAAATTCAATAATCATTCCGATGGAAAAAATATAGATAGGAAAAGAAACTGACGACTTGGGCAGGGTGGCTGAGAAGAGTTCGCGAATCAGCTCGACAGTCTGTACCCACATATCGTCGGTTAACCTGGAAATCTAGCTATCAATCAAGTTTTCCCTTGGGAGAAACTTCTCTCCGTTGTGGAGAATCAGAGACTCCAAGCAGGTTACTGTGCACCGCGCCAGTTGTTCATTCTCTACAACATTTTCAAAATCATCTCTTCCGGACGAAACTTCCTACGCTGTCGGATGAAGACCGCAAACTGTTTATAGATCATCGGCAAGGCGTATTGCGATAATTGCTCGAAAAACTGAGTGAAGATGTCGACGATTGAGAGCATCGCATGGTTGCAAGTCGTACTCAACCACTCGCGCTTCTGTCAATGAACAAGGGAGATGAGAAGAGATAGTCCAACAAGTTACGTCGCTCCTATGTTCGTCCATTTTAGCATGGTCAAAGATGCGGAAAACGATCTCGAACAGGTCTTTCCACCATTCGGGACGAAAGTCGTGGCCAAAAGACTTCATGATTTCGAACATAACAGTGAGACTCCGCGTCCGGACATCCAATTTGCAACGATTTATGATGCAACTGCAAATCTCTGAAACTTATTGGCACAGCGGAGGTCTAGGAACCTCAGTTCGAAGAAAATGGGAAACCATCCTCTCAGCCAAACGTGCTGTTCGGGACTGACGGAGCCTGTGTCGTCACGCGTTGCTTCAATTATCTTCTCCTGATTCGAAGCTACGTACCTGGAATCAGGATCACAAATTAACGACATGAATATTCAACTGTTAGTTTTTTGACTAGCCTCTAGAAACAAACGTACTCTCAGGGGTCATTTTACTTTCAGTTTTGGAAATTCTAGAAAACTGGCCAAAACCCTCCTTGTTGAACCAAATGAAGATCCTGGAAGTCTCAACCTGCCCAACTTCATAGCTTTCGAGGAATAAGGCCTAGAACCCCGGAAAAAAAAACCTATTTTTATGGGTTTTCGTGGTTTTCTTTGACTTTGAGGCGTCTTTTTCAAAAAACGAGAAAGTTGTGCGGTACTTTCAGGTACAACAAGGAGTGTTCTGGCCATTTTTGCCGAAAATTCCCAACTGTAAAGTAAAAAGGCATCCCAGTAGAGAGCAAAGAAAAATTTGAATATAGAAAATCAGAGAAAAAGGAAACTTCACAAGGATCCCTTTTAGGAAGTTCGACATTCTTCTCAATTTCTCTATAATTTTCTAGAAAGACTCGATTTTTTTAATTTTTCCAAGAGGATATCTAAAAATCCATAATGTTCAATCTTTCACTTTAATCTCAATGCTCTCTAAAATCCACCTATATTCTGGAAAATTCATACTTCTCGGGATCACTTTTCTCACAAGGCAAGTCATTTCAATTTGTGGTTGGGAGTTTTCGGAAACCTCGTCAGAACATACACGATAAAATACTATAAACTTCAACCTCCGAAAATTCCTTGTTTTTGAGAAAAGGAAAGCTCAAACTCGAAAAAAAAGCCTGAAAATCAGCTAAAACAAGCCATTTTTGAGCTTTGAGTCCTTGTTACTAAAACTCCATGAAAAATAAGCTATTTGAGACTTTAGGCCCTCATTTCCCAAAAAATAGGTAGTTGTGCAGATTGAGACATCCAGAATCTTCTCCTGGTACACCTAGGATTCTACTGGCCGAACTTTAGAAATTTCTCAACTTTTAAGTAAAATGACCTTACTATAGTAAGCACTGTATAAACCATTTTTCGTTATTTTTAGCAGTCTTTTTAGCACTTTTAAATCTTTTACTACAACGTCTTCACTGGCCACCTGAGGGCACACCAGGAGAAAAACCAGGAAAAGAACCAACCCAGCACAAACTCGTATCAACCGGATCGCTTCCATGTTCATTTCTGGGAGGTTCGAGTTGCAGGCGAACTCTTGCAGGCATTTCAAGGCTTCCTGGGAGTTTTGTTGAATTTCTAAAAGGCCTAGTTTTCAATCACCTGGAAAGAATCAATGAAAGCCGGAAAGTCCGCTTTGAATTGCTCGGAAACGACCTTCGCGGCAGAAGAAAATGACGTTTCGACAATGTCCATGTTGGTGTCACCTAGCAGTTATTATGAGTTCGAAGAAAAAGGGGATTAGAAATAAAAGTCATCAGAATTCGCTCCTTCTATGACATAAACATTCTGTCTGGAAATCGGAATGGTGGATAATTGCCGCTAAAAGGGAGAGGCTCAAAAAGGCCGCAGAAAGGCTGCAAAAAGGCATCAAACAGGATCCTTTTTATCGAGCCTTCCATTTTTTTTTCTTCTATTTTAAAGGGTCAAGAAATGCTGGAAGAGGCAGCAAAAATGGTGCATAAGAGCCGATGAAATGGCACAAAAAGGCAGCAAAAAAAGAGCCTCTGTCCCCCTAAAAGGAAAATATCTCTGGAGCCTCTTTCCACCCTTTCCGACTTCGCCTACGAAGCTACTTTAAGATTATTTGGATAATAAATAAAACGAACTGGCAGCCAAGGTCCAGACCGAAAAGAGGTTTTGCCAGCCGGATTTCAGCTTGGAAGCGTTGGCCTCAATGAGGTGGGTACAGCAACGGACGACCAGATCCCGAGTGGGAACGCATCGATTTTTGGTCATAATCACCTATATTTTGGATTTCAAGGGGGATAAGTCGTTGAACAACCTCAAAAGGTCTTAGAAAGTCTTTCTGGAATCGGTAGTTGGGCAGCTCTCCTTTTTCCAAGAACTTGATGGAGAGTTGCCGTAGAGCATCTACCGAGAAGTGAGCGACGGCTTCGTTGGTGTTGCAGCCTGGGAACACTTGGAAAAGGGGCGAGAAACCGTTGAATACCCGCCATATTGAAGTGTTCTCCAATCACCGCCCAGATACGACTCCATTCCAGTCTAATTCTGTTCATGTTGTAGAAGGCGACCTGGAAAGGCCTGACGATTGTATAAGGACCGAAACCCATCCGCAATTTTTTCTTCTGTTTAAAAAAAGACTGACTCAAGCTCGGGTCCACGTATCAAGTTGAAACTACGGTAGCTTATAGACTATGTTGAGAGCTCTCAGAAACAATATAGATTATCTGTTAAATCACACAGGCTTCTGAGAAAAAAGCTTCATGAAGAAACCCAGGAAAAGTTATGTACGCGCCTGGACCTTCCTTTTAGATCAAGGTAAGCTGGCGCAGTGGTTAGAGAGCCTGTCTCATGAAAGAATTTTTGGGTAGGTTCGATTCCTGTCAAGAGCAAATCTTTTTTGCATTTTTTCTTAAAGGGTTGAAACTTTTCAGAAGTCATGAAATTGATGAAAAAGCGTTAATCCTGGTTCAGATACTTCTCAAAATAAATGAAACGAGTTTTCAACCCCAACCTCAACGACTTTGGCCAGGAGGAACATCCGAGGTGCGGCGGCCTGGGCGAGTTCTTCTCGGGAGATGGCGCACAACGCTTTGACAAAGTAGACGATGGCCTCGCCGGAAAGACGCGACGAGCCGTGGAAGATGCGGTCGACGGCGACGACGACCGCCTGCGAACTCGTCTCACCCAACGCGTCTTGGAGGCTCGCCAGGGTCCTTTCGTCGAGACCGCCCGTGTTTTTCAGCACGTCTGGCAAATCCTTGCAATGGTGAAGAAAAACGACGCCTACATTGCCGACTGCTGTCCGCTTCTCGCGAAGAACTGCTGCCGAGTCCCGTACCGATGAGCTGGGCGAGTTCCAAGGAACTCATACACCGCATCACGTCGATCCAGTTCTCTTCAAGGTAGTCGCCGTCTTCGTCTCCTAAACAAATTTTTCGATGAAGATAGGTTAAAGGATTAATCAAAGGATTTCGAATAGAGCAAAGGAAAACAGAAACCGATGAGCAAGAGAAGTTTGATAGCCTCGATGTTCTTTTCCTTCATTTCGCCCAGAGAGTTCTTGGCGGTGAGGAGCGTGAACCGAGCCAGGGCTTGAATGAAGGCGTTGCGCTCGAGATTGGCGCCGAGAATGCAGGCGGCACGGACGCCGAGACGGAATCCGCGCAGACAGAGGGACCACTCCTCCTCGTCGTCCGACATCTGCACGCCGACACTGAACGCCGCCAAGCACGGAGTCCAGCAAATCTGAAGAGTTGAAAATTGGACTTTTGCTGAAACTTTGCAACCGGAGAAGGGGGGGGGGGGGGTAAAAAAACGATCCTAGTTAGAGTCAGGGGCTCCAATAACAATGGCCGCTCATTATTTTGAGCTGGAAGTTGGAAACCCTTTCAGACATTTGTAACGTGAAACAAACGTTTCTGCGCAGTTCTAGTGACCACTTTAGTAGTGTCAGCTCTCTTAAGTGATCCCTAGAATTTCACAGAAACGTCCGTTTCGCGTTACCAATATCCGAGCTAACAAAGTGGACATTTTTTGCCCTTTCTTTCCTATTTTCCAACTTACTATTTTTGAATTGAACTATTTCTTGCAGCAGAGAATTGAAAAATTTCACAGATATCTTAAACCGAGATCTCGAAAGTCCTAAGCTACATATTGAAAATTTTTGAAAAAACAATTTCAAGAAAATTCAGAGTTTCATCTGAAAAGCACTGTTTTAATAAGACTTTTTTCCTTCGGAAACCAATAATCCCAATATTAGCTACTTCTTTTTTCTCTAACCAAATCATTTCTAAAGATATATCCTTTTTGATAAAATAGTAGTTTTTTAAAGCGATTTGATCTGATCAACTCGTTCAAAAAATCCTTGTGACCGAATGAAGCTTGAAGAAGAGATTTTACTTTGAACATGGGTTTGACGTGATGCTGGTGCTGTGCGGGGACGAAGTTGGCGTCGGCGTCGGAGGCGCTTTCCATCAGGGACCTCGCGGTCTCGCTCATCGCCTCCAGTTCGAGGGTGGCCATCGCCCGTCGCTGCTTGTCGTTGCCGCTCCCTTGTCCGACAGCCGCTCAAATAACGGAATTTGTTCCTTTTTTCTCTTTCGATACGAAACTCAAACAAATGCGAATTTTACTTTTCTCATCCTCACAAAAGTTTTGAAAGGCATAGATTATTTCCTACAGGTCAAAAGAATTAGTTCACGAGCAACTCCTATAAGGCTATGTCCAACCTCGAAGAAGTTTGCTGGCACCAGCTTTCATTTTGATTTCGTTCTTCGAGATGTCTTCGTAAATGGCAGCCAGATAGTCGGAAGGAAGATCGCCTCCATTGTTGATTCCGCGATTCATTTTCACGTACTGCTCGATCGTCATTTTGTTTTTGACCTGAATGTTGAGGCTTTACTAAAAGTTATGGTTTTTGAAGATGACCAAAGAAGATTTAAAAATTGTTTGATAAACTGACTTTTGATGAGGAAGCAAATGTCCCATAATGCTTCAACTCGTTTATAAGTTACTTTTTTTTTAAACTTTTTTCATTCATAGGAGTTCTAAAGTGGTCCCTATAGGGGTAAAATCAAGGTGGTCCCTGTAGGGGTTCATGGTCTGTCTCCTTAGACCCTAAAGCTCAAATGGCCCCTATAGGGGCCTTACAATTTCATTCAAAAATTGCTTATTTATTTAGTTTTTCGCATGGAAATGCTTCTTCGCTTAGACTACTGTAAATGGCTCACTAACTAAAATATCTATAGTGGCCCCTTTGAAAGCTTGAGTGGCCCCTATAGGGGTTGGTAAAGTGGTTCATAGAGAGGACTCTTCAAGGGCTTCTTGGGTTGCTCCTATAGGGATTACTCTGGTGATTCTAAGATCGACCCAAAACACTTTTTAAATTGAAGTGGAGGCAAATATAACTTACCTGGTTCTCCACGCCACAGAATTCTGTCCGTGAGCGAAAAATAAACATTTCAATGTATTCTTTTCATGAAAGAGAGAGGAAAATGATAGAAAAAAGACCTGGGGGCTGTGGAGATCTGTCGTCAGAAGGATGATAGAATAGGCAAGGACGTAGGCCGTATCGGCCGATGCGAAATATCCGAGGCTTTAGAGAAAAATTCAAAAACAGTAAAAACCACAGTCCCAACCTGGGGTTACAGTCGCAGTACCGAGACGCAAACTTTTCCATCAATCGATCGATTTTCTGAGCTTCTCCAGGCAGACGGAACTTTTCCAGAAAAAGCCTCAGCGCAGAAACAATATCGAGTGCCGAGAAATCGAGGTCGTCTACGTAGGCGTACATAACTTGCTTGTTGAAGCTGCAAGTCCCCTGTTTCGGAAAGTAATTGATTGGGAGGAAAACTCGTTGGGATCGCCGAGAAAGTCGCCAACTACTGTCTTATCCAATCGTTCTTCTTTCAACAAGAACTCGGCTATTTCGACTGGATCGTTGCTCACGAAACCGTTTTCTTGCAAAAACTTCAGGCCTCGCATCGGTTTTTGGGAGAACCTGGAGAATCATAATCTTGTTTGGACATGATCGGACAAACATACTAAAAATCTAAAATCTGTTTTTTTTTTTAGGATATTAATGCAAAAATAAATGAAGAAAGCGGGGCGCTATACTAGGGCAAAGTAGGAAAAATGAATATTGGCTGCAAAAAGGGGGAGGCTCAAAAAAGGCAGCAGAACGGCCACAGAAAGGCAGCAAAAAGGGTCCCTTTATCGAGCCTTGCATTTTTCTAGGACTTAAGAGGTCAAGAAATGGATGAAAAAGGGAGAAGCAGCAAAAGTGGTGTATAACAGCCCACGAAATGGCGCAAAAAGGCAGCAAAATAGGAACCCTAAAAGGAACATTTCTGGAGCCTTTTACACCCTTTCTGACTTTGCTTATATCTCAAGGAAAATGAAAATTACAATACTCAACATCACTCACATTGGCTATCAGATTCTTATAACGTTCGTTTCCCATATTTTCTTGGTCAGGAAAGGAAACTTACAGTTGAATTCCATGTTCGATGAGATCTTTCTTCTGTTTCAAGCTTTCAAACTTCTCAAAGTCCTCTTTCACCACCACGTCGGACGATTCGGAATCGTCGAGGTCTTAAAAAAAGGATATTGAGAACGAATAGTGAATCTCACCGTGTTTCAGCTTTGTCACTTCACAAACTTGGAACCAGTCGACGAGGCACTGCAGGAGATCCGTCAAGCAACTCAGGCCCAGAAGTCGCATCGCTCTTTCTCTACACAGTGCCGTTGTTCAAAAAGAGGAGGAAAAGGGCGGGAAACTTCTCTTTTTGAGCAACGGTCGCGTTCTCGTTGATCGGCGTGCGGGTGGTTTTGGAAACGACCTCGACAATGCTTTTGAAGAGATTGTGGGAAGTGAGGTCGCAGTCGTAGTTGACGAACATGTCGACGACCGACTGGGGATTCGCCAATATTTTACCTGTAGCCGTTCTTTAGGGCCGAGACTATATTCAAGGGGAACCTATAGTGTTGAGTACAATCCATTTATGTTCGAAGGGACACGAAGGGGAATCGAGCATCGAGAGAATAATTTCTTTGAAAAACACCTGAAAATATATTATTCGAAGACTGGAAATGGTTAGGAAGAGAAAAACCTCGATCTGCATTTTGAGATGAACTTTGAACTTGTCGAGGAGAACGACAAAAATGGCAAGAGATTTTTCGAAAACCTTAAAAGGCTCGGTGAGATTTCTGGTAAAGGGGAAGAAAACTCGCCTGGACGTTGGAAGAAACAGCATTTCGGGATAACGCAACACAGAGGGACTTTTTGATCAAGATTATGAAGGGTTGGGCTGTTTGGAGCACCGTCGAGGAGTTCTGGAGGACGAGCAGCAGCATTTCCAAGGCGAGAAGCTTTGACCGCAGGTGCGTGTTTCTGGAAAAAAGCGAATCGGTGTGGTCATCATGAAAAAAAAGTTCTCTTAAGGCAGGTCATTTTTCTCTGCAGTTGAGATTTTCCTGAAAATTGGCCAGAACACTCCTTGATGTACCTGCACAACTTCCTCGTTTTTGAGAAAAGACGCCTCAAAGTCGAAAAAACCTTCAAAAATCATAAAATAGGCTAATTTGAGACTTTTGGCTCATTTCTCGGAAACCAGAAAGTTTTGCAGGTTGAGACTTTCAGGATCCTCATCTGGCACATCAAGAAGGGTTCAGGCCAATTTTCAGAAAAGAAAAATGAAAAAAAAAATCTTTCGAAAGTTTTTGTTATCTGTAGATCTCCTTCTGTTGAAAATTGGTCTTCATCGAAAACCAATTCTTAGGAAAATTCAACTAATTGCTTTCCCTATTGAAGCTGAAGAAGAAGCCCACCTGGCGTCGTTCGTGTCGCCCTCGTCCTTCTGTGCGAGGACGCACAAGGCGCGAAACACTAGGAAGGCGTCCTTCTGGTGGACGTTGACGAAGGTCAGTTGGTCTTCGATCTGCTCGCTTTCGCCAACCGTCGACCCTCCGCGCACGCCTTCACTTTTTTCGTCGCTCTGATATTAGTTCAAAATGAGCTTCGAAGCATCTCATAGTAGTTCAAAATGAGCTTCAAATCATCTCCTCTCAATTCTCTGCTTAGTTTTTCCTTTTTTCTGTAATTTTCATATTTCTCCTAACATTCCTCTTAAGGACACGAGCTGCAGCAAATTCTTCATACAAAACTTTCCCTAACACGGAAAATCATTTTTCTTGGCTTGGAATTTTCTACGAACTTTCTAAATCGGTCTCTGAAGCTTCACATGAAGATTCATCTAAGTTGCAACCCGCGCCAGCTTCTAATTTTGAGATAATTGATTTTCAAGGCCTGAAAGCCATTTTTCGCAACTTTGAAAAATCATATCTCAAAAACTAGAAGTTTTCACAGGAAGAAACCGTGAGGAATCTTCATCTAGACCTTCAGAGCGTGTCTGAGCAAATTTTTAGAAAATTCCAAACCGCCAAGTAAGACGACCTCCCTTGTAGGAGCTTTAAAAAACTAAAAGATGTAAGCTTTTGCAAAAACTCTTCCGAAAATTTGACTGGTTCAATTAAAAGTAAAATATTAAGAACGAAATATCAACTTTGAGAAAATTTCGAAATGACAGAGTGAGGAAACGAAAGCTTATCATGTGCGGAATGAAATTTCCAAATTAAAATAGAAACAGGAAAAATATTGACTAAACTAACAATTTCGTTGGACGCGATGGTGCTGACCAGCATTTCCACGACTTCTTTTACAACCGTGTTGTCGTCTTTCGTGTTGCCGAACCGCTCCATGTTCCCGAAAACTGTGTTGATCATCTAAAAAAGCGAGGCCATTGATATAAGCCACCAGAAAGAGGAACCTGAGTGAGCGTCCCCTTGGCAGTGGCTTGATTAATGGCGCTTTTCGAAGTGAGGTATATGTTGAAACAAGTGCGGACGGCGAGTAACAGGGAAGCCTCGTGAACCTCGCAGGAGGCGCTCAGGACGGCTGCCAGAATCGCCTAAAAACGAATAAATGAAGAAATCTGCCGCGAATGGTACCTTGATCAGCTGCAGCAGAACTGTCTCATCTGTACCCTGTCCCAGGAACGAGGAACAGATAGCTTCAACGATCCGATCGATCAGCCTTCTATCCGGATTTGAGGTGTCTGCTCCTCGTCCTGTCAGTTGTCCATAGGCAATCAGCTTCTGAATATTTTGGTTTCTGGAATCTTCTTTTACTATACTTCGAAATAGATTCATCGAAAGTTCAACCGGGAACTAAATAACATCTTCAAACACTGAGACGAGAATATTTGGTTTTTTTCAGTCAAAAGTGGGTTTTTTTTCCTAAGACATCCTAGTGAGCGTTTTTAAGCCCTCTTGTTAAATCTTTTCTTAAATCTAGTTTAGGGTCTCCTGATTCCGAAAAAAAAGAAGCAGATTTGCTCCAACAAATCTTGTTTTCGATTTGTGAAGCTTTAAAGTTTGCATAATACGCAAGTTATGAAATAAAAGCGCTATTTCAAGCTTTTGAAGCGTCTTAACTCGGAAACCAGATCTTTTGCGAGAATATTCTTTTTGCTCTGGACTCAGAAGACCCTAAAGTAACAAAGATTTATCAAAAAGTTCAATCTAGTTATCTGAATTAACAGGTAACTTTAATCATATGAAGAAATTTTTTTATATTATCTTCTAGTTTTTTTAGAGCCTTATAAAATGTATTATTCATTTTTTTATTTATTTTTCCTACCAAGTTAGAAAAAAAGAGCAAACAACGTTATTTTTTCTTTTATTGAACTTGGAAACCATCGGAAAAATCTTTAAGAAAGCTTGTTTCGATGGGGAAAAATCGCCCCAAAAGAGTTCCAAACTTATTTTTTTCTATCTTTAAATTGGTTCCGTTCGTTTAAAAACTAACTCGTTATTCAAAAAAATGATCACCTTTTTGTGAATTCGATGACAATTTTACATATCTTAATTTGAAGTTTATGAATTTTTTTCATTTTTTCATTTTTTTCTATGAGAGTAAATCAACTATAGTTCGTTTCAAAATTCGAAAATTGGAAACCTGTAGGCAATCCAAAGCGACGTTGACAATTTTGGGTTGTTTGGAGCTGCAGGCGAGCTCAAAAGGTAGGAAATAGCGATCGGCGTCCACGGGTCCCAACGAGCTTTCCTCATTCGTTTCTACCGTCGGATGCTCCTCTTCAGCTTTGAGCTCATCTGAAAAACTTGTTGAAAACCCGTCAGAACACCTATAAAGCTACCTAGCGCATTCTCACAGGCCTTCTTCAACTGCAAGTTCTCCTTCCTCTTGATATCTCTGTCACTGAGAATCTTCTCTATCCCACTCTTCAGAAACATCTTTCCCGCCGATTTACAATCCGTGCCCATTTCAAACGAGCCACAGAATTAATACATCTCTGAAAAAAATTTTTGTGAATTTAAAATCGTGTCGAAATGAAAAATTTTTCACGTATACGTCAACGTGGAATGCGCAAATTCACATTATTACAAAAATAAATGTTACACTGGGAAATCTTAATATTCACAAAAAAACTAAATTTATAAATTTATATCAAACGACTTCCTAGGTTTGATTAATGATTACAGAATTTTTAGTGGCCACGGATTTTACTAAACATATCACAATACTTAGAGCCAAAAAAATATAGAGCAAAGACACGTTTCTGAGTATTTATTGTACCGAAACGTGAAAAAAAGGAGAGCGAAAAATTTTTTTTTCTACTATATTTTTAAAAAAATGTAAGTCGAAAGTGTTTGCAATAAAGAACTTATTAAATGAAAAATTGTTTTCCGAAAGAGAAAAAAAGAACCCCGTACGAGGTTCCAAAAAAACGCTGGCGTGAAGGGATTTCCACCCCGTCCCGGGGAAGCCTTACAACTTGAACTTGATCAATTTTTACTGCGGTTTTCCGTACATTCAAAACAATTTCACAACATTTGCGATAAAATGCCTACCTACTCACTGAAAAAAACGTAAAAGTTTCAATTAAAAAAATCTTTATTTTAATTATAAGATTTAAAAAAATTATGTGTGAAAAAGCCTGTTCAAAGTTAAAACAGCTTTCGTAGTACTTCTAATCGATAAACCTTAGCTAATTTTTGGCTGAAATTTTTACGGAATTACTTTTAACCAAAGGTCGTATGCGATAAAGTGGAAATGATTGCGATTTTCCTGAAAAGGCCTCATACTCACTATTCATTCATTGATTTCGGCTTTTTTTTAATTTAATAAGGTTTATGAGAAGATTTACATACGGAAAAACAAATTTGAAAGAAAAAAAGACTAAGTGGAAGTTCAAAATCGCAGAAAAATCATTTCCCACTTTATTGCATACGGCCTCTGTTCTTAATTGAATCAGCGCTGGAGATAACTTTACTAATTCAATAATTTAGCCTTTCATTGTAAGAAGAAATTATATAATTATAGATAGAAGCTCGAGTTATGGGATCAGGGCAATTAATTAATTATATAATTATAGATAGAAGCTCAAGTTATTGGAAAAACATTAGGGTAATCAATTAATTAAGTGAACTTTCAAATAATCTCTGGCTCTCGAAAAATCTCTTTATACTCTCGGACGGTAACTCTGTATTTCGCGGAATAACTTCGAACCAGAATTAGAAAAACGGAACGAAAGGTTTATTATTATTATTTGATGCGTTGTTCTATTGACCTGGAATACACCCAATATTATCGTATTTCTCAAAATCCTACTCGTTCTGTTTTTCAAATAAGTAAATTCAGTTACGTGGTTCTGTCCATCCATTCTTTCTCCAATAAGTGGACTCATTCAAAAAGGAAAACGATTTATTGGTGTACATTTTGTGAACAAAATACAACAAGAAGTCCATGGGGAAGACTCAACAACAACAAAAGCAAATTTTTGAAAAAAGTGGAGGGAAGGCTTCAGTAATCATATTAACAACACAGCATTAATACATCCGTCGTTCTCCGGATTATTCGTCACCTGCGCAAACTTTCCCCAGACGACCTACAAATCGTATTATAGCAAGTAATACATCTACTTTCAACATACTTTTCCTCCTTGCGTCACCATACCGAGTTCAGAAACATTGACCTCGATAATTGTACCTTTCGTGATAACTCCCAACGATGTGTACATCTGACTGGAAGGATTTTTTTTCACACCAACTATAGGAAGACAGAAAGTCGTCTGCAGCTCCGGATGCGTGACGTGTGCCTTTAAAAAAAGGCGATTAGAGCGAAAAACTGATAGAAATAAACTTCAAATAGTCTATTCTTTAATCTCTTTAAAATCTTCAAAATGTACAGTGAATTCATTTAATATCTATCGTTTTTTTTTTTTGCAGTTTCCTATTTCGCCATAAAATTTCTCGAAAGCAATCTTGATTGATTTCGAATGATTTTACGCTAAAAATACCTCGGTTTCGACTATATACAACACGGAATACAAAAAAAACTGACTCAAAAGGCACTACAGTTGTAAAGAAAATATTTTCGGGATCTTATTCTCGAGCAAAGTCGGAATGTTGGAAAATGGCCGCTAAAAGGTAGAGGCTCAAAAAAAGCCGCAAAAAGGTGGCAAAAATGGTGCATAATGGCCGATGAAATTGCTCAAAAAGGCAGCAAAAAGGAGCCTATTTTCATTCTCCCGACTTTGCCTATGTGTGAAAAATTTTTTTCAACTATGCGGTTTTTATCATTTCCTCCTAACGTGAGATAAACACAGAATAATTCTATGAACAAAAAAATCGAGATTGAAATGACGGTACCTTATTGAAACGCAGTCCCATAGGACGGATGAACCTTTCAAACTTGGCGGGCTTTCGAGTGAAAGATTCTCCAACAAAAGTGACCTGTTAAAACAATGAAAATTATCCTGGAGTTTTTGGTTTTGCCCAACCTTGGTGACCATTCTTTTCCAGCCCTTCCTCTTGGTCTTTCCTGTCTTCACCACCTTGAAGGCTTCGGCGTCACTGACAGCTCGAACTTGAGGGATGGGAACTTGATATTTTCCCTTAAAGGAATATTCAATATTCAACGCTTCATAAAAAAAGATCCCTAACCGCTTTCTGCTTGCGTTTTTCTTTGATCATATTAGAAAGAACTGATCCGCTCGTTTGCTGCTGACGATCGAGGAGATACGTTGGTACTGCACCCTAAAAATTTAACATGTAATTCAGCGAAAAACTTTGAAAGCACCTGGTCCGGCGTCTCAATCGTGCTTTTTTGTTCTTTTTCCTCGTGCTTTTTGAGCAATTTGCGCATTTCAACCTCAAAATTGTCATTTAATTGAACTTCTCAACAATAAAGAAACCTTCTCCGAATATCTCTTCTTATGATAAAGCTTTGCTTTATGACCGCGAAGCTTTTTAGCCATCTGTGATCGGTCATGAACGGCTCTTGCTTGCTTTTTGCGCCTCAAATATTTCAATTATAACGATTTCGTAAAACATGTTTGAAAATGAAAAAAAAAAAAATTACTTAAAAAGAAAAAAAAATAATGCCTGAAGCAAAGTTCTCTTTCTCATAAAAATTATCAAAACTAAAGAGAAAGCATATAACTCACAATCGTTCTTCATAATCAAGACGTCGACCATGGCGCTTCCTGTGAAGTTCAATATGTTCGTTCTGCGGCTGAAAAGTGAGAAATTAGAACTGTTATTGCTTTTTGAATCACAAACCATTGTGATTCACTCCTATTGTAGAAGTTAACCAAGTGAGCCTTTTTTTGCTAAAACAGAAACATACATACAAGTCAACTTGATAGACTGAAATGATGGAAAAAATGCGAAGATTTACAGAAAGACCGACAAAAAAAAAACAGTATGCAAAATGAAGAGATGGATGTGTAAATTTACGAGAATGAAAAAATAATCAACAAACTTCGAAATCAAGGAAATTTTTTTTAATTAGTACATTTTCGTTTGAGCAAAATGAATAAGTAAATTCTCTCGAAAAATATTTTTTTAACTCGAATAGTTATGATGATCGTAAAGTTATTGTTGCGAAATAAACACTAATGTGAAGAAGTGAAAATGAAATTTTGAAAGAACAAAATTTTGCAAAGGTCACTAAAAAACTTTGGGGGTTTTAAAACGACCTTTACTCTAGCTTCTGATATACAGCGATCCATGGTAATAAAAATCCCGCAAACGAAGAAAAAAAACTAACGCCTAAGGCGCCTAGCGCCTACATAGACAGCATATTTTTTTTTCTCAAATTGGAAAATGAAGATCGAACTTTATCAACCTACATACTTTCGATAGTTATAAAAAAAACTCATCTTTTTTTTTTGCTTAATCATTGTTCACCTGCTTACTTATTAGAGCCCATTCGAAAACCTCTGAACATGAGTTTAAAAAAATTCAAAGAAAAAAACGATAAAAATAACAACCCAAAAATTTAATGCCGTGTTTAAAGTAATTTCCGCGAAATGCAAAATGATCTCTGACTCTCCAAAAATTTAGTGATCTTTTTCCTTTCTCTAACGGGTATTTTGCATTTCGCGGAAATTACTTTGAACACGGCATAATATTATTTTTGTAATTAGCCAAAAAGATAAAAAAGAGGCACATCCCTGCTCTTTTTGTGTAAAAAAATTATATAAGAAAGCTCGCTCCAATGCTCGAATTCGGTCTCATAACGATTCGCGTTCGAGCGCCAAGTTCAAAAATCTTTTTTTTTTATTTCAAAAATATTTCTTTTTCAAAGCGAATTTGAGAAGTTCAAAAAAAAAACCGTATGATAGTGAAAAAGATAACTAACTGCGGGGGATTCGAAGATAATTCGCGGATATCACTTTGAAAATATTCAGTTTATACCGTGTATACGTATTAATATGGCATAAAATCAGTAACGTATAAATTCAAACTTTATTTTTGAACCTAAGCGAAGAGCGAAAATTCTGACGCCCTCTTAAGGGAACTTTCCATTGTTAACTGAATCTATTTTATTATTATTTTTTATTTATTCTACTATTTTGAAAATAGGAATCCACTTCATTTTCTCTGTCGTGTCCGACAGCGTATGTGGTTTTTTCTCCTCGCAGCTGTCATTCCTCCTTTCTTTGATTCTGGTCTGCGCAAGCTCCTTTTCGAACATCTGGTCGTTTCGTCGCTTGTTGATCGATTCCTATTTTTTAGTTTTTATTTCTCATTTATTTCTCTTCGTCTTCTCTCCACGTTGTCTTGTCTTTTCAAAACTCGAACTCATCAACTTTACTTTTTTATTTACCGAAGTTCAGATGCATCGCTCAAGGTTAGATGAGACACGTTCAATCCAGGGGAAGGAAACCCCAAATTACTGGGGTTTCGCCAATTTTCCCAATCAAGTATTCCGCCGAGCAGTGAAAAACGGTTTCAACTTCACTTTAATGGTCGTGGGTACGAGTGGGCTTACAAAAATGAAATTATGAAGACAGTTATTTAGGCCGAAGTGGGCTCGGAAAATCTACTTTCATCAATACGTTGTTTTTGGCGGAAATAAACAATCTTTCCGAAAGACCACAAGCCAATTCCTACGGTAGTACTGTTTGTATCGAAGAAAAATTGGTATTATTTTTTCAATTTAACCATTTTTGTTGGCTTTGTTTAGGTTCGCCTTGTAGAAAATAGTGTCACGTTGAACTTGACTCTTGTCGACACGCCTGGTTTTGGGGACGCTGTCAATAATACAAAATGGTAATACTTTTAGTTGGTTTCTTCTTGATCATATTTTTTAAATTTTAAGCTGGGAGCCGATTGTAAATTATATCGAGAGCAAATTTTTCGAACAGTTTTGCGAAGAAACGAGAATGGACAGGAATGCAAAGCAGATCGACAAATGTGTCCATTTGTGTTTGTACTTCATTGAACCTTCAGGTCACGGGTGAGTTATATATTTTGGGCTCTTTTTTCTGAGGATTCTGTTCAGTTTGAAACCTCTCGACATCGAACTTATGCATCAACTTCACGGACGCGTAAATGTTGTGCCAGTCATCGCGAAAGCTGATTGCTTCACTAGAGATGAACTAAGGCGCTTCAAAAACCAAGTTCGGTCTTTTGATTTAATAACTTAAATCCCATTTTCAAGATAATGAGAGACGCCGAAGCGCATGACATAAAGCTTTACAAGTTCCCGGAAATAGAGGAGTCGTTGGACAAGGTTTTTTTTTTGAAAAGAAATTGAGCTTATTGTATGTTGCAGGCTCTCGCAGAAAAACTGAAGAAAACTCTTCCGTTTGCAGTAGTAGGAAGCAACTACATTTGCGAAAAAGACGGCCGCAAAATTCGATTCAGGTTTTTCTTTTTTGAAGTGACGTCACAAGCAAATTTGAATGTATTAAAAAAATGAATCAGAAGTTTTTTTCTGATGCTCCATTTTTGAACCTGAAGAGTCACGTTTTTTTGTTCCATTCTTTCGATAAAAGCTGATCTTCTGCAAGCTTGAAAATGTTTTTAATCGAAAAAAAAACCAGAGTAAACTCTTCAATATAATAAGCTTCAGAGAGTACCCATGGGGAACTGTGGAAGTAGAAAAATCTGGAGCACAACGATTTTTTGGCGCTCCGAGACATGATTATTCGCAAAAATCTGATTGACATGATCGACGTCACTCGTAACGTTCACTACGAGAACTTTCGTTTTAGACAAATGGAAAAACTGCCAAAGAACGAATCTAATCGGTTATAATTTTTTTAAATTTAATTTTAATTTTTTTGTTTCTTTTTAGTGATCCTTTCACTCATATGGAAGAAGAAAGAAGATCGAAAGACAGGGAACTCGCAGATAAAAGAGAAAATCTTGAGAGAGTCGGTTGATTTGGAGGTTCTAATCCCATTTTTCGGTTTTCAGACTTTTAACGAGAAGACCCTGGGGCGGAGGCAGAGAAACAAGGAGAGATCTTCGAAGGTAAATTTTTTTTTTCCATGGACCTCTCATTCAAATTTTTTTTCAGTTAGATGATTTGGAGAAAGAGAATCGCGAAAAACTGGAAGAACGTCGAGCAGAACTCTTCCGTCTCCGCCATGAAGTATTCATCGTTTTTTTTTTGTTTCTAAAAAGGACGTGAATTTTAAAGGTGGAGGAAATGCGCCGTGGGAACTTGACCAGCTCGCAGACGTCGCTGGCCACCAGCTACAACGAGAACACTATGCGCGGCAGTCCTCCCGACAAGTCCAAGAAGAGAATGGGTACGCTTGGCCTCTTCAACAGGAATTAAACTATTTCTCATATTTTTTTTCCCAAATGGCTAACCGCTTTCTTCCCATCCGCATAATTTTATGCTTAATTTTATCTCACTGAACGCAGACCTTTATATTTTTCGAATCCTAAGTTTTCTGAGAAACAAGTTTTAGTGCAAACAAGTAGAAGGTTTTATAAACGTTGGCTTGTTAGAGGCCCTAGCGGCGAAATGCGAGCAACGGCTCGGTGATCGAGTTGACCCTTGCATTCCGAAATTGGGAAGGTTGTTGATTTCGTGTTCAGCTGATGAACACAGCGATTATCAAAAAGCGAAATTGTGTTCATCACGCGTCAAAGGTGCTCCGAACCGGTAAATTTTTTGATTTTGTTCCGTTTTGAAACACATTTTGAACCCGTTCTGTGGAATTTTGTTTTGATTATGTCCGATGAACACGCCGCCAGCTTTTTCAAACCACCGAGTATTTTTCCAAGATATTTTTACTTGTTTTCATTATTTTATTCACATTGAAAACGAGTCTGAAATGATGCGTGAAGTGAGAACTAACGAAACTCGACTACTTGTAATTTATTCTATCCATATTTTCTTTGCTTTGTTCTTTTTATTGTTACCATCGCAAGTAAAATACGATTTTTATCATAACTGCTTTTTGACGGATAATTTCTCTTTTTCGATGGGATATGTGGACCGGTATGTTGAGAGGAAAGCTGAAGAAGACCTGATCAAGTCAGATGAGAGAGTTTTGAGCATCAGGGATGGCCTGCGTATAGTGGTGGTCGTCCGAAGCCGTAGTGAGATATCTAACCATTCTAGATCATTTTTTCCCGTTTCCTCGGATTACCTTGGACTATTTAGTCGGAGTTCGAGGTCTCGCAGATCCCGATAGAGCTGGTAGCCTTTCAGCCATTCGTGGTCTAAGCACTGTTCGATGTTGAGACGCGCGTCAATCTGTTTTTGCCCTTCTTTGAGCCTACACTAGAGTAACACTTTACTTCAACTCTTAGAAGACGTTGTATCAGGTCTACTGCCAAAGGTTCTACTTCGCTCCATGGCTCTGCTGGGAACATGAATGCTGCGTTTTGAATTTGTTCCCCGACCTAAAAAAATAATTCTCTTTTTATTTTTTTATTGTTTCGACTCACTTCTTCTCCTTCATTAAAAGGGAACGTGCCAGACAGGGTGACGTATATGATAACTCCGACCGACCACATATCGAGCGATTTATTGTAACCTGTTTTAAAAAGGTTAGATTAAGTTTATAACTTCCCTTACCTCTCCGTTGTAAAACTTCTGGAGGTAAGTAAGCGGGAGTTCCCACAATTGTTTTCCGGAATTGAGATTCGGGGATGAATCTCAAACCTTCTATGATTAATATATCGTGTTGTGATTCGGATTTTACGGTTTATCTATTTCTCGAATGTAATGCAAGCTTTTTTAGAACTGTAAAATGCTAGCAATTTCCCGCTTTAACAGGTCATCCGACTTTGAAGTGGTTGGAAAAAAACCCAAAATGAAAAAAAAATGTTTGTCTCCGAAACGTTGACAAACATTGAGTATGTAGTTCTAGTCTGTGGTAATAAGTTGCTAGCGACTCACCTAGCATATCCAAAGTCGCAAATTTTTGTCTGTGGGAAGTTTGAGGCCATGTCGGATAGCAGCACGTTCTCAGGCTTCAAATCACAGTGAGCGATCCCCTATAGATATTCCTAGTTAATTATTAAGTTCCTTTCCAAAAGTACTTGATCATGGAGGTAGCGTAATGCCGAGAGTATTTGAACTAGGAGAAACTTTGCCACGCGAGAGTTCAAACGACCGAGCTCCTAGATCGCATTTGATTAAATTGTCGCTGGTTTAAAAAAAAAACCTGACTAAGTATCATTTCTAGCATATCGCCGTTCATTTTTTCCATAACGACGAAGATTTTGTCTTTGGTTTCACACATGAATTCGAGGCGAACGATACCCTGGTGGCATGTCTGCTGCAGAATGGCCACCTCCGCTCGCATTGATTCAGCCCCGCTGCCTTTCTTCGAAAACCGTTCCTTCGATATCACCTGGCATCACTCCGATTCCCCACTCTGTAAGCGCTCGATGGGCTCAAAAACCTTGACGGCGACTTCTTTGCCTGAGTGCCGTTGAATCGCCGAATAGACCGTTCCAAACTGCCCCGAGCCGAGTGTTTTATCGCTCAGAACCTGATATTCAGAAACTTCTCTGAGTCCTCGAGAAAAAAAAAACTGACTTGGTAAAGATTTGCGAATTCTAAAGCTTGTTCTGTGTTATCTTCAGTCCTTGATGGTGGTTGTAAGGAGTCTTTCAAGACCTGGAATGTTAAAAAATTATGAAGGTGGTCTTCAGAAGTCACTGAAAAGTACCTGAAACCACATCTGAGTGTTGGAAGTAGGTCGGAAGCTCATACTCCGCGGCATTTTTTTCGGCGGACCTCCTGATAACGCGTGAAGGTTTTCACCCACACAGTAGACGACGTTCGCATTGGTTCTAATTTCGAAGCAGTGGGGTGGATATCTAAATTTGCGCTATTATGACGAAAAGATCGAGAAGAAACTTGCTTTGCCAAAACGGTAGGTCCATTGTGTTGTGTTATCGCGACGATTTCCGCAAGAGGTAAAACTTTGTAAACTCGCGTCGGATTTACACCTGAAGACAAATACATGGCTAGAATTTGATGTTTGGAGAGGGAGTATATTTTTATTATAATTGCTTCCATTACTAAAATATTTGACGTCTTTAACGAAATAACTATAAACTCAACTAATATTTCTGTTCATGCTTTAGCACCAAACATTTTAAAAGTAGTTTAGTCTTCGCCAAGTTTCAGATTCATTACTCCTCACTTTCATCCTTGAAAAAAGTTCCCGGATTATCGCTAGATTCATAATCCAAAAAGTCAAAAAAAAAAAGCCACAGAAAAAAAACCCCGTTCATAAAATAGGAAATGTAACTCTAAAAACTGGAATCATCAGACACTCCGTGCTTCTTAAAATTAGTCTTCCTATAGTCTGTACGCCACAACTTGAAATTTCATGGAACGACATTCCGCTGTTCCCCTGCGTGCGTTCGCGAAGCGTCTTTCGAATCTAGGTCACGCTTTCAATTGATTGTTATTGCTGTGGAAGCACATGAAAGTAGAGTTCCTTAATAAAAGAAAAAAATTGAAAGCGCGACCAAGGTTCGCAAAGGCGCGCAGCGGCACAGCGGAATGTCGTTCCGTAAAATTCCAAGTCGTGGCACACAGACTATACCAATTTTTTGAATAAAATATTTTCTTGCAGGTTTAGCTTTTGACAAATTTTTGAATTAATGTAAGACGGAAAGTTCTGAGAGAAGGTTGCTCTCTGAGCCGTCAATTTTTGACACCAGAATCGGCTGCGCTTTAATTTGTAAGTTTTCCATCTTCATCCCATTCTATAAAACGTCTAAGCTTAATTAAAACTGACCGACACCGTCGTTGTACTCATTGTACATGTGTATGGCGTTGTTGTTGAGCATCCAGTAGTGTTTGAGACGACGCTCCGGGTCCGACAATAGGAAGTGGATCATCCAGCCTTCGACGTTTTTCTGCTCGCTGCTCCGCACACCAACCTGCCCTGAAGGTTTCGCATCGCAACGATGCCTTTGAAGGACTCACCCGGCAGTCGGAAAAGAGGAATGTTGTCGTTGGCCGACGTCTCTGCCTCATTAACACTCATCCGCGATATTGCATTCTCTGTCAACACGCAGTTTGAGACGAGTTCGATGGCGCACTTTCGGTGCACGTTCACCTAAAAAAATGAATTTTTATTTTAAACTCAAGTACCGTCAACTTTTTGACGACTTTTATACGAACCCCACAGTCGCGGCATTTCAGTCCTTGTTTGACAAGTCCCACTAGGAGGTGATCGCATACTTTACAAACGGTGAACTGTCGGTAGCTGTGTTCCACCAGCGTGTGAGGCAGACCTGAAGATACTTGGAAAAGTAACTGGGTAGAAAACGAACCCGTGGGCGGAGAGAGTGCAGCAACGGGAAATGCTTGGCTGGCGACTTCGTTGATGGTTGGAGGCATCCTGGACGAGCTGGAGGTCGCCACTGCGCAGTTGTTTCTCGCCGTGTTGCTGCACCTTCGATGGTAGTTACCTCTGTAAGCGACCTGAGTGGGTGTTTTCTCGAGGAACTTGGTTCAACGAATGATCAAACCAAATAGGTGTAAGAATTTGTGAGAAAAAAAAATGTAACTTCGAATTGACTTAACGAAAAAGAAACGAGCTCAAGAAGTTCAGTCGTGAATTTAAGAGAACAAATTATCGTATTGTAAGGTTTCAACTGTCTCACAGTCGGAACTGTGTGAAATAGGGGAAAGTTTCAAGACAAACTGAATTTACTGACCCGCAATTTTTGCACTTGACTCCTTGCCGTATGAATCCGGTGAGCATCTCGCCGCAAAAATCGCAGAAAGTCGGTCGCATGTACGTTTCCGGCTAAATTTATATTCTGCGTTGTTTTCACTGATGCACTCGGAGAGAACCAACTTCTACGACATGTGGCACGACCGGCGGTTCTGCACGGTCGACTGTGATGATCTCCACTGTACATCCGTTGTTCTTCAAATTATTAGGAATATATCTATAGTTCGGAATTTCAATATAAGCTTTATTTAAGTCATAATTTTGAGCCGCAGAGCAGGTCCGAATCTTCTCGCTTAGGTGTACGACCAAGAGCGGATGTATGTCTATTTGGTTTTCATGATAAATCCTTGAAGCTCACGATTTTTTGACTGGAAGTGAGAGGGTGGAGCAGTGTCGGTGAGTTGTAGTCGTGCAGAAAGAGGAAGATTTGCCGCGATTCCATCGGCTCTTTCTTCTCTACTATCTGCCTAGCTCGTTCCATGAGGAGATCGTAGGACTGTAAAGTTTTCCTTCGATATATTTCTCCTGGTATTTGTGAGTAGTGAGTTTTAAAAAACGATATTTTTCCAACCTGCGCAAACTTCGAAATGACGACAGACTCGCGAGTTCCGCCATAGCGCAATATGACTTGCGCCTCCGCCAAGTCGTCCATTTCTGGAAGTTTATGCCAAAAATTTTTTTTTGTTGAGTCTTATTTATTCTTGCCGGTTTTCTTAAGCTTTCTTAAACGCAGAAGAAAATTGAGACTCGTGAGGATAGTTCCTAAGGTGAAAATCGTAGAAGTGGTTCAAACTTCTCTGTTAGTCCTGGGGGTGAAATTGAAAAAGAAAACTGAACTTTGGAGAGACAAAAAGATTTTTGGATTTCGCGAAAATTAATTTAATGATAGTACTCAAAAAAAAAGGGTGATTAACTGTTTTGCTCTGATTCCCTTTCTATCCCCGGGTCATAGTCTACTCGTTAGGGTGGACTAATTACCGTTATTGGTTATTCTACTGCTTTCTTATTCTGAACTATTTTATTTATTATTTTCTAACAGTATGCAGTGAATAAACCTATGATTAGGCGTCTCTAGGAACTGAGAAAAATCAGGAGGGAAATCTAATGGTTCGGGCAAAGTCGGAATGGTGGATAATGGTCGCTGAAAGGGAGAGGCTCAAAAAAGGCCGTAGAAGGGCAGCAAAGTGAGTCCCTTTATCGAGCCTTCCATTTTTCTGGAATTTTAAAGGCTCGAGAAATGGTGGAGAAAGGAAGAGGCAGCAAAAATGGTGCATAAGGGATGAGGAAAAGAGCAAAAAAGCAACAAAAAGAGAGCCTTCTTCACCCTAAAAGGAACATTTCTATGGAGCCTTTTAGCAGCCTTTATGACCCTCGGAAGGTCCTTCCGACTTTCCCTATATAAATGCTTGGGGACTGGTTTCATTCGATCGATAACAGAATATATAAAAGATACTATTTTGGGTGGAATGTTTGATATAAAAGAGCCTTACTGTTAAACTTGGCAAGGAGTCGATTTCTTTTTGGTCTTTGAATGCTTTTGGTGACCATTGCGACTGGGTGCATGAAAAGATCGCCCGACTTACACGACGGACGATTTCCCTTCTACGTCACCGCTTGTTGGGAACATTGCGCAATTTTGTATACAAGAATGACTAAAAAATTCGGTTGAGAGATTCCCGATAAGAGTTAACAAAACGAAAATCATCTGAGGACCAATGAAAAGGCATTTGAACCCACACACGCTTACACCTTGTCAATGAGAAAACACCAAGCTCACCTGGATTTTGAATAAGAAAAGTTGTCGCAAATTATTGAACCGACTTCTCAGGATTTTTAACGTCTCTGAAATGTGATAATTTTGAAAGTTTCTTTCGTTTCGTTAAATAAGTTTTCGAGACAAGAAGTGAAATTATTTCTCCGGCTCTGAAGAGTTGAAAAATTAGAAAAAGAAGTAATTGCATCTAGGATAAGAAAATAGAACGGAGAAAATCACGCACCGTTTGATTTTTGCTCACTTCATACTTTCCAGGAACCGATTTACGGATATGCTTTAAAAGCAGTGACATCTTATTTTGAAACAAAACTGAAAAACAAGAAGCTGGTTATGGGTAAGATGAAAGTGAGATGGAAAATCAGAAAAGAAGGCCGGAACACAAGATGGTCCATCTACATGGTCGACGGGTGGAGGAAGGCGAAACGGGCCTAGGAGGCGCGAGAGTGTGCAGCGCGGCAGAGACACCGCCAGAACCGGTCCGCCGCCGCCGAAACACAGGCCAACTTATTCAACTTAGCTGTCTTCCCGCAAAAGCAATCTTTTCCTTTCACGAGCATTCAAAAACATGCGTTCTTGATGAATTACGAGAGTAACCTCTTTAAAATTAGAACTTTGATGTTTCGTTGTACTTTTTTTTTACGCAAAAGGAGCTTCTAGCATCCTATAAAATTTTAGCAAAATTGTATATTGATACTATTTTTTTAATATGGTTCGAACTCGAATAGTGAGGTTTCTGATTTTGATTGGATTTAGACTATTTCGTTTTTACAATCATTCCTGAGCTAAATTTGTTGAAAAATTCTGCTCGGGCAAAGTCGGAATCGTAGATGATGGCCGCTAAAAGAGAGAGGCTCGAAAAAGGCAGCAAAAAGAGTCCCTTTCTTGAGCCTTCCATTTTTCCTAGATGTTTTAAGGGCTCAAGAAATGGCGGAAAAATGGAGAGGCAGCAAAAATGGTGCATAAAAGCCGAATAAATGGCGCGCTCAAAAAAGAACCTTTATCTCCCTAAAAGGAAAATTCCTGTGGATCCTTTTTTCACGCTTTTCGATTTTGCCTATGCATAAGCTCTAATGAATCTTTTATCCTTTAGAAATCTATTATCCCCTGGTAGGCAGAGTTTCTTTTTAAGGTGCGAATACTCAATAGGAAGTCTGACCTAACTTTTATCATTTATCAAAAACGTTGGAGAGCCGTTGCGTGAAAAAGTCGTGGAAGGCGGTTTCATCCATCAGACGAGTGGCGCCGAATTCCAGACTCATCTCGATGAAGGCTTCCATATTTGAGGGGCTCTGGGGGTTGGGCGGGTCCCACGTCGGTGGAGGCATCTGGAGGGAAACGTCGAAAGAAACTTCGGAAAAGCCAACCTGCCAGGTGCCGTCTTCGTTCTTCATGTGTTGGCGGTCCGATGAGAACGTCGCCACGAAGTCTTTGTGCGGAGTTACCCGAAACCTCCTGGATTCCATCATTTCTTGCCATCTTGAAACTCTTCCCGACCTACTGAACACGTTTTTCAGTGGAATATCGGGTCTGAAGGTTTTCTGCCAGTACTCAGAAAACTTCGTTGGATAGCTCAACGAAGAGTCGAGGTCGTACACCAGACTTTCCTCAGCGGGCGAGCCACCTCGTATTATTAATATGACATGATAGTCCCATAAAACATAACTTCTGTAAGAATACGTTTCAATGTCGACAGGATATCAGAGGAAAAAAAAAATTAAAATTTTCGGCGCTTTTTGGTTATACCGCTCAATGACTTCTCATAACTGAAACGAAGTTCAAATGATTCAAAAAAAAATTACTTCCACTGTTAGGGAGTCCGAAAAGTTTCATTTTTCTTATAAAGATAAAGGTTTGATTAAGGAAATTGACAAAAAAAAATAAGATTAAGAGTATTAAAATGAGTCAAACTGAAGCCCGAGTGAAATAATGAAGCATAGTTCCCTTTCAATCATTTTTTCGGTCTGTCCCTCGAAAATACTTTGCCCCCTCACCCATTCGAAGAAAGACGCTGACTCCACAGAGGAATTGTTTTTTTGCCGTTCGAAATGAAAACAGCGAAAGCCTTTTCGTTTCCTTCCAGAAGTTGACACAGTTTAAATATGTTCTCTTCGCAATAATGGGACGTGTATGGCGAGTCTTTTCTGGAAGGTAGACCCATCTGAAAAGTTGTCGACCGCTGCAAAACCTCAAGTTTTTTTTGACTTACAGCCGCGTGCATGTCTGTATGTAGTTATGGAACGCACCTTGAAAAAAAACCGTTGAATAAAAATATATAAAACATTTATTCAACCAGCTATGAAGAAATTCTAAAAATGATATGGATTTTGAGAATTTCTGAAGATCAGACATCGAGCTGAACGCGGCCTGAATTCGGATCAACGTACTTTTCGACCACCGGCTGCAGTTCTTCCTTCACAAACTTTACTGTTTGCGAAACACACCTGGTTAAAAATTTCATATAAAAAGAACATTGCCAATTTTACCTTCCAGTGAAGTTCAAAGGGTTTGACACAAGAGCGACGACTTTTTCTCGGACCGAGTCGAAGAATTCATTTTCCATCATAGTCCTCATGTCGACGCGTTGTTTGAGCTGAAGCTCTTTTGCCGCAAGAGCTGTTTCACGAATGACAGCGTGAGCCTAGAAAAATGAAGAAATACGTTGAAAGAAATCGATTGGAAAGCTCCCTCAAAGAGCTTTCCATTCTACAGATTGTGGAAGAGATAAGAGAAGAAAAAATCATTGTAACAATTTTTTTTCTCAATATTAAAGTTTGTTGAGATTTTTTTTTTGGTCAAGCACTCTTTGAGACACGATTGAAATTCTATGATTTACACAAGTTAAAATTAGGATCGAAAATAATTAAAGTTAAAGCTTAAAAATGCACCTGTAAACGAGATCTTCTAAACTTTTGAAACGTTGAAAAACTGTTCTAAAAACTAAGCGGTGCAAAATTTTCCTAGTGTTTAGCAGACTTCAAGCCGCGACTATCCGGTCTATACTTCCTTTTCAAGTTTCTCTGAACTTCACAACGCACAATATTTTTTGAGATTGAAGAAAAATAGGACCTTCTGACGATCAACTCCTTCTTCCGTCAAGAACATCATGGCCTTTTCGAGCCCCAGAAAAGGCAATTCGGCCTCGACAATCTTCTTCACGTTTTCCGTCTGCACTTTCAGCCCTTCGAAGATATTCTGAAGAAAGTTTTCAGAGTTAGATGAGAGGGATCACTGCACCTGCAGTGTCGTCAGGAGTGCCTCGGCAGTGAGAAGGCAATCGGGAATGAGGATTCGGCGGCCGGCCGAGTCGTCAAGAGTCCGTTCTAGGCCCTGGTCCGCCAGGATCGTCAACGCTTCTTGCGGCGCGTTGATCAGCTTGCGCGCCAAGGAGCAACATCGTTCGCTTTTCATCGGGTTCTTTTTGTAGGGCATCGCAGAGGAGCCGATTTGGTCCTCAAATATTTTGCTGTGTTTTCCTCTCCGCGAGTTTTGACACAGTATTTTCTGTTATTTTCCACACTTTTAAGCACATTCTTTCTCTGCTTCTCTCCGGTCCAACTAAATCCTAATAGATTCGACAAAAACAAATTTAAAAAGAACCACTTATGAAAAAACTTAGACGCGCTGCCGCTTCGCGGCCATCACCCACAACATTACTTTCGAAAATCACGAGAATCGGAATGCATAAGACTAAGAAAAGTTCCATTTTCTTTATGAGAAGATGTCTTTCATCGAACCGAACCTTTTCAAAAGGCTCCAGAAGCTCTCCGAAGGCCTGAAGAACCCGCACGTCCGTGCAAACTTTCTTCGCAGCCGCACCAAGTAGAGACAGCGCGAAAATGAGCTGAGCATCTTGTTGTCGAGAGTAGGTCTGTCCCGAAATCAAAAACCGATTTTTGAAACCAGCCTTCTCCGTGACAAGAATATCGAGTTTTTCGACCTGCAAAAATCCATAGCTCATGTCGACCATATGATCCCACAAAACTTTAAACAAGACGGCTTTTCAATTTTTATTTTACTACTCAGGAGTTTTAAAGTGATCCCTATAGGGGTTAGGGGGAAAAACAGCTCCTAGAAAAGACGGACAAGTGGTCCCTATAGGGGTCCTCCAATTTTTTCAAAAAACGCATTTATTTAGTTTTTCCTTCTTCGCATAGAGTTCATAGGGATCATCGACTAGCATGTCCCCTATAGGGGCCACTTTTGCACTTTTGTAGCCCCTCTAGGGGTTGATGAAGTGCCCTACCACCCTCCAATGGCCCTAAGGTTGCCCCCATAAGACCACTCTGGAGCTCCCAAGTATCTCATTAGAAAATTTCATCACTTTCAGAAATAAATCTTACAAAAGCTTTCTCTTAAACATACAAGTCTAGATCTTGAAAAGAGTTTGATATAAATGAAAAACCTTCTCTTCATCCCCACTAAAAAGAGTGAGGAAAGAATCTTGGGTGCCAGTGGCTCCTTTGATCCCTCGGAAGCGCATTTTGTCACGGAACTCGGCAATCTGTGACAGACGATTGATGGAAGAAGCAGAGGACAAGAACCTGTTGGAAGGCCATCAGAAACTCCTGAGCCCACAGCGCCGCCCTCTTTCCAACTGTCACCAGCGACGCCGTCTGGTAATGCGTGCGTCCCACAGTGACAACCTACCGAAAATTGATTCACGAAGCTGGAAAAAAGGCAGAAACCTCCTTGTTCTCGAGCGCAAAAGTGGAGAGTCGATCAAGGACTGTGGCGAATCTTGAAAAATGATTTTTTTTTTCGAGCTGAATATCGAGGAAAACCTTCGCAGAATGTGATCGATCGAGTCACGGAATGCGATGAGGTCGGCGTTATCTTGGACGAAACAAGATGTCGCGCCGAGATGAATTATCCCAGCTGCTTTCGGACAAATCTGTCAAATCAAAAATTCATACGTTGTAGCACGGATTATAAGACAGTTCTACGGCGGCCGGCAATATTCAGTTTCAGAGCCAGGAAATGTTTTTTTGCCGTATCTTAAAGATCTTCTTTTCGAGATTAGAAGATAAGTTGTATTAGAAAAAAAAACACACAAGCTCTCATTTTAACACCAGAAAATTTATTCAAACCACCGTAATACGATCTGCCGCCTTATACAGCCGTAGTTACGTAGTTAAGGTTTTTAATTCTATGAAAAGAAAAAACCTTTCCAAAAGCGTGATTGTGAGCCATGACGTCATGCTTCAATTTTTTCTCTTCGCTCCGAATTAGCGGCCAGTCGAAAACGTCGCGATTCTTTTTCATTTCTTCGATCGCTTCTTCATTAATCTGTTAACAACGGTATCATTATATCTTCTCAAAATAACATTTCTGCAACCGATTACCTGCTTCAAACCAAGTTCGTGTTCAGCTTCAGCCAACCATATCCATAATTGTCGCCATAAAGACGCCTCAAAAAATTTATTTTTCATTCCTTTTTAACCCTTCTTAAAACCTTTCTTGTTTCTGACAAATAGTCCATCAATGGACTATTTTTACAATAACGACTGGCGAGAACCGATTGATACTTGTCTTCGGAACACATCTACAAAAGCTTGATATTCGCTTTGAGAAAAAAATGATTGAAAAATTTTTCAGAACGAGCAGGACATTTTTAAAGCAAAAAAGAAAAATGGGTTGAAAATTTTTATTGCAAATCTTTCGTGAAGCACGAAAAAAAGACAAAATGTTAACATGAAACAAGAGGCGAAGAGATTTCTGAGTATCGAGAAAAAAATAATGAATATTATCCGCAATTTTTGATAACAAACAAGAGTATCAAATCGACCTGTATGAAGAAACTGTGCAATAAAAAAAAAAGTGAAATCATCGTGGGAAATTCAAAGGATAGCCATGGGCGTCAGACCATCCGACAGGAAAAATATCCGGAGACCTGAAATATATGAAAGTTTCCAAGCCGACCACATCTCTCATGCTGGCCAGGTGCGTCAGCGGGTGCACCCGTGTTAAGCCCGTGTTTTTAAGGGGATACAACGGGTGTAAGCCAAAAAAATGGTGACGCAGTTGCGATTATTTCGAAAATCTGTGACCCAACTGTGATGAAGCGGTGCCTTAGCTGTGGTAAAATTGCCGAAAGTTCTACCAGCTGTGCTTATACGGGTTTAATACGGGCACACCCGCTGAGACCCCGTTAGCCCGGCTAGGTCACAATTATAAGCATGAGAGATTTTGATACTCCACTGTTCATCTCTAGGAAAAATAGGCGCCGAACTAACTCGATGTCGTAGAAACAGTTGAATTCGCTGGGCCAGCCATCGAAGGTAATATAAAGTAGGCGGCCTTTGACTTCAACCACCGACGCAGGGCAAATCGACTTTTTTTCGTTCATATCCACCGCTTCCAGTTTGAAGTTTTTCTGAAAAAATCAACTAACACCGAGTAATTAAATACTTGTTGAAAAATTACTTAGAGATTTAAATAAAAATATTTTCAATAAAATTCTCGCCACAGGTTTCGAAGCAAACGGAAATAGATTACCAGAGAAGAATTCCAAAAAAAAAAACCTCGAAAAGTTTCAAAACTTCTGGATCAGGATCAGGGCGGAACAGTTCTACAGGAGCCGCCTCAGCTCCAGTCTTCTGGAGATAATATTCCCAGTCGAAGCTGTTATCGTCTTCATCTGAAAAAAGGTACACAAGGGCTACGGTAATAGAAATAACTGCGAACCCTCAGTCAATCCGACAACGACGCCGTGAGCTTTTCCATACCCGACTGGAAAAAGAAACGGAGAAGTAACGTGCAACGGGATAGCGTCGCTTTCCAAATCTGGACCGTCCATTCCAACAACGATGTAATCATCCTTAACCCAACAAATAGCTAAAAAACCATCTCCTCCATAATGTTGAGAATTATACCATTCAGCTGAGAGTTCTACAAGATTATGCAGAAAAATAAACAAGGCTTTTTTTTCAAAATTTCACACGTAAATTTTATTACTGAAAAAAAAGTCAAATTGATTAAAAGGAAAGAGAAAAAACTTTTTTTTGTAGTGTTCGGCAGGACGTAGTAGCCTGAGAAGCATACGCGGATAACAATATTCATGTGCAATTGAGAAAAATTGTGAAAAAAATTCTGTTTCCCATCACATCCATTCATCAAAACGAAAACTGACTATCTCGGGCAAAACTGGAATGATCCTCAAAAGCTTTTCTCAATAAAAAAGACCTTGTGAGGGTCCCCGGTATATTATTTTTAATCTCATTTTTTATCAGTTTTTGTATCTTTTCACAGCCTTCAAGAAAAACTATGCTGGAAAGAAACTAAAAAGATTCTTTCGAAAAAGATCCACTTAGAATATGAAAAAGTTCTCAAAAGCTTTTTCACACTAATTTTGGGCTTTAAAGGGCCTTTAAGCTCCCTCAGGACCCTTTGACGATCCTCAAAGAAACTTTTCAATTCTACCTATGATTAGCATGAAGTCATAGAGCATATTCACGTTGAAAACGAAAATATATTTAAAATCCATAACGCCACAGTCTAACTGAACCCAATTTGACTCTTCCTCATAACAAAACGTTGAGAAATAAAAAAAACTAGCCTTGAGAACTCTGAGCACAGTTGCCACGCGGAGCTGTTTCCTCTTGCCTGAAAGCGCATCGAGCAGTTCAAGCTTATGACCGACTCGAAACTTCTTAAATAGAGAATTATTAATTAGTGGAGAGTTTCGTAGTCACTTCTTGCGTGAACACTTCTTCTCTTTCGAAGAAATCAGGAGTCGCGTCCCAGGTCTCGTAGGGAGGTTCTTCGCCCTTCAACCAAGGTCATTTAGTTGATTCAAAAGCATTAGGTAGGATATTTGAGGGAGTGAAGCGGCGCAGATCATCGTTACAGGAACCATGATTTTGGTTTAGATTCAGGCGATATTTCAGCAAGATATCAAGACCAAAACAATGGGTCTCGTAGCGATTCCGTCCGGGCCAGCACATCTATTGATTAGATATTGCGTTTTGCGCGAGATAGTCCCTTTTTGAAAGCAAAGAAGAGAAAAAGCTACCGTAAACACAAACAAACTTTTGCACTACAAAACGGCAAAAAGACCACAAAAAACAAAGGACTTGAAGCGAAGATGCTCTATTTTGATCTATTTTGATAAAGGATCTTTTCGGCGGAAAGAAAAACGTGACAAGCTGGCGCATATTAGGCTATATTGAACATAACTGAAAGATGGTAGAACAAAAAATCGAAAAAAAACCTCAAAATCAAAGAGTTTTAAAACCAACTATTTGGAATTGTATTCTATCATAATCAGGAAACAAACGTAACCTCTTGCAAGGCTTCCAAAATGCTTTCCACGTGCTCCGTGTAATGAGGCTTCGCATTGAGGCCGTAGCCGTACTGGAGTGCCCAGCCAACGGGAAACAGGTAGAGACTCTCCTGATCCACCCAGAAAGCAGTGTTTCTGCCACACTAAAAGCGATTTTCGACGCAGAGATTTGCTAACTTACTTGCTCGTCCTTCTTACCGTCGTTCACATCCAAGGGATTCACTCTAACACAAATCCGTCGACCACACACCTTCGTTACAGTGGCAGGTCGCACAGTCGTCGCTTGGTTGTTATCGAGAAGTTCAAGCCGCGTTCCGATCTTAAATAAGCCTCTTTTCCGAATATTTAATTACCGCTATATATACCTTGAACTTGCTTTTGTAAACTTCCAATCTTTGGTTTTCGAACTTCTCCGTGACCAGTTTTCCCTCTCGCTCCCATACTTCAGAAATATTCATAAGCCATGAATCATCGCATTTCGACCACTTCATACGAAGCGGCAGCAAGTAGCCATTGGGGTTTTTTTTGGCCAATCTAAATGAAAACGTTTATATTTATTTTTCACAACAGTTTCAACAAACTTTCCAATGAAGTTCACTTCTGTGGACATCATACTGATCCAAAAACATTTTTTCTCTTTATCGCCGACCCACTTGACCAAAACGTAGAAACCCGCGACCTGAAACCGATAGTAAAATTTAGTTTTTAAAAAGATTGCACCTTGCAAACTTCTACAAACCACCTGAATTCCTCTTCCATGTGTTCCATGCCGTTATTCGCTTCAAACTTTTCAACAAATTAATTCAAAGAAAAGATTCAACCCACAGTCAATCCCAGTTGAAACTTAACATCAAAATGAGAAAACGCACGAAACGCCTCTACTGGTACACAGTTAATAACTAGAATGTTAAAAGTTTCAATTATTATTTATATTTTATTGATTACTGTTCAATTCTTGCTTCCACCGAAACGAAGTTGAGTTATGAGCTTGGGGAGCAATGTCCAGGCGCTTCGTGTCTCGGAATTCATGCAACATCGAAGATCTTTTGGTTTCCTGCTTCTCTTCAGCGCCCTAAAAAAATTTAATACAAAAATTGATCTGCATTCACCAATCGCTTGAAAGACTTTTAAATGTCGCGTTGAAAGTGATTTTTGCAAATGGAAAATGACGGTTGATGCGTGAAAAGTTGATAAAATTTCAGAGTCTTTCCATTTTCGAGAAGTCATTTAAAGTTGGTATGAAAAAAAGACCAGCGAAAATTCAAACGGCGACTTTTCCGATTTTTTCATATCGCTAGGGAACTTTCCGACGGCCACCTTTCCGCCAAATCCCTTTCCGACTTTTTTCCTTTATATTTTTCGGTTTATAAAACATCTATAAACATTTTTTCCTATTTCTTTGTGTTTTAATCATGAACCAACTACCTACTTTATATAGGCTGTTTCAAAACGAAGAGTTTATCGAGAAAAAATGTCAAAAAAAGATTCGTCGGAAAGGTGGCCGTCGGAAAGTTCCCTAGCGATATGAAAAAATCGAAAAAGTCGCCGTTCGAATTTTCGCTGGTCTTTTTTTCATACCACCCATTTAAAAGCGCGCCAGAGAACCAGATTTTTTTTTTGATCATATTTCTTAATTTTCAAGATCTTCTCAAAAAAAAATTCATGGAAATCCTCTAAAAATTCAGGATTAGGGATTGAGAAAAAAAAAGAGAAGCAGATATTCCGCGCTATTTCGGCGAAATCGGCAGAGCTATTTAGGTATTGGCGCAGGTTTAAAAAAAGTGTGCAAGGTAACTAAAAAGTATTAAGAAAATTTAAACTACGCATTTGAAAGAGGTTTTTCGACACAAAAGGCAAAAATAAAAACTAGGATGCCGGCATCCCCTCTAACATGAAAAAGTCGTAAGATTTGACGTTTTTGTACATGCAGCCTCGACGAAATAGCTCATACTGCCGAAAATGTTTCATTTTTTTATTGACAAAATTTTCTAAATTGTAGAATCTTATAAATGTAACTTACTTAGATACTTAGATGGTCCATAAATGTAACGCTGCAATATTTAAAAAAAAATTAATAGCGCAATTCAAAGATATTTACCGATTATAAAAATAACCTATAGGTCAATTGGCAGGAGGATACAAGAGAATGCCCGATAGCTACTAAAAGCGTATTCTGATTGATTATCGTTTGTCAGCTAACAGGTATCTATAAAAAATAGGGGATAAAAATACAAAATTTTGACCTTTTTATATGAATGCAAACAAAGTCTGATTACTTCGTTTCAGTTTTAAACATTATCAACCGAATATGGGAAATAATAATTTTTTTTATTGAAAACGGAAGTATAGAAAAGAAGACGACATTCAAACGTTGTTACTGCTTATTATGTGTTGGTTTTGGAGTTTATGCGTACTAGCTGACTTGCCTGAAAAGAAATTTAGAAAAAAAAACAAGTAATGTGAACCATAGACCGAACTTGACGGCTTTTAGTTGAATCTTTGGGGGGTTTCTGTAATTTTTGAATTGTTCAGTGATAAATCGATGGAAGCCACCTTCATTGTGCTGGCCATGATGGAACGCCTCCTCTCGCCACTGAGTTCTTCCGCCGACTTGAAGTGTCGACTGCGCTCCTCCGAATGGTTCAGGGTTCCAGAAGTATGCGCTCGTTCGCGGGACTTTTCCTCTCGAGAATCTTCCTTGGAGCGTTGCTCACGAGCCAAAAATTGTTCTTTCTGCAATAAAGGGGCTGTTTCTACTTTCTACTTTGCACCGCGAGTACCGGAAGAAGGGTCGAACGGCGATGGATATTCTCGTAGGAGTTGCTCTTCTCGCAGATAGGGATCGACTGGTCCATTCGCGTCTTTGTCGCCGTCGAAAGAGCCGAAAGTCGGCGACATTTGGCCACGTCGTCATCCCTTCAAACCTCAACCGTTTAGAAAATCTACTCAAAGCAATACTCTGTGGCTTTTTTGTAGTCTTCGGTGGAGATTATTTTCGAAATAGGCTGACCATTGTGACGAACAGCTCCCGATCTGAAATACTTAACTTTTTGAAAAGATCAGCCTTCGAAAAAGAAAAACTCTTTCCAAATTTCGCAAGGTTCTTTAAATCTCATTCGCTACTAATTTGAACCGTCTGACGTGTCTTCCTTAGGAACTCCAAAGTGGTCCTTATAGGGGCGACCTTAGGAGCCCTTGGAGGGTGCGCTCTAGATGCCAAGAGCTTGCAAAAGTGGTTACTATAGGGGTTTTAGTTAGTGACCCCTATAGGGGAAGTGCTGAAATTGTTATAAAATCTATGCGAAGAATCATTTCCATGCGAAACACTAAAAAGTCTAAACATTTAGTCTAAACATTCAAGTTTTTTTGAAAGATGTTGAAGAACCCTATATAGTCTGTTCAGATTTTGAATGTCAAGTCGTCACTAAAGCTCCGCCCCTAATGGTGCGATAAACCAATCAGAGAGCGAGCCATCCACAGAGTGTTTTTGAATGACGTCATTGCACTTGACATTAAAAATCTGAACAGACTATAGGGATCACTTGAGCTTAAAGGGCTAAGAAGTCAGACCCTACACCCCAATTTCAAAAACGCGCTGACTGGGTTTTATCAATAGAAAAAAAGAGCCAGAAACCTGAAAAGCGGCTTGAAAAAGTCGTCCCTGAGCAACTCCTTCCCCCGAAAACGACTCTTGGGTGGGTACACCAAGATCTTGTTGATCAAAACTATCATATCGTTTGTCGCATCCGGCAAAAGCTAAAATGGAACTTTAGTTTAACCCTTTCTCACGAAATGGAGACCTTGGCAAGTCCAGTTACTCTAATCGATGCGAGCTCCGGTGTGATTTTGTCGACTGTTTTCATCGCCTTCATCTCAGCATCATTCGGAGGTCCGTAGCACCTATGATTCAGAGTGTTCGGATTATAATTCCATATCTACCGGACTATGAGTTTGAGCTGATGAGCGCCGTCTCTGCCAGGAAAAACCACCGTTTTCCGAATCATTTCTCCCACAACACATCCTGCTGACCACGTATCTGCACAGTAGGAAGGTTAAAACTACAAATAATTGAGAAACATTCACCAATATTCGTGTCATAGTCGATGGCTTTCAGTAAAAGTTCTGGTGGACGGTAGAAACGCGTTACCTGACTTCTCTCGATAAATTTTATCTTTAGCTCGAGGTACCTGATAAGAGTTGCTCAGCTTCCCACGCGCGTATATTTTCGAAGAGCCAAAGTCGCCGACTTTCAAGATTCCAGTGCCATGATGATCGACTAGGATGTTCACTGGCTTGAGGTCCCGGTGAATAACCAGGTGCTTGAAAAAATAATAGCCGTTTTGCACCTTGAGTTTGAATAGTCCATCAGAGGCTTGTGCCTAAGTGGTCCTCGGAGGGATTAAAGTTATCCTAGGAAAACCATTTCTGGTCTCGTTGAGGATCACTCTTTGTGAAGGACCACTCAAAATTACTTCAGTTGCCTAATTTTCATTTTCATTCTAGTTAGCGTCAGCAAAGCCGTTGCTTCGAGTAACTCGCTTGTAAAATTTTGATTTTATCATCACAAAATCGCGATTTAAAATCGCAAGTTCATATAACTGGGCCTTGTCCGTTTAAAAGCCACGGCGACACAAAATCGACGCCACATCGACCATAAAGGCGGAAAATAAAATGTGTTGTACGCAGCGCACGCGATGCATGAAAAGCGACGCGCAAGAAGCGAAATTGGATGTTTATTAATAATTATTATTATATATAATTAAAATTAATTTTATAGCTGTTTTATATCCAGGGATCGCCGAGAAGATGGAATTAACTACTTCTTGACTTGAGACTCTCCGATTCACAGACCTCTTCCAAGTATTTGAGGCCATGGAACATCTGCCAGGTGTATAGCCGAATGTCGACATCGCTCAGCTTCGATTTGAGGATCGACGCCAGAGTGTCTGGCATGAAGTCGAACACGTACGACTCGCATACCTTCCATTCACCCATATCCATATGACAAGTAACGTTGCCTCACCTTGTTTCCGTATCCGTGACTGAACGCGTACAACATGCTTATCACGTTTTTGTGTTTCTCTCTTTCGCGGCCAGTCAGAAAAACAAACTCGAAGTTACGGTCGTTCTTAAAATGGTTGATTTTGAAAAAGAAATGTAATTTTGAAGTTGAAAACCCTCTCAGGCCATGTTTTCTTGATCGCGATTTCTCTCTCGATAGGCTCCATGAGAATACCTCTGGAATCCTTTTGTGTTAATGTTTACATGTTGCTGGGTCCTTTTTTAGTAATCTTTTCAATATACTTGCGATTGCTGTTAGATATTAAGGTGTATGCTACCGCGTAGCTATCCGGTAGCTATTTTTCAGCGTTAGCTAATAAACGAAAAACGATTCGCTAACGCCGATTGACCAGTGCTGATGGTCAGCAACTATACAGTTGCGGCTTCAAACCTCTAATGCTAGGCTTTGAAATTTTTGTCCACGGCAGCTTGAAAAAACCGCAATAGCCCCCAAGCCAACGGCCTTTTTCGACTTTTTACTATTTAGATGAACTTTAACTATAGTTATTAGTTTAACGTGGTAAATTTAATCTCGAAATGTTTCAATTTTCACAAAAACGGCTCGGCGGCCAGTTCCGACACCTGTAAACATTGCTGAAGACGCCGTTCGAGAATAGCCGGAGGTCTACCATTTTGAGCACGACCTTCGAGTCGCTGGGCATCTCGAAGGCCACCTGCGAAGCTTGGAATGTCGCCAGAAAGTCCTTCTCACCTGCTCGACGATCGTCTGCGTCGTAGTCGTCATGTTAGAAATGGGCCCTTCGACTCACGTATTCTCGTTTTTCCAATTGTTTTTTTTTCGTTTAGCACGAGCTTGGAAGGATTTAGTCAGGTTTCGACTTCTCGAAATGATTCGAGAGCACCTTCTAAATTAAGGACTTTTGAATGGTAAGGTTTTCAACTGACCCGTTTGTTTCCATGCCAAACGGATGTTCCAAAGCACTCAGTGTCCGGATTAATCTTCTGCCGGAAAAAAAAAGTGCCGTAATTATTTCAAGACGCGTACCAAACGAGCGCTAAAAAGACTCTTCAAAGTGTTTATTTTTTTACTTCGCACTGGTTTTCCGTTTTTCTTATGAGATATAGTGTAATCCGCGAAACGATCTCGTATCCTTTTCGAAGAACGGTTGAAAAAAGCTACCTTAAACTAGCTCGGACTTTGGTAACGCGAACGGGACGCGTATCGGACGTGTTTGGGCGTTTCTAGTGACCACTTTAGTAGCCTGACCCCTAGAATCGCCCAGAAACGTCAGGAGCACGTCCGTTTCACGTTACCAATGTCCGAGAGTACTTTTGCTTCACGAAACTACAAAGACTACAGCAAAAAACTAAGGGGTCACTATAGGACCATTTGATTTTTGTTCACAAAATACAATTACGAGTTCAATTTATCATCTGTTTTTCATTCAATCAACTCTAATTTTTTGAGATTTCTGCGTGAAAATGCTTTTTATAGAGTTCATAACAATAATCGACCATCATTTCTCCTATAGGGGTCACTAAATAAATCCCTAGAGGGGCCCCTTTTGCATGCTTCAGTGGCAAGAAGAAAAAAAAATAGTTGAAAGAAGTTTTTAGAGAATTTTCTAGTGAGATTTAATCGACTTAAAATCAAACTATTTTTATGGAGTTAAAAGTCAGGTTAACTTTATCTAGGGCTCAAACCAACATGAACCGACTATATATTTTAAAATTAGCCATTCCGTCAGCAAATTTGAAAATCTCTTATCAAGGAATTTGAGTTTTCTCGTCCCCACGCTTGAATCATAGATCGGCAAAAGTTTCCGATGGTAGTGGGCTGATAGTGGAACGTGCCAGATTTTCGAAAACATTCGTAACCGACGAAAAAAGTGGCGTCCTTTCTGAAAAGCCTTTTGTGGGACATGCTTTCCCGATCACTGGTTTTCTATGAAAATATATTTTGTTCGAGGAAAAGCTCGTACATTATTCCCCAGTGTAGAGTTCAATGACCGCTCTAGTAATGCGGATGATTTGTGATAGGCAAGAGGTAGACTTATACCCTCCTGCCGATTCTTCGAAAGAAAAAAAAAAGATGGAAAAGATTGTTCCTTTTCATACTGGCAATGAATGAGCTCGAGCTCCCCCAACCCCCAAATTAGGTCGATGAACCTTTAGAACTCAAATAAATATAATGTTTTTCTGCCGACATGTAGCAATGTCTCATCTTTTCATTTTTCCACTCTAGTCAAAAAAAAAGATCAAGTAAAATTTCCATATTGGAAACTTCACTGGAAAAACTCGAAATGCAAAACTCTGGTTTTTGATAAGGAAAGACCTTCTTGGGTATAGTTATTGATTCAATAAATGGATTAAATAGAGTCGGGAACGATTATTTAATAGGGAATTACGCGAACTCGTATGCGCGGATCGAGTTCAAACCTTAGTGGTTTATAGAGCCAAGTCAGAATACTTGAAAAAAAGATAGAATATCTGCTAAACCCGATCGAAGAAAATAAGAAAACTGTGCCTGAAAAATTTTCAGAATACTGCTTTTTTTCTTATTTTATGTTTTAATACAATCGCCTTGAAAGATCCGGCTATGATAAACACTAAAAAAGTTTTTTCCAGCAAAAAGAAGGAGAAAAGCAGAAATTAGATAGTTTTCAAGCCCAAACTGTTCATTTTCAAAAAAGCTTTTTCTCAGAAGCCTATGGGGTTTATTTTATGTTAGCAGATAATCTCTCTTGTTTTTAAGTACTCTTACACGGGTCTATTAGCCACCAAAGTTTCAACTCGATCCGCGAATACGAGTTAGTGTAGCTCCCTAGTTAATAAAAACTGAAGACCATCATCTACTGGAAAAGGTGAAGTCTGAAAAAAAAGCTACGTGAAATATACTTACTATATAGGGGTATACATGATCTGTAATAATCCATCAATTATGAACGCAACCTTCAGAGAGTAGCTGTCAAACTTTTTTGGATAGTTCTTCTTTTTTGGATAGTTCTTCTTGCCTGTACACTTGTTTCAAATTTTTCACGTTATTCCATAACGATCTGTTCATTTCAGTTCACTGGGGACAATCTTTATTTTCTTATTATCATTATCGAGTGGTTCATTCATTGAAATTCTCAAGAAGCTGTGTGGGAAAGAGCTCTTGCGATTTGAGCGGGACAAAGAAGAACGGATCGGAACGGTCAATAGGTCTTTAGAGGCACCTGTCAACGTGTGAGTCCACATTCCAGACGGCAGATGGTACCCCGTCCGTCAGCTGGAAAACAGAGTCTGTCTCTATCGATCATTATCTCGATAGTCCAATTATCTCTCTGCTCTAATCGATGGTGCATGCCATTTTTAGAACATTTTGCAACAGAAATCAGCCAGGAATAACTGTTGAAGATCAAGAATCTCAAAAATATTTTTAAAAAGAATCGACTCGAAAAATTGTTGACGAGGGGCGATCACGCTGTAAAACAGAAAGTGGAGTGACGCCGCTTTCCCACAGCAAATGATGCAAACCGTTCGGCTCGAAGCCCATTGCGAAATTCGTCTGATTCACTTGCTTAACAGTAAAAAAAAAACGAGGAGAAATAGACAAAAATTGCTCGTCGTGTGTCCATTATTCATCTGTTTGTTCAGCCTTTCCGATTATTTTTTTCGACGAACAGAACGAAAACGTTTAGAATGATCGTTTTGTGTGGAATTACAAGCAAAAATAACATACGCGATGGGGTTGTTTGTATTATTTTGGATGACTAGTCACTCGAAATAGATTTTTGGTGGCCCTGCATTGAAAATGGGATAAGAGTGTTTCCCAACTTTTCAAACCAAAAGGGATATATCCTTTTGCAGCTGTTCTTTTTTTGTTCTGCAAAAAACCCAATGCGATGATTCGAAACTGGTGTAAATCTCTAAATCCAGCTGTTGGGAAAAACAGAAAAAAAGGGAGAAAGTAGGCCCTATGAATTATGGAAATGCTGAAACAGCGGCAGACGTTTTGCATATTTTATCAAGTTATCCGCAAACCAAAGCTTTTGGAATTCTATAGCTGGCTTTTTAGGCTAGCGAGTTGGTGAAAAAAAAAGTAAAAGATCTTTGGTTTATGAAATGGATCTATTTTTTCATTCTGATAATTCAAGAAGAGCACACGATCTTTTTTTTCAACATTTGCAGGAAAATCAGTATTCTGATTAATCTTGTGACTATTTGAGCAGTTAGGTAGTTGAAAAGGCGAAAAAATCTTTGTTAAAAATTTGTTTGAAACATTATTTTTCCCTGCACAATATACTCCTCCAAAAAAGCAAGTCTATCTTTGAGTTATAGCCTTTTTTGAACTATAAAGTTGAGTAGGGAGTTGAAGCTACTAAAGCATCAACTGGTTCAGACTTGCATGGCAACCAAGCTGACCTTCATTCGCGGCGCTTTTCGAAACATTTCGTTCGCGGCCGCCGGGGCGTGTCAGTGGGCGGAGCGGCTGCGTCGCGGTCCCGCCGCTCGCCGATATATAAGCCTCAGCGCGGCTGGTAGACCACCGATGCATAACGCAGTTTCGCAACCAACATGTGAGTCGATTTTGACCATCGCGACTGCCTGTTCATCCGTCAGGCCTACGGCTCAGACTCGCAGCTTCTTCTAATTCCTATTCCGACGCTCGTCCCTGTTTGCGTCCGATGATAAATCTCGAGAAGAATGCGCTGTCTTCCGGCGGCTCCTCCGCTTTTTCGAGGAGGCGGACGACCTTGAGCGCATGGAGCGCCAGTGCTTCGATCCGACTTCCGGCTCCTTCGCCAATCACACATGGAGGCTCCGATCTTGGTGACTTGCGCCCCTTCGCCGACAACCGTCGCTCCATCGAATAGCTTATTTTTGTTGCGACGTCCTGCAGGTCTTGAACCGGCGGAGGCCCTCCGCTTCCGGTCATACGGTGGACCAATGGAAGCTTGGCCGCAAGCCGCCGATTCAACCCCTGCTCATCGTCCTCCAGTTTCTCTTGTTTTCTCCCTGATGGTTTGCTCACCGTCCGTTTCCTACTTTGCCTTCCAAGTGCCCTTGTTAGGTTTTCATATTTATTACTTATCGGGCCAATATTTTTGTATATACTGACCAAACAAAAAAACTGTTTCAAAAATGTACAAAAAATGACTACAAATAAGAAAACCCCCCTGCAACAAGCAGTTGATCTGCGGTGTCTCTCGGTTGTTTTTATTTTCCCGCGTTCTTCCAGTAACTATTCTCGCCATGTTGTTTTTAATGTATTTTGTTACAAATAGCTATGCGCTCTTTCACTTTATTTCGTTCGTTTTAATTATTGAAAGACGAGTAAATTTTTTTTCTTTTCTCATCAACTGTTGTGTTGTTTTCAACGAAATACGCATGGGAAACACGAAGAAAGAAGAAAAACAAACATTTCTTGGTGCACCAGGTCGCCAAAAGCAACGCGACATTGTTTTCGAGTCCAATGCCTGATCGTTCCAACTCTCGCGTGATCTGTCACGTTTAAGTTTTCTCTTTTGTTTTCTTTCTTATCATCCACAATTCGACAAGTGTAATTCGTTAAACTAGTGTCCGCTGAGTCAAGGATTCCTCCCACGTCTTGGTAGAACCAGATTGGGACGACTGTAAAAATAAAAAGTTCTTTTTCGACAGGGAAACCCGCGGGTATTCAATGAAAACGAACTTTTTTCCAAGACAAAAAAAAAAATTGAAAGATGTGTAGAAGAGTCTCGAAGGGCCCACGCAGGTGTTTCGCAGAGAGCAGGGGTTATTTGCGGAGTGATTTTCTCGGTCGTTGGTCCACAACAAAAGACCAAGACGCAACGTCACCGATCAACATCGATCGATAATTGGACGATCGCCAAAAACACTCTCATTACGCCCAAAGGGCTTGTTTCAAAACGCTTCGAGCGTCTCATACACGTGTTCCGATTTCTGTTCATTCACTTTTTGCGCCCGAATCGGCTGAAGACACAGGATATTTTCTGGGTTACCTCTAAATATATAGTAGCATTGGTCATTTTGAACGGAGAATTGCTGACCTTCGCCATTTTTGTAGTAGTTTTTTAGTTGAGAAAATTTTTCCAACCCAATAATGGCTGCTCATGAAATTTTCACTGCAGCGGTCCATTTTTACGATTGGACTCAACACAACTTAAAAATTAACAGATTTTTTCCGGATGAAAAAACACTTTTTGCACTTAGGCTGACCTTTTTTAGTCTTTTTGGTCCGCAGAACTTCCGTTGTCGCAATTACATTCGTGGGATTTCCGCTCAAGTGCGGCCAAGTTCATCGGGAACTTTTCTATTTTTCGCTTCCTGATTAGAGCATTCAAGTTGTACGGAAGCCAATCCGACGTTCCAAGAATGCAAACAGAAACTTCGAGTAAAGTTTAAATATATTCTTTTCAAACTCTGCGAATTTTTTGCTTCCTTTGAAAGGAGAGAAATTCTTCGATGCAAATAACGGAAGAAGATTTTAACGCGTTTCTTGTATGCTTCCGTGAAGCTTCATAATTCAATAGCGACTTCCGCAACAACTTCATTAATGGGAACCTTGCTCAGATTTTCCATAGAAAAAATTTCGAAAAAAGTGTGGGATGAGAGCAAAAATCTCTGTAAATGTGATCTTCGTTGGACCCAAGGGACCGCGCTATCACGGCCGATCACTGATCATCAAAGTTTTGAGGGTCTGTTTGTTTTCCCCTGCGTTTCTAACTGCCAGGTTTTCGGCCTCTCACTTTTTCTGCTTAAATTAAAGATTCTGAAGAAGAGTGTTTACATGGGTTTTTCTGTACTTTCAAATCTTTGATAATCTTTGATCGCAAAAGTTAATTGATAAACAATCAAATTGGTCATGCATGAAGAGTTCAACATGACAGTTATGACCGGGATGCAGGAAATAATCTAAAAGGATATCCAAATTTTTTGTCGATGAGAGCTCGCTTTAAATATGTACCTGGCTTAAACTCTGAAGATATCTCATTTTCCTAATAAACTTTTCAAAATCTACTTTAATCTCAGAAAAAAAAAAACTACCGCTGGAATCTTCAAAAACTTTCCAATAACAGAGAGTATATTATAAAAGTATTAAACGAAAATGAAAAACCGTATAGATTGACTGTGAACTGGGGCTTTCAAAATTTCAAAAGTTAACCTCTCTCTTTTCAGAATTTCATGTTTATAGATGTTTTTCGCATTTGTTTGATAATGCTAGCGGAACCCAGACATAGTTCCATGCAAGGAGTTTTCCGGAAGAGGTTCGAGTGGCCGTTGCACTTTTCTTCGGCGATTCCGGTCTCTCGACCTGCACTATTTTCGCAGCCTCTTTTTGTCTGCTTCTTAGAATTGCATTATCTCGAAAATTTTATTCCGCGTCTCGGGTGCTCCTTTTCTCTATATGTTTTTTCTTCATGAGGGGTCTTTTCAAACCGCTAATCTTCGAGAAATATGTAGATAATTCATCATTGTCCGCGGTTTGGAAATACCCTAGAGAAGACATTTGTAAAAAAAAAAAATCAGAAGGTTTAAGAAATTTTAAAGGATCCTAACCTATTTACAAAATTTTAAGCGAATATATCTTTTTTTGTAGAATAAAATCGCCGATCATCAAAAATCAAAACAAACTGTTGCATTCGACCAGAGTTCATAGTTTTGTTTTTAAAGCGATTTTTGCAGTTTTAAAACTTTTTTAGCGTTTTTGAGAGGTCGCTATCTTTCTGAAAAATTTTACGAAAAACTTCAATCGAACGATGGAGAACGAGATGAAACCACAAAAAAAAATATCACGAAAAGCTAAAAAAACTAAATTCACGCAAATTGGTAAAATTGAAAAATTTCGCGAAATCAGCACCAATTAATTTTTTTATCGAAAAAAATATTTTTTTACCACTTATTTTAAAAAGCTGAAGAAAAATATAAAGAAATAAAAAAATCTACAAAAAAACGAAAAAAAGTGAATAAAATCAAAAAAATTTAAAAAAAGGAGTGTGCGGTGGCGCAAACTTGCGTCCTCTAACAACACTCCTCCGTTAGTAATTCTGGGCACAGTTTCTAGCTCTCCAGTTTTTCCTCTTCACCTTTTTTTAAACGCGTAAAAAAATGCTGAAAAAAATTTTTAAAAAGGTAAAAAAACTAATTCTACTATTGTTTTCTCCCTAAACTTTTATTCAAATTTTTTTCTCGAGAAAAAAAGAACTCGTTTGATTTGAAAAATTAAATCGAAGATTGAGATATGATTAAAAAAATTTGAATCGGCTATATATAACCAAAACACTTAGTTTTACAACATATTGTTGGAGTATACTTTTTTTAAAACTTTACTTCTTTTTATCAATATAATTTTGTAAATGAAAAAAATTTAACGGTCGATGAGTAGCTTCATAACATAGCTAAAAAAAGCATAGTGCCCCAGAAGTTCGATAAACGTGATACGCAAAAAGAAAATCCCAGTCGTACGGCGATCGTGTCAGAAGCGTGCAAAAATTTGTGCGCCCCAAGGAATTTTTACCTTCTCTTTTTTTAATGCCGTGTTAAAAGTGATTCCGCGAAATTCAAAATTAGCCGTCAGAGTGAAAGAGATAATTTAATTTTGAAGAGAGAGAGAGATAATTTTTAATTTCGCGTAAATCACTTTTAACGCGGCATAATAAAAGACTGCCGATTAGCTTTGCCTATCTGCATTTTTTTCGAGCTTTTTTGAACACTATGCTTGATACATGATAATAATTTTTTTTAGATGGCAAGTAGGACTGTTTGCGCTTTAATTTGCCGCTCAAAAAGACCAATAACCATACAAAAGTTTCAATTCAACACAACTCCTTTGTGTATGAAAAAAAAGCAAGAGAAAAAAAAGGTCAGTTTTTTCAACAAATGTTGAAATACATTTTCTTAAAGGCTTTACCGTTGTCTTCGAAAGTTTCGATCGAAGATAATGGAATACTTCTTGAGGCTCAAAAAGAAATAAAGAACGTCGAAACATTGTTGGGGGATGAATTGGCGAGACACTTTTCTCTTCAGGTAGAATGTTTCAATTTATTTAGCTCAAATTAATTCAGGTTGACATTCGTCAATACGAAGACATATTGGTCAAGCTCGAAAATGGAAGCGTTAGTTGAATTTCCTACCCAGTTTTGAAAATCAGATTCGTTTTAGGAGCATAAAATCTCGCATTTGGGTCGAGTTTCCATGAAAAACCCATTGATGGTCACGATAAACTTTGCCGACAATCCGTCAGCAATAAAATGGGCTAAGCTCGCCCTGCAGGTAATGGTTTTGGGTTTCCACTCTTTCTACTTGACACAATGTAGAAGTCAACACTGAATGTGACCCCGCAACAAGAAGGCGTCATGCTCTACATAAATATCCAACCCATGACGCGCCAAAGACGAGAACAACTTGCTTCGGACGCCAAGACGAAGCTGTTCAATGAGTACAAACGAGCACTGAACGAGGTGGTCCAAAATGAAGAAAAATAACCTGCTTTTCTTTCCAGATTTACAGTAAAAGCGATAGAAAGTCGAGTGCAGAGTTCTCGGCGAAACCGGACGAAGCCAAAAAGACGAGGGAGAAACTCTTAGAAATGAAACATTATGCAGAGTCGAGCGGCCTTCAAATGATTGAACTCAAGAAAGAACAACTTTTGAAACAAGTAGCATAACGAAATAAAAGATTTACTGGATATTGTTGAAAACAAAGAATAAATAAAAATGAGTTAATCCAGACCGTAATTTCAAACACCGGGAAAATAATTAAACGTTGATGTCTTCCAATCGGCGATATCCGCTCTTGTCGATGATGACGACCTGAAAAAAAGTTGATTGAATTGCAATATTTCATCTACTGAGAAATTCATCTTTTCGGAGAGAAAAAGCAAGAAGAACGCTTCAGATTTTTTTGTTCAGAAATTTAAAAAAAGAAAAAAAGAACTAGGTGAAAAAAATTACATTTATTTATATTCAATTTTTTTAACGAGATGAAAGGCGAGTTCCGCGCGAGACGGCCACCTTTCAAAAGTACAGCCGAAAAAGCTACCATAAATATAGCCGTTTGCTCTAGAAAATTGCTTAAGAAAAGACTGCAAAAAACAAAGGTGCTCATTTTTGATCTAATTTGGTATACGGTCTTTCTAGCAGAAGAAAATTGTGACTAGCCGGCGCGGAACCTTTTAATTCGTAAAAATCCTATATAAGTTGTTTAAAATAAATTTAAAAGAACCTTGTATGCTGGAATGTTCGCGACGAAACGTCTCTTAGCCTCCGAAATGCATTTGTTTAGCAGCTCGAGTCCTTTCTTTTCTGGCATATCTAAAAAATTACAAAAAATTAGGATAAAATCGTGCAAAGGACCTTTCTTGTACTCTGCATCCATGATGGCGTAGCAAAAACGACCGCAGAATCCACGGAACAAGTAAGGCTGAAAAGAAGCGATGATAAAACGAAGCGGGGTCCGTGAAGACTTACCTGATGTTCGATGGCGTTTCCGAGATAATCGACAGATCCAAGGAAAGCTTTTCCGTCCTTGTCGTCGTAGCCGCCCAAGAGAACGTCGACAGTGTAGTGATCCGAAGAACGGAGGGCCTCTGCGATGTTCCTTCTCACGAAGTGATGAGCGCTGCTCGGCGAGAGCTCGTAACCTTAAAATTTCTAATTTCATCACGCCAAAAACAGTGAAACGTTGATAATAAATGATTAAAACTCGAAAAATTGAAATTGGATTCTCTCTCACATTACAGGCAGAGTCGGAAAAGAGTCGAAAAAGGTTCCATAGAAATGTTCCTTTTAGGGTGAGAAAGGCTCCTTTTTTTCCTGCCGTTTTGCGCCATTTCATCGGCTCTTATGGGCCACTTTTGCTGCCTTTTTGAGTCTCTCCCTTTTAGCGGCTCTTATCCAACGTTCCGACATTAACGGAATACAAACTGATCTAATTCTAAACTTTTTAATGTTCTTTCTTTTTTTTTCGAATGCTGCTTAATATATCATATCAGTTCTTTAAAATCTGGCTGGAGGAAATACTTAGCGAATCATCGAAAAAATAGGAAAAAATAGATTCAGATATTCCTTAGCAGTTTTTTTCCCTCAAATCAGCGGTGAAGACTAAAATCCAAAACATGAGCTTGAAAACTTTCCACATCGGTGCTTAGTGATTCTCATCACTCAATCAATAAAACCAACCATTTCGAATAGCATAGAGTTGAATGTTACGCGTGGTCCAGTCTCCGAATTGAGCAACATCGCCTTCTTCCCCAATGCACATCATCGTCATTTTTTTGCCCAGGCGGAACTCCTTGTCGTTATCTGAAGCCGAAACATAAACTTGAAACCAGAACCGAATCTTACTATTGTCAGCAAGAACGGCTCCATAAGCGAAAGTCGCCTTGTCTGCAGCTAGGATGACGTAGTCATCTGTGGAGATTCCGACCAAGAAGTGCATTCCCGACATTATCTTAAAAGCTTAATTTTCTGATTTTCCCAGCAGCAAAACAAAAGGAGGAATTCATGATGGGAAAGTTTAGAAAGCCACTGTTGAACTTTTTCATTTCACGCATGTACAAAGTTACCTGGTTCAAAAATGTTGAATGTGTAAAACACAACAATTCATATATTTTGAAATGATTCTCAAACCATTTCGAGAAAAAAATCAATAAATTAATGAATTCCAAATGATTCAGTAAGGTTGTGTCTCATTAAGAACCAAATAAGAAAGAATGATTCTAGATTATTTCAAAAAATTTGTTGGTTAACTCTCACTTCTTTGAACTTTTAGGTACAGTTAAAATTTTGTAAACCCTTAGTTCGTACTGAAGTTGTTTTTTAACAGAAATGAAAATTGTAGAGATAAATAAATATGTAATTCACGAATGAAGAGGATAAAAAAAAAGAAAAAGACAAAATTTGAAAATAAATTGAAAAGTGGATCTTTAAGTATAACTTCAAATATTGCGCATTTTCAAATAGTTAAAGTGCATCTTAAGCTCTCAAATTTAGTGTTCGCTGTAATCAAATCAAATCAATGAAATCTTACGGATTTAGAAACCAATTTAAACGTGCTATTTGAAAAAAATGCAAGAATACCGGAAATTTTTTTTGGATGATATCTGCATTTTTGCGGGAGTACGCAAACACGAGAAGTCATGTAGGCCTCCGCAGCTTCACATGCAAGTCAAAGTTCCTCATCAAAGTATAAAATCGGTGCAAAGCCAATACGGCCGCTGAGAATAGTTTGATAATCCTACTTAATAATAAATCGCTCAATCTTCGAAAGTTAGAGGGCGTCCTGGAGAGATTGGCCTGGGGAACATTTTTTTGCTGGGAGAGTACGGACGTCATTAGAAGTATCGTATTATCGAAAATTTGAAAAAATAATGGACAATCTATTTAAGAAGAATTTAATTAGGTGTGAAAATAGTTAGTAGAAGCAGCGCTGCTTGGTGACAGATTTCTTCCAAACGATGCAACATGCTTATATGAACTTTAAACATCATATATCTAAAACTGCAAATTTGTGCAGATAACCGACTTGTGCAGGATCGACTCCCAGTTCATCAAAGATCGTTTGAGCAAATTTATAGAAAACTCTAAACCCTGCGCTAAAAATACCTCCCATGTTAGCACTGTCATGAGTAGACTGACCAGGGAATGGCCTCAGCTAACATGAGACTTTTGAATCAGTTTAGAATCTCTGTAAGTAGTTTTTCAGGCTGATTCCAAATCCGGTCTCAAAACGATGTGGTACAGCAAGTCGGCGGCTCTGCAAAACAATAGTAGAAAAAATTTCTCTTGAATATTTTGTAATTTCCCGTGTCTATGAGCATGGACTGGAGTTTCAGAATTTAGAAATTTTAGAAAAAAAATTTTTTTTTTCTGTTTTAATTCTTTTCAGAAACATCCTAATTGGACTGAAGTTTGGTCAAAGTGTGATATAGAGTTGGTTTTAATCGCAATAACATAATTTCTTTTTTCAATTACTTATTCATTTTTTTCATGTGTGCTTGAAACATAGTAAAATAAATAATAAAAAAAGCGGTGACCGAGTTTTTTTTAAATAGTCGGTGGCGCTTGAATTGAACTCGTGCCAAGAACCGCGTACGCATACGCTACGCGTCCCGCCCACTCCTCGCCTTTTAAGTCGGGATGGATTGACTATAACATTCTCATAAATTTCTTTATAAGTTCATGTTTTTTTGACGGAGTGTTGCCTGAATCAAAGAACGGTACTGTGATAGTACTGCTCAGTAGTACTGTATGGCGTAATGATTGTAATACAGCTGTATTTTAAAAAAGAAAGGCACTGTTTTCGTTTTTTTTTTCTTGTCACACCACTAGGGCAGATGGTTAAATAAATGCATGAATTGGAGCTCGACTGAGCGTACTCCAATTAGAGCACGCAATGGCAGTCCAAAATCGATCCCTCGCGTCGGAAGTGGGCGGAGCCAGCCCACGACGTGAAGTCGGCCTTTTTTCAAGCATGGGTCCAGAGGCAGTGTTTGTGTTTGGCGGCGGCGGATGAACGGCGAAGACGAGCTGGGCCAGCTGCGCTCCAACGCCGACAACCTCGCGAGATGTCTCCACGTGCTGCTCGAAAAGATTGAGAAGATAGAGCAGCGTCAGAATGGCACTCCCCCCGCCATCCATCGTCACGAAGAGCCGGAGAAGTACGAGCAGGTGCAGCTCGAGGACCGTGTCGAAGTCGACGAGAAGACTGGCGTCAAGAAAAGAACGATCGTCACGGAACGCGTTCTTACGACCAAGACCTTCCATGCCCTCGCCGTCGACGGACCTTCGCCTTCGCTGGCGCCGCTCCACCAGGCCTCCATCCTCGAGCCAGTCTACCAGGCTCGCGTTGTCAACATTGACGCCGCCCATTTAGCTCAGGTTTCTAGTTTCTTTTCATCATGTTTCCTTTTCAAAGAGCCTCGTCGCATTTTTTTTTTCAATAAGATGTATAATTAGTTTTGTCTATCTCTTGCTCGCTTATTTGAAAGTTTCACGGTTATCGAAACTCCAAATAAATACAACTTCCTGTTCTTTTCAATCAAGACGATTATTTTGAGGTTGAAGTGGAAACGATCAGTCAGAAGCTCGTCGTGACCAGAGTTTCACCCTATGCGAAACACGAAATCCAACCCGGCGACGTCATCTCGGCAGTGGATGGGAAGCCTGTAAACCTACGAGGTATTATTTTCTCGTTCGAAAAGCTAATCGCTCTCTGTGGTGGCCTTTAAAAAGCCCTTTTTTGTTTTTCTATTATTTAAATTTCATATTTTATGATCAAAATATAAGTCATTTTCAGGGGACCTTGAAAATCTAACCGGACGGATTTCGTTGACTCTCACTCCGGCGGCAATTCATCAAGCTCCCTCGGTATGATTTTGAAAATAACTACATAATGTCGAACTTAAAATTTATGTACTTGATTTTTATTTTCTAATTTTTCAGCTTTTCTACCGGATTCAGGATGACTACAACTCGGTCGACAACGGCCAAAGACTTTCAATCGCCGTCAAAAAAGGCGACGTCGTTCAAGTTCTCAGCTTCGACGAAGCTTGGATTCAGGTTTATTCATTTTATTTTTCTTCACGTTTTTTTTTTCTTCAGGCTCGTAAAATGGCAGACCTCTCTCAAGTTGGCTACCTTCCAGCTTCTCTGTCTCTTGAAAAAGTTTGTCTTATGATTTTTCCTCTCAAAATGCTTCTAATATTCAGTTATGTACATAGCCGTTTTTTTTTTCGTTAGCTTTTTGGTCTGGCCAATTTTCAGGTCATTTGAAAAATAATTGTATACATTGTTTTTTCCGCACTCTTGAAAAAAAGAAAAATTGTTGACTCCGAAACTTTCCTCACATTTTTAACGAATAAAATCAAACTATCCCAAATTTGAAAGTTTGTAAAGGAAAAGAAAATTTCTTTTCCGAGTTCAAGACTTCAATTGGTTTCAGTGTTTTCGACCTTTTGGGACTAGGATGAGAATTTGCCATTATATTTTTAACGTAACGTAAGAATTCAAAAAAGTTCAATGAGGAAGTTGGATAATTTTGAAGTGGTTTCAAATATGGGTAGATCGAAGCGGTGCAGAAATGGTAGAAAGGGTCACGTATGATCCAAAATTACCAAATCATCCATTCCCATCGTTGACGAAAAAATATTGCAGGTTTCCATGCTGACTCCGTTTGGACGACGCGTCTTGGTGCTATTGGGCGCCGTGGGCGTCGGCCGCCGAACCCTAAAGTCCATGCTTTTGCATCTTGCTCCTCACTACTTCTCCACAGTTGTTCCGTGTAAGCCCCTTATACTGTTTATTTAACTTTCACGCCAAATAACTTTTTTTTCTAGCGTCGAAACATACAATTCTTCGACTTGTTTGTTTTACCCGAATGCAAATTCATGAGCGCGAGAATTAGTTACATTTTCACTATTTTTTAGTGACTTCGAGGGCCCAACGCCCTGGAGAACGCGAAGGCCGCGAATACCATTTCGTTCGGAAAGAGGAAATTTATCAGAAGATCCGCGAAGGCGGCATGATCGAGTGGGGAGAGCTCGATGACCAACTTTACGGTTTGTTGTCATCCATTCTTCGGCTATTTATTTTTTCTCATCCCTAGTATGTTCCGATTTTGAATGTCAAGGAGCTAACTCCGCCCCTGCTGGCATTTCGCGTCAATTTTTTTTTAGCATTTTGATTATTTTTGTTTTGAAAGATAGAAAAAGAAGTCAAAAATGCCGTACTCCTCTGGAGATGAAGCATTGACGCGAAGATATTGTAGCCTTGGGGGCGGAGTTAGCTTATTGACCTTCAAAATCTGAACAGACTAATCGGGCAAAGTCGGAATGGTAGATAATGGCCGCCCAAGGGAGAGGCTCAAAAAAGGCCGCAGAAAGGGAGCAAAGAGAGTCCTTTTATTGAGCCTTCATTTTTTTTTCCCCCTGGATTTTTAGAGGTTCAAGAAATAGTGGCAAGGGGAGAGGCTAAAAAAATTGGGCATAAGAGCCCATGAAAAAGAGCAAAAGGGCAGCAAAAAAGGAGCCTTTGTCCACCTAAAAGGAACATTTCTATGAAGCCGTTTTTCACCCTTTACGACTTTGCCTATTTACAAGCATTTTTTTTTACTATTTGAGCTCCAGATTTGAAGTTTCAAAGTAAAAATACTTTTTTCAGGAACTTCAGCGGAATCGGTCAGGTCCGAAGTGCGAAGCGGGCGTTTGTGCGTGCTCGACTGCGCTCCACAAGCTCTCAACTACCTGTACAACGGCGAATTCATGCCCTTCGTAGTACACGTGCGACCCCCGGAGCTGGAAGAACTCGAACAGCTCGAGATGCTCCGACGTCATCACCGTGGCGTCGACAAGCTCAGCGCGATCTGCCGCGAGAGCGAACGCATTGCCGTCTCTTGCCCCTCCCAGATCCATCTCACTCTCATCAATCGAAACATCGACGTCACGTTCAAAAGGTTGGAATCCCTACAAATAAACTCAACTGTAAACTTTATTGTTTTTAGGTTACTTGACGTCCTCGAAATGATGCGATATGAAACGCAATGGGTTCCTGAAAGCTGGATGTGCTGATATCATTTTTCGTTGTTTCCTTTTCATTCTAGAGTTTTACGAGAATGTACAAAATGTACATGTCGACAGTGACGTGTCGCTACGCAAAACTGTTCCTTTTTCCCTTTTTAAAGAAATTTTCTTGGTTCCTTGGACCTTAGTAGGTAACCGAATGTTTTTTTCCACAATCTAGCATGTATCCGATTTGTTTGGGACTAAAAAACCTGTATCAACTGCCGAATACCTGTTATTCTCATGATATCCTGTTAAGACTCACTGCTGTCATCCGTGTTATAGTGGCTCAAGCCAGCCGTGAATATATAAAATTAAGAACTCACAGAAACTTCAGATTAGATTTTTCGATTTCCGTTGCTTTTTCACTGAACTGTTCTAAACAAGGGTCAATCGGCTGAGGGCCTTAGTTGTCAATAAATTCAATTCGGTTGGATACCAGCCTATCTGAGCACCGATAGAGAAATTTCAAAACTGACTGTACTGAAAGTTGCGGTAGTGTCCGGACGTACACAAAAAGTACGGAAGACGCAGAAAATTGGAATGCGTACATCTTTTTGATCATTAAAGAGCATCTGCCGAAATTCAATTTATTGATTTTTTATGTGCCCTTGCCGATTGACTACTGATGTTTTTTTCGGGCTGATCTTCGCTTCCAGTATAGAATTTATTTGGATTTATTTTTATTTGATAAAATACAGATATTTTTTCAAGTGTTTGGATTGTTGGAAGGGCCATAAAAATTTGTCGAGTAGTCGACTCAAAATAACACTGTTTTTTTTAAACTGTTTATTGCATCTTCAATGTAAGAGTACATGTTCAATCGACTTTCATTGATTTCAACTGTGTTTAAACGGCGGCAGGAGCTGTGGCTTAGGCAGAGAAGTTGTGGGCGGCATAGCTCAGCTGGCATAACTCATTTCTAACGTACGCAAGGTCGTAGGTTCGGGTCCCCCCGAGGTCGACCAAGCCTTTCATCCCTCCGGGGTAGATAAAATTGGGAGTTACAAATAACACTAAAAACATCAAACGTTTCTATTCAAAAAAAAAAAAAATACTCACAGCAAGAGATTTGCACAGGAATGTAAATATTGGGTGTATTCAGAATGAAAATTTCATTCTCTGAAAAAAAAAAACGTGAATCCCCGTGGCAAGATCACTTTCTTGCTATCGAAAAAATAACACGTCCAAAAACAACGTGTCCTTTCTTTTTTTATGGCCGGGTTTCAAATATTATTATTGCTTCCTCCACTAGTCGTCGTGCTTCTGCGCTTCCACGTCAAGATGAGTTTTGAACTTTCATAAAACTTCTAACTTCCAAAATAAGTTTCTGAGTTGTAAGCGCTAGTAGATAAGGCCCGCGGGACTCCCGGAGTGCCGATCCTCTTTGCTTGCAAATTGGATACGCAAAGTCACGCCGAAGCCCATTCCGGTGGCCGAAGCACAAACTGTTGGCAGCGCGATGCTGACAAAGCGATGATGGGACCCCCGCGGGAAATGCCGTCACGGCTTTCGGCGTCTAGGTTTCTTAGTTCTGACAAAGCCGAGCGGAGCTCTAGCGCACCGCCTAGTTAGTTCTTCTGACTGCATAAAGCTTCTCTAACTAAATTACGATTTTACATAGCTAATTAGCCAAAAATTCCGATTCGAATAATGCAATCGACTCGCTTTTTTCAATGTTGAATTCTTGCAGGAAGCTTCCGAAGAACTTGTTGTGATCAGTCCCTAGAGATCGACGACACTGAATCCGGACGGAGCTCGATCAACTGCGAGGCCGGCTAAGTACCAGGTACCAGCCCAACGCTCTAAAAAGCAGCTGAGGGTTTTTTCTGTGTTATATTGCAAAGGAGAAAAGAAATAAGAGTGAATTCACAATGACTGAAATCGCACCTCACTAGTACGAAAATGGAATGATCGTTTATTAAAAACTGGTCGACGCCTTTTCAAAGCTGACTAGTCAGGGTTGTGCGAGGTCCAGATTGTCAACTTATCGGCCTCCGTCTATTTCCTAACTTTCAACAGACAACAGGCGTAGGAAGAAGAAGAACAGACTTTGATGACACAAGTGAAAATTAATATTTCTGAAAAAATTAAAATTGAAAAAAATTAAAATTGAAAAAGTGCGCTCCAATGATAAATATGTTGTCAATTTACGTGAGGCAAGCTGCATAAATGCCGGAGTCTGGAGTTCGTACGTAATGCCGTGTTCAAAGTAATTTCCGCGAAATGCAAAAAGGTCTCTGACCCTCCAAAATTTAGTTATCTTTCTCTTTCTCTGACGGCTATTTTGAATTTCGCGGAATCACTTTGAACACGGCATAAAAGTCATCGTAAAAGTTTATTTCGATATATCGTTGTTGCACCCATTTTTCCTGAGCACTCCCGGATTTCAATTTTTGTCTATCTCCCGAACTCATTCAATGAATAACGCCTCAATTTAAAAAAACTGTTCGACGCCTTTTCAAAGCAGACTATTCAGGGTTGTGCGAGGTTCAGATTGTCAACTTACCGGCCTCCGTCCATTTCCTAACTTTCAACAGACTTTGATGAAACAAGTGAAAATTAAAATTTTTGGAAAAATTGAAATTCAAAAAAATTAAAATTCAAAAAGTGCGCTACAATGATAATTTTGTTGTCAATTTACGTGAGGCAAGCTGCATAAATGCCGGGGCTGGCTCAGGCACTGACGGCGCGTGTTTGTTGCCAAAAGTGCGCATGCGCGCCGCCTTCTGCGCGCACGCGCGGGGTGTCTGTTTTGTTTTTTAGCTTTTTAACTAATAGAAAAGTTATAAATTTTATATTTTTCATGTCTGTTCATCTCTTATCATTGCTCTGCACCAGTTTATAACAATTGGATTGCACAAAAAAATTTGAAATATCAAAATTTCAATTGGCTGTTTGTTTTTCATAAATTTGTTCGAAAGTGCTCGGAACAACTTTAAAAACGTGAGCAGGGGCACTGGGTAGAATCACAAAAATATAAAAAATGTTTTTCAAAACCGTATTTCAGTGTAAAAGGCGAAAAAAGAATCAGTACCCCCGCGCGTGCGCGCACCAGTGCCTGAGGGAGTTCGTGCGTAAAAGTCATCGTAAAAGTTTATTTCGATATATCGTTGTGGCACCCATTTTTCATGAGCACTTCCGGATTTCAATTTTTGTCTATCTCCCGAACTCATTCAATGAATAACGCCTCAATTTCGAAATTGTCGAAATTAATTTGAACACCGCTTGAAATTTTTTTGCGACGCACGAGGCAAACGTGCTCGAATGATGAGGATGATTCATTTAAGTAAACATTTAAGAGACAAGTGACTCATCTCTCGTTGTTTCTCGTTTTATTTCGCAAAATGTTGTAGAAAACATTATTTTTGTGTCACCATCGCGTATATATAAATATATATATATTTTTTTTTTCGTTAAGTCTTTTTTTAACCCTGTCTCAATATACTGTTCAAACTTCTCTGACGATTTATTAGGTTTTATTGCATTTGATTATTTTTACAGTGAAAAAATGGCTTATCAAGCCTATAATCAACCTAACGCCTATAACCGGCCAAATTTGGAACAAATTTTTTCATCTGTCGACAAAGATAGGTTTGTTTATTTTCCTTAAAAATGCTTTTGCGCCCTTGTTATTTTCATTAAATTGTTATAATCAATTTATGATCTTTTTTTCGGTAGTATTAGTAAGAAGTTGAAAAATATTATCAGTCACAGTTTTAGAATTGAAATTTTTTTAATCGAGCTTTGACCAGCTTCTTTTTGATAGAATCAAAATTCAGATCGGGACAGATCAGTGCTGATGAATTGCAAAGGGCCCTATCAAACGGTAAAATTCGATTGGTCGAAAAACGATAAGTTAAAATTACAGGAACATGGAACCCGTTCAATCCAGAAACCTGTCGGTTGATGATAGGAATGTTCGATTCCAATGGCGATGGAGCAATAAATTTCGGAGAGTTCCAGGTTTTTTTCAAGTTTTAACAAAATCTCATCTTTTTGTTTTTAGGCGTTATGGCAATATATTAACGATTGGACGACTTGTTTTAGATCCTTTGATCTCGACCGATCAGGAAATATTAGCAAATCCGAACTGAAGAATGCTTTGACACAGTTTGGTTGGTTTTTTTTTTGTCGTTGTGAAAATAAGGGTCTATTGTCTGAGGACCTTAGTTGTCAATGAATTTTCAAAAATCAATGGTAATGCGGTATTATCCGATCGTACACAAATAGTATGGAAATCGCAGAAAATTCGGATTTGGGCCATTTTTTTTTGATCATCAAAGAGCGTCCGCCGATTCAGTGCGCTTCATTGTGTGTAATCGTGTCAATGCTCAGGTTATCGACTTTCGGATGGATTTTATGACATCCTACTCAACAAATTCGACAGGAGCCACAATAACAGTATCAATTTTGACGACTTTATTCAGCTTTGTGTCGTCCTCCAAACACTGACAGCATCTTTTCGGTTAGTTACGCAATAAATATTGAATTCATATGAAAAATGTGGATTGAAATTATTTATGAATTATTTTAAAAAGCAGCCACTTTATGCGCGTGTAAGTCTACCCCCGATTCGTCGTGTCTTTTTACTCTTTTTACAGTAGTTTAGAAAAAAAAAACTCACCTTGCAAAAGTTTTGTAGCTTATTCAAATGTTTTCTCCCAACATATTATTCAAACAGAAAAGACTTCGTAAAATAAAAATAAAACATCTTTTCGAAAATGAAAATTTTTTTTGAATATTCCACATTGTTTCCAGGTGTGTTTACACCCCAAAATAATTTAGGCCAAGTGGTGTAGTGAAAAAAGTCGTTCTGTAGAACATACACGGACAAGAGGATTTCCCATAACTCAAAAACCATTATCAAAAAAATTGCAGAGACGCGGATACGGACCGCGACGGAGTCATCACAGTCGGCTATGAGCAGTTCCTCACAATGGTCATTTCTCTTAAGATGTAGAAGAATCAACGCTTCGAAAAACTTTCATATACCGGTCAAATAAACTGTGAATATTTCAGATTGCGCCAATGGTTCTTAAAGAAAGAAGTAGACGCGCTAGTTAACCTGCATGGTCCCGAGCTTCACGAACTAATATAACCGCCAATTTCTTGCTATCACTGCTTTAAACCTCTCTTTCGCTTGCCTAAACCTTCCAAATTGTCATGACATAAATGAGTGATCTCAAAGCTGAACATTTATTTACATATTTCAAAGCGACAACAAAAAAGAAACTCCTTTAGCTAGGCTAACCGACCAGTAAATATATCATTTTAATATATGTTAAAATGCTAGCGAATGAATCCTATGAAGTGATGCATTATATACAATTCTTCCGATCAAAACAGTCCAACTTGCTTGCGAAGTTCTATTTGCTTCCACTGTGGCAACGAGAAGAACTCTTCGCGATCCATATGAAATACCTCAAAAATGAAATTTATTGAGGACCCAATTTTCGGTTTAACCTTGAAAAAATCGTCTTCGGATAGGTACTCCTCGAGTCTCCTCAAGTCCATACCTTCCGGTAATTCTTTTCTTTCCCGCAGTTCTTTCACGTTGAATGTTCGGAGTCGATCAGCTAATACTGACTGAAAAAAAGCCTAGTGAAGTATTTCGGGGCTCCCGTACCGATAATGACTTAGGAGAAGAAGAGTTATTCTGCACATTCTCCTCCCAGTCCTGCCAATGGACAAATAAAGCTTTGAAGCCGTTTGGCTCATCGCCCTTTTGAACGAGGAACGATGGTCCGCGACGACCAGCCCAGTACTTCTGAGCGACTTTCAGGGCAAAAGTTGTAGCCGGTTGTTCCGACCAGAGCCACAGGGCACCGCCGATGTCGACCAAAACGCAGTCTCGCAGACTATTTTGCGAAAAAGTGAACGCGCAGTCGTTGTGAGTGTGTGGGTGATGAAGTTGCTCAAAATCGTTTTCAAAAATTCGGTAGAATGACGGCGCCTTCTTTCTTCCTTCCGAATCGATCCATTTTAATTTCTTGTCGTCTCCTTCTACGTTTATTTCAACTTCACTCAACTGAAATCAATCTTAAAAGGATTTTCCTTCGAATATTTTTCGGGTATATGACAGAATAGCCGTTTACCGAATAAATTTCCACTGGTCAGACCGAGACAGAGAAACCTGGACAGAACAGCCGCAACAGGCGCTCGAGTCCGTGTGCTCCATGGCTAATTAAGATTTTTTTAAATTTCTTTGTAGGAAAAGGGCATAAATTTTATAAATAAAGCTGTGAAAGGTCACATAATTGATTTAAAAGATTGTTTCTAAAGTAAGAATTTCTGCAAAGACATGAGTTTTTGGACTGTAGAATGAGATCCAGATGTCAATTTTGTGCATATTTTGGTTACTGCTATTCTGTTTTAAACTAGATTTTCTCTCAACTCAAAAGTTAAATCAAAAGAACTGAACAAGAAAATCAAAATAAGTTGAAAAAATCCTAGAAATTTGGATTTTTTTTGAACTAACCGTGGAGCATCCTTTCACCAGACTCGAGGGCATGTTTTGGCTGTCCGGTCCATTAGGTTTTTTGTCTGTGGTTACTTTTTTCACAGGTTATTCCGTCATATACCTTATCTTTTTAACTCACGTTGTTAATTCCGAAAAATTTCCCGTGAGTATCAATAAATGTGAGTAAAAAACGAATGTGTGCTGCGGAGCACTTTGAACCTGCAGAGAAAAAAAATAGGTTTTTAAAAAAAAGATTCGACTACCAGCAATCCCAGAGACATGTGAGCTCAAATCCAAGTAAACGGCGTGTGACCGGAGAGGTTCTTCATGTTCGACTTGGCTGAGGAACGCTTCGGTTTGGGTTCCTCCCAGAAGAACGAAGCGTGCCTTGGGCTCGTCGTTGAACCTTAAAAAATGAAGTTTTTCAAATGCCTATTTTTCGTGACTCACTTTGTGACGAATGATCCATTGAATAAAGCAAGAAAAACGCTGTGCTCGTTGCCCTGTTCCACTCGAATGTGAGGGCTTTTATCTTTGTCAATGTCCCTTATCCGGAGCGCGCAAAGGCCGTGTTGTTTGGGAGTCGTTCTGGAAGACCCACGTATCAATTTCGTTTTAATAAAAAGAAATAAATTACAAAATATTCAAACTGACGGAAGTTACCTTACAACATAGGCAAAGTCAGAAAGGTGGAAAAAGGCTCCTTTTTTGCTGCCTTTTTGCGCCATTTCATCGGCCCTTATGAAAACCATTTTTGCTGCCTCTTCCTTTTTCCACCATTCCCTAAGCCTTCAAAATCCCAGAAAAAATGGAAAGCTCCATAAAAGGACCCCTTTTGCGGCCTTTTTTGAGCCTCTCTTTTCAGCAGCTATCATCCATAATTTCGAATTCGCCCGAGGAAAGGATAACTTTGAAACGCATTGAAAACCATTTTTTAACAGTCATTTACTCTTACTTTTAAAATATTCTGCGAAAATGTATTCTATTTGAAAACTAGCCCCTCAAATTTGACATTTAGAGCTCGTATAAATTCTATCTTGGACTTGGTAACGCGAAACGGACGTGTCGGAGCATTTCTAGTGACCACTTTAGTAGCGTCAGCGCTTTTGAGTGATCCTAGAAATGCCTAGAAACGTCCTGTGATTACTGCGATTGCCGATAGAAAATTTCAGTTTTGAAAAAAATCGTCCAGTTTATTAGGCCTATAAAACCACCAACCGTGAACCGAGCCAGTAGAAAAACGCGATTCGAGTTCTGCCAGTCGTCCGCTCTTCCACTTCGCCTGTCTTCATACGCCGAACCCCTACAAATCTTCATTTTTTCTGTTTTGACCTTGGCGAGTCTAACCTGAGACTTGAATTCTGTACTTCCAGCGGAGCACGTAACATTTTGTAGAATAGAAAACATTGGAGAAATCAATCGGCTCGAGATTTTCGTCTACCAAATGCCATAAACTAACGTCCTCCGTTACGACGTCTTTCAAATCTCTTTTAAATTCGTGGTTTTCTGAAAATCGGTTGCGATTTATGGGGTTATCCGGTTTCAGAACCTAGAGTGAGAACCGGAGCCGAAGGTTCTTCAGCCAACATCCGTGTCGCCAACTCTTCAGGACTATCCTTGACAATTGCTCTTTTTTCGAAAATCTAGACTATTTTCTCTTAAAGTTGCGTATTTCGAGAACTTTTACCTTTCGAGAAGGACTTGCTTTCACTGGAATGCATTTTTTGCTGACATTTTCTTTCCAATCGTCAAATTTGAAGGTGAAGAGAGGGTCCTATTCACTGATGATTTGGAATTGCAGCCTCAATACCTGAGCGTTTTGATACACACGTCGAGAAAGAGCCCATTTGGGTCTCTGGTTATCTGGTACTCCAAAAACTAGTCGCGCATTCGAAACGTTTTTCCCAAGCTGAAATATCTCGAGAGATCGTATTTTTTGAGCTACTCAGGCAGTACCAATTGTCTAGAGAAATCCGTTGCAGTGAGTTTATCTTGGTTCCTCGAGTTTTTCCCAGTCCAAACGTAGATCTCGCTGCCGAAGTCGAAAACGAATACCTAATTAAATTTTGAGTTTTTTGAAGCAGACTGACTAATTATTTATTTCTTGGCCAAAACTGAGACAGGTAAAGTCTAGACGACCTCAAAAATGAGTCTAAAGCTCCTTTTTAAGTTTCTAAAAATTTTCCAAAAGTTTCTCGAAATCTCCTTTTTTTTTCACCTTTTCTCAGCATCCTACTTTTTTTCCTCCTAAAAAGTCCTTTTCAAAAAAATTAAGAAAAAAATATGCATAAAAACCTTGTTTTCAAAAGTCTTTTTTTTAGACTTTTTGAACATTGCCCGTGTGAAAAAGATCCTAAAAAGCTTTTCTAAAAAAAAGACCTTGTGAGGGCCCCTAGCAAATCTTTTTATCTCATTTTTGCATCTTTTTCATATCCTTTAACAAAACGTATGCTGGAAGCTACTGAAAAGATTCAAGGGGATTCAAAATTTGCTCAGGATATGAAAAAGGAGCTCGAACATCATTTTAGGAGCTTTTAGAGAAACTTTATTAGCTCCCTCTCAGAATCCTCAAAGGAACTTTTCAGTATTACCTATTTTTCACGGTCTTCTTTCGGTTGATAACCAATCTCTCACGGAAAATCCCCACGACGCAGTTATGACTTCGCGAAAATATGTTTTGCCCTTTGGAACAGCGCAAGATTGCATTATTGATACACGCAGGGACTACGAAATGAGGCCGCCCAGTATGAGTGACTGACCTTACGACTGCGAATATGAACATCTGATAACATACCCTCACAAACAAGCATTCCGACCAGACTAACAGGAAAAGTGTACCTCGTCAGGATTTAGAAGAGAAATCGAAAGCCTCCGGCCGTACAGCAGGACCTCGACCTGAGCTCCTCCAACGACCCGGTAGACGACGTTGCACTCAGAAGCCACATTTTCGAACCCATCCACACTTTGGAAGCGCTCGGGGAAGTCTTCTCCGGGTTCCAGAGCCGAAACGAGAATGGAGTTCAGCGGATCTCCTGAGAGCATAAGAGTTCCATAACAAAGAAGACATTTGAGCATACAGTTTTGGATTTCCTATAGCTTAGGAATTTCAGAGTGGTCCCTACAGAGGTTAGGGGGAAAAACAGCCCCTAAATGAGACCGAAAAAGGGCGTCTGACCCTTTGCCCCTAAAGCTTAAGTGGCCCCTATAGAGGTCTTACAATTTCATTCTTAAAGGTTATTTATTTAGTTTTTCGCCTAAAATCGCACAGGTTTCATAAAAAATTATCGACTCGCATGTCGCCTCTAGGGAGCACTAAATAAAACCCCTAAAGGACCTCTTTCGCAAGTTTAGAGGCCCCTATTGGGGTCGGTAAAGTGTTCTCTAGAAGGGAAGCTTGAAGGGCCCCTTTAGGAACTACTCTGGAGTTCTTAGAAAAGTTTTGAAAGACGTTGAAGGGCTGGGTGAAGATTTCCATGTTCGCTACCTGCTTTATTTTGGGATTTCGAACTCTTTTTTTTTTTTTTTGAACTCCGTATTCAGCAGTGAATCGTACCCTGCTAGATTTCGGAGCTTTCTTAGGGTCTCCAGAGTGGTCCCTATAGGGGCAATCTTAGAGGCCCTTGGAGGTCGCCTCTAGGGGTCACTGAAGCTTGGAAAAGTGGTCCCAAAAAGCGTTCATTTAGTGGCTCCTATAGAGGGCATGCTAATCGATAATTTTTATGAAATCTATGCGAAGAAACCCTTCCATGCGAGAAACCAAATGAATAAGCGTTTTTTTAATGAAATTGAAAGACCCCGATAGGGACAACTTGAGTTTTAGAGTCTCCAGGGTCAAACTCTAAACCCCATAAGGACCAAGTTTCCGTGAGTATTAACTATGTCAAATACTCATCTAGAACTTCAGAGTGTCTGGGGTGAGTTCAGAAAACTTTAGACTTCTTTCCAAAATAATTTCCTATTTGAGAAAACTATTTCGGCTACCTGTTACGATTGTCGCCTTTTTTGCATAGCAGAACAGCTCGCTTTTAGATACGATGCTGGTGCAAAATCGAACTGCCTTAATAGTTGAAAAAAATTCATCTGTAAATTATTTGTTTCAAACCGTATTTCTTTCCAGGATGTTGCTTTTGTCTCCTTCGTACTGATAGAGCTCATTTCTCGTAACAATGACGAAACAGCCGTGGTCGTTAATTGAATTAAGAAATGGAGCCACCAACCGGACATCGACCTTTTTCGAACCTTGTTACAAAAGAAAATAATCTACACTCATCAAAAAACCGCATACCTCTGAACTGGATAACCATAACTTCTGGGAAGGGACATTCTATCTGCTTCGTCTTAAGAGCGCTTCGGGCAAAATTCAATTCTTCTACCTAAGAAAGCACTGCCAGCCTATGGGTGAGCCTACTTACCACGTTGTTGTTTTCGCTGTATTTGGACTTGACATATTTCGACTGAAACCATGAATTTTGAACCGACAATGAATTCATTCAAACCTGTGATTCGAAAAGGTCGTCCTGGCTTATGCGTGAGTTCGGAGTGTTCCTTTTCGAATGATTAGTTTTACAAAATGGCGTTGGAAGTCTTGGCAAAACATTTCTAAACAAAAAATTGGTTTTTTTTTTGCTATTGAGCAGTATAACTCACGAACTGCATGGGAATATCGAATCCAAATCAATGTCTCCATCCATATGGTCGGGTGAGTAAGAAGGAGCTTCACTACATTTAAAAAAATTTTCCAATCCCAATGCGATATTTGTAGGTTTCAATGCAACACTCGATGCTGAAAAGTGAAATAAAGCTCATCCCTTGAGAGAGCTGACGCTACTATAGTGGCCACTCCGGTCCGAGGTTTTTTTGAGAAACAATCAGAGGAAAAAGTTCATGGCAATACAGCAAGAAAAAAAAAGTTACAAAAACAAACAACCATAATTTTCCTACATTATGTCACTATTAACCTCGCTAACACCTTTTGATTACGAAAACCCAAGAAAAAAAAACTCACGATTTTTATTGGAGGAAGAAATTATTGGCAGCTCAATCAGCTGGGAGTTCAAAATACTTGACTCGCGCCCGATAACTTCCTCAGCATCCGCGCTCTATTGACAAATTTTTGAAACGGTTTTTTTTTTTGTTTCAAACCTTGTTTTCTCTTCTGTTTTCTTTAAAAAGTTCATTTTTTTGCCGTCTCGGGTCTTCGTTCTCTTGGACTATTCCGCTCTTTACTTTGTTGTTTGAGAACATTAACTATTGATCCTTGCTCTATTGTTTTTCTGGAAAATTTAAGTTTAGTTTTCTTTGCTTTGTATAAAATTTTCAATCGAACAGCAGCTTTTTTTTTCTAAATTAAGAAAAATCAAAAAATTGTCAGAAATTATTAATTAGGGATACCATTGCGCGCTTAATTTAAATAGAAGTAAATAGGATAATTTTCAAAAACGTCTGTTTTGCAAGACTTGTAGATAGACGAGATATTTAGGATGCTATGTAGAATTGTGATAGGAACGTTGAAACGACCATATTCAAACATGAATGAAAAAAAAAAAGTTAAAAACGGTAGAAAAGGCGCCAAGCCGTCAAGGCCGGTAAAGGACGTGCGCGAGAAACGAGGAGGAGACTGCGGGATGTGAGAAAAGAGAACAACGCTTGCGCTCTCCGACTGTGTACAACGGAACCTTTGTTAATTCTCTTCCCATTGTGGGAGTGAAAGCTTAGAAGAATACGGTTCGCCCAGAATAAACAATCATTCGATAGATTTCTGCCAAAACTTTCGGCCAAGCAATGATTCACATTTTTCTTTCCCTTATTTTGAGTCATATGGTCCCGCTTGTTTCATCGATTTTCCGAATTTTGTTTTCATTTTTCGTTCGCACTTTTTTTTTTGCATACTAATTTTTGTCATGCGATTTCGAAAGAGAATTTGAGGTCTACGAAGATCAGTGGAAATGGTAATAAAAAAAAGAAATTCGGAACATCCTGTGACACAAAGAGGAGAAATCATAGGAAGTGTTGGCGATAGAAGGTGTTTTCTTTCAAATTCAACATGCATAAAGTTTATATATTTAGAGATGTGGCCGCTCACTCACTTAGAGTCCAGCGACTACACCATGAGCTCAATATGAACCCCTACCTGAGACAGTTGGAGCGGCTTCTTTCCCAGCCTATTAGGTATTCGTTCTCATTTAATTTTTTTAATCGACATTTTTTTGAAGGATTCCTGGAGCACCATTCAATCCGTTGATGGGCACTCGTATGAGGCAGAGCATTTTTTCGGTCAGAAATATTTGGAATTCCGAAGAAGAAAGAAGAGGAGAGGTAGCCGTTTTTTGAATATTTTTTTCAACAATATTTTTTTCTAGAAATCTCGATTTTTCAATACGAAAACGATTCAAGACAGAGGGTGGCTGCAAGATGTGATTCTGGAGGAAAGCGAGTCAGAAGATGAAAGTTTTTCTTGATTTTTTGTTTTTTTGCGAGAAACCTTGAATTGAGGTGCATCGGGAATATCTCAAAACGACCTTCATCACATTCTGCGGATCCACAAGCTGCGGAGAAAAATACAAAAACGAATCCCATCGGATAAATCCTGCCGTATTTTCAGTTTCTATGGAGCTGGGCTCTTGAGTGCTCACGATCATTATCCGGAAAACTTCCCCTCCGTCCCAAAACCCTCGGAAACCGACTCTACTAGCGTTCCCGAAGAATCTGAGCCTTCGGAGTCTGCCCAAAAATCTCCACATTTGACCGTCGTCGTGCCTGATTCTATCGACGGCGCTTCCGAAACTACTCATGTCATACCTATTCCTCCTTTGTCGCAATAATCTTTCATTACAACTTTATCACAAAATACGAGGTTCTTTCAATCATTTTAACAATAAATTTTTTTAAAATAACTTTTTTCATCAGTATACGCGTTCGAACGCTTGGAATATCTATTGAAGAAAAGGATTTTTTGATTTAAAAAATCATATTAAAATTTTCAGATGGATAGCAATGAGCTACTCGAACAGTTACTGGATCCTAAATCTCCCTTGAATATTGAAAGTCTTTTAGTGAGTAAATCTTATTTTCAAAAAGTAACGGAATCGTTTGTTAAGGATACAATAACGGCCCTGGTGAACGACTGCAAAATACCAGTGCTTCTTCGTATGAAAAGTATCGACAGCTTCATCAATCGATGTTAGTTTTTTTTTCCTTGGTTAAATATTCTATTTTTTGTGCTCAGCAAGCTTTGTATTCAATTAGTAAGTTTTTTTGGTGCACCTCAAAGGCAAAAAAATATTTTAAAAAAACTCTATTATCCGTGAAAGAAAAAAATATTAGAGACTATAGTCGTTAAGTTATTTCTTAGTGAAGTTAATATGCACAGGACCATGTTCTTGAACTTTGGTGATGTAAGGTTCTACAGAGAACTCACAGGCTTTTGGAGTTTTTCTTCTTTTTTTTTCCCGTACTAATGGAGTTCTTTTCATTTCAATGTATCGTCTTCCTATTATTTGATAAGTTTCCCGTGATGCATCCTATTTTCCATCTAACAAGGAAAGTCGTTCCACTTTTTGGTTGGGCATTTCCTGAAACTTTACTGAAACACTCCTTGATGTACCGGAAGAAGATTCTGAAGGTCTCAACCTGCAAAAATTCCTAGTTTTTGAAAAATAAAATTTCGAAGTCTAAGAAAACTCTCGAAATCCGTTAAAATAAGCCTATTTGGGGGCTTTGAGCTCTCATTTATCAAAAACTAGGGATTTGTGCAAGCTGAACACTTTCAGGATATTTTTCTGGTACATCAAATAGTGTTTCTGCCAATTTTCAGGAAATTCCCAACCGCAAAGTAAAATGAACTTCCTTGTAAAGTAATTTACGTTGTTTGATAGCTCACTTTACGTCACTAAGCTATATGTCATGATTGGCCTTCAAATTTAATAGCTGTCGTGATTGTGGAGTGATGTGTTCAGATGAGAAAGTGGTTGAACGACTGTCGAGTCTGCGGCTGAAAGGCAGCGACTTCAGGCAACTGAAGGTGATCGGCCGCGGCGCGTTCGGCGAGGTTCAGCTCGTCCGACACGTGCGCAACAACACCGTCTACGCGATGAAAGTCCTCAACAAGGACGACATGGTGTGAATTTTGTGTCGTCCTCCATATATGTCTACTGAACCTCGATAAGATAGTGTGAAGAGGCAATTTTGTTTCCTTTTGAGTCGTGATGTTCTGTTCCATTTTCATTTTTTGGTTCAGTAGCTTCTTTCTGAGTGTTCGGGAAGTATAGAAGGTCCCAACTGGGAGAGATAAATAGTTTGACATTGGATGCATCCGATACTACAAAAATCGGGTGGTTTTTGAGTTGAAAACCAGCGAAATTTTGACGACTTTCCGATTTTTTCATGTCGCTAGCGATGTTTTCGACTTTTTTTTTTCTAGATAAAATAAGCCGTTGATGAATGATTAAAACACTAAAAAAAATAAGAAAAGGTTAATAGATCTTTTAAAAACTGAAAAAATAAAGGAAAAAAGTCGGAAACGTCGCCGTCAGGAAGTTCCCCTAGCGATATGAAAAAATCGGATAAATTCGCCGTTCGAAAATTAGCTGGTTTTTTTTTTCATACCATCAAAAATAGGTTGGTCAAAATCAGAAGAATCTTGACTTGTATGAGAAGGAAGACATTCAACTTTTTTTTTAGAAGTATATCTTGATGTGAGGTTTATTGTGTTGAAAAGCTCTTCCCAAAATTATATTTCCGAAGCCTTGTAGGGGTTTCTCCCAGAAAATTGAGGAAATCAAAAAATTGTTCAAGCTGTGTAAAACAAACAGAGTTTAGGTCATATTATAATTAGGAAACTCTGAAATGCAATGAAAAAAGAAAAGAAACCTTCAGATAAAACGAGCAGACTCGGCTTTCTTCTGGGAAGAACGAGACATAATGGCGCACGCCAACTCGGAGTGGATAGTCAGGCTGCAATACGCCTTCCAGGCAAGTTGACGCTGAATATCGAAAGGAATCGAGGGTTACCAGGACTGCCGATATCTCTACATGGTGATGGAATACATGCCGGGCGGTGATCTCGTTAATTTGATGACTCAATACGATGTCTCAGAGAAGTGGACCCGGTTTTACACGGCCGAACTGGTCGAAGCATTGGCTGCCCTACATGAGATGGGCTACATCCACAGGTCTGAAATTTTCGGTCGCTTCCGACCTGAACTTGTCCTTTCAGAGATGTCAAACCAGATAACATGCTCATTTCTCGAAGTGGACATATCAAACTGGCTGATTTTGGAACCTGCGTCCGAATGAACAATAATGGCGTCGTTCGGTGTTCTACAGGTACATATTCCCTTCCAGGTTGGCTGATAAGCTGTTGATTTGAAGCCGTCGGCACTCCGGACTACATCTCACCTGAAGTGCTGCGAAATCAAGGACAAGACGCCGAGTTTGGAAAGGAAGTCGATTGGTGGTACGTCTTGAAAAAACTCGGTTCAGAAAAGGAGTACTGATAACGAAATTAGAAGAATATAGTCATAAATGCGGAATTTGGTATGATCAGATCCGAAAAAGGAACGGCGTAACTCATGGAGAAAAAAAAAGTTGAGAAGAAAGAGATCAAAATTTCAACCTGGCGTTGTTTTTTCATACTCGGGTTTCCATGTGCAAGAGCTTTTCAACGAAAAGCTGCTGTAAGTAACTACTTTGCTAGTTGCAAACCAGTTGCAAGTTACTTCGAAGTTCCATAAATTTGCAACTCGGAAAAAAAGTCGAACGAGTCGGTTTCAAGCCCCTCGCAACTAGTTTGCAGCTCAATTGCTGGCTTGCTACTGCAAGACCATGGTTTAGTAAAAATAGCAACCTAGCTGCAAATGACCCTCTGCCGGGTTGCAACACAGCCTATTTTTAGTTGCAAACTGCAAAATTCCTGCAGTTTGTATGCATACTAGTCTGTACCGAATTACAAAGCTCTTGCAACTGGCTACCTGAGTTTATCATGTTCCTTGTTCTTCGCCTTACATCCTCAGATAAGTTCCTGAAAAAGCGAAAAAAGAACAAAGAAGTTTTGAAGACGAATAGTATTTTTTGGGAGATTTCAGGTCTGTGGGTGTTTTCATCTACGAGATGCTCATCGGAGAGACGCCCTTCTATGCGGAAGCTCTAGTTTCCACGTACACCAATATCATGAACCACAAAACGAGCCTCAAGTTCCCCGACGACGCTCAGATTTCCGACAACGCCAAAGACTTGATAAAGAGGTTCCTCTCGTCGGTAGAAGAGCGGCTGGGAAGGAACAGCGTTGCCGAAATCAAGCGTCATCCATTCTTCGTTAACAAAGAATGGAATTTCGAAACCTTGAGACAAGGTTTGTCTTTTTTTAATGAGCACATGGCTCCAAGGGGCGTTACAAATCTAGGCGATTTTCTCAGTTTCTGAAAAATGAAACGTTCGCATTTTTGACGATAAAAAGCATTCCTACACATTTTAGACAAGTTCCTAACCAAGAAAAAGCAGATTCGAATTGAAGAAAAATTTTGAGACGGAAAGCGCTTTTCGAAGCAAGGGAGAGTTCTCAGAAATGTGAGTTCGGCATGCTGAAAAATTCGATCACTTTTTTATGACGCCTATTTTTTCAAGTTTTCAAATTTTGAAAAATTTTTTGGGCTCTATAAAGGTTTTAACGGTTTTGAAGCACCTATTTCTTCATTATATAACAGTTTCGAAGTCAGGTCTTCGAAAATTCTGGCCATGGCCGAAAAAATTTTTTTTTTTCTGTATATTTCCCCCAAAAAATGCTCTTAAATCTTAATTAACAATTCGCACTCAAAATATTTCGATTGCAGGTCAATTTTAAAAGGTTGACACGAAACTAATTGAAAAAACCCAAAATCTCCTATTTTTGAGCCGCCAGTATTTCGTTTTTTTCGAAACCTAAAGCCGTACCAAAAATCGAGAATTATACGCATTTTGAACGCTTTAACAATTTAGAATAGAACGGAAAAAAATTTAAAATTTTCAAGAATAGCCACTTTGAAAATGTGACCGAACCGACCGAATTTTTCCATCCATCATGCCGAGTTAGACTTAACAGAAATTTTTAATTTTTCTATACCATTTTTTTCTTTCAGCCACGCCACCTGTGATCCCGGAACTCAAAAGCGATGACGACACAACGCATTTTGAGGCTCATAATTGTCGTGAATTTCTTATAATCAAAGATTCTTTCAGGAAATCGAGACGAAAGACCGAGACGCTCAGGAAAGCTTTCAACTGCCGAAAACTTTCAACGGAAACCAGCTGCCTTTCATAGGATTTACTTATTCCAACGAGTTTTCTCCCATTTCTGGCATGAAATCGAACAAAACAGCTACAAAATCAATCGCTGAACCTTCACCTGCAGCAGAGGTATGTTGTTATAGAATCCCAAAATGCTCTCTCAATTTTTTTCTAAAGTAGGGTTGTCAATATTTTTTTTTTTTCCGTTGAGAAACGATTTTATTCAAAAAGTATGATGTGAAACTTCAAATTGCAGAACTCAGTGAGCCAGGGAGGAGGGGTTTAAAAGATTTTTACAAGATTTCCAAAAATTAGGAATATAATAAAGTTTCAATCTCAATGAGGTAGTTTCGGCCACAAAAATACGAGTTTTAGCCTTAAGAAGGCAGTATTAAACTTTAATTTAGGTGAACTTGGAAGGAGGGTCTCTAAAAATGGTCAGCCCATGTGTGATTCAAGCGAAAATCGAATATTGAGAAATAGTTTCTTTTTTTCAGAAACTGCTCGACGAGTTGAAATCTCAGTTGAACGCGAAAAAAATAGAGGTTGAGAAACTGAAGGAAGGTCAGTTCAAGGCTGACGAAGCGTTGAAAAGCCTAGAGAGCGACAAGATGCAGTAATAACTCACCAGAAAATTGGTTTTGAACTCGGAAAATTCAGTTGTATGACGAGGATCGCGGAATGCGAGAGAGACTTGAAAGAGGCCAAGGAAAAGCTGAGAGTGGGCAACGAAGCCGACGAAAGGGTCAACATTATCACGCTGGACCTCCGTTTGGCACGGGAACGCAATTCTGAATTGGAGAATGACATCGTCAAGGTCTCCTTTTTTGTTGCAGCATTTCAAAATTTTTGTTTTCTAAAGATCCGTCAGAAGTGCGAGGAACTGAAGGAAGAACTCCGGAAAAAGTTGTCGGAGTTGGCTCAAGAAAAAGACGAAGCTCGTCGTTTCGCCGCCCACAAACGGGTACGTGGTTTTTTTTTTGTGAGCACCATTTTTGGCAACAAAAATAGTCATATTGTGGTCTACTTGCTTTCTTTTTCGGTTGAAATGTCCTTAATTTACTCAAAAAATTGTTGGTTTGAAATAAAAACCAGCGAAATTTCGACGACTTTTCCGTTTTTTTTCGTATCGCTAGAGAACTTTCCGATTTTTTTTTCTCGATATTCTCTTCGTTTCGAATTTTCCTATTGTAATAGGTAGTTGATTCATGACACGAAGTGAAAGGAAAAAAATTTTATTAGATTTTTTTATAAACCCAAAAAAACTTAAGAGAAAAATAGTCGGAAAGTTCCCTAGCGATTTGAAAAAAATCAGTCGCCGTTCGTAAATTTGCTAGCTTTTTCATACCATCATAAAATTATAAGCACTTACCGAAACTTAAAAAAGCGATATTTCAGAAAATTCCTTCCCTCTTGCATTAATTAAAAAAAGCATCGAACTTTTTTTTAGTAGAATTTTTCATATTTTTTTTCTCCTTCTGTGTTGATTGTATTCCACCAGTTGTTTATCTTACTATTTTCAATTTTCAAAAATCGAGACTTTCTAAGAAATTGACTTATGACGGGTTCAAAATGGTTCCACGAAGTTCAAAATACCCGTTTGAGTAAGAAAAAGATAACTAAAATTTGGAGAGTCAGAGATAATTTTGCACTTCGCGGAAGTTACTTTGAACACGGAATAAATTCGGAAACCAGCCCATGAGATAGGGAAAAATGTTCGTTTTTTTCCAGGAACTTGAAGAACTAAATGCGTCATTGCGACAGCAGGCAGTCGAAGCCAAACTCCGCGAGGAGGAGATCTCGGTCAAATTGAAAAAGGCACAGGAGGAAAGGAAAGAGAACGGCGCTTATCAGGTTCGTTCTCCCAATTTCTTTGTCAACTACTTTTGCCGTTCAGGAAGTCGTGAAGCAGTCTGACCAAGAGTTTGTCCGCAAACTTGAATACTACAAACAACAGGTTTTTTTTTTGTCGATTTCCTATTTTTAGCTTTGAAAAGCCACGAATTATATAGTATTAGCTGCTCTTTTTTTTTTTTAATTTGAATTTTAACAAGGGAACCTTTTACCCCTCCCGGTTGAAATTTTGATGAAACTTTTCTGTGTACCTTAGGGCCTTCTGATTGCAGAACAAGAAACAAGAGAGAAAAATTCTCGCAATATATCTGCTTTTCGATTCATGAAGCTAAAGTATACTTCAGCAAAGTTTCATCAAAATTCCAACCGAAAGTTTTTTTTTTACCTTGAAAAGCGGTTTTTAGTAAACCTTCTTCCGCAGATTTTCTTTCAGAGGAAAAAAAAACAAGGTTTATCAGTAGCCGCACCTCTGCATATTTTCAGCGATTTCAAAATCTGAGTCTATGTGAATTCCATTTGTTGGAAAATATCTCAAATTCACAATTTTCTTAGAGAATTATTGCAGCTTGATCAACTACATCAAGAACTCACCCGGGAAAATCAGATGCGAACAGCGGCCGAAGCGGATTTGACGCGAATCGCTCGCCGTCTCGCCGGTTTCGAAGCCAACCATGACTATCTCCAACAGGTTCAGCGTCACACCAAATTTAAAAATATTTTTTCGTTATAAACATCAAGAAGAATTTAAACTATCAGAAAAAAAAGTAGGATCCATAGATGGGCAAGTACAGAACTCTTTCAGCCCGGGAGGAGGGATTGGTTTAGAAAAGTTTGGAAAATTAGGAATAAAATCAAGTTTCAACTTCAAGGAGGTCGGCGGCTTTTTTATTCGAACCATGAGGTGAACATAATCCGAAACTTCCTAAGAAAAAAATAAACCGTACGAAAGAGATTTTAAGGAGTGCAACGCTGCAGTCAGTCGCAAGACACAGCTCGAGCGCGAGGTGCACGAAATGACGAGCGAGAAACGGCGGCTGGAAATGCGCGTCGAGCAGCTGATGGAAAGTCGCATCAGCGACGAGCAAGTCTTGGTAGGAAATGTCGGATGCCCTTGCGAAAGCTTCCTTGCAGTCTCTCTGCCAGAAAGAGGTCTACGAGAGTCAGGAAGAAGCCAAGGACATGGAGCACGACATGCGCAGCTTGGTCGGCTCCTTGAAGGCCGAGCTCGAGAACGAGCGGCAGACGCGGCTGAGTCTCGAGGAAAGTATGAACGTTTTCGACAAGGAGAAGGCGATGCTCCACATGGAAGTTCAAGAACTTGTTCAGCGTCATAGTCGAGTGCGTGCCTGATTTCTGAGAACTTTCCAAATTCCGCTTCTAGGAACTTCACACGAAGGAACAACAAAACAAATTCTTGGAGAAACAGATGGAAGAGTTGTCGTTGAACACGAGCAAAACATCTCAGCGGGAAGATGATCTCAAACGAATCGTTGAATTGGAAAAGTTGTTCCCGACGAATTTCAGTTGAACTTCAAGTGTTTGCAGGAAATTGGAGATTGAAACCGCCCACAAGAAGGCTGTGATCCAGAAGTTGGAAGAAGAAATGGCCAAAAGACAACCTACGAAGAAGGGCGAAAAGGGCATCTCCAAGTCTCAGATCATCAAAAAAGAACGCGAAATCGTTAGTTTCATGTTTTTCATTTTTTCTGTTCATTGTAATGGCGTTATCAAAGTAATGTTTGCCAAACGCAAAATTATCTCACCTTCCAAAATCTAGTTATCTTTTTCTTTCTCTGACGGCTATTTTGGATTCCACATAATCACTTTTAACATGGCGTAACAGCTATAATATACGTCAATAAAAAATTCCCGATTAAAATTTCAAAAAGTGGATTTAGTTAATTTTTTCACACAAATAGAGATGGTGTCGAACACCTACCTCCACAAATTTATCTTTATAAAGTTATTTTCAAACTGAAAGTGAGTTCCTTGGAGGAATTTTTCGAATTTCCAGATGGCCTTGCAACAAGAGAAAGATGCTCTGAACAAACGCTTCCAGGCCTTGTATTCAGACCACGAAAAAGTTTGTTTCATTCAATTTCAAACTAAACGCGAATCTTTAGGATACGGCCGAATTCTATATTCAAATCCAAGACGAGCAGAAGAGTTCTGACAGACTTCGCGATGAGAACAAAGAACTGAAAGAAAGAATCGACGATCTGCTCCGCAACGGTCTCCGATTCACTGACGATAAAAGGTTTTTTTCATTCAAAAAATTTCTTTATTGTCTTATCCCAAGTTCTCGATTTTCAATGGGAGGTGTAGTCGATTCACGGCTATTGGCTGTGCTCTCCACAAACCAGGCACTCTATCTTTTATTATCGTGTCAGGATCCTTTTTTGATGGCTAAAGTCAGCCTTTAATCAGTTAAGTGTAGGATTTGACTAACTAGTAATGTTTTTGATAGGCTTATAAGCCCTACAAACTTTGCTAACTCAGAAGCAAAATGCAGGAAATTACTTTATTTTTTCGGGTTTGGGATATCATAGACCATAAATTTCTCTAGATTCTCGGGAAACTTTAAGAATCTTACTTTTTGTGTATAATTTCCGTGGTGAAAATGTGGCAGCGTTAGGATTTAAATACATTGGTAAGGAAAACTTTAAGACGACATGAAAAAGGAGCTCAAAAGCTTTTTCACATCATTTTCGGAGCTGAGGAACCTTTTGAGCTCCCTCTCAGAATCCTTTGAGGATTCTCTATGTAAAATCTGTCAAAAAATATTGGAATATTGCGGTTCAGGTCGATCGATTCCAGAGAGGGAATCCCGACGTCGATCCACCAAGAAAACACCATGGAAGGCTGGCTGAGTATTCGCGACGTGAAGAAATCTCGCAAACCCAAGGTATTTCCGAGAATCCGCTCAGCGAGTAATCTTCCTCTGTCAGTGGACTAATCATTTCGCTGTCCTCAACGAGTTTTACTTCGCCATCTACATGGACGACAAAGCTCCTCTGCAGTCGATCGTAACCGTCGAAGCTGGGTATACATTGATCAGTATCCGAAAAGAAACAATTATCTATTTTTAAAGAAACCTCTGTCACGTAAGGCATGTGACCGCCGCTGACTTGAGGAATGTCGACGATAATCAGTTACCCAAGATTTTCCATGTTGGTTTTTTTTTTCTCGAAAAATGATGATCCTATAACATTATTCTCTCTCTCACAGAAATCTCGTCTATCAGCTCTTTTTTTTAGGCGTTTAGTTAAAAAAAAACGTTGATTTATGTTCATAAACAGAAAAAAGAATGTCCTTATTGTTCAGGTAATCAAGTTAAGGTGAGTTAAATTAGTCAAGCTAAATTAAATTAAGGTTGACGCACTATAAAACGTTAATCCCTTCCCCATAATTCTCGCCTATCAGCTCTTTTTAGGCGTTAATGCCGTGTTCAAAGTAATTTCCGCGAAATGCAAAATTATCTCTGACTCTCCAAAATGTAGTTGTCTTATTCTTTCTCTGACGGATATTTTGCATTCCGCGGAATCACTTTGAACACGGCATCAGCCTTCAATTTATAAATTTTATGTCCATAAACAGAAAAAAGAACGAGATCATTTTTCAGGTAATGTACGACGATAAAAGCTCTTCCACGAGCCGACACGCTTCGAATTCGGATCTTTCCTCGATGGAAACTCAGAGAGAGGTTTTTTCATCTTTTTTAAAGTTGAAAGAAGGCTCTTGTTCATAAATATAATTTTTTTTTCCTTATTAACTTTATTATTTAAGTTTTTTTTCTACTTGAGCGGTTTTATTATCGCTGCGAGGCCTCAATACATTAAACTTTTATATTTTCTAAAATTTTCATTTTTTCGAAACATACTGGATCCCACTCCAGCCTTTTGCGCGCGAAAAAAAATTTGAAAATGTACTGAATTATTTTTCGAAACAGTCTTAGTTTTTCTGTGCGCAGGAATGCTGGAAACGGCACGACTTCCAAGAGCTCTCCTTCCACATCAAAACCCACTGTGACGAGTGCGGAAAGAAGCTGTCCGACATGATCCGACCGACGCCGGCTTTCGAGTGCCGCAACTGCCGCTACAAAGTCCACAAGGAGCACGTCGCCCAAGGAACAATCAACGCTTGCAAATGTCCGTTTGAATTTTTTCCTCTTATCTCAATGGCAAATCCAAGACGTGTATTGACCTTTCCCAAAAATTGTTCCCGATCAGAAAAGCGCCTAATATCAGCGTTGCACGGGAGGGATTCGAATTTAAATTTTTGGATGAAAAATTTTTTTTTCATCTTAGAAAAAGTTGATAATAGTGAAGTCTTGTATTTGGAAGAGTTCAGTTTCCCCAGTAATTTGGGAGCAGCACCAGAATTTGGCTTCCTATTATTTGTTAGGGCCTGAAAGAAAGTCTTCATCGTTTGGTTTCAGACACGGGTTTGTCGCGCGAGATTTTGCTGATGGCTCCGCGGCCGGAAGTGTGCGTCCGATGGGTGACGCTCCTCCGACGGTTCATCGAAGCTCGACCCGGCGCTTCTGTGTCCCGCGTCTCCTCCAGAAGGCATCCAGCCGCTCTGCTCAACTCCTCCACCACTTCCTCTCAGCCTTGAGCATTCTCACCACTTTTGATCTGGGATATACCTGTCTTTCAGCTCTGTATCCTCACTTGAACTCATGCTCCACTCTTAATCAGTCTGAATCTTTTTTTCGAGTATGATGTTCCCTCAATCTTCTTCTGTGCAGGTTTCATATCATTGTATGCATTATCGGGCATTGATTGATTCATTCGATTCTTTGTAGATTGTTCCTTTCTGAAAACAAGTCTTTGCCGGCTCCATAATTTATTCCTTTCTTTGTGATGTTGGCCACCTTTCGACCATTATCTGTATATTATTTTCATTCCGCCGAGAGTTTCTTAATGCGACTTTCCTATTCCACATGTGGACCATTCCTGTGATTCATAATAACTGATGTTTTTGTTAAGTTTTTTTCTTTTCTTTTTTTGTTTGAAACTTTTTTTCAGTGGCTTTATAAGATTAATTAGCTCGTTTTGGATGACGATTTAATGGGAACCTCATTGCAAATACACTTCCGAGTAAAGTTTACCAGTATATTTTATTTATTGAAACTGTTTTATTTTTTTCTTTTGCTTTGTGCGCAATTAATCCCTATTTGAATAAAAAAAGAAACATTAAATATTTTTGTTATTTCTCATCCTACGTTGATTATCGAAATTATACCGTAAAGAGTTCTAGGCAAAAAAAAAATATATATATTTTTTTGGGATGGGGAGCTCGAATTTGAGTGACCCGCAAACCGATGGTACGATCCTTGCGACTGCGTCTTACGACCAGACGATTCGAGTCTGGGACGTATCCAAGACGGTTCATTCTGGCTCCATCTCCCACTCTGAGGGCCAGGTCTCTCCAATTTTCCCCTCTACCTGTCTTATCTCTCAGATATCATGGTACCCCATCTACAGGTGAATTCCATGAGCCTCACCTCAAACGCACGACAACTGGCCGTGGGCTCCTGGCAAAAGATTCGCGTGTACGATCTCGGGGCAGGCCTTCCGAAGGACCCCATCGCCACCTTCGACAACTTGTTCAAAAACGTCACTTCCATCGGTTTCGAAGTATGTCTCTTTGGTTTGTATTCTGCAAAAATCGAATCTTATCTTTTTCTTCTTGCTAGGCTGTGATTCAACCAAAGAAAAAGGGACTTTTAACAAAAATGGGGCCTTTTTTTAATTTTCATAGTCAAAGAAAACCATAATGGTGGATAGGCCAAAATCAGGCTTCGAGTTCGTTTGTAACTGTGATTTTTGCGGGTGGTTCCTTTCTCTGGTCTATTCAAAAATTTTGGTCAATTTTGAGGAAAACAACATTTTTTTTAAAGCTTTCTCAAGCTACAAAATTTTTTATCCCTGAAATCATAGGGTAAGTTTTATAAGCACTGAAAAAAAGTATAAAAAAAGAGCAAATTTAATTTTTTTGAAAAAAATAAATCTTAAACTCCGTTCTATACACCTTGCCAACATCCTTTTTTTACATTTGAAATAAAAAAATCTATTTGGAATAATTTTTTTACTTTTTTTCCGTACAAAAAAATTTTTGGAGAAAAGGCCTTTTTTTCTTGACCTTTTTTTCTGAAAGGTCCTTTCAAGAAAGAATGAAAGAATGAGGCGGAAAAAATAAGGTTCCAAGAAAATTTTGACACTTTTTTCAAAAATTAGCTTTAGACTCTTCTTTTTAAGGACTTTTTGAGGTCGTTTAGACTTTGTCTGTGTAGTTCTCACGCGATTTTCTATCTCAAGAAAATATTTTTCTTATGAAATGATATATTTTTTTTTTCTGAACAGATGCACGGACGGTGGATGTTCGCCGGCGGCGACGATATGTTCTGCCGAGTCTTCGAAATGCGCGGCAATCAGTTGATTTGCCAGAGAATCTTTGACGTTTGCTCCCGCCAAAAGCCATTCAGCACACTTTCCTGTTTCAGAAATCGCAATCATCCATCACAAGTATTGAAATCGCCACCAACCAGGTCGACTTGTTCATCGCCAACGCTTCTGGAGACGTTTCAAAACATTCTTGTGTCGAAAGTCGATGCCCAAACGTTTAGGTATTCCGCTGGGATTTGCGGCGCGACGACTACGAAAGACTTCCCGTTCCTGTGATGGGAACGCAGGAATGCATTCAGAAGCTCTCTGTTCATCCGTCTGGCCAGAAAATGGCTGGCATGACTAACAAAGGCATCTCTCACCGATCGCCCCTCGTTTCAAGTTTCGGTTCAGGCAGACTCGTCCATTGGGATTTGAAAACGCAGAGTTTGCATGATCGGCCCCTTGAGTGTTCTGCCGCGCTGAACGGCGATCCGATCAGCTTCCTGAACAATTACGGCCTGAGTTGTCGGTTTGTGAAATGAACGGGACGAACCCGACATGCTGCTGCAGCTATTCGCCAAACGGGGAGCACATCGCCCTTTGCGGATCCGACACGGAGGCGGTCGCTTTGCACGCCGACGACTTCTCCCGCCGCACACCCCTCAACTTCGGAAGTGTTTGGAACTGGGACTGCGCGTTTTCTTGCGACAGCAGGTACGCAAGAAAGTTTCTGGGCGAAGTCGGAAAGGGTGGAAAAAGTCTCCGTAGTAATGCTCCCTTTTTGCTGCTTCTTCGCCTTTTCATCGGCTCTTATGGAAGGCTCGAAATAGTCTGTTCAGATTTCTAATGTCAAGTCCTCGCTCAAGCTCCGCCCCCAATGGCGCGATAAACCAATCAGAGAGCGAGCCATCCACAGAGCGTTTTCGAATGACGTCATTCTACTTGACATTCAAAATCTGAACGGACTGTAAAAGGATTATTTTTGCTGCCTTTCTGCAGCCTCTTCGGATAATAGGAATTTGCAGACACATGTTTTCTGCCGGCGGGGACTTCAAACTGCGCATCTGGGACACGACGACGTGGGAGCGCGTCGCCGAGATCGACGGCCACACGAAACCCGTCACGGCTCTCTGCTCCAACGCTCGCTATTAATCACATCTTTCACATTCTTGTGTCATATTGCTTCCCAGATTTTTTTTTTCTTCATACATTCCCCTTGTCTCGGTTATCCTTCCCAATTTCTTGTATAGCATGCATTTTACCGTTATCGAATTCTAGTCATTGAAACTATTTTCGGATTTGTTTTTCTCAATTTGAAAAGCAGTGTATAAATTTGTTGAGTTTAATAAAATAAATTTTCTCGAGTGAAGATCTTGGTAATGATGTGTTATGGAACATGATATTTCATCTTCTCAAAAAATTGTTGATATAGCTGTTTCAAGACTAGCTTGGGACGTTAAAGGGGCGTGGCCTGTCTGAGCTCTCCAAGAGCCAGGCACTATCTCGTGCTTTATCGTGTCAGGACCCTTTTTCGATTACTTAAGCCAGCCTTGAATCAGCTATAACTTTTTTTTTTCGATAAATGCCGCCCGATTTGTTTGAAAAAAAAACAAGAAAAAAAGTCGAGTGAAGTCGAAGTGAAAAAATTTCCTAAACCTTTTTAGGTTTTTTTGGGTTTATTTCGCAAAGTTCAAAATTGCCGTCAGAGAAAGAAAAAGATAACTAAATTTTTAGAGAGTCAGAGATAACTTTACTTTTTAAAAATTATTATCATAACTTTTCATTTGCGGAAATTACTTTGAACACGGCGTTACACCCTAGGTTTATTTGACTCATTTTCTAAAAAGAATTAATATAAATCACTCTCAATAGATTTCCAAACTGTTGTGAATGGAAGTGGGTTGTGCGCGGAAATTCCGTCAAAAATGTCGTCTCTGTTTCTCTCGCGCGATTTCTCTCGCCGAGGTGGCGACAGTCCTCCTCCTCGTGAGGTATATACCGTTCCTCCTATTTCCGCAACCTTATTCCCTTATATTCCAAACATTTCAGAGGAATGGCGCGCGTGTTGTCAAAATATGACAAATGTGCAACAATTTTTTTTTCGCTCCTCACAACTTTTCTTGAGAAGCTCCTTAGATGCATTTGAAGCTCCATTCAAAACTATAATAGTTATCTTTTTTCAATTTCTTCCTTCTTAACCTTTCCAAGTTTTAAATGCTTTATAGAGAGAGATTTATATCTATTTGTATTTTTCAAAGATGAATTCAGTGTATTGGTAAACGTTCAGTAGGATTATTTTACAACACTTGCTCTTTCTGTAATTTTTTCCGCTTCTCGTTTTTTCAACGTGTTTTTTTCCATTCTGGGAAATTTTTTTGTGGCCACTATAGAGGCTAGCCAAAGAATACTTGAGAAGACACTAAAGTGGCCACTAAACCCACCTCTATAGTGGCCACTACTTTCCGTTTTAGTGGCCACTTTAGAGGTTCTTCATTTAATGGCCACTTCAATAGTTTTCCATCCAGTATTCCTTCCACTAACTTTGGTATTTTTTAAAAACAAACAGATTGGACCAGTTATGATGATCCATTGACCCCTAAATGGGTCACTGAAATTTTAGTGGTCTTGTAGTAGCACTTAGACCTCTATAGTGGCCACTAATTTTTAAACCCTTAAATGGCCACTAATTTGACTACTATAATGGCCATTAAAACGTCAAAACCCAGTAGTGGCCATTAAAAATTTTTTCCAGTTCATCGTGATTCTCAAAACTCTTGTTTGAATTTTATTTATATCTCAAAATCGAGTCCCCAGAGGTCGTCGAATAGGCCAAGTCACCAAGAATCCTTCATTCAAAAATTTTTTATGTTATTTACAATTCTTCTTTTGTTCCCGATGGTTTCGCTCTCCAAATCATTAATTTTAGGTTTGACGCAAAAAGATGTTCGCCCGAAAGGGCAAGTCTTCGGACATTCAGGCCAGCATCCAACGCTTCACCGACCTCAATAGGTTTCGATCAAAACACACTGAAATGGAACTCAAATCATCGATTAAGGGATTGTGTCAGTCGGGTTAAGCATCTCAAAATTTTGCTGGACACCTTGACTTTGAACGTATGTTTCCGTATCTTTTCCGTTTAAGGGTTCAGGATTTCAGGAAAAACGACAATTGTTGGGTGAACACAGCTTCGAGACGTTCCACTTAGTTGATGAGCTTCTCCTCGCGACGGACATCGATAAGAACCCGCAGGTTTTCGATTTGTTCAAGTATGAAAAATGGGCAGTGTGAAAAAAAAGACCAGCGAAAATTCAAACGGCGACTTTTCCGATTTTTTCATATCGCTAGGAAACTTTCCGAGGGCCACCTTTCCGATGAATCTCTTTCCTACTTTTTTCCCTTATGTTTTTCGGTTTATAAACCATCTATTAACATTTTCATTCCTAATTTTTTTGTGTTTTTAATCATGAACCAATCAACTACTTTATATAGGAAGATTAAAAAAAGACGATTTTATCGAGAAAAAAAGCCGGAAAAAAAGATTCGTTGGTAAGGTTGCCATCGGAAAGCCCTAGCGATATGAAAAAATCGGAAAAATCGCCGTTTGAATTTTCGCTGGTCTTTTTTTCATACCACCGAGAAATGGATGGTTCATTCAACATAGGCAAAGTCGGAAAGGGTGAAAATTTTCTTTTTTGCTGCCATTTTATCGGCTCTTACGCACCATTTTCGCTGCCTCTCGTTCCCCACCATTTTTTGGATCTTCAAAATTTAATAAAAAATGAAAGGCTCGATAAAGGGGCCCTTTTTGCTGCCTTTTTGCGGCCTTTTTTGAGCCTCTCTCTCTCTTTCAGCGGTCCTTCCGATTTTGCCCGAGAAGAAGAAAAGGGATATTAAAAAAATATTATTTATCGGTCGGTTTGCACTCAAAAAAAGGGTCAGAGTCCTTGAAGTTCCCCAATTTAATAGGGTTATAGTGAAAAATTAAACTTTCCATTGTTTGTGATTATTTCCAGCTGGAAGGAGCCATCGAAGCGGAAAGTGGCCTCTGGACTTTGGAACAAGTGCTCTGTCTGGCGCCGGAACTTGTCGGCAGCGGTACGGATTTCCTTTTTTTCTTTTTTCATCCGATTCTTTTAAAGGTTGGCAAAGGCACGCGATCGAGTCTCTTCTCAAGAAAGCAATATTTCCGAAAAATCTGCTCGCTGTCAGAAAAATCGCCATACGACTGTTCTTAATCTTCTATCAATGTTTAGGAGTTCACGGAAAGGTTTTTTCAATTCAAATCTTCTCAAAATGTTGGTGTTCAGGCGACTGCCGATTTGGACCGAGTTTTCCAGTGTTTGTTGCCTTTCTTCCCTTTGAAAGGTAACGAAAACACAGAAGACGTCCTGACGGAATACTGCCAGTCAGCAGGTAATTCTATTTGCCAAATATTGAATTTCGAGGGACTTTGACTTTTTAGGAAGCTTGGAGTGGAACGAAAAGGTCAACTCCGGAAAGATCACGAGCTCGAGCAGCTCCACACTCTCAGCTAAGGAACGAGCTCAGATGCTTCAAGTAAGGGAGTTTAAAGAATATTAACTTTGTTTCTTTGCTCACAGGTTTACTTGGACAAATTTCTCGAGTACTGTACCCGAGAAACGGTAAGAATCGAATGGAGTGACGAGGGAAGACGACTCGAGTGCGCCAAGTTCATTATTGACAAGTAAGGCATTCAATTCTTTTTTCATAGCTTCATCAATTGATATAGTCTATTCATGATTTTATATTGTTCGTTTAAGTTAGAATACAAAAATCACAGTATTCCCAAACTGTCGGCAGCCGTGGTCAGTAGGCGTGGCGGACTGCAAGAGCGGCACGGTTTATTGCAATAGGGGCGCAGGGATGATAGTCGAATTATGTGGATTTAGTGGATGTGAAAGGAGCATTAAATGATGTTTTTTCTAAAAATCTCAAAGAACTTCTTTTAAGAATCCCCATTTCGACATTTTAAAACAGAAAAAAAACTTGTGAAAATCTAGATATTATCAAAAATGTCATTTTATTGGAGTTTTTTGTGACAAAAACATTCGAAAATTACTTCAAAAAGCGCATTAAATATGTTTCTAGAACATACAGGAAGGTAAAGCTACGAATTACCGAAAAATATGCACAAAAAAAGAAAAAAAAAATGTGTCAAAGTGAATGTAATTTTGTGATTTCGTGTTTTTGCCACTCTTTGACGACAATATTTTTTGCCCACCCGTTTTGGAACAGTGTGACAAAAAGTCCACGAATTCCTGAAGAAATGTTAAGATCTTCTTTACAGAGTTATAAAGCACTACATGGGCGAGTGCTTCGAAGAGTTGGAGACGAATGGCGTCGACGTGTTCGGAGGCTGGGAAGGAGCCGAAGAGGTCGGCGAGCCCCTGGACACGGCCGACCCGGTGGTCATCGCTCGGTACTGGCTCATCAGATGGATCAACAACCTGGCGTCGGCCTCCCAACACGGCGCCTCGCAGCAAACCGCCCACTCGGCCCTTCTTCTCTACCATCAGGCCCTTTTCTTTTCCCACAAGGCAACCAATCGCCGAATTTCTTCTTTATTCCCTTTTCTCAGGCCACAAACGTCGCCCTCACTTTGATGAGAGAAGCCATGACCCTGCCTTTGGCCTGCAGCAATGTCACTCACAAGGTGCTTTAAGAGTTCTTTCAAAAAATCTATCATTTATTTTTTTTCCTTCATTGTCAAGACAAAGCAAATCTACAACATATCTGATTTAGAGAAAATTTCACTCTAACGCTCATTTTTTTTTTCCAACTCATCCTAAACCCAAATGGCGCAGAACAAGTCTGCGCCTAATAACTAGGGATAGTTTTTTGCATTCCGGCAGAAAAACCAGAGTGGTCCCTATAAGGGCACACTTAAAAAGCCCTTGGAAGGTACCCTCTAGGAACCATTTTACCAACCTCTATAGGGTTCACTAAAGCTTGCAAAGGTGGTCCCTATAAGGGTTTAGTTATTGGCCCCTATAGAAGACATGCTGGTTAATCTTTATGAAATCTTTATTTTGATTAAAATTGGACGACCCCTTTAGGGACCACTTAAGCTTCAGAAGACTCTAAAGCCCTAGAGACCTTGATTTTACCTCTATAGGAGTTTCTATAGTGGCTGTTTTTCCTCCTAACCCCTATAGGGTTCACTCTAAAATTCCGAAGTATAACTTTGAAAAGTATCATTTCTTTGAAAAAGTTTTTGAGAAATGTCATACATTTGTGTCATTTCCTTCCTTACTTGTTTGTTTAAATGTATGTTTTTTTCAGAATTGACCAAATAATTTATTGAATGTTTCAGGTAGTTTCTGTTATTTCAACGTGGCTCCTTCAGTATGAAATACCGCCTTTTGTTGCCACTGGAGAGGTTTTTGTTTCACCTTCTCCAAAACAAAAAACGAAACTTTCAGGTTTCAATAGAAAGATCTTCGCTTCTTCTTGCGAACATTTTGCTCGGCTTCTTCCATTCTGCCTACCTTTCCCAGTGCGGCGATCGTCAGAACTCGGCCGTCTCCATTTCTTTCGCCATTCTCTCGACCTTCAAGCAGCTTGTCGCGGTTCGAATGCAACTTCCGAAGCCGCTCTCCTCTCGTTTTTGGTATGGAGGTTGTAGATGGAGCTCCAACGCCAGATTTTCTCAGGACAGAGCTCAGTTCTGGCATTTGTCGTTGTGCGACGAAGATTTGCTCCCAATCGGACCCGTACTCGCAAAGTGTGGCCGCGGCCTTCACGTCGACTCTCCTCTCCAACACGGTCATCGTCAAGGTGGGTTGTGTGGAGACACTTCCGTGAGGCCGATGAGACTCCAGGCCGTCAGACGGATCGACATGGACGACTCCGTCTGGGACGACGTCCACAATGTCCTCCAACGTGGCGTCTGGATCTCGATGGCCGAACAGTGGGCGGCGGTCAGTTTTATCCGAAATCCAAATCTATGTCTTCGCCCATGTTTCCCCCAGGCATCCCACTCCGAGACCATAAGCATGAAAAATTGGCGGCGTAAATTCATTTTAAATCAAGTACTCAGACGATTCCTCGAAAGGTGTTGGGAAGGTAACCAGCAGGTGGTAGGGAGGTGAATGCAAGCTAGAATGTCTTGAGAATACCTTGGTAAGGTGTTGGAAGGTCTATAGAAGGTAAAAAGGTAAAAAAAAAAAAGTCTGCCAGAAGCCTTCCAGCAGGCTACTGGAAGGTGAATAGAAGTGTGGGGAAAGTATGTGGAAGACGCTCGACCACTTGCTGGAAGTCCCCTTCCGAGGAACGGAAAGTAGAAGTTTTTCAACTTTAACCTAAGTATATAGCCCGTTTTTTGCGACTTGAAAGCTCTCTCTCTCGTCTCTCTCATTTTTACGTGCTATTTGAATTTTTCTCTGCCCTTGCCGGTGAGGAAACAAAGACAACTTTCAAGTCGCTGCGGACGGACTATATCCGATTTTACCCTACTGAAAATATCAGAAAAGTTTCAGATAGTTCTCAGCGTAACGCGTGCGTTAATCCTGCACCTCGCTCATGTGGACATATTTTCGAGAGAAGAAGTACATCGAAGAGCGGTTTGTTTCTTCTTTTCCAAGATTTTTTTTGTTATAGCTTTATTCAACTCTCTTTTTCAAACGTTCTCTTCTTGATGATTTTTTTATGTGCAGACGGACAACGCAGTGTCACGACGCCAGGCGGAGACGGCGAGTGTAGAAGACTCGAGGAAGTTCGAACAGAATGGCGACGTCGCCGAAGACAACGTCTTCCACGACACGGACGACATCACGAACGCCGTTTCTGTGCGTTTTCGACTCTCCGGCCCCTGAATCGACGATAATATTTCCAGTCGTGGTCTGGAGACAAAACCACTTGGCTCCTCACTTGGAAACGACTCATCAGTCTGGTGAATCCCTACACGACGGCGAATGGTCCCATCGCAATCCAGGCCATCACCCAGACCATTCAGCATCTTCTCTCGGTTTGAACCTCCTGGAAAAGTCTTCAGAAAGCGCTTGGTTGAGGTTTCGCTGTACTCCTTGGCACACTGGCTGGCTTCTCGGCTCGTCGTCGTCCCTCTGCAATTTCTGCCTCAATGTGTGCCCGCCCTGTCCCTCGTCTTGTCTGTAAGCGTCAAACCGCCGCCTCTGCTCGCCGCCAACATCATCCAGTGCTTCATTCTCCTTCTCCGTAACCGCGAAACTCAGGTCGGTCCCCGATTTTATGAAAACCAGGAGGATTTCTGCAGGTGCTCTCTGCGATCTGTAGCCTGACGGCCTGCGAGCTCTCCATCATCGCCCCTTACGCCTTGGAGAACTGCTCCGAACTCCTTCCAACTCTTCAGAACGACAGTCTCAAAACTGTCCAGATTCTGCGGCTTTTCGCCATGTTCGCTCCGTCTTTTCCAGCCGCCGAAGAAGTCCTCTTGAACCAGGTTTTTATAAACCCCCGTGAAAAAATTCAAGAAATGAAAAACGAGACTTTATTTCAAAATACCTCTAGAAAGGAAAGACCACATTTCTGATTGGTGCCCAAAAGGCGAAATTCGAAAATCCTCCTACTATGATTTTTTTTTTTTTGAATTTCGGTGCATGGGCAAAATCGGAAAAGGTGGAAAAAGACTTTGTCCCTTTTAGGGTGACAATGATTCCTTTTTTGCTGCCCTTTTTCCACCATTTCATCGGCCCTTGTGCACCATTTTTTTTCTGCATCTCCCTGTTTCCACCATTTCTTGAACCTTGAGAGCTTCTGAAAAAATAAAGGTACTCTTTTATGCCTTTCTGCGCCCTTTTTTGTCCCTTTTAGCGCCCATTATTCACCATTCTGACTTTGCCCGAGTGGTAACACTTAAAAAATTATTTCAACTCCATAAAAAGGCTGATTTGAGAATTTCTGAATAGATATTTCTCCTTAGAGTCCAAAAAAGGGTTCTGAAAGCTTCATGCTGCGAAACTTCCTAGTTTTTGAAGAGCGAGGGCGGCTCTAATTCAGGGAAATCCTTCATAATCGGTCAAAAATGCCATTTTCGAGGTCTTCATGTCCTTGTTTCTCGAAAAATAGGTAGTTGTACACGTTGATACTTTCAAGAGTTGGTACTTCAAGGGATACAAGGGTCAGAAAATCCCCAAGGTAAAATGACCTTTCTTGTGAGAACAGCAATGCTGACCAGAATGGAAATTACACTCGACAACATTTTTAGCTTGCGACGACCGAAGTTTCGTTGTCAGACTCCTTGATGATTGTCAAAGCACTGATAATAATCATCCTTCAACGCGCACAGATCGATCTTCTCATATCGGTTGTTCGAAAAATACCGTATTTGATTTTTATTTCCTCTCTCTTTCCAGCTCATGAAAATCGTAGAATCTCATCGGTTCGCAGTTAGAATCCTTCCTCTTTTCTCCTCTTGTCTTCCGTCACTTGCTCGCTTCGGCTTCTCCAACCCCGTACTTCAAGGTATCCAAGAAATGAAGCTTTTTCTGAGACTCTTCCAGTGCTTCTTCGCTCTGCCAGCATGATAAGAGAAGAGAGGATCCGGACGGAAGTCGAGTGGATGATGGGCTCTTTGTGTCTGAGCGCAGAGCAACCCGAGCTCGGCACCGTCCTTCGCGGCATTCTCGGCGACCGTCAAATGCTTCTCCAGGGTGAATCGCATTCTTAGGATCTCCAGAGCTGTCCCTAAGGGCCATTGGAGGGTCCCCTTCAAAGAACTCTTTACCAACCCCCATAGGGGCCACTAAAGCTTTCGAAAGCGGTCCTTATAGAAATTTCATTTAGTGCTCCCTATAGGGGCTTTTAGTCGATAATTGTTATGAACTATAAGCGAAGAACCGTTTCTACAGGAAAAACTGGATAAATAAGCGTTTTTTAAGTTGAATTGAAAGACCCCTGTGGGGTCCATTTGAGCTTTAGGGGCTAAGGAATCAGACCCTAAATCCCGATAAGGACCACCTTGATTTTACCCCTATAGGATCCACTTTTTCGGCCCTATAGGGACCACTCTGAAATTCCTAACGAGGTTGCTAACGGAAACTTTTCAGGCGAGCTGGTGACTTTGTCGGGACAATTTCCTCTTCCTGGATTCAACGTTTCCAAATGGAACTCTGTGGAACCCACGACGACAAGCACGGACCGAAACGTGTTCGTCAACCGCAATTCATCAATCATCAGGTAGTATTTCAAAGCAAACTACGCGCATGTCAGAAAGCTCTCAGTGTGAATCGGGAGGCGCAGTGCGAACTGACCTGCAGAACAGTCGTCGGACGTCATTGCTGGACCCTCGACACGCACGTCGCCCCGCGAGAGAAAAGCACCAACGTGACGACGTGGCTCCGGAAAGAAGCCAATCGAGGTCGCAAATCGGGTTCGTCTACACAGACGATTTCTGAAGAAGTTTCTTTCTCAGGAAGAGAGAACTTGGGGATCCTCGGAGCGATGGACGATCCTTTCGACGAGCTGCCGGAGTGCAGCTCTCCGTCGCCCTCCGAGACGTGGCAGGTCGACAGCTCCCAGTGGGCAGCCGCCATCGAGGAGAGTCGTCGTCAGCCTCAGGCTCTCCGTTCCGTCCCTCTCGAGACGCCGACCTACTCCACGCCTTCTCGGTGAGACAGAAAAAACACTGTGAAGAAACATACTTCTTCCCTTGGAAGTTTGCCCACCCATTTTGCAAAAAAAGTTTAGAACCACCCCCCCGTCCTCACATCCGAAAAAGCCCCCCTTTCAAGGCGAATTTCAACTGGTAAAAGGGGGATGACCTGGTTAAACTTCCCCCTCACCTCGTTCCGCAAGTCCGAAAATGCTCCCCACCATGGCGAATTTCAACTGGTGGGAGGTGAAATCAAAGACCTTTCGGTGGGGGGTCTGAATCAAATCAGGGGCAATATATCGTTCTAGAACTTCCCTGCTCCCCCCGCACAGTGCTAAGTGGGGGACGATTTTAGTGCGCGACCAATGTCTAGGCCATCTCCAAGAATCGCAACGTCCATTTATAAAAAAATTCCTAAAAAAATAACCAGCTCCTGTTAAATTTATAGTATACCATGAAACGAAATTAGGATAGGCTCTGATTTTTTCAGAATTTTGGAATGGAGGTCATGCTCGGCGAGTCTTGGACTGGTTCCTTCGGTCTGCGAAGTGCCACCGAATTTCTCTCGCGACCTGAAACACCTCGACCAGACCTGCTCCCGAGAAGTTCACAAAGTGGCTGTGATCTACGTGGGAGAAGGACAAGATGAGAAGACGTCGATCCTTTCCAACACCACCGCCTCCGCTGAGTTCGACACCTTCGTAGCCGAACTCGGATGGGAGGTTAGTCTTGTTTTTTGCAAGCAACTAGGAAAATAAAGGATGTTCTCAACTTGAGTCTGGGCTTCAAAAAAATTTCTGAAATGAATATGGCGTTGATTATTTTGTTCTAGAGTTTGGATTTGAGGTGAGAGTGGGCCGCGGACACGAAGGCTACCCGGGAGGCCTGCCTGGCGACACTTCGGCGCCTTATTACGCCGACGCGGACAGCGAAGTCGTCTTCCACGTGAGTACGGCCCTCTGTGGAGACGCCCAGAACAAGTGGAAGCACATCGGCAACGACGAGGTGCACGTCGTCTGGTCCGACAACTCCAGCAAGCCCTACACTCGAGAGACCATCGCCACGAAGTTTTGTGACGTTCTCATCGTGCTGGAAAACGTCGGAGACAACGTAGGATCTTTTTATCTTGTAGTAATATTGATTAAAAGCTGGTGAAATAGAAATTTCAATGTATGGAGTGGCTTAAGAGAGGAACAGCATAATCATCGAGTTTTGAGAGAATCTTGACTTTTGTTTGTAAAAGGAACTGTTGCTATATCTCTCATTTCCAAAGTAATAGTTTCGAGTCTCAAAAACGTGAGATCGAGATCCATCGTCATCAGTTTTCTTCTTTTCAATTACTTGTCGGAGCTTGGTATCGCAAATCGGACGTGTCGGAGCATTTCTAGTGACCCCTTTAGTAGCGTCAGCGCTCTTAAGTAAACCCTAGAGATGCCGAGAAACGTCCGGAGCACGTCCGTTTCGTGTTATGTTCAATTTTTGCGTCATTCTGAATTCAATGGACCATGATTTAATCTTTTTACCCCATCAAATGGCTTCAGAAAAGGTAAAAAGAATGAAGTTGCAGATGATGAGAGTTCGCGTCGACACAGCGAGTGCCCTTGAGTTTGGTCCCTTGTTCGACGGCGCTTTGATAGGCCAAGCCGAACTAGCCAGCCTTGTTCGTACAACTGTCGTGAGTTTCTCGACTTAATGAGCTGATCTGAAATGGCGACGTCTTCAGCTGAACGCTTCGCGTGCGTATCGTCTGGCAAGGTCGGATCATGCACGGCCTCTGCGTCACCGTGAGGACGTCTTCTTCCGCGAGACGCCGTCCTTGATGCAGCCTCTGGCGCTTTCCCACGCCATCAATGCGCTCTACGTTCCCAGCATTTGAGACTTTCCTGAAAAAAGAAAATATCGGAAACTAAGGTCTAGCTACTCCCTAAATCTTCTTCTTGACCCTTTTTCAAAGAAGTCCCAGTTTTTTCCGATAACCTTCTTCCGCCCAACCTTGTTCTTCATGACCCTTTTCATTTTTTTTTCCTATCTTTTCTGTGTCTTTTTTTCAAACTTCACCTGGCCATACATTTGTGTGTTCAGTTATATTTTGCACTGCACGGATGGAGACATGATTTTCTGATGAACTTCTTCGGCCTAGCGAACTTGCTTTAACTATTTTGCACTTTTGAGAAATCCTGTACAACGTCGGTTTTTTTTTCGCACAAGGAATGTACAAAATTTTAGTATTTTTCTCGTTTTGTGGTCGGTTTGCCTTTTATTTTGTTCTATGTGATATTTTGGAAAATGTGATAATTTCTTCTCGCTTGTAATATCTCTGCGGTACGTCATAATAAAGATTTTTTTGAATTCTTATATTTCTAATCAAATTTCTCTAGAATTGGTAAGTGACAGCCGAAAACGATATTTCAATACTTAAATTATGAGTCCTGGACCTTTTTTCAAATTATTTTCATCATTTTAACTAATATGCGGAAATTCGGAAATTGCACACCTATAGCTGATTCACGGCCGGCTTGAGTCATCGAAAAAAAGGTCCTGACAAGAAAAGAGACAGTGCCTGGTTGGTTGTGAGCACAGACAGGCCACGCCCCCTTAGCGTCTCAAGTTACCCGTGAATCGGCTATATTTTCCGAGAACGAGATTTCTCAGATTTATAGTTTATAGTACAAGATTTTTCTGCACTAGCTATAGTCTGTTCAGATTATAAATGTCAAGTCGTCGCTCAAGCTCCGCCTCCTAATGGCGCGATAAACCAATCAGAGAGCTAGCCATCCACAGAGCCTTTTCGAATGACGTCATTCTACTTGACACTCAAAATCTGAACGGACTATACCGATAAGACTGTAATTTTCGGCTCTCAACGAAGTTAGCTCAGATGAACATCCTACCGAAGAAGAAATGGCATGTCAGGACGAAAGAAAATGTCGCGCGTGTGCGGCGCGACGAAGCCAAGGCGGCGGAGGAGGAGCAGCGACGGCTCGACCGCCAAATTCTGGCTCAGAATGAACGACGGCTGAATCTCCTCAGAGACAAGGCCGAAACAAGGTTCTCTCCCACCTGAATCTGAAAACATCCATTTGCTCAGAATGGCCGACATGTTCGGCGTGGCGTCTAGTTCCACCAAGGATGTCAGCATTTCCAACGAATCCGGCCATGTTAATCTTTTTCAAGTAATACTTTCTTCCATTAATTTTTAGGTTCTCAAAAAACTCGAATCTTTCCGAAAAAGTCTATTGTATATTTCAGGACCTGGAGAGAGAGGAAAGGAAAAATTTAGCCGGTGGAAATAAGGAGTACGATGAGGAGAAAGCCCGCGAGAAAAAGGAATGGGAATCCAAAATGGGGATCCAGGTGTATTTGGCCGACGGCAGCAGTGAACTAGACAAAAAGGTAAGTTTTGCTTAGGGATTTTTAGAGTGGTCTCTGTAGGGTTTAGTGGTCGAAAAGGTGGTCCAAAAAGGGAAAAATCAAGGTGGTCCCTATAGGAGTTTTGGATTTGATCCCTCAGTCCCTAAAGCTTGAGTGGTTCCTAGAGGGGTCTTTCAATTTTATTCAAAAAAGGTTATTTTGTTCAATTTTTCGCATGTAAATGCTTCATGAAAATTATCGACTAGCATGTCTCCTATAGGGTCCACTAACTAAACACCCTATAGAAGCCACTTTGGCAAGCTTTAGTGACCCCTATAGGGGTTGGTAGTGATCCCTAGAGGGGGCCCTCCAAGAGCTCCTAAGGTTGCCCCTATGGGGACCACTCTCCTCATTTTATGAAGTTTTTTTCAGGGTGCATGGTACGAGAAGATGTCGTTTCGGAAAGCGCCTGAGAAGAAAGTAAATTCATCAACGGATTGCAATAGAAAATGTTGTATTTAAGAATGCGACCCCAGTTCCGAAGCTACCAAGTCTCGTTATTGATACGCAACAGAAAAGTACAGAAAGTGAGAGGAAGAAGAAAAAGAAACGTCGGAGAACTTCGAGTTCTTCATCCGACAGTGGGAAGCACAAGAAGAGCAAGAAAAAAAGTGCTGAAGATTTTTGCCTTGTACCGCATCTTTCTTATTTTAAGAGAAGCATCGAAGGAAGAATGAGTCTGAAGACGAAGTGGAGGCGAAGAAGGAAGAGAAGTTGCGACTCGCTCAGCTCCGCGAGGAACGAATCAAACGAGAGCGCCTCGAGGTTTCTTTTTCCGAGAAGCAGAAATAAATGATGACTTCCAGGCCGCTCGAACTCATGCCCTGTTGAACCCTGAGGCGGCAAAGAAGAACGAACCAACCAAGCCGAAATACAACTCGATGTTCAACCCACATTTAGCTCGATAATCAAAGTTTCACAATAAATATTTCATTAAATTCTGTCAGTTTGAATAATAGTCGTCAGAGCGTTTCATATCTTAAATTCGTGGTTTTCTCCTGAACTTCATCTTTTTTCTAGCCATGGTCACGTACCCACGCAAGATCTGGGTAGTCAGACACGCTGAAAGGTATCCAAAACTGAAATATAATTTTTTCCGACTTGAAAGGCGAGGGAGACGCGTAGCGTATGCGTACGCGGTTCTTGGCACGAGTTCAATTCAACCGCCAGCGAGCATTCAGAGAGCTTATTTATCGTTTTTTTTTTCACTCCTTTTTTAATTATTTATTGATTATGTTCATGTGTGCATCAAAAGTAGTAGAAAATACAGAAAAAAGAGCGGTTGCCGAGCTTTTTAAATAGTCTGAGGCAATTGAATTGAACTGGCGAAATTCAAAATAGCTACCACAGAGTGAAAAATATTACTGAATTTCAGAAATTGAGATAAATTGTATAATTCCGCGAAAAATATTATGAACGTGGCATGTGTGAGAGCGCCGAGGTGCATGCACACGACACTACACTTTACGGAAAAAATATGGGCGGGGCGTCCCAAAAAAAACGCCATGTGGCGCCAAGAATCGCGTACGCACACGCTACGCGTCCCGCCCCGTCTTTCAAGTCGGGAAAGATACTATAAATTTTTTTGAAAACTTAAATTTCCAACAGGGAGGACAACATCAACAGAGGATGGAGGAAGCTGGAGGGATCTGAAGGGCTGGCCAGCGACAACTCGATGCTGAGTGCCCGGGGGAAGCAACAGGCTCGTGAATGTGCTCAGAGGTCAGATTCCTAGGTTTTCTTTAATTTGTTGTTTTCAGATTCAAAAATCACGACATCGCGCACGTTTTCGCTTCGCCCTACGATAGAACTGTTGAGACGGCCTCGACTATTGTGGCAGGCAAGAACTTGAAAGTCAAGGTACAAAATGGACAGGTCGAAGAAATATTCTGGAAAATATCAGGCCGAGCCTGGACTGTGCGAGGCTCTGTATTTATGTGAGAAGCCTCCGGGTTTTTGGTCCAACGAACAATTGGCGGAAAAATTCCCTCTCGTCGATCTCGACTACGTACCTGTTTATTCCAAGGTTTCTGGATTTTTGGGCCTTTTTAAATCAATATTTCATAGTATACGTTACCTAAAGAGGGCTACGGGGACGACGCCTGTGTTCCAAGAGTGAAGTCGACCTTGAGTCAAATATTTTCGCGATTTGAAGGTAAAAATTAACTTTTTAGAAAGTAGTTTCCCTCGTCAGATAGTTTATCCGAAGAAATACAGCTTTTCTTGAAGGTAACCTCCTGCTCGTGGGCCATGGCGCATCGATCGGAGCTGTCCATGAGGTCCTGATGGAAGACTTCAAGTATGTCGGCCAGGCGACTGTTTCCGAATTCGAAGAAACTGCGCCCGACTGCTTCCGCCATAAGTACAGTTCTGATGCTAGTCATCTGTCCGATCGGCGGAACTTGAGGCCCTGGTAGTCATGTTGGTTACTTTTTTCCCATGTGTTTTCTAATCGATACCGGTTAAAACTGATAATTTATTATAAGTAAGTATTTAAAAGCCTATACCAGCAAGAAGTTGGCGACAACAGTGAATAAAAGTTAGCCCGCATGAAGTTGAGAAGAAAGAAAAAATACATAAAATATAAGTCAATTTTTGTTTTGGTGGACTACGTAGACACCTTCCGCAGCTTTCCAAACACCACCGTTCGTGAGAGAATCCGTTCCGACAACCTAAGAATCAGAATGAGACGTTTGAAAACAATTTGCTCGTTGTACCTCGCGTTGGCCACTGATCGGCCGTCCGAATTGTTGTCCCGAAAGCGCAAGATAAACGCCAGTGTCGACGTGCTTGAACCTCACTTGCTGCAAAGATAATGGTTGAAAAGCCTGAGAACAGAAATCACATCAGATTCGCTCCAAACGTCTTCGTTGCACATGAGCGTCCAGTGGTCTCCGGTGTCGCTTTCTTTTTCACTTCCAAAGCAGGAGACTTCCTATAAAAAAAAATAGTCAAAATAGTCGTCAAAGAAAGAAAAAGATAATTAAATTTTGGAGCGTCAGAGACCATTTAATTCGTTAATACTATATCAAGTTCAAATTCTACTTTTAATTTTTCAATTTTGTTTTTCTGCAATAGTAGACAGGTTGTAATTGAATGAAAAACGAAGAAACCTGGTATTGTTTGGAAAGAGGCCCTTGGAAATGATGACTGTGCAAGAAGCAACCCGTTGAAAGATGTTTCAGACGCAGTTTGGAGCCACACTCAAGACTATCACCTCTGTGGCAGCTTTCAGTCAAAGCTAAATTCAATCAAAGCTTTCTTTGTCGCAAAAATGTACCAACCTGGGAAGATTTGCCAGTGCGAGTTGATGTCGTCTGAAGATTTCACGCCGGTAACAGACTGTTGCCCACTTCCGCTGCCATACTTCACGTCGTGTGAGTGCAGCCGTGACCCTTCGTTTGCGTTCATCAATTTCAGCACACTCATACACGTCACCAGATCCTCACCAAGAACCGATCCCGCAATAGAGAGAAACAAAACGACAAACATACTGAAATTTTTTCAAAAATAATCATGAGTTTGAAACTTTTAAAGAGGTCTTTCCAAGAAAAATTTTTATTTTTGGTTTCAGAACTGGATTTACTTTGAGAAAAAAATAAATAAAAATGACTACATAGACTAATATAATTTTATTTTGCATCGCCACAGTATCTGTCTGTGAGGGAAAATGTGAGCGTTGCAGCAAGAATTAATTCTAAGAAAAAATCAACTTATTCACAAAAACTCTAGCGACCTTTATATTAATATACCACATATAAATGAATGATTGCAAATAAATCTCAATAAAAAAATATTTCATATCGTAAAGACACATCGAGTTGGCAAAGTGCCCGTGGCTGCACGTAATGTGCGCCAATGAGCGGATCGGTGACATTTTTCTTGACGGAATTTCTGTTTCGGCTTTTGGGAGGGAACGCGCCGGGGTTCAGGCTATTATTTCTGTTTTTTGGGTTAGAAAAGCAGTGACTGAGTACATATATGTCGAAAGAATGCGATTAACTACTAAGCGCTGAACTATTTTTTTTCTTTTGCAATAAGACGTGTAAAACCGCAGGGTTAACCCAAAAAAACAAGAATAAATCCATAATTTGAATGTGATAAACGCCAAGACGGACCAGAGAGGCTTTTTCATTCACAAAAAACTCGAGAATATATGAGTATACCTCTAAAAACGGATTATAGGTGTCTAATAGTACATCCAGCGTGAGATCTCTAGCTTACATTCTCAGGCGAATCCTGGGAAGGTGTTGAGAATGTAACCAGAAGGAGGTAGGAAGGTTAATGGGAGCTAGAAGTTTTTGAGAAGGCCTGTTTAGGAGGAGTTGGAAGGTTTTGGAAAGTAAAAATTGGAAACGCCTGCCAGAAGCCCTCCAGCAGGCTTCTGGAAGGTAAGGAGAGGTGTTGGGAAGACGTTTGACCACTTGCTCGAACGCTTCCACACGCGTTCCGAAAAATCAAAAGCGGAATCCAACTTTTACCTGAGCTTCAGCTCTATCTGAGCCATACCGGAGGTTCTTAAAAGTATATTTCAAGTCCATCGCATTTTGCTCAAATTTCGGTTTCTTGAATTCCTTTGAATTTTGAATTCCGGGCTGGCTTAGAACGTTTCAAATTTACAGCCCCTTAAGGCAATTTTACCATTTAATGTAGATATAACTTTTGCAGGGAGAAAACTCTATTTATTCAGGCATTCCGTATTGGATTTTTTTTTTGCATTTAAGAGAAGTTTATTATAAGCGAGTGACAATTCGAAATAACGACGCCAAAGCAACGATTTTTCCTCCAAATGCAAGCAAATTCGGGTGCGCCATGTTCTGAATGATCCACTGAGCAATCTGTAACGGAAATCTTTTTTTTTTATTAATTTTGATGGGCAGAGCGGACCGATCCCGCCAACATCTTTGTGCTTTCGAAAGCTGTGAACGAGTTTGCGTTGACGTGAAGAACTAGCCAGAGCTCTGAGTAGAGGTTGCACGCCATGAACAAGAACGACAGGCTCATGAGGGTCTGGAAACCATGAAAACTCGGAGAAACTTTGACGACCACCCACATAGTCAATGGACTCCCAGCTGGCTGTGACTTGTACGTCACGACTCAGAAAAGACATCAATGCGGGAATAAATAGACCAGCCGACACTAGACGCGTGTAGTGGAAGCAGACGTTGTCCGCGTGGCCTAAAGCACGTCATTTGTGAATCAGACGTCCCTTATACCAGGAGAGGAGATTATCGAACCTTTTCCACTCATCTCGAAGGCTTCTTGTAACTTCAGGACGGAGAAAGCTCTGACAATCGGCAAAAAGATCGCACAGAGCATCGAAAAAGGAGTGTGTTCAAGCTGACCCCATTCAAGCCAGGAAAGCGACGTCGCCAATGCCAACGGCACCTGTAAACTTAGTTTTGGTTTGATTTTAATGGTTATACAACCACCAGGAATCCTTCGGGCTTTTCTGGAGATTTTGAGCTCTTCTTTTGATAGCCGACGATTGTCAGGGTAAACAGGAAGTCGAAAACTCTTAATAACAGATTATTTCTCTAATAAGGAAAGTGTTTGAGGTGAAAAATCGAAAAACAAAAAGAAATATCTGCTAAGCGTATCAGGGTACTGAAAAATAGCCTGTCGAAAATGTACGGAAAAACTAAAAAACTGATTTTATTTTTTTTCGATTTCTAAAACGTCTACTGTTATCCACTATATCATGAGCAACACAAGGAAGGAATTTTTTTCTAAATCAAGAAAAAAAAGATCGGATAACAAACCTAATAAGATACAACTCTCCGGTACGGTTCTGAGAATGAGCTCCAGAGACCAGTAGCGTCTCCAGAATCTTGAAGCCGACGGCATATTTCAAGGTCTGTACTGGATATACTTTTTGATTGAAAGTCTCGATACTCACATTAAATTCAATAGGAGCACTTGGAATAACATGTGCATATCGGAGCAGAGACAAAAGTCCGAAAGTAGTGAAGAAATGGAGGAAGTGGATTACCGATGTTCTGACGTCAAGGACAAAAAACAAAACGTTGTGGGCAGCTGAAAGCATGAACGCCGAAGACACGTTGAGAAGGAAATAGTAGAAGACATCGCTCTAAACTCCGGAACTTCTGAATACCTTGAATCCGAAAACGCACCTTGGAGCTTTGCCGCGTCATGACGGGTTTGAGGACAAAAAGGGCCACGCAAACAGAGGACCAAGTCGCCGATTGCTATCTTCTCGACCAGCCGACAAGGTTCGACGACACTCTTTCGCCAGAATTCCCTTCATCTTACAAAGATGATCTCAAGAAGTTCTCTGAAGAATTCAAAGTTTGAGGCGAAAACATGAACGGGAGTCCTGAAGGCAGATTTTAATGCTTGACATTCAAAATCTGAACCGACTGTAGATCCAAGTGTTTTCTCTAGCGCTGTATGATTGATCTGCAATGACTTATTCAATCTGGTTCGCTAAAATTTCTCAACGTAACTTCGAATTTCGAAGTTACGTTGAAAAACAAAGTATCATCGACAGAAAAGGCGTTTTTACGGGGTTTTAAAAAGAGAATTTCGCACAGTTCAAATCAGTCTCGGACATTCGTAAACGCGAAACAGACTTGCTCAGGACGTTTCTGGGCACTTCTAGCGATCACTTAAAAGTTCTGACACTACTGAAGTGGTCACCACGTCCGATTAGCGTGTCCAATTTCCGAGGTCATTTTCAAATATTTAATCACGTTTTTGTGTTTTTCTAGAGAATTTCAAAAATCTATTTTTTGCTATATATTTTTCTACGTTAAAGAAAACTATCTATGGGGTTATCTTGTTCTCAAATGTTTTATTAACAGTTTTATCCGTAGGAGAACTGTTAAAAAAATAAAAAAATGAAAGCGTCTGCAGTTGTATGAGGCAGTGCATGCGGAAAGAACAATTTTGCGCGTCGCCATGTTTTTCAAATTATTTCAAATGTTTGAATGTTTAAATGTTTTTTTGTTACTTATATACTTTGAAACTGTTTCCATTCGTTTGAATCATTTTAATGTTTATGACGGAAATATAGTAACTCCATTACAAAACGTATTTTTCTCTCGAAAAAAGATCATGAAGGTGCGCGCGCGAGTTGCATTTTTTGCTCCACCCATGCATCCCTGCCTTAACAGGTTTTGAGCCAAAAAGAGTTCTTAAAAATGCTCTTTTTATTATCATTTTTTCGACTTTTTTCTGTTGAAATTTCCAGAATTTTTTTAATTGAATCTCATTGGCTCAGTCTATAGTTTCTATTCATCTCTTCATGTGCGTTCATTTTCGAAAAATCATCGGCGCTTCCTACCTATAATTTTATAAAAGGAAAGATCAGTTTCAGGATCGTTTGTAATTATCAAACTTCATCGGCATATCGGACAATTTTTCTTTATGATGGAAAGAATTGTCGAAGAATTGCCTTATGCATCCGTCGTAGACAGACCTTTCATAGATGCATACTGCGCAAGATGTGTAGAGCGTATTTCGGATGACTCTGAGAGGTGAATTCACTTTTTTTTTTTGAATATTCTCATTCAAGGTATTTTCTCATTTGGTAGATCGAAAATTTGGCTTTTTTTCCTTTCCTCAGAAGTGTGTTCTCACGTAACAGAAAAGCCGTTTCATGAATGCAATAAAGGACTTTCAGTTTTTCCTGCGATTATTGCTCTGAAGTGAAATACTGTAAAGCAAGCTGTCAAAGAAAAGATTGGAACGACGTTCACGCTGTGCGTAAAACTTTAAATTTGTTTCATGTAACTTTTTTAGTTTGAAGGTGGAATGTGCTGTTCTGCGTAGTTCGCAAAGTGAACGGAAGTCGCTTTCTTCAACTACACGACTGGCTCTGCGCGTAATCTTCCAATTATACGGGCCGTCTTCCTCAAAGTCCTATGTGGCATTCAATGGGTCAACGATAGAAAAGCTAGAAACAAGTATGTTTATATTTATTGCAAGTTATAGGGGAAAACTTTCATGTTCATATATCGAATCTATGAACATAAATTTCATGAATGATTCACGATTTTGTTGATGAATCAGTTCATCTTGTTGAAGACTATGACGCAATTCGTTCAAATACGGAGTACAACCACTTTCTCGTGGACATAATGGCAATAATCAAAAGCTGCTGTCACTCCTTGTCTCAAAATGAGGATATGTGCAGCACAAAGCTTGAAGCGGTCAGCAAAACACAGATTTCTTCAATCGTCTGCGCGGTGAGAAGCGACTGGAAACTAAAAATAAAACTAGAAATGGCCCAGGTACTGGCGAACGCATTCAGCATCGTCGATGAGCTGAAGGGCGAATCGGTCGGATTGGGTCTCTATGTGGGGTAAGAATTGATATTTTTCCTCGACTCTGTTAGTAGGCTATCTAAGCACAACCACGCGTGCGCCTCCGATGCGCACGTCGTCTTCGATGGAAGACGTGCTCTTCTGATGGCTCCCGTCGGCACTTCTTACATTCAGCAGGTTTTTTGTTAGAGGCTTACTGATACCAATAAATCTCTAGCTCACGATCTCTTATGTCTCGAGGATGCTGCCGACTTTCGAACGACAAAAGAACATTTCTCGGGTCCACTTCTTTGTCTGTAAATGTCAGCTATGTCAAGACGATCAGAAGGTTTTTTAGCTCTACAGTTATTTGAGCGGGAAAGATTCAGGAGGCACGGGCTTCAGCTTGTCCCTGCTCTGACGAAAAATGCGACGGTTTTTGCCCCGTTTCATCTGTTTTCATTTCAAACCAATACAAATGCGTCAAATGTGGCGCCCTTCCCAAGTTTCATCACGCAGAGGCCAGTTTTTTTCTGTGATTGATCATTTCGAGAAATAGTGACGTATCGGTATCATTCTTCAACCTCTGCGAACACGAGAATCATTGTTTCAAAAAAAAAAGTTAGGCCAAAGATTCTTCTTTTTATTTCGTAGCCTAGATCAATCAAAATGGACTAGAAGAAATTTCTGAAAAATGATTTTGTCTTCATTTTTACGGTCACGTTTTAAAAAACAGCAAGAAAAAGCTACCATCGAAACTGCTTTTTTTGCTCTTATGCTCTTCAAAACTGCAAAAAAAGATAGCAAAAAACAAGGGTCTCGAAGTGAATTCGGTATACGGTATTTTTGTCGCAAAAAAAAGTGACAAGCTGGCGCGGAATGGGCTATATCTCCTTCAACCGTTTTTAGGGAGTAGACCTTTTTTGACTCTGTTTCAACTTTATTTAAAAAGAAATATGAAAAAAACATTGGAAAGAGCTTATAACTTTATACGTTATAGGTTCACCAATTCATGGTAAATTTGCTCGGAGAAATGGAGCGGTTAGAGAAATTAGGCCTTTTCTCCCAAGAAAGTGAGTTTATTTATTTAAATAATAATTTATAGATCTCATCAGACAACTCGATGTTGTTTTCAAGTCTTCGGGAACTCCGGGACAGATATAAGAAGGTACCCAAAAAGCAATTTAAATCTCCAAAACGAAGACTTGAAGTTCCTCGCGTCGTGCAACATCGGAATGCTGCTGCTGAACGAACAAATCGCCTCGAGCGCAGCGCGACTCCCGCCAAATTCTATAACTCCGGAAGAGTTGGTCGGAATCGGCTTGAGCGACTGCGACGAGTACATGTTAGTCTTCGTACGCTGTTTCTAATGCCGTGTTTCTTTTTTTTCAGAGAAAGACTCGGCATCGGATATCCGGAGACAACTCGTCGACTATATATAGCCTGCGTGTGTGTGAATCGGGCAGCACGCTCTTCCCAATACCCTGAGATATTCCAAAAAGTCGCTTTGAAATTGTGTCAAAATTACATTTTCCCGTTTCAGGCCTTCGAGTCAAGTCTGGTGAGCCATGGAGAAACACATCCACTGACAAAAGAAATAAGGAAATTGTCATCTTCATAAATTATTTCGTAGCAAAAAAAAAACTGGTAAACACAATCAAGATTTTATTGTTCTTAGATTAGGACAGAGTAACCGATTCAGAAATAGGGTAAAAAAAAACAGTAGTAGCACTGGGAACGGGTACAAGAAAGGGTATCAAGGAAAACCAAAAGAGAAGAAAATTAACTTTAATATTCGAAGAAATCGCAGTACTCAGCCAAATCGCCTTGCAAGGAATCGACATCAGAAGAAGATGAGTAGTCCTCGCAGACGCTGCCTCCGATCGAACCTCCGTCGCTGAAAGGAGCTCGACGGTCGCCGGTCGAGTGCCTTGTTCATCAAACGGTCCCTGAAAATAGCTCTTGAAAGCTCTTTTCGACTGAAAGAAATGTCTCAATTCAAAAAGGAACCATTGCTCATGAAACTTGCAACAGCACACGCATCTTGAAATTGCTTTTTCAAAGGCAAAAAAGGACGTTAGCAAACATTGAGCAAACGCCTCCCATAATGGGTGCTTTGATAATAATCGTTGAGAACCGGAAGCTCTAAGTATTACAGAAAATTAACTGGTAACAGCTTCTAAATAAGGTTTCCTTCAACTTTTTCATAACGCCTACTTTCGGGCGATACGCTTTATAAAGGTCAAGGCACTGACCAACATTCGCGACCAGCGTAATAGTAGACGGGAAGCGCAGGTTGGTCGCTCTGGATGGGAATCGTGAAGGCTCCCATCTCCTCCCACAACAGCCACTCGCCGACGCGCAGTTGACGGCACCGCAGAACCTCCTGCGCCACGTCCATGTCGTCCAGAGATGGTCCAACGATTGTTCCGAAATGCTGTTCCTCCATCTCTTCAGGCATCTCGCTTTCCTTCAAAGTGAGTTGATTCCAGAATGAAAGCTTCTCTTTTTTGAATTTCTCTCATTCTTTATAGCTGATTCACGGTTAGCTTGGGGCGCAGATTAGCCAAAAAAGCATGGACTGTCTGAGCTTTCCACTAATCAGGTACTATCTTTTATTATCGTTTCAGGACCATTTTTTCAATGGCTCAAACCAGCTATATTTTTTTGGATGATAATCTGAGCCATCTATTTTGATAAATGCAGAAACTTTTTCAAATGAACAAAAGATGATGGAAAGATGAAGAATGCTGTAGGACTTCTTACATAAATTATTGAAAAAATCATATTTCCATGTTTCATAAAATGCCGAAAACTCAAAAGCTGGAACTTTTCTTATAACACGAAAACCTACATGGAGCGGTTTGCAGAGAGGGTTCACGTCGAGAAGTCGACAGCCGAACGATCCGTAGACGCCTTCGTTGGTTTGGTAGACGAAACCGACGCCATCGTCGAAATCTCAACCAAATTAATATAAATTGAAAGACTCAATGAAAATAAACCGTCGTTGGTGATTTGTTTCGCCTCGAGAGCTTGTTTGCCGATGACGTTGGTGCAAAGAGAGAAGGCGTTCATGACAAGGAAAGAGCCCGCGTTGGCGAACACCTCGACGTTCGAGAAATAGCACAGAGGGAAAAGTTCGTTCAGAGTGGTTTCGATGGAGCTGCACAACTGCAAAAGGATCCTTGCACACGGGATGAGCGCTCACACAAACCATTTTGTAGTCGACGCTGGCAAAGTCACGCGTTATCGAGATGTTTCCCATGCCAATGCGCGACATCGCGAGACCCATCATCTTCGCTTCGTCAAACAGTTTCCGAGTCTCTTTCAGCGCTTTCGCATAACAGTTGGCGGTGGCAGAAGATCCCAGTTCGAAGCTTCAAAGATGTAGTTGAACAAAAATTATAACAATGTAGTTCACAGCTAGCTTGGGACTCGAAAATGTGTGGCCTGTCTGGACCTTCTACCAACTAGGCACTGTCTCTTTTATTATCGTTTCAGGACCCTTTTTTCGATGGCTCAAGCCAGCCGTGAATCAGCTATAGCAGACGCACCAAATTCCGGTCAGGTGAACGCCAAGAATGCGAGCCATTTCGAAGATCTCAAGCACGTCTTCGAGCGAACATCCGACTTCAACTTGAGGGTCGAAAGAAACAGCAAGGAGAATTCTGGAAAAAATCCTAAAATGAGAAAATAATCAAAAATAACTTACTCGGAGTGAAGAGCATAGGATGCCACGTCATTCAGTTGCTTCAGACTTTCGATGACAATCACGCCACATCCGACTTCTCCAGCAGCGCGGATCGACTTTCGCGTCAACAGCGGAGAGGACAGAACGATACGAGAAGAGTCCACATAGTCGAGAGCCTGAAATTGGACCGTTTCAAAAGAGTTATTAATAAAATACTCCAGAAAAGAAAAATCCTCAATAAGCTTTTCGGGAAGCCCTCTGTACAGTTAATTAAAGCAGAAAGTGTTTTAAATATTAATCATATTCTACTGTTTTAGAATGGTGGTATGAAAAAAACTAAACTTTCTATTTTCCGTAGATTAACATGATTTCAGGAACGTTGTAAAAAAACTAGAAAAGTTAACACCAAGAAAAATTTTAAAAAAATCATGAATATCATATAAAAATTTTTTATCGGTTTCTCATTCAAAGTACAATGGGAAATAATAATGTCCATTCCTTTTATAAAACCTTTTTCTTTTTTCAACTTTTACGTTTGATTTTAGTTGACTTTTCGTTAAAATGGGGAAATAAAATTACCCTCGTTTAAGATTCTCGCTGTTACACACTACCTACAATAAAGAAAAAACTTTATAATCAAATTTCTTACCATTTGAAGTTCCTCAATAGATGCGACCTCGAAGATGACGTCGTCGTTGTTGGCGAGAAGACGAGCGAGTATAGGGTCGGCGTTGTACTTGACAGGGAACCCAGAACGAACGCGTGGCATTCCTGAGCGCCAGGCTTCGAGATGTCGCTGAACGGCCGCGACGTCCATCACGAAGAAGGGATTCTGCGAGGAGACGTGGTCGACGACGTGCCGTGCCATCTGCGTCGGGTTGTGCGGCGAGGAGACGACCATCACGCTCTGTTCGTTGAACATTTCGCGGGTCCATTCGTCTTTTCCGGCTGGCGGATAGTAGGTTGCGGAAGGTAGGCGGAGACGCATCACAGAGGTGGTTTTGCTGAAAACTATTCTTAAGTCAGAAGTCAGAATAAACGAAACCTTTGACGAATTAGGGAGGAATGTGTAGGTTGCTGCAAAGCCGAGAAGCAAGGTCTTCACGGGAAGACCAGCTTACGAAGAGTGGCGGAGGTCGAACGAAGGCAGCGGCGATTTTTTGGCACAAAGTACGGTGCGAAGTTATTTTTTGAATAGAAGGAATACTAGAAGAATAAATCGCTCGTGCGCTGAACCGATATAGGCGGTTGCGCGCTTGCGATGAGAAGAAATATGAACGCAGATATAAATTGGAAGGTTGATACCTGAAAAAAAGTAGGTTCTAAACGAGCTCCCTTGTGCGAAAATTAATTAAAGAGAACTGAATATAAGAACCTAATTCTTCGAAACATTTTGAATTTTGAGCTTTATGAGAAATAAAAATTGTTAACCTTAATGGGCGAAAAGCAGGAGCGGATCAGGATCCCAAGGAGGCTCGGCGTTCTTGTCGAGCTGGACTTGACTAGCTCGGAGTGTGGGCGCCGCGTAAATCACAATCAAAGGTGTTTGTTCGAGCTCCTGAAAAATCATTCTGCAGCCCTAAAAAAATATTCGAAACTTACAATGCCCCGTAAAGGTGGCGGACTAGAAGGATCGCTAGATTCCTCGGTACAAGGAATCTTCGGGTTTCTGGGGACAGTCAAAGCTCACGTCCATACACACACTCTCCCTCGGGGTGTGCCGGACGATTAATCGAAGAAGACAATTACCAGTAAACTTCCGCCGCTAGGTCGGAGGCTACAAAATGTAGTTTTTTTTCCGTTGAAACGAAAAAACGCATTTTTTATATACGATTTCGCAATAGTTGAACAGAGGAAAAATAAAACAAGAATGAATGAAAATGATCAATGATATGAATGAAGACGTCTGGAAAAAAAATGTCGCGTTCAAAGTGTAAACAATGAAAATATAAGAACGTTTCAAGTAAAGTTTATTGTTTTCAAAAAAACTGCGAGTATTTAAAACGTTAAACGAATAAACATCACAAGAACTTCTTAACTGATTTTTGAGCTTTAAAAAAAACAAAAAAGCAAGAGATAAATGAAAGATGGGCAAAACATCCAGGTTTTGAGGGAGAAGTAGGTAAAATGGGAAAATTGAAAGAACTAGGAAAAAGAGGGGTCGGCTCGAGAAGAGTGAAAACCAGCTAAACTCCAGGCAACCAGGGTGGAAAACGCAAGCCACGAGAGAAAGAGGGCGTGTGATGTGCAAGAGGCGGCCTCACGAGCGTTCGATAAAATGATGAGGAATTCATAGTGCGCCCCACGGCAAACTTTCGAAACCATCAGCACTTTTAATTTTCAAACTATTTTTGTGAATATCTATATAGTTAAGTTCTTCAGCGATAGGTGATTCACGACAAAAAGTGAGATGTTTGAAGGAGGAATCAGTAAAAAAATGTTTTGAAATGTGTGACGAGAAAATTTTTTCAGTGTAATTTATATTACTTACTATTCTTGCGTCTTTAAATTTTCCAAAATGTTGTTAAAGATTAAATAAGCAAGCCGAAACAAACAAATCAGCTCTTAGAAGCTGATATTAACATAGAATGGGGACCTGTGCTTAATATATTCAAAAGTTCGGAAAAAAAAAGCTTTAATAATCCGATGATTGATGTTTTTGGGGAATCGAAAAGAGCTCTCTGCACACAGCCATAAAATGAGGTAGTCAACAACTCCGCGTCATGTTTCTAAAAATAGAGCGAGACCGCAACGAAAAAAAATTCCCCTCTGGTTGTCCTCCCGAAAAAACTGATATGCTTAGTTTTATAACCATTCAATCAAAGGTCAACATGCCGATCATACCGACACCCATAAGGAAAGCCCCAAGGATATTAATCTTGGAAAGCTTCGTCTTTTCTCCTAAAATTAAGCCGACGAAAATCGCTGACACGAGCTGCGTCGCGTTGACACACGGCACGACCACTGATACGGGAAACGCCACCAGCAACACGTGGAAAAGAACCTCAAAAAGCCATTCCAACAGCGGCGAAAGGCTTTTTCGACTTACCGAACCCAACTGATTCACAAGAAAAGGAATTGAAAATCGCCAATTCAGGAAAGCGTAAATGAACTTTTTCAAAGGACTCGATAAAGACTTACTTCCTTCATCTGAATTATATTTTGCAGAGAAAAAAGGAAAAATGTCACCTTGATTTTCAAGAGAAGCGATTCTGAGTAGCGGATTTGTGGCTCCCCATAAAAAACCTACGACAAGGACAGAAGCGATGCATTCAAGGCTACACGTTCCTACCTCCATTAAAGGAGATCCTAAACAAGTTTTATGAGAAGAAATTGATACAAAAAAGAAAGTATCATTGGAAGCTTTTTCCCATTAATCCTGATAAGAAAACCATTGACGAAAAATTCATTCAAATACACGTTCTAATAGAAACTTCGAAACTATATAAATTTGATATTGCTTTAGTGAGCGGCGTTCTCCTTGGCTTCCCAATCAGGATTTTCATATCTGCAAATTAAAACAATGAACCAATAACACAAAGAAGAGAAAAACCTGTAATGGGCGATCCTCAGAAGCTGGATCAGGCCTGTACACATGACGAAGAAGTTGACGCTGCTCAGGTAGTAGTTGACCGGTGTTATCACGAGGCAGTAGCGGGTCCAGATGGCCCCCGTCGCGAACAAGGCGCTGTTCTGCAACCACTCGATCAGAATTCGTCGCAGAGGAATTCCAAAACAGAGACATCACTGCGACGCTCTATGGTGACCGGTCATTCCAATTGACCGCTCTTTTCCAATTTTTTTTTTTTGACAATCTGGATAAGTCTACGGTTTGAAATCCCTCCCGATGTGTTTGAAACTTGGTTGTTCTATTGAATTTCTATTTTCGTAGTTGTATTTTGCTTCCTTACTCAAAAATTCGCTTTGCAGTGGAACTAATTTTCAATCGCAAGTTTCAAGAAAAAGAAAAAAGAAGAACTTAAAGCTTCAACTTCCTAGAAACGTATGGAAAACGCGTCGTATAGAGAAAGCCAGTTTTTTTTTTTTGAACAATTATGTTTTTAGGTGGGTCAAAGCCTAGCCTTTTAGAAAAAGCAGAGAACTTTTCGAATCTTAGGACTTCCAGAGTGGTCCCTATAGGGGTTTGAGGGAGAAAAAACCCCTATGTGGGGCCGAAAAAGGAGTCCCTGTAGAGGTAAAATTAAGGTGGTCCCTATAGGGGTTTACGGTCTGACCCCTTACCCCAAAAGCTCAAGTGGACCCTATAGGGGTCTCTCAATTTCATCCAATAACGCTTATTTATTCAGTTTTTTCTATGAAAAAGCTTCTTCGCTTAGAGTTTATGACAATCATTGACTAGCATGTTTCCACTCTTTAGTGCCTTCTATAGGGGTTGGTAAAGTGGTCCCTAGAGGAACGCTCCAAGAGCCCCTAAGGTTGCCACTATAAGGACCCCTCTGGAACTCCTAAGATAACCTAACATTTGGAAAATAAAAGTTGGTAACCTGGTAAACGGAGAGTTTCTCGGCAGGTCTAGCGAGGTCGGCGAGGCCAGCACCGACGAGAGCCCATTTGATGGTCGGCGCCCAGAAAAAGACCTGGAAACCATATGGCGCTGACTTTTAGCTGGAAGTTTGAAGCCTCACCGTTTTTGGTCCGGCGGGATGGTTCCACGCGGGTTTGGCGAATGCCGGCAACACTGGGTAGACGACTTTATCGCCGACTTTGCACAGCGCTTGGTACAGAGCTCTGTGGGCCATCTCAAAGCTATTTCGTAGCCAATTACGGTATGAAACAAAAAGCACATCCTTCCGAGAATAAGTTGAGTAAACGATGACCTCGCTTTTTTTCTTTTTTCAGGATTTGATGAGAAAACAGTGTTTTCAACTTCGGAAGCATTCAAATTTTCTTGGCCGGAAGTTTTTTGTATTGTAATAATAATGAGGTTAAAAAAATATAAGATCAAAAGTTCCGAAAATGAGTGAGAGACCGAAAAACATGATATATTAAGAGAAGCTTAAAAAAACCTTTCGAAATAAAATTCATTATTTTATTTTCCGAACGAAAATAATGTTCAACTCGGAAATTGGTATGGTAGCTCGAAACGGAAATTTCTAGTGGCCCCTTTAGTAGCGTCAGCACTCTTAAGTAATCCCTAGAAATCCTCAGAAAAGTCCGTTTCGCGTTACTAAAGTCCTAGACAATACAGAGTTTTTCCTTTTCCGGTATAATTATACTATAAAATCCTTGGGCTCTTTATTAATAGCTATCAGCAAATCTTCCGTAGATGAACAAGTTTTCGAAAGAAAAACAGCACTCTGTTGGAAAATCACGTGATCAGTCGATAAATACGTTCAACGGTCATACTTTGGACCTTTTTGTACACATGCCCAAAAACCAACACAAACGTATTACGCTTTATTAAATCGCGAGAGATGTCACAGAAAGGCGCAATTAGGGATGGCGCGGATGAAAAGCGAGGAGAGCTGCATCGACCGTGGCGTTGTTCGGAAGGTCGGGCAAAAACAGAGAAATAAAGGGAAAAGCTTTTGAATTTTTCACATCACAGAAAGAGATAGCATACATTAAGAATGATGAAATGTACAACGGCAAGGGTGAAATTCTCTCATTTTTCATATTTTATTTCCATTGTTCAAGTGATAGAGGGCCAGGAAAATGCAAATTTAGGTGGGGAACAAAGAAGATTTGGGACACTCGGACTGGTTGACGTAAGGTGTGCAGTAGAGATATGGAGTCGGAGAACTAACAGCAGCCGGAAGAGCCGCCGAGACCGCTACTCGCGTTGCCGCCAGGCGAGTTCGGCGAGCTGGGCGAGTGCTGAGGTCCGAGCTTGATTCCGTTCGCCTGCAATATTTCAGGGTGAAATGATTGGTTTCTTGGTAATTCCTGACAATTTGATAATGGTTTTTCTTGCGCGTTTATGAAAAAGTTTGAAAAAATGTCCTCTTCAACCCGTGAGAGAACAGAAAAAAGCCGAGGCTAATCAACCTTTTCAAATTTTTCACTAAAGAGACGTCACAAAACTTTACTCTTAAAAGGAACGTTGAGAATTTTTTTCAAAAAAATCGGCTAAAAACACATTTTTGATGTACCAGGAAAAAATCCTGAAAACTTCAGACTGCACAAATCCCGTGTTTTTGAAAAATGAGGGCTCAAAGCCCCAAAATGGTCCATTTTAACAGATTTCGAGGGGTTTTTTTTTACTTCGAGGCATCTAATACTAGAAAATCGAGCAGGTTGAGACTTTCAGGATCATTTTTCGGTACCTCAAGGAGTATCCTGGCCAATTTTCTGAAAATTCTTAACATCAAAGGAAAATGAACTTCCTTGTTAGTTATTGAATCAGTTTGGAACGAGATTCAAACATGTTTTCTGAAGAAAATTTATATGATAAAGAAAGAAATGTGTGAAATTTATTTCACTATTTTTTTTTACAGTTATGTTTCAACTTAAAAATGTATAGATATTTTAGAATCAGGAAAAATGTTTCCCATTCAAAATAAAGCCCAATCATTTTAACTGAAAAACAGAAACCTCATTATTGATGTCGAAAACTCCTTCCTGAATCTTGCGATAAATCTCCTTGGCCGTGTCGATGAAAGCCTAAACGATGAAAAGACAATGATATTGGAAAAAAAGGGGGTGACGGACTTCTTCGACGTTGGCGGCAGTCTTGGCGCTCGTCTCCATGAATACGAGTCCGTGTTCGCGAGCGAACGCTTCGCCTTCCTCCCGCTTTACTTCGCGACGGGCTTCGAGATCGCTGAACTCTTTTTTGTTTATCTCAACTTTTGGCTGTAACTGATTCACGGCTGGCTTGAGCCATCAAAAAAAGGGTCTTGACAGGATAATAAAGTAGATAGTGCCTGGTTAGTGAAGGACGCAGACACGCAACGCCCCTCAGCTTCCCAAGTTAGCCGTGATTCAGCTATACAAAACAACTTTCTTCTAGGCTTTTTGTTGATGCAAACAGCTTTTTACTTACTAGGGAAAGTTTTACATCCCCAGGTTGAAGTTTTGGTGAAACTTTGCTGAAATGTATTTTAGACCTTCTGATTGCAGAACAGGAAAAATATTTTTTTCGCAAAAGATCTTGTTTTCGAATCATGAAGCTTGAAAAGCCCGCAAAAAAAGCGAAAAAAAGGTTCTTTAAAATGAATTTTTTCAATAATGAATCTACGCTTGATCCGAGATCCGGAAAAATGAGAAAAAAATGTTAAAAAGTAAGAAATTTTTTTGAAACTTGTTGCTTTTTCACAAATCACACATGGTTTTTCAACCACTTTAACAAAGAAATGAAAAAAATCTATATAAAGTCAAACAAAATTTTGTTTCTCAATTTACTGCTATGGGTGATGCTCCGGAAACTAGCTTTTTATGCCGTGTTCGAACTAATTTCCGCAAAATGCAAAATTTTCTTTGACTCTCCAACATTTAGTTATTTTTTTTTCTCTGTTTTTTGCATTTCACTATGAACACGGTATTGAAAATAATTGATAAAGATTTTTTAAAAATTTTCTATGGTAGGAAAGTTTATGAACAAATCGATTGATCTTTTTTTCCTGAGAACCTTTAGAAAAGAACTTTGAAATTATTGGAGAGACCTTTTGTTGCCGATGAGCATGATGACCATGTTGCTGTTGCTGTGTTGCCGAGCGTCCTCCAGCCAAGAAGTCAGATGGTTGAATGTGTCGCGTCTCAAAGCACTTTCATTAGATTGAATGGATAGCTTTGCAAGGGCTAAGGCTTAGAATTAAATCAAAAATTTCCATTTTCAACATATATAACCTCCATTGTTCCACTCAGATGAAACTCAGTTTTATTTTTAACTCAAAGTTGGCTTTGTATTTCAAAATAAAGTCAAGGTTATAAAAAAAACTTTTTTGGATTTCACTGTCCATTCTTTCAAAATTTTCAAAACTTAAGAATTTCCAAACTCTTTGCTTAACACAAACTGAATTTTCATGTAAGTTCTAAGCTTTCAACCTATTTCGAAATGAAATAAAAAATCTCAACTAAAACCTCCTTTAAACCTCTTTCGACGAAGCTTCAAATTTCCTTTCTTTAAAAACTTTTCGATGATATTTTCATAAATCAAGGCAACAAGAGTGAACAGTTTTAGAAAATTTCGTAGTTTCGTCGGTTTTGAAGCGCACATTCTGATTCTTTTTCGAAAACACTATTCACGTGATTTCTAAACCTTCGAGAAGAAAAAAATAAAAATCAGGGAACAATCAATAGGAAACTTGGTCTATGAAACTTAAAGTGAACAAAAAAAAACAACTTCAGAGTTTTAGAAAAGTTGAAAAAATTGATTTCAAGCTAATATTAAAATATTATTTGTGCATCGCGAACGAACAAAAAAATTAAAGCCCTTTATTTTATCGCTACCATTTTTTTTTCTTCATGTATATATAGGCCACGAATTTCGTTTCTCTAGAGGATAATTCCGTTCGAAGCGCGCCGGATTTTTCTTTCCGTTAAATTAAAGGTGCAGGCGAAGCTAAATATCGCGCGGATCGAAAAGAAGGATTCTGTAGCTCAGAAGAAAAAAGGAAAATCGTGAAAAGCTGACGCGGAATAGGCTACTACAGTTAGAAGAATGTGAAGAGCTTGCCTGGTGATGTCATAGACAAGAAGAGCACCCGCGGCACCGCGGTAGTAAGATCTAGTGATGGAGCGGAAAGACTCCTGGCCTGAAAGAAAATCAAAAACTCCAGAGTAGACAAGCTAATGTCAAACCAGCCGTGTCCCAGATCTGTAGCTTAATCTGTTTTCCATCGATAGTGACCATTCGCGCACCGAATTCCACTCCTACAGCAAAACATTTTTAGAGTTTCAAAAAAGGCAGGATACCGATGGTGAGATCATGTACAGGTTGGAATCGTTTGTCTGTGAACTGCAGAAGAAGACACGACTTTCCAACACCCGTGTCGCCGATAATGATATACTTGAAGAGGTAAGCGTAAGACATTTTTTTCTGGAATGAAACTATTACTTCCCTGTATGATAATCAAAACGGTTTCATAAAAATCATCTCGACAGAACTTGTTTGTGAGAGCAAAAAAATCGAAAAACTTTGGTTCAAAAAAAAAAAAAAACACTTCGGTTCATTGAGAAATCTTCTGTTTGTGTAAGTAAACACGTGTACCAAAAAACAAGGGAGCATCAAACTGAGGCCGTATACAAGATAGTGGTGAATGTGTTTAACCAAAAATGGTAAATTGCTCAGAAAATTCTTTCCGAAGTCAAAAAAATTGACGAGTCCGGACGTTTCTGGGAATTTATAAGAACCACTCTAGCCTCGAATACTCTCTTAAGTGATCCCTTATCAGTAACATATAGGGTGCTACCAAGCTCCAAGAGCCTTCTATAGGGTTTCATAAATGATTCTGATGATTTATCAAATTATTTGCGATAGAAGGCTTTACTATTTCTGAGTAAAGTAGGTAAATACGTTTACGATTTTCTTGCCTTGGGACCCTAGAAAGATAGAAAAAAAAAGTTGAGATACATATGACTTTTTTTTAAAATGATTTCTGAGGAAAAAGACATGAGGCGTTTTACGGAGAAGAAAGTACACTCAATGTGTACCCAGCTAATAAAATTCAGAATCAAAGATTGATAAGCATTTCGTGGAAAAAATGCAGAACCATGGAAAATGGAATATCGATTTTCTCGGCCTAATAAATTTCTTTTCTGAGTGTATTGGAGCAACATTGAAATAATTAAAAAGTTTTTAAACCGGAAAATAATTAATTAAAGTTTTTTTTCGTTATAGTGAGTTTCGCGCGAGATAATCCCGTTAAAAAAAGATAAAAGGAAAAGCTACTGAAAATATTAAATAAAACTCTAAAACCTGCTAAAAAGACGCGGAAAACAAATATCTTGAAGCGAAAATGATCAATTTTAGATCTATTTTGGTATAGGGTATTTTTGGCGGAAAGAAAAACGTGACAAACTGGCGCGGAATATGCCATATATAGTTCAATTTTGCATGAATAACCCTTCAATCTTTCGAAATCGGAGTAAAAAGTTCTGTAAAATGAACAATTTTGCGTTTTATGAAGTTAGGAAAGGGTTATGAAGTAGAAGAAAAGTTGGCGACAATGAATAGAAGGAGAAGCAGAGGCTTGGATGGCCTTCTGGGCGGCGAGGAAATCGCGGCGGACGGAGGCGGCGCGGCGATCGATGCGGGCAGGTCGCTGGCCCGGGTCGACTCTCGTGACGTGCCTCGCCCCAGTCACATGCTCCAACTGGGCTCTCTGTCGCAATTACTGCTTCTCATCTGAAGAAACAAGTGCTTCGCCGTCGTCGCACCGTCTTACATTATTCATGACTCGAATTTTTAGACTTTTAGCCTCGTTTAGAAGACTCAGGTGGCGAATTTTGAACTGAACGAAATACTCTCAAAAGTAATGTGTAGCAATAGTGAGGTGATGACGAAATTTCTTGGAAACTAGTACTTTTTATTCTGCATCTACAAAGAAAAGAGCCTTATGAATCGCGAGGTTTTTTTTAAATAGTTCTCAGGTGGCGGATTTTGAAATATAGTACGTTCTGCGCGAGATAGTCACGTTCTAGAAGAATAGAAAAGAAAAAGCTACCGTAAATACATAATTTTGCTCTATAAAACTGCTAAAAAGAGCAAAAAAAAAGGTCTTGAAGCGAAGATGCTCAACTTTGATTTATTTTGGTATAGGGTATTTTCTTCGGAAAGAAAAACGTGACAAGCTGGCGCGAAAAAGGCTTTAATATTTAAGAAATACTCTCGAAAGTTACACAATAAAGTGTAGCCATAGTGCACTAGTGATGAAATTTCATGAAAAGCTAGTACTTTTTATTCCGCATCAACAAAAGAAATATGAATTTCGAGGTTTTTTTAAATCAATGAAACTAATAAAGAATATATTGATAAATTTGAGAGATAACATGCAATATGAGAGGAGGAAACTTGTGACAATTTACAGAAAACAAAAATCTAATTTCCGGGTGAGAAAAAAAAAATGAGTACGCGAAATAAATATGATACACGAATATTCTATCGGTTGCGATGGATCTCGTGAAAACAATCGAATGTCAATGATTTATTGTATAATATGAAAATATAATTGAAAATTTTCAACATCAATGAACTTCTTGATAAAATTTTAAAAGCGAGCGATGTTGTTCGCCCGATCGGCGTATTCTGCCTTCAGGTTGTTCAGTTTTTCCTCGATTTCCTCTGAAAACCTTGGTTCGAAAACAAACTTTGCAAATTACGAACTGTGGGCGCTGGCGAAGTGAATGAGACTTTCCAGCTGTCTTCTCAACACGATTTCCGTTTGTTCCAGTGGGTACTTTTTTTTATCATCTGCCGTTTTTGATTGCAAGTTGGACAACTGAAACGATTTTCCAAGGGTTTCGAAATAAAGAAGGAACCAACGCTGTCAATTATTTCATTCAGATCTTGCTCCGCTGTTTTTATTTGGCCATCGACGTTCAGCATCATTTGAGCTCTAGACGTTTTTCATGAAGTTGAAAAAAAAATGAATAATAAACTAACATTTGGACCCGTTTAACATCGTGTTTGGTGGCATATCGCTTATCAACCGGGAATTTGTAGTTGAGGTCTGACCAGTCTGGCAGATTCAGACTCTTTTCTAGTTCTTCTACTGTGCCCAGAACATCTGAAAAACATAAGGTTGAAACCTGATAACTTATCGAAAAAATTATACTACCATTTCCGAAAAAACCTTATCAAGCAGTAAGAAAAGTTGAAATAAAACTTCTTAATTTCAGATTTTATAGAAAAACAAATGAATAAGAAAAGTTTAAATGAAAAAAATTGCCCACCATTCAAAACAGCGTTCATGTTGCCAACGTTGAACTGCAGCTGTTTACAGCTTTCATCGAGTTTTTCCAAATGGTTGTAAAGACCCAGAACCTGAAAAAGGAAAAAAATTATGACAAAATCTAAAGCAATCTAATGGTGTAGAAAAACTACTTTCAATCCAAAAAGTTACCTTTGGCTCCGAAACAACCAAATCCCGATCGTGGACGTTAAGTTCATGAACTTTCTGGTTGAAAACTCGTTCTTGTGCTGCCACTTCGTAGTGGAACTTTTTCACAACCTCAAAAATAGCCCAAGTTTGATAACTTTAAAAAAATGTGAATACTTCCTGCAAGCATTCAAAGTAGAGGTTCTGGTCATTGCCAGCGATACCGGCGCGAATCTCTTCTTCGGAAAGAATGCCCTTTTCTCCATTAGAACTCTTTGTTCCAGTGCTAGTTTTTGCCGAAAAAGGGGTTGACGCCCAACTGGAAATTATCAAACAACTCTCTTCAAACTCGGTGCGATTCACATAAGCACAAAACTCAAACTTTAATATTTCAAAACAGTCTTTTATCTGAAAATCTTTTGCGCAAAAAAAAAAAACAATGATAAAAAGAACTGGATAGTGAAAAAAAAAATATCGAGCCTTCCATTTTTTTCCTGGGATTTTGAAGACTAAAGTAATGGTGGAAAAGAGAGGCAGCAAAAATTGTGCGTAAGAGCCGATGAAATGGCGCAAAAAGGAAAAATTTGTCACGGAGCTTTAGGCCCTTCTTTCTAATGCCTTTTTGAGGTCGTTTGGACTATTCTGTGCACTAAGATTCCATCTTTAAAAAAAAAAACTTCAGAAAAATCCACTCACCCAGTAAGCTTAGCGCCTGACGCTGTGGGAGTACCTGAATAAAAAGAAGGTTAACGAAGAAAAAAATATTAAGAACCTGTCGCCTGCACAGTTGTGGTCTTGGAAAGATTTCCAGTATTCAACGGAGTGCTGAGAGAGCTGAGCGACGGGACGGCGGTAGTTGCTGTGTCCGCAGAAGCCGTCGTCGTGGAAGTGACGGTAGAAGCTCCGAAAAGACCGGTGGCGGATGCGGTTGTAGTAGCCGCCGGGACAGCAGGAGCCGCAGCCGATGTCAGACCGGAGAAGAGACCAGAGCTCGGGAAAACTGGAGCAGTCGTCGTGGCAGTGACTCCGCCGCCGAATGTCAGGCTTGGCTTCGAAGAGGCCACATTTCCGAAAAGGGGACTTGCTGTCGAAGCGGTCGTCGCAGTGCTAGCTCCGAACAAGCCACCCGAGGGAAACGAAGTCGGTGCTAAAAACAAAAATTCAATTTTTCGAGAAGCATTAATGATAATTAACGACAGCAGAACATCAAAAAAAAAAAATAATGGCGTGGACACTTTGAAATAGAGCTTTAAATTTTCTAAGAAACGTCAGAAATACCTGTGGATGTTGTGGGATTAGTTGTTGTGGAAGATGGCGCAGCAGATGTAGACGAATTTGTTCCAAAAGAAAAACCGCTGAACATCTGAAAGACTAAAAGTTTCCCAATTTCCAAAAACTTCGAAAGTACAAAACTAGAACAATGAACAAAACTCTCAAGTCGTGTTCAAAGTGAAATTCAAAAATTAAAAACAGCCATGAAAAAAGATAAAAACATCTTGAACAGTCAGAGATTATTTTTTTGTACATCCTTAAAATTACTTTTAAATGGCATTAGAAATAACAGTAGCCTTTGAAATTAAGAAAAATAGAGAGGAGGACTGCAGAAAGTTGAGAAAAATATTAAAAAAACTGTTTCTTGGAGAAAAAGCGTTTTTCCTTTAGACATTTTTGTTGCCTTGAAGTAAAGCTGACAAAAACCGAAGGAAGAATGAAATCAATAAAATTGTAATAAACTTGGAATGAAGTTTCTTGTATTTTTTTAAAGTTTTAAATAACAGCAGAGCAGCGCGAGAGTAAGAGAAAAAATTCCCAGTAAAAGTTGATGTCGTTTACTGATTCCGTGATCCGGGAAAATCAATAGAATAAAGTTTGTTATTTTCAGTAGAAATCAAATTTAAATTGAAAAATCTGTAAAAAAAATTGAAAGCGGGAAATTCGAAATCGTCTTCATCTTGGTTTGCCCACGGAGCAAACTTGACCGTCAAGAGAGCGTCTCTGAAAGCTGGGCAGGCTTGTGATTTGAAACTTGGATTTTGGATCAATCTAAACATTATTAATGTTTTCGAGCACAAAAATTGGAAGAGAACACTATCAACCCTGTACAAAATCGTGTTTTAAAAGCACCGTCGAGTACAAATTTTCAGAAAAAAAACTTATCATAAATGTTGACATCGAAAAAGTTTCCCCACTTTCCATAAATCTGCAAACGATCTGCAACAACTTGCTTGCAACTTTCAACAAATAGGCGACCGACTCAATTTCAAATTCCTTGCAACGTTTTTGCAGCTCGGTTGCTGACTTGCCCGTTTCTGGTTGCAAATTGCAAACTTTCTGCAGTTTTGTTGCAAACTGGTCTGTACAGAGTTGCTAAATATCGCGATATCTTTATCCATTTGCTTGTGGCATGTCAGATAGAAGAAAATTAGCTATGGTACCACCAACGTTCCCTAGTAAGTTTTAAACCTGCGATTTGACCGGAAGCAAAAATCGTGTTTTTCCATGTCTCATAGAAAAATTTAGACTGAAATAATGACTTTGGAGATAATGAATTGTTTTAGAGCTCTCAAACTATTTCCTTCTAATAGGGGCCCTCGTCGGTGGCAACGACGAAAGATTAGAGAGGCGTAGGAGCCGCGGAGGGGACTTCAAATGCGACGCTCATTTATCTCCGCATGTCACGCAAACCAAAACTGAACATTTCGCCCTCTTTTATTTCCATTTCAGCCGATCCGGAAGCCTTCTCTCTGATGCAAAGTATAGCATTCCTGCGGCTCGTTTTTCTCCGAATTGGAACTCTCGATATAGTCTTTCATCGTTTTCGACTTCAAACAGCTTGCTTTTTAACTCGCTTGATATTTTGAAATTTGTTGTATATTTCTGAAAGCTTTGATCTCCATATGTGCAAGCACTAAGAATAACTGACGAGATAAACGCGAGCTCGGTGGCGGTACATTGACCAACTCGCAAAAATGTCGCTTTTTTCTAGGCGCGATCCCGCATTTCTCTCGGCGCGACCTCGCATTTTTCTCGGCGCCATCTCGCATTTATCTTGCATTTCGGAAATTTTCAAATTGCGAGAGAAATGCGAGCTCGCGCCTAGAAAAGTGCGAGCTGGCGCCCAGAAAAATGCGAGACCGGCGCGAGAAAAAAAGCGAGATGTTTGCGAGCTCGTCAATGTACCGCCAGTGTCTCGCGTTTATCTCGGCAGTTATTCTTAGTGAGAAGTTCGATCTTACCTATGAAACTTTTAACCTACTTAGAAACTCCAGAGTCGTCCCTATAGGAATTTTAGTTAGTGGCCCCTATAAGGGACATTCTAAGGGACGATTCCTCCAATTTACATTCAATTTATGTTTTGTGGAAATAAAAAGAAAATTTTTCAAAAAGTGAGAAAAGCTTTTAACCCAAATTTTGTCGTCAAGACAACTAGAAAATAGAAATGTGCTAGAATCAACTTTTTCCAAGTCTGTAGTTCTTGAAAAATTTCTATTTCATAATTTTTTGAACAAAAAAATAATTTTTTTGATCCAATGGAGTATGCAAGTTAGCGCCGTTCTGTGTGTGCACCAAAGACGTCATATATTACGAAAATTGTGGGCGGGGCTTCGTGAAAAACGCTGTGCATATAATAACCACTTTGTCGGGCCCTACAGGGGCTGTGTTTTTTTACCTCTAACCCCCACAGGGACCACTCTGGAATTCTCAACAATAGAGCAAAACTCCAAAATTAATTTTAAATAATTTAAAATTAAAAATTAAATTGCAGCCGTCAGGAAATGATGAGCGGATGCAGACAAAAGTGAACGAAGAGCGTCCGCCGGTGTGGATTTGCCTGGTCCTCGTCTACTCGTGAGCATTTCGATCTCTGTGATTTCCAGGAAATGATTGCAGGACGCCATTTGTTTTGTTCTTCGTCCTTATTTTTCTGATTAAATGGCGGCCATTTAACGAGTTCTCATCAATACTTGCTTGGATAAGGTTGCAGTCAGGTTTTCTCAAAACAAGGTCGAAATGATTCAGATGGTACTGCTCTTTCTCTCCAAGGATTTTTGTTACGGAATTCGCCAGCGTCGAGCGCGAGCCTATTCTGATAATAGATGCTGAAGCTCGTTTTATTTGATATTTTTGGTTTTTATAATGATTGATTGTTAAAAAAATCAGTCTCTCCTCAACTTGAAGTATAGAAAAAATAGGTTTGTGTTTTTCAGAGTCTGTCCTCGATATCAACATCGACAAGCCCATTTCTTCTCCGGGAAAGGCAAACCGACAGCTCCGCCAGCATTCAAACAATATCTGTATGATAAACATTTATACATCGAGGAAGGAACAATCGTAAAAATTTGTGCACGCGGATGATGAGACTTGCAGAGACTACCCGTTGAAACGTTGTTACCATCGTCGTGGTTGATAATTTAAGAGATTATGTCAGAAAATGCACCAGGGCTAAATCGAATGAAGATAAGTTAAGTAGGTTTGAAGAATGAAGGTCAAAAATATTACACTTGGCGGTCTGTTTACTATGTTTACCGAGTTCTAAATTGGAAACCTCCCAGGTACAAAATGAATTGGTTTGGCGCGAGTCAAAAGTGAAAAGCCTCGGGTCGTGATGAGTGTTTCTGCATTCGCACACCCGGGGAGATTTAAATTGGATTAGCGATCTAAAAAGGGACGAGGCATTTCGCTGGCTCTGCGAACGGGAGGCGCCGGAGGCAGCGGCTGATGCCGGGGAAGCCTCTCGTAAATGTCCTCTGCCGCGCTGCCGACGTCCGGTGGAGTGTCGTAGATGGGCTCGTCGTCGAACGAATACAGAATCTGCGACGGTGTCGGCGAGGCTGAGAACACCGGGAGCGCTGGTCGGACCAGTGGTCGTCCTCAAACATATTCGAAAATCTACAAAACTACAGTTCTTGCAAACCTAATGGTAGGGTCACATGAATATTTCCATTAGGTAGTTGCTGCAGCTGCAGCATATGTGGCGGTACCTACATTCAGTTTTTGTTGCAAAAAGCTCTCTTACCAAAAAAAAAACCTCCATCTGTGCCAAAGGAGCGCAACTCGCGTAATAAACCACTGAGTCGCCACTCCGAGGAGCGTTGATATTGGGCGTCGCATAGATGGCCGAGGAGCTGTTCAGCTGCAAATTCTTCACTTATAAATTCAGCTGAATAGCGAAACTTCAATCTTTCTCCTCCAAGTTTTTGTTAAGAATTTTCGTTTTTTGAAATCTTACCTTTTTTTTTTTCGAAAAGACGCACCGCTTAGCACGCTAGATAATGTGTAAATTGAGAAAAATTGAGCTACTTAGGAACTTTAGAGTGATCCCTTAAGGGGTTAGGGGCCGAAAAAGTGGTCCCTAAAGAAGTAAAATTAAGGTGGCCCCATCAGAAGTTTGGGGGGTGACCCCTTAGCCCGTAAATCTTGAGTGGCCCCTATAGTGGTCTTTCAATTTTATTCAAAAAAAGCTTATTTATTTATTTTTTTCGTATGGAAATGCTTCTTCGCCTAGTTTTCAAAAAAAAATTATCACTAGAATGCCCCCTATAGAGGCCACTAACTGAAAGCCCTATAGGAGCCACTTTTTCAAGCGTTAAAGGTCCTATAGGGTTATGTAAAAGTGGTCTCTTGAGAAGGCCTCTTGCCCCTACAGGGACCACTCTGGATTTCCTAAGTAAACAGCTTCTGTTAATGTAAGTCCTATTTATGAAAATAGAATAAAATGAACCAGAAAAAAGAAAAAAATAAAGAGTCTTCGAAACAGTAATGATATTTGTGGTCACGTTTTTTTCATGGTTTCTTGTTAATTTTTCAATAGTTTCATGTAGGAAAAAATAGCGCATAGGAAAGAACGAAAAGTTCCTAAAAATGGCCTTGTAGTACAAAAAATTCATCAGAAAGTAGTCTTTCAAAAATGAATTTAAAAAACCTTGTCTTGGGACGCAGACATTTTCTCTGAAGTGCGCGCCATCTTGAGTACAGCCACGACGATACAGCTGACCAAAGCGACGGACAAAATCGCCAAAGCCAAATTGCCTAGGAATTATCTAATTTATCATAATAATCATTCAAAACCATTGCTGGCGTCGGACGGTTCTCCGCTAGAGGCCGGCGTCCCTTTCAACTCCTGGAGTGTTGCCAGATCTGAAGCCTTGCCAGGTTTAAGCACCAGATCAGACCGATTACCGTAGCAAAAAGGTGTGGACGGCTCCCAATGCGCCCTCTCACTGCACAGCACCGTCTCCGGCCCAATCACACGGAAACCTGGCTACAGGGAAAAAGATACTTTATCGAACAACAAGGGCAACGAATGTGAATGAAAAAGGGTTAAGGAGAACTAACAGGGTAGGTCATTAAACTTTGGGGTTGGGAGTTTTTTAAAAATGGTCAGAACACTTTTCGATGTACCAGATGAAGACTCTGAAAGACTCAACCTGCACATCTTCCTAGTTTCCGTGTAATGAGGGCTTAAAGCTCCAAATTAACCTATTTTTATGGATTTTGAAGGTTCTCTTTGACTTTGAGGCGTCTTATCTCAAAAAAGAGAGAGTTGTGAAGGTGGAGCCTTTCAGAACTTTTTTCTGGTACACCAAGGAGTGTTCTGGCCAATTTTCAGGAAATTCTCAACCGCAAAGTAAAATGACCTCCCTTGTAATAAGAACTTTTTGAAACCTTGCCAAAAAACCCTTCAAAGTCTCAAATGGAGATTCTGAACGTCTCTCCCTGCTTAAACTCTCTGGTTTTGAAAAAAACGATACTACTCATTTTTTACATCAAAGAGTGCTTTGCAAACATTCGGAAACTCCGAATTTGTAAAGTAAAGTCGAGTAAAGTTTTTCTCTTTTTTTTCTTGACTATTAAATTTTAAAATTGAAAAAAAGATGAACGATACTTTCAGAAACGAAAAGCCCTTGTTCCGGCCTTCAGAATTATTAAGAAAACTGCTCAAAAAATCTTTAGTGGACTGAAAATCGAATTTATTTGATGATAAGGTTTAAAACTAGCATCTCGAAATTCGCTGAACTAGAGTATGAATAAGTTCTTATTTACAGTACCGTCTGCAAAGATACGAAAAACGTAGTTTCGGTCACAACTTTCTTGTAAAGAACTCAAACTTCTTGAAAGTTTCTGAAGCTGCTTTTTCTTTTCTGTGAACTGAAACTTCATCAGAGTGTTAAATATAACAGTCGTCTCCAGAAAATTTCAGAAAGATTGAAATCCTTAAGAGAAATTTGTGACCCCGTTTTTTCGTATTTTTTTATCTGACGGCACTGTATATCCAATACTATTCATTGAAAAACTACGCGTCTGTTTTATAAGTATTTGAACCGTTTTTTTCAAACTTATAAAAAAACATCAATTTGTGACAATTTTCTGTTGACCATAATAGGTCTTGAAAAGTTTGCAGCGAATGAAGAAAATAGCCACCTGACAAGTGTAGTTGGCCTGCGATTCGAAGGTCGTCGACGTGAAGTCAACTCGTCCATTGGCTATCTGAGAAGGTCTGCCGCAGTCGACTTCTGGAAAAGGGCGTCTTCCCAGTTTTGCAGTCGAGACCTACGCTGACAGACTGGCTCCTCGCCGCTCCATTTCCCGTCGCTTTGGCAGGAGCGTCGCTGTTCTCCAACCAACTTCCAGCCTGATAAGCATTCGTACTCAACCTGAAGATCAGGTGATCGTTTCTTCTCGACATGAATCTGACCTCTGACTGGTAGAGCGTGGTTTTGTTCAAAAGTCGCACTTTTCCGTATTTCCATTGGGGCAAATCTCCGCAAGATTTTCCTGTGATTGAAGGCGTAGGGGCAGTAAAAAATGGGATTTTTGGTGAAAGCAGTGTCTTGTGAAGCTTTTCATTACGAATCCAACGGTCTACTCAAAAAAGCACAGATATGAGCACTTTTGAAGAAAAACGTGATTTTATTTTGAAACTTTGAAACTTTTATTCAGTCTTCAAAGAAGGTACTCCGCTGAATCATGGAATAATTGAAGAGTTGTTTGTCGGTTTGCGATTTTATTTTTCCGCCTTTTAATTTTGAAATATGGATCGGTGTACGGAAAACTGTTACAGTAGCCGTGTTAAGGATTTGTCAATACACTCGAAAAATATTTGGATATCTGCTTCAAATAAGGGGTTTGAAGAAAAACGAAGAAAAAAGGGAAAATCCGGAAAATGGAATAGAGATTTGTCCATAGAGCAACTTTACTGCAAAACGCCCTTTTGGCGGCAACTGAAACTTGTTTCTCTACGACTAAACTATTTTTTTCCAAAACTAGGAAGTTTTGTACGTTAACTGTTCGACAGAAAGTGGTCTAGGAAATAGCATTTTTCTCTCCAATATCATTTTTTTTACTGCCCCCATGTCTTTAAAAAAAAGCTCTAAATGAAAAATGAACATACGATAGCAGTTAGGAATGGAGCCGCTCCAACGGCCATTCTCTCCACACTCGCGCTGCTTTGCTCCTTCCAATTCATACCTAGAATCAGGGAGGTGAAAGCGCTACGGAGATCTGTCAAACCCATCTTCACACGAGTAATAACAAGCTGTTCCGATGGCGTACGAATGGCTAGAAAAAACCACACGAGTTGCTTCTCCCACCCCAGGCGATGTGCAGAATTTAGGCTCTGGAAATGGACATTTATCGGATGTGGAGTCATAGTAATGCACTGGATTGGCAGAGGAACGAGTTCCAGGCGGTCTGCGAGGCGGGAACCCAGCGCCAGTCGAGCGGTCGTGCCTGCAAAGCTGGAAGTGGAGGAGGTGGAGTCGGACTCACGAGAAGCACGGCTTCTGCCATCGCAGGCTCGGGAGCGTTGGCCGACGGCCAGTCCGACTGCTTTCCCACTGCGTCGCCGTCCACCCATCTCCATTCGGTCAGCGAAGAAGATGCTCCTGTCAGTTCTCTGTTCGTTATATCGTATGAAAACCCTTATGAATGAAACTGAATAACAGTTGTCTTGGCAAAGTAAAATATTTGGAGTCGTTACGAGCAATCTTTCGCATCTACTTCGGCAAAAATGAAGGTGTAACCCGCTTTTAGGTGCACCCCGCGTTGGACCTGGATAGCGTACATCCCTGGAGCAGCCGTTCGGAAATAAAAAGTTTTTTTGAACTAGGATCAGAAACGTTTTCCTATAGATCCAGTAGAAACAAATAAAAAAAAAGCGACACCTATCCAGTAGAAAGGCTGCGGGGAGAGCGCCGCGGAAAGAGCTGAACGAAGTCCGCGACGGGTCTGATCGTCGATTCGAAGTGGCAAAGTTGCTCCACTGTAACTGCCCGTCGACTCCGCCAACCTTGGTCACCTACCGGTCGAGGCATTTTCTTTGGGCGCCCAACCAGTCGGTCTGCTCGTCACGAGAGGCGGCGTAGCACATTCCGCCGAACACTCCGACCACATCCATCGAGCTCTGAGCGCATTGCCACGGAGAGACTGAAGAATCGATTTTGTTTGAAAATGCTCATTTTGTCTTCTTGAGTGAATTGTTCTTTTCGAAGCGCTCCTTGCCTTTAGAGTAAGGACACCAGTAAAAATAGATGCCTTGAAGAAAATACAGGCATTCAGCCGCTGACAGAAACTAGAGAAACTATAGAAATGTTCCCTTTGTGAGCTTTTCACAGGTTTTTGTTCAATACTGTTTATTATAAATTCCGATATTCAACATAAACCATTATTTCTTTTCATTCTAAAAATTCCAAGAAGAAAAACCTTATCCTCACTAGGGAACGTTTTTGGCCCCCGGTTGAACTGTTGATGAAACTTCACTGAAGTGTACTCTAGGACCTCCTGATTTTAAAACAAGAAAAAAATTCTCGCAATAAATCTGGTTTTTAGGACGCTTTAAAAGCTTGAAATAGCGCTTTTTTGACATAATTTGGGTATTTTGCGGACTTTGAATCTTAATAAATCGAAAACAAAATCAAAAAAAAAAAACGTTCCCTAGTCAATGTAAAAATTGGCGGCAGAAAAATCCCCTTTCATTAAATTTTATCCTTTTCCCTCTTCTCTGAAAAATTCAATACAAAAATAAACTGAAGCCTTTTTAAAAATTACGTCCAAAAGGCGATGACATAAAACTGTTTTTTTTGTATTCATTAGGAATGGCACCGACATCAAATTTTTTTTTCAAAATTCATTATCCCATGCTTTTTCTCATTTATTTCTCGCTTAAAATCTCCTATTCGTCATAAAAAGGAAAGATTTTTTTCGGCGCAAAAGTAGTGTTTCTTGAACAACAGACGAAATGGACACCACCGTGGTAATGTAAACTGGCGGAGATTTTGCGAGAAGATGATTCTTCGAACAATATAACGGGTTCTTTGAGTTTCGTGTGTACGTATCTCGGTAAGACTGCTCCGATGCGCGACACGTTTGACCAGTTGACAGGCGCAAACACGCATTCTTGCCAGTTCATTTCTCCTGGATTTCTGGCCTCATATTTTACCCAGGAAAGAAATTTACTTTAAATGGGTCTTAACCCTTGAATCTAGTTAAGCATTCCAAAAAGCTGGAAGCAAAAAACTATGTGGACCCCTATTATTTGTAAGTTCCATTTTAGCATTAACTGTTGCGAGTCCTGCGTTTATTTGCTTTTCTGTCGATGAACTGCTTCGGAACGGCTTTGATCATGAGCTGGAGGAGCCAAGACTGCCGCTCTCGAGTGCTGTTCTACACGTAGCACTCGAGATTCCGCAGCGGGAGCCCATTTAAAGACAAAGCTAACAAAAAAACGGCGCTGCAAATAGCGGCTGGAACAACTTCGCGAGTTGCCACCCTCGGAAAGACTCGCCTGCGTCGGTGGCGAACACGTTGGCCTCGCAGAGATGGAGCCGATGCGTTGCTGACACTCGCACCCGCGACACCTTGTTCGAAGTGCACGACACGGTCGTCGTCGCGTTCGGGGTGAATGACGTCGAGTTCAGAGAGCAGTGCTGCAACAAGTCTCCTGCATTGATATGACCACTTGAAAGTCTTCTTCGTAGAACTTTTTTTCAGCATCGTAATGTTGAAGTTGGCTAAGCTGTCACTGATAGGCGTTCAAAAATAATATTTAGGTTAAGAAAAAGCAAACGAGAAACTTGTCTTACCGCCGAGAACGGAAAACTTGAATCTGGCCAGTTAGATTTCAAAGCAATACAGGAACATCTTGAAAAAAAAGTGACATGTGTAAGACTAATTGAAGGTTCAGAAAAAGACAAAAAACATTATTGAACAGCTGAAAACTTTTTTATTCGCGGAAAAAAGTTGAAAATAAAAATGAAACCCCATTTACATAATTCAGAAGGACCTTGAAAATTTCCTTCTCTTTTTTAAGCTTTCCAAATAAAGAAAAAATTCACTCTTTTTCTATAAATAAACGAAGTCTATCTCTTACCAGAGGCAAGAGTCAAAAAAATTCAATCAGCACACAAGTTTGAAAGAGATGAACACCGAGAAATGATAAATTTCGAAAAAAAAAATCAAAAGCTTTTAAAAGTTGGTGAAAATGGCTTCAGATCCTAACTTGAAAAAGTTTCTTTGCAGTTCAAAAAATATGATATTTCTAAACGCGATAATTGCTAACATACTACTTTCCTGATTTCTTTTGTAAATTCACATATGTTCAGTCCGCCTGGTTTGGCACACTGTAGGCTTGAATTCTGCATACACCGTTTACGGGTTTTGGGCGATATTTTCGGTAATAACGTTTTTTTAACGGAAAAATAGATAAACTGAGGAAAAGCAAAATTAGAAAAATCGAAGATGGAAATTTAGTTTTAAAATTTAAATTTTTGCAAGCGCTAGCACGTCTAGAGATCAGTTTTTAGTTAGTAAAAAATCGTTTTTCTGTAATTTTTCATGTAATAATGTCGAAAATAGCTGGGTCTAAACTGATTTAATTCCACTGTAGTTCCGCATTACGTAACGCTTTATAAATTTATGAGAAAAATGAATTTGAAAAGAATATATGAAAGAATAAAAAACAATACGATGGAGGAAAGAAAACCTTGACTTGTCCGGACGAAAGGATGAGGTCGACGGCAGTGACAGGAGACGACTGAGCGCCGAGTCTCAACGAGATGGACCTAACGGAGTACTGGTCGAGAAGGTCGACCTCCCTGAACTCTTTCAATTTCTTGCTATCTACGCAGAACAATTACCAGAAGGACTTCGGCTCGTTCTCCGTCATTGTGCACAGACTGCGCGACAAAGACGTCGCCACGTTCCCCGAGGACTAAATATTTTCATCAAAGAGAAATCTGCGTTTTCCGTTTTCAAAGTGATTCCGCGTAAGGGTCAGAGAACGAAAAAGATGACTCAATTCTAGAGAGTCAGAGATAATTTTGCAATTCGCGAAAATTACTTTGAACGCGGCATTAGCTTTTTGTTTAAAAAAAAGAAGCCACACGATTTTTTTTTCTCGTTATACTGTGGATATATAAGGGAGCTTAATTATCCTTTTTTCAATATAAATAGCAAAAAATGATTTCAAAGTATGAGAAAAACCTGATGCATGGGCTTGTTGGCAGCGACGTCGATGGCGCAAAACGGCGCCGAGCCAGACCAGGAGCCGTCGGAACGGCATGTTCTTTCTTCTCTTCCGACGCGTTCAAACCCCAACGCACAACTTAAAACGCTCCATTGAAAAGACTAAACAGATACTTGCAAAATGCAAAAAGCCTAATTACATTAATGATACGACGTTATTTCAAAAGCTTCCGTTTTAAAAAAGCAAAAACAGCAACTTGAGAGGTCGGAGACTGAGAAGACACACATGTGAAAATCTCTTTTATAAACGCATTTCTAGCTTTCTTATACTGCGGTTTCAGAGATGACGTTGTAAAATTTCGAAATTTCGAGTTTGTGAATCAATATTCTATTAAAATTGATTTTCAAAGTAATAAGAAATACCGTAAGTGAAAAAAATAATACATTTTTTGGAAAATCGGAGATCGATTCGAATTTCGCCCAAATCACTCTGAGCCCAAGCTCGTGCAAGGCCGGCACGGCCATTTTCTAAGCCCGGTACGATCGGGCCTTCGGGAGGCCTCAAGCAAAATTGGCCGGTTTTTGTTTTCTTCACGTCGTATACCAAGAATTCTACGAGAAAATTGATTTTTCTGCTTACTTTTTCAAAAGGAGTCATCCCTCAGGCTTTGCTCGGACATTGGTAACGCGAAGTGGACGTCATGGACTGAGCGATTCTAGGGATCACTTAAGAGTGCTGAAGCTACTAAAGTGGTAACTAGAAATGCCCCGATGCTCTTGATTCGCGTTACTAATGTCTGAGTACTCGAGCCCGTCCGGTTCTCGTTACCGAGGTCCGAGTAATTTTTTTTTCACTCAAATCAGACGCGCCTCGGACTTTTTTCATTCTTTGTCGTAGAAAAAGTTCTCTTTGCAACTGAGCGAAACTTAAAATACTAATGACACGGTTTTTGTAAAATACTTCATTGCATATGAATCTCGACAAAAGGTATTTCAGTAAGGAAAATGTGAAGCTTGCTCTTACGGTTTGCAGAAACAAACAATTCTTTGTCCTAGTATTGTCTTTCATGTTTGGTAGAACAAATAGGCGTGCAAGCTTTCTCCAAGAGATGTTTGCTTAATTTTTCAACGCATCATATATGCTTGAAGACGCGTTTTTATACCAAATCAAATGAGGCTTTACCTTGAAATTAATACATACATTTTTGAAAAATTATATCTCAGTTCTATTTCTTCGAAAAATATTGAGCGAATATTGGTTTCTGATTTCTGACATGAGAGAAAAAGTTAGAGCTAACTAATTTTTTAGCCCATTTCGCTGCCATCTCGCGAAAGTCTAACCCTATATCGCTCTCCGAAAAGTTTTATTCAAAAATAGTTTTTCTTTTTATTAAAAAAATAGTTTTTCTTTTTTTATTAATCTCATCATACAAGTAAAAAGCGAAAAAAATTTTTTTATGTCTAATTTATGAGAAAAAGCGATATGGCAGCGAGACTTTGACGATGTCGCAACAAGAAGTCATGGCTATATACATTCGATTTGAAGAAAATTTAAAATTGATTTTTTTTTTGTCCAAAAACAGAAATTTTCGAGAAAAAGACTTCAAAATGACTAATAGCCGAAACTAACGATAGTTGAAATAACAAGCTCAGAAGAAAAAACAAAATGATGAAATTGTAGAACAAGAATAAATTTTAGTTCAAAATGGAAAAAATGAGAGCTGAGAGAGAGAGAAAAGTTCAAACTCGAAACGAGAAAATATCAGAAAAAAGTTATAGTTTATTAAGGCTGAATCAAAAACGTAAAGCTTCTCTACTGTGTAAGAAAAAAAAACGAATCTCGATAGAAAAAGCTCGACCTGTATTTGGCGATGGTGGAAGGTGCGTAGGGACCCAACTCGTTGAAGATGACGTGACCGTTCTCCGGAACGAAGGGCTGCAGACAGTGGAGGCCGACGGCGACGGACCCTAACTCGCACAGTAAAAAGGCCCATCTCAGATACATTTAATGGGCCTGCTCGGATCTACATGCAAAGACTAGAGGGAAGAGAGTTTGCGGAGAGCCTGGGGGAAACCAGGCGAGCACTCAGTCCGTTCGCCTCTCACCCAGTTCTGTTTCCATCCTTCGGAGGTCCACTCGACGACAAACAAATGTGAATCGACAGCAGTCCTAGGTGAGAAACCGCCTGCCGCGCGGCGCGATCCGACTAGCTCTTTCCGGACTATCAATGATCGCTCTCTCTTTTCATATTCCATTATCAAACTCGCACTCCTCACCGACTGAAAAAAGGGAAGATTGAAAAATCGGAACGTCGCTTAAAATACACGACAACAATATTAATGCCGTGTTCAAAGTAAATTCCGTCAAATGAAAAATTATCTCTAGCACTCCGAAATTCAGTTATCTTTTTCGCTATCTGACGGCAATTTCGAGTTTCGCGGAATAACATTGAACACGGCATAAAAAAGAGAAATTATGTGCAACAACAAAAAAAAATAGGCAGACTGAAGGAAATTTGTTGAAAAATTCTTTCCAGCGTGTTCTTCATATCAATCTTGGGACATAAAGAATCCGTCTGTTAGAATTCCTGCTGTTTAGATTTTTTCTATCTTTCTGAGACCGAGGGATACGATGTTTATCAGCGAGTTTTCCAAAAAGTGTCCCGTAATAGACCAAATTTAAGATGATCGAGAATCTTTTAATATTTTAACATTTATTCTAAGCATAGACCTGCAAGCACGGGGCATCAAATTCATAAAGTCGAGCTAACAAATTGGATACTGGTGTATAATTTAGTATTCTCAATTTATCACGGTGTCCCATACGGTAGATTAATTATTTAATAAAATTACAAAAAAAATTTTATTTGATTAAATATTTGCGCGTAGATCGTAGCGCTCCTCGTGTTTGCAGCCTGTACATGAAAGCGCCGTCAAAACAACAAACCTCACGAGAGAAAGAAGAAAATAAATTTTTAAATTTGTTTATTCTTTTGAATTTGTATATTCTTTCGCGACTTTTCAAATATTCCAGTATTTTTTCTTCTAAGCACGGCGCATAAAGTTGAGCGTAAAAGTTAGAAAAGTCCAAAAAAATATGTTTAGTTTTGGTGTGTAATTTATTTAGCATTTTTTTCTCATTTCTAACGGTGTACAAAATGGTCGCTTGATTAAGGTGTGCCATACGGTCGCTTATATATTTAATAAAATGACAAAAACCATTTTATTTGAATAAAATTTTGCGCGTAGATCGTGGCGTTCCTCGTGTTCACAGCATGTACATGAAACCGCGGTCAAAACAACAAACCTCACGAGAGAAAAAAAACAACAAATTTTTAAATTTATATATTCTTTTTTCTTTGTATTCCCGACGTTTTTCATGAATCTTATTTTTTCAAAACCGCATCAAATATGGATCTGTTATTATTTTTAAAAAGTTTTATTGATTCAGCAAGATCATCTGACATGATCGACCAATAATTAACTTGTTTATCATTTTTCGATTGATACTTCCGTATTCTTTTATATTTATATCTATGTAACTGTTTGTATTTTCTTAATTTTCGCAAATGGAGAAAAATGTCTAAAAAATGCTATTCATCAGGAAGGTTGAGACGTTGATGAGCGCTACAGCAGTTCAACTTATAGCTGAATTTAAGTTGCCAAGGGATGTTTCGAAAAAAGCAAGACGATTCTTGTTCGCAAACGACGATTTAGGTAATATCGATAAAATTGAAAAACTTCGAAGAATAAAAAAATTTATTTAGATAGCGAGAACCATGAAACTCAATCTATATCGTCTATCCAAGAGACACATCGGATTTGCCCCGACACAGAAAAACCTGAAAATGTGAATGAATGGGAAGATGCTCCTTCCGACTATCAGCAGGTGAAAAAACAGGGTTTTTTTGAAACTTCTTTTTTTAACAGGAAGAAGAAAAAGAAGGTTGGCTTTCGAGCTGCCGAGTGACGTCCTACAGCGACGCCGACTACTTTTTGGCGAGTTTCGGAGCTCGTTTCGTCTTGTTCAGCAAATCTTTATCAGGTTTTAAGTTTATAAGAATAATTTTTCAAGAAATAGTTTGATGAAGAAGCTAAAAAATAAAAATAAAAGATCTTCAGGCGAAGAGTACAAGATAGAAACAATGCAAAAAGTGGAGGATGAGGAGCATGTGATATCAGCGAGTTGCCTTCTGGGGCTGAGCAACCCGCGCCACTCGGACCAGCTCGACTGCGTGCTCGTCGCCGTGGGCACTGTCAATGGTTTCGTTCATTTCTACACGGAAAAAGGCACTTTGCTCTTTCATGAACAGTTTTCAAGCAAAGAGCCCATATGCGACGTTGTTTTCAGTCAAGTGAAGGTTTTTATTTCATATTGAGATTTATGAGAGATTCTTCTTTCAGGGATCCCAAGTTTTCCTTGTTGTTCTGAGAAGGGTTTTTTTCGTCGTTGATGTCGTCTCCATGTATTCCACTTTGTTGCAAGCGAAAAGTTCGGTTAGTTGAATTCTTGTTTCATTGAAGTATTTACAGTAAAAGATACGAAAAAAACGGGACTTTGGTCACAAATTCCTTTTAAGGAAGTTTCTGAAGCTGCTTTTTTTGGGAGGTGAAACTCTATCAGAGGGTTAGAAATACCATCACAACTCCAAGAAGCATGCATGGGATGAGCATGAAAGATCATTTTTTAAAGGTTTTTTCAAAACCCCTCCCCCCTTTTTTTTCCTCGTTTTTTTGCCAAGTCCTCTTCCTTTTTTCAGGTCCCACCGAGAATATCCCATGTTTGCCAGGAAGTTTCAGAAAGAATGAACTCCTTAAAAGAAAGTTGTGACCGAAAATTTTTTTTAGTATCTTTTCTGACGGTACTGTATTTTAAAGATAGCGAAGGGTGAGAAAACTGCACACCAACTTTCCGAAAGTCTCGATTCCAACTGCGAGCTTCTGGACCCAGAGGTGACGAGGTCAGCCTCGCCGGAGTTCAGCAACATTTCCAAGGTTTCAGCGACATTTTGCACGTGGTCTACACGGGCCCTCACACGCCGACAACGTTGGAGCAGTACATGGCCGCCTCGTCTCGTTCTTTCTACGTAGGTCACGGCAAAAGTTCATCGACGGCTGTTCTAGGCCCGAGTCGAGCGCTTCACGCCTCCGACCTATTCGACTTTCGCTGTGACGACAGAAGCCTCGTTCCTCAGTTTCGTTTGGCATGATCACGAGGCTGGCGGCAAAATTTGGAACGAAGCCATCAAGTACGGAAAATCGGTAGGTTCTTTCAAGTTTCTAAAGAAAAATGAGCTTGAATTTAATTTTTTTTGGCTGGAAAACACAGTTTACTGACAGGAAACTATGAAATTGCTCAAAAATGTAATTTTCGTCTTTTTTTCCTAGGATGGATGTATCTTATCTCTTACAATCTCACAATTCTTTTTTCATCAAGCTATTTTTTTTCATCTAGTAGAGTAGTTAGTTTGAAAAACTTCTAGAAATTTAAAGGTACCGCCAGAAAAGATACGAAAAAGAGCGAATTTGGTCACAACTGTCCTGAAAGTTTTCTAAAGCTGTTTTTTTTTTCTGTGAAGTGAGACTCTATCAGAGTGTGCAAAACAACAGTGATCAAAAATCCAGAAAGTTTGAGAAATATTGAATCCCTTACAAGAAAGTTGTGACCGGAAAACCCCGTTTTCGTTTTCTGACGGTACTGGAATTTTTCCTGATTTGTATTGTCCAAACCAAGTTTGGTACTCACATCGTTCTCCTGAAGTGTACAACGACCACAAAGGATATTTTAAGCTTCTCCCGAGTATTGGGATCCGGAGTTTTTTTGGACTGCAGTCCAAACCTCTGCGCAAAACGCCGTTGTCCGAGACGGCCTGCACGGCTCCCGTACGCAACTGCGTCAGGGACAACCGAGTCGCAGAGACGGTTGAAGGCTCGCCGGACGGCCGCTACTTGGCCATCGTTGACCGCACCGCCCGTGTCGTCCTTGTTGATGTTTGTTCTTCGCTTTTTTTTTACACAGTTTTCGAGTATTGTTTTTCGCCCGCAGCTTTTTCAAGAACAATCATTTTGACCTGAAACTTTATTCGAAAACTTCAAAAAAAAAAGTTTTTGAATCTGCATAAAAATCGCAAAAAACATGATCAGCAAATGTTCAACAAAGCCAGTAAACCGGTATAAATGACTTCCAATTGAAAAAATTGAGTAAAACAGATCTAATCCTTCGTAGTCTTCGGATTTGATAAAACACGCTCATTGGGATCTTCTTCCAAACTTTTTCGATTGGCTTCTTCGAAATTTCAGGCCAAAAAAAATACTTTTTAACAAAGTTTTGTACGAAAACCCAAAAAAAATACTCACCCATTTTCGCTACTGTATAATATCTGAGGTGGCTGGAACAGAGATCACTTTCTTCGACAATCATTCAAACTTTATGCTGAAACTGATATTGTTTTCGAAAAATTGAAAAAAATATTAATAGAGTCTCTAAGTAGTGAATTAAAATTTGGATTGTTTGCTGTCAGCACATTTCAAAGCTTCAAAAAATGCAGAAAACATTGGGAAAAATCTAAATATTAGGCGCATTTTGATTATTTCTTCAGCTTTATGATGTTTTTCAAAAAAACATTTTTCATGGCCTGTTTATCGGGCAAAAGAAAAATTGTCCCAAACCAAAAATTAGTACTGTTTTGGAGCAATTTTGGTGCGCAGATAAACACGATTTCGCGTTTTGAAACATGTTCCGTTTCTCCAATGAACACACCATTAGTTTCTGCTTTTTTTTTTAAAGTAAAGCTTCAATCGAACGCATAGTCAGGAAATTGAGTTCACAGGAGATCGATATTTAACAAGTTTTTCAATTATGTTCTTAAACTTCGTACATATAGGTTCTAAACCGACAAATCGCCATGATATGGAAAGGATACCGGGAAGCGAGCGTTTTTTTCGTAACGAGTACAGAAGAGAAACGGGTCGCCCTTTTCCTCGCGATCTACTCTCCACGAAGAGCTCTTCTCGAAGTCTGGACTGTCGAGGTTTCCTTTGAATCGTCAACTCTGTCTCTACCCCCTCTTTCCAGAGCGGATTCCGGATAGCGGCCCAACTGATGGACCCCAAACGGCTTCATGTTGAAAGGAGGATTACCAACACAGATGTGTGGCAACGTTTTCCATTCCCTAGCTTCTTCTTTCACCGCCTATTTCATCAATTCCAAAGTTTTCATCTTCTATTAAGCTCCATTCAAAGTTTCTAGAACGAGTTCCAAAAAATAGTTGTTCCGTTCCATTTGGCGTTGGTGACTGGAGCCACTTACGATCAACACGACCAGCTGCTTTTGAGAAAGGTTTTCTTCACATTCGAATCGGGAGGGTACCATAATGTGTCCAGAAAAATACCTTTCGAAATGGTAACCCATGATATGTCCATCGTGAGACCTCCAGCATAACTTTTAGCCCTACCTGAGACGTAGCGGAGGTATTTGAGAGAATATATCATGTCTATCTCATTTTGCTCAAAGTCCTCACTAGGAAACGTTTTTTACTTGTACTTTACAGGGGAGGTAATTTTACTTTGCGGTTAGGAATTTGCTAAAAATTGGCCAGAACACTTTTTGATGTACCTAATGAAAATCCTGAGAGTCGCAACTTGCACTGCTTCATAATTTTCGACAACAACGACCTAAAGTCTCAAAAAAGCCTATTTTTTTTAGGTTTTGATGGTTTTCTTTGACTTTGAGGCGTCTTTTGCCAAGAAATATTTTAGAGTTAGGACACTTCAAAAGCTTGAAATAGCGTTTTTTGTCATAATTTGTGTATTTTGCGAACTTTAAAGCTTTATATTTCGAAAACAAGATCTATTGCGATTTTTTTTCTTCTGCAATAATCCTAAAGTACACGAAACCTTCTCTAGTCAGAGATATAATCGTAGTTCCATCGATAGAATTCAGACCCTGAATTATACCTCAAAGACCATCGCGGTACCCTTTCTCGATGCGCCCATGTTTTCAATTTGTTCTTTTAACATCTTTTTGAAGCTTCAAACCGCCGGACTGAGCACGGAGACTTTTTGTGAAGTTCTTTTCCTCGCTTAAACTCGTCAGTTCTCGCCGATCCGCTGTCCTATCTTTGCTCTCCCAATTGGAAACTATCGCTCAAGCTCGTGACTTCTTTTCCCAGTTCTCATCGGTTTCCATTCCTTCTCAATTTTGATAAATCCAAGTTTCAGGTCGAGTCAGTGAAGAGCCTAGGAAATTTTGTCGATCATCTCCAAAAGGCCATTGAATTATACGGAAAACTTTTGGCACCCTCAACCGAAAATAGTCCAGAGCTTGAAACGACAGACATTAATTTGAAGCTGAAAGGTGCTGCTTTGGAAGTGGTGAAGATACACTTGGATCGCGAAAACATAACGTTTGAACTTCCTTCTCAACCTGAAAAAAGAACCTAAATAGGGATGTTAACGTTCTGAGCGTTGGTGAATGGCTGAGCTTCATCGACTGGACTTCTGAAACGACTGAGGTGTTTTCCAGGTAGTTTTCTTGAAAAATCAAAATGAGTTTATAATGGTTACAGATCTTGTGGAGACGGCTTTTACAAGCAACTGGCCTTTACACTTTTTGGAAATTTTCTAAAAACTGAGACGAACGCCAAAGTTTTTCTCCACTCGGTTTTGAATGAAGTTCCGTTCAGCAAGGTTTTCTGAACCCCGAGGCTCTCTCCATAAGCATTTCAGATCGACATTTTGAAACTTCTCAGTCTCGGTTTTCTCTCCTATTCACAAGGAATTTCACGCGAAAGTCTTGTGAGGTTTCATTTCCCCTGAAGCTTGCCTGTGCATAGGTTTATCAGAACCTCGGAGCTTCTGTTCTTATTGGAAGAAGATGAACCGGGGGCTCTTCAACAGGCTGCTCGCATCGCTTTCGAGTGGTTAGCTTTTCTTTCCTTTTCATTTAAACTAGTTCATTTTTAAACAGGACGGATGTGGGACGTGCAATTCTGCTGTTCACCGCGTGTTTTCTGGCTAAAAACTTTTCTGAAAAACCGGAAGAGTCGACCTGGAAGGATGGAATTGAGGACGCCGAGGCCGGAGAAGCAACGGGCGAAAATGAGGACATTTCCGAGAGTTTGCTCGTACCCAGCCTCTGAGCTCATTTATCTCACAGAACACCGCGATTCGTGGCACTCTGTGAATGTCGACGAGCACGCAGACAGCCTCATACAGTACATGCACGTGGTCTTCCTGGTTCAAACGCTGACCAAAAGAACCATTCCGCTGGTGGCTGTTGCCTCCCACGCAGACTCTTTCCTCAGGGAGAAGGTTCGAATTCATTTTTATACTCACTTAAAGGCATAGAGGTAAAAATGAGGTTAAAGAGAAATAGGCCATTTTGTAGAGTTCTTTCCTGCCTGTCGAACGGAAAACGTACAGAACTTCCTAGTTCTGTCGGAGTCGGAGAGAGAAAAGTTTGATTTTTCGCCAAAAGGGCCTTTTGCAGTAAAGTTGCTCCATGGACAACTCGCTTCGCCATGTTTTGGATTTTCTCTTTTTCCTTCGTTTCCTTCGGATTACAATTTTTCTGTTGTCACCGAAGTCTTTCTGTTATGAAAATTTTCTTATTATATGAATTTTTGGGATTTTGGTCGCAAAATACTTCTCTGTGCGGCTACTGTAATCAGTTTTCTGTACACCGATCCGAAGCATATTTCAAAATTACATGGCGGGAAAATAAAATCGCGTTCTTCTTTAAAAGTACTCATTATCTGTACTTTTTGAGTAGACCGTTCGATTCGCAATGAAAATCTCTATAAGATTTCACCTCAAGCCCTGCTTTTTTCTGTTCCTATGCCTTTAAAATTCACAGGTCGCTTCGTGGGCAGTTCGAGAGAAGGTAGATGCGGCCTTTCTCACTTCTGTGTTCCCAGCGGATATGCCCGAAGTACTGGGAGAAGATCAGGCACCTGTCATCGACATCCCAGAATCCACCGAAGACCTTCTCCGGCGCATCCATGAGTTGCTTCCACGAACTTTCGAGCATGACTCCATCTTTGCCGATATCGCCTGGGAACACATGAGCACTTGGTTCAAGGAGAAATCCGTCAATTTTTCTCACTTTGCGGTAAGGTAGTTCTCTTTTTAGTAGCACTTTTTTGCACAGAGCAGCCTGGAAAACCTGGATGCGATCGTGAACTTGCGTCTGAGACACGGCGTTGCGCGATTGATCTGGGACAATTTCGTGTCCACTGTATTCAAGGCACTCTCAATAATGGTCGACAAGACAAAACGAGCACCGAAAGAGCGCGAAAGTCGGAAGGACCTCGGCTTTTCAGAGGACAAGACTGTCTGTTGGCTCTTCATACACCGAACATGGATAGTTTCAGGTAGAGTTTCTGGCGCACAGTCAGAAGCTGCTGAGCATTTTGCTGGAATCCGTTCGTGAGGCGCCCATGTCTTCGATTCGATCCCAGGACGTCCTTCAAGAAGTTGGCCTTTCTCGTCTGAGAATATATCAAAAAGAATGTTCCAGAATGCGTACGTATATCTTAACCGACACCTCCACAGCGAAAAAAGCACGACGAAGGCTAGCAACGACTCTCTCGTGGCGATAGCCATGCGACAGCAACTTGTCAACTACCATCTCGTCCTGCACCACCTACATCTCGCCGTTGCTCTCCGTCTTCAAGTCCAGTTTCTCTCCGAGAATCCCAGTCACTTTTTGCAATTCAGCTCTCTGTTGGAATCCGGATGCAGACGATTCGTACCCTCTTCTGTGCCATCGGCGGTCGCGCTTTCTTCACTGACTTGGACTCTCATCCGCTGATTCCTCTTGACCGCGTCGATGACTCAGTTTTGGAACGAAGGCATTCATTCTTAGCCAAGGTATCTTTTTTCTCGTCATGGGTCTCTTTTTCACGTTTCAATGTCAAGGTTGCCGAACAAGGATCAACCGAAGAACGGAAAATGGCCAAAATGCTCGCTGGCGAGTGGAACTTGACGGTGAATTCGATAGCTCTGATGGTGAGATAACGACGTCGTCTATCCACACCTCTCTTGAGCTTGCAGCAGTCTTTATCCGCCTTACGACTCGGAAACGACGACGTCGCTGCGCAAGAACTCTCGGCGGCGGTACACGATGACCACGTGGCGGCATCTCTGGCCCGCATTCTTGCTGCTCGGATTCTTCAGTTGGGCGAAAGTTCTGCTACTACCTTCACCAAGTCCCACATGACGTTCGTTCTATCAATCTCAATCATTAATTTTGTCCTTTAAAGGTATCTCATGAACATGGCTGGTGAAGAACTGACCAGAGTTGAATGCCCTGAGGATACGACTTGGCAGAAGAGCATAGTTTCTCTCGGAAAAATCGCAGTCGGTTGCTCGTTTGCCGCACACGCTCAAGTTCCCTTCCTCCGTCTCAATGACATCGCCAAGCAATATTGGGCCATCTATTGGACGGATTGACTTCTTCTAACTTCTTTGTACATTTTTTCATTCCATGGGTGATAAACTAACTGATTTTTGTCGAGGATTTTCTTTGTAAATTCACATAAAAAAAGAAAGCTCTATTCATCATCTCGAATTATAAAAAAAACAATAAAATGTGTAAACAATTGAATAACAACGAAAGAGATCAAATTGATATTATTTTTTACTTTCAGCCTTTTGCCCGGGAGCTAGTTTAACGTGTCTTCCGGGATTAGAAAAACTCCGTTCCCAATCGACAACGTGGCTTTCAGGATACCTAATTCTCAACAGTTGATCAATCATCAGAGTTTTCGACAAACCTGACGATTCGAGGGAAAGCGGCTCGTTCTTCGGCTGTATATTGATCGCTTCTTCGAACTATTTCTTGCACGGGCGCCAGCTTGAAAATATCATATTGGAAAACTAAACGATACATAACTTTTCATATCATTTTTCGCGTCTAAACTAACCATACTATCATTAGTCAAGGAGAATTAGCTAGAGTATATTCGAATTGAGTTTACTGATGTAAAACGAGCTATTGGGTTGGATGAAAGGGCAAACGCTAGGTCAAAGTTCTGGTTTTACCTTTTCCTAAATTTTCAGTCTTTCTCATTCTGAAAAGAGTAGCCCAGCCGTGCTAACACGGAGTCTCAGTGAGCGCCCCAGCGCTAAATCTTTAAGCACATCTGGTAGAACTTTTAACAACTTTTACCACTCTTTTTTTTAACACCCGTTTTTCTCCCGTTTTGGCACAACTGAGGCTGAAATAGTTTAGTGCGACTACACTCTTTGAAGCACCTGGTTTGCAAAGTAAAACCATAATTTTCATGAAGAATGTTTTATATTTGTAAAAATCCGTCACAAAACAACACCCCTAAAAAAAAAGTACGAAGACTTGGAAGCGGACCTAGGGACTTAAGAAAAACCGCCTTAACGCCAATATAATTATCAATTTACAATTTGGGCGTGGACATAGAGGAAATCCTTGATATTTCATTCATTTTGTAAGAACGAAGAGCTTCCGAAATATTGCGACGTACCTGGTTAGCAATATTCTTCTGGACGAATTTTGGCATGTCTTCGTCGGGGAATAAGTGAAGTCTCTGTACTTGCCGCCTCCTAAGTATGGAATTTCCAAGGGCCTAAAAACCAGTCGAATGAGGAGGTATGCTAAGGTTGCTGAACCTTATAAACGGCTAAGAAAACGATGCGACAAGGGTCGTACTCGTGAATTTGCCACGCCGGAATATCTGCTTTGCTCCGCGGGTACTCCTACAAATGGTCGATGAGACGCTTTGTTGGGTAGGAAACCTTGTTGAAGTGATAGAGGGTGTGTTTCCAGTCGAAACCGTGCATGGCGACTTGAGAGCAGTTGGTGATGACGACGTGGTCGCCGCAGTCCGTTTCGGGATGCCAGATAGGTTTGTGTCTGCCGGCCAGATGCCTCGCCACTTTCTCTCCTATCTTCCTCGCATCCTGAGTAGAAACTGAAGTTTACTCTCGAAAGGTCTTGAAGATTTATTAGAGGTACAGAACACGATTCAAACATTTTTCAGCTTGTCACAACACTGGAAAGTTTAAAGTTGCGAAAAAAAAAATACTGAGTTTGTGCCTGGAATCCGTAAAAAGAAAAAAGAAAGAAGAAATACTCTGGGACTCTTGTTTTGGTACTTAAAGGCATAGGGGCAGTAAAAAACGGTGTTTCAGTTCAAAGCAGTAATTTGTAGAGTTTTTCATTGCGAATCGAACGGTAAACTTGAAAACGTACCGAACTTCCTAGTTTTGGAGAAAAAATAATTCAAAGTCGGAGAGAGGAAAGTTTGAGTTCCCGCAAAAAGGGCACTTTGCAGTCAAAAATAAAGGCGGGAAAGTAAAATCGCGTTTTTCTTCTAAAGCTGTCACATCTTTAATTGTTTTGAGTACACCATTCGATTCGCAAAGAAAAACTATATAAGATACTGCTTTTACCTGAAACCCCATTTTTTACTGCCCCTATGCCTTTAAATTACCAAAGACGTTCGAATTTTTCTTTTTCGAAAAATCGCAGTGAAAAGTGAGTATATAGCCGATTCACGGCTAGCTTGGGACCCTAAGGGGTCCGTGGCCTGTCTGAACTCTACACGGGCCAAACACTTTCTCGTGCATTTTCGTGTCAGGACCCTTTCTTCGATGGCTCAAGCCAGCCATAAAACAGCTAAAGCCCATTCCGCGCCAGCTTGTCCCGATTTTCGTTTTCCTTGAGCTACAGAACCCTTCTCTTCGATGCTATCAGTGCCTGCGCCTTTAATATAACGGAAATTTTGGACCACATTCAAAGGCGCAGGCAGAGAAAAATGCTCAAAGAAAATTTTTCTTTTTTCTCTAACTATATTTTGAACCAAATTGGTCGACACTGGCCTCAATCAGTCAAAAAGTGGGAAAATTATGAGATAATTTCAAGTTTTCTGAAGCGTAGAATTTCATTCGTTCCGAAACACCGAACGAACCTGTTGATTCGCGTCGATGACGTGCCACTGACGAGCGAACTGAAGCCATTGGTTGACGCGGTCGAAGCGAGAGACCGCCCGTTTTCCCACCGACATCTGACTTCAGTTAGGGCTGTTTTTTGACTTTCTCAGAGGTATCACGATGATGCAACAGAAATATTGTTCAAGTAATCAATGATAATCTTTTTTTATTTGAAGAAGAAAAACAAAGGAATTCTATACATAAGATGATGAACAACTTATATTTTTACAACGAAGTTGGATTGAAAACGGAATGACAGCGTCAGATGATAACGCCGAAAACTATTCGTGAGAAATTATACACGTTATAAGCTAAACCACCGTTTGGGACCATCCAGAAAAAAAGAGGCAAATCAGAAGATTTCGAAAGGATTTGCTGGCAGCGATCGAATCATTGCTAGCTTACTTTTTGACAACCCGCTACTTCAGAAGACGGGAATTCGTGTTTCTATTCAAATCAGATACTAGAGCTGAAGGTACGCGTCTAAAACTATCGACTTGACTAGCCATGACTAAGGCCTAAATAATAAAAAGAAGAAATACAGATAAAATTGCAGGGTCCACCAAAAACGAGACATCGGGACAAATGTGACAGAGCGAGAGGAAAACGAGAAAGTACAAAATTTACATAAAATTTAAAAAAAAGGAAAGGCAGCTACCACACTACTTTCTGCTTGAACTCTGGGAGGACAGAAAACCGTTTCACACTTTCGTAAGCCAGCATCACCAAACAGGAATACAAGGCGTTGTTGAGCATCCGCGGCGCCAACCCCTACAAGTATTAAAGTCGGAAAATATTTCGATTTGAGAAAGTTTTAAGGCAAAGGGGCAGTAAAAATAGGGTTGGAGACAAATAGACCATTTTTAGAGCTCTTTTTCTTGTCTGTCGAACAGGGAACTCGGAAAGGTACCGAACTTCCTAGTTTTGGAGAAAAAACAGTTCAAAATCGGAGAGAGAAAAGTTTGAGCTCCCGTCAAGAGATCGTTTGCAGTAAAGTTGCTCTATGGACAACACTTCGCCATTTTTTGGATTTTTGCTTTTTTTTTTCGTTTCTTTCAATTTTTCTGTTGTTACCACAGTTCTTTTATAAAATTTCGGATTTTGATCGCAAAATTCTTCTCTGGTGAGAAATGAAGATTTTACACAGATTTCGATTGCGATAGAGATATTTTGCGTTTCCTTTATTATCGGTGTGTGTTTTATGTTTTCCTAAATGATTTTTCGGGAAAGAAACCTTGATTCTAAGCAGATAATCAGTTATTTTTCACAAATTGCGAGTCTAATGACACGTCCGCAACATCGCGTGCACAGTTACTGTAAATAGTTTTCTGTACACAGATCCATACTTCAAAATTTAAAGGCGGGAAAATAAATTTCTACTAATATATGAGCTTTTTTGAATAGACCGTTCGATTCGCAATGAAAAGCTTTACAATATTTCACCTCAAACCCCGTTTTTACTGCCCTTATGCCTTTAAGACATTAGATTGTCGACGGTTTTAGGATGGAGTCTCTGCCGTGGGGAAATATCACTTTAATTTTACAAGTATCACTTTAATTTTTCAGAAGTATCACTTTAATTTTTCAAGTTTCCACAGATCAGCTGTTAGATTTATTTGATTGTTTTGATGTGTTATTTTTTTTATTTGTCGTGCAGATTGCGAAATGGCGAATAAACACTTGAAATGAATGAAATGAAAATGAACAGACTTCACAGGAAATCCACTTGGCTATCTGATTTGTAAAGAAGAAAGAAACGCGGAGAAAGTTTACGAACCTTTGTAAAGACGTTGGTGCCTTCATACTTGAAGAGTCGCGAAACGGTTTCTCGGTAGGTCGTCCTATGTACCTGAAAACAGGTGATAACACAGGAAAACGGAAATCGGGAGAGACTTGGAGACGGATCCGCAGCATCTCGAGGGGATTCGTCACCATGGCGGAGGCGACGCCGGCCACCGACCCCGAGACGGCCTGGTCGAGGAACAAATTGCGGTCGTCGACCTCCGAGGCCGTCAGAGGCTTGTGTCCCATCTCCAGTTCCGTCACCTTTAATCAAACTGAGCATTTTCCATCTCTTTTTTAAAATTCAAAACCACAGGAATTTCAACTTTGGATTCACCTTTAAATTTGTCATTTTAAATTTCTAAATTTTTTCTTTGGGTTCTAGAAAAGCTATCGAAGCAAAAAGACTCAGAGAACTGACAAGGAAAGTCTTTTTTTATTTTTTTCGGTTGGGAATTTCCTGAATATCTGCCAGAACACTCCTTAAAGTACAGAAAAGGATTCTGAAAGCCTCATGCTGCAAAAATTGAGGAATAAGGGCTCTAATTCAAAGAAATCCTTCAAATTCAGTCAAAAATGCCATTTCTGGGGCCTTGGAGCACTTATTTCTTAAAACATAGAAAGTTGGGCAGATGGAGACTTTCAAGATCTTAACTTGGGACTTTAAAAGATATAGATTTTCAAAAAATTTCCAACTGCTAGGTAGAATTACCTTTTTTCTGAGATCCTGAAGGTATTTTCATTTTTCTTGCTTGAGCTATTTTTAAGACACTACAAATTATACGCTCCCACTTCTGCTTAGAAACCTAAAGAACCATACTTCCGAACTGCAGAGAAGTCCCTCTAGGGGCAACCTTAGGTGCCCTTGAAAGGCCCCCTCTATGGACCAATCCCTTTAGGGACCACCCTGGAATTCTCAAGTAATGAACAAAAAAGGACCAAATAAGCATGTTTTTCTGAATATCTTACAAGTAAATGAGAACTATTTTGATTCTGAATATGGGGATCATAATCCCCCCCCCCTTGTTTAAGAAATAGTCCCACGTCCTACACGAGCCCCCTACCCCCCCTTTTATTTTTTTATTTGAAAAATTTCTGTTTTTTTCAATTAAATTTCACCATAGTGTAGTACCTATTATGCTAAAAAAACAAAAAAATCGTTCAAATTTTGAATATTTAAGTATTCAACTCAAGTTAATTCCACTAAAACGAACTTTTTTTCAGAAACTCAATACGTTCTTTTCAGTAAAATGTCTCTAAAACGCCATTTTTCACAAAATAAGAAAACATACCTTCGTGCGAATTTTCCGGAAAACTGATAAAGAATAGTAATAAGTAGACCAGAAAACCATCGTGGAAGGCATATAAAGCATGATGGCCGACATGAACCCTCTGAACATAGAAAAAAATTGATTAAAGGAGAAGAGAGAAAAAAAAAACCTATAGAAGCCCTTCAACCCGTCGACTTTGTATACGGCGCGTATCACTCTCAGTCCCAAAGTCCTTTTCCCTTCGAGACCGTCTTTTCGGATCGCGTCCGCCACTGTGACGTTTTTCGAGCCTCCTGAACACGCCTGATAAAGAGAAAAAACTGAAGCGGGTGAGGTCCAATTTTCAGAAAAAAAAAAGAAATCTTGAACAGCTTTGTAGAGATAACGAAAAAAAAAGGTAGGTTCTGACGTGTTTTAAGTAATTTCAGCAAAACTAAAGTTGTCTCTGACTCTTCGAAACTTAGTTATTTTTTTCACTCTCAGAATTTTGAAAAAAAATTCTCTTTTGAAGCAGATTCGAAAAAAAAAACGCCTTAAACATTCTCGATAACACGGGCAAAGTCGGACTGGTGAATGATGGCCGCTAAAAGAGAGAAGCTCAAAAAAGGCCGCAGAAAGGCAGCAAAAAGGGTTCCTTTATAGAGACTTTCATTTTTTTGGATATCAAAGGTTCAAAAATAAGTGGAAAAAAGGGGGAGGCAGCAAAAGTGATGCATAAGGTCCGATGGAATGGCGAAAAAAGGCAGCAAAAATAGAGTCTTTTTCCACCATTTCCGACTTTGCCTATGAACAATAAGAGAAGGTTCAATCTCATCATATTTTTAAACAGGAGCTTAGATTTGAAAGATAGGTTACAAAGTTGGTAAAAAGGCGCGTGAAAAAGGAAATCCTACCTCCAAAAGCTTCGGGATTGTTGTGGACCATCATGTGCTGAGCGACGATATCCGTGGGGACAAATATCAATTGAGCGCAAGGAGAGGCGATTCCGCCTGCAAATCCAACGAACGTTGGGCTGGCGTTTCGAAAGTTTAAAAAAAAAGAAAAAATTTTCTGCGATTTTCTTCTTAGTTTGCTCTTCTGTTTTAGAATACAAGGGCCGAAAAAGTGGTCCCTATAGGGGTAAATTCAAGGTATTCCCATATAGGGCTCTAGGGTCTTAGCCCCTAAAGCTCAAGTAGTCCCTATAGGGGTATGTCAATTTCATTTAAAAAAACGCTTACGTAATTAATTTTTCGCATAGATTACATTAATCATCGACTAGCATGTCCCCTATAGAGTCCACTAAACAAAACCCCTATAGGGACCACTTTTGCAAGCTTTTGGCCCCTACCGGGTTGGTAAAGTGTTCCCTAGAGGAGACTCTCCAAGGGTCACTAATGTTGCCCCTATAGAGATCACTTTAAAGTTACTAAGGAAGAATTGGAAATTATGTTTTTTTTTTTGAAACTTTCATTATATTATTGGGATACATCCCATTTCAAAATGCTTCTAAAATCCAATTCTGCATATTTTTTTAATCGAAAGCATACCTGCGAGAGCTGAAACAACGGAATGGTTTTTAATCCCGATGTGGACTTGGAGCAAATCACGAACACGCTCGTAGGTGGAGGAATAGAGGAATGAGGCGGAGAGCTGGGGCAACGTCATCCAGAAGCCCTGAAAGAGAGAAAAAAGGCTGCGGAACAAAATGGGGACTAACTCGGTAAAGGGCGCTGACGCCTTCGGTGCGGACAATCTCGACAAACGCGTGTCGCATCCCCCGGTAGACGTTGTTCTGCCGCTGCAGTTGCAGCCGGCTTTTCACCACCGACATCGGGTAAAGAAGACAACGGATCGTCCAGGAACTGGCCAGCGCCAGCGGATAGAACTTGTACAGATTGAGGTGCTCCCATTGGATCACCAGGAGCTTCTCCTACAACAAAGAGTATCATAAAAAAAGATCTTTCTCTGGATTCTAATTTCTATAAAGGTGAATATAACAGGATCACATTGAGTTTACTAATAAAAATGCGTTTAAAAACATTCTCTTCTCAAGAAAAGAAAAACAGCAGCTTAGAAAAATTTGGTGGTATGAAAAAAAGACCGGCAAAATTTCAAACGGCGTCTTTTCCGATTTTTTTCATATCGCTAGGGAACTTTCCGACGAAACTTTTTTTCCGACTTTTTTTCTCGATAAACTCTTCGTTTTACATCTTCCTATATAAAGTAGGTAGTTTGTTCATAAATAAAACACAAAGAAATAGGTAAAAAATGTTCATAGATGTTTTATAAACCGAAAAGCATAAGGGAAAAAAGTCGGAAAGGGATCCGTCGGAAAGGTGGCCGTCGGAAAGTTCCCTAGCGAAATGAAAAAATCGTAAAAGTCGCCGTTTGAATTTTCGCTGGTGTTTTTTTCATACCACCGAAAATTTTGATTATAGTTGAAATTTTTAAGTTATTCATGAAAAGTATGCAACCACTTTTGTTTGAAAAAGGGTGAAAAAGTCTGATAAAGTTGAAATTTTGCGGAAAAAAAGTATAGATAACGAAATCAAAAATTATTTGCGTTGAAAAAAACTCTCTTATCAACAAAAAAAGCAGTGACAGAAATTATACAAAAAGTTTGATTATATTTGACATTTTCATAATAATTATGAGAAGGATTATGCGACTGACTTTCACTATATGTAAAAAAAGTGGATATAAATTTGAAATTTTGCGAAAAAAAGCTCAAAAAAATAATGACATTGAAAAATAAAGATATTCATTTTCCGATTATTTATTCTTAACATTTTTTTCAATGTTATAAAAAAATGATGAGTTCAAAGAAGATTTTTTTGAAATTTCTTTTTCGGCTACTTATTTTGTCTAAACACACAAAGACAATGAAATCAATGAAAAGGATCAATTGAAATGGAATAAAATAGGACCTTCTGAAGTTTGTCGATTTGGGGAATGGCACCGGAGCCGACAGGCTGAATGATGGGCGGCGCTTCGACGAGCGGCTCGGCGTCCGACGAAGACATGCCGGATCAGTTCTCGTATGCCGACTTCTTCAGATGCATATCCTGCGAAGAAAGAGGTTTTCGAGTAGTTTCAGCAGTAGAATCCTATTTTCTCTGCAAAAACAATGACGTACAAGCAATCGATTCACAGTCGCGTTGAAAAAGTGATGAGACGCACATGTAAATAAATAACACATATCATTACAAAAAGCAAGGAACAACGACATTTTCCAAAGCGCGTTCAGCAAACAAGTATTTTGATGGAGCGCATATGCCTTTCAGTTTTCTCTCCGTGTAAAACTTTTTCTTTCATTTTGTCAGGATTTTATTCATATTTAAAATTTATTTGCGCTTTTCTCCTTTCTCAAGAGCATTTCCAATTGAATAGATTATGCATACCGCTACAAGACTATACACTACCTTTTTTTTCTCAGAAGCTTTTGAATAACTTCGAGGATGGAAAAATATGAAACAATTTGACTTATTTCATCTATTCCTTCTTGTGCTTATTTTAAAAATTCTTCTATTTTAAAACACATTTGCGCTTCTTCAGAATTTTTTTTTCACTTATTGATTTAAAATCAAAATCCATATATAATAAATATTCTTATTGATTTTTCCTTTTTACTAAATACGATTGGACTTGGAAAATTCACCACTTCATTTGAATTTTATTTAAGATGAAAGTATAAGTTTTCTAGAAGTTTATTTACATGCAACAAATATAAAGTCAATAAATATTTGGTAAATGAGGTGTTATTATCATAAGAAGAAGATATTTTAGAAAGAAAATAGTTTCTAGCACCGGAGGTCTACTTTTTGCCCTTTTGATTGAATCTATGGGAGATTTTCAACATCTGGGAGCTCCACATAAGTGAATTATTAGCGAAACGTTTTTTTAAAAGAAACTCAAGAGATCCTAGCATTGTGACCGTGAAAGTGTCCTAATTAAAAACTTCAAAAGAGCAAAAAGTCAAAATAAAAAAAAATACAACATTCATGGAAACTGAAGAGGAACTATCGTACAGTGATCTAAGCTCGAGTGGATTTTTTGATGAATAACATTTTGCGTAATTTTGAACGTACTTCTGCTTTTAAATATCTCAGAAAAGTGAAAAAAAAAACTTAGAAAGAACAGATGAATGATATGATAGAGAGGATGATTTCGTTGTTCTGTAGCAAGGCTTCGGATAAACTTGTAAAAAAACAATTATTTTCTGAACTGACGATCGGAATTAGATGAATTGAAAATGAGTCTAGGAATGAGATTATGGTCAGGCGTATTCGGGTTCGGCGAGAGGAGCCTGGGGTAAGAGAAGGTATCCTGGGGCGTTGTTCGAGTATCTTGGCGGAAGCGATTTTTCTGTCGTCACTGTGGGGTTCAGTCGTGTCGCAAAAGCCGTCTTCATTCCCTGTAATTCATTTTTCTTTCTTAAGACACTTTATTTTCTTCACTTAGTAGAAAAAGCTAATCAACACAATTATGAGTCCTTTCAGGTTATTTTACACTCAAAAGCATCACACAGCTAAACTATTTTCAAAAAATTTTGAGAAGTTTGAAAGATGTTAGGAAGAATTTTGGGTCCGCGAATAATCGTGTGCGTGAATTGTGCATACAACAATCTGGGGGGCTCAAATTTTTCGAAAAATTTGAATCTTGGAACCTTTTTCTCGAGTTTTTTTAATTTACCAATTTTTTTTTGTAAACAGAAGTTGACGTTCTGCAGAATTATAATATGCAAATCTTTGACGGTGTGTATGCGAGAAAGGCGCATTATTTGATAAAAATCGAGTTGAAAAAAATCATGCAGTGTTCATTTGTGGCAACAAACAACAAAGGCAAAAAAGTGAACAAAAAAAGATGAAAAATCAAATAAAAAAAGAATCGTATTCAAAATTCAAAATTGGTGTATGCACAACTCACGCTCACGAACATTCGCGGACGCAAATATCTTTCCTATCATCGTTTTGAATAATAAGTTACCTTCTGCTCGCCGCTGGAACAACAGCAAGAAGCCAGGACATAGAATAAAAAGTAGAGAATGATTGGAGCCAGTGGAACGAGAGCCACAGCCGCTCCGACGTATTCGCTCCACCGCCAGGCGTGGATCGGCGGTGAGAATGCCTCGAAAGAATACTCTCGCGCGTTGAAAAACGCGATACCCTGAGAAAAGCCTTATAGTTTCAGGAAAAGAAGTTCAAGTCAAACCGCTGGAACGACAGGCAACAAATAAGTGAAATAGAGCAGAAAATGGCCGAAACACCAGCAACAAGAGTAGCGCAGCATCGTGTGCAAGTCTTTTCCCAGTTTGTGGGCACCTGAATCCTTCTGTCAGGCGATAATCCGAATATAGTCGATTCCCGGCTAGCTTGAGACGCTAAGAGGGCGTGACCTGTCTGCGCTCTCCAGCAGCCAGGCACTGTCACTTTTCTTATCGTGTCAGGACCCTTTTTTAGATGGCTCAAGCCAGCCGTGAATCAGCTATATCTCCGCTTACAGTAGAACCAGGCGATTGCCAGAAGCTCGAAGGCCAGAATCACGAAAATGGTTATGTACTTGACGGATCCCGTGACAAGCTCATACGCATGTCGACCCCCCTGAACAAGAAATGGCTGAAATGTTGTGAAACGAAGGAGGAAAACCTGTGTGGCAAAGTACAAGGAAAGCCCGAAACCGAAGACCGAGATCAGGAAGGCGAGGAAGAAACGCGGGAAACAACGAGACCAGCGTTCGCCCAGAGCGTCTTCGCACGTCGACAGCACCGAGAACGTCAGCAAGTTCTACGAAAAGAAATATTCCATCCGAAAAAGGAATCGAACCAAACCAGAACGTTAACCAGAACGCATGAGCAACTGATCAGGGTGACTGCCGTGACGAGTTTTTGGTGAGGCAAGTACGATATGTAGGCCAACACGTTCCACATTTGAGACTCGCCTAGAAATACAACTTCAAATTTTACTTTGCGGTTCCTGAAAATTGGCCAGAACACTTCTTGTCTCAACCTTCACGACTTCCTAGTTTTCGAGAAACGACACCAAAAAGTGTAAGAAAGCCCTCAAAATTTGTGAAAATAAGCTGTATTGGGTTTTGAGCCCTTGTTTTTCGAGAAATAGAACGTTGTGCAGGTTGAGACTTTCAGAATCTTCTCCCGGTACATCAAGGAGTGTTCCAGTGAAGTTTCAGTATATTTTAAACCACGAAGTGAAATGAATTTCCTTGTCAAATCGGTTTTTGAAGAGGGGTAATTTCAGTACTCATTTTTTGAACTTTGTCAAACTATTAAAAGTACCAGAAGGATGAAGATTAAGGTTAAAAAAAGAAAAATCAAAAGAAATGCTTTCTCACTTGTAACAAAAAAATTGAATTCTTACCTTGGAAAAAAATCAAATTCAAGAAAAATTTGGAAAGTCTTACACGCCCAATAAAGCTGCTTCCACATTTATTTTCTCGTGAATGATTTTTTTCAAAAAAATCTTTATTTAAAAAATTGTTTCAATTGCAGTGTCCTGACAATAACTAGACTAACCAAACACTTTCTGAATTTCTTTCCTTTTTTTCAAATTTAGAACCTAAACTTTTTTTCTCGATTTTTTTCGTAGTAGCTATCAACGCTAAAAAAAGTTAGTGAATATTTTCAGGTATTATTTTGAGAACGCTATCTTTAAAAATTCCCATCTGAAAAACTAGAAATTTGCACAGGTAGCAGCTCTGGGACCTTCAGAGAAAGTTTGAGCAAATTTTCAGAAAAATTCCAAAAATGAAACTTTCTTCTGATAGTGTTTA